TTCTTCTTGCCCTTGCCCGCACCGTTCTTTTTGCCCTTGGACTTGTCCCCAGGAGGAGAGTCTACCTCCGTATCCGATCCATCCTGCAGATGACTATGATGGAACCGGAAGCCCAAGACACCCTGCATCAGGGGCTCCTCCTCTTCATCATCTGGCATATCTTTCAGCCACTCCTCCGTCTTGATCCAATCATCAGCCAGATCGAAGGATCCTGAAGCAACGGTGAAAGACTGATTTTGATCTGCTGGAGCACGTGGTGGGCTGGGAAGAATACTTGCGTTCACGTTCCCATTACGTTGGAAAAACGATGAGTTTGGAATCCGAGGAATGGACAACGAAGGTTCCGCTGGTGTACCTTGTGGAGCCTGAGCCATGCGCTCCATACGCTCCATAGCACGGTCGAGAAAAGATGTCGTGATATTAGAGGCGCAGGATATGGGCGGAGTCGAGGCGCGCTTGGACAACTGGTGGCGCTTTGCCGTCGGTGTCCTGGGGTTGGATGATTGCGCATCAGTGTTGCGTTTGATCGGCGGGCGAGCCCGTGAACGGATCTGCTGGCGTTGCTTCAGTACCCGAGAGATTGCCGTCTCATCGACATCCATATTAGTCGAATACGCTGGCGATAACGTTCGGCCCGCTGTGCGTGACTTGGTGGTCAACTTCTCTCGGGGTCCTTTCGGATGCAAAATCCTGCGCTTTCCAATGTTTGCTGCATCCTCAATCTCCTCCGCAGTCTTGAACTTAGACCAATGTTCGGGGCGAGCATGTTCGTACAACCCTGCTGGTAGTTGTGGTAAAACCTTCATGTCGCCAAAGTATGTCGGGAGAAAGACATTGTTTGTCTCGAAGTCTTTGGGGTATCTAGGCGCAAAGAACACACACTGGTTACCAGTGCGAGTGACAGATGCAAAAGCAACAAGACCAGGCCGTGCTAGGACGATTTTACCACTAGGTACCTGACTGAAGTCCGATGAATCGAAAGTCGGGAAAAGTGGTGTATGATCTGGAGGATGCGGCACAGTCAAGTCCAGCTGGTATGCAAAAACGGACAAGAGAGATAGCGGGACGTAACAGCCTTGGACCTTCGGGTGGCCGCGGACTTCAACGTAGTTGTCGCATCGAATGCGTCCTTCATTGACACATAACACGAAGCGGTCCGCCGACGCAAGACGCTGCAGCTGCGTAAGATTGAACATTCGGGAAGGAACATGTAGCGAGATTTGGTAGATTTCGTCGATTCGCAGGGAGGGGTTGCTATCCTGCGCTATGAGGCGATCGAAAGTAGACTCCATGGGCGGTGGCAGGTGCCCATTTCCTGAAAGCGCGTCTCGAAGCTTGCTAATATCAGAGCGCGTGACAGTGCCATCCTGTGGATCAAGGCAATGTTCGCATTCTTTCTCTAGAGCCTGGCGCCACTCTGGAAAAGCCTCGCAGCAACCTGCTAGCCACGCTAGAACACACTTCTCGTCGAAGCCCGCGTCGTTCTGAATGAACGTTAGAGTCTTTTTGACCTCAAACGTCTGCCACGGCTGCTCAACGGCACCAGCTAACTCCTTGAATTTCGCGCACACCTCGTGAGGAGTTGTATCCCACCGCTCGTGGTGCAGCTGGCTCGCCAGTTGGTCAAACCATGGATGTCCCAGGGACAGAAGCATGAAGTGCTTCTCGCCAATCTTTGGCGGAGGATGTGATTTGTCCCAGTCGTTGACCATCTCGTCGATATTCGATTTATAACAAATACCGACCTCACGGCGGGTGGCGTTGTGCAATTGGTCCTCACGAGAACGATGCCAAAGGTTATTCTTTTGCTCCAACAACCGCAGAAGCTTCTTCCCTTTCTCGGATGTTCGCGAATTGCCCGATCGCTCGAAGTCGGCCACGGCGCGTTGAACAGTCTGGTACTCGTTCTGCGCGGTTGTTGTTTTCTTTGCCATAAACTCTTCGTTAGACGCATCTTTGGTCGCCGCTTTACGCAATTGCCAAATATCGCAACAGTCTTCGATGACTTGCATAGCGGCCTGGCCATCTTGAACCATATCGTCGCGTGGAGCTTGGGCACCGATGATGAAGGGGGCTGAATGAGAGTAGTCGACAAGCAATACAGCCTTGGGTGCATAATCCTTGAGTCGAAGAAGCACGCTCTCCTGTGTCACTTGTCCATGGATGATACCATGGAAATGTAGGAAATCGAGAGCAGAGAACACTCGTCGTAGCAGCTCAGTGGCGATTGAAAAACGGACACCCGGGTGCTGTTTCTTTATGTCGATTTGGAGCGCCGCGTAGGAAACAAAACCATCATGCGTACCGGTGACGACAGCCGGAATGTTGTCTATCTCCGTCGATTGCTGATACTGCACTATCGATGCGTCAACCTTCTCCTTACCAAACTTGAGAAACTCTTCATCCCGAAGTTGCCGACCACGCTGTGCGTCTCGAAATAGTTTGACCGTCTGTACCTCGCCCGTAAACCGCTCGACCACTCGAAAACTGTTTGCTGAAACTTGCTCCGAGCTCAAGATATATCGGTCGTGAGCCCACTGTTCTGCACGACCGGAGACGTCTTGCAAGTGGTGGTTTAGCATCTGAGGTTCAAAATTCTTGGTTGCATAAACCTCTCGGACTGACTTTAGTAGCCATATGTCGATCTGTAAACCGTTGAATGATACTCGATTGACTGTGGACGACTTGAGATGGACAGCTTGCGGGAGAACCTGCCCCTTCTTCTTTGTACGGTTCGTGGAAGCCTGGATGGGGACATCGTTGACAGTTGCTATAGTTTCGGTTGTTGACTGCAAGCGCCAGATATCAGAATCCCAAATCGGGATTAACAAGAACGGTTTTCCAACCTGAGTGCCAGGAAAGTACACGTCGCGAGTCGGGAAGATGGTCGAGGCCGAAGTCCTACCATCGCGTCGACCGAGGGTAAAGCATGGTTGATCTTCAATCTGATGAAGGAAGATATGGCAGCCTTCGTCGATTCCTCGGCTCGTCTCGTTGGCTCGCTGGCTGCTTAGTCGTGTCTTCTGGAATGGAGTAGCTAGATTAACGTTAAAGGCTTCGGAGTCATGGATTGAGACAATAGCGATGACAGACTCCGCAGATACTTCGGCGGGTATCGGTGGGTGGCCTTGAGGACGTACGGCCATTGTCGCAAGCCGTCGTAATAGTTGACAAAGTAGCTGAACAGTTGATTCGCGAACTCGGTAGTGAGGTAGAATGCGACTTGTTCGTTAGGTGGATGGACATTTAAGGGCTTGCGACTTGACTGTTTGGGAGCTGTTTCCCCATGGTTGTCTCTTTCACCCCCCCAACACTGTGAGTTCCCGGGTTACTGTGCACCCGCTCCTTCACTAAGGCCGTTTTCCAGCCCAACTAGAACACATGACTGGTATTGGTGCTTGTCACCTCGGAGATGAAAGCCCAAGCAACATCATAGCTTCACTCAGGAGCGGACTCGAGCGTAGCGATAGCTGCGGTCAAGTGATCCCACCTAGATATTGGAGTACGAAGTCAGTATGTCTCACATATATTTCGTAGATAGTTGTCACGAACCAATCTTTCCTCTCTTCAAAGTCGTGAAGGCCGAGCATATGTGGTTTTCCTTCAATGTTCTTGTTTTTTACTGTCATTATGTACCTAAAGATGGCGCCGAATTAGTAACGTTTCATAGATCGATCGATAGTACAAAACTTACACCACGGAGCCTCGAGGGATATCGTCAAACATACTCGCTTTTTGAAACTGGTGCTGATCGCATGGAAAGTTGAGTTCCGAATCACTGATGGCGACAGGCTGGCTAAGTCAGCAGAGGTCAATCTTCAACAATTAGCCACTTACAGGATCTAGTATCAATATCTTGTCTCCTGTGCTCTTCTTCTGCGGCTTGACCTTCCCCCAAAGTAGATAATTATCTAGAAGCATGACATGAACCGACTGCCACGTTCCTTGACTTTTTAACTTCATTGCTATGTTTCCTCTATGCCTAATGCGACGGGTTGGGTCGAGAAGACAGAGCTTAGAGAGTAGATTGGCGTCGGCGTATATGCGTCTCTCAAGGTTCTGAACATCTTCCCGATTCTGTGCCTCATCGAGTATGGTAGAAGTCAAAGTTCTAAGCCATGTAACAGCACCTAGGGCACTCTTTAAACGAGCTAGTTCATGGCCAGCCGTAGGCTCCTCGAGTGTCTCGGCGATACTAATGAGACTATTGAGGTTGTCGATGTACGACTGAAGTTGTACATTGGGTAGGTCAAGATAATCTTGCCAACCCATGCCGAAGTAGGCAATACTCAGGCCTAATGTATGCACAAAAGGTGTGAACTTTGGGTCCATGTTCTGTGTTGTGCTTAACGAAGACGCAGCGTGTGGCATTTGTTGGCAGTACTCTCGGTACACTCTGGAAGTTTTGCTTGTCCAGGTCTCGAACAAAGATGGATTGCAGAGAATAGTCTCATCGTCGCACATTTGCTGTTCCATTGCTTGGAGCAAACACTCTTTATTGAGAGTTGTCAGTTGCTCGCCAACAAGAATAGCCCCCAGGTGCTTCTCGAGAATCGGCCATTGTTTTATGATGTTATCATACATATTGCGGAACTTTGTCATGCGGTCGATGAATTTGTTCTCGGCGTCCAGAAGGGAGATCCAGATCTCGCGCATATCAGCGTTCCTTAGTGGTGATAACGCGGCAGCCGTTTCGCGTTCAGGTAGTACGCTTCGAATCTCACCGAAAATCTCTCGCGGCGCTTGGTGCGTAAACGGCAATGCTGTTCGCAAGGGTCGCCCTAACATAGTTGAGCTTGACCGAGAAGACTCGTAGAGCGTATACGATGAAGCCGTCGACATTTTCGACAAGACAGACGGCGTGGAGGTGCAAATACTATCATCTGAAGACGACGATCGCACTTTTGGCATAGTAGTGGTAGGCTCTGAGCGCAATTGAGGTCCACTCGGGCGACGAGGTGGTAATGGAGGTACTTCCTCGTTGGTGTATGCCTGATGTCCTTCGCTGAATGATCGTAGCGGCTTTGGAGTCAATGTACCACTCCTTTGTACGTTTGGTGTACTAAGGTTGATAGTGTTCAGATACGGGGCTGTGAAAGTAATTTGGGGCATGAATGCAAGGATGTCTTTCTCAAGAGCGTCAAATAAGTCCTCATGTTCTTCCTTGATCTCAAGCTGCGAAGGTGGGCGTTGTTCCGCTAGAACGTCCTTTGAGTTGGACAATCCGGTCTCATTCGCAGTGAGAAAGATAGACCCGGAGGCTTCAGGGGCCTCCTCCTCTTTTAATTGCTCTGCGCACTCAAGCGGAGTCAGATCAACGTCTTCGACTTGCTTTTCTGAGACGCGGGGTGCGTTGGTTCCACTATGCGCCGTGTAGAACGCCATCGCTTTACGATATGCCTTTGAACTGATCACCTCATCATCAAAAGCAAATTCAGCGGATCTGATAATAGAGTCCGCGTCTGCACAATCATGTACTCGGCTCTCATGGCCGAATATGGATTCCGGGACTTTCACACGAGGATGTGCCTGTCGAAGAGTCCTTGACCGTTTGACCACCTGGTTTAAGGTAACGCTATTGTCTTGCACTAACTTCCTAATTTCTGCAATGGACTCCATCTGTAAGCCTTGTACGAGTAGACTAAGAGCCGATTGTTGGCCACGGCTCTGTGTAAGCAACTCCTTGAAGGTGTCCTCTTTCCATAGGTATTTAGCTCGGTCCTTGAACTTCAGGTCATCTTTCTCTGCCTTGATCCCTGCAAGTAGCGACACTTAGCACTTTCTTATATGGAGGGTTTCAGTGTATCCGAAGAGAGGTCAATTACTTACTATTCGTATGTTAGCATAACATTCGGATAGTATTCGTGGTGGGACTTTCGCACCTAAGGTCCCGCACCTCCTCTTCTAGACACCCGTATACTACGCGACATCCTGTGAGCGCATGGTCGAACGTCTCGAGCAATTGAGGCTTGCTTTGTAATGCATCGTGGTAGAGTAGATTTTGGACTTGAGATAGCGACGCGGCGATAATTTGGGACTCTGAATAGATGGCCGTGATAAGGAGCGATGCGTCTTGGTAGCGGGACCGGAGGTCATAGAGGTCTTTGGCCGTTTTGATGCACTGCGGCAGCGCAGCCATCTGTTGTTGCGTTACTAGCTTAATACACGCGTAGAGGGGCGCGCTGCGACAGAATACTTACCACACCGAGAACCGCTGAGATAGGCTCCATGGCTGTTTGGTAGCGCCGTAGTGCGAGAGTGCTACGAGAGAGCTATGTATGAGAGGTGTATACGAAGTGACAACATGATGGGAGGTACGACGCTGCAAGTTCCAAATAGTGAGGTTGTTAGGTTTGGCCCCCACAGGGTCACACAGTGGCGCGCATCCCTGTCGTTTGCAATCCAAAAAGAGGACTTGAAAGTTCAAATATGTTCATATTAAACGGACAGGTGCACAGAAGTAATGGCATTCAGCGAATCACAATTGACATTTATTGTCTGACCTCACTTTCAACCCTTTTCAGCTCAATCGTATAGTACAGGTAGGAGATCAAACCCACTAGCACCAAGTATGCCAAAGTGACGCGCCCAACCATGCATTACGATTCTGTGCCAATAAAGAACGCGTAGAAGTCGGTTGGTACAAGAAGTGTAAGGTAGGAGTAAGATGAAGGCGCCAAAAAGTTAAAAAAAATCCCCATGTCCATATCCATATCCCATCACTCATTCCATCAACATGGTCCATGGCTTGAAAAGGTACGCTCGGGATATGTGCAGCTAACAATGCAGTCGCAAATCAGAACGTCGCAAGAAGGAAGCGGGCTAAGGGAAACCATAGCCAACCTTGCAAAGACCCTATCTCGCAAAGACCTTGACCACCCCATCACCACCTGCCGAAACGACAAGGCGGCCATCCTGGCTCCACACAACGCTACATACGCCTTCGCCGCGCATGATTCGGTGTGCGGTGATCTCTTGGGTGCAGATACGCTTGTCGAGAGACCAGAAGCGAATGGAGGCATCGTGACCTGCAGAGACAGCTTCGCGGCCGTCTTTACTAAGGGAGAGTGAGGAGATAGCGGCGGGGTGGGCGAGCATGCTATATGTGCACTGGCCTGGATTTTGAGTGTTAGCAGAATACTGTGTGAAACAATGGGTGAACCAACCAGAGTTAGCATCGAAGAACCGGATAAGATGGTCTTCGTGCCCACTGATGATGACGCCTTCGAGCCCGCCACCACTGTTGGAGCCTGTCGGCCCATGTATACCCTCCTCGTCAGACCCGCTCCGGCCTGCTTCTTGAGATGGGCCTTCTAGATATTGTGAGCTGGTCACCACTGACGTGATGCCAGTAGCCGGTGTGCCATCGTAAGATTCATTGCTAGCCATGCCAATAAGTTCCTCGCCCGTCCGCGTATCGTAAACAAGAATCGACGCGTCGGTAAAAGACACAACAAAGCTCTCTCCAGATGGAGACAGCGGACTGATGCATGTCGGTGAGGGATGTGTCGCGCGCTCGATGGTATGTATAAGCATGTGGTGAAAAGGTGTAGAAGTAGCAACACTAGGCTGCGGTGATGACGGATGGTTTGATCCAGAGGTGACTGAGTGTCTTCGACTGCCTCCAACGCCGCGTCTTGATCCAGTCTGGGGTGAGACTAATTGAGGAGGTGCACTGACTGCCCATATCTTGATGGTCCCGTCTGCGGACCCAGAGGCGAGTAATATCCGGTCTGCTCCTCCATAATTGCTGCTATCGGCTCCGAAGACCGATGTACAGGTGGTGGGAAGCACGCATACAGTCCAAACGGCATCAGTATGGCCGTCAAGTGTAGCCTTCGGGTCAACTCGCCCTCGTTCCCAAACGCGGATTGTTGCATCCTGACCACCGGAGAAAATCCACCCATCGCCAGACACTCGGCCGCCAGTTGAGAAATGGGCGGAGGCAGGACATGCAGCTAATGATGTGACGGCACCTTCGTGACCCCTGTGTGACCAGAATGGTGCGATGTCCAGGTCGTTGTTCATGCTGTGCTGGTTTGCGTAACTTGCGGGTATCATCCATCTCTTAATCATCCCATCATCACCTGCTGTACAGATTTCTGGTTCGCTAGGACTACCACCTCCGGTAAAGACTACGGAGCGAACGACATCGAGGTGGCCACGGAGTGCAAACCTGACCTTGAAACTTTGGGGATCCGTTCTTGCAGTCTGCTGTGCGGTAATTTCTTGTCCCTTCAGGTCGCTACTTAATCTCCGCTTAGTGTCTCTTTTTAGATTCTTGCCTGCTCGTGGTGGAGACTTGGCAGGTATGTTATTTGCTGATGGGAACTCTTCAGTGTCCGGCCTCCTTTGAGGGGGTCCATCTTGAGACATTTCAGCGATTGGTTCATCAAAAGTCCAATCTCCTGTATCATCTGCCGCGGGTTGAGTAGCAGCGGGGTTGCCTTCGTCACGGTTCGGTATTTGACGGCCATGGTTGTCGTAGGTATGCGTTAACTTTTCTACATGCTCTTCAGGAACCGAGGAATAATGCGGTGCCCCCTGTGCTGGAGGTTGTTGTCCGAGGAACTCTTGGGTCATATTAGCCTGCTGAGAAAGTGGTTGCTGCCCCGATGGTTCCCGGGTCATCTGTGGCGCGTGATGGATCTGATGCTGATTTACTAAGCTCTGAAGCTCAGAGGATACAGGTATACTCGGGGGCTGATGGTTGGGCATTGATGTGCCGGGCATAGTAGGCAGGTGCGACTGTAGCTTTTGCCGATGCTGCTGGAGGTACATGTCTTCCATAGATGGTTCACCATGAAATCCGGTACCATTCCCAAACGCGTGGAGGTTCTGTTGTTGAGGCGGGGGCTGCGGTGGAGGCGTTAGAAGATAAGTTATCTCTTCGACGCATTTCGTGAGGTAGAGCTTTGATTTTTCCCGCAGATTGTCTCGGTCGGCGTCTGATCGGTCGAGGAACTCGGGGTCGACGTCTAGGAAGGAATTGTGGTGTTTGTTCTGCGCTGTAGTTGAGCGTGTTAGTAAACGTATAATGGCTAATTCCATAAGCTTAGTAGTCTTGACGCACGCTTTTTGGAATTGATGCCACTCTTGTTGCCTTTGGAGTCCTTGTCATCTGCGACTTGAGCATCTCCTCCTGCTGTAGAGGCCTTTTTCTTCCGCTCATTCACCAGAGCCTGTTCTAGCATGCGAATATGCTTGTTCAACTGGTCGTTCAACTTCTTCGCGCTCCGCACTTCGCCCTCCTGTTTTGCAATCTTTGCCTTCATTTCTGCGCGCTCAATGTCCCAGGCGTTTCTCGCGCGCTCGTGATTATGCCATTCGAGTTGGAGGAAGCGCATAACTCCTGTTTCTATTGTTAATCCAAGTCTCCCTTCCCATAGTCTGTCTGGAATGTCGTCAAAGGGTGCAGCTTACCCTGCAGCGTGTACTCGGTCCCTGCTGGTGCACCTCCATCACCTCCGCCATTCGTACCGCCCGCATTCATGGCCGAGGGTGATTGCCAGGCCATGGCGGACCTTTCTGATTATACTATCGCGGCGAGGTAGACAGTCAGTGGGGTGGACATGCGTTGTCGGGGGTCGGCAAGCGCGCAGTCGAAGTGATGAAGCTGGCCTTTGGGAGCTCGGATGTTTTCCAGGGCGTTGGGCGTGGGCGAAGGGCACCACAATCTAGCCAAGCTGGACCAGAGACTGTGAATGAAGAGGGTATATGCGCAAATGCAGCAACACGGACTGCTGCATTGACTATTCACATGTGTCGTCGCAAAAGGGAGCTCTCGGTCGGCTGCACGAGAGCGCCAAGTGTTTCCCTTCGTGGTATGGCGCCCGCGTCTGTGCGCCATCTCCAAAGTCAGGGCCAACTTTAAAGAACGGACCCTAGCAGCTAGCATGGACCCGTATCGTTGTGTGTTACCAGCACAGCTTTTTCCGCAGAAGCTTTTTCCGCAATCTCGCAGTCCAGTACTGATGATGGGGAACCTTCCTCTTCATTACATCCCGATCCCACCATGCTAGCAGCCACGCCCTATATGAGCCGTGTGCTACCCAGAGCATGCAACGCTTTGGTCATCTTAGTCACACCAACCGAAGGTCATCTCAATGCTTACACCAGGATCTATGTCCATGGCTAGTAGATTCGTATGCTCCGGTACGTTGTTTGGTAATATCTATACTTGTTCCCGCCTCTGCTCCTTGTGGGGCGTGGCATACATCAAGTTCACACTGCGTCCATTGTACATTTCTATCTCGTCGCTTGAACCAACTCGCTGACCATTCCTCTAGCCCAGGAACTAGGACTAGCCATATTTACGTACATTGTATATTTTGGGGGACTTTACAGCTCCCGATTAGAAATGGTAACGGCACTCGAAGCTATCCAGCTTGCATAATGTGGGCCTCCGTTCCCTGTGCCTTCACTTTTTTGAAGATGTAGCGAGTCCCACAAGGACTTCCACTTCCTTTTGGTGGCTGTCTTCATTCTTCGGTTTTGTATCATCTTACATTCCGCAACTTCAAGTTTGTCCTCCACGTATGTCGTCTCTTGTTTGGTTATGCTGAACAAGACTACGCAGATCTGATTATTGACATTAGTATCGACTCAAGGCTATAGAAGGTTCTCTAGAGCAAGGTTTGTTTACATCTCACAGCAACGTAGACGAACGGTTTCGCGCACGGTTCTATGGGCGGATGTTTGGGTACAACATGCCAAGTCGCCCCTTCCCAATCGGTACATGGCGCGTCGAGGCTACACCTGGGTACCTAACAACAAGAAGAACTTGACCTTATACACCCCACCTCCCGCCAACGACACCACATCGGACGTACCTTCATATTCAGGCAACACGGTCGCGCAACTCTCTCAATACCGTAGATACCGACATCAACCCCATTTAGCTGTCCAAAATGGCTGGCGGCGGAAAAGGTACGCGCTATCCTTACAGGTCGCGCCGTCGGAACTCTCGAATGCTAACTACTTGCTCAGGAAAGACTGGAGGCAAGACAGGAGGAAAAGGCGACTCGCACGTAAAGACAACCAAGTCGCACTCTGCTAAAGCCGGTCTCCAAGTAAGTAACTTCCCAGATGTCGCGCGTCATCGCCCAACCACCCCGCCCTTCCACTTTCACATTCAACACATATGATGACGCGCTAATATCACATAACAGTTCCCCTGCGGTCGCATAAAGCGTCACCTTCGAACCATCACGCGCCAGAAGACGCGCATCGGCGCCAAAGCAAGCATCTACCTAACCGCAGTCCTCGAATACCTGACTGCCGAAGTTCTCGAACTCGCAGGCAACGCTGCCAAGGACCTCAAAGTGAAGCGTATCACACCGCGCCATCTACAACTTGCTATCCGAGGCGACGAGGAACTCGACACCCTCATCCGGGCCACGATCGCTTTTGGAGGTGTTCTCCCACACATCAATCGCGCTCTATTGCTCAAGGTTGAACAGAAGAAAAAGGGCATTAAGGCTGTGGAGGCGTAAGCAGACTATGCGTTTGAACGCGTGGCAATCTGAATAGAGGCAACAAATGGGAAAGTCAGGCATTAGCTGCAAACGCGTCAGAAATGCGGCTGCGAATGGAAAAGGCTTAAGATGATCACGGACATCGCCTTCTTTGGTTTGCGCGTCCTTCGGCACTTGTCATCCTATTGCCGGAAAGATGTTCATTTTTTGGCTGTGGAATGTTAGGATTTGGTGTTTACCTTTCTTTACGTGTAGGCGCGTGTGGGTAGGTGTTGGGGCTAGGGTTTATCCTATTTTACGGTATGTAGTAACAACGCTCGATGTAGTTCTCGAGACTCCCTGCAGTAGACTTATTTCTGTCCTCCATTTCTTCGAGGTAGCCACTCAGTCTATGCGAAAGCACTGGTGGGACATACCCGCTAATCGGGCATCAGCATATCCAGAAACTCTCCATTCCAATCTCCCTCTCCCATCCTTTTGCGCCTCTCAATGTCACCCCAAAGCCCATATCATCCCGTTTCGCACCTCGCCCACCACCCACCACCATTTTTACCTCGACCTCCTTGCGCTCATTCATCGCGAACCTACCCATTTCTGAGACTTCACCTATCTTGGCACTTGGGTCAAGCTCCTTCCATTCACCTCTCAACTTGACGTGCACGTGTACCTCTCCTGAATGAGCTGCTGGCAAGAGTTGTTTAACAACATCGCGGAAGCGCATATCCTTTGCTACCGCCACCCGTAGCGTCTCAGTGGCGCGATGGGAACGAATCTGTACTTTGAGGCGCGTGAGCGTAGGCGCAAGGATAAGGACATCATCTTTTCGAAGGCCCAACGCGTCTACGGATCGCTGGGGAATCTTGACTTGCATGGAGCGGAAGGCTGTTTTGACGTTTGGTTGAAGTTCGAGTTCTGAGGGACTGGGGTAAGACTGGCGGTGGTCAGGTGGGCTTTTATCGTCGAGATAATATCGGTGATCCGATCTGTCTTCGTCGCTGAACTCGGACCCTTCGATTGCTTGATGTCCAAACAGAGGGGCGCGATGAGGAGTTTCACCACGCGGATAGCGACGAGAACGGTGCATGTAAGGGTCGATGTTTGGGGCTGAGTAGTTATGATAGGATGGGAAGGGGGAATGTTTGGAGTGGAGACGGCGAAAGGGGTCGTGGGGCCAGGGGAGCTGGTCGAACATCTCGAAGGTGATAGCAGCGAAATAGTCTGGGAAGAGATCAAGATTTGTGCGGGGCTGCAGAACTGAAATAACACTTCATAATGTGTGTGCTCTGGCGGGAAATAGCATCTCGTGTGACCTAGTTTGGATTGAAAACTCGTGCTTGTTGCGCAAGCAGGACTCGCACACTCGGTTGCGTGCTTGATGTAATGTTTGCTTGTGTGACAGTTTACCTTGCTCTTCAAAGACAATCGATGATGATGACCTACTATGAGTAGTCTTCCAAAAATGACTCACTGTAGGCATTTCAAGCGGACCATGTGGTGACAAACCAGTTCGCGTTGTGATCTGCTAAGCTTCTCAGATTTTCCAGGAGTGATTCGCAACACTGAGTTCTCAGCCACCCCGGAAGTGACTCGAAAAACTCAAGCCTGGCTAGAAATATGTGCCGTTTGCGGGCTCATCAGCGCGGTTTTCAGGCCATAGATATGCGATAGAATGTCTTGCTGTTTCGGAGTCGGCGCTATTGACCTCTCCAGCATCAGCCAGGAGCTTCAGAGTATCGATTAACCATCGCCTGCAGCCGACACCTTCAGGGGTGAAGGCATATCTGAAGCGCCCTTTCGAAGCCAGGTACTCGATATACCAACTGACCGGACGCGAATGCATAACTGAGATTAGGCCATCTCTTATAGCGTCGACCGGAACAACGTATTTCGTCTCGGATACAGTGATGAGGGCTTTGTCTCCGCCGCTCGTATGGGGTGGTTGTTGAGGGTTAGGCTGAGCGTTTAGACTGACACCATGTCCATTGCCGATATCGAATGATAAAGTCCAGTGATTCGTCGCTCCGTTTCCAGAGTCATCAGACATTGGATGGCAGATAGCATAAATCTTCAAAACAAGCTGTGCTCGGATCTCTTCTTTCTTTGAACGAGGGATATATGACACTGGATTGGCGGCGGCAGTGGCAGCGGCAGCCCGCTGTTGGGCAGCAATTTGAGCAAAGAGTTCTGAGATTTGGTTCGACATGATCAACTAGTATAGAAGAGGAGGACGATAGGGTAGCGTGGATGGATCCGAGGTCTTGAAATGAGCAGTAAGAATAGTTCTAGGTCTCTTGCACAAAACACATACTTCGCAGTTGCAGGGCATCCAAGGGCTGCTTGCTCAACGGTTGTTTGTGATTACGGTGCGGCTCCCGGGATAGTGTCTTTAAGTCAACAGTCGAGCATGATATCAAATTCTAACCTAATGGTGGATGTATGGAAAGTAGAGATTTCAGTTCTCATAGATTAAATCAAAATGATTCGTTCATTGCATTGCTGGTTCGGTGGTGGTTGCTCAGTGGCCATGGAGCTGCCACTTGGCATGACTGTCCGTGCGGGGTTTCCTGACTAAGACGCCCACCAGGGTTGAACAGCGACAAGTGAACTCTGATCAACTCAAGCGCTTTCAAAATATTGAAATTTGATATCATAGTTGACCGTTGGATTAGAGCAGCTCTATCTACCTTGGAAGCTACATCACGTATTTCTCCGCTCTCATAGCACACTTCTATAGTCTGGTGATATTAAGGTAGGGACCCTTTTACTACATCTCCGCTACATCGCCTCGCCTTCGACATCTCTTCGATGCCCGAAGAGACGCTGATAGCCTGTGGTAAACTGCAATAGTTCTCCGTTTCCTCAGAAGAGTAGAAGTCGTATGACTCCCCACAACCTTGTCCCTGAGAGCAGACGCGACACCCTAGCCTGCGAAGGGGGAACTATGAGATACGTTGAAACGATCTGTTTAAAAGTAAGACTACCTACAGCATACCTTTACTTCGTCGTCGACTGCCCGGCCTCGTCTCTCGGTATGAGAGGCTATGTCGATGGTCCTTGCTACTTTGGTATCAATCGACTACCACTGGACCTCACGCTAGAGGTGGCCTCGGTAGACATGACAGATTCCCACAGGTGATAAAAATCGATCAAAGGTTAGGAAATCAATGATGAGCCTCAGCATAACCTGCTCAATGAACAACGTCATGTCATCATTAGACTTGAGACACCCAAATCCTTTGCTACAGTCTGATGTTGGAATCACAAGATTGTTGAACATGGTACTCGGGCAGGAACGTTCGACGAGGCCGGACTTTTACTACTGCGAGGTGGCGTAATGCTACTGAAGAAAGAAGACTAGCTGATTTGACGTCCAAAAAGGCGGTGCTTAGGTAATAATGGTGTGCATGCGGATCCAAAATTTCCGGTGCTAGGCATTTGCTGGGCCTGAAGGCGTTCATTTCGAACGCAGTGGGGAGGCGTCTGTGAGCAAATCTAGTGTGGTTTGTGTGGATGGTTGTGCGGTACTGATGTTGGATGGTAAATGCAAGATATCATCTCATGATGTCAAGTAGGTGTTTCAGAGTGCCCGCCAAATTAGAACGGTAGCTGATAAAGGTGGGCGTACCACTGAAGGATCCCCGAGGCACTTTCCGAGGCACGAAACGGTTTGCAAGGTCTCTGCTTGCACACGTCTTTGGGGTTGCTTTTGGAGGACATGCACCCCTAGTCGTTGATAGGCGAGAACTAGCATGACGCGAGTACGAATGCTTGATGCGCGTTTCAGACTGGATGCAGCATGTAGGGACGTCGAGTGTGTAACAGCAGCATACCTGACCGTCGAGAGCGGGTGCAGATCAGAGGCAGGCTGGAGAGGGCTTTTTGCATGCAGGCGTGAGGAGGTTGCATGTTAGTGAGACGGCGGCTGCGCGGCTCCAAGAGTTCAGTGGGCGTGATTGGCCGGGGCCCCTGGGGTTGGCTCGTGCTGCAAGCGGGCTGTTGGCGGTGAGCAACCAAAGAAAGTCGACATCCACGTTGCCAGCAGCTCTGAGAGCGTTGAAGCATTTCTCCGCCCTCACGATCCTGCAACCTGTGGTTAGGGATGCATCTAGCCCTTTGACTGCAGCGACACCGCACGCTGACCAGGAACAGACCAGCGGCCGCACCACCAGAGCGAGCTGGACCTGCTTGACCGCCTGACAGGGAAGCCTCGGACCCTGAGATTCGCGCTGTTGAGAGAGACGCGGGACAGCGACCACAACCAAACATGGCGCACATCTTCGATATCGGCACGCGGGCATGGCAGCCAGACACGACCGAGGGCTGGGTAGCCTCAGAGGTCACGGAGAAGCAGATTGTCGACGACAAAGTGAAGCTGGTCTTTAAGCTGGAGAATGGCGAGGTATGCCGCCAGCACCTCCATGGACAGGACAAGCAATATGAGCGGGAACATGGAGGCTGACAATGCAATATGCAGACCAAAACCGTCGAGACCACCTTGTCTGCCATTCAGACCGGCAAAGACCCAAATCTGCCCCCCTTGATGAACCCGGCCATGCTCGAGGCCAGCGACGACCTCACCAACCTGTCACATCTGAACGAGCCAGCTGGTACGGAATCTCCCCTTCAAGGAGAAGCTGGGGAAGCATACTGACGACTGCACAGTGCTCCAGGCCATCAAGCTGCGCTATCTGCAGAAGGAAATCTACACGTACTCGGGTATCGTCCTGATTGCAACGAATCCTTTCGCACGTGTGGACTCGCTATATGTCCCTGGTATGGTGCAGGTCTACGCCGGCAAACAGAGATCTTATGGCGCTCCTCATTTGTTCGCCATTGCTGAAGAAGCTTTTGCGTACGCTCCCCCTCATTCTACCCCAGACACAGATTTATACGCCTCTTTACTCCCTGAACATAGCCCATTGATTAAGGGAAAGACTGACACCTTACCAGGGACATGTTGCGAGACCAGAAGAACCAGACGGTCGTTGTTTCTGGCGAGTCCGGAGCCGGTAAAACCGTCAGCGCCAAATACATCATGCGATACTTTGCGACACGAGAGTCCCCAGACAACCCAGGCAAGCGAAGAGGCAAGGTCGATGCCATGAGCGAGACGGAGGAGCAGATTTTAGCTACCAATCCCATCATGGAAGCCTTTGGTAACGCCAAAACCACCCGAAACGACAACTCGTCTCGCTTCGGTAAATACATCGAGATTATGTTCAACAAGCAGACGGACATCATCGGTGCAAAGATTAGGACATATCTGCTGGAACGGTCGAGACTGGTGTTTCAGCCGCTCAAGGAACGTAATTACCACGTTTTCTACCAGCTCGTAGCAGGAGCTACGGATGCGGAGCGGGAAGAGCTGTCATTGAAATCGGTCGAAGAGTTCAGCTACCTCAATCAAGGGAGTTCGCCTGTGATTGATGGTATGGACGATGTGGCTGAGTTTAAGGCGACAAAAGACTCTTTGACGAAGATTGGCGTTCCCCCAGAAACTCAATCTGGCATCTGGCGACTGCTTGCGGCTCTTTTACATATGGGAGATGTCAAGATTACGGCGACGCGGACTGACTCGAACCTCGCGCCGGACGAACCGGCCTTGGTCAAGGCTGCCCACCTGCTTGGGATAGACGCAAATAACTTCGCAAAGTGGACAGTGAAGAAGCAACTGATTACAAGAGGAGAAAAGATTGTTTCGAATTTGACCCAACAACAGGCCATAGTCGTACGAGACTCCGTTGCCAAGTTCATTTACTCGAGTATGTTTGACTGGCTAGTCGAACGTACCAACGAAAGTCTTGCCACGGAGGAGGTACTATCGCATGCCCATACCTTCATTGGTGTCCTGGATATCTACGGGTTCGAGCATTTCGCAAAGAATTCTTTCGAGCAGTTCTGTATCAACTACGCCAACGAAAAGCTGCAGCAAGAGTTCAACGCACACGTTTTCAAGCTCGAGCAAGAGGAATACATGAGGGAACGGATCGACTGGACGTTCATCGACTTTGCCGACAATCAGCCTTGTATCGATCTCATTGAGGGCAAGATGGGAATCCTTTCTCTCTTGGACGAAGAGTCACGCCTTCCCATGGGCTCGGATGAGCAGTTCGTAACCAAACTGCACCACAACTACTCCGGAGACAAGCACAAGTTCTACAAGAAACCCCGATTTGGAAAATCGTCGTTCACCGTCTGCCATTATGCGATTGACGTTGCATACGAATCGGATGGATTCATAGAAAAGAACAGGGACACTGTCCCCGACGAACACATGGAAGTCCTCAGGGCTTCAAATAACAAGTTCTTGCTCGAAGTTTTGGACGTGGCTGCACAGATCCGGGAGAAGGAGAATGCTAATACCGCCTCCAGCAAATCCGGTACTGCAATGTCTGCTGGACGCAGGATAGCCGTAAATCGAAAACCGACACTAGGTGGTATCTTCAAATCTTCTCTCATTGAACTTATGCAAACCATCAACTCTACCGATGTTCATTACATCCGATGTATAAAACCCAACGAGGCCAAGGCAGCCTGGCAGTTCGACGGTCCTATGGTCTTGGGTCAATTGCGAGCTTGTGGTGTTCTCGAGACGGTCAGAATTAGTTGCGCAGGATATCCAACCAGATGGACATATGAGGAGTTCGCCCTCCGATACTACATGCTGGTAAGATCCTCAGACTGGACGCCTGAGATCCGAAACATGGCTACGGCGATTTTGAAGAAGGCATTGGGTGCAGGCAAAAATGACGGTACCGACAAGTACCAGATGGGTCTGACAAAGATCTTCTTCCGCGCCGGTATGCTGGCGTTCCTCGAGAACTTGCGCACGGCTAGGCTCAACGACGCTGCCGTCATGATTCAGAAGAATCTCCGAGCCAAGTACTATCGCCGTATTTACCTGGAAATGCGCGAAGCCATCATCGCTGTGCAGTCGTTGGCTAGAGGCTACATGACCAGAGAGCGTGCTGAGGACGCAAGGCAAGTCAAGGCTGCGACAACCATCCAAAGAGTGTGGCGCGGAAGCAAGGATCGCAAACAGTTCCTGTTCGTCCGTAAATCCGTCATCAAATTTGAGGCCGCCGCAAAGGGCTTCCTTTTGCGAAAGAACCTCTTGGACACCAGGCTTGGAAATGCCGCTCGCATGATTCAAAGAGCCTGGCGCAAACAGCGAGGAATTCGCGAATACCAGAAGCAGAGGAAAGATATCATCATCGTTCAAAAGCTGTGGAGAGGGCGGAAGGCACGCAAGGAGTACAAGTCTCTTCGCGCTGAAGCTCGCGATCTCAAGAACATCTCCTACAAACTGGAAAACAAGGTTCTCGAGCTTTCTCAAACCAATGGTACTTTGAAGCAGCAAAACAAGTCTCTCCAGTCGCAGATCGAGAACTACGAAAACCAGATCAAGTCCTACAAGGAACGTAGTCGGACTCTCGAAAACCGGCAAAAGGAGCTGCAAGCCGAAGCGAACCAGGCTGGTATCACTGCTGCCAAGCTCAGTCAGATGGAGGACGAGTACAAGAGACTGCAAACAAGCCACGATGAGAGCACCGCGAAGATGCGGCATCTGCAGGAAGAGGAGAAGGAACTCCGCGCCTCGCTCAAGAGGACTACGGAAGACCTCGAGCAGTCCAAGAGGAGGAGCAATGTCACTGAAACGGAGAAGATGTCGCTTCGACAACAACTAGCCGATTTGCAAGAGCAAGTCGAGCTCATGAAGCGGTCTGCTCCTATCCCTGGCGATATGACAAACGGTCATGCTCCGATCAGCGCAAGCAGTTTGATCAACCTTGTATCTTCCAAGAAGCCGAAGAGGCGAAGCGCTGGACCGGATACGCGCGATCTGGATCGCTTCAGCCAACAATACAACCCACGACCTGTTTCCCTGGCCGTCGGCTCCACTGCTCATAGACAGAACTTGTCAGGCTCGACCTTTGCTCAGCTCGATAACGTCGAGCTTGAGCTTGAGAACATCCTTGCTGAGGAGGATATGCTCAACGATGAGGTCACTCTCGGTCTCATCAAGAACCTGAAGATCCCATCACCTAGCACTACACCTCCACCAACGGACAAGGAGGTCCTCTTCCCCGCGTACCTCATCAACCTCGTCACCTCCGAGATGTGGAACAACGGTTTCGTCAAGGAGTCCGAGCGCTTCCTTGCGAACGTCATGCAGTCTATCCAGCAAGAAGTCATGCAGCACGACGCGGATGATGCAATCAACCCAGGCACCTTCTGGCTCTCAAATGTCCACGAGATGCTGTCATTCGTTTTCCTTGCCGAAGACTGGTACGAGCAGCAAAAGACCGAAAACTACGAATATGACCGGTTATTGGAGATTGTCAAGCACGATCTGGAGAGTCTCGAGTTCAACATCTACCACACCTGGATGAAGGTGCTCAAGAAGAAGCTACACAAGATGATCATCCCCGCCATCATCGAGTCGCAATCCCTCCCCGGCTTTGTCACCAACGAAAGCAACCGCTTCCTTGGCAAGCTCCTCCAAGGCAGCAGCACCCCTGCCTACAGCATGGACAACCTTCTCAGCCTGCTGAATAGCGTCTATAGAGCCATGAAGGCCTACTACCTCGAAGACTCCATCATCACTCAGTGTGTAACGGAGTTGCTTCGATTGGTCGGCGTAACTGCCTTTAACGACCTCCTCATGCGCCGCAACTTCCTCTCCTGGAAGCGCGGCCTTCAAATAAACTACAACATCACGCGTATCGAAGAATGGTGCAAGTCACACGACATGCCCGAAGGCACGCTGCAGCTCGAGCATCTCATGCAAGCTACCAAGCTCCTGCAGCTCAAGAAAGCTACCCTCAACGATATTGAGATTATTCAGGATATCTGCTGGATGCTGAGCCCTAATCAGATACAGAAGTTGTTGAACCAGTACTTGGTGGCCGACTATGAGCAGCCGATTAACGGCGAGATCATGAAGGCTGTCGCGTCCAGGGTGACAGAGAAGAGCGACGTTCTCTTGCTGACAGCCGTGGACATGGAGGATTCTGGGCCGTATGCAATTGCGGAGCCGAGGGTCATTACGGCGTTGGAGACGTACACGCCTTCTTGTAAGTCAAGCACTACCTTTCCACCTTCGTATTTTGCCAAGGATGGATACTAACACTCTAACCAGGGCTGCAAACTCCCCGTCTCAAGCGCCTCGCTGAGATTGTCTCGCAACAAGCCATCGCGCAGCAGGAAAAAATGGAGTTTGATACTAACGGCGATGGAATGAACGGTCACGACACGATCGAAGAGGGAATTGAGGCATAGACGAAAATATGAACTCTTGACCGATTTGGTAAATCTTAGAAATGAGGGATGATCATCTGTAGTTTGTAGAGTCTTGTGTTCGCCTACATGCTGGGACTTGGTATGTTTGTGCGATGCAGGGCAAATGGCGCATGATGAGATGTTGGGTATCTAATGTGAAATCTTCTTCTTACTTGAGCCATGCGCCCCTATGAGGCTTATTGAGAATGACGAATGGCATGATAATTATTACGGCTAGTACCTTGAACACATTTCTCCCAAGTCCCCTACGCTAGCCTTACCGTTCACGAGTTAACGTCCATAGGCTTCTCTAGGAAACGCATCCCACTCGTCCTGGAAATCCCACTCTGCACTCGGGCCCGGCAGCCTCGTGCCTTCAATCTCCACGGTGCCCATATCAGGCACGTTATGCAGCGCGCCCCTCAACGTCTGGTTGGCAAAGAACGTCATCTCGCCCGTACACTTGCGTCCAAACGTCAGACAATCAACCTGCACGTCGCGCACCCGCCAGCCCAGCGAGCAGGACCGGCCCAAGGTATCGCCAGGACCAGGATTCATCTGAATAATGCCATCGAGCGGGCCCCAGGCGATGGTCGCCCACCAGGTGTTGCCGTGGTGCGAGGAGTCCCGGTAGAGTGTCAGGGTGAAGACGTCGTTGTCGTACTGCGGGTTATCGCAGAAGGCGGCTATGCTGTATGCGCCGCTCAGGAGGGTCCCGGCTGGAGTTCGCGATCTGTCGTTTGCGTACGGGTCCGGCTTGATGTAGGGGGAGGAGCGTGGAGAGGTGAGTTCGCGCTTGACGCGCGGTCGAGCTGGGCTTGAGACAGGGGCAGGTTCTTTCTTGATGTGCTTCCTCGGGGTCGTCGACTCGCTCTTGATCCTGGTGTTGCTTGCTTTCTTTGGAGTAGCTGGATGCGGAATCGCACAGAGGTCGTCGCTATTACGTCGCTTCCGCTTTGTTGGCACCGCCTTCTTTGCACTGCTGTTCGGTGCTTTCTGGCCGCTACTGTGCACTTGCTCTCCCATCGAGACGAGACCACCTAAGAGCGACAAGTTGACTGCCACCAGCCATCACGTTAGCGTATCAACTCAATACTACAACGAGACCAGCTGAACAGCTTACCAGTGACATTCACACCACCACTACCTTGCGAACTTCCCAAACCCACCCCGCGCGTACCCTCCTGCTTAGACGCCTGACTACTCTTCCCACCCCTCCTATTCGCCCCCTCCCACTCACTCTTGAGTTCCCCCTCGACCCTCCTCACCCACTCGGGCACCTCAAGCTGGAAAGAATTCAACGCATTCAACAGCCTCACTTTGGCCGCATTCTTCTCCTTCGTAACAGGCAATCCATAATGGATTAGTTGGGCCGTCCAAAAGTGCCAGGGCGGATCTTTCGCCACGGGTGATGAAGAGGAGGAGAGGTCAGGTTGAAACTTGGGCGCTGGGGGCCGCAGGAGGGCGGCGAGCTCGGCGACGGTGGCGCGGGGGTGGGCGTTGGAGGGCGTAGGTCCTGCGGAGGCGTAGAGGAGGGACGAGTAGAGAAAGTCGCCGCGGCGGGCGGGGGGTGCGAACGTCGTCATTATGCTATGTTGTATTCAGTTCGTGATGTTTGGGCGTGGAAGGGTTGAAAGGATTGTGTTGGTCGGATCGAGAGGTTGGTTCGGCGGGATATAAGAAAGTATGGTAGCGCTCGGTGCCACGGTTACGGGCGGGTTACTGCTATTGGGGAAGATACGGGACAGGGAATATCGATGTCTTTTTTCCCTTCGTTTGGCGCGTGGCTTGCGTTTCACTCGTGGCTGTTCGGGTAACAAGGAATATATGATCAAAACAACAGTCCATAGCCATACCTACCTCTCCACCCACCACCACACACACTTGACCAAGACACAAGATACGCACTCACAGCACTCACAGCAAGAGAAGACAATGCATGATATTGCAACGTGATATTGTAAACTGATATCCCATCATACACGCATTCAAAACAAGCTACATATATATGATACACACACACACAAATGTGACAAGAACCCACCCGCGAGAAAGCGTAGACATCCACCCGCTCCAACACATCAGAGGGGAAAAACGTAACGTTCCCGGTGAAAGAGTCGTTCGGATAACGCCACGCTTATAATCATTGGCCCTTTCACCCACAAAAACCACCCACGCACAAGTGTTTCCTCTCCATTTCCCCAATCCAAATGCAGATGCAAAATGCAAAGCGCCCTCCCAGGACCCTTCCGAGCTAATAGAAAAAGCCCAAAGGGACATGCAGTCGGTCAATTGACAAAAGAAATGGATATGTTGTATTCGTTCCTCGTGGAAACACCCGATTTTATCGCTGCTGCCATCCCCTGTCCTGCGGATGCCGAGGCGCACTCGCCCAATCCATAATGCCCGGTCCGTTCGGAGGAGCTCTCTGTTCCTGACCAGATCGTGATGGTCCAGGTCCAGCACCCGGTGGTGGGCCCCTCATGTCCCTCCCTCTTAGCAAGCTATCCCTGAAATCTCGATTCTGCATCTCCCGCTCGCTTTCTCTCCGCAGGAAGTCGTCTCGGTTCAAGGCAGCTTGTTGCTGTACCTGCTCTTCGTGTATGCGTTCCGCGATGCCTCGATCGCGCGCAAAGGTTTGTGAGAATCGATGCGAGGCCTCTTCCGCAGGTCGTTGACCGTAAATAGAGATATTGCCAGCTCCAAGAGAGGAGTGGGGGGGATGCTGCAGAGGAGGAGGCTGTCCATTGTCCATTCTAGACAACGGAGTTTGCGACCGTTGAGATAGGTAGCCTCGATCCTGTTGTGGCTGATACCTCAGATCTTCGTGCATTGGACCTGCCGACCGTTGTGCAGGATTCGATAGTTGCTCACGCAAGTAGTCGGTCCTTTGAGATAGCTCGCGGCTAGTGTCGCGGTCCGAATTGCGAGACTCTAGGTCGCGATGAGGGTCTCGAGGATCACGCCCTCGATATGGGTCTGCCAGACTACTTGGGCCCCGAAGGTGCTGATGAACAGGCTGCTCATTCGGTGTTTGGGGGTTCGAATAAGAAAGGCTCGCGTTCTGGGCCTGAGAGAGCTCGTTCCGTCCTGATGTATCTCTTTGTTGCGCCAGATGACTGGTATGGATACGTGGACTGGGACGCATACCCATGGGACCAGAGGGTGGTGCACTACCTCCGGCGGGATCCACTTGAGCATAGGGGTTGGGCTGCAGAATCTGAGAGCCAGCAAGGGCTGCTTGCGATTGCTGTGCTGCAGTCGTGTTTGGGATACCATGACGAGGTCCACTAATACTCGGAGTGCGTGAATGCAGATGAGGCGAGTTGCCGTACCCGGCAAGGGGTGGCGGTGATGGGTTGTGCCGAGGGGCGTTGTGTTGAGCAAAGACAGAACGGTGGTTACCGAACATCCTGACGTCACCGAAGTTGGATTGTGAAGGAGGGAGTGACGCTGGCTGCTGGGCTTGACTTTGATTATGAAACTGCTGTCTTTGTTGCCAACTTTCGCGCAAGTTGGGCCTGCCTGCTGAAGCTTGTTCAACTGTCAAGTCAATCGGCCTATTGGACGCCGCACTGGGCAGCGAAGACTGTGGGGCATAAGACGGCCGAGTGTAGGCCGACTGACTAGTCATGGGTTCATCATATAGAGAACGTCTGGAAGAAGACGGGTATCCCTGCGCAGTCGAGGGAGGAGGGGGAGCAATCGACCCTGATGGCTGTGGCGTGGTGCTGTGCGGTGATGGTCCCCGATCGCTTGGTTTCTTGCGCCTAGGCTCTTCCGGACCATCGTCATTGAGTAGAGACATGAGGTTTGACTTTCTTGGCTCCGCAGCAGGCTTGGGGGCGGTAGGTGCTGGAGCAGTTTGCATGGGAGCCTGACTAAGCTGGGAATGAAGCTGATGTTGGAGATGCAGCTGTGACTGCTGTTGCGTTTGCGGAAGAATTGTAGATGATGGAGCGTTTCGTGGCTCCTCCTTTACTGGTGGAGTAAGGACCGAGGATCGAGGTGGCAACTGTTGCATGCTAGGAAGGCTGCTATGCCCTTGAGGATACACTTCCGACGGCGACTGACTGATTGGCTGAACCTGAGAAAGGTGGCGAGAATGTGAGTACGATAATGAGCGATGCTCGGGTGATCTCGCTGCAGAGTTTGAACGCACAGGGGGCATAAGTGGCGGTGCAGCCCCAGGAGCGAAGGGTCTGTGGTGATGCATCTCTTGAGATATCCGCCGAGCGTGCTGTTGTTGGTACCGGTGTTGAGCTTCTTGCTCCTGCTGGGCATCGGATCTGGCTATATTGTCCCGCTCTTGGTAGGTAAGACTGCGATAGATGGGCGATTGATGCTGCTCATGTGCGCGACTCTGCGAAGGCACATGTTGCTGCTGCATGGTCCTAGTAGGCGGTTGTTGAGCTGTTGTGGACTGCGATGGTGGCCGGTTCTCTAGACGAGGCGGTAAATCATCCGAAAAATAGCCAGCACGAGGCCCTAGGTGCGGCGGCTTGTGCTGGGACAAATTATGCTGATGATGATGGTGTTGCGGCTGCGGCTGCGATCGCTGTGGTGGAGCAGGAGGTGACTGCTGTTGTGGCAACGACGGTACAGACGCCAGACTAGTTTCCGGTAGAGAAGGATATGCAGATGCAGGTACCAAAGGCTTGCCCTGTGTAGGTGCCTGCGCGATGGTGGAGAACCTAGAGGATGGAGTTGCAGTGGGAGGTGACGTCTTCGGAAGCGGAAGCGCACCCAGAACTGGAGATTTGTGCTCAGGCGTAGGTGCGATCTGACGAATAGGCGCCGTCTGTGTGCTCTCATAGCGTCTCTTGGGTGCTGGAGTGGGTGTTGGCGGTGGTCCGAGATCATCGCCTCGCTCTCTCCGTACGTCTGCTTCCTTGGCCACTTGCTCAAGCTCCATTCTACCACCTTCGACCAGGCGGAGGTACTGATTCTTGATCATGGTATGCGTTTTCGTGCCCATGTGATTCGCAATTGCCAGCCAGTCCGTTCCAAAGTGTGCTACATTCTTGTCAAAGTCTTGCAGTTCCGAGACGGACCAGTAACTAGAAGGACCAGGTCGTGCACTGGCTTGAGTCTTTGGACGTTCCATCATACTAGGAGGCAGTCCTGGAAAGAGTTGGGGATCACCAGACAAGAGCATCTGATCCTCTATGAGACCTGCGTGGATAGGGAGGGGCATTTCACCCAGTGGTCGCTTGCCGAATTCGTCCTCCAGCTTGACGCCGAGACCCGCCCTTTCTTTTCGATCAATCTTGACTGGTGATCCAGCAGGCGCAGCCGCAAGGGGCAAGTTCTTCGCTTTCCGACCCAGCTTGTCCTTGGCCGCCTTCCCGCGCCTTGCAGCCTTTTCTTGGGTTCCATCAGCATCCGTCTGTCGGCGTGCGCGTCCTGGAGTGCCTGTTGCTGCGGTAGCATCAAACTCCGTCTCTGGCCCGCCAAAGGTTGGCGCTGCCGAACGTCGGGGTCGTCCAGTCTCTGTGACGGGTAAAGGGACTCCTTCTTCTCCAGGATTCTCAGGTCGGTCCATGTTAGCCATAGCTGCGCGATTACGTGCAACAGCACCGCCGCGCTTCCTAACCCCACCGCGTCTTCCTTTGAGTTTACCCTTGTATTCCCTGCCCCACTTGGTAGCGTAGTAGTGGTTGATGCAGTCTTTGTAGGTTCGCTCTGTCCCAACTTCTTTATACAGGACTTCTGCCAACTTGCCCCATTTCTTGGCATACTGATCTTTGTAGTTTTGGACCATGACGCGGTGCTCCTCTTCTGTGAAATCGTCCTCGGGTGGCTCATAATGGAACACAAAAATTCCTTGTCCAGGCTCGCGTTGGAAGTTGGTGTCGATGAATCGTCGCCGTTGGGCTTCCGACTCGGTAAGTTCCAAGGGAAGAGTGGCCTCCTTCTCTGGATCAGCCATGGCCTTTCTAGGTTCCTTCTCCCTTTTGCCCATGCGTTCCTCTTCAGCAGTCTTCAGAGACTCCTTGATGACTGCCTCGAGGTCCAGCTCGGTTGCCCATCGACTTGAATGACTTCTCCGGCCTGTGGGTGCTAATGAGCCATCCAGTAGCCCGGTCATTGCGGCACTTTGAATGTCGGGAGTGATCGCCTTCAACATGGGCTCAGCTGACGGTTGTCGTTCCTGGTCATCCTGTTCACGCTCATCATCCCACGAACGAATAGACAGCCGCCATTGCTTGTACGCAGTAGCATATTGCTGCAGTATCTCCTCGGTGCTTAGCTGCGGCTCGATACTCTTGCGTAGCTTATCACGCATGGCAAGCATAATGGAATCAGACAAGCTTGGTCGATCTTGGCCAATGTCAGACAAAGGCGTTGGCGGACCGGAGCCTAGATAGGGTAGAGTGCTGAGATCAGGAAGCGTTTCTTGATCTAAAGAGGTCTCGCGTCGCAGACGAAGTGCCATTGTCGCTGGTGCTGTTGACTTTTCTTCCTTCTCCCCCATCTCGACGTCCTCCAGATCCTCTGCTCTTGGCGTTGGGAGTTCGGCTGTAACACTCTCTACAGGAGGGTGGTCCTGAGGCGGATCTGACGTCTCTTGGATTAAAGGAGAGGTTACTTCATCAGCAGATCTTGGTTCAAGCAGCCCCTGGGGCAAATGATCCACGGTCAAACATGACAGCAGTATAATCTCTTGCAGGGGACTGGTAGCACGCAAGTGTGGAGCACTCAAATCGATGCGCTTGGCCTCCAAGCGCGCTCTTTCGCGATTGTACTTTGCTTCAGACTCGGCAAAGTCATCCTCGTCAAGGTCAACATCGTCGTCCGAGTCTTGTAATGCTTCTGGAGCCGATGATGCGACCGACATGGGTGGTCTAACCAAGCCTGGAGATGCCTCTGCCATGACCACGTCCGAGTGTCGCCGTGTTTCGAGTGGAGTCGGCTTGGGTGAGGGCGCCAAGGGCCGCTCTGCGGACACAGCACGTTCCCTTGGCCTTTCCGAGGTAGCTACTACCCTTGAGAAGGACGGAGACACCGACTTGGCTTGGTGTGACTGGGGCATTTGAGAAGTAGGTGCATTGTTCTCAAGCCTAGGCGCTTTTGGAGCTGTGCCGAATGCTCGTTCGCGGTCTTCGTGCGGGAACTCTCGCTTGCTAGGAACTGTTGGTCGGTTGGGGATGAGACCTGGCCGTACCCATTGCATGCTTTTGGGACCTCCACCCATGGGCACTCGTGGACTGGGAAAACTGGGTCGGTCTGACGGAGGATACATTGGAGGTGGTCGAGGAGCCATTGGTGCCCTATCTGCCTTTGGACCCGTGGGTATGTTGGCTGGCAAGCTTTTGGGCGATGTGTTGATCAAAGAGGCACCTCCGATGCCACTGCGCTGGCCGGCCAGTGTGGTAGGCAACGTACTTGGGGACGCATCTCTTGGGTCATACTGCGGAAGCTGGGCTCTGGAGAAAGATGGCGACGCATTGGCACGGTGTACTGCCTGTGGAGCTACCGGGGGTACACGCTGCCTGGGTGCCGGGCCCTGAGGAGGGGACTTGGCTGGAGCTGTTGGAACAGGTTGAGGAGGGGTTGTGAGAGGGGCTACATTTGCAGGCGTGGATGAGACGTGGGGGGCGACTGGCGGCTTGGGGGCTACACTATTTGATCCTGGAACATCGGTGACCTGAGTAGGTACTAGAGAAGGAGGTATTGAGGGAGGTTCCATACGCAGAGGCGCGGCAAACCCTGCCCTATTAGTATTGTTATCTTGACCGAGTGCCTCTCCAGAAAGACGATCTGGTAATCTCTCGGCTTTTGGTCCTGTGGGCGGCGCAATGGAGAGACCAGGAGGGATGCTGGCCTTTGGTGCTGTTGGAATGACGGGTGCTGTGACTGGTGGAGCGGGTGCGGCAGAAGCTGAGGGTGTGGGCAGAGCAGGTTTCGACGGTGGCGGTGGCAGTGGCGCTGGAGTAGTAGGAACTGGTTTGGCGGTCTCGGGTATAGGAGGAGCCCTCCAGACATTAGATCCTCCGAAGGCCGGAATAGAAGCAGGAGGCGACGAAGCGCGTGGGGCATACCTTTCTCTGGACGCTTCTGCGCGGCTTGCGAGCAGGGCTTCGTCCTTGCCAGGTTCCCGACGGGGATCCTTGGCGGATAGAGGGTCAATAGCAAGAGAGGAGCGTCGCGAGTACGTGTCTGCCTGTGAACCTAGCCGGTCCGACGGAGAAGCGTGATGCGACGAATGGGGGGTTGGCCCTGTAGGTGTTCCTGGAACATGTCTCGAGTCCGATGGGCCCGATGCACCGCGGTGCGTGTCAAGCGTGCGCAGTCCAGGCTTGGTCGCACCGGCTGGGCCAATGTAGGAGTCGTATTCTCTGGGCATAAATCTCCGATCATCGCGGTCTCTTCTGTCAAACTCGCGATCGTCTCGCACGTCTCTTTCACGACGTCCAAGCGGCGAGCGGCTTCGTGGGCGATAGGAGCGTTCGATGGGTGGGCGGTCACGTGGATCATGGTGTCTGTCTCGATCATCGGGATGAAAGTTGCGCCCACGGGCGACAAAGCCACCTCCTCGTCCTCGTCCGATGGCGCCGCCGCCGCGATACGAAGATCCCGTGCCGAGGGGCGGAGGATCAGAGTAGGTGGATGCCACCAAAGGCGGACCACCGTCGCGTGAGTTGCGTCGTGCTGGGCGGTTGACGTCTAGGTCCCGGGGCGCAAAGTCTCTCTGGTCGCGAGCGTCTCGAGTGTCTCGAATGGGCGATCGGCGTGGTGGTGGAGTGGGTCGTCGGTCTCCTCGTCGATCGAAATCACGATCTCGGTCACGGTCAGCCCTCCAGGAATTATGGGAATTGTGCGAAGGGGCTGCAGATCCGCTGCTCAAAGGCGGCGCATCCCGCAAGGAAGTAGCCTCACCCCGTCCTGCGAAACCTCTTCCGCGTCCATCACGTGGGGCCAAAGGCGCGCCCGACAGTGGTCCTGCAGCTGGGCCACGTGGCGCGTCAGCTAGCGACTTGGGCCCGCGGGGGGTCTCTCTGGGAGGGAATCCGCCGGCATCTGCACTGGGTCTGATGTTTTCGTTACCCCTTGGGGGGTATCCGCCGCCAAAGGTGGAAGGTCTGCGGTCTCGGTAGGGCGGCGAGCGGTCGCGGGGGTATCTGTTGTTGTCCGGATAGCGCGAGGCGGACATGTTGGCTCTTTCTTGGTTCAATTGGATCCTGCGACTGCGGCATGGGCGCTGTTAGGTCTGGAGCAAGATGATGGAGCGAGGTGGAGCGAGGTGGTGAGGAATTTCAGTGAATCGCCGGGTCCAGGGTTGTAGGGCCGCGAATTCGGGATATGCGGGGAAATTGCAGAGACGAACAGGCCAGGCCAGAAGCTATGGAAAGGATTCTTGTGGAGAGGGCGTAGTGGTGCTCGGCAGGATGCGATTCGGGGTTGATGGTCGACGGGCAGGACGTTGTTCATCCAGGTCTGACGTAGTCACAGGGTGCGCGTCAAATGGCGGTTGGTGTCTGGAGTGGTGGCAGCTAACGAGGTGCCTAGGATTGGGGGTCTGTGCGTTGGGGAGCTAGGAAATAGGAAAAGCGCCCGCCCGTGGGAGGTACAGCCGGTTTTACACCACGATCCGCGGTGGAACCAGGCGCAGGCTCGGCGCTCGGAGCTGAGATTCGATCTGCTTTTGTCGTCCCTGTGACGGCCAGGCAGGCAGGGCCAAAGAGAGTCGCGTCGAGGTGCTGTCGTCGCAGGCAGAGGCGAACTGTGGGGGAGCTGGCGGCGTGCAGCAGGCCACAAAGGCGAATAAGACGATGGGATAGAAGGGGATAGGATGGGATGGAATGCGATGGGATGCGATGGGTGGAGAGAGGGCTGTTGCTGCACCCGGTTGACGTGGCGCTGCTGGGTTGCTTTGTGAAGAAGGGCGTGGCCACGTGAGCGGGCTTCGTGCGGGAGTCGATGATGGGCAAAGGACTATCGGAGGTGAAGGAGCGCAGTGGTGGCCGGGAGGGCGCTGGTGCGCACTGGCAGCATGGTGTCGTCGCAAAAGGGCCGCTGGTGGTGCAAGGAGAGGGTGGAGTGGTGGTGATGGGGAGGGAACGTCGAAGACGAGACGAGAACGAGAGAGAGAGAGAGAGCGCACTGACACACACACACACACACACACACTCACACCCACCCACACACACACTAAGACGACGACGACGGCTCTGCCTGCACGCAAGGTCGGAAAATGGACGCCCCTCACGAGCCCCCCGGCTCCCAGCTGCGAGATGGAACGGGCTAGAGGCCTTTTCTTGCCAGGCTGAGAGGCAGGGCGCGTGTGATTGGACGCCCAATTGAAGATTGGCAGCCCCCAGGGGTCTTTGGTAGACCAGTGTCAGGTTGCCTTTAGGGCTCCACACACAGCACAGCCGTCGGACGACAAGTGCCTAGAGACGCCGACAGCACGAAGCCTCTCATGCCGGCTGGAGGCTTGTGTGTGTGTGGTGACGGGCGTCATCGTCTGCGTCTCGTCTCGTCTCGTCTCGTCTTCTGGCTGCGAGCCCTTTGAGCGATCGTCCCGCTCGCCTGCTACGCGCTAGCAGGGGTCATGCTTGTCTTGGCGGCAGTGTGGGGGCAGGCGCGCCCTTGAAAATCTGCAGCTGCCATGCACGCACTCAGCTCAGTGGCAGAATATACAACATACAACTAGAATAAAGACGACGCTGTTGGCATTCTGCTGACAATCCCTTGAACAAGCGTCATGTCCACCACCAGCCACACGGCAGCTCCGTCCGGTGCCACTGATGCCGTGCTGAAGCCGTCTGACCCTGTCCCTGACGGCGCTCGACAAGTGCAGGGCGTCGACTTCAACCACTATGCAGCGCGCAGCATCACCGTCGAGGAGCTCATGGCCGGCTATGCGCACATGGGCTTCCAGGCCACGTCTGTCGCCGAAGCCGTGCGCATCGTCAACGACATGGTCAGCACTCTCCCATCCCTTCCATCTATCTCTATCTGGTCGCCAATATTGAACGGGGGTGCGGCGGTTGCGTGCGGAGAGACAGGCTGGCAACCGTGCGCAGCGGTCCCGAACCGTGTGAACCATTTAGCCTGATTCAGCAGCACGACCAGTTGGTGTTTCCAGCTAACCCGTGACAGCGCGCATGGCGCGACGCTGAAACTGGCGACAAGACGACCATCTTCCTGGGATACACGTCGAATCTGATCTCGTCGGGCCTGCGCGAGACGCTGCGCTATCTCGTCGAGCACAGGCACGTCGCGGCCATTGTCACGACCGCAGGCGGCGTCGAAGAGGACTTTATCAAGTGCCTGGCGCCCACGTACCTGGGCGCCTTCTCCACCCCCGGCGCCGGCCTGCGCCAAAAGGGCATGAACCGCATCGGCAACCTCGTGGTGCCCAACAGCAACTACTGCGCCTTTGAGGACTGGGTCGTGCCCATACTCGACCAGATGCTGGCAGAGCAAGAAGCCAGCAAGACGACCGACGACCCGCTGCACTGGACCCCGAGCAAGGTCATCCACCGTCTGGGCAGGGAGATCAACGACGAGCGCTCCGTCTACTACTGGGCGTGGAAGAACGACATCCCCGTCTTCTGCCCAGCGCTGACCGACGGCAGTCTCGGCGACATGCTGTACTTCCACACGTTCAAGTCGTCGCCCGAGCAGCTGCGCATCGACATTGTCGAGGACATTCGCAGGATCAACACCATCGCCGTCCGCGCAAAGCGGACAGGCATGATCGTCCTGGGGGGAGGCATCGTCAAGCATCACATCGCCAACGCCAACCTCATGCGCAACGGGGCCGAGAGCGCCGTCTACATCAACACGGCGCAGGAGTTTGACGGCAGTGACGCGGGCGCCCGGCCAGACGAGGCCGTCAGCTGGGGGAAGATCAAGCTGGACGGGGACAGTGTCAAGGTCTATGCCGAGGCGACGGTCGTGTTTCCACTCATTGTAGCCGCAACGTTTGCCAGAGTGCCCAAGACGGGAGAGGAATCATGATGGAGCAGCGTTGGTGGCTGTGGATGCAGGGGAGGGGAAGGGCCCACCTACTACTACTACTACTACTACTGTCCGCGCTAGTCCCAAGGCGGCGTTAGCGAGACTTCAGCCTAGCCTGGCGCGCATCTCTCGCAATCGATAAGACGCCAACGCTGAGCTCCAGCATGACGATGGGACTATGCGCGGCAGCCTGAGACGATGAGTCAAAGGGGAATGGATATAGGGAGGGATAGTGGGTGGCTATGAAAGGGCGGACGTGTGCTCTGCCAGCTCTGCCTTCAGAAAGCGGAATAGCGCAGCGCGGGGGCCCGGACAGCTGATACCTAGCTTTACCGCCTCATTCTGTGCTCCCTCTACATGCATCATGGTGCCGAATGCTGGTAGGCTGCCACCGGATAACATAACACAAGCCTTAAGCCCAGCACGCCCGTACCTGGGCCTTGGTTGTGCATTTCTTGTCTCTTCCACCACGTCGTTTCACGCCCTGGGACGTCCATCTTGTTCTTTGTCATTAACTATCCAGCGATAACGCTGCCAGCGCGCGTCTTTCCAAGAGCTCAACAGCAATAGCAGCAGCTGTAGCCGACGACCCTGCAGCCTCGTGCATATATCCACAGCCTCCTCTCACTTAGCATCTACCTTCTTGTACTTTTACCTCCATCACATGCGCCTCCCCCCACAACGCAGCCATGAGTGTCAGCGTGGAGCAACCACTGCACTTTAGCCAACAGCCATCCTCGCCCTCCTTCTCGAGCCCTCCGCAGTCGCCAAACCACCTGCTCCATGCGCAGGCTGCTGCTTCTCCCCCGACTCCGCCGTCACCGCCATCACCGCCAGCCGACGTAGACATGAGCTCCTCTGTAACCACATTCCCCCCTCCCAGCCAGCGGCACGACCGGGAGGATGCAGAGATGCAGGATGGCCTAGGTTTGACAAACGGACATGCAGAGGAAACCCCAACGCCTCCCAGCAATCACGAGCCAACAGCCACCTCCGTCGCCGTCGAGGTTGCAGCGGTAGACAACGACGACGACGCAATGGACACAGCACCCGACGTTGACTCCGAGCTGCTGCTCGCGAATAGCTCACTCACTCCAAATGATGCCTCTATCATTACGCCAACCTCGCCAACCTCGCCTGCCGCGAATGGAGATACTCAAGTGGAGCCTGGCAGTGTCGAGCCAGCTCCGCCAGCAGCACATGTAGATGACTCGGTAAGTCAACGACAGCATAATGCATGTACCCAGGACAGCTGCTAAAGTGTAAACAGACACAGACAGAAAATGTCCCCCCAATCGACCCTCCTCCACCCACCGATCCCAACCTACAGCCTCCACCGCCCCCACCGCCCGCCGAACCCGCTCGTTCCGATTCCGACTCCTCAGACGACGACGATGGCGTTCAGCCATGGCACCCCATACAAGAAGACACTTCGTCGCCCGACGAGGCTGAGCTCAAGGAAATCGACGAGTCGACCGAGCATAGCGCCCTCGACCACGAGTACTGGGAGAGCAAGGCCTTTCTGCCCCTGGAGGAGCCAGAGTACACCGCCGGCGAGACTGGCCGTATTCATTGGTCCATTGATGCTTATAACGGGACACGCGAGAAGCCCAATCGAGACATTGTCATGAAGAGCGAGCCTGTTACGATTGGAGGACACCAGTGGCAGATCAAGTTCTATCCCAAGGGGAACGACTCCGACTATCTCAGTGTCTATCTCGAGTGTCTAAGTGTCGCAAAGCCAAAAAAGGATGGCACTGACGAGCAGAGTGAGGACGCGTCAAAAGAGGAAGACAAGGAAAACGACAAGGAAGAGCCCAAAGAGGAGGATGCCATGGTGACGGAGGAAAAGGCGCCAGCAGATACCTCGGCTCCACCTGCACCAGCTGAACCCCAACACGCGCCTCTGCCGCTTCTAGGGTCAAAGACCATCCCAAAGCGGAAATGTGTAGCTGCTCAGGTATCCGTCGTGCTGTACAACCCTACAGAGCCGCGTGTCAATTACTCAAGAACGGCTCTACATCGATTCTGTAACGGGTCGCCCGATTGGGGCTGGACGCGATTCCACGGACCCTATTACGACATTCCTCATCGCATGCGAGGCCAGCGCCAAGCCCTACTTCGAGACGATAAGCTTGCATTCACTGCGTACGTGCGCATCATCGAGGATGAAACCGACTGCCTATGGGAGCATCACAGCCGGGATAACCCCTGGGATAGCTTTGCCATGACTGGTTTGCAGGGTCTCATGCTCGGCGAAGACGCTAGTGCACCTGGCGGCAACATGATATCCGCAGTTGCATCATGGATGCTGTTCAAGCCTTTCCGCAATCTTCTGTACAGCATCCAAGTAGCCGACCCCGAGCAAGAGCCCTTTGTTCGCCCGAAACCTCTCGTCAGCGCTCTGCAAAAGGTTTTGTATATGCTCCGGACACAGGTAGATCCTGGTGCTGGCTCAGTCGCTTTGGACGACGTATTAGATGCTTTGGAGTGGTACGGTATTCACGAGCGCCTTGACAAGCTCGACGTCGTCGAAGTCTGGGAAGTTCTGCGCTCCAAACTCGAGGAAGAGCTGCAAGATACACCCCATTCTGCTACCTTGAAGGATATGTGTGGACCAAAGCGCGACTACAGCGTTGGCACCCCCAGCTATCGGGTGCCTGTGGTAGGCGTCGAAACTATGCAAGAGGCCGTCAACAAGTCAACAGATTTTACAGTGCCTGGGCAACCCCTTCCACAACTGCTAACCATAGAGTTGGAGCGCCAGGACTTTGACCTGAAGACCCGCTCGTATGTCAAGGTACTAAACAAAGTCACTTTGGACGATCGGATAGCCATTGGCAACACACCTTATACTCTGTATGGATTTGTGGTTCACAAGCAGACCCTTCAGTCGTACGTCTACCAGCCGATTCTCCGGCCAGAAGGCCCAGGATCTAGGTGGTATAGCTACTCGGATAGCAAAGACGAGAACCAGGTCAAGTGCCTAACCAAACGACAAGCACTCGATGCGCATCAAGGGAAGCCTGGCACGGGGCAGGTCATTGGTAACGATGCAGTGGCATACATTGCAATGTACGTACGCGATGATAGCGCACAGGCGGCTTTCGTGTCAGACGCCGAATCTGAGCAATGGGAGGTTCCCGAGTGGATCAAGAATGAGGTGGAGAAGAGCAAGACGTCGAATCTTCTGCCGCCAATGCCACCGCCACCCGTCGAAGGACCGGCAGCTGAAAGTGACAAGGATGAGCAACCAGAACAAGAGGCAAAGATGCTCGAGTTCCAGGTCGTTGATTCTAGAACCTTTGCACAACACGAAGGCCCCGGTTTGTTCGACGCCTATGATCCCAAGTGGCAAAGTGGAAACTCGGAACTGATCTTCACCATCACACTTTCCAGTAAAGACGGATGCAAAGAGATCCGCGAAAAGCTGGCCAGCGTCCTCAACGACATACAAGACCCGCGACAGGTTAAGTTTTGGTTTCTAGATCCCATTCGAGGATCTTCCGATCGTCCAAACCTTCTAGGAACGGGAAAGATAGAGTTCTCCAGCGGCGGCTACGATCGCTACACAGATATGAAAGACTGGAATCTGGAGGAGTCGCCCTTCCCGTGTCGGAGGATCTGGGTCCACGTTGTCGACTTCAATACCCTTCCTGAGCTCCCGGAAGTAGACGAAAAGAAAGAGGCAGAAATGACTGATGTTCCTCAAGCCCAGACTCCACTGGAGGACATCCAGGTGGAGGCGAGCAATGATACACCGCAGGCGAACCTGGCACCTCCAGAAGTACCGCCACAGTCGGAAGATACGCCGATGAGCGAACCTGAGGAGCCTGTAGCTGCGCCGGTTGCACCGCCTGCACTGGAACTTGAAGCCCCGCGCGTTACAGAGACCGTAGGGGTTGATGACGCTGCAATGGTGGAGACGGAGCCCACCCCAGCGTCTGACCCACTTCTGAGCACCCCAGCGCCCGGTGATACAGAGATGGGTGGCACTCAAGAGGACATACTGCCGCCACCGCCACCGCCAGTCGATATCCCGATTGAGCCTGTACAACCACCTCCACCAGATGAGATATATTTCTTCCTCAAAGTCTGGAATGCGGAGAAGCAGGCGCTCGAATCAAAAGGCTCACACATTGCCCTCAAATCTGTTAGGGTGGACGAGACTGTCGTGACACTTCTTGGCCTACCAATCGAAGACAAGAAAAAGATCGACATGTGGGAAGAGGAGGAACTGACGGCAACTCGCCTCATCAAGCATCGTCGCACATTTTCCCAAGTTGACCTGCATAACAGTGCCATCGTCATCGTAGCCCTACCTCTGACTGCCGACCAGCGCACCGCGCTCGCTACCCGCGCGGCTTTTGCTGATCCTCAATCGTACCTTGGATTCCGCGCCTTTGCCCGCAACTTTCCGCATAAACTCAACGGTCACTTCACCTACAGCTATTTCTCCTCGCAACACTTCAAAGGCGAAGTGAAGAACGGCCAGCGCCACGGCCACGGCAACATGATCTACCACTCTGGTGCCACCTATTCGGGTTCATTCCGCCTCGGCCAGCGCCACGGACACGGCCTCTACACGTTTCAAAACGGAGACACATATGACGGCGACTGGGTCGACAACCAGCAGCACGGCAGTGGCACGTTTGTCGAAGCCGCGACTGGCAATACGTACGTTGGCGGTTGGAAGCAGGATAAAAAGTTTGGCGAGGGTGTGACGCATTGGAAGAATGCGCAAGAGGCGGAGCGCATGTGTCGCATTTGCTGGGATGAGCCGGCTGAGGCTGCCTTCTATGACTGTGGGCATGTCGTCGCGTGCTTGACTTGTGCGCGGGAGGTGCAGAGTTGCCCGGTATGTCGGAAGAGGGTCCTGAGTGCCATGAAGCTTTACTACGTTGCGTAGTTTGAGATTGTTATGAGCATGGAGGAGGAAAGAGGAGTTTTAGAGGGACTGGAAGGGAGGTGGATTCTGGATGACGATGCAATTTGCAAATCGGCATATAAGGGGAGTATGGGTAGGCGTTGCGGCCATTGGCGCCTCGCTGTCTTTTTTTTCTTTTTACCCTTTCTTCTTATACCTATAATCCCTTTAGCTGGATTCAAGAAAGTGACAATGGCGTTTACTTTGTAATTTTGCTTTACTTTTCCGTCCCTCCTTAGCATGGCGCTCAAGGTGTCCTTTTCTGTTCTTGTCTGTGTCTGTCTGTTCGACGACCACGACCACGACGAACGAAGCCCTCAAACTGTAACTTACTTGAATCTCACTTTACTTCTTCCTCTACACCTTTTGGGTCTTTGTTTTGATCGGTTTACTTGGCTTGTACTACTATTCCGTTCTAACGATTTGGAGTTTAGTGCATCAAATCAATATCTGGTATCGTCCACGCTTACTTGGCCGGTTTTTTGCACTTCATGCTGGTGAAGGCGCCGTAGAAACCGGGGATTGGCCCAAACATGAAAGTGTGGGGGTTCGGTCGTTGCACTGCAATCTTTAGCGTCAAGGACCGTCCTGTCATGCCCTTGTTGCTTAGACGGGGTTTCTCAGCCTCGTTGCTGTGACCAGTTCTAATGAACCTACCTTTGACGGACCCATGCACTACAATTTCTACTACTATCGACGAGCCGTCGTTAGCCTTCTAACAGCGTTAGTGATGATAGTGTCCAGTTCACATACTTGGCTCTAGCCTGTCCGAGTGCATCTTTCCATAGTATGTCACGCAGTGGTCTTCGGCCCATCTATATAGAGTATAAGCTACCATACAACCTCTCCTCTCTAGCTTAGCACAACACGATACGATTCCACATCATCTATATCCGATCCAGTGACACGACTTGTACGTCGGTGCTGCTTGAATGTGTGTCGCATCCCCGCGTGCACAGCGTTGCAGAGCGCCGTTGGAGCCGAGAGGATTGCCGTCGTTTAGTCGCGCCTTGGACTAGCATCCTTCGCGCTCGCGAGACGTGCGACTCGGTTGCTGATGTCCTTGGCATTCCGCTCGAGCGGTAACGTGGTTGCTGGTCAAAGAAAATCTACCATACGCAGAGTCCACCGTTATCCACAATACATTCGAAGCCAACGCAGAAACTTCGGTTGGGAAGTCTTTGATTCGATTGTTATCGCGTTCAGAAGAAGAGAAAGAAGCGGACAGATTGTAGCCTAGACACTTCTAGACCTACGGCTTACACCCGGGTAATACCATAATGAAGAGAAGAGGATCATGGACCGAGCAAGGTGGTATCAAGAGGGGACATTTGACAGAGGAAAAGCGAAATTTTCTCCCATTTCTTCTCGGAGGAACCGAATCTAATAAGATGCCAAGCTCATGCGTCGCCTAGCCCGGCTCGGCAATGTGTATATCCACAGTCTGGTTGAAAGCTTACTGATGCTTATTCGGCTCCTTGAGGAAGATGATTTGGATGCCTCGTTGGCGGTAGTGAGCATGCAGAGGCCGCTCGCTGGTTCTGCCCAGGAACTCCCCACAAACCCAACAGAACATGGCGATTAGAGGATAAACTAACATCATACGGATAAATCAAACCGAAAGAAAACCTACTCAGTGCCCTACAAGAGCTATGGGCGCACATGGTACTTACCGTCGTCTGAGAGTGGACCCTGAAAGGTGGGACCCTGAAGGCGTGGTGGGCTCATCTGATAATTTGACAGGGAGCGGATCAAGAAAAGTCGGCCTCTCCACTTCCCACGCTACAATTTCCAGCCAGTCGCAAAAGATTCGGCATCTCAATCCGGTGCTAGTTCCCCGACTCGATGTGTTACTGGGGCGTAAGTTGACCTTTACGGGCAGTCGGCTGCAACCAAGCTTGAAATTTCCGCATCCGGAACAAAATTTCGTTTTCAGCGGGGCGCTTGGCACCCAGCATCTAATCTGATCGATCACCTATATATTACCCAACGCTGATCCACTGTCATGCGGTGTTGTTTCAGCATTCCAGCCCTTGTTCTCCTTGTGCTACCTTCATCATGTCAGACATTGACGAGAAAGCTGCCCCTTCACCGGCTCACAGCGACCATGAGCTGGACAAGAGACCCCTTATTGGCGCCAAATCCCCTGGTGTCGTTAGGATCGAGGCCATTTCAGCGCACATCACCTTTACGAACCGCATCTTCATCTTCTTTGGACTCTTTCTGATCGCCTATGCTTATGGATTGGATGGCACCCTACGCGGCACGTACCAGCCCCAGGCTACGTCGAGTATGGGCGGCCATTCGCTCTTGGCCACCATCAATGTCGTCCGCGCTGTCATCGCCGCTGTTGCTCAGGTAAATTATACATCTCAAGTTGGGTTTGACGATCTCAAGTGCTGATTCAATCCTTGTAGCCTACCGCTGCCAAAATTGCCGACGTCTTCGGCCGTGTCGAGTTGACCCTCGTCTCCGTCTTCTTCTACGTCCTCGGCACGATCATCGAGGCGTCCTGCAAGAACATTTCTGGATTCGCGGCTGGTGCCGTCTTCTACCAGATTGGATACACCTCCATTATTCTGCTCGTCGAAGTCATCATTGCTGATACTACTTCCCTGAGATCACGTCTCTTTTTCTCCTACATCCCAGCAGCCCCGTTCATCATCAACACCTGGGTCAGCGGCGATGTCGCATCCGCAGTCCTAGGCACCACAACGTGGCGCTGGGGAATTGGCATGTGGTGCCTCATCTACCCGATCTGCGCTCTTCCGCTCATTATCTCACTTTGGTGGGTAGGTCGAAAGGCAAGGAAGTCGGGTGCTCTTGCCGCTTACAAATCTCCGTATCAGCGTCTTGGTGGCCTTCAACTTGTCAAGTCGATCTTCTGGCAAATGGACGTTCCAGGCATTGTCCTCGTTATCATCGTATTTGGTTTCATCCTTACGCCGCTTACAATCGCTGGAGGTGTTGTTACTCATTGGGGTAAAGCCAAGATTATCGCTCCGCTCGTCATTGGCATCTGCTTCATCCCAGTTTGGGTTTTATGGGAAATGAAGGCTCCTCACCCCATGGTTCCTTTCCATGTAAGTTACCATGCATTGCGCTGTACTAGTAGCAAGACGCTAACTCTCTCCAGCTTCTCAAGGACCGCGGCGTTTGGGGAGCACTTGGTATTGCGACCTTCTTGAACTTTGGTAAGCATCAACTCATCCTCGTCACACGGTCACAGCAACTAACGCCATGCAGCGTGGACATGCCAAGGAGATTATTTGTACTCCGTACTTATTGTCGCTTTCAACGAGAGCGTCAAGTCTGCGACGCGCATCTCATCGCTTTACAGCTTCTGTTCCGTCATCACTGGTCTCCTTCTCGGCCTAGTCGTTTATAAGGTCCGTCGCCTGAAACCTTTCATCCTCTTCGGTACCTGCCTCTTCATGGTCGCGTTCGGCCTCCTCATCCACTTCCGTGGCGGTGCCGCCAGAACCTCCCATTCCGGCATTATTGGTGCCCAAATCCTCCTCGGTATCGCAGGTGGCTTCTTCCCCTACGTTACCCAAGCAAGCATCCAGGCCGCAACCAAGCACGAGCACGTTGCCGCCATTACAGGAATCTACCTCGCATGCTACAACGTTGGCTCTGCGCTGGGAAACACCGTCTCAGGTGCCATATGGTCACAAGTCGTCCCTCGCGAACTCGAGCGCCGGCTCGGCAATGCTACCCTGGCCACTCAGTGGTACGGCAGCCCGCTTGATCTCGTCCCACTGTTCCCACCTGGTACAGCGGAGCGCGACGCTGCCATAGACGCCTATAAGCACGTGCAGCGCTTACTATGTATCACTGGTATCTGCCTGTGCGCGGTGCTCATTTTCTTTGCATGCTTCCTCAGGGATCCCAGGCTTCCGGACACTCAATCCCTGCCCGAAGCCGAGACCGGTCTTCAAAGCACTGCTGAAGTATCCAATGGCGAGAAGAAGAAGAGGACCTTGGCTTTCTGGAAGAAGTAAGCCATGTTTTTGTTTGATATCCCAAAAACTGTTCGAACTTTTATGAACGGGTTGACGAATATTGAAACGGAGTCTGGGCTATCTAGAGCTTTCGTACGATGTTTGGAAACTCTTTTTTCCTTCACGGTAACGATAGAAGGAAGCTATGACATATACGTCGCAATGATGTTGCAAGCTGTAAAGGTCTATGCTATAGCAAAAAATAGGCCTAGTGCCTTTATATACTCTGGGTTATTGCGCCCTCTTATTCTTAATTTCTAATACACTGTACGATTACTATCAATCTTCTCTATTGGCTTTTGACCGCATCATGTTGAGCTATCTGACTTCCTTGCCATGGCTGCGAGTGCTTAACTATCTGATCTATATCGTGCCGGGCTAGTACCATGGTTAAATCCGAGCACGCTAAAACTGCAACAACACCCTTCGCCCTCTACGCATCTTCTCCCTCTTCATCCCAAGAATATTATCTCGACGTGTCATTACGCCGTACAAGCACTCGTGACCTTGCATGGCCGGCCTCCTGTCACAAATCCCGATGTTTCAGCAGCAAAACGAGGTTATCGTGGATCGGCGCAACTGTTTCAAGACCTAATAAACAACCTTTGCGAGTTGGTAGACCCGCGATCATCGCGGTGTAGCATCATGGGTTCTTTTTCAGAATCTGTTCCATTATTCGCCCATTTTTCGAGAGTGGCTCGCCGGTCTCTCTCAACTTCGGATAGATTACCCTACTTTGTTGTTTTACCCTCCATATCAGATGATAAAACAATTCTCTCAAATGGTTATAATCATGGCCATCTCATGTTCTGCTCCTACTTCAAGCAGCCGGTCACCGCTTTTCCATCTTACGCGAGAAGCTGGTCTTTCGGCAACGTGCTCCCAACGCGTGCACTTTCACCGACAACCCCAGTCCTTCACTCTGCTGCGGATTCACCTATGCGTGCCTAGTACCGCGACAGCAACCTTTGGAGAGCTCCCAATCTCACCAGGCTGGCGCACGGACTTCGCTCGCGACTTATTATCGGGACGGCTGCCTGCATCTCGATCAAATCCGCACCACTTACCCACAACAACAGCAACCCAAACATTCGACCAGCGAAAATGGCGCCCTCAACTCGCCTGCAATCTCAGCCAGAAATGCGTGTCAATTACGCTCCAACTACTAGTCGAACAGGTACACGCGGTAATCCCATTCTTCTCGAAGAGGCGCCCCCCGAAGCAGCTGCTCGTCGCCCGCTAGGCCAGATTATCCAGACTGCCCGAAAATCCACGACCCGCGTTGAGGCGGGGGGCGTTGCCAAACCCAAAGCGGAGCCAAAGAAAGCTGTCGAGGTAGCGTCAAAGTCCAAGGGAAGGGAACACGCGCGGCAAGAGTGCTCTATCTGCGCTACAACGAAGACCATGGCTCGATCTTTCAAGGTGCTAAAGATTGAGGATGCATGTGAGCACCTTCAGGGCATCTGCTACGCGTGTATCCAGAAGATGCTCAAAGCCAAGGTGGTGGAGCGACAGCTCACCGAGGCAGAGCTAGCTTGCCCGTTTCCGGACTGCGATCATGTTCTTGACTACATGGCATTGAAGATGACGGTCACCAAGGCGGCATTCGAACAGTAACACTCACCCCCGTCCGCTCTCATGTGCGACCAAAAAGACTGATAACGTAAACAGATACGACACAGCCCTCGCCAAGCGTCTTCTCTCCGCCGATGAATTCTACATCGCCTGTCTCTCCCGGAAGTGCGGCATGTACTTTTCCATAGAGGGTTGCAAGAGCGATAAGCGCGGCAAGCAGAAGATCGCATGCCCATATTGCGAGTACGAAATTTGTTCCAAGTGCAACCGTCCCTGGAAGTCTCATGGTACCGATGGCTGCAACAAGGCCAAGGAGAAGGAAGACAGGGCATCTGAGAAGATGGTCAAGGCTCTTGGTGCGAAGCCTTGCCCACAATGTGGCTTGAACATTCAGAAGAATGGTGGCTGTGACCACATGACTTGTAAGTTTTCTAACAGTCCGACTCTTAAGACTTGAAAGCGTGGAGATATGCTAACTGTACGCTCACAGGTCAGCACTGCCGCCAACACTTCTGCTGGCAATGCCTAGTCCTATATTCCAACAACTTCCAACATGCCGAAGGCTGCATTCATGGCCAGGTCAACGTCGCCGCCGACCCTAGGAACTGGGCTGCCGATAACCTCAACGGCGCGCAGATGAACCATCTGATCCACCAGGCTCATGCACGCCTCACCAACATGGCTCTGAACCCACCAGCACCTCTTCCCGCTCCTGCGTGGGCCCCTGCCGCGCCGCCTCAGCCAGTCCCTGATGCTGCTCCTCGCCTAAACATGCAACTGCTGCGTGCTCAAGCTCCGATCCAATTCCACGCTAGAATCTTCAACTTCTTGGGATTTGGGGGTGGTAATGGCGGCGACCTATGAGTAAGGTGACGGTAGGATTTGTCCCAAGTTCCCTTGGCTTGGATTCGAATCATTACGCTGAGTAGGATAAGTTGCTAGGGAGCGATGAAAGGATATGACGATTTCACGGCGTGCGGCCTTCATGAATTTTGATAATGACGATATTGGTCCATGTAGCTACTAAAGATGATTACACTGTACGAAGACGTGTCTGTCATATAGTATAGTAGTACATGAGATACCTAGACCTTCTCTAGAAATAAATGCCTTAATTTCTGCATTTTTGACAATGTGCTTCGTGATTTTTGGTAGCTATGACCAATGCACATGTCTCCTTTGGGTAACCGACGATGTCGGTCACTTCCGCAGACAGGCGCAGGTGAGAAAGTACATTACAAACGGAAAGAAACCGCGATGCAGGCAACAGAAAGAACTCATCAACACCAATTGCACAAACAAGGCGAAGCTCTTCCAAGGTTCGGACTTCTCCACTCAACTCGCCACGCATTGCTATTAGCGCTCAGCATCACTACGTAACAATATTATTTTACCATCACAGCTTCCACTATGAGCGAAGGAGACTGGATAGATATCGAGAGTCCAGACTCACAAGCGATTGAATCCTCATCCGGCGAAGAAGCAAGGGGACTGTACAAAACATATAAGTGCATCCGGTGATCTTCCGCTAATTGTCTCTTAGTTCGGAGGCCAATACAGTCAGCACTCAAGATGACCAAGATCCCGAGATTCCTCTGGACCACGAAGATGACGAGACTCTACGATTGGATCGTAAACTGTCGGCCGAGGAAGTTCAACGCAAAGCGTATGTCATGACCTCACTCACTGCTTGATCTACGCCCATCATTTATCTACACCGTCTCTAACACATCTCCAGATCCAGCCCTGAAATCCATCACAGCGCCTTGTCCTCCGGTTTCGACCACATGACGCTCGACGAACTCGAAACCAATAAGCCGCCCGCTCCGCCCCCCGAACCAACACACCAAGCCCACTTCCCTAACCAATATCAACACGAACCAGGACACGGCCGCCACTCCTCGCCCCAAGCCCCCGAATTACCAGATTTGCACGCTGCCGGCGACGAGCGCAGCCTCAACGTGCGCAACCCCGTCTCCGACACATGGCGCGAAGACGCCTACGAAAAGCTGGACCGCAGCGAGGTAACGAAGATGAGCGACATCGAGGCGAAGCAGGATCGGTGGAAGTGCGAGAACTGCGGGGTGCTCAATGAGAGGGGAAGGGGAGTGTGTAAGAAATGTGGGGACCGGATTGAGATGCCTGAACATCGGTATCATGCGAGGGGGGATGGGGAGATGGGCGTAAGGTGGAATGCGATGGGGATACAGTTTCATAAGCTTAAGCGAGATGGGAAAAAAAAGGTCGAGGAGGGAGAGTCGGCGACGGGAGAGAGAGCTGAGGAGGCATGACGAGGGTTGTTGGGAAGGCGATGCAGGGGAAAGTAACGCAACGATGAGATGTTCAGACGGGGACTGTTGATAGAAAGGAGACCTGGAGATATTGATAGTCTGTAGATCAGAACTGTCGGAAAACTGAATGGGCCTGGCGTTCTCGTTAGCATTATCACAGCATCGACATGTTATATACATGGCGTATCTTACATATATACTAATTCCCTCTGACAATTCACCACGTACCCAGCCACCACGCCAACCCCCCCAGCCAGACTGTAACACCCAAATGCCATGCGACTCCCCACGCCATCGCAAACAGAAACTTGGGACTAAACACCGTCCAAATGAAGAGATGTTGTCTCAACATCGTACAAGCCGCCATAACACTCGCCAACATCACCCCCGTCCACAGCGTCAGCAGTGCCACATGTCTTCCCCACTCCTTGCCATCCCTCCTGCTCTCCCTACCCTTCTCTTCCTTCCTCGCCAGCTCATTGAGATACTCGCGTTCCTTCGTAACCCAGTCTGCAACGTGGAGCTCAGAAGTTTCAATGTAGCGTTGTGTTGAGCCGTGAGAACCTAGCAGGAGGATGCTGGCGAGGGACCAGTACACGGGGCCTGCCCAGTTTGAGAGAAAAACGAGGGCGCCGACAGCAGTGATGTTGTAGCCTGAGATGCCATTGTAAGAGTTTGACAGATCGATGGAGGATATGGCGTTGCTGTTGCCGAGGGCGAAGAAGGAGGTTTGCGTTAGGAGGAGAGTTGTTGTTGTAACGGCTGCAGGGGAGAGGTTGAGAAGTCCTAGTTATGGCGTGAGCAAAATAGAAGATTCGGGGCTAAGGTGAATGGTGACTTACTCAGGAAGAAGAATTGAAGTCTGAAGAGGAGGTAGAGGGGTATATTCTGGGCTTTCGTTTGGGTGATGAGGAAAAGTGCCATCAGGTCGAAGAATGCCACCGCGAGAGCTGCGTTTCGTTAGCCACTTCTTTTCTATCGTTGATCGACGACACTTACCGCCGTTACCTTCTTGCCTCGTCGCTACTCTCTTCTTAGATCGTTGCCACTCTGCAAAAGCAATCCAAATTCCACTGAGCGCGAGGCCGCCAAACACCATCTGGGCGAGGCCAACGATATTTAGCGTCTCCACCGACTCCATCATGCCTCCCGTAATACCAGCTGTCAGCTCTGGAGCATCTTTGGCCGTGAACGCAAGCTTGAAAACAAACGCTGTTCCGACAAGGGGCACTACAGCAACTGTTCCAATCATACGGTGATGATCCGTCGACTCAATCTCAGCATTCTGAACGTTCTGCAGATTGTCAAAGGTCGCGATAGAGCGAGCAACATGTCTTGCGATGCGAATCATAATATCCATATACGTAGCGCCGATGAGAGCCCATAGCACGAAGGAGTTATTGCCGTGGAAGATACCACTATTGACAATGTCATCAGCTCCTGCGTACTTCTGCCCGGTCTGATTCCACCGTCTGATCACTCGGTGTACGACAAGCGCCATGATCGCAGGATGGAAGAACCATTTGTCGTACCACTCCTTTCGCAGGTTGCTGAGGAGTAGAAGAATGTACCAGCCTGAGGTAGCCCAGTACCAGAAGTTGTGCTCTTCCTCGACATAGGAAGATGCAAACATAAGGGCCGCATAGAGAACTAGCGTAAGCGCGTAGTAGATGCCAGCTGGCGTGATAGGCCTGAACGAAGGAAGTGTAAGGTAGCTTAGAGCGCAGACGAGAATAGCTAGACCAGTTCCAAAGACCAGACGGGAGACGTCGTAGTTGGATGCGGTACTAGACATGGTGTCTTGAGCCTCGTGCATGAACTGAAATCGTTAGCGTAACTTCGAAGTAATAGACTCTCGTCCTAGGTTTTAGAAGACAGAGCCAATGAACTCACTTTGTAGATGTGCTCAAATTCATCGTTGTTTCCCATTGCGTTCACGACTCGCTGCCAGAGACATGCCAAGTTCTGACCATCCGTGAGATGCGTCTCCTATGGCCTGTCAGCATTATCACACTTCCGAGATCCCATAAATACGCACATTTAGTGAGAAGCACTCGAACCCCATTTCGCCAGTCTCCAACACCTCATCAGTAAACTTCAAGCTCGTATACGTCGCTTCAACGATCTTCTTCATCTGCTTCGCATTCCGATAAAGGAGCTGGACCCGATTTGGCGCTACCTGCTATTAGACTCCCTTTCATAGTAGATCCTAGCAAACTTACTTTCATCCCAAAAGCCCAGGAACTCCGTCAAAAATACACCCAAGTTATTTCTAGGTACCGGGAACCCCAACAAACCCGCGAGCGTAGGCGCAATATCACTTTGCTCGACCATCCTATAGTATTCAAACTCGTTTCCTCTTGATGGCTTGATTGGACTTTCTTTTATTGTATTTTGGGTGACTTTGGAGAGCTTAGGACTCATGAACACAAGTGCAGGAGACGTCTCGCCGGGCGACGATCCGCCGTGATTACCCCCTTCGTTCATGCCGTGATCGCCGCAGAGAACGAAAAGGGTATTGGCGAGGTGATCTTCGTTTTCGATTGCGGAGTAGATGCTCTGGACCATGTTGTCCATTTCTTTCTGTTTGGGGATCATATTGGGGCTACTACGGCGTTAGCATCGGTTCTTATTTCATATACGGGCAACATGGGGAGGAACGTAACCTCTTAGGACCAGCCTTATGCCCGATATGATCCAATCCCAGGTAATGCATAATCATGGCATTCCAATCACTGTTTAGCAACTCGTTGGGAACATGCCTTGTCACATTATTATCAACCTCCGTGAAGTCCTGCGCATATCGATCAACATTGTATTACTCCTATGTACAGCAGGATGAAAAGCACTGACCGAAACAAAGAAACTGCTCGTCCCATCTGCCCGATCGAAGAAGTCTGGAAACAGCTTCAACCACGTATCATCGCCGTACATGACCAGCTTCCCCTTTCCATTGTCAAACTGCTTTGCTTTGATTTGCGCAAGCCATGTGTCTTGCGTTGCGAGCGTGGAAGTAGTGTCCGACTCCGCAAAGTTCAGGATCACATCTAAGAACGAGGGTATGGAGCCTGTTGTTATAGCTTTCACGCGTGGCATGGTGATGGTAGGGGAGGTAGCGTGGGCGGTGAATGGCAGGGCGGTGCCGTCTCGGATGAGGCTGGATAGTTGTCAGCTTCAGCACGTTCCAATACGCGTCTTTTTTCTAGAGTGTATATACCTCTGTACAAAGCTCATCCCGCTCTCTTCGCCGAAGACGAAATCGCTCCTCAGTGCATCAACAACCATGAAAATCACCTTGTCGAATGGTGCGGCAGGTGGTTTCTGCCAATCATCTCCTAGTATGCGATTCCATCCTAGCTCTTCATACTCTGCCAGCCCTGGCATGAAAGGCTTATACGGGAAGAAGCCTGTCGCGAAGATCAGGATCGAGACTGGGATCAGGAGGTTCGCGACCGTGAGGAGGACCGTTCGGGTAGCCATTGTGACTTTAGACCTGCTGATTAGTTCAAAAGAGAATTTCAAGAAGTCTCATAACGGGCGACATTCAGAGCAGACAGATGAACTGGGCGACCAGCATGGTGTTGCTTGAGACGCGACGTGGAAGCTTCAAACCCAGGGTCCAAACTCTAACCCCGAACTCGCTTAGGGGACGCCATCAGAGCCAATGACATCACTACACTCGACTTCACCTCGGGACATCAGCTTAGCTTTGCATACGAACAACCCATGTTTCAGACACCATTGGGATCTAGGACTTTGACAGGAACGTGTCTATTTAAACACCCAGCCGTTAGACAGCTTCTACCACGCTACCGCGCTATTCGCTCCACCACCAGGACTACAGAAAGCAGACAAGCTTTCGAAAAGCAGCTTGTCGGATATATCCAGCATCAGGACACGTCACGCATCCCAAGTTCGCCATCTCCAAACTGTAGCATGGCTTTCCTTCTCCCAGGTCTGCGCCGAGGGCTCATGCTCTCCACCCCGTTGATCCTCAGCACTCCCCTCCTTGCCTACCAATACCGACACCGTCAGCGCATCCTTTGTGACGGGCCTGATCCATTGACTAAGATCACCAAAGATCTCACAAAAAACTACACTTCAGAAGCTCAAACACCTATCCTCACTCAATCTGGTGCTGCGAATCCGCGAGCGATACGGCAGATCAGTATGGGGAGTATTCTGGGGGTGATTGGGGGGTTGGGGATAAGTGTTTTTAGTAAGCCGTTGGCAATCCTGATTGGGTTGGGCATATTCGTTCTACAGGTACGTTTGACTTTTAATCTGCCTCAGCTGTCTGGACTTGAGCATAGAAAGGAAACTTGGAGTCAAAGGCTCAACCCCGTCGTGTAATCATGACTTATTCCATGGGATATCTGTGGGTCTACGCAAGACATGCTCGTCACCGTCTATGTTAAGAGAAGAAGAAAATTATGAAAGACGCGAGAGACACATTGAGAGCATGCTGACAGGATGTAGTTCGTCGAATCCCGAGGCATCCACATCATCCCCTATTCGTATATGCAACGCCGATTTAAATCCACGAACGTTCGTTCCCTAGTACGGGACAATGTAGCCTTCAAGCTATCCTTCGGATTGACCTTCGCGCTGGCAGCGTTTGCGGAGTTTTGATTTATGACATGGATGGCGTGGACAGGCCTGGGCGAAAAGAGGCCATCCTTGCCCTTGGATCGAACCATGTCTTACTAAGAAAGGCCGTGAGCGAAGCGGTGGCCAGGGTGCATAGTCTGTGGTTGTAACTGCATCTGTAGTTGTTTGCAGCTCTGCCAGAAGGGCCTCACAGTCTCTTTGAAAGCCGGAGAGCTCTTCGCATTCCTGTACTTAAGTCAGTACCATATTCAAGAGCATACGAAAAGAAAGCACTAAGCATACCTCATCATGCTCTCTATGAACTTCCGCACCATGTCCTGTACTCCCTGGTCTTGCTGAAAGCGCTGTAGAAGTGGCTGTCCCGCCAATGAGCTTATGATGTATTGTTTCGCGTGCTTATCTGCTTTGATCACAGCCCGCAATGGCGCGACAATGTTATCCAGACTCGTATAGTCCACTTCTCCACAGATGTTTGAGATCAAAGCGAGTGTAACAGCAGGTCCAAAGTGATTGACGACATCTTGAGCCGTAGCCTGATGCTGACTGTGTGTAGTCCCTGCCAACTCAAAAATGTCTTTCCACAGCTTAGCTGCTGCGCGTTTCGGTAGCACTTCGGGAGAGCTAATTGATTCGACCGTGAAGCCGAACATACCGGCGAGGTTTTCAGGAGACTCTTGTGTCAGAGTCCGAGGGTTCGTGTTGAAAAGACCTTGGATCAACTCGATGCAGCCGACTGAGATTTCTGGATCGTTGCGCGGATGCTGAAGGGCTCGCATAATGCTGAGATCGTGATGTAAGAGGCGCTGTGCTTGCTGCATGAAGTCATCTGGCGGGCTATGTTTGTGTGACGAGATCCAGCAACACGCTGTCTCTAATACATAAGGCAACCTCGGTGTCTGTACGGTAGTTTTGGTGATGAAATCAACAGCTGCAGACGGCGGAAGAACAAAGGGACCAGCTATAGTCTCCTTGAAACCAGTGCGCAGAACACTGCAGGCTGCTTCGATGATCTCGTCGTTCGCCGGGAATACTTGTGTCAAGTAGTTGACGAAGTTGATGACTTGATTCTGAATCTCCTTGCCTGGGCCTTGCACCCAGAACAGCGAATCTTCCTTGTCGGATTCTAGATCAACAACTTCTTCGTCCAGAGCTTGAAGTGCCCTCCCGATGCTTGACAGACACTTCAAGGTGGTCAGGGCAAGCACCTGCCCCTGTTCTGCATCTTTCCCTTCTTTGGTAACGCTAATCGCTTGCATAGCGTCCTGCGCAACGTACTGAAAAAGCTGGCGCACGCCAACAAGCTGCTTCTCTTCCGTATCCGAGGCTTGTACTATAGCGGCTATGCCTTTAAGTACCATGCTCTTGGTGAATTCCTCCGCAGTTGGATAGGTGAGAAACTGATCGTACATCTGGAAGAAGGATGGTAACTCCTCGAGAAGAGATTTTCGACACTCGGAACATAGCGAAGCAAAAGACTTTGCGGCACTATGGGCTGTTGTTGGATGAGCTAGGGCTGTAAGAAGGAAAGGTAGGACCTGAGGTAAGAAGCGAGGGTTTCGGAGGAAGAAGTGGTTCAATGCTGCAACCGCCTCCACAGCGGTCCTTCGGGTAATCGCAGGTATACTAGCATTGCTAGAAATTGTCGAGAACAGCGGCCGCTCAAATAAGCGAATGAGGCGCTCGTCGACTTTGTCGGTGAAAGCGTCCGCAATGGATATCAAACCAAAAAGCCCAGCTTCGAGCTCCAGCCAATTGCTTGCTTCTAGCCCCCGTAAAGCAAAGTCAATGAACTGGTCTGTCAGAACATCTCGTAGTGACTCATACGCCTCTAGAATGATGTCACGAACGTCGATACGAAACACTTTGAACGTCTTCCTCGAGTCCGTGTCCCAGGAGTCCGTGACTTTAGAAGTAGGGTAGATGATCTTCTGTACGAGCTCAGAGATCGCCTGAAACACGTTCGATTTTGCACTGTCCATCCACGCGGGTAGCTCGTCTCCTGTGACATAAAGGAACGTCTCCTCAGAGACCAAGCTTACAAAGTTACTCCAAAATTCCAGCACGACTGGAGCAACTTCATCCTCAACGCCCACAGGTTCAGGGTATTTGAGAAGATCGTGGAGAAAAGCTATACCATACGTTAGCAATGCTCTAATTATTGCCACGGATATTGAAGCGAATTTAATGCTTACACAAGACTTGCTGGTGATGCGGATTATCTGGGTCTTTGTAAAGGACTTTAGACTCCAATAGAATGGCGCCATAAGCGACGATGATTCTAGCGAGCGAGACGGTTTCGGCATTTGAATTCTGCAGAATCTCAAGGCCCCAAGGGCCGGAGATCGCTGACCACAGCATTTCCCGGTGCTTCGGTTCGAAAAAGGCAGGGTTCCTCTCAAGCACCTCAGCGACGAGTTCCATGGCATCCTCGACTTGATATTCTAAGCAGGTCAAAGCAAGTTCGTTCACCGATTGAAGATACCGTAATTTCTCTGGTACCTCCTTGAATTCGGATTGGGCATAGAATATCCATCCCTATATTGGTTAGCGTTGTACTGTTTCTGCTGGCATTGCACCTACCGTGAAACACCTCAAAGCCGACACGCAAATCTTCTCCCCTAGCTGGACAGACTGGTCATAGTTGGAATCATTGCTCGGTATTGAAAGCCACTTGATGCCGCGACCAAAAGACACCTGAAGCAGCACCTCAATAGTTTCCACATTTGCAATCATACGCTCATGCGGCTTCCGACTAGATGGGGTTAGGACATGAATCAAGGTTTCGTCACTTGGAAAGGCTTACTTTGAAGGGTTGGACGGTTTCCTAGCCTCATCTGCCAAGTTCATAGCAAAATCCAACAGAACGAGAAGTTGCTCGTCGGATAGCTGAGGGAAGAGATCCCATGCTGATGGGTGGCTGTCTGAGGCATCGTCTAGGACGGGCTGCTGGAGAGCAAAGGAGACAGCTAGACTCTTGATACATTGAGTCCACACTGAAATCGGCTTATTGAAGTACTGCGCTAATGTTGAGCTCACTTTTCTCGTTGCTATAGATGAAGAGGGTCGCGAGATGAGATGATGCTGAGTGAGTGGTTAGCCTCATTTCGAACTACTTGCGACAATGCATACAATGAGTGTTGATAGGAGCTGTTCAGAGTCGTCCTCTGACAATTCAGCGCTATAAATCAGTCAGAAACACGATAGTAAGAGTCTGTAGGCAACGACTTACGAATCGGCGTTGAGCTTCACGGTCAAGGTCAGAGCTCCAAAAAACCGGACCTGTTCGTTATCGCTTTTTAGAAGGGCATCTGCGATCTCCCATCCCTGAGGCGAACGTTGTAGGACTCGTAGCGTAGCTTCCGTCTGGGCGATCTTCTTTCCCTGACCGGGTTCGTACAAAGACTTTACTAGGCGTTCGATCTCCTCAAAGCCCAATGGCAACCCCGGCGCTGGTTGAACTCCATTGTCAGCCATGATGTAAGTTGACCCTATGTCTCTAGCATCAGTGATTGAATGTATTAGGGCCCGTGGTTTCTTGTTGCAGGCAATGGCCGAGGTCAGGTCATCCTTGAATTTCAAGCGGAAACCATAGGCGGCGATAGCGGCGAGGTGAAAGGAGCAAAACAGATTGACTAGAGGCGATGAAAAAAGCTGCTAATGCTTGAGAAAGGAAAGGGCAGGTGCGCAATGACAACTTACAGACAGATTTTGGGAGTAGCCTTGAAACGCACGCGATGAAAAGATCACTAGAAGTGCAGCATGCTCTTCAGGCCTACTACTGACTGTGTTGAGAGGTAGGTTTGGTTCGACTTTAGAGTGCAAAGCCTCTGGATCAGGCTCCAGATAGGTGATCTGGTACGGGGCGCTGGCGGTATGTTTTCACCTGCGCATGCGGTTGGTCAATGTCGAACGCAAGCCGCCACAGATTGATCCCATGTTTTGCACTTTTTGGGCGCGAGAGACTGAGCAATTAAGTAGATCTGGGATTCGGCCGCTAGATGGTGTCTCGATGCTTGGAGAAGTCTTGTTCGGAGTGCTTGGCAGGGCTGGTTGCTTTTTTGAAAGTGGCGCTTAGCCCGCCACAGGCGCAAGCTGTAGCTGTAGGCGGGGTGTCTTGCATGTACCGACTGTAGGCGCAACCAACTCCCAGTCCTATATGTTTCTCCCGCGCTTTCTACAACGCACCCACGCGAAAGCTGCAGCCTATGTAACCAGCAAACCTCCGTTCCCCGCCACCAGAGCTCTGCACGTCTCTGCTACACTCCGTGCTATCGACATGGCCAGGGTTGACACCACCGAGCGGCTCGCGGAGCTCCGCAAGCTCATGAAGGAGCGCAACGTCGATGTTTACAGTATAGCAACCGGAGACATTTATAGACAATGGTCTAACCAAAAATAGTGGTGCCTTCCGAGGACAGTCATCAGAGCGAATATATTGCACCATGTGACGCCCGACGAGGTTAGATCTCCTGCTGCCTCGAGCTATCACACCCCTTACATATTGACATCTCCCAGCCTACATCAGTGGGTTCACAGGCTCAGCCGGCTATGCAGTCATTACACACGAGAAGGCGGCTCTCTCAACCGACGGACGATACTTCAACCAGGCCGAGAAGCAGCTGGACAGCAACTGGGAGCTGCTGAAGCAGGGCATTCAAGATGTTCCCACCATACAAGAATGGACAGCGGACCAGGCCGAGGGCGGCAAGGTTGTAGGCGTAGATCCAACCGTGGTCACAGCAGCGGACGCACGGAAGCTCGCCGAGAAGATCAAGAAGAAGGGTGGAGAATACAAAGCGGTCGACGAGAACCTGGTGGACCTAGTGTGGGGGGACAAGAGACCAGCTCGCCCAAGTGAAAAAGTCATTGTGCAGCCAATGCAGTATTCAGGCAAGAGCTTCGAAGACAAGATCGAGGATCTGCGGAAAGAGCTGGACAAAAAGAAGAGCTTGGGCTTCATTGTGTCCATGCTCGACGAGATAGCCTGGCTATTCAACGTCCGTGGCAATGAGTAGGAGCTGACTCCGTAACAACAGAACACCACTAACAGTCTACAGTATCCCGTATAACCCCGTCTTCTTTTCTTATGCTGTCATCACTCCATCGACCGCCACCCTCTACGTCGACGATAGTAAACTCCCGGAGAACGTCAAGAACCACCTGAGCGACAAAGTCACGATACGACCATACGCAGCCATTTTCGAAGATGTCACGGCGTTGAGCAAAGAGGCGTTCGAGGCAAATGAGAAGTCGGATGTACAGAAGAAGTTCCTGACCTCAAACCGAGCTTCGTGGGCTCTGAGCAAAGCTCTTGGTGGGGAGGACAAGGTCGAAGAGCAGCGTAGTCCGATTGGGGACGCCAAAGCAGTGAAGAATGAGGTGGAGCTCGAGGGCATGCGGCAGTGTCACATCCGCGATGGAGCAGCTCTGACCGAGTACTTTGCCTGGCTCGAAGACCAATTAATCAACAAGCAGGCCACGCTTGATGAGGTAGATGGTGCTGATAAGTTGGAAGAAATTCGCAAGAAGCATGATCGATTCATGGGCTTGTCATTTGATACCATCTCGTCAACGGGACCCAATGCTGCTGTTATTCATTACAAACCTGAAAAGGGCGAATGCGCTGTCATTGACCCTAAGGCGATCTATCTTTGCGATTCCGGGGCGCAGTACCACGATGGCACCACAGACACGACACGGACATTGCATTTCACTGAGCCAACAGAGATGGAACGGAAAGCTTACACGCTCGTACTCAAGGGCAATATGGCTCTCGAGCGAGTCAAGTTCCCCAAAGGCACCACGGGATTTGCACTAGACGCACTGGCTCGTCAGTTCCTGTGGGCGGAGGGTCTCGACTATCGACACGGCACTGGACACGGTGTTGGGTCTTTCCTCAACGTGCACGAGGGCCCCATCGGCATCGGGACACGCGTGCAGTACTCTGAGGTGTCCCTCGCGGTTGGCAATGTCGTATCAGATGAGCCTGGTTATTATGAGGACGGCAAATTCGGCATACGCATAGAAAACATGGTCATGGTCAAGGAGGTCGAAACAAAGCACAAGTTCGGAGACAAGCCTTACCTCGGGTTCGAGCATGTCACCATGACTCCTCACTGCAGGAACCTGGTAGATCTGAGTCTGCTCACGGAAGATGAGAAGAAGTTCATCAACGAGTACCACCAGGAAGTCTTCCAGAAGACGAGCGATTATTTCAAAAACGACTCGCTCACCTTGGAGTGGCTGAAGCGTGAGACAGCGCCATACTGAAAAGGCGGTATGCTTCGGTACCACAGAAGATAAGGGCATTGCTTTTGTTGCATTCCCGCATAGGAAGGTAGTTCTTGGGCTTGCACGGGCCTACTTCTAGCCTTTGGCAGCTTATACAGCATAGTGCGCGGCGTTTTCAGTGTCAGCGTCAAGCGTCGTTTCGTCTCCGCTATCGCAATATGATCCAATACCGTTCCTCTTACTAAGCACGGCAATTCACGGTTCTTGCACCTGATCGTTTGCGCGTTGATTGGCGCTTATGCATCGCATGTGTCAAAGGGCGCGTTGCGGAGCTTGGAACACCATGGTTATGGCGGGGCAGCGCCGGGGCACTCTCCGGCGACTGGGGTAACTACGAATAGTAAAAATGTTTTGCGATGCCGCGGGCCTTGTGTAAAGGTCATACATTTTTGAGTCACACGCTTAAGATATTTTCGTTCGATCTTTGTCACTCACTTACTTCTACCTTCTCACTTCCACATTGCCTACGACCTACCTCACTTTAATTCACTCTACATTAATCTCAGGAACCGTCAAACGACACAATGGCGACTGAGCTCCCCACCACGAATGGCCACAGCGCTCAAGATGGCGAGACGAGCTTCGCTGTCAAGGCGGGTTTGGCGAGGATGTTGAAGGGTGGTGTTATCATGGACGTCGTCAATGCTGAGCAGGTACATTCCTCTCCCCAAAAATCTCACTTCTTCACGGACGCTCGGGCAATTGCTGATATGGGTGCAGGCGCGCATAGCAGAGGAAGCCGGCGCATCAGCTGTCATGGCCCTCGAGCGAGTTCCCGCCGACATCCGCGTACAGGGCGGCGTAGCCAGAATGAGTGACCCCAAGATGATTAGGGAGATCATGGATACAGTCACTATCCCCGTCATGGCGAAGGCACGCATTGGACACTTCGTTGAGTGCCAGGTACGCTTCCAACTCTTCGCCCTCTACAAACCCCCATATCCTCAGTTTCAGTCCTCTTGCTTCCCCAATTGTGGACTCGAAACTAATGGCATGTCTCTTATAGATCCTCGAAGCCCTAGGCGTAGACTACATCGACGAATCCGAGGTCCTCACCCCGGCCGACGCGATATACCATGTGTCCAAACACCCTTTCCGCGTCCCCTTCGTCTGCGGCTGCCGCGGTCTCGGCGAAGCACTCCGCCGCATCAGCGAAGGCGCAGCCATGATCCGCACAAAGGGCGAAGCAGGAACTGGCGACGTGATCGAAGCCGTGCGCCATATGCGTACCGTCAACAGCGAAATCGCGCGTGCCAAGTCCATGAGCGAGGAGGAGCTGCGCGTGTACGCGAAGGAGCTGCAGGTGGATTACGATTTATTGAAGGAGACAGCGAAGTTGGGCCGCTTGCCTGTGGTCAACTTTGCGGCGGGTGGTGTAGCGACTCCGGCGGATGCGGCGCTCATGATGCAGCTTGGATGTGATGGAGTGTTTGTGGGATCGGGCATCTTCAAGTCTGGAGATGCGGCCAAGCGCGCAAAGGCTATTGTGCAGGCTGTAACGCACTACAAGGACGCCAAGGTGCTCATGGAGGTCTCAATGGACCTGGGCGAGGCCATGGTCGGCATCAACTGTAGCACCATGGGCGAGGAGGAGAAGTTGGCCAAGCGCGGCTGGTGAGCTATTGGGTCAACGAGGCTGTGGAGGTACTGGTCGTTACAGGCGTTCAAGGCGTGTGCTATGGCGCGGCCGTCAAGAAGCATATGCATACTAGAGTAGCTCAATTCAACACGATACTCGGGAGTTAATTTTACTTCACGAGATAGACATTATCAATTTTTGCTCCGACTGAACAGTACTCGTGACACCTAAGATCGGCGCCAAGGAATCGACACGTGGAATGTGCTGACAACATGCGAAACAGTAGACAACAGGGACATCAGCAGACCAGTAGAGCTTTGATGAATTTTTACATTTTGTATAGAGTGACTATCTGAGTGCACATACAGAGTGCGACCCACGGTTAGCCGTACTCAGTGCTGATGCCACTATGGGTACTACCCAGTCAGGCTACCTTCATAACCGTATCATCATGCGGAACCGAAGAATAGACTGTGAAAACTCCGGAACACCGCAGGCGGAACCCACCGCCGATATGTGCAGCAGGCCCGTCATAAACCATATCACGCAAGCACTATGCGAGTTTTGGGAGAGGGGGGATGGGCGGGGTATCGTCTAGCGGTCCTCGGCCCACTCGTTCTCGCGGCGGATCTGCTCCTCCTCCTCGGGAGTGAAGTCATTCTGGATATTGAATGTCTTGCGGATCTCATCGGGAGACTTGCCCTTGATCATGTTGGCGACCGTCTTGCAGCCGACGTCGAGGAGGGCCTTGATGTCAAGGTAGTTGGCTGCCTGTAGCATAGTTAGCGTTTGCTCGTACTCACGAGCGGGGAGGAAAGGTTGAACGTACGAGAATGATCTCGAACAGCATCTCCTGGTCTACCTGCATGAACTTCTGATCCCACTCTTCGATGTCAGTGGACTTCTTCCGCGAGTCTGAGTCGTCGTCCTGGGAAGAGGGCGCGTCGGCGCGGTGGTGCTCGCACCACTCGAGCACCTTCTTCATGACGGCCTCGTTGACCTGTACGACATTGTCAGCAGCTGTTCGACGACGTGGATGGAAACAAGTGAGTACGCACGTTAGGAATGGGAATGGCCTCCTCGTTGTCACCGCCCAAGTCCTCAAGCAAGTTCTTGATCAAGATGGAGCGTTCCGCGATGTCACGGTCAGTCTCCAAGTTGGCACCATCGGAGGTGGTGACCTTGATCTTCTTCTCAGAAGCAGCAGCGGTAGCCATGATAGCTTAGTGTGTGTGTGGTGTTGATGGTGCCGATGATGGAGGTGGGGTAAGTTGTGCGGACGAGCGGTTGCGCAGCTGTCGAGGGTTGTGAGTTGCGTACGGGAGTTTGGTGGAGAAGAAGAGAAAAGGTAGCGGAGGGCGCGGATTTATACGTATAGGGCACAGGTGATGATTCCACGTTTGCGCGTTGGTGAAGGTGACTGAGAAAGGCAGCAACCACGGCACTGCCCGCTAATTAACAAGAGGCGAAGCTCAGGCCCCAGCCCAGCCAAACGGGGAAGTGTAGTAAGGCTGCAACCTTGGATCACCAAACCGACTCTTTGTCACGCGGAACCTGGCTTGTAACAATTACCTTTCACTTCTGCATATGTCTTTGTTTCTGTAAAGTACTGTAAAGAATCGTGGATTCTACGTTGCGTTTGGTTTGCGTGCCAGCAGACTGTGCCGCTGTTATGTGCGCCCTCCTCAGCCATGGAATCGTGGAGCCCGCCCATTTCAACCAATGCGAAGGATGACTCCGCGTCCCAGGGGAGCCCCGGTAGAATTTACTAGGGTCAGAACGGTATGTCACTGGAGGTTACCTCGAGTTGAATAATGTCTCCTACGAGAACCCGTCGGGAGCTGCCCTTCTTGCTTCTGCAGTATGGAACCGTCTACCAGTCGCAGCAAACAGCTCTGACGCACTCCACCTAGTCAACTTCTGCATAAAAGTGTATGTTTCTGGCAAATGCAGTGGGACATTCTGCTTCAGACTCCATGTACCTTTATTACCCCATTCCATCCCCACCCCCAAAGCAAGCGTAGGTGCTGCACCTGGGCATTGCCTAAGATATCTGTCACGTGCTACCGTATCCTTCGTCTGCTTTCGGATCCGGCGTCGTGCAGCCTAAACTCCGAGTCCGAGACACATCGTTGGTTGCAGCCACATTGCATCTGACCAAGCCGGCTGATAAACATTCACTCGCCCTGTATTTGTACTTCTTTCAGGATGTAGCTCAGAGTTCTCTGGGGCACGACTCGTCGAAGAAGCTGCACAAATCATTTCCCCCTCACCAACAGCCCCTTAGCCGCGTGGTTCGAGTGACTGGTGCCTGACGACCCCGTTAGCCAGGCCTAAAGTCTCGCTCGCCCTGTTTTTTTTTTGTATTCGCCTCTGCGTCAACAAATATGCGCCTGCGCAGCCCTTTTAAACTCTCAAACGGACAACTACGTCTGTAGGCAATATGTGGAGGAGAGTTTACTTTCTGCTCATCTTGGTGCGCGTCTACTTTGCGCTGTCGCCGAGCTATCTACACCCCGACGAGAACTTCCAGGGGCCCGAGGTCATAGCTGGTAGGTTTGCAAAATGCGCTTTCATCTGCGATAGCCTCTGACAAACTGGCAGGACGCGTCTTTTCTTACCCCGTCCACGAAACATGGGAATTCACCTCCGCGAACCCGATCCGCAGCACCTTTCCGCTATGGCTTGCATACGGCTGGCCCATGTTTCTCCTGCGCTGGCTCTGGGAGGGATTCGGATACGACGTCTCACCCTCGGTGGTCTACTGGGCACTACGTGTGCTCATGCTCACGCTGAGCGTGGTCATGGAGGACTGGGCCGTACATGAGCTGGTGGCATCGCCGCGCGCGCGACGTGTCGCTGTCCCGCTGGTCGCGTCTTCGTACGTGACGTGGACGTTTCAGACGCATACATTTTCAAACAGCCTCGAGACACTATTAGTGAGCTGGAGTCTAGTGCTAATACAGAGGATTGTCGAAGACAAGGTACGTCCAATTCGGGCTACTTCCCGATCTGGAACAGGCATGCAGCTAACACAAGGCGCAGAAACGGTCCGGCATCTTGGCCTCCTCCATTCTGGGCTTCATGGTCGTGGTGGGAGTCTTCAATCGCATTACATTTCCTGCGTTCCTGCTTCTTCCTGCGTTCAGCCTGCTACCGCATTTCTGGCGAAAGTGGGTACATCCCGTCGCCCTCAAGCTCGAAGCTCCACTGACACATCTAGGCCATTTTCGTTCGTCTTCCTCGCTATATTTGCTCTCTTCACAGCTTTTGTCGCTATCTGCGTGGACACGGCATCTTATACCCCTGGTGAATTCGCCTTATCAAAAGTCTTCAGCAATGCGGTCATTACTCCTCTTAACAACTTCCTCTACAACTCCGATGCTGCGAACCTCGCTCATCACGGCATACACCCACGGTACCAGCATTTCTTGGTCAATCTCCCTCAACTACTCGGACCGGCCTTTCCACTCCTATTTCTTCTACGCCGAGCACATATTAGTCCAATCCTAGTCTCGGCATTGTCAGGCATCGCGTTGCTTAGCATCTTCCCGCACCAGGAAGCTCGGTTCTTAACCCCGGCGGTACCACTCATTCTCTCTTCGATTCGTCTCCCGAGTCCTCGTTTCAAGAATGCCTGGATATACACATGGGTCATCTTTAACCTTGCCCTTGGCACGTTGATGGGTGTCTATCACCAGGGTGGCATTGTTCCTGTGCAGATGCACATCGCCAAAACAAATGAGATGGTCACGCACACGTTCTGGTGGAAGACGTACAGCCCACCAACCTGGCTTCTGAACGGCAAAAACGAAGAATTGACAACAGTGGATTTGATGGGTATCCCAGGCGACCAGATGCTCGAGAAGGTCAAACAAGTCCTACCACCATGTAGAACACGGAAACCCCCCCAGATTGAAGGTCGGGGCGCGATCTATCTAGTCGCACCACGCTCAGCATACTTCCTGAAGCCCTATATGGATCCCAACCAGCAAGAAGAGATCTCGCTCGACGAAATATGGAGCTACAGACAACATCTCAATCTAGATGACATGGATTTCGCAGACGATGGCTTCCTGGAGACCATAGGCCGAGTAGTCGGCGACCGAGGACTCGTCGTTTGGCGCGTAACTCGGAACTGCTGGGCAACGCCCCAGTAAAGATTTCCTTAGGGTTTAATAAAACGGCGTTTCTAGAAGGAAATGGTATCAAGCGGGGGCTTTCTGGTTGAATTGTAGCGCGAGCTGGATCTTGGGTTTTCCTTACTTTGACTTCTGCACAAGATACCCTATTTGACTTGACTGTCTTGATAACAATTCTCAAATGTCTTCTACTACTACTACTATATTTGTGTTCTGTATCTAATCTCTTGAGTGCATATGCTTCGTATAATAACAAAACACTCCTATCTTACATCTTCTTCACCACCCCGACCACTATACCTAAAGTACATGTCACAAAGCCCCACCAAGCACCCGTACAACCCACATACTCAACCTCACACTCAGGCTAACCTTCCGATCCGGCTTTTCAAACTCACTCTCATCAACCGGCTTAGCATACTCGCCCAGCCACTTGACCTCCTCACCCAGCCTCCTCCTCAAGCCAGGGTCAGATGTAGCAATAATAACATTAGCCTCCAAATCGAGCTCATACGAGCGCTTAGTGTAATTACTCGAGCCCACAACGGTAAGACTTGGATCCTCAATCCCCGCAGACTCCAGCGGCGCAGCGGAAGGGAAAGTTACCCATAACCCCTTGGCATGATACGTCCACCCTTCTTTCTGGCCGACAACGCCTTTTTGCCACTCACGTAGCTGTATGCGCTCTGACAAGCCTTCGTGGCGGACTTTGCGCAGGAACATCTTGGCGAGGTGGGTATAGGCGTCTGGGAGCATGCCGCTCACGCCCTTTGAGCCGAAGAAGCCGTTTGCGTGGGGGTGCGCGGTTAAGACTGTGCCTGAGGTGGGTTTTGTGGATAAGAGGAGGCGGCGGAAGGAAGGTGTCATGTTGAAGTAGCCCGCTGTGAAGGTCCAGGTGCAGGGGTGGAAGGGCGGTTTTGCCATGGAGGTTAGGATCTGTGTGAGGGCGGGGAGTTCGGTGGAGGTTTTGAGGAGGGGGACGAGGGAGAGGACGGGATACACTGTTGTCGTTGTTGAGGTGTTTGGTACGGCGGCGGGAGAGTTCGACGGTGTGAGTAGGTGGGAGAGGTGCTTTGACGCGGCGTCTCTGAACTTGCTTGGAGCTTCAAGCGGTGATGGTGCGGGGTTCGATGAAGGCCATGTCATGCTGTAGCCGCCGCTTCCTGGGGCGTCTGAAGGTTGAAAGTCAAAGGACAGATTTGCGACGCCAGAGTGGACTTTGTGGAAATAGTCTGTGAGGTCCTTGCTTCGGAAGAGATGGTAGCGATCTTGTCGGTTGCTGAAGTAGTCTGAGCTCAGATTCGCGCCCGACATGATTATCTCATCGTCTACCCCGTACAGCTTCATGTGCTGCAAGCCCCAGCCCTCGTTGATCCTCTTTGGCACATATTTCTTGCGGAGCCCGGTGAGGTTGGGCGTGTGGTACATGCGTACCTCGACTCTGTCTGGGCCGAACTCGCTGATTAGGGGTGTTAGTAGGGATGCGGATGAAGGGTCCGGGGTTTCTCTGGTTCCACGGAGCGCATCAGTGAGGAAGGAGACGTGAAGGTTGGGGTTGGCGAGGAGGGCGGCACGGATTGTAGATATTAGCTCATGTTCGGTTTTGCCGATGTACAGGGTGCTGAGATAAATGCGGCGTTGGGCTTTTGAGATTTTGTCCTGGAGGATGTTAGTGCTGGATATGGATCGATTGCGAGTGAGGTAGCTCACATCTCTCCATGCGCGTTGTGGGATCATAATTGGGAAATTGAGATTAGGGTTATAAGAGCCAAGTTGAGTTGAAAGTAGGAAATAACCGACTAAAATACGACAAGTAGATGCCAAGAGATATTATACACAATCAAGAGAGCGAAAGAGATCACAAGTAGGTCTTTTCAATGGAAAGAAGAGAGATGAAAGGCCAGAATGGGAAGGAAAAGAGGTATATGAAGTATATAAACCAACCTTTAGCGTCTCGTAGAATTCTGTAGGTGTCTGGATGATCTGAATCTGCTCTGGGTGCATCTCAAATTTTGGCGCAATCCTGTCCAGATCCGTTGTTATTGTAGCGAGCATTGAAGCCTGACTCTGCGGCGTTGAAGAAGCCATCTGTGGAGCGTTTGCAGTCGAGTATCTCCGAGTCGCTCTCATAGGACGGCTCGCGATTTGAAAACTCCTCCGTCCAGCGATCTTTGGCGCTTGTACTCTTAGCAAGCCTCGTATGATCATATTGATTACTGACGTGGTGCGAAGAGCGATTGATTGTGTCCTAACTCCTGAAGTTTTGATGGTATTCGGAGACAGGGTTCGGTGACTAGCGTGCAATAAGGAAGGCGCGCTTTCAGTGCTTGGCATCGTCAAGCATGAGCAGCAACATCCGAAGAAACGACCACGGAACAAACACGCCGCCATGTCGACCATCATGAGGACGCTGCGCAATCTGCGCAGGGTCGGCTTAAAGGTCAGTATCTTCCACAGCTCCCATTGGACTCACATCGCTGACTGACCTCTTTCTATAGGACTTTGGCCACCAGATGCAGGTACGCTCGCATCCCGACGCTCTCGTTACCTCTGGCAGAAACGACTGACCGAAGCCAATCGCGCAATAGAATATCGGTACGCTTGATCGGTCATAAATTGCGAAACCATTAGAGAGGCTGATGAGGGACAGGTGATACCAAAGCTGGAACCTTCATTGCCATGGACAAGTACGGCAACAAGTACTTTGAGAACTTGGCGGAAGAGCTTCCTTGTGAGCAGCGCATTTGAATTTTCGACAATAGAGATTGACTGTTGTAGTGAGAACGCGCTGGGTAGACTACAAGGACCATGAATTTGACCCGTTCGTCCTCCGCGCTTTCGATATGACCTTGAGCTAACCTTTCCACAGCTCCCAGATTGAGCCCGGATGGTATGGATCCCTGCCTCTCGACCCTTTGCTTTATTCGCCCTGAGAAGCCTCGGCTGACCACAAATGTAGGCACGCCTGGATGTCGTATATGGTCGACAAGCCTCCGTCGGAAGACAAGCTCTTGCAGCGACAGATTCGTGTCTGGGAGCCGAAGGAGCACAGGCCGACGCTCACATGGAGCCGATCCGGCTATAAGCCTTATAGCACGTATGTTTTGCGATCTCGCAGTATGGGGAAAACGACGCTAACAGTTGACAGAGTGAAGAGCAAGTACGCGGCATGGACGCCTGTGGTGAAGGCACGACAGTAAACAGCAGATTGTTCTCTTTGTCAAGCATTGTATATATCGAGAATCAAACCAGTATCCAATTGACCCTAAATCTCCTCGTCTACGTGCATCTGTACTTGGGATCGGTCATCGTGATTATAACCTAGGCGACCAAACTCAACCCTGAGTGACTAGGGTCTTCACCAAAGGCATAAATTATCTTGGAGCTGGACGATCATCTATACTAGCGTTCAAGACAAGCACTCAACTTTTTGCGAAACCGGCGAGAAGAGCAGGGGAAGCGGGGATGTGCCCAAGTAACGCCTGCAGTACTATCTGCAGCCATGTGGGCCATGTCTGTACATCAGGTGGAAGGGATTGCTAATCGGTGTGGCATTGCAGGGTAGAGTGCAGCTTGTGCACGAAGACGAGAACAGCATGCCTGTTAGCTGTATGCAGTCGTCATAGTTGGTCCTTTTGAGATGCGCACCTGAAGCTCCCTGGGATCCCGCAATAACCTTTGGAATCCAGCAAGGTTGCAATTCGGCTAACCAAAAGGGAATGGTTCTGCGTTCCCCGTTGCCATCGACTCTGTTTGCAGTGCTAGACACGAACGCCGACCCGGTTTCGCTTCTCAAACGTGCCAGCATATGTCTGTACGAGGAGTATGACAGCTGCAGTGCGACTCTGTGTCCATGTTGACTCGTGATCGCTGCAGTGCTGGTGGGTGCGTGCATGTGCCCGGCACGACGACTCTGCCCGAAGGCCAACAGCCCCACGAGTCAAAGCGGTGAGGGTGCGGAGTGGATCGCTGCGAGGAGTCGCGAACGATCCGCTGCTCGGCCCTTCTCTCAACACTATATTAAGAGTTGCGTCGACTTGGGAGGAGCTGCTATACATTCTGCATACTGTTCTTGCTGAACTGAATTCTTCGAGACGTTACACCAAGTCATCCATCTGATAAGATGGACAGACCAGCCTAAAAGCGGCAGTAACTCGGATCTTTGCCGAATTACATCACACCTCTGCCGTAGGATTGGTGCAAGCGCGTGAACAGTGCGGAAAAGGCTCTTGCGCTCTGCCAGAGGCAAAGTGGGACCATCTTGCCTGCCATTAAACAAGGTCAATCCGGCAGTCGTCGCCCGCAGACCTCTACGGACCTGTGTTTACTCCAGCGCATCTTCAGAATTCGGGCGCGCCTTCCGACTTTCCCCAATGCGATACCAATTGCGACTATAACAAGTGCGAGTGCGAGTGCGACAACACGCTCCGAGAGTGGCGGGTGACCATGTTCGCCCAATGCAAAGGCCCAATATGGGGCCTGGATGATTTCTCTAGGTGTTTTGAGCAAGAGTACGTACTCTTTCTGGTTGCGCTGTGCGACAATGCCGCTCTGATGGGAGAGAGTAGTCATAACGGCCTTAGAAGCCGACAAACCAGCTACGAGATGATGGGAAAAGGCCATGGGCTAACAACGTCGCAGCTATCTCCAAACACTCTTCCCTCTCATCGTATGCGGAGTATCCGTCGTTTATCTGCTGATCCAACTCTACTTTTCCGCCACCGCGACCACCTACCACCACGCCTATAGTGCGCTGGACGATGCACGCAATGTCTGGTCATTTCGAAGTCCTCATTACGATGGCGATGCTACGGATAGCGACTCGGAAGATGAATTCGATCGTAACGAGGAGGCCGCGCTCCATCCGACTACCAGCCGCCAGACCATGTCCACCGTCGCCATAAACAGGCCTCGCGGCCAAGTTACAGTCGTGGTACTGGAAGAGGCAGCTGTTTTGGCGCAGCTGGGCCTACATATCGCTGTCTTAATGACCAATGCATGGGGAAAACACGGCACAACTGCAGCTATTGCTAGCATCGCGGTTTGGACATATATTGCGACTCTGGCTTCGCTTCGCCTACTTTTCTCAAGCACAAGCAAATTCTCTTTCCCGGCGCTGTGGTATCATACTGCAGTCATCTACGGCTTCCAATGGCTCCTTGCGGTCCTGCTCTTCCGATCAGCCATCATCCATCCTCGGTCCGGCCTTCATCAAAAGCTGATGATCAGCGACTTCGCCCTCACTTCGCTTCTCTTCCTCATCTCATTGTGTTCTAGGAAGGGCAACAAAACGGTAGAGCTAGAATACGAAGGTGAAATTGCTCCAGCTAGGGAACCCATAGCTAGTGTTCTCTCGCTCGCTACATTCAGCTGGGTCGATTCAATCGTTTGGACAGGTTACAAGAAGACCTACGAGCTCGCCGATGTATGGAATCTGGCGCCAAAGGACAAGGCAGCAGCCGTCATTGCAAATTACCGACAAGTGAAGAAGACATCGAGCTTGGCTTTTCATCTTCTGAGATACTTCAAACGCGGTCTCATCATTCAAGCCAGCTGGGCTGCCATGTCTGGGTTTCTCACATTCGCTCCTACGATGCTTCTGAAAGCCATATTAGAATACGTCGAGGCGCCTCAGCGCACACCAGTGAACGCCGCTTGGTTCTATGTCATTCTTCTGTTCGTTTCAGGGTTCCTGTCTGCGCTTGCTGATGGCCAGGCGTTGTGGGTGGGCCGAAAGATCTGTGTACGGCTGCGCGCTGTCGTTATTGGCGAGATTTATGCTAAAGCGCTTAAGCGAAAAGCTGCTGCTGGAACGGACAAGGTTCTTGGCGAAGAGAAAAAGAAACAAGAACAGAGTGAAGAGCCAAAGGGACTGAAGCGCATCATGACTTTTGGCAAAAAGAAGAAGAATGCTGTTGAGGCTCCTAAGCCAAAGGACACGCCAAAGCCCGAATCTACTGCCCAAGTAACCACTGGTGCGATTATCAATTTGATGGCCGTAGACGCGTTCAAGGTCAGCGAGATCTGCGCCTATCTACACTTTCTGTGGGCGAACACTCCAGTCCAAGTAGTGGTAGCCGTCTACCTACTTTACCGTATCCTTGGATATAGCTCTATTGCCGGTATTGGCATGATGATTGTCTTGCTCCCGATCAACATGTACGTTGCGAGACAGTTCGCCAAGATCCAGATACTCATCCTTGCGGCTACCGATGCTCGAATCCATGCTACAAACGAGGTTCTCACCAACATCCGAATCATCAAGTTCTTTGCGTGGGAACAGCGCTTCATCGGCCTCGTCAACGAGAAGCGGTACACCGAGCTCAAACATCTTCGTCGGAGATACATTCTATGGGCCGTAGCAGCTACAATCTGGTCTGGGTCTCCTGTCTTGATTACGTTCCTCTCCTTCTTAGTCTACACGAAGGTAGAACACAAGGCTTTGATTCCGTCAGTTGCCTTCACTGCACTATCACTATTCTCGATCCTTAGGATCCCGCTGGACCAACTCGCTGATATGATAGCGCACGTCCAAGAATCGAAGGTATCGGTCGATCGTATTGAGGAGTATCTCAGCGAGCCGGAAACAGACAAGTATTCGCAGCTCATCACACGCAAGAAAGGCGATGATGGTCAACCGATCATTGGTTTCGAAAACGGTACTTTCAGCTGGGGTGGAAAAGACATGACTAACAAGACAGCCGCGGACGCTTTCAAGCTTATGGACCTCAATCTGAAGTTCTCGGTCGGAAAGCTCAACGTTGTTGTCGGCCCTACGGGATCCGGGAAGACCTCGCTACTTATGGGACTGTTAGGAGAGATGACTAAGCTCAAGGGCGACGTGTACCTACCCGGAGGAGGCAGCCGTGAGGACCTCAAACCGGACTTAGACACAGGGCTCACGGAGAGCGTTGCATATTGCGCTCAGCAAGCTTGGCTGATCAACGGCACCATCAAGGACAATATCGTTTTCGCGAGCGACTGGGACCAGAAACGATACGACGAAGTCATCGTCGCCTGTTCATTGCAGCGAGATATTGAGATTCTCGATGCCGGTGATGAAACAATTGTCGGAGAGAAAGGTGTAACACTCTCTGGTGGCCAAAAGCAGCGCATCTCTCTCGCTCGCGCTCTATACAGCAAGGCACGCCATGTTCTTCTTGACGATGTTCTGAGCGCTGTGGACTCTCATACCGCCAAGTGGATCTTCGACTATGCACTACACGGGCAACTCATGGCAGATCGAACCTGTATCCTCGTCACGCATAATGTTGGCCTCTGTCTACCGCACGCTGACTTTGTCGTCGCACTTGAGAACGGCAAAGTGGCTGCGCAAGGTACAGCGACCGAGGTCATCAGATCTGGCAAGCTTACAGAAGACCTCACCAAGTCCCGACCTGCTTCTCGCGGGACATCGAAACCTCCCTCTCCGGTACCTGCTAATGTTGATGGCGAGGTGGCGGAAAGCGACACCAATGGAAATGCCGATGACCACCTGACCCACACGAAAGTTCCAAAGAAGACACCAGCCAGCAACAATCAAGAAGAAACCAAGGCTGAGGGCGGAGTGAAGCTGAGCATCATAACGATGTACCTCAAGGCTATGGGCCCGTGGTACTATTGGCTTGGCGCTACCATCGCCTTTGTTGCCGCTCAGATATCATCAATCTCTACGAATTTGTGGATTCGAACGTGGGCAAATGCATACGCGGACAAGGGCTACGCTGCCATGGAACACCACAATCATTCCCCTGTTACACATGCTCCCACACTGAGTGGCTTGGGCACGTGTATGACTAGTGGCACTTGCAGCTGGAACATCCCATTTTTTGCGAAACCGGAAGAGAAGGCGTACTCCTACAACAACATGCAAACAAGCTTCTACAAGGGGAACAACGACGTAGACTCCATCTACTTCCTTGGCGTATATGCTGTACTCGGACTGATCTTCATGTTCATCACGTTTCTTCGAGAAGGCTTCCTATTTGGTGGCTCCCTCGCTGCATCTCGACGCGTGCATGAACGTTTGATTCAGAAGGTGACGCATGCAAAGTTTCGATTCTTTGACCAGACTCCGCTTGGTCAGCTCATGAACAGGTTCTCTAAAGACATCGAAGCCATTGACCAAGAAGTTGCACCGGTCGCTATAGGTGTCGTCCATTGCCTGGCTTCTATCATAACCATTGTTATCCTCATCTCAGTCATCACGCCAGCCTTCCTAATCGCCGCTTCCGTCATCTCAGTGCTCTACTTCCTCATTGGCCGTCTTTACATTGACTCTTCCCGTGACCTCAAGCGTCTCGAATCTGTTCATCGAAGCCCGTTGTATCAACAATTCGGGGAGACTCTGACCGGTATGACAACGATTCGAGCATACGGCGATGAACGTCGCTTCATTCGTGAGAACTTGACAAAGGTCAATACTCAACATCGGCCCTTCATTTACCTCTGGGCTGCGAACAGATGGCTTGCATTCCGAGTGGATGTTGTTGGTGCGATGGTCGCTTTCTTTGCGGGAGCTTTCGTCATTCTCAGTGTAGGCAGGATCGATGCTGGCGCCGCCGGGCTTGCCCTCACCTACGCTGTTACCTTCACTGAGAACATCCTGTGGTTTGTCCGACTGTACTCTGCGAATGAACAGAACATGAACTCCGTCGAGCGTGTTAAGGAGTATCTCGACGTCGATCAGGAGGCACCGGCTGTCATACCGGAGACCCGGCCTCCTTCAAATTGGCCAAGCAGGGGCTCTGTCGAGTTTATCGGCTATAGTACACGCTACAGATCCGATTTTGACCTGGTTCTGAACAATCTAACTTTCAAGATCCTACCGGGCGAGAAAGTTGGTATCGTTGGTAGGACTGGTGCGGGCAAGAGTTCGATGGCGCTCGCATTATTCCGAGCGCTGGAGGCTGAGAAGGGCAAGATTCTAGTTGACGATGTCGATATCGGGTTGATTGGCCTGCAAGATCTGCGGGAGAATATCGTGATGGTACCGCAAGGTGAATAATCACTCTTTCGGATATTCGTCACATACATGCTAACATGAGCTAGATCCCACACTATTTTCAGGCACGATCCGAAGCAATCTTGACCCATTTTCTGTCTTCACGGACGAAGAAATTTTTACCGCCCTCCGTGAGGTCCATCTCATCTCACCGACCTCGCAGCCAGCGTCCGGCACTGCCACACCCACCGAGTCGGCCTCACCACCTCAGCCAATCGAGATTCCGAATCCTACGGCCGGTGCTGTCACAGCCGACGTAAACGCCAGCTACTCTGCGTCTACTGTGAATCCCGGCTCCATCCTGGCTAATCGCGATTGGCAGCGGGGCGAAGCCCAAGACGATACAATTGTGGTGATGCCTAACGGGCATCTTGCCTCCAATGATGAGATCGCAAAGGCCGCGATGGCAACCGACAACAAGAACCCATTCCGCAATCTCAACTCGCCTGTATCGGAATCGGGATCCAACCTTTCACAAGGTCAACGCCAGCTTCTTTGCCTCGCGCGAGCGTTGTTGAAGGCTCCGAAGGTGCTATTAATGGACGAAGCGACCGCATCCATTGACTATGCAACCGATTCAAAGATCCAAGAGACGATTCGCCTTATCAAGAACACAACAATCACGATTGCACATCGTCTCCAGACGATCATGGACTATGATAAAGTACTCGTTCTGGACAAGGGCGTCGTCATTGAGTACGGTGACCCGTACGAGCTGGTTCAAAAGGATAGCGGAAACTTCAGAGCCATGTGCGAAACCAGCGGCGAGCTGGAAGCCTTGACGAGTGCGGCAAAAGCGGCTCACAATGCTAGGAAAGCCACATATGCAGGCAGCGACTAGGGAGTGATGAGAGCACTAAGACTTTTTCTACTTGTAAGAGCGAGCGCACTTCCCAATGATGTTTTTAAACCCCCGAAAGAGGAAAGGGGATCAGTATGATCATAGACTGGGAGGAAATTAGTTATTCAAGATGTACTTCTAGAAGGTGGGAGGCTCTCGTGAGCGGCATTAGCATTTTCTTTTTTTTCCACATTTGTATGGAGTTGGCGGTGTTTTGCTGCCGGCTCATACTGTACGTATAGCGGTGTACCTGGGTAATGGCTATAAAGCGAGTGAGATGAGTAAAAAGCGAATTCATCACAAAGCTCGGTCTTTATCATTGTCGTGAATTTTATTTGTGTTGGGAAGTTCAATCGTTAGAGAAGGTTGAGGTGTTCTAAACTAACCTATCTACACTCTCTACGAACACATACCTATGTAAAATTTTGATCACCTCGAGGAGAGTGTATCGCTTCTAGCGACATGGACAAGGTCGAACCGAATACTTTGTCATCAGGAAGTAAGCTTAGGCGTACTACAACATTTAGTCAGATGACAAATTTAACTGATAGAACTGAAGTGAACTAGTTCCACATTGAGATGTTTTACAGACGCTCCTAAGTTGGACTGCGCATTCGTATTCATCGTTTGTATTACGATTCATTCGTCCAGCTGCCTCTTGTTACAATGTGTTTTCAGTGAATTCACCCTCTTTCTCACACCCTCTAATCCAATCTCCAATATCATTAGTGTACCTATCAAAAGCCTCCCTGTCCCACGCGATGACCTTTTCCGCTCGCCTCCGCATTCGGCGCCACCTTTTCTATAGGTTTACGGTCGTTCACTTGGGTGGTACGTAGCGAAACACACTAGTGTTCTTCTGTCTGGACTGAGCGTTATCGGAGTTGTACGTGCTCAAAGAAGAAAGCAAACCTACACACATGCTAACGTGATGTAGTTTGGCTTGATTGCGCTTTGGTACTGCAGCACGAAGATGAGAGCTCGGTCAAAGTGTGTTATATTATATAAAGTGGGGTGTGTAACGTGTTTTGTTGAGAAACAATGCATTTTCGATAACGATCGGTACTGGATCATGAGCACTTCCTGGCCTTTTCTCTCTCAAAATGAGATCCGGTAGGGCTCTCGGCTTAGGTAGTTGTAAGAGAATATGCCGTTGCGATAGGATTAGGGTCAGAGGGAAGGTTCTATTGAGTGGATCAGTGAGCTGCACGGTTCCGCTAGGTTGAGTCCATGAAGCCGTGAACAGACGTCGAGTAATTTAGCACTATTGAATTCGGAATAGCGAGTAGAGAGAGTGACTGGAAGGGACTAGACAAGTACTTCATTTTACATGAAACAAATCATAGCAATAACCGTACATAAATGATTCAAGGCTGTAGGCAAGCGTTTCGCAGAAGTATAAAGCTAGCATACTGTTTTAAGCTTGTTAAATTCGCAATTTCAAATTCTTAGAACAATCATTCTCTAGAAGCTTGAGAAGTGTCAAGTGAGGGTGTTCTGTACGTTCCCTCGGGTTGAATCTGTTTGTGGAAGCAAGCAGTGGTCGGTTAGACGCCAACAGACAACTCCGCGTGCCCTGGATATGACTGATATACCTGCTGGGTTTCATGTAAATGGTTGCGAATTAGTCAAACCTAGGGAGCTGGTAATACCCAACTTGATGAAGTTGACGACTGCTTCCACAATTGATCTATATAGTCGCACAGTGAGTCTTTATCTCTGATTGTAAGCCAATGGCGATTACTTTTCGAGGCTCAAATTGCGACTCGTCATTGAGATGACTGGGAGGCAATGTGCACCTGCGGTTGAACAGATAGTATGATGGCTCGGGCGAGAGAGAAAGTCACTTGTGACTACTAGAAGACGGTGCTCGAGCATGGCCCGAGATTCTTGCACAGACAAACACAACATGACACTGCCTTCAAAGACTGAAATCTAGAAAAATATAAAAGGAAGACCTGGACGCAGTGATCTTCTTCCTCAAACACCTCGAGAATAGCATCGGCTTCACACGTTTACGACCAGCCAGAGAACCACATAAACAACAACAATCACATTGCTCACTCTAGTGTTTCGAGATGTCGACCGAGAACCAAACAGATCCACAGATTGCAGAAGATCCACGGAATGAAAAGAAAGTAGCTATACTAGTTGAAGGAGGCCCCCGTGTAAGTTTCCGCCGTCCAATTGTTTTAGCTCAAGTATTTTGTTTATCTAACCAAGTTCAAAGCTTCATTCGGGTTGGGATCCTGTATGGATCTGTATGAAACATAAGATACTAGTTCCAACTACCATACAGTACTGCAAGAATGGTACTGCCGACCCTTGTTATCGATACCAACCCGGTCATATTTATGGCTTCCGCGAAAATGATCCGCAGTGGGGCTGTCTCGCATGCTTCACTCAAGCCGATGGTACTCCCGAGCATCCATTGATCTCAATCAACCCGGCCTATCAAGCGTATTGCAAGAATTGGGTGAATTGCAAGGGTTTGCACCGGCCGTACACTGGCAGAGGCGCATGGAGCGTATGGGAATGTGCGTATGATGCTACGATGCATATTCCGCGTAGATTTGGTCAGGGAAACATCAACGAGAAGGGTGTACTCGGCTTGGACGGCCAGCTTTGGCATCACTGTTCCAATTTCGATAACCCTCCCGATGGAGATTTGTGTCCAGTGACTTTGGAGGCAGGCTCCAGAGACGAAATCTGGGTGAGACCAAATTTCGAGAAGAAGCCCGGCTTCAAAGACGAGACGTTTGAATGGAGATGTGCCTGCGCCGTTGTTCATGAACACAATGTGCATCAGTGTGGGGTGTGCGGGAAGTCACTCGAGGATACGGAGTATACAACGACGATCGTCCGTAATAAAATCCCGATCCCGATCACGACGTAACTTGTGGTACTCTATCATCACAGCGTTTTGGGGATGAGAGTAGGATGGGAGGGTCTTTTGCAGATTGGGAGATTAATTTTGTAGAATGGGAGGATCTCTTTTGTACATCAGTATCACTATCAATCTCTTACATTTCTAAGCTTTGGTACCGCCCATGTGAACAGAAACCTTAAATGCACACTGCTTGATATAGGTAAGAGTACCAGGAACGGCAGATCAGTTAGCCGATGATTGACTAGACGAGAATCGGGAGATCAAAGCTCTGCTCATTAGACAAAAAGAATAATTGAGTGCATCAATGTAGGAAAAAGAAAATCATGAACGAAGAATTATCAATGAGAACAGCTTGGCGGACACCTTTATCGCATACTAAACACACTCTTAGTGCTCTATAAGCAGTACAAACTACTTGAGAAAGTTTAGCTCTCTTCTTCAACGTCTTGCAGTGAAGCCTGCAAAGACCGACCATAGTTCTACGCGAACTGGGTTGCCGACGCCATATTGAGGGACAGGAGAAGAGGTACTATAAGAATGTTTTCTGACTGAACGTGGTCGGCTGCTAATCATCCTGCTCTGCTGAACTGATAGAGAGGCGAATAGTCGTGATGGTTTTGACATGTTAGTATTGCTCCTGCCACAACAGGATGAGGTTCAATCGAATCGCTTCGGATCTCCCATCGACTTCCATACGACGTAATTCGTCGCCTCCAAGTCGTAACGCACAGGGCAGATCTCTGAGCGGAATAGTAATGGCTAATAGTATGGACCTCACCCTTGTTACTTGTAATATGTGGCAACCTGGCTTGGGAATACTTCGTGTTACTCATATAGGGGTATCATTTCATCTCGCGTTACTTTTCGCTACATGTGCGTCTTACTCCTCTATGCATCTTCTAACCGCTGACACTCCCAACTAAAACTCCAACTCCTCAACTTCCATTCCACATTCCTCACACCTCTTCCTTGTCATCCCCGTCTCCGGATCAAGCATACTCCTCCCCCACTCATGCTCATGTTTATCATACCGTCCCTTGATCTTTTGGCCAAACTGTGCATCTCCCACCCCGCCCAACCGCGCCCTTTTATATGCCTCAACCCTTGTCCGCTTTTTCAAGTCCTCAAGCTTATTCTTAAACTTCTTTTCTTTCCGTTCTTTGCTGATTTTCGAGCGCTTTTCATACTCCTCGTCTAGCGCTTCTGGAGACCCCCATTTCGCAGGGGAAAAAGCATAGGTTTCGACTTGTAGGCGGAGGAAAAGCTGCATGGCGTGGAAAGATTGTTTGTGCGGGTTTGGACGTTCGAGATGGGGGAGGAGGTCTTCGTCTTTTAGTTCTGGGTCTGTGAGGAGGTAGTCGTCCCTTGCTTCGGTCTTCGTAAGGAGTGAGTACTTGTCAGGTAACTTCTCTTTGCAGCTATTGCATATCCCAATACCGAATATGTCTTGCCATTTCCAGTCGATTTCTAGAGATCTACATTCGCGGCATTTGCCTTTGATGTCGCGCTTGCCGTCGCCGTATTTGCCCTTGTATGTTCCGCTCTCGACTTCGGCATTCTCGGCGGCTTCTAGCAAAGCAGCTTCCTCTTCCTCTTCCTCTCTGCCATTTACAGTGTCTAAAATGGATATCCCGGGTTCATACGGCCCTGCCCTGTTTTCACGCAATTTCCGCCTGATACGCTCCCTCTCCCAGTCCGCCATGGTCATGCCTTCAGGCTTTTGATCTTCTCTCGGTTGTCCCTTCCACATGGCCTTATTATGCGGATCATCTATTGTGCTCAAAAATCCACCCTTCGTATCTGTCATAGTACTGAAATCATAATCGATGAAGTCTGATCTCGCGTATTTCTTAGCAGGCTGGATGTAATCGTTCGAGGGCGGCTGCATGAAGCCATTCTGATCGTGCTTCTGTGGGGATGCGGCAGCGGCATTGCGAACTTGTATTGGTGTGTTTGAGGCTGTCATGGATGAGTATGCGCGCTTTGCGCCGGCGACGGGCGCAGGAGAGGGCCTCGATGCTTGAGCTTGTTGTGCAGCGGCTTTGGCCTTGAGCCGGGCTTCTTCCATTCTTCTGATCTGCTCCGGAGTGGGAGGGTTCGGTGGTAGCCTGCCCGCTGAGCGAGTCGCTCGCGGTGGCGTTGATGGCCTGCCAGTCATGTTGAGGTTGAAGCGTGGACCTTGTTGTTGATTCCGTGTAACCCAACTGCCGATATACTCAGATTTATAGAGCAATGCTATCCGGAGGAGAGAGAGATACAGCGTGAGACACCGCGTGGTAGACGGAAGATTCGGCGAAGGTAAATGGACCCTTGTCCCGAACGATGATGCACGCCAAGAAACGTGCTACCCTTCACCTTTGCGCCACTTTCGGATTCGGATTACTTCTAAATGCGAGATAGTCCACGGATTTATAATTGACGCCATACATTTTTCCGCACATCAACGATAGACGGGAGAGTTGAAGGGCGGCACGATGCCAGACTTGGACCTGCGCTCCGCCCTTACAAATGCACTATGACTCTTCTTTGTGGCTGTGGCGGTACACTTCAGATTCTCCATGTCCTCGCTCATGAAAGCGCTGAAAGTTTCAGCGCGTAGCAAAGCCTTGCGGCTAGTACAAGTATTGACAATTTCCTCATAATGCTCTTCACAAATATTCCCAAAAACCTTGATACCTCAACAATGTCAAACGCGAGCACACGTGCGCACGTGCCCGACCTTATCGCGGCGTCGTTGATCCCTGCCGCAAATCCCGATCCCAAGAATCGCAAAACTAGGACACCAGAAGATAGCGACAGCGAAGAGGCACTTCAGCCCGCAATACCGCAAAGTCGCAAAGAAAAGCGCAGAGAAAAGAAACAAACACACGATTCCGCTCTTCCAACTCCTTCAAGTACCGATAACGAAGCGTCTACGCCACCTCGCAAACCGCCCAACAAACCACCCAAGAAAAGGCAGAAGCCTAATATAGACCACGCGACCACCCTGTTTCCCTCGATGCCCCTCGCCAAAGATGCGCTGCAAAAAGCATATCCCCTCTTAATATGCAGCATTGGTAACCCCGGTGCTACATACGCCAACACGCTCCACTCCGCCGGCCATGTCGTCACATCCTACCTCAGCGAGCGCAAAAGCTACAAGCCTTTCACTAAAGGGCTCTCCGGCCTCGTTTCACGACCAGATAATACCGCGATGAGCTTCAGCATAATACGCGGATACAGGAGAGTGGAAGGTGACGCACCGCCGCCGGAAGAAGACTGGACCTTCTGGCAGAGTACGACGTTGATGAACATATCTGGCGGTGGTGTGAAGAAGGCTTATAACGAATGGCTGCGCTCCGTAAAAGCGCAATCTGGATCGTCAGCGACCGAGGGCAGATTAGTCGTTGTGCACGATGAGCTGGAAGGCGCGTTGGGCAAGGTCACAGTCCGGGATGGGGCTGCGAGTGCGAAGGGTCACAATGGGCTGAAGAGCTGCCAGCAGCAATTAGGAGGGATCAAGTGGTGGCGCATAAGCATCGGTATTGGACGGCCTGAGAGTAGAGACCCGAATGTTGTGAGCAAATACGTCCTTGGAAAAATATCCGGGTCGCAGCGTGCGGCGCTTGAGAAGAGCGCTGTGGCTGTTTACGGAGCGTTGGAACAGATAGCAGCGGGGCGGAAATGATCGAATGTGGTTTGAGAGGCTTGCTGGGACGGATATAGCGTTGAATTGCATTTGCAGGCGTTGGGTAACTAACGCATGAGCATGATACCCACTTACGCAGTCATGCGTAATGCATCGCTGTTCAAGAGATAGATACGTTTGATGAGAGAATTGAATAATAATTTATCAAGTTATGCCTACAAAGCATACTTAGGTATCTTCCAGTACTCCGGTATCGATGCTCATCAAATAGACTACCCCCATAAAACAACCAACACTAGGCAGCTCCACAGAAGATGCCCAGTGAGCCATACGTGAAATGAATAACAAAGATGTATCACTAAAGACTTGACTGCACACGTTAAAGAGCATTTTTCCTGAGCTTCTTTCGCTCCTCAAGTCGCCTTCTCGCCTGCTCCTTCCGGTCCCCAGGCAGCAGTTCGACCCGATCGCGTTTGACTTGTGTAGAGCCCTCTGCATGATGAGACGTGATTTTCGACAGGTCAAATCTCGGATCGGTTGGAGAATGATTATCTGCCGCTTCTACGGTCTTCTTAGTAGCTTCAGTCCTAGATTGCTTAACGGCGAGTTTTTCGTTCGTCTTTGATGTCGTTGCGATTGTTGCATTTGACTCTAGGGGACAAATCGACTGTTCATTGGCAAGGAATCGAATGTGGGACGGTTCTGCTTCCTCCCTGTTCGATACAGGCTTCTCATTCCGTCGATCAAGCTTCGAGACTTCCATCTGTCTGGCATGCGACACGGACTTGATGCCTCGCTGATGCCTTGGCGGGGGGTTCCATGCAGGCCGTGAGTACGGCTGGCCAGCAGAAATTGGCATAGCCATCTTATCCATCTGCGGTATGGAGCTGTCATGCATCTCTAACCATGGATCAGGGGACGCCATGGGAAGTGGACTTGATGGAAGCAGTGCAACAGGGGACTTGGGGCCATCATTCTCATTGTTTGCTTCTGTTCTGCGAATCTTAAGCGGCGATTTTGGAGGCTGATCTGAGGATAGCGGAGCTGCTGGATCTGAAGCGGTCTCAGATGGTTGCCCGGATGTTCGAGGTGACTTTCCTAATATGATAGACGCCTCTCCTTCCGCCGTTCCTAGTCTAGGTCGACCATTTGGGCGGGGAGAGTTGTCGGGCATGGTCTGGCGACGGTGACGTCGAGCCTTTGGGGAAGAATTTTCTTTACCCGAGGAAGCCATGCTGATCGATGCTGCAAAAGAGACTTCAGCTGGCTTATCTTGTTCCGGTTGGGGCTGCATAGCTTCTCTGCTCGCATCCTCGTAGATATGAAAACATGCTTTGCTTTGCAGGAGCTCCGATGCGGGCATCGCGATCGACTTCTCCATGGTACCAACTCGCGCTTTCAATGCAGCTATCTCGATACTTGCAGACATACTGTCAGCCATGGCAAGACGGAGTCGTTCCTGGTAATCCTTGTTTTGCTGCTCGAGTTCTCGCTCCCGTTGCCGAAAGCGCTTGCGTTCTTGATCGAGCTTGCTAGCTAATTCGGTGACTTCACCGTCTTTTTTCATCGCGAACTTCTTGGCTAGCTGCTGTTTAGCGATAATTTTCTTCATCTCCTTCTCGCTCCTTTCGGCATAGCTTTCGTACTGTTCCTTCCAGTATTTCCCTGACTCAGACCGTGGCGCTCCCAGATCAATTGTGATATCGCTATCGTCCCTTGCCTTGGGCTTTTGACCAGATTTTGGTTGTATGATCGTGCGCGCATCCAAAAGGGCCTCAGTGAGCTTGGTCCGTGGTCGCTTATCGCTCGAGGGCTCCAGTTTCAGCTGCGTGCCTGGTGTCCATGGGCTGGGAAACTTTCCAGGGCAGTCATTGGGTATACCACTTTTTCCAGTGTTGCCTCGTTTGCTCTCATTGTCCACCACTTGTGACCCGAATGATACAGTCTTCCTTCCTTTGTTCGCCGTTCCTGGAGTCATGAGGATGCCACCGGGTTGTTTCGATGGCGATGATGGTGGGGCATCTTCGTTTGGCGCAGGAAGATCTATAACCTTCGTATTCGCCGCGTCCAGCTTCGCCTGCCTCGCCGTCTTCTTTGAAGTGTTATTTACGTCTTCGGGCGCGGGGGTTCCGAATATGGCGTGTTTGAAAGCATTGACAGCAAATTGATGGGCTGGAGTCTCGGGCGGCTCAATGAAGGTGGATTCATAGTTGGGTTCTATACCTATTAGCATCAATCTTTGTGTTCGCGGGAGCTTTGGGCGACATACCCGGCTGGAGATCTTCTATCACATTCGTAATTCGTGGACCCGTAATCCACGAAAACATTGTGACGTCCTTGATTCACAGACAGAATAAGGTACAAAGTCCCAAGGAGGTCAGAACAGATCGCGAATGACTGTGAAGCGGCGTCTGACACGTAGTCGCGGGTGTGTTTGGGGATTGTTTACTCGCGAAAAACGAGAGCTGGTGCCTCGACTGAATGCTGTGATGTGGCCCGAATTGCGTGAAACCTAGTCGCACATGCCTTCGCAACAGATTCCATTCGAGAAGGTTATCGCCGGTATTGTTGTGGGGAGGGCGCGATGACGAATGTGTTGCGCGCTGGTAGAGCTGAAGGCATGGGGAAGTCGCGATTTGGCAGGGTAGCACCTCCCCTGTCTAGCGGGAAATTAGTGGGGTTCGCCAACAATTGCCCCCACTACCGACCGCTACTTTCATGTGCGCTGGCGACGAAGTCTTCTCACGCCTCGTCACAACTCGCCTCCTTTCACTCAATTATCAAGAACTGAAATGTCTGTAGTGTGAAGGGCGGCAGCTTCGGCTGCTAGTCTCTCCGTCATCCTTTCTATGACGGCCTTTTCAACCATCCACAAGTCAGCCCAATATGGCACCGCATAAGACACCACGCAACAAAAAGCACCAGCATAATCTATCCACCCCCAATGGAAACTATGGGAACTATAGCATTGGGACGGCGAGCCCAACCGAGGAGAGGCTGCCCGTACGTCCTCGGATGGTCTCACAACCCTCAGAGACCTACGAGAAGGCACAGGAAGATGAACGCGAAGTCCTGAAAGCTATTTTCATGGATGACTATGAAGAATCTGAAGCAAAGGGAGCATGGAGTGTAAGTTTTAGATAGCTTCTACTTTATTTCGTAACTCCGCTTGATAGTCCTATCGTAGCGATGACCCACTCTAGCCGTGGATCAGGTGCTAACCTTGACACAGAAAACTACAGATCGTGTGCTGCGCCTGAAATTGAAGTCGTTCTCAAATGATGATATTTCAGTCACACTCTGTGCTAAAATCACTGCAACATACCCTAAATCCCTGCCTGAACTCACCCTAGAAGGTGGAAGTAAGTTGAGGAAGAGCACTGGGGACAAGCTCCAAGGACTGCTCAGAACCCGCCCAAAAGAATTAGTCGGCGAAGTCATGATTCACGAGATCGCGACCGCTATTCAAGATATCCTCGAAGACGAGATCGCCGTTCGCGAGAACGACGGCACCTTCGAGAATCTGGATGCCGAAAGGGCTGTGCAGGAGGCCGAGGCAGCAGAAGTTGCCAAACAGCAGGAAGAAAAGCTCCAGAAAAGGCGAGATGAACAGAAAGCTGAGGAGGAGCGCGTCCTACAGCAAATGGTCAGCGATGAGATGCGGCGTAAAGACTTGATGGCGAAGCGTAAGAACAGGGCATCCGGAATAACTCCGACATCCTACTTCCCTAGCGAGACCAGCGCCAATACCGTGTCTTTTGACAGAGCCGTCTTCCTACAGCACGAGGACACGATGATCGACTGTAGTGCAGTTGAAGGCATGCTTCCCTTCCGCATAGGACCAGTCACAGAAGAACTATTGGTGAAGCCGGTAGCCAGAGTGTCTCCCATTACGCTTGTTCTGAAACGGGTTCACGTAGGGGGCGCTAATTCCGCTGCTGGCCCTCAGTTGAAGAAAGCAATCATGGAGTTCGAAGAGGAAATGGAAGAGATCAAAAGGGTACGGCAGGCCGCTATCATAACCGTTCTCGACTTCAAGATCGAGCATCTGCCTGACTCTGGCTGGGAGATCAACATTCTGATGGAGCACGCGAACAAAGGCTCACTGGGCGAAAAGCTTGAAGATGACGGACATATTGCTATAGCCAAAGTCCGCTCGTGGACTATCGAACTTCTAGAAGCACTTGACTTTTATCATCGCAATGGCGTTGTTCACAAGCGGATCCACCCCAACAATATCCTTCTAAAGAAATCCACAACTGGTAGTATATCAGTAAACTTGGCCGATGCTAGCTTTCAGGAGAGCCTGCATCACCTACGGAATCTTTGCAGAGGAGAGCAGCCTTCAACAACATCGAGATCAGCGTTTTGGGATGCCGCCGAGCTTGCGCAAGATGCGCGCCGAACGCGGAAGACAGACGTCTGGGATTTAGGGGTCGTCTTTCTCCAGATGTTGTTTGGTCTCGACGCGCCTCAGAAGTACAATTCTCCGAAGGATCTTTCGGATACACTTGGCTGTTCGGAGCCGCTCCAAGAGATCATGCGCAAATTCTTCAAGCCTGATCCTAAGAAGAGACCTTCTGCTTTCGACCTCATCCCATTTGAGTTTCTGCGCGACGATGTACCCGTGTACGAACGACCTCCTACCCCGATGAGATCCAGACATTCTTCCACATCTCTAGGCCAGTATAACCTTCGCCGCGAATCTTCAACTGGTGTTGGGGGATCTTATTCACGATACGCCATCGACTGGGTTGAGCAAGGTCGCCTAGGCAAAGGTGGGTACGGTGAGGTTGTGAAGGCGCGCAACAAGGTTGATGGTCGCACCTATGCTATAAAGAAGATCAAACAAAAATCGGCTTCCGCACTTACTGAGGTCCTCTCCGAGGTTATGTTGCTCTCACGGCTCAATCACAGTTGTGTGGTGCGATATTATACCGCGTGGCCCGAAGAGGATGTTTCGGGTCTCTCTGAATCGGAAGAAGATGAATCTACCACGTTTGATGACAACCAATCCGAGACTGGTTCCGGTGTCTCGCAAGGATCGACTGATGGCGGGGGTTTTGCGAGGAGCACTGGAGGCTTGGACTTCATCAGCTCCAGTGGCTACCCGAAGATCGAGTTTGGCTCCGATGCCGAATCTGAAGACGATGATGGTGACATTGTGTTTGGTTCCGATTCTGGTAAGCTAAATCGCATGTATCTACTTGTTCCGCACGTCTTGTAATACTAACGAGGAGCAGAAGCTGAGACAGGAACTGCAAGTATAAGCCCACACTCACCAATGGTGAATAAGCGCAGCGTGTCTAACTCAATCCCCACACGACCATCACGATCCATCTTATACATTCAGATGGAGTTTTGCGAAAAGCAGACGCTTCGTGATCTCATTCGTCGGGATTTGTACGATGACCCAGACGAATACTGGAGATTGTTCCGACAGATTCTGGAAGGACTTGCCCATATCCATGGCCATGGCATCATACACCGAGATCTCAAACCGGACAATATATTTATTGACTTCGCCAAAATTCCAAAGATAGGTGACTTTGGGCTGGCTACCAGCGGTCAATATCAGCGTCCAGACAAGAAAGTCTCCGCCGGCATTCAAGACGGTGACATGACTCGGAGCGTCGGCACTGCCCTTTATGTAGCCCCAGAACTGAGCTCCAATGTTACTGGCAACTATAATGATAAAGTAGACATGTACTCAATGGGCATTATCTTCTTCGAGATGTGCTTCCCTTTAAGGACAGCCATGGAGCGCGACAAAGTGGTTCGATCTTTGCGAGAACGTAAACATGACCTTCCACAAGAGTTCGCGGCATCCGAGAAGTCTCTCCAAGGTAGCATCATTGCGTCGCTAGTCAGTCATCGGCCATCTGAACGACCTAGCTGCACAGAGCTTCTGCGAAGTGGAAAAGTACCGATTCAGATCGAGGATGAGGCAGTCAAAGAAGCTCTCAAGGCCCTCTCCGACCGTAACTCCCCTCACTACGCGAAAATGATGGCCGCTTTGTTCTCGCAGAAGCCGGATACGCAAGCAAAAGATTATGTTTGGGATATGGGTGTCACCGCTCAAACAATCAAGGCAAACGATGTCTTACTGCAAAATCTTGTCAAGGACAGGCTGACCATGGTGTTCCGTAGCCATGGTGCTGTCGAGACGCAGCGCCAATTGCTCCTGCCATGGTCGGATCATTATACCAACAATAACGTCGTCAAACTCTTCGATCCCTCGGGTACACTTGTGCAACTACCATACGACCTGACATTACCTTATGCACGTAGCATTGGCCGAGGTGCACCATTTCTGGAAAAGACCTTTACGATAGGACAAGTGTACCGTGATAATTACGGAGGCGCACCGCGTAGCAGTGGAGAGGCCGACTTTGATATCCTTTCATATGACACATTGGATTTAGCCCTGAAGGAAGCCGAAGTCATGAAGGTCGTCGACGAAATCATCGACGAATTTCCGTCCTTTGGCCCAACGCAAATGTGCTTCCATTTGAATCACTCTGACCTTCTGGAGACAATTATGGAATTCTGTAGAATTAGCGCGCCACAACGACCAGCAGTCAAAGCTGTGCTGAGTAAACTCAACATCTCGAAGAACAGCTGGCAGGCCATCCGTAATGAGTTGCGCTCGTCGGAAATCGGCGTCTCATCAACTTCTCTAGACGACCTCGCACGCTTCGACTGGAGAGACACGCCTGAGAAGGCTTTCGCAAAAATGCGGCGGATCTTTGAAGGAACCAAATATCTCGACAGGACGCACGCAATCTTCGCCCACCTTAAAAATGTCGTCAACTATATGAAGCTATGGAATGTGAAGCGAAAGGTGTACGTCAGTGTTCTGAGCAGCTTCAATGAGAAGTTTTACTCTGGCGGCATTCTTTTCCAATGTTTGTTTGATACAAAACAGCGCGAAGTCCTCGCAGCAGGCGGACGGTACGACAAGCTTATTGAGGAGTATCGACCGAAAGGCTCAGGCCATGCTCAGCCTACTACCGGGTACCATGCCGTCGGCGTCAACCTCGGATGGGACAGGCTCGTGAACTCCATGAACCGATACCTCAAGAAACCAGAGAAGTCAGTATTCTTGAAGAAGCACGCAGAGGAAGACACTCCATCTATTTCCTGGATGCCACGCCGGTGCGACTGTTTAGTGGCGAGCTTTGATTCCAATGTCCTTCGTTCCGCTGGCGTGAAGATGGTCGCGGACCTGATCTCCCATGGGTACGCCGCAGAACTAGCCGTTGATGCCCACTCGATTGAAGATATTCTCCGCCACTACAGAGATGACAGACACAGCTGGGTCATCGTCATCAAACATGGCGTCGCATCCGACAAACCCGAACTCAAGGTCAAATCGATCGCAAAGAAGGAAGACACTGATCTGCGAACCGGCGATCTGCTCAACTATCTACGCAACGAAATGCGAGATCGAGAAGGACGCGAAGGAACTGCCGCTCAGCGTCTTACCAAAGCCACACCCACGCCCTCAGCTGCCACCTCCGCCAACACCAAATCAAATGTCGATGTTCTCATTGCCCAACACCGATCCAAGAAAAGCAATAAATGGTCCATCATTGAGGCAGCGCAGGCGCGCTCCGCCGAACTGCTCTCAGTCTTCCAGTCTGCCCCCATTGCAGCAATTGAATCGAAAGAGGAAGTCATGAACTTAATCAAAGAAACGCGGCTCAGTGACCCGGATTCGTGGCGCCACGCTATCCAGAAGATGCCCATCGTCGAACGCAAATATTTACAGGAGCTGCACGATCTGTTGCTGAAGTATAAGTCAAGATGGGATACAACAAGGAACGAGGAGGTGCGAGGGAGCGGAGAGGTAGGGAAGGCTTTTGTGTATAACTTTAGGACTGGGAGCTGTTTGCTGTATGATTTGGAGAGCTGATAGGAATTATCAAGGGTGCCATTCGCAAAAAAGAAACATTTTCGCACCTCAATGTCCATGCATGCGTAGTGAAGAAAAGGAACGTTGTAAAAAGGTAAAATAACTTTTTAAACTGATCCTCTAGGGTGTTTTGACCACCTTTGTGATGTTGGACGATGATGAGCCCTCACCATAGGCAATCCTGGTGGGGTGTCTACCCCTCCAACCTACGCCCTTATTACCCTATATTTAGTCACGTTTACCCAGATACTATTAGTCACAAAAGTCCAGCGCTCGTACTTTAATACTTTCCCGTGGAGCTCCTTTAGTAGATGCGGGTGGGTTTTAAAACGAACAATACGGCACCCCTAAACACGCCCCGACCCCGGAATTAGACTGCTTGAAAACTGTCACAGATCAGGACAATACGTATCAAACCATATCGTATTCTAATACTAAAGATTTAGATGTGGGATGGTACGCTAGGTGCTATATGTACCTGCTAAGGATCATCATGTGACAAGAACTATCACGTCCGAGTTATCTTGATCGCGCAAATAATACCATTCGTAGTGCGTGCGATAGTATACCTCGAATAATTTAGTAGCACAGTCTAGATACAAGTAATCAGCAGATTTGATATCATTGAGGTCTCAGGTAGGTTGGCGGATGAGCAGACGTTAGGGGCCATTCACTCAAAGGGCCCCTTAGCGGCTGGCTTCCACAAGCTAGTCAGTTTGGTTTACGCTGAGATTATGTGAATGCTTTACTTGATTGATTGATATCTCGAATTTCATAGGTAATTCTGCAAATCTGAACTCATACTGTCTACGTGTCTCGTTCCAGTTCTATGCTAATATATATCAGTGCACCCCTGAAGCAAAATGTATGTCCTTGACACCTCCCAAGAATCATCTTCTTATCGCCTCTTCAAATGACAATTTAAATGCTCTGGAGATTACGATTTTGGAGACACGATCGCAGCCTTAGAAGGTACATTGGGTCCCTAAAAAGGAATCAAAATAAGAAGAATGTCAACGGATTTTTGAAGGGCGAGCATATCAACATCGCAATATAAAGTCACTGAATTGCGATCCAAAAGTCAAGCAACTATCCCTTGGTGAACAGAAACCCCCGTGTTAAGGCTCTGGGAATAGAGTGTTTCCAGCTAGAACCTGTGTTGGGCGCCCCGACTGACGTAGACACGTCAGTGCTACATCGAAAAGATCGAAGTCGTGACCTGGCAACATATTAGCATGCATGTCTACATTATCAGTCTCTCACAAATTCACTCACCGTGTGCTGCTATCATGGATATCGCTACGGGAAGTTTCTCCACCCTGCCGCTGACCTTAGAGAGGTAAGGGTATTCTCCAACTGTGACAATCAGCATGCCTATCCAAGGTCACGTGTGGGACTTGAGATGCTCACTAGGTATCGTAAGCTCGGGCGCTTTTAGTATTGGTGACAAGAACAAATTGGGTACTCCCACTGGATTGAAATACTTTGTTGGCAGTTCATCTCGGTATCTCGGTGATATCTCTTCGATTGGTATTAGTATGAGCGTGTTTTGTAGTTCCGATTTCAAGACCACCTTGCTAAACCAATCTTTGTAGACCTCCAGTCTCTTCAATGCCTCCACATTGGCCTGTCGCGTGATATGTGAGGACAGCTCCCTAGAAATCATTAGAGAAAATTTGCGCGTAGTTATCACACCCCAAACTCACCACTGCCATCTGACAGGTGGACTAATATACGGATCTTTGCCAAACTTGTGCCTATAGTCCTCCCGAAAGGGTCCGAAATTGTGGTAATCTTCAAAGAAAAATGAGTCTCGTGAGACATCTCTCATGTATTCTGCAAGAGTAGCATCCTTTGCTTCCAGAGGTGGTTGCGACTTCCAGGCTTCATCGAAAGAAATTCTTTCATGCTGTACCTCGAGTGTAACTTCGAGATCTGAAACAAACGCATCAATCAAATTCAGCTGTTCTTGGTTTCCAATGGTTGCCATGTAATCCAACGCATACAAGAGGGAAAATGGTTTCTACATAAAATTAGTCCCTAGTAATGAAAATGTGTACATTGGAAATACCGATTTGTTAAAACATGCTTGCAGACTGTCTCCATACCATGCTTCAGCGAAAACCCTACACTTGTCCAGGTCTCGTCCAAAGAAAGTAGGGACGTCAAAACGAGGAAAGCTTTTCAAAAGGCCTTCATGTGATAGATTTCCGTGAGATGGTCGCATGGCAAAACACCCGTTCCAATGGCCGGGACGGCGTCCACTTCCACTTGCTAAGAAAGTAAGAATATACTAGATATATGAATGAGGACTCACTGTCTGATCCTACAGCAATATCAAGCCACGGGTAGGCCGCGATTGCTACACCACTTCCACTGCTACTTCCTGCTGGGGACTGGTATCCATCCGCTCGTGGATTCCACGGCGCGATCCAATCAATACACTCCATAGGCTCTTCAGTTGCAGCGAAAGATGCTAACTTTGTGGTACCTACTACATGTGCCCCTGCATTGATAAGTTTCTGAACACAAGTAGCGCTCTTCAAAGGTGCCGGATAGAGCTCGTAGTAAGCTCGGTTACATGCTGAAGTGCGAACGTTCTGTATTGAGAAGTTATCCTTGATGGCAATTCTCCACCCCTGTAAAGGACGCTTCCCATCCTCGCCATCTCTTTGAATTCTGGGTGGTACCGCAACAGTCAAAACCTGAGGTACCGAGCCTGAAGTTCTAAGCTTGAGGAGTTCACTAGAAGGTCAGTTCCAGACGATGGGTTTAGAAAATACGTACTTATTCTCGTCCGGTACAAGCGTGTGAAGAAAAGCGCCGTGGGTATCTTCATACAGTTTCCACAGAGGCCTCAAAATCTCTCCTGAATAGTGATATGGCCCCGACTTAGGGTTCATGTCATCGATTCCTATCTGGCGAGCTGTAACAACTGTGGCACCTTTCTCGAAGAGGTACATTCGAGCCTCTTCTGTGATTCTGAGATCACAGTTGCTTGTATGTGAGATAACGATGGTTTCCAAGAACTCGGGGCGAAAAGTATCATCAGCCGCAGAGAAACCGTTCAGCTTGTCTTTAATCCACTCCAACTGTACCGATCCATGTTGGTCGAATTCGAACAGTGTTAGCAAGCAAACTTCGTGCAAGTCTTTGATATGGAAATGCTACACGTATCTTAGCGAAACGTTCCTCGACAACTTAGATATATACCTTAGGCCACATCAAGAGAAAATGATCATCTCCGAGGCTGAGTTCTTCTGGAAACATCCGCCCTGGATGTTGATCAGTGGTGGATACTCTCATGTTTGTCTTTAGCTTCCAACGGTGTACAGTATAAAGCTGACAGAGGTCTAAACTATGGTCTGCCCAATGCGATTTGAAGTGATTTATGCTGTTCAGCGGCAGCGCGAAAACGATGTAATATGTCGTATCGTCCCGTGTGTCTGGTGATTATGCAGCTGCCTTTGAAGCTTAACCTAATACGGGATAGGCGAGCGTTGTGACCTGTTGGCATACGCCGGGAGTGCAACTCTGATATCTTTCTACCTTGTTTACGACAACGTTTTGCCTTTTACTTAAACTTCTGTTTTGTATAGTATTAGGCCGTGGAATTACGCCGGTGATTGTAATTTGTTGGGCGATATCACACCGTTGTTGCCTATCGCGATGCCACGTCCTAAAGGTGGGAGCACCCCGCCTTCCAAGCATCTGCTGCGCCCACTCTTTCGCGACAAGAAAATTGAAACCTTGTACGCTGCACACGATACCCTTGCGAATCTGCTGAGAGCAATCGTTCTGACAGCCATCAGGTTTGTGACAACTGCAGGCGTAGGCACAAAACCGACGAGCGATTGGACTGACGAGGCTGGCAATCTATGGTTGACCGGAATTCAGACCCCTGGTATTGGGCTATTTTCTTACGAGCATGGCATCGGCAGTTCAGACACCGGATTTTGGCATAGCCTCCTTGATCATGGGCAACATCTGTTGATGTCCATTATAGTTTTGGTCGAGAGCCAGCATGTAATAATCGCACACTTTGGTCACAATAACATCAGCTCACAGACACCCAGCTTCAGCATTGTCCCATAATTTTGATTGGACATAGTCTGGGAGGCTTCATTGTTAAGGAGGTAAGACAACCAACGTTACCAACAATCTCGATTTACAGTATTCGCTGATATAGGTAGACACTTCGTCTGGCGTATGAGCGTACAGAACAGCAGTATAATTCTTTCAAGAAGTCCCTAGCAGGTGTCATTCTGATGGGTACCCCTCATTCTATATCCGAGGAAGAAGAAAAATGGCAGAAAATTGCTCTTCTACCTCAGGTGGCAAGTTTAGGTTTCAAAGCACAGTCTCTAGACAAAGACACAATTAGGAACCTAGCTCAGAGCTCGCTAGCATTTGATCAGGGCGGAGTGGTATGTCCGATACTGACGGTATGCGAAAAACGTGAGACCAAATTGAAGCAGTTCTTTGGCTCCAAGAAAATCAAGGTACGTACCCAAGTTTGAACGATTGATTAGATACATGAGCCAAACATGGAATAGCTCGTGGAGAGGGACTTTGCACGTACTGGAAGCAGAGACGAAGAGATCATTGAGGTGGATTCGAACCATAGAAACCTCTGCAAGGTTTCACACGATACGCGAGTGCAAACGTTCATAGCAACTGCACTCGAAGACGCACGTCTACGTATAGCAAATAACTCGCCACTTTGTAAGACGTCTCCACCCGACATTCAATCTTGGTCTTACATCACTAACTCGTTCGAAAATTATAGCCGGTGTCGAGATAGACGAACTCGATGAGCACGGATACGATCTCATGGATGTCAGCTCGAATCCAACGACGTCACATCCACCCCTCACTTCTTCAGCCACAGCCGGATCTTCGGGACTTGGATTTGAGCTCATTCCAATGATGTCCAATGTGAAACTCGAATCAACTAGACTGCCTTGCTATTCCATCCCCGTCGCACAGAATAAAGACTTTTATGGGCGACAAGACATCATCGACAAGATGGATGCCTTCTTTCTCGCGCCAGGTATACCGCACAGGAAAGACGGAGACGCCTCTAGGAGCTTTGCACTTTGCGGTCCAGGTGGAATGGGCAAGACGCAGATTGTAACAGAATATGTTCACCGATGTAAGAAGGCGAAAATATTCGATGCAATATTCTGGATCTATGCGGACAAACCTTCGAAGGTATCAGATGGCATTGCACAAATTGCTATAAGCTTGGATCTTGTGGCAGCCGAATCAAACGAAGCTTTAGATCCGGTCATAACGACAAATCTGACCAAGGAATGGCTATCTAACCCGGCTAGGTTCATTGATGCGACGGACGAGCAACATCAGATCCAGCCTACCTGGCTCTTGGTTCTGGATAATGTCGATGATGTTCAGGTCGTGGAAGGATTCTGGCCTATCGAAGGGCCTGGTTGTATCCTTATCACCAGTCGAGATCCTTTGGCAAAAGAATCTAGCGTTCTGGCTGATACAGGCTACGATGTCGAATCTTTCAGCTCTGAAGAATCCAGTCTTATGCTTGAAATGCTTACCAAGCGTGAAGGTAATGGACGTGCCGTAGGAGATAGGCTTGGGGGTCTTCCGCTCGCCATCGCACAAATGGCGAGTGTAATCATTCGGAATCACATGAGTTTTGAAGAATTTGTCGACGCATGGGACGAAAACAAGGAGCATCCAGAATACCTTGGGTATGATAAAAAGCCGGGCCATTTGGACGGATATGGCAAGAACCTCTCAACAGCGTGGGCTATCGAAAGCCTCCGGCATGGTAAACCCCTACTAGAGATTATTGCCTTCTTTGACCCCGACGGCATACAGGAGGTTATTCTCAAACAGTATTCGGCGATCACACTGGACGAGTATCCCACAGCACATAGTGCTTACCTGAAAGCTCGGAAAGAACTCATACAAACCTCACTTGTAGCCAAGGACCGTACGGAGAAAAGTCTGTGCGTCCATAGAATGGTTCAGGACGTTACCCGCTCTAAGATGAGTAAAGAGAATTACCACAAGGTTTTCACAGCTGCAGTTCGTCTCCTAGTCCAAGCCTGGCCATTCGAAGAGTTTGGGTGGCGGCACGGTGTCGCGCGATGGCGAAAGTGCGAGGAAATGTTCCCCCATGTCCTGAGCCTCAAAGGTTACGGGTCCCGTGTCATCGAGGCAGTCGACAATACCGATACTAAGATTGAGTACTGTAGGCTCATGAATGATGCCGGATGGTAAGTTCAATCCGAGCATATGAACATTGGTCCTGCACTGACATGAGTCTCCAGGTACTATCACGAGACTGGGCACTTCGTCGAGTCCCAAGCTCTCATTGGACACTCCCAATCGGTTGCAGAAGCAACGAAATTGACACTCTCGAAAGTAACTACACACAACGTTCAAACAAAAAATGTGGAAAAGCAGTTGGCTACTCTTTTGGCTGAAACACATCACAATTTGGGTTGCATTGGAACAGAAAGTAATCAACCCGAATTTACGCTCTCACACTTCAGCGCCTTCAACGAAATGATGGTCGCAGAAATCGATGACCATATGAAAAAGACCGACAATCGACTCGCCATTTCTTGGAACGAACTCGGAAATGCGTTTATGATGAACAAGATGTGGGTGGAAGGGGAACGCTGTTTCAAGGAATGTCTCGAAGTAGCGCAGCAGATGACGAGTTTCGCGCCCGCAGAATTCTCATTCCCCTATGTCAACCTTGGCTTAGCGTATTGGCTGACGGAGAGATTTGTTGCGGCAAATGACATTTTAGAAGAGGGCTTGCGGTATAGGGTTGCTGCATTTGGTCACGATGACCGCCAGTCCTTTATGTGAGTTGTTTCCTTCTCCCACGAAGTGACTATCTACAGTTACTGACCACTACACAGAACCGGCCGCTTTTTGTATGCGCTTGGTAATGTTGCGGCCTCACAAGGTGGATGGAATGAAAGTCTTGCATACCATGAACGGGCGCTTCGTCAGTTTCTCTCAACCATTGGTAAAAACCACCACCGCACGGGTGACATTCGCGTCAAACTCACAGAGCATTATATTCGACTAGGTAGCCTGAAGGAAGCTTGGTAAGTACATTCCCTGTCAGTTACATCTTATATCCAGTCCATAGCTGACAGTCTGCAGCGTGCACATTGATGAGGCGTTGAGAATATTCAGTGAACGAGTGATCTTTCGGCCAGAATTCGCACGGGCAATGTTTTGGAAAAGCAAGTTGCTTGAGGCCAGCGGTGATAGTGACGAAGCGCGCAAGCTGTGGGGCAAAAGTGTGCAGATGTACCTTGAAATCACTCACAGGGTAGTGCAAGGCAACATCGAGCCTTCGGCGGCAGATTTTGATGGCGTGATAGCCTTTTGGTCACGATAATCTGTCGCAGTATGCTATTCGGCGCCTACTGAAGGGACTGGCCAATACCGCTGCCGTATTCCATGATCTTAGTTTACTGTGGAGCCACATGCGCGTTAACATCCTTGGCGTTTGGGGCGAAAACGCCTACTTCGTGTTGACTCCGCCTCCTGCGTCGTCGAAATGTTTGCCCTTCCTTTAGCGTTTCCTAAGAGCCTCACAGCCAACAGTACATTAAGCATGTCATCTTGGAACGTGCCTAGGACTTTTCGAGGGTGTTTATATGTGCCCAAGATCCATGGCAACCCTTGCACCAGCTACCCCTCCCGAAGGGCCGCCCGCGTCGATCCGTTCCGGTTCCGCGAAACAATGTGGGTATGCCTTTGTGTAGCTAGTTCACAGATACATAGAGCTGACGATTTAATAGGGACTCCTGAACACTACAGTGCATCTATATCGACCTATGCGAAGCAACGAAGCACCTCGTTGTATGTGGGTGTTCATTTTACGAGACTCGCACACATCCTTCGAAAGCCCTTCGATGGCACTGCGAAACGTGCACCTACATACAACTATACACCATCCTCGGATTTTGCGACACTCTATCAATATGTTTTCGAAAAACCGGTGGGCTATCATGCGCTTGCGACGCCCCTTGAACTAGTCCAACTTGCAGAGTCAGAAGCGAGCAATGTCCTGTTCCTACGAGGTCAGCCTTGCCCACAATGGCTGGTGCATGCAGGCGCCTCCTTTCATATCGACCCTGAGTTCTTCTTCCGGCACTTAGACTTTCTCTCAAACTTGTCAAGTAAAAGGTATTTTGCACAGCCCTCGCTTATGTCGACTGCACGGCGGATCATACAACTCAATTACATGACCATCGGCGAGTTTCCAGCCCACTCTGGCGATATGGGTCAATCTGAACTAGATCATCTACGGGATTCTGCAACTAGGGATATGTCAGAGTACTTCAATGAGCTAGGTAAGAGAGTCAGTCGAAACGCGTGTGGATCGGAATCGATCGTACGCGCGTACCACGTTCTTGACCAGTCCCACTTCGCAATAGAGCAACAGGCATCTATTTGCTTAGGTCTGACAGAGAAAGGCTGGACTGGTGAGCTCGAATACCCCTCAATTATTCTATTCATCTGACAGATTCAGCCGTTGTCTGGCTCGATACAGGAAGGCCATTGACACCCAATCAGCCAGGGCCTTGGGCAGGTACACTGCGGAGCAACCAGCACTCAGGCCGAGAAACTTTTCTCCCTTGGATACAGTCGCAACCTTTCGTATCCTTACACCCGGCGAGCATGTCCATCGCGCACGAACGTCGTCCTGTGAAGGAGATGGAACAATCAGCATCACTCATACACCTTGACTACGGAAAGACGTTGGACAAGAAGGCTATGGCCCAAGATCCCTTCTATGCACTACATGAGGTTTTTCTGAGCTGCGCATATTCTGAGGTTCAGTTCTTGAACGTTATCGAATCCAAGATCAATGAAGATATGGCCCGAGAATTTATGCCGGATCACAACATTTCCCCAGCAAACATGATATACTTCCAAGGTCTACTCGATACGCATGCAGAATCTTTGCGGCGGACAATTACGGCAATTAACTCACGCGATGATTCTGGGTGGCCACGGCCATCGGACCAAACGTTGAGGAAGAAGCACGCAGTGCTCGCCCATACATTACTTCAAGATTATGAAGCACTTCTGAGGCGGACAGAGACATTGTCCAACCTTTGCAAAGGGCGACTGCAGATCCTCCTGAGTCGGGCCGGTATCGTGGAATCGAACAAAGCCATCGAGCAAGCCAAAGTTGTCACGAAGCTCACACGGTTAGCCTTCGTCTTTATTCCTTTGAGTTTCGTGTCATCATTCTTCGGCATGAACCTCAAGCCATTTGTCGAAAGTCCACCTTACGGTCTCTGGCTCTTCTTTGCTGTTTCAGCACCTGTGGTGGCGCTTTTACTCATGTCAATGACATTGAGCCTAGAACAGATAATGCAACCTTTCGGAAAGTGTGGACGGGTTCGGAAGCCGAGTAAGATTGTTGAAAAGGAAGACATGGCTTGACAAGGTGTTAAATGACTTTCCGCTCTATCGTTGTGCACTGGTATAGTACTAGTCGCTCTCTCAGCGAAACCTCGAAATGTAACCAATCTATCGATTGAGTTGCATCTTTAGAACTGGAGAGACAGATAAGGAGTAGGTAAAAGGTTTGTCGCATTGATTGATACTGTATGTCATGAGGCTGCGCGACACGAGAAGAAGAGGGTTCAAGGCTCGCCAGAGCTCTTCGATCAAACCGTAGAGGCGGTGTTGCAATCTGAACCACGGAACTGAACACTGGAAGATTGTCGGATATATTATCGGTGACATAGCACATATTAGAGCGAACAAAGGAAATTCTCATAGCTGTCTCTCCATGACCCGTACACTATTTTTGTGCAGCGGTGTCTCATCCCCGAATACTGAATGTGGGGCCTCATGCGAGCTCCGTGAACTTCCATCACCGCTAAAATCCTTTGCGGTCTTGATATCTTCGACTACGACATTAAGATCCGTCCTGCACTCAATACCTCCTAGGCTCTCGTCGCTGTCAATCTTGCTCAGCCCCGAGCTCACCATCGTCGATACGCCTTTCTTCGGTCGGGACGATAGTTGTATGGCATTGGAGTGGTTGCGATTGCCGTTCTGTCCGGAGCGGTGATGATGTGCTGAGCGGGAATGCGAGTTGGGGTCCGTAGAACTATATTGCTCTGGGTCCATGTCGTTTTGCGGTTTTCCTTGGGCGAGACGGACGACGAGGGATGCCATGGACATTTCGATGTTGAGTTTCACCATGTAGGCGACGGGGTGGAATTGGATGTATACGACTTGGTTTTTGAGGAACATGAGGCCGATTAGTAGGGCCTGAATTTTACTGGTTAGCCAACGATATATACCCTGGGGAGTAGGAAAGGGGGTTAGAGCGACTTACATCCATTGCAATACTGACTACCATTAACTTGGCATTGAACCCCACCAATGGCGCGTACTTTGTCAGGCCATGCTGCTGCACAAGTCTAAGCTTAACGGTCCTCAAGAAGTACCAGTTCAGTCCCGCATCCACGATCAAGATCAAGACTTTCGAAATCTTGTCCCAGACGTTATTGATCTTGACGAATGTCTGGCTAACAGGCGGCAAGACGTGCGCAGGAATCCAGATACAGAAGACGGCAATGTTGATAGCGGTGATGAGGATAACTGTGCCCCATTTCAGGTTGCGAACTGTGCTGCGGTGCTCAGCAATGAGTGCGATACGATTTATGATGATTTGCATCAGAAGTTGGATCTCGAACACCCAGAAGAGGAGAATGCAGAACAGCACCGGGATGCTACGATGTTTGGTCAGTATAGGCTTCATGGCTTACCATAATGTAAAAGACTTACGTTGGTCCCAATCTCCCATTAAGAAATAGCCACCCAATAACTCCAATACCGATGTTCGCCAGGACCTCTCCCCAAACCATGTAGATGTACCCCGACCTGAGCGGGTTGCGATTCCGCCGTGTTTGCTTGACAGCCTCCCAGACTGTCAAGAAACCAAAGCCAATGGTGAAGCCAGCAGCTAAAGCTGCAAGCTGGTAGTCCTGAACAGTGTTCGACATGTTGGGGATGGTGGTGAGCTGTTGCTCGGAAGGAGTGTGGTCGTAGAAATCTCAGGCAGGCAGGCTGCGTGGCTTCCAGGTAACATTATATCACTGTTGATCCAGGGATCAACCCCAACTCCGTGGAGGAGGTGAAGTGCCGAGGAGGGACTGACTCGGAGCTAATATGCTTTCCATAGACGGGACGGCATGGACGAGGAGCTCTAACATTACCTAGTCACTTGGTGTCTCTACCCCCTGTTAGCTGCCACTCATCGCGTGTACCACTGCCGTCTACAAACCTAGGCAAAGCAGCCCTAAAAGTGGCACTCGTAATGATGCTCGACTGGGAAGAGACGCACGGCAAGCTTACCTGAAGTGGACTGATGGCTGCCGCTACGTTTCTAGAGTCGCCGAACTTGCCCATACTAGCCATGAGCCCGAAGCCACCTCCGAAACTCTATTCTCAGCCGCAATGCCGAAAGCGAGTGATAGGTTGACGGCCTGTATAATAAGGTTGGCGTTCCAAACTTTGACAAGCAGTTTGCCCCTCATCGTTACCTTATTCGAATAATGGTGGCGCCAGGAGGCGAAAGCAGGGGAACATCCGCATACGATCTCTCCCATTCCAGAATGAAGCCCACCGGCTCTTTCCATGATGCGCAACTCTATTAATCCTTCGATCTTCAGCGCCAAAAAGATCATAACCCAGATGGTAGGTTGTGGCTCTATTCACCGATAGCCTCGGAACACACACATAGCAATCGTCGGTGCAATCAAATTCGCATTGGATATTGCTCTTCGAAGAGCAAGCCTAAAGGGTGTTAGCCCACCTGCTTGCATTCATACTAGCATGTTCTAGTCTGGGCGTCTTCGCGAGCCTTCATGTCTGTCACCAGATCTTTTGACATACTTAAACTTGTAACTCAACGGTCAAGGAAATATAAGAACGCGACCCAATGGGCCAACGTCGCTAGCGGGATTATCCCATGCTCAAGTGGCTATAACGAGACCAAACATGAGGCGCCAATCGGATGTCGCTGTAATCGTGTACTGGACACCAGTTCTGCAGTTCTCTGCCGCACTGATTGATGCAACAACTGTACACCGCATCGTGTATGGGCAATGCGCATCGCCGAAATCTCCCCGAGTATCGAGTAGTGAAATATGGAATTGTCTTTCGCATCCATTGCCCCATGACGACTAAGGGACTTAGCGATAGAGATCTGCGTTAGCTGACACGAGGCGCATAGGGGCATGCCTGGTACCGATCGTTAGTTCGACAGCCGCATTGGTCAATTGGCTTTTAGCCGACGTCGAGATCTCGATGGCTAGCAAAAGGGAGGTTCTGCAGTTGTTGCTTGAGCACGGGTAGCATTCCTATTCGCATGCGGACTATCAATGCCAAACACCGAGAACGTGCCGATACAGTAGCTCAATCCATGGAATCGCCTGGAAGGGCCTGCGCCCAATCAAATCTCTTTCCTCTCCACAGGTTTGCTGAAGGCGTTCCTGCGCTGATGTTCGGAGACGGAGATGGGCGTCAACGCCACATGTCCCCATTTTTTCTCGACAGATAACGTGGCGAGCGCCGGAGTACAACCCCAGATTCGTCGCATGAGCTGCATAAGATGCATCGGACGATCATATCGCGACATAGTCAGTCACCTGAACCATGGATGTATGCGATTCAGTCTTTTCCATCAATCCCAAATTCCTCCTGCACCTCTAAGATCCTTACGCCACGCTGGTCCGCGAGCAGACCCATGAGACCTTGTCCTACATCTTTCAGTTCGTTATATTCGTGGAGTAGTTTGATGTGGTCCTTAACAATCTTGTTTGCTGCACCCATGATGTCGACCTCCGTGGGCTCAACATTGTCATCAGACAATTCCGCCTGGGATGAAGCGATCTCTTCGATGAGTACTTGAAGGGCTGGTAGAGTGGCCAGAGTGGCTAACAGAGTAGCCTTTTGCGCTTTGAGCTCGGCCAGGGTAATCTCTTGGGGAGTCTTTGGATGAGTGGGGCGCGCTGGTGTTGGTGCGAGCGGCTCGGGACGGCTGAGGTGTGTAGTCAAATCTGTAGCAGACCACGCTTTATCCTCTCTCGATCGGTGCTCTTGGAACGGATTATGTTTCGGTAGGGAGACGCTTACATCGTTAATAGTGTGTGTAGTGCTCTCGCTTTCTAAGGCATCGTCTTCGGTGCCTGGAACAGCTGCCTCGCCTCTCGTTGCTTGGCCTCCCAGCTGGGCATCGTTGATGTCGTTTGGTGCAATGTCTGGGAAATGAAGGAGCTGCGGCAAATGGCAGCCGTGCTTTGTGATGCCCCCAATTTCACTATGCATCGCCTCAGATGACGCCTGTTGCTCGGAATCATCGTGCACAAAGTCAAACATAGCTTCTATCAACTTCTCATTAGGCGCGAGGGGTTCATGGTTGAAGATTGTGCCGGTGGACTGCTCTCCAGAGTACTCGTCGGCTGTAGCATTAGCTACTCTATCCGTCTCCATCGTCCGCATCATCGAGGTTTCATGTTCAGCTGGTATACTACTGGTGTTACACGCTGGCTGCAATGAGGCCTCTACTGCGTTAGGATCGAGGCGATGGCCGTTCGCTTCGACAATTGTGCCTTCTTGTACTGTTGCGTCGTTTGGCTGCATGATAGTTTGCCCAAACTTCGACTCGTCAACGTCCACTAAAGCAATGTTTCGATCGACACGCAGGTTCTCAGCTTGGTCGGAGACAGCGTAGCCATCACGCTGTGTGCACGCTTGGTGGGTACAATTGACCAAGTGCTGGGCGCCCGGGGTCGGGCCAGCAGGGGCCATTGTGAAAAGCTTGTCAACAGCTTCATCGAAGGTGTTGGTCGGCGAAGATGTCATGGGCTCGTCCTCCGAGTCCGGAACCTCACTTCTGCCCTGCCTGGTGGCCATTGAGGTGAAAGGCGAAGATGCTGGGGCGGCGATGGTGGTTGGAGATGATGGTGTTTGTCACGGGGGCGGAGCGGAACCTGACGGGAGCCAATGGCGCCTCCGTGTCATGTAAGGCACGCCTGGACACTGGACAAGGAAATAACGACCCTCACTGCCAGCCACTTCACCACTGTTTGCTCGAAGACGCGCCTCCGTATGTCTCTACAACATTAAGCCTCTCCACATTGGAGCGTCTGCAGTTTATCACCACAGGTGGCGTCAACTGCCGCAACACGAGTCGGCCTTGTTGAGCGAACGACATGGCATCAACAACAAGAGCAGCTGCCTTTGTGGCACTGCTCCTCAGCACAGCGGCCACGGCTCACGAGGACCACATGGATAAGATCGAGGAAGGCCACGCTATCTCAGGCGATCCGATCGTATGTCAGTTCCCGCCACCAAGAAGCCTCGGGTGCTAATTTTTCAGGATTCCATACTTTGGATTCACATTTTGATACAATCTTTGGCCTGGGGGATCATCTTCCCCACGGGTATGGTATTAGGGGTATGTAGCCATGTAGCGCAACCTCAAGCGAATCTAAACTTACCGTCAATCAGATAATCCGATCGAAATGGCACGTTCCTGTACAAACGGTCGGCTCCCTCCTCGCAATCGTAGGCTTCTTCCTCGGACATAAGCACAAAGGCAGACAATTCTCCACGAACATGCACGCCAAGTTCGTCCCATACATAATGCTTATGCTGGTCGCCCAAGTCGCTATGGGTGTCTACTTGAAACTCCACCTCGAACGAGGTATCAATGCAAAGATACGAAAAGTCGTGATCAAGATACACGGTGTGGTTGGCAAGGCATTACCACTCGTAACCTGGGTCCAGTTCGTCTTTGGGGGTATTACAGCGCTTGGCTTCTGCCGAGCCGACCATACGGGGCAATGTCTGGCCCATTTCATCATGGGAGGCGCATTCATTGCATACGGCATTATCCTCATTATTTTGCTGTTGGTAGGCCAAGATTGGCTGCGCAGAACGGGACGAAGCCAGGAGTTCTTCGACAGCCTTGTCATCGCTGCATGGGGCTGCGTCAACACGTTCACCGAGCATCGCTGGGGCAAGCCCTGGGCAGGCAATGATCTGCAACACACGTCCATGGGTGTCATCTGGTGGGCAGCTGGTCTGGTAGGCGTATGGCTGAGCCGTACACGAGGCGGACGACCCAAGCGAAATCTGATCCCCGGTATCGTCATTTTCGTGACTGGTTGGGCGATGTCCGCTCACCCCCAGCACCTACCCATTTCGACCATGATCCACACGGTGTTTGGGTACACTTTGATGGCTGCAGGTGCTGCACGAATAATTGAGATCTCTTTCGTGCTCAAGGATAGCAGCGCTATCTCGGCTGACGGATCAGACCCGAATAGCTTCCAGTATCTGACGCCGTTCCTTCTAATTGCTGGCGGCTTCATGTTTATGGGCGCCACGGAAGAGCAAATGCAGCTTCTGGCTGACGCACACGTGACGCACGTCTCCTACGTGCTCATCTTGCTCAGCATCGCTTTCTTGCTGTTTCTTTGTAAGTCTTTCCCGTAAACTCCTGCTAGACCTGTGTGCTAACTTCTATCTAGTTGTCAACATGCTTCTTCACCTCTATGCCGTCCATGCATGGGGCCAAGATATCAAAGCCGATGCCGAAGCTCCTCGCATGAATGGCCTTACCAACGGTCATGCAAATGGCCAGCCCAATGGTTATGCTAGAGCTAATAGCAGAGTTCGGGATGCCGAAGAGTTTGAGCTTGAAGGCCTAGACTCAGAGGATGAAGACGACGATGTTCTTGATAATAAGGAAAGGAGACCACTGGTTGCGCAGCATTAATCTCGCATAGGACATCGCGTATGAGCAAGTTCATGGCTGCAAGTACGGTTATGTAAATGCTTCACCCGTTAATATACCTCTTCCAACTTTGATTGACGTCCCGCCCAATCTCATGTCCTTAATCGTGTACGCCTGAGCGTCCACTACTGCAGAAGGGCTTAGCAATCGTAGTCAGCCAGTACTGAACGCGAACATAGCACTTGTGAAGAAACAATTACGTTGAATACGCCAAGTAAGTCACAGGAAGCCTGCCTACTCCGCCATTAACTTCAACACATCATCAGTCACGAGCACGGGAACCAACACGAACACGAACACCATGTCAAAAGTCTCGCCATTACCACGAAGCCACGTGCGGCGTCTCGAGACTTCCACATGCACAACGAAAACCCTTCAGTTGCACGTTTGAAATTAGCCACCAATGTTTTCCGTCGGTCAACCGCATGTCGAAACACGTAAATGCGCGCAACCCGTCTCTGGCACACGTAGTAGCCGTTAAAGGTATCTCATGTGTCAAGACTGACACCTTGATGTTGTGGTCTGTGGAGCCCTTGTACAGAGATTGCTCGGCTTAACATCTAATTTTGTGCCGACGAATGCCGAATCCTAAATGCACAACAAAGCTAAGCAGTTAACGGGTATTTTGCCATGGCTTTTTCTCCATACAGCCTAACCACTACTACTTCAGTGTTCCAGAGTCTTCTCCCTCTCACCCAATGATGACGTCTTGCGGTGTGAGCATTTATGTTTGGACGGCGTCTCGAACGGACAACGTTAGTGTGACCCACATGTGCACCGTTGCGAAAAACCAGTCACGATGCACGTGCGAGACTTTGACCCAGATCTCACGATCGAAAGTCCTGGTGTTGACGGGGCATGAAAAATCTTTTCACGTTGTACGGGGTATATAAGAGGCGGGAGCGCGGGTGAATATGGGGCACCCATCAACTTCAGATCATCAAGTCCACTGCATACACACACTACACTACAATCACACATCACGAACCAAGTCCTCAAACTTTCGCAAACAATCTCAATCTCAACTACCTCACACCACCAAACACCAAAACCTCAAAATGAGCATCACGGACTACCACCCACGCATTCTCTCCCTCGCCAGTGGCGGCTCTTCCATCATCTCCACACCAACTCACCAGTCTCGCCGCGAGTCTCACGAGTCTGCATACGACGCACATCATTTCACGTCGCAGCAGCAACTGAAGACAGAGAACACACTAAACCAGTCCATCAAGAAGATGTGGAAGGAAATCAAGCACGCGGCTGCTGAGCACCACAAGAGTGTAAACGCGGCCTACCAGGCGAGTTACGGCGCGGGTATCAGGGTGCCTTCTACAGTGTCAAATTAGGATTTGAAGCGTATACTGTGCTTGAATCTTGGGATAGGATGATGGCGATGGGATGTGGAATAAAATGCGGAGAGGGGACGTTCACTGTCTTTGAGGAGGAGAAGAGAAAGAGGAGGAACTAAAAGTGCTTTTTTAATTACTTCAGCATTATACCCCGAGCGCTTTACGCCGAGGAGGAGCGGCCAGTGGCTCTGAACACTGTTAATATCTAATCGAGACAATACTTGTCACGCACCGCGCTGTTCAATCTTCAAACTTGCAGTCCATGATATATGTTACATTGACATTCACCCCTGATCTCTACGCTACTAGCACAACGCTAGTTCCCATCCCCTGAACCCTTGAGTCTGTCATCTATTGTACATATGCATATCGCTTTTGCCGTTGCCTGTTGCTGCACAGGCATAAAAGAAAACTAGTGGGTATCATAAACCGTCATAAGATAGCAAAGCAAACTGGCAGGCAGGCTAGCAAGCCCGACCCCGACCTAAGTCTGTTGAAAGGACCGGGACGCCAGATATGAGGAAAAAAAGACAAAACATCTCGTTAGATGTAGATGCAAACGCCATTCGCTATGCTCCTTAGACTTGCTGAATCATGCGCTTGAAAATATCAAAGTTGAATGTACAGAAAAGGGTTCGAGATGGGGATGTCGCCACTGTTGCTTAATCTGAGAGCTCAATAGCGTCGTCTTCTGTTGTGCCGGGTTGTTGGGCTTGCTGCGCTTGCTGCGGTACCGGCTTGGCGGAATGTTGGGTAGTAGGGTGGCCGAATCGTGGTGTTGTAGGCTTGGCGACGTGTTGCTGCGAGTTGCCCACTTGCTCATCCTCTTCTTCGTCATCGTCATCATCTTCTTCCTCTTCTTCCTCCTCCTCCTCTCCAGTGTCCTCGTCGTAGTCTTCGTACACCTCATCTTGGCTATGCACATGGCCTTCTCCATTTTGTACAAGCGCGATGTCCTCTTCCTCCTCTTCTGTATCCGCCATTTCCGAATCTTCGTCCTGATACTGTGGCTGCGAATGGTGTTGGCCTAGATGTGGCGTAGAACCATTGGTATCATAGTCACCATACTGCTGCTCATTGACTTCCTCCTCTTCTTCAGTCATGATAGCATCCTCGTGTTCGGCGCTCACATCGAGCACCTCAGCGCCGTTAACTATGCTTTGTTCCTCGCTGTACTGCTGATCGGTATATCCCTCCAGTGTATATTCCTGCTGCGGGATATCGAACCCCTGCATTGGGGCAGGGGAGGGTGTTGCTGAAGGCTCGGTGCTGACCGGTCGTGTGCTGTTGGAAGGCGACTTCTTGACATATTGATCGTTGTAAGCACGAATCGCCTCGGGGCCTTTGCCATACAGATGTCGGGGCACAAAACGACTGGCGCGTCCCCAGTATGCCGGGCGATGGTTGGTATTTGTGGCATAAGTGCTATTGCAGAATGCAGACTGGGTGTTCGAAGACGTGGAGAGTCCAAGGTTGGGAACACTCCTGCCCCAGTCATGCTGTAAACCTGGCGGCTGAGTCTGAGGCATTGGTGGCTTCGCTACAAGCTCTCGAGCTTTCGCGATGAGAAGGCTAGAATTTCCGTTGAACGAAGAACGCCCATTTGTCGATATTGCGCCATTGACGTGCTGAAAATGTGACGCCGCGGACTTCGGCGTAGGCGTATTTGCCACGAGCTCGCGAGTCTTCGCGATGAGGTTACTCGATGATCCGTTATGTGAAGATCGCCCATTGATTAGCGTCGCACCGCTCATTGCCGGAGGCGGAGACGCCCCAGATTTTCTGAATGCCTGCTGAATTGCGCGGAACCGAGCCAACTGATCACCGGCTGTAGTTGGCGGAGGCAGCTCGCGATTATTATTCGTGGGAGGCGACAGCTTTGGACGCTTTAGTTCAACCTTAGCCTCTTCCCCTTCATCTGAAGTCGAGTCGAAACTCCGCTTGCGGTGTTTGCTTGGATCGATGCCCATCGCCCGCAACTTGAACCAGTCTGTCTCTGTCCTATCGATAGGCGCAGTCGATTGATGATACGCTTGGGAGTAGCCAACAACCGAGGTGTTACCATTGGTTATTCTGGCTGGAGTAATAGCAGGCTGTCCTGCCGCGGTTTGCGTTGCACCCGTCGGGCTAGCGGTATTTCCAGAAACACTATTTTGCTGGGACATCTGTCCCGCACGACGTTCCTCTGTACGTCTTGCCCGTCGAGCATTTGCCGGTGCAGAAGGTCGTTGGGGAGGCGCGTGGCCATTGGGTCGGTTGTCTGTTGCCACCACATCTGTTTGTGGGGGTAGATCACCTGGTGTTCCTTCTTCCATATTCGCCATCTGAGCCCGCTGTGCCTTTAGTCGTTTTCGCCTCTCTCGAACCTGTTCGGTCCGCTTCTTTTTCTCTACCCATGCGATTATTTTAGCTAAGCCCGCCCGCTTGAGCATCAACTGATTGTGTCTGTACATTTCGTTCGCCAATGCTTTCTTCTTCTTCCACTCCTCATCCACCATAGCCTGCTGTGCAATGTTCAGGGCCGCATTTTCGATAAATTGCATCATTAGTCCCTGCTCTGAGTCGAACATAATATCCGCTGTGAGCGCATGCAATGAGGACTCCCGTTCGCGCACCCGAGCTCTGCGTGCTTCCTCTTCCTGTGCCTGACGTTGCTGCGTCTCTCGAACCAGCCGATCCTGTTCTTCTTTCGCCTGTCGCTGTCGGTCCAGCTGTAGCTGTTGTTGTCGCTGCTGTTCTGCCTCTGCTTCCGCCTGCCTCTGGCGCTGTTCCGCCTCATTCGCCGTACGGGCTCGTTGTGCTTCCTGCGCACGTCGATGCGCTTCCTCCTCTTGCTGTTGCTTCTCGAATGCTTCCCGCTGCTCCTGTGCTGCCTTCTGTCTTTCTGCATCTTGTGAGGCTGTAGAGGCCTGAGGCGGGGGTCCTGCAGAGGTGAAGGACACAGTGGGCTGCATGCCGCCTTGAGGTGTAGTCGTGTCGGGACTCCGCCCAGAAAATGCAAGGGAGTTAGCTGCTTGGGGGGTCGCTGTAATAGCAGGCTGTTCTGACGTCTGGGCCGCAAATCTTGCGAACGGATTAGATTGCGGGGTTGGAGGTGCACTTGCTCCGTTCAAGAATGGATTCGTAGGTGTTGAGAGGACATTGTTGGCTGCACCGACGAGTGGCGCAAAGTGGATGGAATTTCTCGATGCATCGAAGACGCCAGATCTGAGTCCTGGTGAGGCTTGGTTTGGCTGTAACTGTGATGCAGCCTTCAAAAACGGGTTTGTTGCTACAGTAGGAGTGCCCCCAGGCTGAAAGGAAGATGCAATTGGGTTTAGTGGTGTTGTGTCTGAACTTCCTGCAGCAGTGCCTATGCCGATAGCCTGCTGGCTGGAGGCGTTCGTGTTGGCGGTCGAGAATTCTGGGATGAATAAGGAATTCTCGTTCTCCATCTCTTCCTCGACTTGCATGCCTGATTGTGCATCCATTAAAAGTCCGTTCGTTTTCGCATGCTGCACTGAAAGGCCTTGGATGACCGCCGAAAAAGCTCGATCATGTCGCTTAGACTCGACAAGCTGCGCGGAAAAGGATTGCGGTTTGAGTCCGGCGGGAGGTTGAAGGACGTGGTGCGAGTAACCCATCTTGGTGATATCTAGGAATGTCTGTCCGAAGGAATTCAGAGCGAAGACAAAGCCAAAGTCTTCGCATAGCTTGACAGCCTCTTTATCGGTGTCCAGGCCCAGCACATCTTTCAGCTTATCGGTCGTCCAGTCCTCCACTACTACGGTCCGCTGAGAGTTGCCCTTTCGATAGGCGCGCCAGATGCTGTCTAGCACAACATGTCGCACGCGGTTGAAAGAGACCTCGGCTGCACAAGCCATAAGGTAGGACACCCTTGGAGATTTAACTAATTCCCACAAGTTCTTCCAGTTCCCTTGGCACTGAACGAAGGAATTGCTCCGCGTAATAATGACGGATTTGAGCAACTGGAATATCTCGATGGCGATCTGTACTCGACTGTTATGTCGCAGGTCACTGGGTAGGTTGTGTAGTTCGGTCTCGAGTTGATTGTTCGCGTACTGCGGCGCGAGAATGAGTCGATATGCATAGAACTCTGCTTCATTTTCTGAGGGTATACTAGCACGTCGGTTGTCAGTATAACGTTCGCGCAAAGACATCAAAGTCTGATTAAGCTGCTCTAGATCTTGTTGATGGGAGTAGTCGTCTTTGGTGCTACGGGCCATGTGATGCATGGAGACCAAGTGGAAGCGGGCGGTCTGCTCGAGACATGTAAGGAGTATGTTGATGTCGGGGCGCTTCTCAATGCGCTGGGTACGGAGGTCTTTGCGGACGGCTCGCGTGCGATCCCAGATCCAGTTCTGGAGATATTGAAAGTCGTCATTGTCTAGCCGCTGAAAGAGGTATTGGATGGTTTTCTGCCGAAAAATTAATCAAGCAAGCACTGATGTCGCTCCCACTCGACTTACCAGACAGGTGGCGGGAGAGCGGATCTCCGAGACCAGCTCAACGTCCATGCCCGCTGCAGAGCGTGCATATGCCTTGACCATTCGCGACTCGTCTGGTATTCGGTCGGCGCGCGAGAGATGTTCGGTCTCGGGTGTCTAGGTATGTCAGTAACCGAGCCCGCCATGGTGATGTGGCCAGACATACACATTCTGGTGGCTTGACGTCGTTCTCTACGATGCGGCGTACGCGCTCGTATTCCGGGCACATGTCGGTGCAGATGCCAATGAGTTTGACCGAGTCGCTGAGGCGCATCTGGCCCTCTGGGTTCATGAGACCGTCTCGTATGAATCGCTCGCGTATAGCTGGTCGCGCCTCTTTAATCTATACATGTCAGCATTGGGTCGAGGCATTGGGTTCGGTATACTTACATGATGGAGTCGCTTCTTGTAGTCGGACTGCGCATGTGGTGTCGTGTTGGGCGCACTGGCGATATTCGAGTCGAAAGCGTTCCTGGAGATCTGTTAGAATAGGCCGCGAGCGGCTCATTTGGCAGTCCTCGTCCTAGCATAACTAGCTCGCAAGGCGGTGGTTGTATATCCATCCTCGGTGATGGCGTCCTCGATCCGCCCGCGACCTGCGGAAAGTCAGAGAGAAGATGTGGGCTTACCGATTGCCGCCTCGTCCCCGAGTGTTTCCACGCGCACTTTGGGAACCGCGCTGGCTGGCGCTGCCCCGATGTGGTCCACCACTGTGTCCGCGCTGTGCTGCAGGTGCCCGGGGCGTGTAGACGGGTTGCGCAGGGCGCTCGGCGCTGTTTTGCGCAGTAGAGCCATTGCCTCTGCCTCGCCAGCTCGCGCCACGGGTGGGAGTGCTAGTGCCGCGTCCGCCTCGACCTCGGTCACTACCTCGAGCAACGCGTGGTGCCGACATGGTCGCGACACTATCGTGGGTTGCGGTGATGGTGTGCGGGCGGGCTCGGGGTAGGATTGCGGTTGAAGTCGTGAGATAGGAAAGGGAAATACAAAGACAGTATTCCGCACTGCAGACCGAGTCGGGAGTTGACGACGTCGACTGTCGGCTGCTGAATGCAACAAAGGCCCTTGTAGCCGACAACAGCTTCACAAAGTCACCTTCTGAAGCTCCGGCCATGACGCGAAAGTTAGCGCCTTGGCATATTGTGTCAGCCACACGCCCCGCCACAGTTTCACCCGACTGCCACCCCAACCCGACACGCAGCTTGCTCACGACTTTTCACATGCACAGTCTTCATGGCGCCGTCTTTGCATGTAACGTACCGAAATGTTTTGCTATTAATCGTCGACACCATCGTGTCTTTTTGCCCTGTCCCCATCCCATGTGCCCTTACCCACGCTCATCCCTTTAACCTCACTACTCGCCTGGCCTTCTTTCCACCATTTTGTACAACCCATTTTTGCCTCCTCCGAAATACCAAAACAAAAGAGTCAATTCCAATTACGTCCTCCACTAGAAACCGCTATGGTCTTCCATACCAATGTCGTTGCGATGCAATCGTGAGCGGCGTGGCGTCGTGAGGGGTATATTGCATAACAGACGACTGCCAGATTGTAATGTTGCAGTTTGCAAATGCGGAACAAGCACATTTCAGCAAGGATGCCAAAGCAACCAGACTGGTGCACAACCTGATGTTGTGCGTGCTGGAATAGAAAGACGGATTTAACCGTACATTGCGTACATTGCGTACAACAAGGAAAAGTTCGTAATCATGAGTCGTTAGAGTAATGCAAGGGAAAATATCGTATAGAAAACAAACAAATCCGAAACGCGGGTTTTTAAGTAGGCAAGCAGTTCTTTCATCGTCCTTGGTCGACCACCTTGAATTCATCGGGTAACCCATGGAAAGAAGCAGTGCCGAGGGCTACCACGGGCGTGGGAGGAAACACCCCGTCGTATTCGTAGGGAAAGCCGGCATTGTTGGAAGCCATCGAAGCCCCAAAGGCGGAATTTCCAGCTTGCGAAGAGTATGGCGTGGGGAACGCAGGGAATGGGTTCGCATAACAAGGTGCTGATCCAGGGTCGAACGATGATTGAACCGCATCAGAGAAGGAGTTTATATCATCTTCAGTTTGGAAGACCTGGTTCATATAACCTGCATGACTACTAGAGTACTGCATGGGCTGGTTGAGTGAATAAATGGTGCGTAACAAGGACTGATCGTATGGAGGAGGAACTTCACCGCCCTTGACATCTATGTCCGTATCCATGGCCTCGCCCAGTCGAAGGCTATCCATTGACTGATGGAATGACGTGTTGGGTGTGGGCATGGAACTCTTTGGACGGTTGTCTTGCGGAGGCATAGCTGGCGTAGATGCATCTGTCGTAGCTGTGCGCGTGGGCACTGCCAGTACTTGCTGTTGAGAAGTTGCAATAGTCCTCAGTTCTCGTAGTCCACGAGCTTGCTTTCGAGCTCGGGCCTGCTCTTGACGTAGGAAAGAATTGCTGATGGTATCATCGACTTCAGTCTCGTCGGCCGATGCATCGCAGTCCACGATTGGAGCTGGAAGCGGCCTTGCTGTTCGAATCCGCTTCCTTTGGAAAGTTTGCCTAGGCGGCCTAGACGCGGGATGCCATGTAAGCTGCCTGCCATCACCAGGATCGGTATTCCCTGCGCCCTCGTATAAGTTATACTGAGCCAAGTGGTCTTCGTATGACTGAGCGACGTCAAACAGACTGGGCAGGATGAAATTCAGTGCCCGTTCCTTCATTGCCTCACTGAAACTCATACTTTTTGAGGACGAGAATAGTTCTGCTGTGGTTAGTTCGACTGCACACTGAGCCGCTTGCCGAAGCTTAGCGACCCAGGACCCTTTACGCTTCACTTCGTCGATGTCTCGATGCTGAAGCATGACATCTACCGCCAAGGTTTGGAGGTCTGGAATTGTATAAGCTATTGAACACAGATTATCGCATCACGAGATTGTAACTTACGCCCTTTGGAAAGATGCGATGGTTCATTGTACGGGACATCTTGAGGCCACCAGGGCGGGGTGCATTCGGACGGCTGTTCCGAAGGTAGCTGCTTGTGATACGGACCATAGCCACCTAGCCGTCTAGGTTCAAGTTGCTTGATCCAAGCTGTGACGATAGTCCGAAGGGGTCTCGTGGTGAGCTCGTCGAATCGACGACGAAGAAATTTCTTCATTTCTTCAATATCGCCAATATAGAAAGAAAACGATTTTTCAGTCAGAACTATAACATCTTTGTCGTCGTTGTCATCATCTTCCTCGTCTTCGCTGGAAACTTGGGTGGGCCTATGCTGGCTAAGACCGCGGGCAACGGACCGACTTCTCTTGAGAGTCTTTTGCCTCGGAGACTTCGGCGCTACTGAGCTCCCATGAACGGTCTGGGGTTTGCGTGGACCAGGAACCTGGGTCCTTAGGCTCTTATTGACTCTTCGCGTGTACGCCGCATGCTGTTTCGACGCCGCTACGCCGCTTAGCAAAGAGTTGGAAACGGAAGGCGACGCTGTCTTACTCGGTTGTTGCGTCTGTTGTGGTCGAGGGGATGCCTGGGGGGTATTTGGCGAGTGATGGGAGTTGCGTGTTTTCTGTGCAGGCTTTCGCGCCTTGAAACAGTGTTCGAAGCCTGGGAGAGGTTCGTAGACAAAGCCAGGAATCTCGTGATAGTAAGGCAGCTCGCGACCATCGGCGGTGACGATCTTTCCAAGCGGGACTGTTGCAGCGATGGGGATTGGAAGGGCGATATCGTCTTCTGCCTCGTCTTGGGCGACGGTGGCTGTGACAGTGGACGAGGATTTACCCTGGTCGTGTCAGCAATATGTCGACTGCTATTGCCAATGGTGACAGGCTCTTGGTCCCGACGATGTGGGAAAGAGCGGCCGCTAAGAGAGGCGACGTTTGGCAGGCGCGGGCCGCAGCCCTGCCCAACGACGTCTGAACACCAAAAGAAATGGTCAACTCACCAACTTCGGACCAGACTCGCGAGTATCGACCATAATCCAAGGATCAGTACCAAACACACCGAGTTTTGCTGCCGCTTTGTCGCTAGATTGCATTGAGAGTCGATCTCGCTGGGAAGCCGATGTGTTGACGAGCTGAAACTTCGCCATGGGGAGCTGCAGCTAGTCGAGTCGAGTCGCAGCGAAGCGAAGTATAGATGAATGGTTGATTTATGAGGTTGGCGACATGCGAGCGTTTTTGACTGATCAAGGACCGAATGAGGGAAGGCAGTTCTACCTTTACATCATCAGCATCAATCTAATTCTGCAGTGCATCATACGCTATCCATAATGAACAAGGTATGAGTGCCCGAGGAAGCATGCCGCGTGCTTGCTTCGCTTAAACTTTGGCGCTGCTATGCTTACCTGAAGGAGGAAGATCTGATCGATACCCCAGTCAATGGAGAAAAAGCAAGATGACCGTCGGCCGGAGGACACAGAGGGGGTGAAAGGTCGTATTTGAGGTGCGAGACGCCGAATCGATAGTCGAGAACGATAAAGAAGTTGAACAGAATATACGGGAGACGATGACGAGTTCGCCACGGGTAATTGACGAGAAGTCGACGATGCAGCTAGCCGGCAGTAGCTGTTGGCGGAAGCGAGATATGGTCATACAACAAACCGTCTAGTCTTCTGACAGCTTCTTCGATGGTGCGAACCGGAGCAGAGCCTCAGATTCAAGGGTCAAAAGTAAGGAACAGAATCTCGGAGGAAACGAGGTGAGTAGAGCCATCATTGACCAGCCCCTCGAGCTTTTAAAGCAGGCCTTCTCTCTGCTATTGCATCTCTTGCCTAGGCCCAGGGCATCATCTTCTAGGGCCACACGGCATCTACCCACTCTACGCATACGCCCGAAAACACCAGGGACCCCGACTTCTTAAGCAGCAAACGAGCAAGCAGCATCCTATCATGTAGTAGCCTATAGATGTAGTAGGCAGGTTGACAGCCGTTGAGCGTCAAAAATGGCTTGAACTGTGCCCGATAGCCAGGATCAGGGATCAAGGATCTATCGCCCTCAGCTTCCGCCCTCCCCGCCCGCCACGAAGTAGCCGTTCTGCACATGTTTGAATCCGATCGCGGTGAGAAAACGATCAGCGTCGACACGACAAGTGTCTCGCTCCACATCATTCCACGAATGGCGCATGGCGCATGGCCTACTCCCCCCCGCGCATCCAACATGTCTTATTCGTCGAAACCTAAGCGATGAGTCTTGCAAGCAACCACGCTCTTCATCTACCCGACGGAAGCAAACATGACTGAAACAATAGTCACCGAAAAAACCCGCTCCTCCCACACTATTAGCCCCATCTGCATTTTATGAAGCCCCTCCCAGCACAGTAGCGGTACAGCAGAACCAACGGCCAGTTCTTGTGAGACTGCTGGGCATTACGATAGACCTTCAGCATGGCAGCGGGCGTGACCGCCACTATGCGTGCAACCTCCAAAACACGACGTGCATCCCAGGATCTTCCTAGTTCTGTACGCTCGCCTGCCATCTAGAAACCGGTCCAGCCTCTCAGCGCGCTCTGCTCAACCATGGACATTACGTTAGCCAAGTGACATTGCCAGCCCTGCTTCGCGATGCTTTTCCCTTTCCCCGTTCCCCTAGTACTAGAGCCGCCCAGATTACGTTTTACTATGGCTTACCGCTTCCATACCAGCGCTACTGCATTTGCATCTAAGGGGAACCTCAACGGGAATCTCAACGCCTTAGATCTCGGCGATAGCCGCTCACGCTCTCTGCACCGATAGCCCGGTTGATGGTCGAGGATTCCTGCACCGCACGAATCGAACTCAATCGATCTTCCTGTGCGAAGCCCCGAACGAGCTTAGCCGTATCATGGATCGGAAGGGGGCTTCTTTTGTTCGCTAAGGCATGCCAAACCATGGCAACCTCTATGGCTGGCGTGTAGCGCGCTGAACTGCACTGGCGACGCGCACTGCTGCAGCGAACCAAAAACTGAAAATCAAAACGTTTTCGTACAACCACCTCATTAACGGCTCCCACATAGATGTGCTGCGAACGTCAACTACGATTTTCTAACGCAGACCACCAAATTCATTCCCAGAGCCTGGAAAACAAGAGACTCGAGCCGTTCATGACGCCTCTGGACAGGGAGATAGCTCCGGGGGAACGCGATCCGCTCGGTACATCTCTGTAGCGTAGTCCAAAAACTGCAACGGCCCGTTTAGCCTCCCCCCGCCCGGGCGAGACCTGCAAGAAGGGAAGATGATTGGCAAGCCCATCATCTCCACCTCATCTCCGTATGCAAACATTGCTTGCACTCTGCCCCATTTGAGTTAACTGCACGAGAGGGGCTGTTTAGTGTGATGCAAATGGTCAGCATGACAACGCACATCCTCACGCCTTCACGCCTTCACGCAAGCATTGAAATGATGTGAGGCTCAATTTAATTCAGCAATAACAGGCTGCAATGATGCTTCATACTAAAGTATAAGATAACAGAGAGAAATATATTCGGCGATTATTCATGTTGAGCCTCGCCATGTACACTAAGTTTGGTTATTCCAAGTTCACCGAACAATGGTGTCATCAATTTTGCTTTTTCCCACCCATCTCCACTTAACGCTGTCATGTGGCAGCCTCCTTGTGTAACCGACGTCGTCGCGACGCCTCTAGGCCAGTGATGGAACGTCCACCGCGCTTGACTGCTATTTGTGAAGGTGAGGCGCTGCGCCATTCCGGGGAAGCCCATCCGCACGCCAGGTAGCTGGTCTTAGCCATCTTCTGCAAGAATGATCCGATATGCCTTCACATCCACCGGCACTTCGCACCCTCCCACCTGGCTGTATAAACCCTATTTATGATTGTGACATATCGAGAGAGTTAAGGAGATTAGCTTCCTTGACCAGTTCGTAGAATAGGCCTTTCCGTCGAACCAGCTCAGCAGGTGTATCAAACTCGGCCACCGTACCCTTGTCAAGCACAATGATTCTGTCCGAGTCGAGAATCGTGTTGATCCTATGAGCAATTGTGATGATGGTTTTGTTGTTGAACATGCTGCTTCGTAGTGTAGTTTGAAGCAACGCGTCCGTTTCTACGTCGACGGCGGCCTGAGATCATAAGTATGACAATGATTGAGGGAGAGCTCGACTCGGGGCTTTTACTTACCGTTGCTTCATCCAAGACCAGGATATTGCTAGGTGCTAGAAGTGCGCGCGCTAACGAGACAAGTTGTCGTTGCCCAGAGCTGAGGTTGGACCCTGTAGAGGTGTAAGTTTCGCATGAAAATCGATCGTCAAACGAGTGGCGCAAGACTTACCTCCTTCATTAATATGGGCGTCCAGCTTCCCTGGCATACTCGAAACGTGGTCTTTGAGGCGTGCGTGGTCTGTCATCATGTTAGCTACCATGGGAAAACCTTTGTGGTAGGCGTTCTACATACCCAATACACTCCAGAGCTCAGTGTCATCATGAACGTGGGCCGGGTCGAGATTGTCTCGTACAGTTCCCTCGAAAAGCGCGGCGTCTTGCGGAATTATGGCTAATCGTCTACGGAGGTCAAGCAGGCCAATGGTGCTTGTATTAAGCTTATCAATGCTCACAAAACCCTCTGCGGGTTCAATGATACGGAACAGCGCTAGAGTAAGTGAGCTCTTGCCTGCTCCTGTGCGTCCGACCACCCCAATTTTCTCCTTTGGCTTAATTTGAAGGTTAATGTTCTTCAGAACTAAATTCAGACCCGGCCGATACCGGGTGCTGTAGTCGTTGAACGTGACAGCGCCCTGAGAAGGCCAGCTGATTGGCGGCCTGTTCTTAGAGATGATCTCTGGCGCTTCGCTCGGCAGAGCTGCATATTCAAGGACTCGTTCGACCGACACGATGTTAGTCTCCACTTCAACGGTCTGCCGAACGATCCAGTTCAGGCTCTGAGTAATCTGGAGGGCATATGACATCACCAGACCCACCATGCCAGCGGACAGGCCGCTATGGCTAGTGACAGAGATGATAGCGAAACCAGCGGCGGCCAAAATGATGACTGAGCCAATAAGTTCCAGTCGAACTGCTAGCCATCGGTTGGCGCTGATAGAAGGGTAATAGGCGCGTAGATTCGCATCCACTCGCCACTCGTTCTCCAGCTCGAAACGCTTTTGCTGGTGGTACGCACGGATCGTGCTCATGCCGCTGAGGGACTCCTGAAAGTGCGCATATATAGGGCTGCGGCTAACGCTATCGAGCCGTTTTAACTCCCGCGAGGTCCGCAGATAATACCTCTGGATGTACAAGTAAAGCGCGCCCAGTGGCAAGATGAGCGCAACGAAGATAGGGGTGGAGGCAGAGATAATAACAAGGGTGAACCCGGCTACATCGGTCAGTCAATGGTGGCGCAAGGAATAACGGAGACACGCTGCATACCTCGGGCGGAATTGACGAAGAGCATATTAAACGTTCGGCTAGTGCAATTAGACACCATCCGTGAGTCGGAGATTATATAGGCACTTACGCTAGTACTTCATCCACGCGGTAAATGTCACTGTAAATACATGTTAGCGGTTGCAAAACAAGCCCGAATGTTCGTCGATTTAGACACCATCATCGTAAAAACCACTGGTGAGCGGATCATTGGTGCACTTGGTGGTGGGCTCTTGGGATGAACCTAGGTACGGATAGCGGCAGTTTACCTTGAAAATCTGTTCAGGATGCGTCCTGCAGGAGTCGTTTCGAAGAAACTCATTGGAGAGCGGAATATCGCGAACGCCATCCGCTCATGTAGCTTACGGCTAGCCTAGGTGCCAATTAGTCCATGCAGCCCTTCATGCACGCCATGCGAGGCGGCCAAGCAGATGCTTACCTCGATCGAACAGAAGATCCAGAGAATGAGCGTCTGTACGACGACGAGTGCAGCAGATCCAACGCCAAACGCGAAGTAGATGCCGATGAACTTGCCCACGTTGGGGTTCCCGCCGTATCGCTGATTAACTTCTGACCAGTTTTTAAGCCACACACTTGCGCCTACAAAATTTAGCGTTTGCTACAAAAAGATGAAAAAGTGACGAGCCAATCGCATCTCACTCACCAATGGATCCAGTCTGCGCTCCGAGAAGCAGTAACAAGTAGATGACGACAGCCGCGAGATTGCTAGTCTTTGCGTATTCACCATACACAGACCACTTAACTTTGCCTTGCTCCGAGAACTCCTTCGATTGCTTACTCTTCAGCCCGCCATCCTCTTCGTCCGCAACTTTGCCGCGAGGTCCTTTGAAGCTTGCGGTGCTGGCACGGCGAAGAGTATGAAAGCTAACCTTACGAGCAGCCTCGCCTGCGGTTTTCAAGGGTGCAAGATACGCAGTATTCTCTTGTGCGGCTTCGGCTTCTACGCGATCTTCCTCATCCTCATTATCGACTGGGCTTCCGCCATACACAGTAGACTCTTCATCGCTCATGATGCTCTCGGACGTTTGATTACTGTCGGCTTCTCCTTGGTCCTCGTTCTGTGATGTCTTGATCAGGTTTGCGATCTCACCTTTCATCGCCATAAGCTGGTCGTAGCTACCCCGCTCAAGGATTGTACCCTCTCGCAGAAGTAGAATATTGTCAGCTTCCATGAGCACTGTAATGGAATTCGTCGCAAGGATCCTTGTCTTTCCGGCTAAGAGACCCTTCGGACCGAGAACGTTGTCAATCAAGTGCCTTCCGACATGCTGATCGACCGCCGACAAACAATCGTCAAGAAGATAGACATCCGCGCGGGCATAGACAGCTCGAGCTAGGGTAAGTCTAGCCTTCTGCCCCCCGGACAAGGAGATCCCCCGTTCGCCAACTTCCGTTTGGTCGCCATCTGGAAGCTGTGCGAAGTCATCGCGCAATGCGCACGCCTGGACAGTCTTTTCGTAGAACTGAGGATCCCACCGGTGCCCAAATACGATGTTCTCTCGTACGGAGGCGTTCATCACCCAAGCTGATTGAGGTACATAGGCGGTCTTTCCTCGAAGCACGACTTCTCCATGGATCTTCCACAAATCGCCTAGCACTGCTTGCAGAAGCGACGACTTCCCTGATCCTACACGACCAACAATGCACGCGAGCTCTCCCTTGTGTACACTGAGATTGATGTTGTGAAGTGCACGACGCTCAGCACTCCTGTCCCAGGTAAAGCTTGCATCTCGGATGCGGACTGATTCGTCGCCGTTTTCTTGCACAGCGCTCTCACGAATGACGGCATTCTCTTGGAGTTCATCTGCGGTCAGGTATCCGGTGATGCGGCCTACGGCAACGCTAGCCTCAACAATCGCCGTAATAACCATTGGAAGGATGGCGAGAGGGAACGTAAGGAGATTGAAGAGCGTAAGAGCAGGGAAGACAATGTCGGTCGTCAATGGGCGATTCTGCGTTAAAACAAACACACCAAACGTCGAGCAGGATACAAGGAATGGGGTGGTGGACCACGTAAACGTGGAGAAAGCCTGTGTGGCGCCTATTTTGCGTAGTGTCTTGAGCTCCTGGTCATTACGAATATGATTCAGGCGACTCGCGAACGCTGTCGTCCAGGCGTACAGTTTGATCGACTTCATGTTGTTTAGAATCTCTGAAATGAGTTTCGTACGTGCATCCTTGTTCTTCATCTGTTCTTTCTGTAGTGTCTTCATCCATCGTGCGATGACGCCGTTGACTGGTATCATAACGAACATGGCAGCTACGCCTGCAAAGCAGCTGTAGCCGACCAGCTGGTACAGCGAAAGCATACACAATACGATTTGGAATGGAGCTGACCATAGCTGCTGTCCGTACTGAGCCAGATCCTGAAGTCGCTGAGTATCCACGGCCATGTAGTTGACGATGTCGCCGGTGGATTTCGACGCCCTGCCTTCGTTTGACAAGCGAGTAGACTTGGAGTAGATGGCAGCGGTGAGAGAAGATTTGATGCGCATGCCCGTCTCGAAGGATCGCTGGAAATATTGATGTAGGCAGGCAGTCTGGGATATGGAAACGGCAAACATGCCGAGTGCAATGGCAGCGCCTCGTATTACAGGCTGAGGCTTACCGACGTGGTAGGAATGTACGAAGCTAATCAGGAGCCTCAGCAGCTGCGGTTGAGCAAAGTTTAAGATGTCGCTTATGCTCTTGATGGCTGCACCTCTGAAGTAAGGGCCACCAAACGAGCGAAAAAATGCTAGCCACAAAGACGGGTGCTTCTTTTCCATCTCCTTTGCCCATGCCTTCTCAAATGTCTCTGATGTGTGTCGGGTTGAGTCTCGCTTTCGCAGGTTCCACAGATCGTCCTGCGTGAGAAAAGTGTTGTAGCCGCGCTTCATCAAGGGGGTCATCCAGCCAAAAGTCAAGACGGAGAAAACATCAGCGTATTCGTATGGGCATTCATCGTCGTCTCCTAGCATATCGTAATCGCTCATGCGTTTCGGAACCAACCATTCCAGAACAAACGAAAGCGCAGCCAGTCCAACACTAGTGCAGAATACGGCGAAGTATGCGACATGTTCGCGATGTAATTGTTGGGCTACGAGCGAGCGGAGCTTGACGGCGTATGCGATGAGGAGGAGGAGCCAGTAGAAGAGGGCCACGCCGTTGGCGTTCCGCGACCTCCAATGCTCGATATACTGGATGTAGAATACGACACCGAGGGAGACTATAGTCATAATACTGGTCCAGAAGCGAAAGTCGCCAGCCCAAACATCTTTGTAGTATTCGATCTGAAGTGCAGCTTGCACTGCGGTTGTGACAATAAGCGCACCTAGGGCAATCTGAGGAGGCGCAAAGTATCAGCCCCTGTTCATATATATATCCCAGTGTGGAAAGACATGTCACCTACCAGTTTCGCAAAGAAATGCCAATTGCGCTTCACAGGCTGCGGTGGGCAATTCCTGTAAAGATACCACAATGCGCCGGCACCTCCCACAATGCCAAACGCTGCTACCACGGCTATCCAAACATCGAGAAAACACGGTGTGAAGTCATAGCGTATAGGGCTTATCGGGCCCCATCCTTCGCTATTGCCACATAATGGTTGTCGTTGGTGCTTCGACGCCGTGAGATAGCCGTGTACAAGCGGGATGGTGGGGAGAAAGGGAGTCTGCTGTCCCTGCATCGATCGTACTTATATGGCGATGCCGCACTCTATGTCGTAGAGTCAAGGTAACTGTTGTCGAGCGGCGGTGAAGACAGAACTCTTGCCCGTGCTGCACTTTTAGAGAGGTTGACGCTCGGGCCGTCGCCGACATGATATAATCATCCTTTGATTAGCCCCGGTAAAGCCGCTACTAGCTATTTCGTAGGCTCTACGACACCTATCACGAAAAGTCCAACCCGGACACAGTTGATTTCAGATAGAGCCAATCGAAACACAGGCTCAAGGAGGACAACCTGAGGCTTGCATGGCAACTCGTGGTCTTATACCACTGACAAGCCGATGTTCCGGCCGTTGTCCGACGAAACGACCAGGCGTGCGACGCGTCTAGTAAGCACATGAGCACCTGCATTTCTTTCATCTACACCGTGATATGTGGATGCGCCCTACGGACAGATATTGAGCCGCGCCCGCTCTGATCTATGATTGTGGTTCTCTGAAGCGTCAAAGATGATAAGACAGCTGAAAACCAGACGGGTTTGACGTACTTCATGTACATGGTACTTATTCTAGAGCTCACTTCTCTCCTCGTACACGTGCTCCGAAGTACTCGATACCAGACCTCTCATCACCTCGTTCGCCGCTCTCAGATGCTGGAATTTCGGTGCATCCTCACCAAGGCCCCACGCAAATACACCTCCGAGCGCCGACTTCTCGACAAGGGCATGCAACTTGTACTGAATAGCCGTGGGCGTATCCCACGACCAGAATAAGCGCTCTTTTTCATCCCAGTAATAATAACCTCCATCCTCATATTTCCCCTCCGCTATCGCCCGTTTGAACGACTCGGAGAGTTCGAGTGGGATCGCATCGTGCCACGAAAATGCCCCGGCCTTCCCTAAATCTGCTCCAGTGCTAGGATCTTCCATAAGGTCCGTCCTACATCCTATGGGGCTGATATGGCAGTCTGCATCTGCCGCAGTTTTGAACCACTTCACATAGAATGCCAATCCTAGATTCGCCTTTTCGAAAGGAACGCCTCGCTCGAGGTACGCATTAATCGCTCTCTGTGACAAGTCCAGTCCCGTATGGTGCTTTGTTACATTATCCCGCCTATTCATCAAATCATATGCCATGATGTTGAAAAAGTCAACAGACTGCGCAATCAAAGGGATCGTGCCGTGCGTAAAGGCTAGCATATCCCGTGGTAACCCAGGCACCGCTGCAGAGATGATGTGTGAGGGGCCGATGGCTGTTCGTATCTCAGCGAGAAGCTTTGGATACGCCTCGATTTCCCAGGCCTTCTCGCCGTTGAGGTGCTGCTTGTAGTCTTCGCCGTTACCGCTGCAACAAGTTGTTAGCAACTGAGGTCTTGGAGGAGGTTTCGCCTTGTGCTAGATGCTGTACCCACCCAGGGTACTCCCAGTCAATGTCAACCCCTTCGGCTCCAGTCACGTCAAGCATAGCCTTCACATTTCTTGCGAATAACTCCCGACTCTCGTTCGTCTTTGCTGCTCTCGAGAAGCCGTCCGTATCACCCCAACCGCCTATTGCCACCTGTATCGCTGTCCCAACAGCAAACTTGGGGCGTACTTCTTCAATGGTTGTAAAAAGCGGCCATTCAGTGCGTCCTGCATCGTTGAAGAAGTCAGACCGCATAAAAGCGAGAGTAACATGGGTGACATCCGCAACCAACTCTGGTCTCGGCACTACGTTGTGCTGCCTAACGATCCTCAGCTGATGCTACCGCCTGCTAGGCAAGTCGATATACCCAGTCAAGTACATAATGTATTTATGTTTCGATGCATCAACCATGGCGATGGTCGTCATGAGGAGCCAAGAAAGCTTAGAACGAGACCACGGAGCAGTCATGATGGACAGTGCACTCCGGGAGCAAAAGGGTTTGATTCTCAAGTCGTGGACAGCCAAAATACATACAACAGCTAGGACCCACTTAACTACCAATCCGCCGAGCTGATCGGGAGCCTCTAAGATAGAAGCCGAGCTAGCGCTAGCGCGGGGCTGCTTACGTAACCCCACACGCTCGAGAATTTCTAGCCGAGTGCGCTCTTCAAATTTCTCCACATCACGAACAGCAACAACCACCAACTCCAAGATGCCGCCAAAATTCGATCCGAGCGAAGTGAAGGTCATTCACCTGAGGGCCACGGGCGGAGAAGTTGGTGCCAGTTCGGCGTTGGCTCCCAAGATTGGACCTCTCGGATTGTCCCCCAAGAAGGTCGGCGAGGACATCGCAAAAGCCACAGGCGACTGGGTCAGTAGAGCAATTCGGAAGATGGCATAGTTACTTATATTTGTCTAGAAAGGTCTCCGCGTAACCGTTAAGCTTACGATCCAAAATCGCCAAGCAGCCGTCTCGGTCGTTCCCTCCGCCTCCTCCCTCGTCATCAAGGCTCTGAAAGAGCCTCCTCGCGATCGCAAGAAGGAGAAGAACATCAAGCACACCAAGAGCGTTCCTCTGGAGGAGATCATCAGCATTGCCCGAACCATGAGGTTCAAGTCAATGGCTAAGGACCTGAAGGTGAGCATAAATTGTATACTCTTGAGGTTGACTGATACTCATTTATCATAGGGCACCGTAAAGGAGGTTCTCGGCACCGCTTTCTCCACAGGATGCCAGGTGGATGGCAGGAGTCCCAAGGCTATCAGTGACGACATCGAGTCAGGAGAGATCGAAAGTATGCTATATTCCTTTCCCAGTACTAGTCCGAACGCGCTAACCGATGCAAGTCCCCGAGGAGTAAGCTAGCACATTTCGGCGGTGCACGGGTTATGGTTTTTCACGGATTATGGTTCAACTGAGATGGATTTCTGAGCTTTAATACGGGCGTCATTGTGAAAATGGCAGCCCGTAATGTCAATCTTCCACCAAGGGTCTTCAATGAAAAGACGTAAAGCTTTGACTACATCATCTAACTCTCCTATGTCTTATTGCGACTCATGTGGTCGGTTAGGGTTCAAACCATACGGAACATTCGACCGCGCGATCGCCCGGTTCCTCGAGATCAGACAGAGCACACCAATTATCCAATTCATGTGGTGGCTCTATCTCCAATCCTCGGTTGTACTGTCGCCATTTTGATTGACATGCTCAAGCTGCTCAGTCGCTACTCCGGCATCAAGTTCGCCTGTCTGCCCTGGCCCACCATTTGATGCATTATCAAAAGGTCTCGTCTCAGCTGCCTGAACAGCCCTCGTAAAGAAGCATGTTATTCTACGTGATAGCGACTACGTTTATGGTACGAGAAGACAAGGTAGCCTAGATTGCCGTAGACATCTGTCCAGCGCTTGTGCGCGTTGACCATAAATCGACCACTCATGGAAAAGCCTACAGAAGAGAATGCCGAGCTATAATCTGAATTCTGTGGAAGAACGCAATACATCGTCCCTAGAGCCCTCAGAGCAGCGACAGCCTCCGCCAAGTCATCATCGGTACGAGTAAAGCCAGCATATATCCAGTCGAAATTCTCAACCCAATCAGTGATCTTATGAAGTTTGTATTGAGCATCCTAATAGTTTGCTATTCGATTCCATGCTTTTGATGCGTCTCAGCACGTCACTCTACCATATTGCTTTGGTGTTGCGTTGATGGAGCGCTTGAGTTTTGTGGTTGCCCTCGTCGATTCTCACCCTACTCTTACTTGTATAATCAAGCTTTGCGTTTCAAGAGGCAAGCAACCCACTCTCCTCCGTCACATATTCGCCCAAACGCTGCCGCTGATCGCTCAGAAGTAGACCAGCGTTGCCGAATACCTTCCCCCGGTTCATCGGTCATAGACCGGATACCAACGCCCACGCGCGAGGCAGTGATAAGATCCTACGCCATGACTTTCGGTCGCGATATCGTAGCAACATCCCAGGTGGACTTTCAGGCCCCAAAAGGCCACATCATTTGCCATACTTCTCTTTCTTGCTCAGTGTTGGCGAATTTTTCAATAATCTGGTCCTTGAGCTGCGCTAATGCGTGTAAAGTCTCTTCGTATTGGTCTGGCTTCACTATTCCCTGTTCAGGGAATAATTCACCCATGCTGTCCCTTATCAAACGCATCGCCTCCATACCTCGAACCACACCTTCAACCTCGGCCTCAATTTCTTCTCGCTCCTTCGTTGAGAACGAGAAAGGATAAATCGAGTCTTTAGCTCCAGGAAGAGCGTCCCATGTTTTGTCTAATTCTGCAACTTGCATCAGGTAGGATGCCTCGCCATCGATAAGGAGATTACGTGCCAAGAGTAAAAGTAGGTAGCTTGTCGTTTGCTGGAACTGAAGCGCAGCGTAAAGCCGTGGATTTCGGCCGTGTGTCAGAGTATTGTATAGAGAGCAGAGCGATTGCTGTAAGTACAAACTCTCGGCTTTCTTCTTTGCGCTTTCCTCAAGCCTTTCCATATTACTTGGTGGCTGTGGCCGCTCCAAACCGTAGACAGAAGGGCCATCGTAGTCAATGATCTGAGGTTGGCGGGCTTGGAAATAGAGAGGAGATATCTCGGTAGATTGCCAATCTATGAGGCCTACAACCTTAGTAGGCTCAGAAGGATCGACGAAGATGTTAGCAACGTGTAGGTCACCATGCCAGAGATGCGCCGATGAGATAGCTGGATCTGTAGGGAGGAGGAACCTAATCAACTTAAGATAGCAGTCCAAAGCCCTCAGCTTCCTTTCTCTCGTTGGCTGGTATGTCCCTGGACCGCAAAGGGTTATTGGAGACTTAGGCAGGTGAGGAAGTTGGCTGATGCAGGCTACCTCTCGGTGCCCAATTGCAGTGTGGTATGCCTCTAGAGAACGCCCTTAGACTTGTTAGTCAAATGAGCTCTATAAAAACGCAAATCTTACATGGCCCCCTATCAAAGTTGATAGTCGCTCTCCCATTGTCGGTTGATTCGCGTCCTGTAGATGGACCAATAGCGAATTTTTTATCTGTAATGCCCACGCCATTTGCATCGACGTACAGCTCCTCGCCTTCAGTTGTTGCGTCTAAATCATTCGAATAATATAAACTTCCAAACTTCTTAAATGAAACTGAAGTCCAGGCTTTCTGGAAACCAGCAATGGTCTTCACGATAGTGAATCTATCTTTGATGGCCATGTTCGGCCAAAACTGCTCTAGTTCGGTTCCTGCCACCTTTTCCATGATGATGTATTCTGCGCCAACGGGATTCTCTTGGGCTTTCGAACTCCAACTCAAGACTCGAGGAATAGGAGTTCCGAGATTGTTTCGCGCCTGTGATATTTCAGTTAGTACCCGGACGCAATACAACGTTAGAAAAACATACGAAATCCATTGTCGCAACTTCGCTTGCGGTGGTATAGTGCTGCCTACCAGCATTTGGATTTGGAACCTTGGCCACAACTTGCGAGCCATTATCCATGGTGCAAAGCATACTCTTGTTGTACATGCCGTCTGGATGTTTTTCTATGGTAACACATGACCGTGCTCCGATAGCTTCGGCGGCACAACGGGCTAGCTCGTTGACATTGAAACGGACTTGGCGCTGTAACATCTCACCTTTCTCATCACAGACAAACCGACCGCGAGTGTAAATGAAGAGATCATCACTATAACTCAGACCTAATTGAATAAGTAACATGACGAACGCGTTTAACAGAGCCAACTTACCAGGGCGCAACGTTCGAGAGACAGTTCGAGGAGAGCGGGTGTCGGAGGTTGCCACAGTTCTCTTACTTGATATCTTCCAGACATATTTGAACAATGTGACAGTTTCCCGCATGATGCTCTCAATCAATATTGTTGATAGGATGTGTGTCCTGAGTAGCCTTACGGCAGGTGGACGCTTGAAATATAAGCGGCTAAAAGCTGGGGCTGTTCAGCGAGACGCTAGGCTAAAAAAGGAAATGTACGAATCCGAGGTCCGTGTCATCGTATGGAATCTGTGGTGGAGAAGCTAGTCGTAGCGATGAGCTTATCTTATGTCTTTGGGTTGAGAGTCTGGAGATGAGGGTTATGGGTGAACAGGCCGATCTGCATGTATCAGGATCTCAACAACCCTGGGCATTGAGATAGATGTACACCACTACTAGGAACTAAATCCTATCTATGAACAAGATATCGTGAATCAGGGAAGTTACAACTGAATGTGAAATAGTCGGGACAATAGATTTCAAGTAGCGATTACCAAAGGGAAAACAGGAAAAACATTGCAACAATCCTTTTTATTCAGCGTGTTTATTTAAGTTACGGGACTCGTCAAAGCGGGATAAAACCATTATTATGATATGATGACGAAGGAACTAATCCTTAAGTAATTGGAAGCAGCTCTCTCTACATCCTCTACCTCATAAAGATAGGACTTCAGAATGCGAGAAGAGGGAAAACAAACCTGTACGCATCCGTCCAACTACTCTCTATGGACAATATCTTCTACACTCAACGAGATAGCCCCTTCACATTACCACACACATAGATCCTTTATCATCATCTCGCCTCCTCTCATGCTCCTTAGTTTTCTTGTGCTTCCGTTTTGGTCGATCTTTGTCCTGCTTATGAGCAGGTTTTCGTTCACTATGGCTAGACCTACTGGATCTGGGACGCCTTGAAGAATCTGGAACTTGCAAGCTCGTGTACTTGCTCAGCCACGATTCCAGCACGCGCTTGATCTTTTCCATCAAAGCTTTAAGCGTAGCCTCGTATGGCGCGAGATCTAGAGATGATTGGTGTTGCGAATTTCTGCCTTTCATGATATCTTTGAGGGGCTTCTCTAGATCTGTAATGAGTTGTTTCCGGTATCGTTTCAGTGCTTCCGCTGTTGGGAATTGTTCTGTTAGCATTATTTCAATGCAGGCAAGTTCACACGCGACGATTATCTCGAAGAGAACCTACAGGATTCGTCCGTATAAATCTCGATACTCCGATTCGCCTCTTGCGCAGCTATAGAGGCAGTGTTGAAATGATTCGTGTATCCATTTGCACCGTCCACTATCGTCTTACAAAAGTGCTTTCTCTGCTCCCTATCAACTACAATACGAGAAGTACTCTCGCGAGACGACTCGACGAGGTCGGCGATTCTGCCAAGAGCGGTAAGAATAGATTCCAGGGCCTCGATGTTACTTAGTGCGCTACTCGAGGAGAAGGATTTGCCGCTGTATTCCTCTGGGTGCTTAATCCTGGAAGAAGCTGGTGCCATTGTGAAGGTTTGAATGTGAGAGAAGTCGGTATTACACATGGAATAGCGGGAATGTTGACCAGCTTATATGCTGACCGTCATCTCAGCGTTATCAAGAGAAGTAGTGTGCATAAATACATTACCACATTTCGTGGTCAGCAATGAGGCAGTGTGTTGTACAGTATTGCGGCGAAGCGTAGACACTAGTGCTTCTTGGTTGCGTGCATATGAGCTTCTGTCGATTATGTTTACACAGCCTCATGCAGATTCAGCTGCGGCTGATTGACTGATGACCCCTCACCGGAGCTCCAAGTTCGACCCACATTCACCCGACACGACCCTCGAACACCAGGAAAGTAGTTATCAGAGCTGCCGACATGGCACACGAAGGAATAAACCCACAAGTCAATAGTGATAATTCGAAAGACTCCATCCTTCTGCCACAGTGCCGGTGTGGCCCAGCTCCAGGAGACGATTTCGGCCCCCAATACTGGAATGACCTTGTCGACTACGCACAGCTTGCACCTGACGAGCCACCACTCGGAGATTTTCGAAAATTACAAATCATAAACATAACACATCTCGTGAACCAACTCTCGCGCATCAAAGCATCCATTGAAAACGATGAAACGGTAACCGCGGAACGGATGCGTTTGCTGCAGCAGACATTGCACCAATATGGTGAACACCCATCCGAAATCTATATGCGTAAAAGACATGCACTAATGATGAGCACAGCTGACGCAATAAGAGACTACCAAGCAATGAACTCCCTTCGCGAACTTCCAGATTACGCAAAAGATACACGAATGGATCTTGAAGGCCAATTCCCTTACCTCGCAACTCCATACCAAGGAAAAGCAAATCGACCTTACGATACGCGCTATCGTACCACCAAACCTAAAAAGTCACAGCCTCAAGATCCTATTCGCGAAGTACTCCGGAAAATCCTGCCGAATCGCCTGACCTGGCCGGAGGAAGAGCGCAAAGCGAAGAGGTCCAAATACGGTGCCGGAAAACCGCCGGAGATGTATTCGCGATTCGTTGATTCCGTTGCAAGATTCATTATCGGCACGCTTGGTGGTTGTGCACTGATCGTGCCTATGGTCATTATGTCGTTAGATTCGTCTCTGACAAAATCTTTGATTGTCACGTCCGTGTCCCTTGTGGTCTTTGCGCTGGTCGTGGGACTGGTGTTCGAGACGGATAACAAGGATACAATTATGGCTACAGCGACGTATGCGGCGGTTTTAGTGGTATTTGTAGGTAATAGTGGTGGTGCAGGTGGTGTGGCGAGCCAATCATGACGTTATTTTCGTGTTGTTTGAAGATTAAGTTCTCCGGATCAATATGAGAGAGGTCATGAGATTACCAAGAGAGTATTTCCAAAGCGCCTACGCCCTAGTTGAGCTATCGCTAGTTCTGTAAAGGTACTTTGAGTGCGCAGATGCCGGATAACACATCGAGTCTTCCAGGTTCGGTCGAGACAAGCCATGAGTGAGGCCGACCTTGAGTTTGAGGATCCCCAGCAATGGCCATCTCTTGAGGGAAATTATAGGCTAAAATAGGTCATGATTATTATGATCTTTAAGATATGATTGAAACGTCGCGGGTCGAGCGATCGACACAAGAACCATCAGCAGACCAGTTAGCTTTACCGGACGAAATCCTCTTAAGGTACCAAAACGGCGCGTTTTTCGTTGAAAGAAAACCAATAGCAGGTGTAAATAGATACTTGCTCAATCTTAGTACAACATCGGTTGAAGTTCGGATTGGATTGCGGGGCTTGAGCGGGGAAGGAACTATAGGTAATTCAAGCTCTCCGCATTCTACCTTACATCTTTGTGCTCTCACTTGGCAACATCATAATCTGATCTTCAAAGTAAGGTTTATACACTTCCAAGCAGAGACGATTTAGTCTGCATAGACAGAGGCCAACAATCAGCTGAGCGAGGAATGCTGAACTGTCGTGCAGGAGGTCTATACGATATCACGTCATTGGCATCCAAAGTTGGTCAATCCCATGGAACACATCTGGCCTTTTTCACGTCTGCTGAACAATCAAAATGGGTCCAATCATCACCTCGTTCTTTACTCTCTTATCTTTCGAATATGCGACTCGTCGCTAAATATGCGGTTATCACTGCCCTCATTCTGCCTCATATGGCGCCATAACAGCCATTTACACTTGGAAAATCAGCTGGATTGGCCACCCTCCAAGTTCTAGAACCGAGCGAACCCCGATAAATGCTTATTCGAAATGCCAGCCACCTCTTGCGAATGTACCTTGTGCGAACTCCAGGAAGCGAAGAAGCTGCCTATGCTAACAAGTTAATTGAGCGAGCGATAAAGGTCAAGTTCGGATGTGAGTCATGGTATCTATATCTCTAGCTTTGTCTCCGTATCTCTATCTATCAATCTTATCGTTGTTCTTGCACACTTTAACGAAAGGATTGTGTATTCTCATTAACCCACCATGGCTAACAAAGCCCCATCGATCGCGTCCTCAACGCCCTCCCACAACTGGCGCGGATGGCTGTGGGACTCAGCCGACGTATCTAAAGAGGAAAGAAGATTTCTCTTTAAGCTGGACGCTACTCTGTTGACATTCGGAACTCTTGGAATGCTGATCAAATGGATCGACACTTCCAACATCACTAATGCTTTTGTATCGGGAATGAAGGAAGACCTCAACCTCTATGGTAACCAGTACAACTACATCATCGTCTCCTGGACTGTTGGCTACATTATTGGGCAGTGGCCATCCAACATCATCTTGACTCGTGTCCCTGCACACATCTGGATCCCCTTTCAAGAAATTGGCTGGACGATTTTCACCTTCGCGCTGGCTGGTGCTAAGTCCTATCGTGCGCTGCTAGGACTCCGCTTCATAGTCGGGCTCTTTGAAGCGGGTTACTGGCCTGCTCTATACTACGTGCTTGGGTCTTGGTACAATAAACGTACGTTACTATCGTCTCACCATTGAAGACAATGTTACTAACCCATTCCGATAGGTGAGCTTGGAAAACGAAACGGTATCCTCCAGTCAGCTGTATCAATTGCACCAATCTTCAGTGGCTTCTTGCAAGCTGGTATTTACAATGGTCTCAATGGCCATGCAGGCCTGGCTGGATGGAGATGGTTGTTTGGTACGAGACCGCTCCCCGAAACTGTATTACGTCGTTGTTAACGGTCATGTTTCAGTCATCAATGGGGTCATATCCTTGCCTATTGCCGTTTTAGCCTACTTCTTCCTACCCGACACTCCAGGAACCGCCAAACCCAACTGGATCTTCAGTGAGCGTGTAAGTGCTTATGTTCTACGTGAGGAGCGAAAAAGACAATAATCTGACACATATTTAGGATATTCAAATTGCCAAAGAGAGAATGGCAAGAGCCGGTCGCAAACCTGAAGGCACCCCGTATACTGTAAAGACCATTCTGGGCTTTCTAACAAGCTGGAAAACCCTTCTTTTCACACTCATCTTCATGATGCAACCATTTGGATCCCAACCCTTTACGGCGTTTGTATTTTGGCTCAAAGCACATAATAAGAAGGGCAAGCCTCTAGTATATACCGTCGCCCAGATCGTAAGTTGTTTCCCCGTTTTCTTCCTAACGCATGACAGAATCTAATGCTGATTGACAGAACGAATACCCAACTCTCGGTAACGCTTTCACGGCAGTGTATTCATTGACATGTGTTTGGATCTCTGACGGGCCATTGAGAGGCCGGCGATGGCCTATCATTTTATTCTCCAACATGATTGCAATCGTTGTCTTCACCTTGCTTGCAGTGACACCGGTCATGGGTCCTTTCTCGCACCGAGCGCCATTGTATATTGTATCATCAATCGGAGGATCTATGGTACCATTGACAATGGCATGGATGGCTGAACTTATCTCCGACAATGCCGAGCAGCGAGCTTTCACCGCAGCTGCGATGAACACTCTCCAATGTTAGTATTCTGAGATCATGGTCAGTACAAGGTCCCTAACCACGCTACATATAGATACTTTCATAGCTTGGATCCCATTAGTCTGGTTCCAGCAAGTTCACCAGCCTTACGTTACCCATGGCAACCGAGCCGCAGCCGTAATAGCAGGCATCAACATTCTCGTCTTTACTATCATCGCCCTTCTCGCCCATAGAGAGAAGCTGGCCAAGAAGCGCAAGAACCAAGTTCCAGCTACGCCGAGCTCGCCCGATCCAGAGACAACAAGTGGTCAAGGCAATGAGAAGGGCTTATCTGTCGGTGTGTTTGCTCTCCAGCCGGAGAAAGTAGAGGCGTCAGGGCCGCCCGTTTGAGATACGAGACACCACTTCCCCTATATGCCAACAATCTACTAGCTTGTTACTCTAGTAAGAGGGGAAGTATTTTAAACGTATATATTGAAGCTCAGAATGTTTCTACTGATTCAACACCCTTACAATATCAGAGCAACCACTCTCAGTTCTTACGATACTATCTTTCCAGCTCCGAACGGCTGAAAGTCATAAATCGTTTCTTCTAACATAAATAGGACAGTTCTTACTCTCCTTATGAGTCTGTCTCGCTATATTACCCAAGTGATTTTTATATCGAAGCCTCAATGTGTAATGAAAGCCTGAACACAAATACATAAAACTCTAACCGAAGACGATAGCATGGAACATGCATGGTACATTGTCCAGCGTTACAAGTATCTAACATAGCGCGTAACTTAGGTGACCTGAGGTCTCTACCCCTACCACTTTGTGTTGCAATACTGCTTTTACGGTTTGCAGAGAGCTCTCTGAGCATTACACCTTTTTTCTTCCCCCCTGCCACTCGCGTCTGAGGACTGGGTAGCAACTCCCGTATATGAGCTGCACGAGAGAAGAAATATTGTAGAATTCATAGCACTTTTCGTAAGACGTAACGGCTTCAGCATTCCAACGGCCTCTCCTAGATGATCCCTTTGACCATTCTAGATATCTAGGGGACACGCCCTTTACCTCGGTCAAGCGGGGTTTCTTGTGTCTCTCTTCGTTCATCATTGCTATCGATAGCATGGTTCGTATTTCTAGCTTGCCTTGCAAGTATTCCCGCTATTTCCGCATGGCGATGATCTACAGATCTTACTTTGACTAGCCGCAAGGGATCATTAAGCTCATAATGATGTTCAATAGAGCGAGTGCGTACCATGGAACTAGTCTTGCACGAAAATTGGGAAGGAAAGGCAATGTCTTGACTGTAATTTAACACTATGAGGTTCTGCAAATCTTACTCGATCATGTTGATCGAGCTGTACTAGCGACTTGTAAAACTATAACTTAGGTCTCTAATGCTGGCGTGCCTTTACTGTCACAGGAGATACAAGTCTAGTTAGAATAGATAGGTTCGTGCTTGAAAGGATTGAATTTGCACGACTAGTACGGTAAATTATAGAACTTCGCTTGAAAGCTACTCATTAGGAGTTCTGTAGCAATTGTGATCACACTTTCGCCTGCACGTTGCCGGTGATCTGCAGACGTTGCAGGTACATGAATGGACATCGCAGCTTCAATGAATGATACCTATTGCCGGAATCTCCGGTCTTCACTACTGGTACTATTCAAGTTGCCCAGGCGCTATTGTATTATCGACAGACGTAGAACGTGCGTCAACATTACTGGCAGCTTACATTCAGCATCTTCTGTGGACACCTTGCATTGAAGCCAATGCGGTCATCCGCTAGCGATGCCTTCATGTGCCAATCGCGCGAGTCGAGCATTAATGTCACTGCAAGACATTTTGGTGCGACTGTGAGCTGATTTTTGCATGCGCGCTCCAGCCCTGTGGTTCGGACTGGCGCCAGTCCTGCTTATACGTGAGTGTCTACAAGATCGGCGTTCCACAATATGCGCAGCATTGGAATGATCGAGCCAGAAACTGAAGTAATTAGTGAAACGAATCAATGGCCAGGGGTGGTAGGAGAAGTCTCTTCACCTTCTCTATATCACGGGCCCACAGAGTGATATATGAACTAGGCCGTGCATAAGCTGATACAAAGGCTACTGCATCCTAAGTCACCTGCTTTCGTGATCTTCGGTCTGGTGACGTTGAGACTTGGACCATTGTTGAATAGCATGGCACATGCCTAAGTCCAGAATCGATAGTACATATGCCCGTGCGGGGCGTTAGGGAGAGGGAGATTCACGGCAATCTTGAAAAGATCTTCTACAACACTAGTAATTAGTGTACCAGGCATCGGGTAGAGCCTAGGTGTGATATTGACAATAAAGTTTGGATATATCTGCCTCCTTGTGCCAATCCGCGAAGGCGTGCGTGCCGCCGTTTGTGGGACAATCTGGCTAGCCAGTCGCGAATTTTAACACAGGTCCGATAGGTACGAACCAAAATGTGTTGTGATAACCAACGAGGAGAAAAAGCGGATAGTTCAGATGATGTGAAACTGTCGCGTACTGCAAAATTTGTAATCTTATAATGCAAAATTATTTGGAGGTTTCTGCTTATCCGGGTAGACGCGGATGAGTGACCCGAGCTCGTGCTCAATATCCCCAGCATAATGAACAAATCTGCAACATTACAGAGACCCAGGAGAGAAAACCTTGTGTAACAATGTCAGTACAATTGTTCAAAATGGACGACAGGGCTAGGTTGCCACCCCTCAACTTCGCGTGGCGTCCGGAAGTTCACGCTCGAGCTACATGTGAGCGGCCCGAGGCTTCACCCTTTCTTTGAAATGGCGGTTAGTGGGGTCGCTCCCGACCTGAACGTCGCCTTTGCAACCCGGTATAAGGGGCTGATGCAATTGTACATAACTCAATTTTGCATTCGCAAGGACCAGCGGGACCTAATCGTTACCGGGCGCCAAAGAAACGGAAAACTCCGTGTCATTCGAAGGATCGAGACCCTAGAACCTAATACCCTAGAATTATGTGAGCATGATGGCTGCGAAAGTGTGGGCATCTCTTCACATGACCAAGTCCTGCTTTTTCGACTGATTCCGCATTAATTAGCACCCGTGATAGAGGTCCTATTCCGCAGATGATTTTGAAACAGTCTAATAACTAGTCAAAAGACCGAAGATTAGTTGAGACACATCGAAAGAGACGACTGAACGTGCTTGTGACACTGTGGATCATATACTACCATAGCGCGGCTTGGAAGAAACCCGAGGAGGCGGTAGAACTGACTCTGATATCGTGTAATATGAACAGACCAGTCGAAATGAGATGAATGGCAGCCTATCAGGACGTCATTTTGCGCCACGAAACGTGGTGGGACAAGGGTACATACCAAGATATCAACAGCGGTGTAATGAGCAATATTCAGATATTGCGATGTGAAGCGGTATTCAATTGCACATGTATGATGCCTACGGATCGCTGATGCTGGACCGTTGCTGGAAAACAGAAAGGGATTTAGAAGACGCAATAGAAACCACCCCGATTGACTCAATCGTAGCTGTGATTGAATGTGTGAGTCTTACACCAAGCCACGTTGTGACCTGATTTCCCAAGGAGGAAAGTGAACTGACTGGTTGATAGTGTTCCTCGGAAACGCGGTTCCCGAGGATAGACGCGTGTGAATATATTTGTTGGGCCTCTGTCAGATCAAATTGACCACGTGGCACACCTGTAGTCCAAGAATTTTGTTGACATTTATCTTGAAATTCGTCTTCAAGCATGATGTGCATCAAAAGCTCACTGTTTTGAGCTTTAGACGGGCAGTAGACTGATAGATGCTGGGGCCGTGCTCGGCAATCCTGTGTGAACAGGCTAATGCTGGACGAAAGCCCATGAGTAGAGGTTGGGCCTAACCAGATGAAGAGAGTAGCTCAGCCGAAAAGGATCAAGCACGGTACGTCTTGTGGTTAGAAACCACGAGTCGTGTAGCCTTCCGGGAGATCCAATCATCCTGGTAGGCGACCCAAACTCATAGGTTCTCCTGTGACGGCATGTGGCAGATCATTATTGCTTTTGCATGGGCTCCCGAGCAGTTAGTGAGTCTGAGCCTCATCCGTTTGGCGTTGAAGAGCAATTTGGATGCACCAGGGCACGCCGGCATACTGTGGTCAGAGGCCTCCAGCTCGATCCCTGTCCCCCGATGGCAAGGATGCCGGCATGAGGTTACCAACTTGCCTCCTGCAGTAGCCATGCAGGCAGTCCAATTGCCCCAGCTGCACCGGGACAGGCTGCTTATCACGCATCAGCTGCGCAGCTCGCAGCCCCGCGTCAATTTGCCTCGAGTTTTGCTGCGCCAGCATACACGTCCCAGTGACCACGAGAGTCTGGTCGGGTCGAGCAGCTAAACTAACTAGTGGGCGCCGTCGGTAGACCCCACCGATTCCGCCAGGATCACCTGGCTTCTAGAAATGGTGCCGCAAATCCTAGGGCGCGGGCGACGGAAGGCTTTGCAATGGCCGAACGCTGCCAAACTTGTTGACGATGTGTGATGGGCGTGCATGATTCGCCCCAGGATAGGGGCAGAGGCTGTGGACGTGCACCATGAGACGCTAGTCCGCATTTGGCTGCGACTCGCAAAACGTCGTGACATCGGACGGTCGGCAGAGCAAACACCATGGAATGCGGACTGCAGCCGCTCCGCCTCACTACCGCATCTTGGAAAGTTTCCTCACTGTTTGACGGCCTGCGGTTGCTGGTGTGCGGAGTGTGCGCCTCCGCGCAGAGATGGGCAAGGCCGTCGACAAGGCCGGGAAGCCAGACGCGAGACGTGTGAAACATAGCGCATCATCCCGACTCCGCGATTTTTAGTCCCAGTATGTGCTGACCTTGGCCACTGGTGCTGAGGAGTAGCAACGCTTGCCCGCAAGCAGAATCGCATCCCAGCTCGCCATGCTGGATATTTGCGCCGTGCTCTGTTCCGGCCTGTGTCCACGTCTTGGCCTTCTGCATATCTCCCCTCCTGATCCGACCTCGGGGCTGGACGGACGCCAGACGGAGCAGCCACCACTATCCTCGGCACTGGTCATGTCCCCATTTCTCCTCTATGCACCTAAACGGCTGTGCCTGAGGTCAGAGCCTTGTGGGAAGCCCCAAGGTTTCAGAGTGCTGCTTCACCACGCGGCACGCCGTTCAGGAACATGCTGCTCTAACGTCAGGGCCCTGGCAGCAGTGGAGTCATGGGAACTAGCGGACAGGCATGGTGCCGCGGTGGGCGGGCAGTGGAGAGCGTGCAGGAAGCTTTTCTTGTCCGTGTGTTGATCGTCTCATGGGCCAGAAGCCGCGAACTGGCAGAGACGGGGTTAAAGACACACAACCCCAGCAGGGCCTCCTCATGGCCCCCCAAAAGCCTAGCACACGCTCCTAACAGGGGCGATCGCTGCGCTACTGTAGCCATCAACTGCCCGCCAGCCGAAGCAGGAAAAGCCCCTCCAAGCCGCCAACATTGACCGTAGCGTCTCGAGGTCGCAGAAGAGTTGCAATTCCTCCCCCAGCACCTCACTAGGACAAGCCCTCTTCATGTTCTGTCGCAGTTGTGCTTGATATTTCCTTTACTCTCCACCTGCCCGCAGCCTGACTTGCTACCAGGCGTCGCCAATCATCTTCGAGCTGCCAAGTAGCGCGCATCGGCGTCGAGGGCAGGTCTATGTCTGTTCGACTGATCCCGTTGTTGTTATAACTACTACTATTACCTCCTCTCCCTGTTATCGTTCCAGGGACCCGGCTACCTAACATCCTTGTCGCTTCACAAGTCGCCGATGCGGTATTAATCGTCTTGTTCCAGTTATACTCTTGCTTCGTTCCTTGAACCTCACTCTGGTACACCACGTCCCCGAGCTACCTCAAATCCGCAGTTTGCACCCCAGTACTTGCACGTAGCTTGTTCTGCGTCAAACAGTTGCTGCTACCCCTCCACCGTGGAGGACTGCTCTTGCAATTGTCGCCATATTGTCCAACGACTCCTCCAAGAGCGAATACCAACTTATAATTCACCGGTTAAGCGAGATCGCAAACTCGAGTTGGGCAGGCGAAGCCTGCAACGTCAGCACACCTGGCCCGCCTCCCAACATCAACAGACCAACGTTTCGGCTCAGTTGTTCTATCATCGGCAGTCACATTCTACTCTTTGGCCACCGCTCAATTTATCAAACGCATATTGATCCTGAGCGATTCATCTCGTTTCGCCAATCCACCGGTCTTGGGTCTTCTTATCTTGGAATATTTATTTTATATGGTCTCGGCTACTCCAGGCGTTTGAACGGCACCCAGCAAATCAATATTACCATCACTCTGGACCGCATCCTGAACACGCAACTGAAACGGCCAGGCACCCACTCTCCTCATGTTGCAAGGTATCAGGGCATCGACATTGACGATGCCGTCCTTCGGGCATGATGTATCTCTAGCTGGGGTCCAAAAGGCGGAAGGTTACGGTGAAACGGATATGTGGAATTGGCCGCAACATTCGACATCACAACACCCATCTTACGCGAATCCGTTTGACCCGTCCATGTATGGCAACTTTACATCACAAGTACAACAGCCACCACGCGGTCTACCTTCTCATCAACCGACTACAACCTCTCATTCTCTAGCCACTGGGACCAACACACCCCCGCCCGCGAGATCAAAAGTAGCGGGAAATATAGTCAAGGCGCAGCCCGCTTTCAAACCGACATGGCGGGGGTTTCTCGAAACAACAACAGATGCCATGACCGTTGTGGAGGCTTCACTGCAAGGACGTCTAAGCCACATCAGCCGTAGACCTCACGACAAAGAACGGGCAGAGATGCTCACTTCTGGAACCGTCTTGGTCTATGAGGAGAACGCCTCTGGTATCAAGCGTTGGACTGACGCAGTTCACTGGTCGCCAAGTCGGGTCATGAACAACTGTCTCATATATCGTCAGCTCGTGCGAGCCCTGAAACCCGAAGAAAAGAGAACAGCTCTAAATCCCTCTTGCGGTACAAAACGAAAGCGCAAGACTGGTGAGGCTCTCTACAACTCCGATGATGAGTACGAGAACCCCTCGTTTGACGGCTCGGCTTCAGGTGATGCAGATTCAATGAACAAGGTGTATGCCAACTTCGCGCAAAGCCTAACTCCGGATCAACAGCGAAGTTTCTGCGGATCCCTCATCGACAGCTACGAGTTCAAGGAAGGCGGTCTGATGAAGAAGACTATATCTGTCAAATACCAGGGAACACACCACCACGTAATCTCTTATTACAGCCTCGAAGATCTCGTCAGTGGAAAGCTCAAGCGTCCGTTTCAGGATCCGAGGTTAGCCGATATTCAACCCAGACCGGAGCTTCTTCGTGGTTGGAAGGTCAGTCTCGAGGATGAAGAAAGCAAGGACATGCCGCTCGTCGCAGCCTATCCGCACCATATTCAACCGAGTCATTCGCCGCACCATGTCATTGGAGCTGTGACACAAGCACTAGCAGGTCACACAGTGATCCAAACCCATACTCCACTTCACCTGCACGTACCAGATTACTGGCACGGACCTCAGGCATCGCAGTATACACCGAACCACCACAGTCCACAGCAATATGTCTCTTCTCAGTCGGCTAGTGCTCAATACCCGACTCCACAGCCAGGACAGCAGTATCATTCACAGCAACCTCCTCCCCAAACTTACGCGCCTCAGCTACCTCCAACTCAGCAGTATGCTCCATCGCCCTCACCTCTGCACTTTCCTCCTCTGCTAGATTCGAGTCCACCATTTTCAGCCCCAGTTGCTCCACCACAGCGGTATACGCCTCAGTCGCAACCCAACAGTCATTATTCTTTCGATCAACCACAGCCTGGTCCGAAAGCTCCATATGCCCAACAGGCACCCAATTCTCAGTACCAGCCTCCCCTTCATCATCAGTCTTCTCAGCCTGACCAGCATACCATTCCGCAAGCTGCAACTTTTGATATACACGTTCCAGTCTCGAAGAATTCGCCTTTGTCTCAGCAGCCTAGCCAGATTTCCGCTCCGCAGTACGACGCATCATCAGCATCCGTGCCTTCCCAGGCCTACACTCAGCCGCAGTACCCCGCAGCCCCCTATCCTCAATCTTATTATGTGACGGACGCAAAGTATGTGCCGGAACAGCAGCATGCACCTAGTTCACAGCATGGCTATCAAGCTTTATAGTCGTTACATCGAACGCACATTAGCGACAAGATCAACACAAATCACTCGGAGCTCGGAAGATGATACACAACCATATACGAATTAGTTTACGAAATGATTCCAAACGCGATACCCCTTAACTTGGATCTCTTTTGGCGAAGGTGGCACTTTTTTTACACAACCAATTTCTTCGTACATCTCAGGCATTGCTTCTGCCCCGCATTTTTGGTGTTGCTGGCGTCTTTGCGATCCAGTCTTTAATTTGCGCCTTGTACACAAACCTGCATCTTTTCTCTACGTTTATACTCTAGTTAAAAGCGCGTTGGTGTTCTACTACACGAGTATCTATGGTACCTTGTCGCACTAAGCTGTTCCTGCATTCCCTGTTGCCTGCATGTCGTTTCAACCAAATACCCACTGTACAAATATAATCACCTATATGTTTTTACGTTTCCAACAGGGTTTTTTCGCACATTTTTGTGCATTATTGCGTCAGCGTAGCGTCACTACAGGACAACCAAGCATCGATTTATTATCATAACGTCGGCCTCTCTTGTCACAATATCGTTCCGATTCGCCCTTTCCCCCTCGCTCCCAGCCTTTTCCTATTTTAAACTCACATTTCATGGCCACTCGCGGCAACACCCGGGCCGACGGTACTATTCCACATCAGCATCTGATCCTTCGGCTCTCCCGAGTTTACAAATCGAACCCGACTGCGCCGCACGCCCGCATCATCCGTTCACAGCCTCCCGAGTCGGCCCGTTATGCGCCTCGGTAACCTCCTTCGCCCAATAAGACTGCTATGTGGAGAAGTACGCATACGCGGCCCGGTGTCTTGGATGGATGCGCCAGGTGGCGTGGCGTAGGGGTTGGTGTATGCATCAGGCACGAGTCACGTTATCGGTGTAGCTTCGGGGCTTGATCGGGTTAGTTACCCCGAAAATCTACTGTGGCGATTAACCTTCGTATTTAGCAGGCGGGCCAGTTACTATAGTTAAGAGGGAGAGGCAAAAGGCCGAAGTATGAGGGTGAGGCAGTATGCATTTTCATTCGGTCAGAGGTCGACATAAGTGTCGAATGTTGCGGTGAGGGTATGAGATAACCCGGTGGGTTAAATTCTGGTGCGCGACTACGACAGATCTGGCTGGAGGTTGCTTTGGTATAATATCACTGGCCTGATATAGGTCTAGGATGCTATGCTGGCGTGTGCTAACATCCAGAGGTTTGCATGCCCCGCAATCTACTGCAGATGTAGGAGGGTAGGTACGTATCTTGAACGAGAATTCAGGCCAGATGACGAATCTTAAGTTAGCATGACCTGTTTTCGATACTGCAGAGCGATGCATGCTTACACCGCCTAACCCTTGGCAGCTATACCCGACAGAAGGAGTACGAAACCTGTTTTCTCTCCATCCATCCCCATGCGCGGGCCATCGCCAAAGCTGATTCTGCATAATCTGATGCACATTCGTCTACTTCGTGTGCGAACCTCGGTTGCCTACCAGTGTGACGGGAAAAAAAAGGTCTGAAAACATACTTTGTCTTCAAGATCATCGGTGTTGTTGTCCGTACAGAATCGCGACACCGTGTATCATTCTTCCTTTATGGGGTGTTTCCATTGTTGGTACGATACCCAAGCCTGAAATGTAGAGACACCTAGGCCTAGAATGCCGATGACGATCGCAATAAAGACTCCAATCATTGTTGCCATCAGCATGTATCTTGCGCCGCTCTTGCGCTCGAACCAGCTTTCCAATCGCGTCCGAGGTGAGGGGTTTTGCAACTCATCATAAAGCTCCGCAAGGCGAACGCCGAAGTATGCATACGTGGATTCAACACTGTCCTCATGTCCGAGCACCATCGATTCGTACCTGAGAAGATCCTCGTCGAAACCATGTTTTGAGACCAGAGACGAGAGAAGAGCCTGGGATTCGCGATCGGACGGGAACAAAACATTATTGATTGTATGAAGAACTTCGAGGATGAGTTGTCGTGGCAGGACACAGTCGTTGGAATCGCTTCGGGACGCTGACAGGTTTTCTTTCAGCATTGCAGTGCAGTGGAAGACACGTACTACCCGTTTCTCGTGATCTAATACTAGATGACTTCGAAGGTCGCATGTTGGTTCCATCTGAAGCCCCGTGAGCTTTCGTAGTTGCTTGGCACTCAGATCGGGCGTTATCGTAGACCACTCAGGATGTTCTTTCTCGGATTCAAATGCTTGCTGGAGTGTTTTCGGAAACGCTTCTCTAAGAAACTCTGTTGCTGAAAGATTGTTTCGCCACTGCAACGTTGAAATTCCGTCTTCGAGCAGATCTGCATGTTCGCGCGACATGCCGCAGTTGACAGAGAATAGGATGCTGGCTGCTAAATCCATTGCCCTGTACTGATCCGATACTGCTGGAATGTTTTCTGTATCGATTTCAGGGCACACAAAGTGTCGCTGGACGAGGTGCTCTCGTGCGTCATCAGGCCTCTCGTTAATGAGCCGCATGATTTTCAACAGGTCCGCATGAGTGTTCAAAGCCGCCTGTCTAGTGAATAACTCTGGTACGTAGGCTGCTGTCAAATCTTTGTATCGGGTCCAAGTCGCTTGTTGACGTTTTGCTCGGCTCCAATGGCAGGTGGCTTTCGCACAAACCGGCTCTCCAGAGCAATCGCCGCACAACTGCCACCTCCACAGACATTGGCTTAAATTTTGTAGATCTACGTTCGTAACGTTTTTCAAAGGAAAGAGGTGGATTTGGTCCGTCATTGAAATTTGACTCGCAATTAACGGGTGTTTTGGAATTGTTGACTTGGCTTACAGTTTGCGGCAGAGAAGGCTCTCATATGCATCTCCTGTCTTCGCGAGGCTGTGCAAACCCGAGCAAAATATTCAAAGAGACTTTATTGGGCGCCACGGCTGCATAATGTACCCCTCTCTAAGTTTATCCCGTGTCGGTCACCAATACTCGTGGAGGAAGCTAGGCTGAACCCACCCAGCTGAGCCTTGTGCGATTTTACCCTGCGCAGCTCACCGGTTCCCAACCCAAATACAGACTTATTTGCGCTGGACAGTCCATGATTGCTCCTCGACCACCAACGCTTCCGACTCCCATCTATCCCAACCAACTACTTCTATTGTGGTACCATGGACACTTCAATAAATACTCAGACACACTCTCAGTTACCGCTCGATCACCGTATGATGGAGACAGGCTATGAAAGTACACCAGCCAGCCTAGGAAGTCGCCTTAAATCGATGGAATGCCCAGATTCAACCAGTGCCGGAGGTGCAGAGTCTTCACAGATTACTCCTCCGTCAAGCAACCCACACCCGACCCGTCTTCGTACGATTAACGGAATGCAGATTTTTGAAAGGACCTTAAGCGATAAGACCCACAAGCGCTTTCATGATGTTCTAGAACGGCTTGCTGAGCCTTTGGCTGCCTACCTTCGGAAAAGTCGCAAGGAATATCGACCCACGTCCATCAGATTGATGTCTCTTGGATATGATGAGAACTCTGTTTCGCCCTGGATTGTCGTACTGTGTCCAGATAAAGTCCAAAAAAGGGCAGAGAAGTTCTTTCAACAAGAGCTAGCGCGGCGTCTTTGTCAGCCTGATGAGCCTGGACAAGAGCGCTTCCGAGTGACAGTCCTAGGTCATCCACCTCGGCCAAAATGCGCTGAGCAGCCCGACCAAGTCAGAATAGCTTGCGCTCGATTGAAAGAAGATGAAAAGAGGTTATGGTCGCCGCAGATCAAGACGGATCATTGTGGAGTTACTCGCTATGCTACAATGGGGGGATATATTGTGGTCAGCGAATCTGATGGCACACTGTCAATATACGGATTGACAGCGGGCCATCTGATTGCCGAGGCTGATCACAGTTGGCGGGGAGCTGGTGCAGGGTCCTGGGACGGCTCCGAATCCTCCGCAGACGACAGTGAATCTGAACAGGAAAGAAGCTCTCCAGAGAAGACGTCAATTCGTGAAGTCAGGCAGCATGAGGAAGACCCCACCTGGATGGATATAGGCCGTTTATCAGATTACTCGTTCTCGCGCCAGGCTCGTGATAGGGATTGGGGGTTAATTGAAGGAATAGAGGCGTACGGGTTCTCAGACGATAACGCCCATGATGTGAATGAGAAAATAGAGCTTGGGACCGCAGGAAAAGAGCGAGAATTACTGATTGGCTTCAACCACGAGGCCAGCCATAAGTGCTTACTGTCAAAATCTCCTACCATGGTTATTCTTCCGCATGGGCACAGATTTGTCTGGGCTCACACTTTAACACTTCAATCAGGTAATACCTTTTGAATCTGTCCACCCAAAACTAAAGCTGACAAATCTAGCTATGATATATGGTGCGGCAAATCTACCAGACGGTTGTTCTGGGACCTGGGTCACATCAGATGGAACAAACATCCACGACAATCCCTACGACAACCCTTACGATACGGACTTTGATTATCAAGGTCAAGTTGTCTCACCTCCAGGGTCCCCTTCTTCAGACAGAACGATCACCGTGTACGGCCAGATTGTTGCCGATGATGTATTTGGACACGTCTATATGATACCATTGAGGGATATACTGCATGACATCACGCAAACAATGCAAGTCGCAGCGGCCAGGCTACCAGTTTCGATATCCGAGGTCATATATTTACTCTCTAAACAAAAAGCACGAGAACTAGAGAGATTATTGCGTGGGCAATGTGACGATCAGAAAAAAGCTTTTGTTGGTTCTAATGTGGATCTCAGTTCCAGCATCGATTATCAGCCAGAAGCACAGTCCGTTGCCACCACGGACCATTTCGATTTTCACACCGAGAGTTCGCAAGAGGCTATACCACAAGCCTCAAAAGGCAATTTACGGGAAGGCATTGAAGAAGATCTCTCGGAATCTGAGCCAAAAGCTAAAAGTCCTCGGACGAATACACCATGGACACCCGCAGAAGAGGAGAGACTTCGACGCATGAGAGATAATGGAGATTCTTGGAGCAAGATTTTGAAGACGTACCCAAATAGGACAGGGGAAAGCGTGCTACGGAAATCGCGACGCCAGAAAGCGAAGGACAGAGGGATATGGTAGGCAAACCTACGGAAGCATGCAATAAGCACGCGAAGGAACATTTCAGTTCGGAGTTTTGAAGCCTTTTGAACCCTGCCTTGCCTGCTATGAAATTTCCAATAGTAAAAAGGGTGGGGAGGAGAATAAGCAATGGAGGGGAGGTTGGAGGGTGGCTGGGGAACTAGAGGTCGACTCCCATTCGTTGGCGTCGTTAGCTCACCAACACATCATACAACCACCACAATATTACACTAGACGCAACACAGCTCTACAGCGAGATAGAATTGATAGGTTTGTGTCAATCACGCTATAATCGTGTCCTTGGACCTTCTCTGCTCACTGCCCCACGATAAACCCAGCCCTCGACCCGCCCTTAGAGCGCGCAGATAAAGTGCCCAGGACGTTAGGGAAGATGCCGCCTAAACGACGCAAAGCTGCCGACCCAGTGTCTGCACCAGCAGGACCTAATAAGCGGGTCACTCGGTCATCGACAAGGTCAGACCCATCACTTGCGGAGAGTGCCCCATCCAAGTCCTCCCAAGCAGGACCCAAGGCCGAGAAAACAGGGCGTAGCTCTGTAGCAACCAAACATGAGAAAAATAAGGGTGCAAAATCATCCGCTCTAAAAAGCAAGGTCAAAGTAGCTACGGCGCAAGACAGTGTGAAATCGGAAGGAACGTCGTCCAATGTCACAGTGCTCACCATCACCTCCGACGCGGTCAAGAATCCCATCCAATGCCATAATTACGCCTCTCCGAACTCAAACGATCCTTCTCCTCAAACTCTAATCTTCACCCACGGCGCAGGCGGCACACTCTACGCCCCAGCTGTTGTAAACTTCTGTGCCGGCTTCTCCACTGCCGTGCCCATCCTCGCATTCCAAGGCTCGATGAATCTCGCCTCCCGCGTCAAAGGATTCCACGCATGTCTAGAGCACCTCGAACGCAGTCAAGGCGAATTGGTGCTCGGGGGAAGGAGTATGGGGGCGCGCGCAGCTGTCATGGCCGCAACCGAGTATCTGAAAAAGGAGAAGGCAGGAAGTGGGAGCACCAGCGTTCAACTCATTCTTGTTTCGTACCCGCTTAAAGGTCCCAAGGACGATATCAGAGATGAAATTCTGCTCTCTCTTACCGCAAATGTCGAGGTGCTCTTCGTCATTGGTGATAGGGATGCGATGTGTCCGCTCGATCTACTAGAGTCTGTGCGAGGCAGGATGAAGGTGGAGTCGAAGCTTATCATTGTGAAGGGTGCAGATCATGGTATGCATGTCAAACCTGCGAAGCGGGAGAAGGAATTCGGCGAGGAGACAGGAAGGTTAGCTGCAGAGTGGGTTGCAGGGAAGATGCACGAGGGTGTGGTTTATGTCGGTGAGGAAGATAATTAAGGTTGTAAGCCCTCAATTGCAATGCATGGTCGAACAGATGGGTATGAAAGGCATTTGGTAGTTTCAGATACCCATGAGGTCGTAAAAGTCGTGCATTGAAAACCCTGAATAACGCCACGCCGGACCCTGCGCTCTAGATATGATATACATGCTTCAAGTCGTTCAACCACCCATAATTCCTACTCGTCTCTCGCTATTACAACGCCCTCATCCCAGTCCTCTTCAGCATCTAGGACGTTACCAAACTCAGCGGCTAAAGCTAACTCATCACTCGCGCTCAGGACGCCTTGAACATCCCCGGAAGCGATCTCTTCATAGACGGCTGTGATGCCAGTAATGCGGCAGACTCGAGCGACAGAAGCCATCATGACTAAGCCTAGCATTGCAAACGGGCCCACGGCAACCAATTGACTGAACTGGCTTCAAATAATTAGCTTTTTCGCCCGTGCAATAAAGTAATGATGCAAACTTACTAATACCACTGATGGATGCACTTCTCATCCCAATACTGCAGTCTCGCTTCAAGTTTCCCCTCACGCTCACTCTTCTTGCCCTCCATCTCTTGAAGGAGAAGGCCGGTCTGCTTCCGGAATGCGTGGAGGCCCTTCCACCAGTGGGAGCGGCGGTGCTGGTTCCTATTGCGCACAAAGAGTTTGTCGAGGAGTTCGTAGATATCGTGAAGCATTGCCTTTTCGTGTGAACTTACGGTGAGAAGGGCGATTGCAGTGATGGCTGGTGAAGCGGAAGGCATTTTGACTTGCCGTGGAGGCATAGTGATGGCCATGGTGGGTATATAACTGTGCAAAGGTATGTAGGCGCAGGTATCAGTTGCGGGAATGAGACGCGCAACGGCTGTTGAAGGTAGGTAGGCTAAGTGATGCTCCGTCGGCTGTAGGATGGCGATGGTGATGTAGGCTTCCGTGTGCGGATGCGGAGAAGGGTACGTGCGCGTTCGAATTACGTCCTTGTGATAGTGACGGTGTCCCGCAAAGGTAGGTAGCGTGCCGTCAAAGTGCTAAGGCTCCCGGTTCGTGATCCGGTACTGTGGTAGTGATCGATGTGAGAGCTCGTCGCATGCTTTATTGTGAAAGAGACAATAGGAAAGACTCGGCGCGACTGCACTTGATGAGGGTGAAGACGATAAACGCCTAGTAACGGTAGATTCCGCAAAAATGGACTCGAAGGGGATGCGGCTCGATGTTCCTGTTTTCGAGGCTCACGTGCAGACCGTTGATGTGGACGGCAAAGGGTAAAATCTAGCTTAATCTAGCAAGAACCACGTGTGGTCTCGTTGATGAGAAACCCACGGTGTAGGTGTTTTGGGTATAGAGTGGTTCCTGAAGATCATCTATCCAGGTTTATGGGGTTTATGAGCTTGCAATCAATTGCGTAAAGCGGTGTAGAGGTTCCGAGCACACGGACAGTAGTGTTACCCTCCGCTTCCTCGAGACCCTTGCGATTCCTGATATTCCTGCCTCATAGGCTGAGTCTGATGTGCGATGTGGGATATTACCAAGTCCGTGTAACAATTCCCGGAGCGTTGAGCCTGCTGTGGAGCCAGCTGGAGATGTGGGGACGCGGAGGACAGGCGGGTGATCTGTATGGGGTGTCACAAGCCTCAGCTGTAGTGTAAGTTCCAGTTGTTGGGCTGTATTCTTCCACGCTTGTAGATTGATGCCAATATTTCTTCTGTTGGACCTGTCGGGCGCCGTTGATTCGAGGCTAGTCTTAGATCGGTGGTCGGTGTTGGCCTGTCAAAGTTTCGGAGGACCGGTTCGACTTTTTGCCAAGGGCCCACTTCAACTGAATCATGTTCTTGACGTCGCACATCTTCGGCCTCTCATGATTCGGAGTCTCGAGTCTTATATGGCCTTGCTCCGAGCTTCTGTATCTGGCTGAGCCCACTGCAGTCGTGAGACGTGGATGCGAGCAGTCGCCTTCTGCTACCCCTGGCTCTGCTCGAATGTCCCTTGCGCCAGCTAGCTGTGTGGGGTAGCTTTATCGACTGCACCCACCCACCGACCACACCACAACCATGATCGTCGACACCTGTTCCACGACGTCGAAGCCCGTGGAGACGCGAGAGGGAGCTGGACTGGATGTGAGAAAAGGGTGGCGAGGCTGTGATCTGGTCGTAGGAAGATTCACAGGTCGCGGATCCAGCTGATATCCCCCAAGCAACGAGCTTCTACACCCCCCAGACAACAGCAATTGTAACGAGGAGGCGAACCGCAAGGATACTCTCACACCGTATTCGCATCTGCAGCTTCACAAGTTTGGAAGGCCATACCTGCTTCCCGACTTGGGCTGACTTTGGGCAACGCTGCGGAGCCGTCCGCCGCTTCCGACAGCCACTACACCTGAGCGAATCTGAATGATGACAGGGAATTGACGCTGTGATTTCTTGCAGTCCAGCAGTTCCGAATCACAGCACCTCATGTCGCCTGACTCCCGCTGTACTACTCCTTGTCGCACAACGCAGGCGAGGTCTACGACTCCCCGTCCGGACAACGAACGACATTCGCCGCACTCGAAACCTCGAACACTCGATAGAACCGACGACACTCAAATCATTAGCATACGTAATGCTACAAGAGCGCCATCCCAGCCAGCGTATGCATGTTACGGGCCGACCCCGTATCGCGTATGCGGCACACCATACCCCGCGACCGACTTGAGCAAGAGCGATTGTAGACCCCCCAGCAACGTAACTGTGCGCTGTGCTGCGGCAGACAGTGTATAATCGACGGGATTAAAACGGTTTGCGATATACCATTTATTAGGTGGCTATCAAATGAGTTCGGACAGACACGCATGGTGCAAGCACCAAACACCGGATGACAAGCCGAATTGGGCTTCCAAGTTCAAATAATCTTTGACTGGCGCACCGTTCATCTTGTGCCACTCGAATCCCACGATATCGGCATTCGTTGAGACAACGCTGTTGATTGCCGACTTGGCTTCGATTAGCGGATCCGCCTCGAGGACCTGAGTTTGTACTGGTACGATGACATTGCGCCGTAACCACCACGCTCCGCCTGTGCCACCCAGTTGCCATGTCACACAGCTGCAGGAATCTCAAGGTCAGGCTTCGGGGAGGCGGCTTCGGCATGCTATCGCTTCTATTGCGGCTCATCCGATTCGTCGGAGGTTATTCCCGTACACAAACATCTGACAGTCGCGGAGGCGTCCCATAGCGCCCTGAAAACCCTTGTTTTGATTCGAGGGCGTGTTAGTTGAGCGAGACTAGTGCGCCATTCCCGTCAACATCGGACGAGTTCACGGTTGACCGACTCGTATCGACTGGGATAACCATGTGTGTATCGCAGTTGAACATGGTTCCCATCTTCAGTTTATTGTCGATGATCACAAAAAGACTGTAGGAAGCTCGAGCGACCCAAAGACTAAGTTTGCTGCCATCTCTTTGGTCGTGTTGTACACATGTCAACTCCTGTCTGCGTCTCTATGGAACGACAAACGTTTCCTAAAGGGACGTCTTCAAAATGCGATATTCCGGAGTTGCCAGTATGGGTCCCCTGCTCTTGAGACCCGAAAGGTGCCTCACGAATTGGCTTTGGCTTGACTCAATAAAGCAGCTCGCCGCATCTCTGGCTCTCCTCTTGGTATCGGGCCGACAGTGCACGTTCCATGGTATGCATTATAGCCATGGCCGCGACATTGTGACGTACGTTTAAGAGGAGTTTGACTTCGCTGTCGCTGGATTCGGTCATCCTGACACAGTTCGTATGCGCTTGCCGTCTCTAGCTGTCACTTTGTTAGCGATACTCTGGGTTCAAAACGTGCCCCGCCTTCAGGCTGCGCGGGAAAGAGAAGCAGTAGAGAGATGGCATGCATCTCATGGGCAACCTCCCATATTACAAAACCCCGCAGTATATGTCTGAAGGCCCTCGGATATCATGTGCGTTTGCGGCGGTCGTGAGGATCAGTCGTTCGTGGGAGGCCTGTCCATCGGCGGGGTCGTGCAACGGCTCAGGTCCAGCACGTTGTCGGAGGGCAGCATGAAGCAAGCTGGAACCGGCATCGGCGATGTTCATGCGAGGTCTCTCATGGCGATGCGGTGCCTGTGAATGCGTTTTGTTAGTCAGAGAGAGCAGCAAGCCAAGCCCACCGGCGTGAAGCAAACACGGGCGTTGCTGCATCAAGCTGTGATCATAATGTACTCCAGAGAGGCTTGAAAAGATGCTGCCGTTGTCGAGGAGCTACCTGCGAAGGCTCTAAAGGCGTCAAGCACGAGTATGAAGACGAGCTCTCGTATCGTAATGGGTTGCGAAGACCTCCGCGGCCACTGGACGCAGCTCTGTTTCTGAAAGACTCGTAATCGTAGGAGCGTATGGCGTGCGTCTATGCGATCACCAAGAGGCTCTTGAAGATGTGCGTACTATTTAAAAGATATGCGCTATCGCCGAGAGCTGTTAAAGAGTGGGAAGAGTATGCGTTGTTGCGCGGGGGCTTGCCACCAACGTTGGAGGCAATACAACACCATAGCGAGCATCACGAACCTGAGGCGGCCCGTGCGTAGCCCCGAACGACTGCCCCCCTCCCTGTATGTGCCTTGAAGGCGACGGCAAGGGCTGCGAGGTTTAGGAAGAGCATGTCTAAGACCTGAGCAATCGGCTACACCACTTTGCATCTGCCACGAATGCGTGCACACCGTGAGAATCGATGTGAGCGACAACATCCGTGTTCTATCCGTGGCATGCGGTGCTTCATGTCAGGGTCAGAAAGACAAGGATCAGTTCAGGGAGTGTATCTCATACTTTGATAGGGGACGTAGTATCAAAGTCGCGAGATATCTGTTCTCGATTGATATCCTGATTGTTTCTGCTCGCTACCTCTCCTGTCAGCACGTATCTGAAGACTTCTTCTACTATGGACGTCTGAAGAGCAAGTTGGATTCGGGATCTATCTCTTGCCAGTAATCCTGGAAGGGAGCTCATTGCATGCCTGAGATAGCCCCTACATGCATCAGATGATGCCGAATGATCAGTGGCTCTCTCATAGTCATCGAGCAAACGCGCAGGAAGGGATCGTCATACCCTTCCAAGTGGCACACAGGAACTTGCGTACCACTTCCTCTATCTCTCTGCTTCGCTCCGTCGCACTCAATCGGCGACGTTTCAAACGAGCCCAAGAAAACCAACCTCTACCTTTCCCAAAGAATAGGAGCTAGCCATGTGCCTATCTCAAGCTGAGTGTAGTCTATAAGCGCGAACTGCTAGGAAGGAAGGGGCGTTAGCGGGGCGACACTGAACAACAACCACCGCCGCTCTTGTATAGCAGCTATCAAGACTCAGGGGCTGATGTAGAAAGGTTCTCTGTTGTGCCTCATGGAAAGTGCTCATATTCATGAGAAGAATTTCCTCCAGCTCGACGGAGATACGTACGGTACATGTAGGATTCTACTCATCAGCCGCATTTGAGTGGTACATATACCGTCTTTTGCAAAGAAAGGTCGGAGTAGAGATCCAGCTATTGCTCCAACTACCGTCGATCGCAAGCTCAGCGCGACAGATTCAGAAGTCCATTAGCCGTCAGGATCTTGAGCGATACATCACAAATCAAAGAAAGAAGCGGTTGGTGAGCAAAGCTCTTGTATTCTATAAAGGGCAATCATGTACTACATTTGCCTCGAAGAGGTCCATCAGTGGAGTCCGTCACCTGGTCAGAGATTGTCATCAATCCGCAAACCATCCACAGCTCGAACCCAGATCATGTCGCAGTCATTCCAAAAAGCATGCACACTCGATAGCGTGCGAGATAAAGCCATACCGGACAAGTATAGAATCATCCTAGTCTGGCAAGAACACGGAAATTCCGAAAAAACAAAGAGAGAATCCATCATGTCGTTACACACGTATGATCTGTGGTAAATGTCGCAACGTTACGCAGCCAGGAGGAGATGGATAAGCCAGCACCAGTCAATGTCGATAATACCTGATGTGACTTGCGTCAACGATACTCAGATGAAGGGGTTGGTCATGAAGTCGTGGAAGCCGCGAGCAGAGCGGGGACGAGCAGAGCGAGACACGCGAGGACCCCGAGTGGGAGAGGTGTCACCAGCCGACGCAAGGTCGCCAGGATAAGGGCTATGCTTGTTGCCGCCGATGACGCCGGGGACCTGTGGAGAAGTCGGAAAAGGATTCTCCACAAAGTATTGAGCGACGTGGGTCATGGGGATGTAGTCGAAGGGGATGTATCCGCACTGGCCACGACCACAGGTGTAAGAGTACCAGACCTCGATCTCGCGCTTCTTGTCATCGGTCATGCCCCTAAACGGAAAGGGAGCAGCATGCTGACGAGCGTAAGTCATAGCGGCATCCAGCATATCGCGAGGGGTACCTCGGTCGTAGATGCTCGAGCGGTTGCGGTGCTCAGTGATGGTAGAGTATCCATGAGGAGGGTAGAGGCCGATGCTACGAGCGCTATCCATGGATCGCTGGAGCTTGGACAGATTGTCGGGACGAGGGAAAGCCTGCTCTGTGCCGGTGTTGCGAAGCTGGCTCATGATCTCGGCGTCGGCGTAGGTGAAGAAGAGGCGCGGACGACAAAACGGCGTCTCCTGCATGACAGAAGAGTTGCGGAACTTCTGGACCAGAGCCTCACGACCCTGAATGGTGGCGTAAGAGATCTCTGCCGACTTGGTTGAATGGAAGCCTATCCAGCAACGACGCTCGATACGGTCGATGAGGGCGATCATGCCGTGGACATCGGAGAAGTTGATGAAGGCATAGCCAACATTGCAACCAGACTTGAAGTCGATACGAAGGTACATGAAGTCGTAAGTACCGAAGCAGATGTCGTCGAGTATGGACTTGAGGGACATCTGTGAGAGTTGTCAGTGAAAGGTCATGACAGCATGGATGCATATACAAACCCAGTCCAACTTGTTCGGAATGTTGCGAAGCATGACGGTGGTTCGAACGTCGCTGCCATCAAGGATACGGTCGCGGCGGACACGGTTGTGCTGGTCGTGAGGATGACGATAGAACGAGGCACCAGAGTAACGGTCAGGCATGCGACGATAGCCAACGAAGCGACCCTCCTCATCGACGCGAGGCTTGGTGCGGTGGGGTGAGTTCAATGCGCGCTCACCAACCCAGTGAGAGGGGTTGGCAGTGCACCACTGATAGGTCTTCTGTAAGAGAGTTAGCATGTCCTGGCCAGGAAGAGTGAGGGAGGATTGCTTACGCCGTTGCTCATACCCCAGACCGGATCAGTAGCCAAGGACTGAACGGCACGATTGGCGTCGTCGATGGAGTGATACTCGATACGGAATACCAAGACCATCTTGGTATCAACAGTCTCGACATGGATGCAGTTGCGGACGGCACCGAAGACAGCAGCGGTGATCTCAACAGACTTGATGAGTCCAGCAAGATCCTCAGAGGTGAACTCCCAGACGGCGTAGTCTGGGTTGGCTTCGATCATGATGGGGAGCTTGATCTGGCCTTCGAACTCGTTGAGCTGAGCGGTATCCTGCGACTTGGCGACGGCGAATTCGTAGCCAGAAATGTAGTGGACGGTGAATTCGTGCTGCTGGAGGATTTCCTTGGCCTCAGCGGCGTCGTGGAGGTTGTCATAGCGAAGGTGGACACCACGAGCGTAGAAGGGCACGCAGTTGGAGAAGCAAGCATACTTGATGACAGTCAGTTGTGTACACCAAGGACAAGGCCGATGTTACTTACCAGCTTCATCTGATGCTGGACGTTGAAGATCTCATGCTCGGATTCCAAGCCAGCGTTGGTGCCATCGGGAAGCTGAGAGACGAACTGGTAGCGAGAGATGTAGGTCATGTCGTCCTCGGACACCTCATTGGCGAAAGCACCCTCGACATAAGGAGCTGGGAGAGGAAGAATGCTCTTGTGCTTGCTGGAGACGGCGTCGACATCGCGGACGGGCTGCTTGCCGGCGGCAACGACGGTGACCTGGCTGATGTTGTTGCGGCGATGGCCGGAGCGAGCATCTCGGACGAGCTCAGGGGAGTACAAGGTAGGGTCTGTGCCGCCAAAGGGGCTTGAGGAAGGACCAACACCAGCCGAGGACTGAGGTGAGTGGTGAGACATGATGAACGAATGCTGAACAAGTGATGTACCGATGTACAGGAACGATGGGTATGAGATGGATGATGGAGGCCAAAGAATGGCAATGCTTTGGTCAAGGCTCAGGTATCAGAAAGAGTTGGAAGACTGGATGAACCAAAGTGGGGTGGGAAAGAAGGAGGGCAGGTGGGAAGGGGCGTGGGGAGGCAGCCTTTATATACCTGGGGGCGGCCGCGAGCCTCGAGCTGTCAGCTGATGGCGCTATACCTCTCAGGGCGTGAGGACGGCAGTATTTCGAAAGGCCAGCGCATTCATCGAGAAGGAAAAGAAAAGACGCTTCTCGTGAGAGCGTTCTGAGCGGCCCGCGGCGATGTGTTGGAGCGGAATCCGTTGCGTTGCCCCCAGGATGCGGGCAAGGAGCAGGCCCGGCAACTTCAAGATGGGCGCCATTCAAAAGCCCTCGTCGAGCTCTACAACCTCATCTTTTGGTAACTACAGAGGAGCATTGTGGTTGGGCGTGCATCACGGCTGCAAGAAACCCCTGAGTTTGGTGTTCCGAATACTCGACGGCTACTTCACCTATCGCGAGCCCTGCCCTCATACGATTCCCTCCCTTTCTAGCGCCATTCGACAACTGACCGCCTACGGCAGGTTCCGAGTATGCAGGCGCAGAGAAGGCGTCATTCAAGGGCAGCAGAGCGATATGAAGGAATGAGAGGGGCGGCTGAAGCGTGTGGAGAGCGCGTGAGGCTGACACGCTGTAATGGTGTGGGCTTCATGGTGGATGCGTGTCAGACAATTGCGAGCTCCAAGGTAGACAAGCAACAGCCAGAAGACGAGGGCAGGCGCCATCCATGGTGGCCGCCTTGAGCTCGTTGCGGAAGGCGCTGCTGAGGCTGTTCCCCGAGATGAAGCTGGAGCAGCCACGAGACTCACAGACGATGGACGACTTGGATATGCAGCGCCTGAGATGAGGCCCAGCATTGACTTCGCCGTACAATGCCGTACTAATATAGGCTCTAACATCAGATTGCGTATCATCTCACACATGCGAAAGGCACATCCAACATGTTCTTCACAAGTCGAGGGCGCGGCTAGATGTTACCGCAACTCAATCCTGAAAGGGTCTCACAACTCCTCAGGGACAGCTATGGCAAGCTGAGCACAAAGGTGTAATTCATGTAGAAGACCCGACTAATGTGGGCTGTCTACGCCTCAGGTACCAGTATTGCGTTTCTTATGTCACTTTCCACTCCTGTCCGACCTCGTCCCTGAAAGAAGCTCTAAGAGTGGCCTCTGTCCAAATCTGGATCCATGTATTCACAAATATGTCTGCACTCAAAGTACTTTCGCAGAACCAGCCATAGCTCAACTAGGGCGCTCGTAGGCGCTTTGCAAATCCTCCGTCCAAATTCTGAGCCTCGGGAACGTGGACCCCAGTTGTTCCACCTGGCACTTGCAGCTGCCAAATTCGTCCGGACGACCAGCTATCTGTATAATAGCTCGCGAACCACAAAGACATCATCCTACCTATGGTGTCTTCTCACCAGAAGCAAGCACACGCCCAGTTATTCGCTTATCGGCCCTTTCCATATACTTCGTACGTCCACCTCCACCAGTGTGTTGTGCCCTGTGTGCCCCTACGCGCATACGACCTGCGATTCGAGTGCGGTACAGCGACGTGACGACTGTTGTTATGGCAGGCTGTGGGCGAAGTGTACTCGAAAGGCTTTCGATCAGTCGCCTCGACGGCTTGCGATTCGGCTGGTGTAAGAGCTCGACCGGTCTGTCGAGACGGGCTCCTATGCTCTCCTAAACTACGCGTCAGCAACTGCGCCGATAGATCCCGCTAACGGAGAACTCAAGTAACAAACCTTCTTCCTCCTTGGTGGAGGAGCGGGTGAGCCTCGTCCGACTCCGTGCTCATTCGACCTTCGCGGGTGGCAGACACAGGATTACCGTTTTCTTGCCAATTCTGTATTGCGCTCCCTCTTCAGTTTTTATGCTTGAAAATGTCTTCGAGTATGGCCCATTTTCCTCTGCATCTGCCTTGCGATCCAGGTGGAAGGAGCTGGCTCGATCGTGGCAATATCGTGCGTAGAAGATACCAAAGGAACGTGTGCGAGAAAGGAGCCGCAGCTAAACATCTCAGCCGATAACGCCCATACTGCGTGGAACTGTCGTAATCATCGTGGCTTCGTGGGTAGGTTTGAGTTGCGCTGTATGAGGCGGTAAACGTTGATCTTTTGCATCTCGAGGTAGGCTTGGCATTCGCTAGCTGTGTGTTGTTAGTAGGTATGAGGTACACACGAGGAGGGATTTCAAATGCTGGAGCGATACTTTATCTGCTCTTTGAAATTGGAAAGAACATACATGTCAATCTTTGAAGTGTCTAGAGGCGACGCAAATTAGGAAGTTGGAAGGACACCACAAGTCAAGCCCTGGAGAGCGGCAGCGGTGACATCGCCCTGGGTCCATGGCTCTTTGGCTGTTGCACTTTCGCCTGGACTCCGTCGGCGTCCTCTCAAAGGCGTCTCTTTGCCTTCGCGCCCTACGGGTAGATAAGTAGCGCCGACATGAACGGAAACTTGCAACTCGAGTCTATTCTCGGTATTTCCTAGCCTAACAAGCTCACATGCTAGAGTTGAAGTCGAGTCAATGTGTGCTGGAGTAATTGATTAAAATGTATCTCGTTCATTGGGTCTATGCCATATATATATACATGCTACGTACAGAACTACCAGAACTATCAAACATGATAGACCGAAACAGTGAGGTGCTCCTTCACGTTATATATCGCCAGAAGATCGTATATGCACGCGAAGCCATTCAAACAGTAAACGGGTTGAAACTGAGATTGAAACAGGATAGAAGAGGTGCCTCATATACTAGGGTTGGTGTTAAACGAAGTATGCTTTCAGAGACGCTAGCAGTAGTGTAGATGTCATGTTACTCGCCTTGACCTGCCGGCAACAAACACCTCGCGCGAAGGGGGTATCATAAATTCAAACTGAATGCCAAATCAACATCTCGTCCTCTCCAAACGAACGACTTGCCATGTTCCTCACTTCTTCCCCAAATCTGACTCCCCCTGAAACATCCACTTGTCCTCCTCAACACTCGCCACCTTCTTCCGCAGACTAGACTTGAGCGCGATCTTGATCTCTTCCTCGATGGCCGCTGCGTCCCAGTGAGCAGTCGATTTGCCGTAGAGATCGATCACTTGCTGCTCTTGTTCTGATCATTGTTAGTCTCAAACTTCATGGCTATGTTGCATTGGCGTACCAGCTTCCTCGTCGCCCTCTCTTCCCAAGTTCAGTGCCATGTGCGTATATCCCATTTGTGGCGCATACATCTTGTACTCTCCCTGTGCTGTTCGCTCGACAAGTTCGTCCTCTTGTGGTTGCTGGAATATGCCCGCTATTTCTTTATCTGGCCGTACCGTGGTGGGGTTTTGACGCCGAGTCGACTGGAAGAGGTTGCGACGTGATCCTGGAGGTGGGCGGACAGCACGGAGGTGATTGTTATGGGGTTCCATTTGGTGTGTTTGGGTTCTACGTGGAGATGTTTGCGGAATCGTGGGCGTAGGATCTTCAAGGTGAACGTGCAAGGGAAATCAGCGTTGCAGGGTGTCTGGGTGGGTCAACTGCAGAGTCGAATGGTGCGGAGGTGATGGCGATGTTTGGGTGTTTTGTGAGGCTGGCATGGTTGGCACGCCGTACCGACGGATGTTGCGGTGGCGGGATGGATGGAGCCTCAACTTTCTGAACGCACGCACATCGAATTGAGCTTCTGTGTTCGGATTAATCCAGGTTTACGCGCTTTTATACGCGTCATACTGCATTCAAGCGTCATTGAACAACCGACTGGACCTGAAAGCCGCTCGTACATGCCATTGTTCCAGCACAGCAGCGGTCTGTAACCGTCGAAGAGAACTATCGACACGATGAGCGACCCATTGCCAGCGACGACGACGTCAGATCTCTCCCCCAGCCCTCCCGATCGATCACAAGATACAGAAGGCGGCTCCCCACCCCGCAAGCGACCTAGAACCCGAGCTCCTCCTCGAGCTGCAACCTCGAGCGCAAGCGCAAATGCAGAGACGCCAACCTTCGCACCACAGCCCACATCTTCCGGACCACCGCCCGTCGCAACCCCCTCAGAAGTTCATCGCTTCTCTATACAACCGCTCAATCGCTTCCGCGGTGCCTCAGCCAGCATCAAGCGCCCTCGCGAAGTTGCTCATTTCTCCTACGATAACAACCACGAATACCAGGAAGACGAGTCTGGCATTAGCTACTATATCCCGCCGCCCCTGGGCGCAGATATGAAGGAAGGCTTCGAGTCGTTTAGGCATTATGAGGATAAGGAGGATCCGCATCTTGACAGCTTGCTCCAGGCATTGGCGAGCAGGGAGAGACAGGAAGGAAGGGAGAAGAAGGCGCAAGGTGACTTTGTGACCTGGAGAGGTATGATGACGAAGGTACGTTGACGCTGGAGAGTAAGGTAAGCAAGAACTATATTCTTACCTTACTGCTACTCTAAGGGTTAGAACGGTCTTACTTTGATAGATCTAGGCACTAACAGCTCCCAGATAATGACCGCTCCCTTTGACAACTTCGCCGAATTCAGCATGTTCGCAACCCTCCACGACGGCACAATCTACATCGAAGAAGACTTCCCCTCGCGAGCCGCAGATCGCGCCGCAGAATCCTCGCGTCCACCCCAACGGAACCAGCACCCAGATCAACAGTCTCGAGAGATGATGACATACTGGGGTTACAAGTTCGAAACGCTCTCCCTGATTCCCACGCCACCAGCCACCACCCCACGCGAGGAGATTGCGAAACACCAAAGAAGCGTGGTATCGAATCACGCACAACATTGCTCAATCGTCGGCACATCATTTGGCCCACACAGTCTGATTCTAGGCGGTGAAGTCGACGGTCTGCTCGCTCCCAAACCATCAGATCCAGAAACACCCATTCAATGGGTGGAGCTCAAAACATCTGAAGAACTGCCCCCTCCACACCAGCAACAACACCGCGACATTATGAAATTCGAGCGCAAACTCCTCAAATTCTGGGCTCAATCCTTCCTCCTCGGCGTCCCGAAGATCATCGTTGGGTTTAGGAGTAAAAGTGGCATTTTACGCAGTCTGCAGACGTTTAATACGCACGAGATCCCGGGTATGGTTAGGAGAGGGACGGGCGTCTGGGACGGGAATGTGTGTATTAATTTCGCGACGGATTTTCTAGGGTGGTTGAAGGAGACGATAAAGGATGAGGGTGTGTACAGCGTTGTCTTGCGGAAGAAAAGCGGCATAGTCGAAGTTAAGAAAGTCAAGGAGGGAACAGGCCGAATTCTGAGTGAGGAGTTCCTTAATTGGAGGAAGCAGACGGACACGAAGGAAAATGCAGATGAGCCTACATCGAACGAGGCGAATGCATGAGACACCGAGTTGGAGGAGCAAAGCTAGTTTTGGCTGTGATGATACCCCACGAAAGTAACAACGAATATTATGAGTGAGTCTGTCAACCATGTTCAGGTGAATCCAATAGTAGCACAAGAGGTGACCCTGAACGCCATGCTAGCAGTACATCGATTTTTCAGTTCCGCATTCAACCAACTTTCCTCTCCATCTTTCCCAGACTTACAAATATCTAGCGCTATTCAGAGGCCTGTCACATAACTCGTACACCCTATCACAATGGCATCCAGCTCCACTCAGACAACATTCTACCTAATACCAAATCGCGAGCCAAGTGTTCCGAACCTCTCACTGGCCTGTGTCCTAGTTGGACTTTGCGCCGCCACCTGGGCACCCTCCTGTACCTTCTCCAGCAGAATGGCACCCTTGAGTTGATCCACCTTTCCGTATTTCCGATTTCGCTGTGCAATATCGAAAAACTCCTCGCTGTTATCCGTACGCATCAGCGCCACCGTCTGCGTCAGCTCATCCAGATTCTCCATCAAAATCGGATTGTTCAAGCTGGAGACGAAGTCGCTAAGGAAGCGTGTGTCATTTTCCAGGGTAGCAACAGCGGGCGGTGTGATGCGCTTTACGTGTTCGGAGAGGGGCAGGTCCAGAATGGCGGTGCTGGCGTGGCTCAGTGCATCGAAGTAGATGAACTCCTTGATCTCTGTGGGCAGCGCGAGAAGAACGGACGACATGATGTTGCTCAAGTAGCGTGTCAACTCCAGCATGTATGTGGATGGTTCTGTTTCTGGTTTGATCGCCATCCAATCGTATTCCGCTGTCTCGATCAAATCATCAATCTTGCTGTTCACCAACTCAAACACGCGATTGCTCGCTTGTTGTTTCGCCTTTGCGAATTTGTCGGTTGCAGCAAGAATGATGGGACCTGATGCTGAGGGGGAGGATCGCGCTTGGAATAAGAGGTCTTGCAGCTCAACACAGGCGGTTTCGAAGTGTTCGAGATTTGTTAGAATTTGCACGATTTGGCCTGGGTATTGTGATGACAAGCGGTCAATCAGTGACTGGCAGACCTTTTGGCACAAAAGGTCGTCGAGTGCTGTCCGTAGGGTTTCGTCGATGATTGTAGATTTTTGGAAGTAGTCATCTGAGAAGAGGTAGATCTGGTTCAAAAAGTTGCGGATGTCGATACAGCAGAGTGGATACATCTGCGAAAATGGTAGCACGCAAGGGAATGTGAGCTCCTCGCGGGATTTATCGGGAGAGTACCAAGAAACCGAGACGACTTTGTCGTATTCTTCGTGACTGTTGATGGGCATGGGCATGTAGTCGTCTGTCTGCACAATTTCGAGAAAGTCGTCGCTGAAGCGCTGTTTGAGGAGCTCAGAGTATTTAGAAAAGAGAGTAAGGAGGAGATCGTTCATTGCCGAGACTGAGTATCCCCATTTCTACCAGTACTGTTAGCAGAAGGTAGTTGCGATTGGAAAGAAATAGCGGACCTCCATAGTTAGCATGAAGAGTGCCACTCGACCCTTGATCCTTAACAGTAGCTCGTCATTTTCAACAGTGTGAAGTTGGCTGGTAATGAACTTGATCGCACTCTGGCACATGGAATCCCACAGCTCATCGACCTAGACGTACGTTAGAATAAATTCAGCCTTCTAAAAGATATCGCTCACATCAGCCTGTGATCGTAGGTTCGCCGTCTTCGACACGGTAGCTTTCTCAATAATCGCAAAGCCCGCAATGCTTTCAAGTAAACTACTGAGGTCGCCGCATTCCTCATCCAGAAGATTCAGCTTACTGGGGATGATAAGATCCTTTTGTGTCCGCCTGTCTGCCGCGTATTCAGACCTGAATTGATCGCTCTTGCCCAACGTCTCATTGATATGCATGGCCTCAAATAATGGCGAGAAGTCGGTCTCGTTTCCAGCTTCTTCGTTGTTCAGCACATCGAATTCGTCCGTTTCGTCAGCAACAAGTTCGATGGCCGAGTTCAGTTTGAACTTGGAGAAGCGCGGGTCTGTCTCGGCGCGCTCTTGATTCCGTGTTCTCCGCACATCAGTATAGTAGAAGGATACTTCGCCCAGGAACTGTGCGGACTCTCGAATCCGGTAGAGCCAGGTGCTCAGGTCGTTCTTCACCGCTTCTCTGATCTGCTCCTGTGTTTGGGGTATAGACTTTTCGATCAAATTTGCGATCTTGAACCGGTTGATTTCCTTCAAATGAATCGTCTGCAGCTCGTCCAACGCTCGCAACGCAGCATAGTAGTTTTTCTCCCTCAGCATATCCTGGACTTGATTCGCAATTCGTAACACGTTCAGACACGCATTTAAGACTTGAGTCGCTTCATTAATGTTTTGACGCACACCGCGGGAGTCGACGAGCGCCTTCTTCTGCTCTGCTAGCTTTTCAATGCTCTCTTGTATCGACTCGTTGAGCTGCAATATCTCACCGCTCATTTGCACGGTCTGATCCCGGATTCTAAGAAGTGAGTCGACTGAGCTGACAAAGTCTTGGTGGTTGGCATTGCAGATTCGCTCAATCTCAGATTCCCGATCGCCGGCATACCGGTCAAACGTGACCTGGAGCTGGTTTGAATAGCGCGCATCCTTCATGATAGGAATCAACTGGTCGATGTAGTCGGAGCCCACGGACGATTGGGATATCTGATACCTGTCAGTACACGTAGAGGAACCTGAAGCACACCGTGGAGTCATGTACTTGTTTGATAGCTATCCATAAGTCATCGTCAGGGTCTACAGCTGAAGGCATGATGATGAAAGTCTAGCAGGGCTTCGTGCGTCCAGATCGTAGGTCGCGTTTCCCAGAAATATACCACAAGTTTGGCGAAGGATTTCCCGGGTACCTATCTTTCTCGGAGAGTTGACGTCGATTGTATGGACGTTGAGCATGAAATGCTGCCTAGATGCTGTAGGCCACGATGCATGAGCTAATGCCGGACCCTGTCTAGCCTCGGCGCACCAGACGGTCCGAAGACGCTGGGGGCGCGTCCCACTTTCCTTTCCGAGAGGGCGTGGCGGAGCGATGACGGAGTACCCCACCAGATCTTTGATCATTCCGATCGGACTCGACTGAAAAGTATAACCTTTGACAACTTTTCTTGCATCCTCACCCTCAAATCTCAAATCAACCAAAATGGAGGCTCTTACCAGTAAGTCTTCTGCTGCACGTTCAATTGAGCACTGCTGACCGGCTCAGACAAGTTTCAGAATGTTCTCGATAGCGTTAGTGGCGCTACGACCGGAGCGTACAGTGGAAAGTAAGTGAAGATATGCACGACGCACTTTTAACGATAAACTAACCATTGGCTAGATCTGCACTTCTACTTGGTGCCGGCTTTGTGTAAGCTACCATTAAAACTCGAGTTCAGAGCCTCACACTAACTCTCGAAGCACTCGACCAACTGTAGAGGTTCTCGCAAAGTCGGGCGTCAAGGTCACTGTCGCCTGCAGGACTCTTGAGAAGGCTCAGGCCTTGGCCAAGGGCATTCCCAACACCCAGGCGATCAGCGTATGTTGTTCTGTCTGCAAATGTATCTCACACGTAATGACAATAGCAGCTCGATGTCAACAACGCTGAAGCCCTCGATGCTGAAGTCGCAAAGGTCGATGTCGTTATCAGCTTGATCCCGTACACCTACCACGCAACCGTCATCAAGTCCGCCATCCGCAAGAAGAAGGATGTCGTTACCACCTCGTATGTCTCGCCCGCAATGATGGAGCTTGACGCAGCTGCAAAGGAGGCCGGCATCACCGTGTTCAACGAGATTGGTGTTGACCCGGGCGTCGACCATCTCTCTGCCGTGCTCGTCATCGACGAGGTACACAAGGCCGGAGGCAAGATCCTGTCGTTCAAGTCCTACTGCGGTGGTCTTCCTGCACCTGAGGCCTCAGATAACCCCCTTGGATACAAGTTCTCGTGGAGCTCGCGTGGTGTGTTGCTGGCACTGAGGAATCAGGCCAAGTTCTACGAGGACGGCAAGATCAAGGAGGTTGAGGGCCCGGAGCTCATGGCTGAGGCAAAGCCGTACTTCATTTACCCTGGCTATGCTTTCGTGGCCTACCCCAACCGCGACTCAACACCCTACAAGGAGCGCTACAATATCCCCGAGGCTCAGACTATCATCCGCGGTACTCTGCGGTACCAGGGCTTCCCTGAGTACATCAAGTGCTTAGTCGACATTGGCTTCCTATCCGAGGACCCCAAGGACTTCCTCAAGGAGGGAGAGAAGCGCACCTGGAGGGACGCGACTGCGAAGGTAGTTGGTGCAACCAGCGACAAGGATGAGGACATCATCTGGGCCATTGCCTCGAAGACCAAGTTCGCCAGCACCGAAGAGAAGGAGCGCATCATCACAGGTCTCCGCTGGATCGGTCTCCTCTCCGACGAGCCCATCATCCCACGTGGCAACCCGCTCGACACACTCTGCGCTACTCTCGAGAAGAAGATGCAGTATGAGGAGGGCGAGCGCGACTTTATCATGTTGCAGCACAAGTTTGAAATCGAGAACAAGGACGGCAGCAGGGTAACGCGCACATCAACTTTGGCAGAGTACGGTGACCCTAAGGGCTACTCGGCGATGGCCAAGTTAGTTGGCGTGCCGTGCGCCGTTGCAGTACAACAAGTTCTTGATGGAACACTCAGCGAGAAGGGTGTTCTAGCGCCTATGAGCCCCGAAATCTGCAGGCCGTTGTTGAAGACGCTGGAGGAGAAGTATGGGGTCCACTTCACAGACAAGACCGTTCCAGCATAAATCCGGGTGCGAGGTATGCTACCGCAAGCTTAGAGTAAAGGTGCCTGGGCTATGACATGTAAACAAAAGAATACAAGATAATAACTCAATATGACCATCTGCTCGCGTGACACATTTTATTATATTCGCGTTTCTCTTGTCATTGGCGTGAACCTGGTGTCTAGGTTTGAACCAGGAGAGCTCGAGACATGAGGCAGGTGTGGGGTTTGTCTGTGCGTCATCGCAACACTTGATCTCCAATCTCCGCCTAGGTTACATACAGTAGCCCAAACATTTCAACTCAGAACCTCCTTCACACCTCCTTCCGCCAAAATGTCGTCGAAAATTGAAAAGACGATACAGCGACAAAGAGAAAAGTACGCGCCCTCACGCCACTCAGCATCACCACCTGGAATCTCTCGCTGACCCCGCCAGAATCGCCGAAGGCCAATACTACGAAGCCCACCAGCAGCTCCGCGTCATAGCGTCGCGATACACCAAAGCGCAAGACTGGGAAAATGCAACCTCGATCCTCTACTCTGGCGCGCAATCACTCCTACAAGCAGGTCAAGGCGGCTCAGGCGGCGACCTCTGTACATTCCTATTGGATGTGTTCAACAAGGGCGAGGTGAAGCCGGATGCGAGTAGTAAGGGAAAGTTGCTGAGCTTATTGAGGGCCTTCCCCAAGGATGAGCCAACTAAGAAGAAGTTTGTGGGCGAGATGGTAGCTTGGAGTAGTAAGTTTGGAGAGTATCCGGCGGGTGATCCTGAGATTCATCATGTTGCGGGGAGCTTGTTCGCTGAAGGTACGTTCAACCCATATGACCTCACTCAGAGAAAGGTACTAATAGGAGCGACAACTAGACCTCGAGCCCTACGATGCCGAACGACATCTCCTCCTCGGCACCCAAGACTCCGCCTCGACTCTCTCCTCCATCGAATATTCCTGGTACGAAGCCGACGACTCGCACACCGCCCCCCTATACTGCGCCCGCGGCGTCCTACCCTACCTCCTAACCGGAAATCTGCGCGCTGCAAACAAGTTCTTCCTACTCTTCACCTCCCAGCTAGCCAAAAAGCCCAATCTCAGCACCCAGAACGTCTCCACCAAGTCCTCAGACCTACGCGTATATACTTCCCTACCACTACTCAACTTTCTAGGCCTGTTGTTACAAAGTGTAGAGAGAGGCGACCCGAGTTTATATCGCCAGTTGAAGAGCCATTACGCGACGGATCTGAGAGAGGTCAACTGGAGCGAGGCGTTAGATCAGATTGGCGAGATGTACTTTGGGATAAAGATACCGCGGCAGGGCAACCCGATGTTCGACATGCTGGGCAGCATGTTTGGAGGAGGAATGGGAGGTGGCGGTGGCGGCAGTGCAAAGAAAACAATCGGAGGGAGGGCCTCGGCGCCTGCTGCGTCAGGACTTGATTGAAAGGAATGGCGAGAGAAAGGAAGCGCTCATGAGCAACGAGACTATGACAGATCACATGTATACATGGGAGGAAAGATACCACTGTACAAATGAGCATCTGAGGATAAGATCAAGTTCTATCTTTCTTCATGGAGACTTTTGGTCTTCATTCAGCGTAAACGATTTTTGCGACGCAGACTAGTAGGACTGTGCCACGCAATTCTCGTTCAAATTCATTGCCCAAAATTGACCAAAATTGCTCGAGTTCGCCTTGATATGATGTTCTGCTTACTCCGGTACCAAGTTAAACCTGAGGCGGAAAAGATTAGACTTAGACTCATGGTTTGGGGGGGAAGAGACCCATAACGTCAGGATATGAGTCGCCCATCTTTTGTAAGTTAAGGCGGTTAAGCATTGCAACCTTATCTCCATTACACTAGTTTCATTGTTGGCAAATTGATACATAGTTACAGGGGTTTAAACTGTGAACTTAGTCGGTGCGGTAATGCAAAAGTCTAGGAGTTCGAAGTGTTCAAACGACTTGGTCAACTGTTTATATTAGAACCAATATAGGAGCCTACTCTATATCTCAACATACATACAGTTCTCAACGTTCTTGATGTATGTGCAGTTTACGAATCTCGAGACTAGCCTGCTACCAGAAAGGGAGAAATACTACCTATTGCGGCCACTATACGTCATCTCCATGTCGAACTACTTGCCATGCAAAAAAAAGGCCAGAAAAAAAGGTAACAATTGCACTAAACGGGAATCGCTGCAAGCATGTTAGTGATGAGACTCGAACTGACGCATCGGGGATCACATACAACCCGTGGCTGAAGCACTGCCAATTTATGGGAAGCATCAATTTTACCACTAAACCATTAGTGCTTGATGACCAATTCTGATTTTACAAAATAGATATCCAGACCAGCAGTCGTGAGAATCAATCGATGGAACGCAAGGAGGAGATGACATTACAAAGACCTTCTGTCAGACTTGGGACAACGGACCGCCTGTCTGCAGAGCGGGGTTGAATGGAACTTACCCCAACTGAGCGTGGTAAGTCTCAGCATTAACAACATCAAAACTCAAGGCTCGGGGTCAACATTCATAAAACATTTAGGTGTACTTCTGATACCCAATGTATTTTGAACTTAAACATATAGCGCTGAAGATGATTTGCAAACATAAGTTCGGTTGATTTTCATCATTGCTATTGTCCCGCCGTCAAGAAATTGCCACTCTTTTCTCATCTAAGGAATGAAACAGTGGATAATGTGAATTGAAGACAACCGGTACAATTATGCATCTCGTATTCAACGGTCAAAAGCCACTACTAGAATGACGGGCTATTTATTTCCGTACAACATGTGCAAAAACATGCAGGAAATCATCAATCTGAGCACACCGCGCGGCCTCGCTTCAAGGGAGCACATAAACACATCCGAAGATTTCTAACTTCCCTGGCATTCAAAGACGAGGTAACTCGTGTAATAGAAGGTCGTTGGGGACATCTAGAAACTTCATCAATCGCAGGAGCGACGCATCACAATATCATCAGGCGGGAAGTGCAAGTATACCCGTAAACCTGATCAGAGTATACGTCTACAGCGGCACAAAGGGATGAGGTATTGTTACACATGAAGCGCGAGGAATGAGTTGGAGGGATGTAGGGAGAGAGAATAGCGTCTAGAGATTACTATGGAATCTTGTGTTGAAGCTCGAACGTTACTCGTTGGCCGAAGCACCAATCTACAAATATGCGTGAATAGACGTGATAAGAGGAGCAAATAATCGAAACAAGGGTATAATCTACGCCTGAATAGACCTCAGACCGCCATTCAGCTCGCAGTGCAAAACTCGCAAGTTCGTGAAGGACAATCACTAAGCGCCATGACATGTCAGCGTAAGGAAACCATCATCGTATCAGGCAGCGATTGCGTATCTACATAACCACGCACTTCTCCCTTTCCTCTGACCCAGGTCCACCTACACCTGCACCTGCACTGTGCCTTCTTCCTGGTCGACCAGGCGAACCCATATTAGGTGGCTGCATCGGCCGCCCCGAGGCGCGTCGCCCTGTAGGACCAGCACCGGGTGGCGGAGGTAGGCCGCCGCTGTTTGTTTGGTACGCGCTGCCATGAGGTAACAACGGCGCCTGCGGATTCGCTGGATGGCCTGGGGGAGGGTTATACCGCGGGGTTGTTGAAGCTTCTTCGTATGTAGGCGGTGGTGCTGGCTCGTTGTTCGGACGATGTGTAGTGATGTTGTTGCGTCGCGGTGGGATGACAGGCGTCTGCTCTCCTCGAGATGTGCGACGATTGGCAACAGTTCGCGGTTGAGAATGTGCTGCGATCGCATCCACAGAGAGTCGGTTCTCTCGTTCACGCTGCTCTGTTTCACGCCTCTCGCGAGCCTCTTCCTCCTCCTGGAGCTGGAGAGCCAAAGCGAGATCATGATCTTCCTGCTCAGCCCTGCTCAGCCCTCCTGATGAAGTAACTTCAGCACCCTGGGAAGAGGGTTGTGTAGCCGAAGAGGACTGTTGTTGCTCAGTTCCCCGTCGGGATTGAACAGTAGTCCAGCCTTGATTGTCGTCAACGTCGACAATACCATGCGCTTGTTGCTGCTCTTGTGGCCTCGGGAGCGTACTACTGTTGTCGACAGAGCGGAAATCGCCCGAGAAAAGCTGACTGCCTTGACCGTTGACATCCGTCAGTGACTCCCAAACGATCTCATCGTGAGTTGAGTAGCCCTGATCTGTGACTAGTGTCAGGAGTCGACCGGTACGAGGATCCTTGCAAAGGGTAGAGAAGTGATCATTTCTGAACAAGATGGCGACTTGACCATGTTGCAGGGTCTCTCGCATGACTTTTAGTCCGTGGTCTGTGAGTTGAGTCGGCCATCGACTGAGGAACTCTTTGATAGCGTGAATGTCGGTGAACATCTGCTGCTCGTCCGCGTTCAACGGCTCCCCAGATTGTAGCTTCGCATCAAGCTCCTCTTCTTGAAATTGTACATATTGTGAAGTCTCGTATGATTTTGCTACGCGATTAAAAGCGGTATATGCCTCAGAGCCTTCCTCTGGGAGCCATCCGTGCATCAGGGGTATGTCGAACGTGCGATACAACTTCATGTCTTGTGTGTTTTCGAAGCCTCCTGCTCGGTTAGTGAGTGATGTGTTGCCAACGACAGCATCCCTATCAGGAACGAACAATGGGTTGACGTTGAGGCCTGTATGCAGGGCGAGGAGGAACTTGTAAAGTTCACTGACATCCGGCAACGCTTGGGCAGCATCACCTCGCCGGCCGGACATGAGCTCATCGAAAACTGCGTCGAGAAGTAAGCCAAGGCTAACTGTCTCTCGTGTGCGTAGCGTCTCAACCAGTGCAGTCTCGATACCGGCTGGAGTGGAGAGCACGAGCGCGTTGACTAGAGCAAGCAGGGGGCATGGGCCATTGAGGTTTTGCGTGAGTATAGGCGAAGTGCGAATACCATTCTTATTATAGTCGTGCCATCGGATATGCTTGATTTGGTAGTGCTCCTTTCTTTGCCTGTTCATTGTCGTATTTGGTGATTCGGGTCCAGAATTGGAAGCAGAACCGACTCCTGTGTCAAGGGGTCGCGGAGGCATGGTGGGTGGAACTTCCTCATGTGACTTTCTCGGCGGTAACGCTGGTGGCTGCTCCTGCTGGACAGGTTGAATAGGCGGTGGTGCGAATGGTGGTAATGGAGGTTGCTGTTCTAGTCGATTAAACTCAGCCTCATGTTTTCGCTCCTGTTCGGCTTTTGTCACTACTTCGTGAGCAGCATGGGCTTCTTTTTGTCTCCTCTCCCTTTCGCTACGTTCCCAGTCTTGCTGCTCCTGCCACGTCTTCTGGCCACTGTCCGAGGTGTTGCCCTTGGGAAGGCCATATCCTCTCGAGGCAGCATCAAGCGAGGAATCGTCTGTACCGGGCTCCCGTAGTTCCGAGACGATGACATCTCTTGGGTGCTCAGAACGTGGAGTAGGCGAATTGACCGCGATAGAGGGCGGCTGGTCTATAGATTGCGACTTCTTTTGATGCGGAGCGTTGTCATCCAGCTTCAATTTGTCGGGTCCAGGAGAAGGCGTGAGCGGCGTCTGGGAAGTAGGTAGCTCCACCGGCTCGTCGTACTTTTTGTTGTGCCCTGGTGAGTCCCCCCATATGGCCTGGCTGCTCTCGCCGCCCCAGTTACTCTGCCCAGTTGCTTGCATCTTAAGGTATGGATTGTTTGTCTGTAGCGGCGCCGACCCGTTCGACTGTTCCGATGCGTTGCTAATGGCACCGTAAGATGCGGAACTAGCTCCAGTGGGCATGGCCGATATGTTCTCGGGCGATCTCTTGATAGGTACTCCGGCCGGCGGACCTGCCCGCAGAGCATCTGGTAGGCCATTCGTATTGATGGAGCCTTGCATTGGCTTTCCTCCACCAGGCTTCAACGAGTTTGGAACATCGCGGGGACCGATATCCTCGAAGTCGTCGTCGGACTGGTTCCACTCGTCATCGGTGAAGTCCGAGTCGTCATCATTATTTTCCGTCTGTCCTCTTGCTTCTTCTAGGGTCTTGAAGCTGAAGGCTGGAGACTTGTTTAGATCCGGGGAGTAGACAGTCGCGTCAGAGGACGAGGGAATCGCTGGAGGGTGCTCCTCTGAGGGAGTTGTGGGGTACGGAGGATTCGCTTTTGAGAGAGGGGCTGGCACAAGGCCTGCTTGCTCTTCGGATTTTCGAAGCACCATGGTAGTGGTGGTGCCTGTGAGGAATAGTAGCTGGAGAGCTCTAGCTACCTAATCGTGTGTCGCGGTAGTCGGAGCTCACCCTTTGTTTGGTTCGTGGAGAAGGGAAGGTGTGAGGGAGTTGGAAGGAAAAGTGATAGTTCTTGCGAAGTGGAGAAGAAAAGGGTGCAGAAAGTATGCGGCCTGAATTGCACATACGCGGCCCTCGTGTTGGATTACAGAGGTGGTGAGCAAGCGATTGCGATGACGACGCTGTCCGCGCGGGAGCCACAGCCACAGTCACAGCCACAGCGAGTAAAACTCGTGGGGAAAGGATCGCAATTTCTGTGCCACCCATCCAAATCCCTGCATCTCTACGCCACTAGTTTTAGAAATCCTACTCTTCCGCAAGTTTTGGAATTCGGATCCGAAGTAGACATAGCGCAGTAGTCGCACATGGCTCGGTGAAGTTGTATAGAAGAAGTGATCAAGCCTGCGCCATGCATTCGTACATACGCCCCAATACGCATGTTGCGCTGCGGTTGCCATCAGGCATCCTCAAAGTTCTCGAGATTACACCAAACCAGTACGTCGCATAGCTGCAGTGAGGTCTCGCTTGTACGCAGCCTAGAGATAAAGTACTCACTCGCGCGCAGAAGCATTAATCTTGGGAAATTTGGCACGTTCAATTCAAACCTTATCCTCGGCCGCCCATACTACCTCACCTTCGAACTCCTCGACAAGGACGATGGCAAATCGAGGACCGAGCTACGCGTCGTACCTGCCTCAGAACTTCACGCGGAAGCACTAGGTAACGAACATGCGCCCACTGCCGAGGCCAACGAAGAGGTTGCCGAGAGCGGCGCGGGCTTTGACATTGTGGACGAGGATGGGCAGGTTCTCATGCGAAACAACCGTTTGACCGTCGACGATGCGTCAAGGCAGGCCCTGTCCATGGCCGAGATAGAGGAGCTTAAAAAGGCTGGCGCGGGATCTGGCAAGGAAATCATCGCAAAAATAATGGCGTCGCATAACGCTATTGATGAGAAGACTACATTCTCTCTGGCAAAATATACCTTGAGGAAATCGAGAAAGTATATGAAGCGTTTCACGGCGCTGCCACTGGATGTTGGACTACTCACCGAGTACGTTCTTGAGAGAGAGGCGTACAAAATCATGGAGCTGAGAGAAGACCTACTAGGTCTGATCTGCAGCTGGGCAAACATTCATTGCGGCTCAGCAAGCCGGGTCCTCGCTGCCGAAGACGGTGTCAGTCAGATAGGAGGAGGAAGATGGCTCGTTGTAGACGACACCGGTGGTCTCGTCACAGCAGCTCTTGCAGAGAGGATGGGCATATTATATCCAGAAGAAGAGAATGATGATTCAGAAGAGGAAGAAGAGGTTCACGGCCAGCAGCGAAACGGTACAACAGAAACAACCAACGGCCCGGAACAAAATGGTACCGACACTGTTATGGCAGATGCAGACATTTCAAGTACCACCGAGCAGAATACAGCTACCTCGTCCGACCCGGTCAATCCCACAGAACCCACATCAACAGCTACTGTACCCTCAGAACCCCCTCTCCGCCACCGCAAACCGCCACGGCCACACATCCCCCAAATGTCCGCTCAAACAAACACCCTCACAGTCCTTCACCCCAACAACCAACCTAATCTCTCTCACCTAAAATACTTCGGTTACGACTACGGTGCTCCCGCTCCATCGCATCCCCTCTACAGACATCTCAAGACCTTGTCCTGGCTCTCCCTTCTTCACCCTGAAGACGACCCCCAATACGATGAGCCAGAAATCATCAGCGACGAGAAAATAGCAACCATGAAGTCAAGTAAACGAGGGACGTACTACAAGAAACGGCGTCGGTGGGAACGGGTAAAAAGCGTCGTAGATGAGACGCGTAGGGGCGGGTTTGATGGTTTGGTCGTTGCAACGGCGATGGATGCAAAGACCGTCATGAAAGAGCTAGTGCCCTTAGTGCGAGGTGGAGGCAGGATCGTCGTGTACAATCCTAATGCCGAGCCACTCGTAGAATTATGCGATTACTACTCCAAAGAGCGACGCGCAGCCTTCATAGCTCGCGAATTCGGTCCACCCACGCAACTACAGCAACTCAATGGCAAACACTCTCGCAAGTTCGAGGATGATGTGGATGCGAATGAAAGTACCACGGAAGGTGGGAATGAGGAGGATGACTTCCCTCTCAATCCAACATTGCTGCTTGTACCAACATTACAGACTGCGAGAGCGAGACAATGGCAAGTCCTGCCTGGCCGCACGCATCCTATGATGACGAGCAAAGGCGGTGCAGAGGGGTACCTGTTTACTGCTACCCGGGTACTGCCGATCGAGGGGAGAGTGGAGGCTAGGGGACATCATGGGAAGAAGAAAAGGAAGACTGGGGCTGAGCAGTCTGTCTCAACGTGAGGAAACTCAGATACCATTTCTAGCAATATACTTCATTGAAATTCGAGAGTTGGCCTATACTGCGTATACTGCAGCTTTCAAGATTCATTTATTGTCGCTCTAGTCGCTTAATGCAAAAGTATCCTTCTCATTCCCACACTACAGCGCCTTACCCATGAACTTCCTCTTAGTATAACTCAGCCACCACTTACTCGGCGCACCTGTCTCATCCGCATATACCCTATTCAGCAGCCTTGTCGCAAGCTCTTGCCGCATCTGCATGATGTACTGGCGCAAGACCTCTGCTGAGTTCCTGTCCTGTGGTGCTTCGAAGGCCTGGTTAAGAGGGAAGCCGGCGTCGCCTGGAATCGCGAAGTTGGTGTCGAGGGCGAGGTTCATGACAGCCTACCATACCATCAGTATTATCCTGCTACTTCGCATAGTATGTATTCCGAATATGAATCATACCTTTTCAGCATCCCGTCTCCCCATCCCCGGCTTAATCTTCGCCAACACTTCGCTCACGTATAGGATTCCATAGATCAGCACACGGTCTGCTGGCCCCTTGATCTCAAAGTTCCTGAAGAAAGTATTGGCGCGGAAGAGGGCGAGGATCTCATCTAAGGGGTCGTAGGACTCGTGTGAGGCATCGATAGTGAGTTCTGTTACGTCGGCGGGGAGAGCAGGTAGTTGGATGGCGGGGCCGCGGGTACGTGTGCGGAGAGGGAGGAGGGCAAAGTTCCCTGGGTTTGGGAGTGAGTGGAGAGTTGCTTAGTTAGAGGAGAGGAAGGAGGTACCAATTAGCTGTTGGTTTGGCTCGTCGAGGAAGACGGAGTGGTAGGCCTAGTGGGGTATTAGCTCGAGTACGGCAATTGGAAAATGGATGTCTTGAACGCAGGTGTAACGTCTATAATACTTACAGGCATTGTGAAAGTATGCTTGCCAGCTCACAGGTGGGTTGTGTGGAAAGTTGGAGGAGCTCCGGAGGTGATGGCACAGCTCCGGTTGTCGAGTGAGGTGTGTTCATAGGGCTGAATGGCGGGGGTGACTAAGCTACAGCTTCCCAATTAACGCGTCTCTTCGCGAGGCGCGTCGACCGCAACCTGCCCAAACACTTGTCAAAACTCGAGACAAGCTTCAATCGACGTTGATCAAGGGCTCGAGTTACACCGCACATCTATATCGGCAAGCACACCACCAAAATGTCGGACATCGAGGATGAAATGGACATCGATGCGCCCGTCGCAGACAACTCCATAAGTTTTGGTGGAGATCCTAAGAAGGGCAAAAGGAGCGCAGCAAATCTTCCCGTAGAAGCGGAGGACTCTTTGCCATGGTAGACACTCCTGGGACCAATCCAATATACCAGTTGCTAATCTTTCTATAGGGTAGAAAAGTACAGACCAAATTCACTAGACGACGTCGAAGGCCACAAAGATATCATAGCCACGATCAACAAATTTGTTGACTCAAATGTATGAATGGCTAGATTCTTGAAGTTCAAACGCTCACTTATTGCAGCGATTACCCCATCTCCTCCTCTACGGCCCTCCGGGAACTGGCAAGACATCGACCGTTCTCGCCCTCGCACGACGGATATATGGGAGCAAAAACATGCGGCAGATGGTGTTGGAATTGAATGCATCAGACGACAGAGGTATTGATGTGGTGCGAGAGCAAATCAAGACGTTCAGCAGCACAAAGCAGATCTTCTCTGTGGCACCTAAAACAGGAGACGCTTCATTGGCGACTTTCAAGCTCATCATACTGGACGAGGCAGACGCTATGACAGCGACTGCGCAGATGGCGCTCCGAAGGATCATGGAGAAGTACACAGCGAACACTCGCTTCTGCATCATCGCCAATTACACACACAAGCTATCACCGGCGCTACTCTCTCGGTGTACGCGGTTCCGCTTCTCGCCTCTGAAGGAACAGGATATTAGAAACTTGGTAGACAAAGTTATTGAGGATGAGAAAGTGAACATCACACAGGATGCAACGGAGTCGCTCGTTACGTTAAGCAAAGGCGACATGCGACGAGCGCTCAACGTGCTCCAAGCCTGCCACGCATCAAGTACGCCACTCCAACCGCCAGGGAAACCAGCACCGGACCCAAGCACCATCGAACGAGACCAGATCACCCAGACGACCATCTACGATTGCATAGCAGCACCGCATCCCTCAGACGTTAAATACATAATAGAGACCTTGTTGTCGAAGAACGATATGACGGAGTGTCTGCGCACTGTTAACAACCTGAAAACGATGAAGGGGTTGGCTTTGGCAGATATTCTGACAGCTATCAGTGAGGAGCTGGTCACGAACGATGTATCGCCGCAAGTGATGGTGACGTGGATGGCAGGACTGGCGGACATTGAGTATAGACTAAGTGGTGGAGGTAGTGAAGCGATACAGACCGGTGCAACGATTGGCATCGTAAGAACAGGCGTCGAGCTCCTAGAGATGGGGAAGAGATAGAGTATGGCTGGAAAGGCGCTGTATATGACGATTGGGTGCGAGGGGCAATTTGGCCATCGGGCGTGTAATGCGATACCATAAAGGTTTGTGTCGACGAACCCAATTTCCAACGAACAGATGATCTATTTCACTATGCACTGCCAACAAATCCTCAGAAACCACAGTTTTACCGATTAGGAAATGATTGGGATCCATGCCCTGAAACTAAACGCGCTAGTCACCTTTCACGCGTTTCGCACGCGCCTTCCTCACAACAGATAAACAACAACAGTTTGGCTTTTGATATAGGACCTAGTCTCCACTCAACATTCGACTACAGGGAAGCTGGGTTATTCTACGGATTTGAAGATTCTAATCTTAGTTTCGAGCAAGATGAGTTCGAATGCCAATAAGCGCAAGGCGACAGCGGCACCTGTATCGGTATGTCATCACTGTCAGTTGAAAAGCCTGTACTAACAGAAGTTTAGAGCGCAAAGACTCCATCGAAACGAAGGCGCGGCGACAATGCGACACCGACCCGCACTCAAAGTCCACCTATCGCTCAATCGACCTTCAGACCGATCGCGCGTCCAGCTAGATGGCGAGGCCCGGTAAGTCACGCGATGTCTGTAGTCTCATGTAACTGTGAACTTACGTGTAGCAGAAGCGAGAGCGTTCCAACCTACCAAGTCAATCATACAACACTGAAGCTCCTGAGCAGTCCAAGCAGTACGCCCGACCGATACGCAACGAACAGGCTACAGATAGCGGCCAACCCCCAAAACCAAGTGATGTTGCACTCCGATTCTCATTCACAATGGCTGCCGACCAAAGGTCAAACGATCACCACCGCCACCAGCCCCCGAATGAGAGCTTCTCCAAACTGGCTGTGACCAGCAATACCACTAAATACGCATCCGGCCATAGACCACAGGCAGAAACCATGACGCGTCAAAGCGTTTCGGCGTCACCGTTTATCCCTGACTTATCCAAGCCAAAGACGAAGCGAGAAGGCTATGGCTTCAGCTATTCGGAAACATTTTGGTGTGACTCTGATGAGTATCCAGACACCGAATGTGATACCGAGTATGAGTGGGAGTCTGAAGTGCCAAAAACACAGCCCAGTACAGGGCCTTCGAAGAGTATCAAGCAAGAACACGAGTGGGACGCCGCGAAGCAGACGATTCAGGCCAGCTTTGGAGGGTCGACAGTCGTTGACTGCTCCTTTGATGACGCCGTGGTCCTGCGAGATATTGGTTCTTTCCACCTTGCCAGGCCTCAACAGATCCTACCATGCACCAAGGCCACCCGCGAGGATACTATCCGGCTGAAATACCATGCAAAAACACTACTCAACAAGTACCAAGAGTCTAGCAACATTCAGGACCAGCTATTGACTAGGCTTGAGCGCATGGTCGATAAGCGGCAGAAGAGCGCTTCAAATGAGGCACATTCTGTTACTCATTGTGCACTGAGACTGCAAGACTTCCTTCTGAAGATCAAAGAAGAGCGCGTTGAGACTGGGGAGCATCGACGCTTCATCGAGCATGAGATCGAGTGGGTGAATTGGTTGGTTGAAGCTAGTCGGACTGGCGTGATGCATTTGAGAACTAGGGTCTGTAGGTGTCGCCCAGATTGGGAAGAAGATGAAGTGTAACGGTTTCAGGAGTTGATTTTGAGACCAGTTCTCAACTCTGTCTAACAATCACCAAGAGGCCGATATGGAAGAAGACATGGCTACGGCCAATTATGGGAAGAAATACCCCGCTGCCGCCTCAGATCAGATCGGGATAGGCCATAGGAAAGTATGTGTAGATTACCACAACAAGTCCTCAGGGAGTCCCTGTTTATAACATCTACACGGCCAATAAAGAGCAGGTGATGATCTTCCGTTATGCATTAGCCCCCAATGTCATTGGTCGGCTGGGTGTTATACATTCACCACGGCATCTTTGGCTGGTGCATTTGTATACTATCAACCCTATCAACCCTACCATTAGATTTCCCCTGGAAAAAGCCGACCTTTTCAACAGTGTATTGCCGTCGTTGCTAACTTATTCAAGAATCGTTGACGTCATCACGTAAGGCGGCTAAACCGCATGCAGCAACCCTCGAAACTGTTTCGAGTCTCAACATGGCCTCAAAACCACAATAGCTTACCGAAGTTAATTTAGACTTCCTTTTCTCTCCCTATAGACCGTTGTTAAGGCTTCAGAGTATCTACCGTGTAACTTCACTTAGAAAATTCACGATGAACTACATATCAAGTACACATGCTCCTGTAACTCTGTTTACAAACACTGTCGTATGTACTAACGCCAGTAGATCTCGTCAATTCCGACTCAATAATCAACCCGCTACTCGACAATGGTTACCTCCCTCACGCCGTCATTCGTGTTGGTATCAGACGCCAGCTTGCCGATCGCTTGCAGTCAATAGCCACCACATCCCTCGAAGCAGGCTACGAGTCAAAGATGAAGTATGTGAACCTTCTTCGTAACCGGCCAATCGCTATTGAGACGAGTACCGCAAACGAGCAACATTACGAGGTAGGCACCAGCGTTTTGAAGGGCATGCTGGGCCCGCGGATGAAGTACTCGGCTTGTTCGTATGAGAAGGGAGGCGAGACGCTGGCGCAGGCCGAGATTGCAATGTTGAGACTGTATGTTGAAAGAGCCGAGCTGAAGGACGGGATGAGTATCTTGGATCTTGGGTATGTTGCTCTTGTTCTTCTTATAACCTTTCGGGGTTATATCACGTGTTACAACATGCTAACTTTATTGAAGCTGTGGCTGGGGTTCTGCATCCCTCTACTTTGCTGAGATCTTCCCGAACGCAAAGATCACAGCTTTCTCCAACTCTCGCACACAGAAAGAATATATTGACGGCGTCGCCAAATCCAAAAACCTCACCAATCTACAAGTCATTACTGGCGATGTGGTCGACTACGAATTTGAGCCCTCAAGCTTCGACAGGGTCGTCTCAATTGAACTCTTTGAGCACATGAAAAACTACCAACTGCTACTTCGCAAAGTCTCCACCGCCCTCAAGCCCGGCGGGAAATTGTTTGTTCATATCTTCGCGCACGCCACCACCCCGTATGATTTTGAGAGTGGATGGATGACGGAGCATTTCTTCACGGGCGGCACTATGCCGTCTGCGGATCTGTTGTTGTACTTTCAGGATGACCTGAAGGTCAAACGGCAATGGTGGGTGAATGGAGTGCATTACGCAAAAACGTGTGAGGATTGGTTGGTGACGATGTGTCAGAACAAAGAAGAAATTTGGCCAGGTTTGTTAGAGACTTATGGGCACGAGGGGACGATAACGTGGTGGAATAGGTGGCAGGTGTTCCATCTTGCATGTGCCGAGTTGTTCAAGTGGTCGGGTGGTGATACATGGGGCGTGAGCCACTATCTCTTCGAAAAGCCAGCATAGTCTAGTTCGTGTAGAAACATCAATAGGGCAGTGATATTGAATGTTGACTTTCTTTGATTCCGGTGTCTTGGCATTGCCGCCACTGAATACCGCAACTTCTTCTTTCAATGCTCTCCCCGGGGCTCTTCGAGGTATATACACAGTATTTTGAATCTGAGTTTTACGTTCCCAAATGCGCTACACATCCGCTGCTTCCCATGCGTGTCGCTCGTTCAGTGATCCCAAGGATGCTTCCAGCCCAACAGAGCCGGACCATCCTTCTTCGCGCGGTACATCAACTGCGATTGTCAGTACCCGACCCATTTGCGCTACAGCTCGGAACCTACGAAAAACCACATGGATGCTCCGAGAGCGGTCGCCATGAATCTGTACAGCGGCCGAGGCGGGTGGATATGGATGGGGTGGTTGGGGAGCGGCGCATATTTGGGCGGACCCATCAGGACTCGCGAGGGCTGCATGGCGATTGTAGAGCCTATGTATGCGTTAGAGATATAGCAGAGCCCGCAGCAGCAATCAATAGTACGTACCTGCGCTGGGTGTTGTGCAATGGCTCCTCGTCGTCGTCGCTGGTGAGTGAGGTGAGGTTGATTACGATCGGAGCTTCCTGGCGATTGGCGCCAAGCATTATGCATCCCTGGTGGATCGCGTTCTTTGCTCCTACACCCGCGACCATTCACGTATAGCTATTGTCATGTCCGCACAATAGCACCGCCCTCGAGCGTCTCAACTCATGGCAACTTCCACCACCGCAACGTCCCACCACCCGCTCCTTAATCCTCGCATACTTGACAAGTTGCGCAACTGTCGACTACATTCCACTTCGCAACGGACTCCCTTGCCCTGAGAACAAACCAAGCGTCAGCGTCCATCTAATTTCAATTAACCCACCCCAACCGCCGCAATGGCGAACTCGTCAGCCGCGACACCATCGCAAGGCTTGCAACGCCGGTTCAAGGGATGCTCGAAGATCGGCGAGTACGAGATGATGCAAAAGCTGGGAGAAGGTACCTTTGGCGAGGTGCACAAGGCGCGACACCGAATAAGTGGCAGTATCTTCGCGCTCAAGAAGATCTTGATGCACAATGAAAAGGACGGCTTTCCCATCACAGCGCTACGAGAAATCAAGCTACTGAAGATGCTGTCTCATGACAACGTCTTGAAGCTGGACGAGATGGCAGTGGAACGGCCCAAAGCCGAGGGCAGGAAACGCGCGATTCTCTACATGGTCACGCCCTATATGGATCACGATCTCTCAGGCCTCCTCGACAACCCAGACGTCAAGTTTCAAGAAGCGCAAATCAAATGCTACATGCTTCAGCTGTTCAAAGGCCTCCAATACCTGCACGATAACCATATTCTACACCGAGACATGAAGGCAGCCAACCTCCTTATCAACAACCGCGGACGGTTACAGATCGCAGATTTTGGTCTTGCGCGGCATTACGACGAGGCTGTACCACAACGAGGCAGGGGCAACGGCGAGGCGAAGAGAGAATACACCACGTTAGTTGTAACTCGGTGGTACCGACCTCCGGAACTGCTCCTTCAGCTACGACGGTACACACCAGCCATCGACATGTGGGGCGCAGGCTGCGTCTTTGGCGAAATGTTCAAGCGCAAGCCTATCCTTGCCGGCCACAGCGACCTTCATCAGGCCCAAATCATATTCGAGCTCATTGGGTCTCCAAACGACCAAAACATGCCCGGATGGAGTGACCTTCCTGGAGCAGAATCCGTCCGCCAATTCGCAGGAAACCAAGGCACCATCGCCTCCAGGTTTCGCGAGCTCTCGCCGACTGGATTATCTTTGATCAAAGATCTCATGAAACTTGATTGGCGCAAAAGGATAAATGCCATCGATGCCATTGATCACCCATATTTCAGGGAACAGCCGCTGCCTATGCGCGAAGAAGACATCCCACATTTCGCAGACTCGCACGAACTGGATCGGCGGAATGTCAGGGGTCAGAAGCAGGCACTCCCTCCAGCGCCCGCAGGCGGCACTGTAGGCGGAGGGCCGAATGGAGAGTGGTCAGGATCGGGCCAGCCACCACAATCATGGCAGAACGGCGATCGAAGATATGGAGGACCCCAAGATCGAGGACCACCAGGTGTTGATCGTCATCAAAGAGGGGGATATGACCGGCGCGCGCCTCCATATGAACACAGACCTCCCCCGCCACCACCTGGCGAACGACGACCCAACTGGGGTAATGGCACTGACTCCCGACATGGTAACCTCCCAGCACCACCTTCCGATGGCCGGCATCCACTACCACCGGTTCCTCGCTATGGGCCTGATGGTGATCGCCGTAGAGGCGGTCAACCAGCTGGCGATACTTACATTCCAAGTTACGGCAATGATGGTCCGAGACGGTCACGGGAGCCCGACGGCCCTGGGCGGTCACGTGAACCTGATGACAGGCCTCGACGAGGCTCGCGCGACTCGGGGAATTCACGAGATGGACATGTAGACGAACGCCCAGATCGCGGGAGAGCGTATAGAGATAGAGATAGGGACCGGGAAAGACCCAACGATTCCAGGAATTTTGCCCGAGATAGGAGAGACGGGAGGACGCGGTCGAGGAGTCCTGAGAGGCGAGACAGGAACCGCGACCGGGATGGAGACATTTACAGGAGGCGATAATGCTGCCAGCATGGCAATACCATTTTGGGGGTTAGAGCTTTCAGAGTACTGTAGAGTTGGACTCCGCCTAGGCTAGGATTCAAGCAAATTGGCGTACAAGGGCAAGGTAGGGCATGTACTCGGTATCAGCGGCGTCAAGTATAAGAACGGACACGGGATACCTTGGGTATGGCGTTCGGGTCATTGTAGCATATTTCTGGCGTTGTATAGCGGCACTGCTGCCACCATTATTGAAGCATATTCGTAACAATCAACAACAATCCGTAATTGCCTGCACGACATGGTGTTCCTCGGTGACACGCGTACTTGCTGTGCTGCTGAAAGATAAGCACGACTTGACGCAACTGACTTGCAATAGTCTGAGTGGATTCTGAAATCTATAGTGACACCCAAATGAGACATGCGTACAACGGCGAAGATCTTCCGCGTAACGCTACCAGAGACGTTTAATCTATGACAGATTCTTATCTTGCATCTCCTGTGTCTTGTGCTTCCGTTCACACAGTAAGCCTACGTAGCCTTTGTGCAACAGGGCCCCGATAGGCTGGACGTGGATGCAGGTTCCCGCTGAAGCGAACAGCGATCGGCACGTCGCTCGGAGTACCGGTTCCTGCGTCAATCGCTAAGGCCTTCGGAAATGTTGTAGTTGTAGACCTGAACCTTGTAGAGAAAATGCATATCGGAAGCGTTTATACTGCCGACCAGAAACTCCGAGCATGACATGCTAATCCATATGGGAACACTGCTGATGCACAAAGGGCACAATGCTGAGCTGTCATCTGTCAGCAATGCCGTGAGACGTAGCCTAGAAAACGAGCCAACACTATGCAGGTGTGGACAAACGGGCAGGTGTAGAGGCTGATTACATTAGTGTATAAGTAACGGCGTGGGCCAGGACCATAAAATTTCTTTTGCCGACGCCTGGTGCATGCATGTGTCGGCTTCTGCGTTAGTAGTCCCGATCGCGGAATTGATTATTATTTGACTCAGGGCCCCACCATCGCTCCCACAGTTTACTCACACCACTCCCACTCCACGTTCTTATACACAACGCATCACTACACACGCAATTGCTGTCTTAACTTGACAGAATCACCCATACTCCCGGAAGAAGAGACTGCCTCCATCTATTGGATCCGCACCACCACACAACACCTTCAAAATGTCCGCAGTCGTCAATGGGTACAAGCACGAGTCCGAGCGGATAGCTCACACGAAAGAGAAGCATTTGCCGGGGGGATGGGTAGTGCTGAAGTTTGGCGGTACGAGTGTGGGAAAGTTTGCGGAGAATATTGCGAACATTGTCAAGTACGCCCTAGCCCACTGCACATGGGACGAAAGATGGGAAGCAAGGCACTGACAATCTACAGAGCTGGCCTTGAAAGCAATCGCGCCGCCATAGTCTGCTCCGCACGCAGCAACAATACGAAGCTCGAGGGAACCACCAACAGACTCCTCCGCACTGCTCGAGCTGCCGAGAAACCCAACAACCGCGGCTATGACGAAATTGTCGAAGCCATCCGTACCGACCACATACAGGCTGGCAAGGACACATTGAAGAGCCCAGAGGTCCTGGCTGCATTCACGGAGGAGGTCAATGCCGAGTGTGAGAGTCTGGTCAAGATCCTGGAGTCTGCGCAGCACCTGGAAGAGGTTACGAACCGCGTCGAGGACAAGATTGTGAGCAAGGGCGAAAAGCTGAGCTGTCGGTACATGGCTGCGCTCTTGAATGACCGCGGTACGCCCGCGCAGTTCGTCGATCTCAGCGATGTCGTCAAGTTCTATGCGCCCAAAAAGGGGGGGTTGAACGAGCAATTTTACAGAGATTTGGCCGAGGCGCTGCGCGAAGAGGTGGAAGCATGTGGCGACAAAGTCCCCGTCATCACGGGCTACTTTGGCAACGTGCCAGGTGGCATCTTGAACTCCATCGGACGTGGATACACGGATCTGTGTGCTGCTTTGGTAGCTGTCGGTATCAAGGCGCAAGAGCTTCAGGTCTGGAAGGAGGTGGATGGCATCTTCACAGCCGACCCCCGCAAGGTCCCTACGGCCGCACTGCTACCCACTGTCACGCCTTCGGAGGCCGCTGAGTTGACCTTTTACGGCTCCGAGGTTATCCATCCATTCACCATGGAGCAGGTCATCCGTGCCCGCATCCCCATCCGTATCAAGAACGTTATGAACCCGCGCAACGCCGGTACCATTATCTTCCCAGATAACTTATCTGACATCGACAATCACACTCCTCTCAAGGACGCGGGGCTCTTCCGGACTCGCTCCTCCAGCATCCTCGCTCAGCTCCAAAGCCCCAAGCGACCCACCGCTGTCACGATCAAGCACAACATCGTCGTGTTGAACGTGCACAGCAACAAGCGCACCCGTGCTCACGGATTTTTGATGAACATCTTCAGTATTCTAGACAGATGGCACCTCTCCGTCGACCTGATTTCCTCGTCTGAAGTTCATGTCTCCATGGCGCTGCACTCCGAGTCTGCTCTTCTCAGCGGAGGGGGCGAGGACGAGTACAGGATTAAGGACAAGGACCTCCAGGGTGCGGTCAATGACTTGGGGCAGTTGGGCACCATTGATATCGTGCCTGATATGGCTATTGTAAGCCTCGTCGGCAAGCAGTTGAAAAACATGATTGGCATTAGCGGGAGGTTTTTCAGCGTGCTTGGACTGAACAACATTAACATTGAGATGATTTCACAAGGTACGTTAATCCAAACCAAGGATCTTGGAAAACAACTGCTAACGTAATATGCTGCAGGTGCTAGCGAGATCAACATCTCTTGTGTCATTGAGGAACGCGAAGCCGACCGCGCTCTTAACGTTGTTCATACAAGTCTTTTCACTTTCTTAGACTAGATTTTGCATCTGCATTGGTGGAGTTGGATACCACTTTAGAGACTTTCATACATATTTCCATCTTTTCACTCGGACCTAATTATCTTCCTTTGGTTTCACGTGGTGAACTGTCATTCACCTTGCCTTGTGCCGTTTGTCTGTCGTCATGGGATTTTCTCGGTGCCATCACAACAGTGAAACAACACCCACACCCAAACCCGCCGCGCGCCCTCGACCTTGACTCCACCACAACGAAAACGTCACTTGAGACCAACCAGGCTACACCATAAAGGAGGTGAATAGCGTGTGAAAGGGCTCTGAATGCCTCGTAGCGCTTTCAAAAGTAAGTCTCTATCTCGAGCCAAATATGCGCCTGAATTTATTCAACCCACTCCAAAATCAACTCTACATCATTCCGAAACGGCATCATGGACGCGAAGAATATTGACACGTTTATGGAAGCAGCCATGGTGGCCGAGGAGGAGCAGCTGCCAGACGGGTGGCTAGAAAAAGCTCACGTCTGCACCGCCCTGCAAGGCTTGGGTGCTGAGCAGCGAAAGCAAGCCCTCCAGGGCTTGCCAGCTTGGAAGGAGCGATTCGCCGAAGCCAGGTGGAAACCGATCATGGAGGATCTCGAGAACATTGCTCAAGAAGACCACCTGCGGCTACCAGGACGTCTTCGACAACTGGAGCCAGTCACCCCCGCTGGACGACCTCAGCCGACAAGCAGCTCCTCCGCTCCGATTGTACCCTTAGTCGGCCAACGTTCACGACCTCAGGCTCTACAACGACTCAACACCGCTTCCGCCAATTTAGCCTTGGCTCGAAACATCACACCGCGTACACCGCGAGCACGCTGGGACGTTTTGCCTTCAGGTCCAGTCACTCCGCTATCTCCCACGCCCACGGGCAACGCATTTGCCGGAGGAGGCTTCTGGGAAAAGCTCACGCCGCAGCCACAGACTCCTCTGCCACAACCCGCCGTAGCGCTCGAACCTTGGTCGCCTATCGTGCCCAAGTATCCGGAAGGAAAGGCGGCATACGATGATGTCAAGCGCGATGTTGACAGGATGGCACTCAAGATCTGCGCAAGTCGGTTAAGCATACACTCAAATCTCAGTGACAGCGGTTATGTCCCCCCTTCGATGGTGAAGCCGAAAGATGAACTACACGGTGCGGAGTTCACGCTACAGTCGAGAGAACTCAAGCTTCGAACACAGATAGACACTGAACTTCCTGCGAAACTACAGCGCTTCGCGCACGACGAGGTAGCAATCCATGAGCAATACTCGATCAAAAATACCTCTGAGCTACTCGACATAGATACTTGGCTCCAAGTCGACGAGAAGGGCATGGAAATAACCACTATCCTAGACGCACAGCGTGATCTCATCCGTATGAACCGTAACCGCCGCAAAAGCAGAGAGCTGAAGCTCAGCGCTCAGGCGGTTCAGCTTGCTTGGGCCGTGAAAGTACTTGATGACACAGAGTACATGGCAGAACATCATGGGGATGGTTCGAGCACATATAGCGATGAAGATCAAGGATATGACTACAGCAACTTCATGCGCAGCATCAAGCGGGAGGTGAGCTCGGTTTCGGATCTTCTGTCGATAGAAGAGGAGAATCCAATTGGCGAAATCAGTTCACCTCGCTCGATGGCGACAACTACTATTTCGTCAGAGAGGAGCCAGGAAGCCAGCTTGTCGATGCGGACAAGCGCAAGTCCCGCAAAGCCCAACAGCCTGGCATTGCGACTGCGAGACGCCAGTATCTCTAGCACTGATTGCGCCTTGCAACGGAGCAGCAACGCAACAGGCAAACGCAGAAACCTCAACGTCTCCACGACATTGACCGAACAGGAAGAAGACATTCCAGCACCTGAGATCAGCCCAGAGGCCAAGGGATTTCGACATCAAGGGCCCAGTATCAACGACTTGACGAATTGGGCACATGAGCTCAAAAAGATGGAGGAAAGAAGGGCGGAGATGAAGGCGAACAGAAATTCAGCTTCTTCTTCTCAATACGACATGCATCCAGCTTTTCGGTTTCAACAGCATGGCCGGAAAAATTCAGATGAATCAGCGGAGAGCTGGGTGTGCAAAGATGCCGCAAGATATGAGAAGCAAGCTTTTGAGAGCAGCGCAGATACACGAACTCCCATCGGTTCTATTCCTGCGCACCATTTGGAAGTGCCTCCGACCCCTACAAACCCGCCACAACGATCTCCAATTCGCTCTAGGCCATTCTACAAATACGAGCAGCTCACTGGTCCGATACCTCTCCCTCCAGCATCACCCACCTCATATAACCGTCATGCACCTACATCGCACGAGAGATTATCTAATAAGGCTTCGCGACAGCTCCGACCCTCGGCCCCTCCCGAAAGACTGCCTCCGTCTCCATTCCAGCACCAGCATGAGTCTACCATACCCTCTCTCCACAACACGGTACGCCGTCAACAGTATATGCGGTCGAAGAGCAGTTCAAACTTATTGCACGATGAGGAGGAGGATTGGACGAAGGAGTTGAAGCATATGGAGAGCAGGGAGAAGATCAGACAGATTGGAGAACGGGAGATGTTTGTAGAGAGGGCGCATAGAAAGGCGAGTGGGCCAGGGCACGATGAAGTTGGGTATGGTGATTATATGGATGATGATGAGGAAGAGGTTGGTGTCGCGCGCTGAGACGAAGACTGGGGAAACCGAGACATCTGAGTGTGGGTTTACTCGTAGCTAACGACTATCGTAAGAGAAGTGAGCTTAGCTTGATCCGCTTGCAGGATAGCTAAAATAGCTTTTGAATGCAGCGCTTTGTGCAGCGAAAGAGCAACAGGGTCTTCTACATCGAAGATTGTTAGTAATAGCATCATTCCCTTTTACTTACAGACCTTCTCATCCTCACCCGCTGGCACGTGCCTTTTTAACCTTCACACAATTACGTCACACGCTCGGGGCGCATGTTTGGGCAAGAGCAAACGCTTGCCTGCCTACCTGCCTGCTCGTTTGCCTGCAAATTCTATTAATCACAAAGCAGCTCCATCTTTCAACCTCAACCATTACTTGATTACATCCTCTCAACATTACCACCTGAATTCTTCTATCGTCAACTTAATATTGGCATACTATCGCTCAACATGACTACGTCGCGTAGCAAGTCGTGGCTTCCGTTCTTCCGTGGCCACAGTGAGAGGAAGCCCAATGCGCGCGGGGAGGGGATGGAGGAAGGGGGTAAGAAATGCATGGGACTTTGAAGTGTGAACTAGATACTAAGGATGTTACGTAGCCGATGAAGCTGACTGGTCTGACACCTTCGAGCAGGTCAGTAGCTTTGGTGGCGATAGTTTCGACACTACTACGGAAGATGAGGCCAGGCTGCTTCCTCAAAGTAAGCCCCTCTCCCATCTCTAGTCCACCACGCTAACTAATGCAGTACCTCCCCTCTTGGGCAAAGACCTCCCACCCTGCGGACCCATACCCCAAGTCGCGTACGAAAACGTCAACAAGCGCATCCGCAAGCTCTGGCTCCAGCAAGCTGCCGCTCATTCCGTCAATATTCCCATATACAGCATCTGCCTCCTCGTCAAAGACGATCTCGAAGATGAAGCGAAAAGGGCACCCCCGAAAAGCGAGCTGGGCACCAAGGCGCGCAGGCCCTGGCGCCGTGAGGATGTGTTCCTATTTGAGCTCGGTTGGGCTAGATACTTCGTAAGAGAGGCGGAGATTCACGAGAAGAGGGCGACCATGAGCGTGGGAGCGCGGGAGATGCAAGATTTCATGGAGAAGCTATATCCGATTCCTAAGGAGGCGAAGATATTCATCAAGACTAGGCCGAACAAGAATGCTGTCCTTGATCTATGGAGGGAATGGCAGCACAAGAAGCGCGGGACATCTTCGCACGACGGCGGGCAGTCAGCTCTCGGTGCTCATTCGACAGTGGGGGGAGATGGTGCACAGGAGCCTAGCGGTGAGACTGAAGTCACAGCAACATCTCAAGATGCTCATGTCTCGAATGTTGACGAGCATGTCACAAATCCGATGCAGGAAGAAGACATACAGTGTCCAGTCCGACAGGAGGAGGAAGGGGAAGCACAAGACCTTCTACACGTTGAGCAGGTCTAGGAGGACCCGCGTCAGCACAAACTGAATTGGAAGAGACGTAATTTCTTTTGCTGGGATTGGTAACGGGTAGCCGGCGATGCGTAACCTCATTTTGTAGTAATGAGCTTGGTATGACAGAGTCATGGAACAGTGACAAGTTGGAGTAGGTGGATACGTTACTTAGGACGTATGTAGAACCTGCGTCGAGTATGCATATAACTCTCTTTCTTTCAGTCTACTCATAATTTCCCATACTCACCGTAACTATCTGATTGAGTCTCATCTACTCCGTGCTACGGTCGCTCATTTATCCACATGCTGTCATCACAAATGTCTCCGCACTTAAAACACCTCTACAGAAACCACGATGGCTCACACTAAGGAGTCGGCGCTTTTGAATTCTTCTCCACATGTTATCAGAGTCCTGAAGCAGACATTAAGGGAGTATATCTAGCACTTACTTAGCAATTTTAGATGCAGGGTATGTTTAGTCTTTATTGCAGTATGTTGCAAAGTTTGGTAACCATCTTGCTTTAGCTCTTGTAGGATCCGGCTACTCTTTTCGCATTTTCTTGTAGTTAAAGCCACCCCACTTTCGACTATCACTATACTGCTCCACTGCTCCACTGCTGCACGGTACATCGGGATCTAGAGTGTCGTATATTCGCGTCTATCCTATCTTGAGGGCTTCAGTATCTCAAAAAAGCCAGTTTCACTATGCTACTATATGTTTCCTACCCTATATCCACTCTCACTTCATGTTCACACCCTGTCTAATCATTTAGCATCAAAGTGGCGTCATTTAGTAAACCTGTGGTGAGCTAGACTTTTACCTTTACCCTGCCCCTCCGAACTGCTGCCGGCACCAGTAGGGTATAAAACTACCGCATCTCCCAGATTTTTCTACTTTCTGCTCCTCACCCCGGACACACTCTCTCACTTGACCGCTCGACTCTCAGCTGCGCCTTTTTCTCGTCCTCTTCAACAGCACCGCGAGCACTTAGCTTCGCTACGAACAAACCAAACTTTGTAAGATTTTCCAACTCTTTTCCAGTAGACCGGCTTCTGACTGACCAGCAGCAACACAAAATTCCTCAACCACCATCATGGTTCAGTGGAACGCCGAGAAGGACCAGGTCGTAAGTACCATCGTCCGGCCCCGCATGACTATGCTGTAGCTGACCGCGACAACTAGATCCTCAAGGGCATCTTCAAATTCCACGAGATCAAGAACTCCGCTCCCCTCTTGGAGTACCTCGCGAAAGAGATTGGCGATGGTAAATATTACAATTTTCGCATTTCTTCCGCGTGCCTTTTCCAACTCCTGTTCCTGTTCCCTTCATCTCCCGATAAAAAGTGTCCTGACTAACAGTGCATTTACAGGATGTACCCCCAAGGCTGTCTCACACCGCCTCAACAACATACGCAACAGCGGTAACAATAACGGCACTCGCTCCAGCGGAGGTACTCGCCCCAACGGAAGCGTAACGCACACTCCCACCAGGGCTACTTCGACCCCCAGGACTCCTCGGTCGCGCGCCAAGGCCACCCCCAACAAGAAGAAGGTTTCATCCAATGAGTCCGATGGCGGTCCCGAGGGCCTTCTGGACGAAGATGATGAGGTCATGTCTCCCTTAGCTGCTCGCGGCAAGCGCGGTGCGCGCCAGTCGTATGCTGAGCCTGAGTCCGAGGAGGAGCATAGTGACTATCAGATGAGCAAGCGTGTCAAAACCGAGCCTATCGATGACGACAACGAGTCGACTCTTGGTGGCGTCGCCAACGAGGATGTGGAGGAGGAAGAAGAGGTCTAAGCTCCACTGATCACTGCCAACATTTCTGTGCAAGCCTTAGTGCCCATTGACTATGAGAATGGATGGCAGCTAGCACTTACTTCAGACATGGATCTCATTCAGCGAGGGCTTGAGATTTCTCAACTGAACACTTCTTTTCCTAGGTTAGCATAGGACAAGCGAGAGGCTCTTTTAGGTACTGACTGGAGGGATTCTTGATAGCATAATCGCAACATCGCGAGAAGTGGAATCTTAACGATAAAGTAGTGCTTCGAATCCGAAATCTTCAACAACTTCACTTTGTTCTTGCTTCTCTGTGATGTCTATTGTTCAAGGCTGTCTTCATGGACCGTAAGGCTGTTAATGAGGCTAAAGCTAACCTCATCTTATATACTCTTCTTGATATTCAGCTTCCTTCGTTCGATTCCTATACTCACAAGGAATGCTAGTCCGCCAGCGGCAATCGGGAGAAGAAATGTCGCAGTGATGGCACGCGAATACACAATGATGAGCCGGTCGACTAGCGACTTGGGAAATCTACCTCTTAACTCTGTTCCTCCAATATGCCGCACGACATCCGCGATGTCTCTGAACTCGGCCGACCGCCTGAGTTCGCGAATAAGAACACTTGAAAAGATGTTCTGGCCGATTCCCACCGCCACGGACCCGCCCAAACACATGCAAAACATGAGTAGTGCATTGCCCATCGGTACATCGCCCTGCTCCAGAACAACTTGAACTACGGTGTATGGCACCTGTATTGTCATGCCGAAACCTATCGAAGTGAGCACCTGATATCCTACCCATTCCCGCTGAGGACTTCCGGGCTGCAGCGTATACAGCATTCCACTGCCAACCGTCACTAAGCTGGAACCCAGCCACATGAGAGGGACATAGTGTCCAGTCTTTGTGATGAAAGCACCGCTTACAATCGCTGCCACCACTTCTGGGACTAGGTAGGGCAAGAGCTGAATCCCGGACCGCTCCGCAGTAGTTCCTTGGACTACTTGGAAGAATAAGGGAAGGTAATACGAATGCACAAAGGTTACCATGAAAAAAAGGCACAAGAAGACTGCACTGAGACCCATGGATCGCTGCAACGCAACATGACCCGGAAATGTCGCCCTGTGGTTCGTCAACGACGCCTAGTGTGTTGGCAGAATCAGACTTACGTTTCTCCAGATCGCCATTCCCATATGATAAAGGCGATTGTGAGTAGACCACATCCAAGGAGGCAGCCCCACGCTCTGGAATCACTCCACGGACGTGTAACCCCTCCCATCTGTAGTGCGATAATCAAGCATACAGATGCACCGATCAGGATTGTTGAGCCCTGTATATCGAGTCTCAAAAGCTTCTGTGTAAGGGCGATGTTGGTATTCGACTGGAAACGAGTCCGAAGAAAGAACGTAATCGAAGCAAGGGCCAGTCCGCAAATAGCTTCAAAAATGAGTATCGTGATCATTTTGACGGGTTTTAATAGGATTTCAAGGAACTTACGCAAATTGATCCAGAAACAGAACCTCCAGGTCAGAGCCTTCGAGTCGGCAAAGACACCACCAAGTAGCGGCCCCGCAACTGCCGAGACGCCATACATGCTGCTCACGATGGATAGATACAAGGGCCTATTCTTCATTGGAACGATGCGTGTTCCGATCGCAAAAGCCCCTGAATTGATTCCAGCTGCGCCCACGCCTGCAAATGCTCGCCCAAACGTAAAGACCGCCGAAGACTTTGAAACAGCGCAGATGATTGATCCAACAGTAAAGATCAACAACGACACCTGGTATGTCCGCTTCATGTCAAAGTAAATGTAGACTCTTCCGAACGGGGGCTGGAACGCCATTTGCGCCAGTAGGTATGCAGCACCCCACCATCCGATGTCGTTCGTGGTTTGGAATTGGGCTGTGATTTTAGGAATGGCGGTCGCTGCAGTGCCGGTTAGCGTCATTCAAGATACGGTTGGTTCGGGAACGGAAATTGGGCTTGATATACATATAATGTTTTGGTCGAGAGCTACGAGTAGAATGGAGAGCATGAAGGATATGGTTACGAGCACGAGCCTGCTGCCTTGCAACTCCTCGCTCTCGACTTGAATTTCGCTCTGATCCGTTGATGGCTGGAGCCGTGGTTGGTCGCCTTCTGGATCGCTTACTTTCGCTTCCAGGTTGATGGCGTCTCCATTGCTTGAGGTTCGTTGCAGGATAGCTCCTTGGGCAGACAGTGGACTGGGGTTCTGAACAGACATGGTTTTGTTTTTTTGCCTGAGAAACAAGTCGTATCACTTCAAATTGAAGCTGCTGCAGATTGTAGATTCAACCTCTCAGCATCAGGGACAGGACCTGGGTGTAACAAAGCGAACCAGAGAGTCGGTGCAATATTCGCCCGGCGGCGCATCTCTGTACCGTCTTGTGTAACTATCAGATTCGGCAAGGAGGTGGCACAGTTGCAGAGCCAACACCACGAAGGATCCAAAACATGCTTGTAGGTAAGCCGCATACAATGGGTCTTGATAGACACATCACGGTCATGCGGCAATGCAATACTTCTGCAGCTGTCCAGATCTGACTAAGAGGCGTTCGTACCCAGGAAGCTGATGTGTACTAACAAATTCGGGCCGTTGCCCTTGTCCCGTCTGACTTGCATAAGCTACGGATATGGCAAACGCTCCGTACCGCAGGCGTATATTCTCCACGATTCACATCTTCAAGTTCGCATGTGTGCGCATAACCATCTCCTCAACATTGTCAGATCAGCCCATTTGCGCGTCATTGGGCCGCGTCCCTTCACAACCCTGATTTGTAACAGGTGATCAGTATCCACAAGTGGAATGCGCAGACAACTGACCATGGCGTGGAGCCTGGCCAAGCTATTGTGGAGACCAAAGCTGCAAGATCTCCGCGGAGACAATAGTGGGCCATGTGCCAGCTCGTATGAATGCAGTGTTGATCCTCTCACGACATAATGGAATAGCCGCCAGATACGATACACAAGATGCCCCCACATGTTCTCGGAGTGACTGAGCAAGGAACACTATTCCGTGATGGATTATCGTCCCAATCTCCCAGGATCGCTGTACGTATGGCAGAAAACATCGCTCCTGAATCTAGTACTGCAGACCTCGTAAGGATATATAGCTGGAACTTTGTGGAAGAAGAGTCTAGATAGTTAAAGTAACCAGTTAGTAGTTGGACGTAAACCGAATCGCAAAATCTCTTCACCAATATTCTCATCACCTCTCTATTCAACCATGGATACGTTACCAATCTACGTGCTCAGCGTCACAGTCGCCGCATCGTCACTATACGTTGCACACCGTCTGTATGCGCATCGGCATCTTCTACGTCCATTTCTTACCTTTGCGTTGGCAAACTTTGTGCATCCTATAAGCGAAAACGGCTTGAAGCAGCAAGATGCACTGGAGAACTTTTATAAAATCCAGGTTCGTAAATATCTGCTTGCCGTATAACCCAGCTCTTACCCGTATCAGGCTCGTATATACGACATAACCAGAACATGGCTTCTCCATGGTCGCGAAGACATGCTCATTCTGGTCGCTGCCCAGTTGAAGTACCAGGCAGGTCCGACACCCAATGGAAGAAAGCCCATATGGATCGATATCGGGGGCGGGACCGGATGGAACATCGAAGCGATGGCCCAGTATCTTGACGTGCCCACCTTCTTCGAAAAGGTCTATCTGGTGGATCTTTCGCCATCGCTGCTAGCCGTGGCCCGCGATCGATTTGAGCGTCTTGGGTGGACCAATGTCCAAATTGTCTGCCAGGACGCACTTGATTTCTGTTTGACCTACAAGGACCAGGCCGACTTGATCACGCTGTCCTACAGCCTCAGCATGCTGCCGAACTTCAATGCCATGATCGACGCATTTGCAGACTCCCTGAGCGAGTCTGGTGTTCTAGCCGTCGTAGATTTCTACGTACAGAGCAGAATCGACACGCAGGGCCGCAACTTCACAGGCGGCGTGATGAACCGGCATGTGAATTGGCTAGGCCGCACTTTCTGGCGGACATGGTTCGAATTGGATCGAATCAGCCTAGAAGGGGCGAGACGGGTGAGACTAGAAGACCAGAGCAAAATAGACCCATACTTACGGGGCTGCAGGACTATCTCGAGTACCGTTTTGGTACGCTCAAGTGTCTGAACCAAAGAAACCATATTTTCGGCACTCGGATACCTGTTGCTATCCCATACTACATCTTCCTGGGCCGTCTCCCTTCGTCGTCTGCTTTCCACGACAATCTGAAACGGACGGACGCCGCTTGCACTGGAGCCCCACATTTTAATTCTCAAGTGGACGCCGATATTTGTGACAGTCCCATAGGGGCTTTCAATGGGCAGTCTAAGGTGTACCAAGCAGCTAGAGAAAATCTGACACGGGGCGTACCCCTCCCGTCTACTTTCTACCAGAACACGCAGTATCGCATTCACTATGACGAGCAGCTTCCAAAGCATACTCAATTCGGCAAGGAATTCATCTACGCCTTTACATGGGAAGACTCCGAATGTGACCGGCGACTACTTACGATATCGCCGGATGATGTGGTTCTCTGCCTCACGTCAGCCGGCGATAACTTGCTGGATTATCTCCAGGCCTGCTCACCCCGGCGTGTGCATGCCGTGGACCTGAATCCTAATCAGACCCACCTCCTCGAGCTCAAAGTTGCGTCATATCAAGCACTATCTTACATGGAATTCTGGGCACTGTTCGGCGAAGGACACTGTTCCGGATTCCGCAACCAATTGCTGGACAAGATTTCCCCGTTCCTCAGCTCCCAGGCCCTGCAGTTCTGGCTTGATAAGCCGACGATGTTCACTTCCCGATCTGGCTTGTACTCTCATGGCGGCTCGGGGGTGGCACTGAAGCTGGTAAAGTTCATCCTTTATGCCAGTGGACTCAGCGGCGCTACGCAGAGACTCTGCAGGGTACGATCTGTGTCTGAACAGTGGCAACAGTGGCTTCGCCTTCGCCGAGTGCTTTTGAGCAGGACTCTGCATTGGTTTTTCGTGAACTCCGACTTTCTTTGGAGAGCTGCTGGCGTGCCCGTTGCTCAGGCCAAACTCATAAGTGACGATTATATGCTTCGACAAGGACCTCAGAAGACGCCTATCGGAGCTAACGAAGGAGTATGGGAGTACATCTCAGACACGCTAGATCCTGTTGCACGCAACACATTACTAAGTGAAGATAACTTCTACTACCTCCTGGTCCTAAATGGAAGGTACACCGAGCGGTAAGTCGCACCTCTAGTCAGCCGGTGGATTCCCCTGCTGAAGTGATTGGATATAGGTGCAAACCCCCGTATCTGTCTCAGTCGGCATTCCAGAAGTTGTCACGCCCGGGGGCCTTTGATGGACTCTCAATGCACACTGATGAGGTCTGCGAGGTCATTGAGCGCATGCGCCCTGGCTCGCTGACGCTTGTCGTGGTAAGAACCGATCTCTCCAAGAGTACCTTCTTGAATGGGAGCTGACTGCGGATCCGCGATTTCTTAGATCATGGATTCCATGGACTGGTTCGACCCACAGGGCTCCGAAGCTGCGTATCAGACGAAGATGATTCATCGCGGCCTGAAACCTGGGGGTCGTGTGTTCCTGCGATCAGCCGCACTAAAACCATGGTATATTGCAGAGTTCGAAAAGGTGGGGTTTCTGGCCAGACGAGTGGGCGTCCGGACGCCTGGCAGCTGTATTGACAGGTATGTTGACCAATCCCCATTGAAATGCTTGTGACAAGGAGCTGACATTGCGTGGGGTGAACATGTACGCAAGCGCATGGATCATCACTAAAACTGCGGGCGGCGACGGCAACGGCAGGGATCGACCCGCACTCGCATGAGCTAGGTGCTACTATTCCCGGCACACGGCACAGATTGCATGCAAGAGATGGCATGAATCTGCAGAGGTCATGTACTGGACTGGCAACAGAGTATTATGGAGTGTTGTAGTCCCGAGGCCGTCCATTCGTTCCACGTGTTCCGGAAGCCGGATCTAGTGTTGATACGTCGTAGCGTGCTTAGTAAGGACTAGAGATATGAAATTGCAATACAGTTTCGACGTGCATATGTAATTTACACGTACATATGCAGTGTGGGCAAATACGCAATACGTAAACTGCGGTCGTCGAAATCGTACGTTGAGTACCCATAGACTGGAACAACACCACGGCCCCTCAGATCCTACAGGATCAACATGTACTAAAGGAAATAGTTTGACCTTCTTCCTCCACTACTGCCTACCTAATTAGGCTGCTTTCCCCGAGTTTATCGGGTTCTGGCCGGGCCGATCATTCCAATCACCCAATCTGCGGCCCGCTCCGCAACCGGTCCACTATGTCTGATGCTAAAGTCGTGTGGGATACCTGTCGCAGCGAATTCCATGCAAGGTGCTACTGCCCAATCGCTCCCATGCGTCAAGTCACTCACTTGTCCAGCAACTTGGTGATTTCGGGCTGAAATAAGAGCATCTCGGTGGAAGTTCGGCACGTATTCATCGCGTTCTCCAAAGAGAAGGTGAACTCGGGACTCCCACACCTGGTCGTCCCAGGCATCTGCGGTGATGCGGCTAAGTTCTTCTCGGAGAAGGTGTCTGTCATGGGTGCCCGTCAGCCACAAACTGTAATCAAAGACATAAATCGCTTCGGGCATAGCGTACATGCTTTCTGGAAAGCCCCAGGGACTCTGCAACCAATGCACAGTCGTTGTAGCAGAATGCTCGGGGTAGCCCAACAATGTCTTGAGAGCATGTTGTAATATCCTAGTAGGCAACAGACCGACAATGCGGACTACAAGCATGACGAACAATGCAAGACAAGGTACATCGAGGAGACGCTGAATACGTCGACCACCCGCACTCTGTGCCAAATGGACCACGGCCGGGAATAGCCCAATGGCACCCACCACGGATGAAGCCAGTGGGCCAAGGTGCGTGCGGCGCCTTCTGAGCATTTCCATTATGAGATATGCGCCCAAGGAGTGCCCCATCAGAATCACTCGAGTATCGGGCCCAGCATGGTCCTTGAGGAAGCTCTCGACAAAGTCCAATTGGCCGTCAATGTCGAGTGGCATGCTTTTCGTCTTTCTCGATTTCTGCAATCAGCAGTCAGCTGTCAGATCCCGCGGGGAAGATCCACCTCATTGCTTTCGCAAAGCGCTGACAGTACCCACATCTTCATTTTTCAGAGGCCCGCACTCGAAGCCGGCTAAAGTGACCCCTAACACGTCAACGCGGAGATACTGCTCGGATGAAGCGATGCGTTCAGACAACTGGAGGTGAAGGGCTTCAAGGAACGCCTTATAGAACTCAATCAGGCCTGGATTGCCCGGTAAGAAGTATACAAGGTACCGTGCTTCGGGTTGACTGGCGCTAGGTCGTGGCATGCTGTTAGAGCCGCTGAAGAACAATGTGTTCGGGCAGTCCGCTGGATTGGCCATCATTCCTAGGGTGTGGTTAGAGAGTTTTGGAAGTAGCGCTGTCTTCAGCGATGGTTTAACAATCTTTCTGTACTCCGGCGATTTCGAGATGAGTAGTAGACATACAGGATTTTCTTTTGCTGGAGTGTGGCAAAGTGACAGTGGAACTGAGCGGACTGAGTATTAAGATCGGTACTCCTACCTGCCCGTGATGCGAACTAATAAATAGAAAAAACAATGCTCTGTAACCTCAATAGAGCATAATAGTACTTTGTTGATGGACACTTGCTCAACCTAGTTTGTACAGTTCACCGAGACATGCTTTTGGCCGCATTCCGTCTGGTACAGGCATCACGATCCTTTCCAATACGAAGTGGAGCTGATGCCCGACAGCAAACATGTATGCCTGACCGAACAAGTCGAGGATCTGGGGTTTGTGCTTTGGGCATCTTTCGGGGCGCTTACCAAAGAATGTGGGTAGTGATCGCGGCACGTTTCGACGCGAGGGGTGGTCAGCTCGCCGTCAATGGCGTAAAAGCTAAAATTTGAGTAGGAGAAACCAGCCGTGGTTGAGAAGGTTGAATCATATATATACCCTACTGGAGTGGACGTACCGCATGTTGGGTATACTCTAGAGAGTGTTATACCGAAACAAATATCACCCCATTCTGTTACACGCAGCTTGTTCCATTGTTATTCCCCGCACCTCTTTCACCCGGTGACACCATGGATATTGCAATCATAGGCGTCAGTTGCCGCCTACCAGGCGGGGCCAATGACATGCAGAAGCTGTGGAAGATGCTGGCAGAAGGTCGCAGCGCCTGGGGCAAAATTCCGAAAGACAGGTTCAACTCTGAGGCCTTCTATCACCCTGACCCGGATGTCAACGGAAGTGTCAACACACAGGCAGGACACTTCCTTGACCATGACGTGTCTCAATTTGATGCTTCGTTCTTCGGGATTTCCCCAAGCGAGGCTCAGACAATGGATCCTCAACAGCGTCTCCTTCTTGAGAGCGCCTACGAGGGGCTCGAGAATGCAGGGATACCACTGCAAAGTGTAGCTGGATCGAAGACGGCCGTCTACGCGGCCATATTCTCCCGTGACTACCTCTCCATTCTGAGCAAAGATACGGCCGACATGGGAAAATACTACATGACCGGTGTCGGTGACGCCATCCTGGCTAATCGAGTGTCTTACCTATTCGATCTCAAGGGGCCGTCTGTCACTTTGGATACCGGTTGCTCTGGTAGTTTGGTCGCTATTCATCTAGCCAGTCAGAGTCTCCGCTCGGGGGAATCCGATCTGGCCATCGCTAGTGGTGTTAACCTTATTCTGCACCCGGATCAGATGATTCCAATGAGTCTCATGCAGTGAGTGACACAAGTCTTTTTGGATACACCGTGTTGACCTGATGATAGTATATTGAACAACGACGGAAAATGTTATACGTTCGATTCACGTGGCTCGGGATACGGTCGTGGTGAAGGCGTTGGGACACTCATTCTCAAGCGACTTGACGATGCCATCAGAGCGGGCGACAACATACGAGCCGTGATTCGAGGATCCGGGTGTAATTCTGATGGAAAGACATCAGGCATTGCGCTACCCAATCAGATCGCGCAAGAGGACCTTGCCCGTTCCGTTTACGAATCGGCAGGGCTGGATCCCATGCAGACACCTTACATTGAGGCGCATGGTACAGGCACGGAAGCCGGAGATGTCATCGAGATGAATGGCATAGCCAACGTGTTCACAGATCAGATGAGATACAGTCCGTTGTACGTTGGGTCGATTAAATCTAATGTTGGACATCTGGAAGCTGTTAGCGGAATAGCTGGTGTCTTGCGGGCCATCCTCATCCTTGAGAAAGGAAAGATACCACCACAGCTAAACCTGAAGGAGTTTAAGAAGGATCTACCTTTGGGTGGCGCCAATTTCAAAGTGGCACTGGATCTCGAGGACTTTCCCGCCGATACGATCCGCAGGGCCTCTGTTGCCTCGTTCGGCTACGGCGGCACTAACAGCCATCTGATACTCGAGCAATATTCGGCAAATCGAAGCAGATATCTACAAGCACCTCGTACTTACACGAACCCCAAACTCATTCATGCCGCGGTCAACGGTCTCTCGAACGGTCTGGCTAATGGCCAGGCTAATGGTCAGCCAAAACAGTTGTCGAATGGGCGCGCCAATGGCTTGAAAAAAAAACTCGCAAACGGTTCATTGAAAGCATATTCTGCCGCTCAAAGGCAATACCTTCTTCCACTTTCGGCGCGATCCGAGTACTCCCTCAAGCAAATGGTGAAGGACCTCGCAGACTGGACGCTGGAAAACCCAGACGCTCTTGAAGATCTAGAGTATACTCTCAGCTCTCGGCGCTCCAAATGGCAATGGCGAGCTAGCGCTGTCATATCCTCACCTGATGAACTCACAGGAGCCTTCAAGAACAATGCATTCAAACCATATCGGGCACCTTCCGGTACTCGCATCATGTTCTTGTTCACTGGCCAAGGCGCTCAGTGGTATGCCATGGGCCGGGAACTCCTTTTCTCTTCGGAAGTCTTCGCGAAGTCGGTAGCCAGGTCAACGGGAATACTTCGGTCGCTTGGAGCTTCCTGGGAGCTCCGTGAGGAGTTGCTAAGGGAGGAGTATAAATCACGCGTAAATGACGCTGCGATTGGTCAACCGGCGTGCACAGCCCTTCAGATTGCACTGGTAGACCATCTCGCTTCCATCAATATCATTCCAGATGCTGTGCTTGGACACTCGAGCGGTGAAATTGCAGCGGCTTATGCTGCTGGAGCCTTGAGCCACGAGACGGCCATAGCAGTGTCCTATCATCGAAGCTTCCTCTCACAGAGAAGCCAAGAGGTTGTACAGCATCCAGGCTCCATGGCGGTTGTGGGAATGTCTGAGGAGGAAGCTATCATTGAATGCGCTAAGCTGAATACGGGCCTCGCTAGTGTAGCTTGTCTGAACGATCCGCAGAGCACTACTATATCTGGCGATGAGGTCGCGATTGATGAACTTCTTGCGAACCTGGACCAATCAGTCTTTAAGCGAAAGCTCAAGGTCGATACTGCTTACCACTCATACCATATGGAAGCAGTTGCACAAGAGTATCTATACTCTATGCATGGCCTGAAGACCCATTCCAAGAAACCGCAAGTGCAATTTGTTTCTTCCGTAACTGCCAATATCAAGGGCGACGACTTCGGGCCAGCATATTGGGTTGATAACTTAGTCTCTGCAGTGCGCTTCTCGGACGCACTACAAAACTATTGTCGAAAACAATATGCCAGCGCTCAGGCAACACTCAACCCAATCTCCCACCTGTTTGTTGAGATTGGACCGCATAGTGCCCTGGCAGGCCCATGCAAACGAACAGTACAGAGCTTGAAGCTTGATGCATTCCCGTATTCTTACGTCTCTGCCCTTGTGAGAGGGATCAGCGCTGATCGCTCTGCTCTGGAACTGGCTGGAAAGCTCTTTGAGCAGGGCTCTCCTGTAGATCTCGCGGCCGCTGTCGCTTCTTCTGGCACGCAGCCCAAGGTCATCGCCAATTTACCGTCCTATGCATGGGATAAGCGAACCTCATACTGGCACGAGTCGCGATTGAGTAGAGAGCATCGCCTTCGTACTCATCCGCCACATGACTTGCTCGGAGTGCGGATGGTAGGTAACAATCCTCAGGAGCCAGCGTGGCGGAACATCCTCTCACTTGACGCCCTTCCCTGGTTAAAGGATCATATCATCGATGGCGAGATAACCTTCCCGGGTACTGGCTATATCACAATGGCTGTGGAGGCCATCTGCCAGCTCCGGAGCGATTTCAACTGGCCCAATGCTCGCCAGTACCACCTTCGAGATATCGAATATACCAAGACATTGATCATCCCAGAGTCACCCAAGAGCATCGAAGCAACCCTTCGTATCTATCGACCGAGGAATTCGAGTGACCGTTCATCGTCCGGATGGTATAGCTTCCAGATCAGCTCGATTCCAGATGGAACCACGTGGCACGACCACTGCACGGGCGCAATCATGATCGAGTTTGAAGCTGGCGACAGTGATACTCGTCCCGAAGACGCGTTCAATATTGAGAAAGCGAACGAAGCTCTCGAGACGGCAAAAGGCCAGTGTGCAACATCAGCACCCGCGAGTACCTTCTATGACGATCTCGCGAGCTTTGGAAACAAGTACGGCCCAAATTTTGCAGTGTTACGAGATGTGTTCACAGGCCAGGATGTGGTTGTTGGCACCATCGAGACTCCCGATGTTGCCGCTTGCATGCCAAGCGGGGTTCAACAACCTCACGTGATCCACCCCGCCACAGTCGACGCACTCCTGCATATGCAAATCCCCCTGTTCATGCAACATGGCGGCAGCAGCTCTGTTGTTCCCACCCGCATCGAGCATGTCAGCATATTGGCGAAGACCGCCCACAACCCAGGAGATCAGCTCTTTTGTTACGGGCATCTAACCTATCAGGGATCTCGCACTGCCAATGCTGAGGCTGTGGCCCTGCAGCTCGGCAACGAGGGAAGATTAATTCCAGTCATCAAGATCTCAGGCGGAGAGCTTCGTGCTATTGGTGAAACTATTGATACGGCAGCCGAAAGCCAGGACGGCGAGCATATCAGCATACTGCAATGGGGCGAGCATGTGGACTTCTTGGACCCCAAGATCCTGCAAACTCCTGAATCCCAACTCGTACGCCAAGAGGGATCCCTTTCGCTGGAGGAAAAGGAAGTGCTTTTCACGAAGCTAGCCACTTGGTACATCAACCAAGCCTTGCACAAGATTCGTGAAAACGGTCTCAGCATCCCAGACACTTACGAGAAATGGTATTATGCTTGGATGAAGCGTTATGATGCTTCTGAAGATGCACAAGCCATTATTCGGGCGCTGACCGACGAGCAATTGGAGGCGGACCTTCAGGTTGCATCAGAGGTCGGCGTAGAAGGCGAGACGTTGGTACGCCTAGGCGAATCGTTGGCCGACATTGCGACGGGCCAGGTATCATCTCTGGATGTTTTTCTAAAGGGTGACCTGTACTACCGAATGTACTCGATGGATCCTTCTTTGCAGTGTGCAAAGTATTTGAGCGAGTACATCAAGCATCTGTACCATGAACGAGGTCCCCTGAGCGTGCTTGAAGTCGGTGCTGGTACAGGTACCACCACCAAGACGCTTTTCGAAGACATGCGCCGTGCTGGAATCATGCCGTTTCGCCGCTATGATTTTACAGACATTTCTTCTGGATTTTTCGAGCCGGCCGAAAAGGCATTCGCGCAGCACGCCGGCCTCATGCGCTTCAAGACATTCAACGCAGAGAACGACCCCAGAATACAAGGCTTTGAAGAGGGCGCATATGACCTAGTCATCGGTGCAAACGTCATTCATGCGACCAAGAAGCTGAACGAGACTCTAAACAATGTACGAACACTCCTGAACCCCGGAGGTCGCTTGGCCATGATCGAGGTCGTTCGCGTGACACCGGCATATAACGCTACATTCGGTGCCATTCCAGGGTGGTGGAACGGAGTGGATGATTCAAGAGAAGATACCCCTCTACTCAGTATTGACAAGTGGCACGAGCGACTTCTGGGTAGCTCTTTCAGTGGCGTGGAACTGGCACTGCGTGACTCGGAAAGCCCGGCATGGATGTCTGCATTGATGATCTCTAAGGCGCCTTGGAGGATGTCACCGAATAAGCCAAACATCCGACTAATCCTCAGCCCATACTTGGATTTCGCGACCTTGACCATGGCAGACGAACTCATGCATGTTTTGTCAGAGCAGGGCTGCCCCACGTCGATTGTACCTTTTTCAACTGATGTGGAAGACGACGGGGTAAACGTTCTTATCGACTCGGGGAGGAAGCCGCTTCTTCTGGGCCCTTCAGAAGCAGAGTTTGAAAACATCAAAGCGCTAGTCACGCAAAGCTCAAACGTGTTTTGGGTCTCGGCACAGGGAGACCTCAAGGCCATCAATAATCCAGAGAAGGCTTTCGTTACCGGCTTTTCACGAACAGCCAGATCCGAATACCCTCGACTGAAGATGACTCTGTTAGATGTACAGCAGGACATCTCATCTGATAGGGAAATGGTTGTCAGTGCTACTGTTGACATCCTCCTTCGGTCCTTCTGCTCGGAGGATGCTCTTCCGTCAGAAAACTTCGAGTATGCAATCAGAGACAACCGCGTGTTCACACCTCGTTTGGCCATGAACAACAAACTGAACAAACTAGTTTCTGGCTCTAAATCAGCTACCATGGCTGAGGTCGAGGTCCCTTTTCACCAGCCAGATCGACCACTTCGGCTTCATGTCGAGAAGCCCGGCTTGTTAGATACGATGGTCTTCGTTGATGATGAAACGAAACAACTTCCGTTGCCTGATGATCAAGTCGAGATTCAGGTCATGGCGTGTGGCATCAACTTCAAAGATGTTTTCATCGCTCTCGGACAGATGAAAGCAACTACCAGAATGGTTGGCGAGTGTTCAGGTATCATTTCCGCGGTCGGGGCAAATTGGAGGCATGAGTTTAAAATCGGCGATCGTGTATGCGCATACAACGGTACCGCCTACTCCAGCCGTACACGTGTCAGCGGATATACGGCGAATCACATTCCCGATTTCATATCCTTCAATACTGCCGCCAGTATCCCTGTTGTGTTCGCCACGGCACATCGTAGTCTTGTCGATGTAGCCAACTTGCAGAAAGGGGAGTCCGTCCTTATTCATGCAGGCGCCGGAGGAGTCGGTCAAGCGGCCATCATTATTGCACAGCACATTGGCGCCCAAGTTTTCACCACAGTTGGTAGCGAAGCCAAACGCCGAATGTTGGTTGAGCGATACAATCTTCCAGAGGAACACATCTTTTCGAGTCGTGACCGGTCCTTCAAGGACGGTGTATTGCGATTGACCCACGACAATGGCGTCGATGTGGTACTCAACTCCCTTTCAGGAGAAGCGCTTCAGGACAGCTGGGCCTGTATCGCGAAGTTCGGGACGTTTGTGGAGATTGGAAAGGCCGATATATACCGCAAAAGCTTGATCAGCATGCATCCTTTCGACCAGAACGTTACGTTCGCATCTGTTGATCTTGTCGTCATGGCAGACTTTAGGCCGAAGATCATGAAGGTACTGTTGAACGAGGTCATCGAAAGGTTCGCAGATGGCCGCTACTCGCCCGTCTTCCCGATTACTATCATGCAACTTGGCGAGATTGAAAGCGCTTTCAGATTGATTCAGAGTCGTAAGCATACCGGGAAGATAGTACTGTCATCAGACGCGGAAGTCACGGTTCGAGCGACTACACCGAAAGTTCGAGAAGTACAGCTTGATGCGAACGGAACATATGTTCTCGCGGGAGGTCTTGGTAGTGTCGGAAAGTCTTTGATGCACTACATGGCCTCACACGGAGCGAGAACATTCGCTGTCCTAACCCGACGAACTTTGAACTCTGAGCAGCTTCGCGACCTCGATGAAGAATTTGAGGGCATTGGAGCAAGATTGGAGGTAGTGCGCTGTGATGTTTCCAATATTGAGGAGGTTCGAGAAGCTGTGCGCGTAATTTCTAGTAGTTTGCCACCAATCCGTGGTGTTGTGCAAGCGGCGGTGACACTCGTGGTACGTGTTGCCTTTCTGTGGGCTCTAGCGGCAACTGACATCTCTTAGGATCGTGTCCTTGAAACAATGGCTATCAAGGATTGGGACAAAGTCTTACAGTCAAAGCATGTTGGCACACAAAACCTGGCCGACGCGTTCCGAGATGCAGCCCCCGACTTTTTCCTCATTTTGTCATCTTGCGCTGTTATTGGAGGTACCCGTGGTCAAGCCAACTACAATGCGGGCAACGCCTTCCAAGACGCTTTATCTCAGATGTCGCCGAGCTCCAACTGCAACTACTGCTCTTTGAATCTGGGTCTCGTCATGGATTCTCAGATTGGTTCGCATCAGGAGAGTATCCAGTCGCTTCTGCGACAAGGTTGTATCCCAGTCACTCCTGATGAATATTTGGCACTCTGCGGTTATATGATGAGTCCACAGGTTCGCAAGGACGGCTACCACCACATATCCATGGGATACAACCGCGCCTCAATCTCTGGCAAAGATGATCTCTTCACACTTCGAAGCTCTCTATTCAACCTGTTCCCGTACGCAAAGGAGCAAGAACTTAGCGGAGGCCAAGGTGGAGACAAACGTAAGGATGTTGAGGCGCTCATCGCCTCTGCTGACTCTGTTGAGGAGATGCAGGATATCATCTCGGACGCCATCGTGCATAAAATGTGGGCTCTGGTCGCCAACGACAATATCGACCTGGATTCAGAGATCGCGGATCTTGGAGTAGACTCCCTGATTGCCATAGAGCTTAAAAATTGGTTCAACAGGGTTTTCAAAGCTGCGATCCAGACCAGCGAGATTCTAGAGAGCCCCACGTTACGACATCTGGCTGCTCGGGTCGTGGGGAAAACAACACTTCGTCCTGGGCATGGGAAAACCGACAAGGGAGGGGAAACCGTCGCGGCACCACCAAAAGACCAATCGGTAGCGAGCCCCACGGAAGTAGTCGCTTCAAAGCCGCGTCGAGAGCAGAATGGGGTTAATGGTGGATTGGGGAGGGCTACCGAAACAGCTCGCTCTGCCAACGGAACTATCACGGCAATGCAAGACAATGACAGCCTCTTAACCCTACCCCTTCCGACACTCGAGGACACTTTCGACTCGTTCATGGAGACTGCTAAAGCTTTCGGATCGGAAGAAGAGTTACGGCGAACTAGAATGGCTATAGAAGATTTCAAGAAGAGTGGTGGAATTGGTCAAAAGCTCCAAGCGCGGCTCCGCGAAAAGGCTGACGATCCTCGTACTAAGAACTGGCTGGGTGACGTTTACGCCGCTAGCCTCTGGCTTCAACCACGCATCCCCGTCCGCCCAATATCGACCTTCTTCGTGAGTCATGCACTAAGCAAGTGGCAGCATGGCCAAGCGGAGCGAGCTGCCCTCGTATCCTTGACAGCATTCAAGTATAAGCAAGAGCTAGATCAGGGGACTGCTGAAGTCGAATACTACAATGAGCAGCCTCAGTGCATGAGTACCCATCGTTGGCTTTTCAACACATACCGTCGACCGGCCCTTCCCATGGATGTTCCGGAGAAGCACCCTGGAAACAACTTTGTAGCTGTTTTGCGGCGCGGTCACCTTTTCAGGATTGATCTCGCGAAAGATGGACGCGTAATCAGTTTCAGTGACCTTCGTCAAACCTTTGAAGCGATCTTAAATGAGCCCTTGGATGGGATCTCATGGGCGAGTGTGTTAACGACAGATGAACGGACTAGCTGGTCGCAGGTTAGATCACCTTTCTTGGCATTGATACGTCCATTGCTAAAATTTCCAGATTCGCGAATTGGTGCGCGAGAACAATCAGGAATATCTTGATGTGCTCGAGGAATCCCTGTTCATTGTTAGCCTCGATGAAGGCTCACCATCATCCTCGCTTGAGCGGGCCAAAGCTTTCGTCATCGACGACAACATCAATCGCTGGAATGACAAGCTGCTTCACCTCATTGTCATGACTAATGGCGTATCGGCCACATATGGCGAGCACTCTATGATGGATGGCCCTACAACGAACCAACTGAATCGTCGCTTCGAGGCTGCAATTTTGGGTCACCAACGAGAGGCAGCTCCCAAAGGCATCCTCCCTGGTAGTACACCGTTACCATTTCACTACATTCCCTTCAAATCGAACTTCGAGATTAATTCTCATATCGATCGTTGCCGTATTACATGGAAGAAATCGATAGCGAACGCTAAGCATGACTCGTTCACACTCAAGACCTTCGGGTCCTCGTATCTGCAGGCGCATCGTATCTCAGCAAAATCGGCGCTCCAAATCATGATCCAAATGGCAGCGCGTAAGGTCTTTGGACAAAACATCCCGTCATGGGACCCGGTTCTCATGCGACACTTCCATCACGGGCGTCTTGAACTCATTCAAGTAGTCACACCTGCAGTGGCTCACTTCTGTGAGACCGCCAGCGATTCGAACATTGCATTGTCGACTCGCAAGAAGGGTTTCGTCGAGGCGGTCGCGAGCTACACGAATGCGATCATTCGTGCCGCGCAAGGCAAGGGTTGGGACCGACACATGCATGCCTTGCGCTTCGTCTTGCAAGATCGCGAGGAACGACCCGCTTTCTTTGATGATGACCTGTACACGCGTACTAGGCCGGGAAAGCTGATTACGAGCTACACAGCTGTAAGCGGGGATCCTGAGATGGGCATCGTCTGGAATGACCCCGAGGTTTACTATGTTCATTTCGAGCCGCATGACAATGAGTATGTACCTACTTTGTTTCTTCTCTAGAAGCAATTACTGACACTGTTACAGTTGCCGTTTAGATATATCGCATGGCTCAGGCAGGTTAGATGTTTTTTGGAAAGCGTTCGTCGAGTCAGCGGACGTGGTAAAGGAATTGTTGGGGCCGGCGCCAGTCAGACAGCAACAGAAAGAGGCCTAGGCAGAAAAGTAGGAAGGTTCTCGTAGTTACGGTGGTAGTCTAGCGTTTGTAGATGTAGTGTTTCATGTGTCACTGTGACAGCTAATCTGGTAGTATTCAAAATGATGATGAACACATTGTCAGTTTCATTTTCATTAGACTCCAAACTCTAGTGTTCACGGAGGACTTGGTGTGCATGTCCAGCCCGGGTGCTCTTGAGGTAAAGATTCGCATGCTCTTCGTTAGCCAATACTGTGTAGATATCCGACGAGTGCTTCAAAGCTCCCCGGCCATTAAAATGACTCCAAAGATCATTCAGATTTCTGACACTAACAACAAGGGCGACGTTCACACGTATACTAGATTATGGGTGGATCGGATTGCAATGAAGTTATCTCCATTTACAGACGATATGAAAGAGTATATGCGGAATATCACGGTGGCTAACGCCAAAGGACGTTGTATACTTTCAATGAGCGTCAGGCTTTCACTAATACTATTTGCGGCATGTTTCTCTACGACAAGCTCTTTTTGAAGAATCTTCTTGCACAATTCACACGAGAAGATTTGCTCGATGAGATTGAACAAGAAAACTTCCCTCATCACCGATAGGTATTTCTCGGAAGGGTTCAAAGACGCGAAAGCCGGGAAGCGGTATATCAACATTCATGTTCGCCTGTTCCAATGCGAGGTTCCTGACTGGCTTGGAGCTGATGGATTCGCAAATGCAAAATACTAGAGAAGCATACCCGAGCATTCCATCCTGAGATCAGCAATCTTGCCAAGATGTTCAACTCCGCTACAACTAAGTTTGCGAAAGCAGTACACGCTTGTACTATCTGCGGAAAGACATTTACTCGCAACTTCCCTCGCCAGAATCACGAGATCAACCACCTTGGTAAAAGGCCCTATGAATGTCCTGAGTGTGGGAAAGCATTCACACAACGCAACGATCGCGAGCGACATCAGAAAATACACGATCGAAAGTAGGGGTCTGGCTTCCACAGTCAGTTATGAGTTGATCGAATCGAGAACTAATATTCCGTGCCGGTTCAATATCAAAGCCCAAAAATTGGGGGTGGCGGTGGGCTGGCTCAGTTTTGAATCATTTGGCTTCTGCGGTTGAGGATATAGCTGCGCAGGGTCGCGCGCAACTGACGTCAACGTGTGGGGGTTATAGCTACGATTGATACGGCGTGACAGTCAGCTGGTATTGACATTACTGCTGATAATCAAACCATTAGGCACGTTACACATGAATTTCAGCATCGATCACAAAACCTTGCAATGTCTTATAAATAGAACGGTTGATAGTCTAACAATGGGACCCCGCAGTTACACACGGCTGGAGGCGGGGGCTGTGCCCGCCATTAAAAATGGAAGCCTGCGGCTGAATTATCTACCAAAAGTACTATCGCTGCCGCTGAACAATTAACTTTATACAGTTCTTTTGTAGACACAGGCCAAGATTCGAGTTATTCAATCTCATCTTGCGGACGCACTTCAACCCTTCTCCCGATGCCGGACTCGGTCGTTAAGAAAGGTGGCAAGAGCACGCCAAACCTTTGGAAAGAAGCCTACGGCGCGCTCAGCAGTACCGAGCAGGGTAAAGAACGGCTTCAGAGGCTCAATGTGATTATCAAAGAGCAGCTTGGCAATCCCAAACTGAAGCTTCGATCAGAGGATGGCTACAAACAATTATCCGCTCTCATCCAGAAGAAAGAGAAGAACTTAGAGGCCAGTAGCGCGTCGGAGAAGATTGGTAGGATATGTGGCAATATGCGTACAATTCAAGACCTAGTTGCAACAGGCGCGGACGTAGGAGGTCCGTACGTTGCGATACCCGCTGCAGCGTTATTTCTTGCGTTTTCGGTGTGTACCTCAACTGCGGACGTGCCGTCAAAGGCACTAACGATGTTAGGTTCATCAGATCTACCGGTCGGAAAAGGAAGCCATGTATGAGCTAGCCAAAAACGTTGCTCATTTTACAGTACTCAACGCGAAGAGTCATGATCGTATCAAGATATTGCCTGGTGACGACGAACACATGCAGGATCTGAAGAGTAATCTACACATGGTGTACATCGGCTTGTACAAATCTTTACTGCTCGCATCTGCACAACTGACTATATCGCTGTACGGCGAATGGCAGTTTCTCAAGAACCTCGCGAAACACTACGACTGGGAAGGACAGGTTGAAGAGTTGCAGAAGCATCACAACATGTGCAAAGAGTATCGGGATGAGATTTCCGACCGTTATAAGGGGGTTGGCAGCAATCCTCAAGGGCCAAACGCGTCGAACAATAGAATGAAAAAGGCAATGGGTCCAGCACCACGAAACCCGCTCCATTGGGCTGTTGCACTCACTGCGGACCAACAAGTCCTTCACTTTGTGCAGAAAGAGGCATACCCAATAAATGCACTCACGCCAAGGAGCTGGACAGCAGCACATCTGGCAGCCAGAGAAGGCAACACAAAGATCATGAAGACGCTTCTAACAGCCCCGGGGGTCGATCTCAAGATCAAGAACGAAGAAGGACGCACGCCGCTCCATCTTGCCGCCCTACACAATAGAGTCGGGGCTGTCAAATTACTGTTACAACGAGACACTAGGCTACTTGGCGTTCGAGATAAGAGAGGGCGGACTGCTTTTTTACTAGCAGCGCAGAAAGGACACGTTAAGGTACTCCAGGCTCTCAAAGAGCATGGGCAGAACTTTAATGAGGCGAGCGTGAGTCATGGGTGGACGGGGTTGCATCTTGCGGCCGAGGAAGGTCAGGTGGAGGCCGTCAAGTTCCTCGTGGCTAATGGTGCGAAGAAAGATAAGGAGACTAAAGGTGGCGCGTGGAAAGGTTCTACCGCCAAACAAGTTGCTGAGCGGAAAGGGAAGCTAGAGGTGCTCCAGTTCCTCTGAGATTCCTCTAATTAGAACCAATATTGCACCCAACTCACCGAGGCGAAGGCCTTCCCTATCTTTGTTTTGATCTCACTTTCTCAAAACAGCATATACTTCATTCAAAGTCACCCCTACCTAGCTGGGCATCTGCATGTCAGCATCCGGTGAACATGGGTTGTGCTCGTACCGCCCGTCCTCCAAGTCTTCCTGTAGCATCCAATCACGGTTCACACCTTTAGTAAAAGGTTGACTCGTGGCTTCATCAAGGAAGACAGAGCGCACAAAAGGCAAGCTGGCCCCTGCATCTGGTAAGCCTCTCGTCCGCGCTAAAGATTGCAGTGCAGTTGACCTTAGAGAGGGACGAAATAGCCATTGTGCCATACCCCGTGGAGACACTGTGTCCAAGAAACAAAGTCATGTTCAAACTTTAGACTTCTATTACGGTGATAATATACTTCGCTAATGCAAAACAAACCAAGAATCGCTCGCTATGCTAACAGACTACAAGAACGAGGTATTACCACTATACGACACCGAATCCACCCTCTATCCAACTATATGCAGAAGAAGATTCAAACTCTGCCAACCACTATCGTCACCTCTCCACGTCTGATCTCGGATCTGCTCCACTGCTACGTGCCTCTTCTGCTGCATCGAGATTCTCCCGGCTGCTCTGGCCGCGTATACCCCGCCAGAGGTCATTCAACGTCCCACTAAAACTCCTTGTCCTTCCACCGGGCGTCACTGCCGGTTCATTCACGTCACTATCACGAGTGTGTCGCCTACTAATGGGGCCGCCGAATGAGGTGCCATCTGCTTCGCCAGCACCGATACCCAGAATGCTTTCTCGCCGCCGCATCGAAGCCTCACCGCGTATACTCCCTCCCCGCTTGAGGTCCTGTACCATAGCACTCAGGGTCGTGCTTAGTGGACTAGCCAACAGCGGTCCGGCAACCGAATGTCGAGAGTAAGTGCCAGCGCGTTCGCCTGCTCGAATACGGCGGAGGTGAGATTGAGCAGTGCCGGGCGTGGTGGGAATTTCGGACTGGGATTTGCCGCGTGTCGGTGTTCGCGGAACTGGGAGCTCGGGATTGGATCTTGATGCGAGAGGTGGAGGAGCTGCTTCCGAGGGGAGGACGGGTGTAGAGGTGTGTCTATTAAAGGGTGGTGTACGATGCTCGGGTCCGTGCTCTTGGGTCCAGGGATCTGCGACGACTGATGACAAGACATCTGCAGAGGCTGGTCGATCGCCATGCGGCCTTGGTGTGGACGGGTCCAGTGTGACTTTGATATCTGGAGTCCTCGGTCGCGAGTCGTCCTCATCGCGGTACTGTGAGTGAAGCTTCTTGGATGGAGAAGACGTGCGTATCGTCGATGGCCGTCGAGTACTCCCAGCGCCAGGTTCATTGCTCAGGCCATCGACTTCGTCTCGATACGACTCTCCGACGAGGCTGATTGCATCCTCCGGTTCGGGGTCTCGGTCCTCGTCATCCTCATTGAGGCGCTGAGGTCGTCCACTCGTAATGAGCCAAACACCAAAAAAAGTCAAAGCACAACCTCCAACAAACTTCCCCGCATCTTCGCCAGAGGTACGTTCGAAGTCGCGGTACAAGACTGCAGACCCGCCAATGACCGACAACGTGAAGAGAACGAACTGCACCGGAATGACCTGCGTGGCGTCGAAACGCTGGAGCGCCCGATTGACGTACTTGATTTGCATGACTGCAGTGCCAATAAGGATAGCAACAAGCAGGTAGAAGACGGGGAAGGTGATAGCGCGCCAGAGGGTGTATGAGAGTAGCGACGCGACACCCTTAGTCGAGAGAGCCGTGTAGCCGCCTAGGTCTAGTTAGCCACTACATTCAAATTGTACAGAAAACATATGCCGGTTTCAACATACCAAATAAGCCCACAAGGCCCAAATCGATCAGAATATTCTTCTCTCCAAAGCGATTACTGCACACCATCAATCCCGCAATGACACCCACCGTAATCCCCAAGTACGTCTCAAATTCCCACCGTCTGATCAAGTCCCAAATCTCATCCGGCCCCAGTTTCGGATTGTTATCGCTCGCGCTCAATACGACCGTCACCGCACCCCCGACAGCAATGATAACTCCAAGCGCGTCGCGCTTCCGAAAGGGCTCCTTGAGCATGAACGGTGCGATGATGCAGTTGGAAATCAGGGCGACGACGCCAAGGGGAGAGACGATGGAAGCGGGCGCGAAGCCATAGGCGAGGAAGTTGCCTGCTTCGCCAATGGTCATCATGACTATGCCGAGCCACCAGTAAGGAGATTTGAGGTAGGATTGTTGCTTGTACGCGGCGTCTTGGTCTGAGACTGCGCTGTCTTGTCTTTCAATCGCCGGTCTAGTATCGCGCGGGAGGAGGGGATCGGATTCGGTCGTTTCGTAATCGGCATCTATTGAAGGTCGTGAATAACCGTTCGTATCTTCGCGTTGCTGGCGCGAGTAGTATGCCCTGTTGTCTTTCTTCCCCGCGTCTTCGCTCAGTCTTGCAAGACTTGACGATGAGGCAATTCTCCTCTTTCTTTGCCGCTCCTTCTCCTGCCACTCCCGGTCCAACCGTATGTGCGCATATCGCTGCATGTTCAGCGCAAACGATATGAGCACATTCCCGATAATGGCCGTAATGATGCCAATAAGACTGCTCCAGTTCTCTGCATACCCTCCCTTCTCTTTGAATATCCAAAAGACGTCATTATGAGGGGTGATGCTTGGTGTCGCTGTCGCTGGGCCAGCAGCAACATAGCTTGGAGGTATATGCATCGTATGCGGGCCTCGGCGGGGGGGATTCGTTTGGAAGACGTCCACGCAAGGGAGCGCGAGGGTTTGACGTCGCGGAGTCGCGGTCCAGAGAGTGAACACGCTCTCAGGCAAACGGTGCACTCAACTGCTATATGAGATTATTAAGGTGTAAGAAATGGAACAACATATTGTGTAGCGGTGCGAAGACGTTGATTGTACACTGCAGCACCGTATGCCGCGGGTGCCGTATGCCGTGAAGTTGCAGGGTTCGTCGGTGATCCTTCACATGACGACAAGCGATCCAAGCTCTCAACATTTGTCCCGCGCTAGTGTTGCCGTACATACCGGATTCATCAACCATGCTGTGGTGATACACATCCACAACGGAGGAAATTTTGTCAGAGCTTGTTCTGTTCTCATAAAAGCTGATCAACCTGGCATGATGGATTGATTATTTGCAGCGTCTGTCGTTTAGTATAGGCAATCCAGCCTCGACAGTTATGACCTATGGTATGGGACAAGCAGTCAGTCAGTTAACCTCTATCTTAAGGCCTATATACATGCTTCTTGCAATATTGGAATTGAAATTAGAAAACTTGCTGAGGGTGCTCAGACTCGGGGATTCTAATGTTTATGAATCGGAAACTTCAAGCCCTACTTTACGCCATCTGATTAAGTACTTTGTGCATGCACCTGACCTCTGCTTGAGAGATATCAGCGCCTTTGAGTTGCTTGTGATACCTATCTCGCTAACTTTTCAAAATACGACTTTAAAACTTCAAAGGTAGAGCACATCTAATCCCTCGTATACATCTATTAAGCAAGACAAGCCTAGACACAAAGAGTCTGGGTAGCCTTGGGAATAGGTTTTCTCTTCACTCGTAGTAGAACATGATGTGTAGACTAAACTTGGCATAGCTAAAAGTCTACAGACAGTAGCCCTTCCTTGACTTGTTATACGCACGAATGAACTAAAATGAAAAACGAGCTAGTGTTGGTTAAAGAGAAAGCCAGGACAATCCATTACGCAAGTTTTGATAATAATCTCAACGTGTAGTATTTCAGCATGATGAGAAAAGAGATAGACTTGAAATCATTGAAATCAGCGAGAACCTGAACTTCGTAGCATAAACGTATACGTTGTTAGAAAATGTGACATATCGCTAATATCTCTAGGCTACCTTGGACGAGACTGTATCCTCACAGCGGTTTCGTGTTACAATCGTCTCCATAAGTGTGTGTTCATATTTAAGCAAACTCTACAGATGTTATGTGGTATACTACCAACTCAGATCAAAAAGCAAGCGGTGAAGTGAAAAGGGGATGACACAAAGGTATCTCTTGAACCCCCATATTACGAAAATATGCTACATAAATATATCACTCATGCGATTGAGCGAGCATACATAATACACACGAAACACCGCACGGGTAGGGACAAGGAGGAAGACACTGCGCAGTCAATCTCGGCCGTCTATTTCAGATTCTCCCTCGACACATGACATCAAAGCACAACATAGAACATTATTTCAAGAAACCCCAGACTGGACGTTTCATGGACAGTGTATAGAGTGGTGGAGATGACGCGTCTCTAGCCCCGCGGAATGAAATAGTTACGAACCATCCCGTCCCAGCCTAGTCTAGAGCGAACGTCACAGCTCCATCACACTTCTAAACAACACGATTCAAACCCGTCATTAGAGGAACACCTGATCGATTATAAGAAATAGTCCCGATCAGTACTTTGAACTGGAACGAGTCAATAGGAAGGCTGCGGAAAGCTGCCAAGGTATCGTGTATGAAATTGCAAGGAACGAAGTGGTCATGCATCTTAACAGGCGCATAAATCTAGTCCCGATCTTGAGGAGAGGTCGGCCTGCGAGACTGGGACTGGGCTGTTTCACGTTTGAGATTTGGTTCGTTGGGAAGACTGGTACCATTCGGGAAATTGGTTCTTACAGGGATGGGGTGATCTTGCTGGAGTAGTCAGGAACACTGATTTCTGTGGAATTTTTTGACACAATGATTCATCTAGAGAGATAATTTGTTCAGCAGCTTGTTCTTGCGTCAAGAGCGCAACCTGGTCTTGTCGAGTTGGCTGTGAAATTGCACTTGAAGTCTTAACGATTGTGGATAGATGTCAGTCGAAATGCAAGACCACCATGATTAATCGAACATGTCATTTTGGCAACGCTTTGTGGCGGCGGTAGTGTCGCTGAATAATGCGAGCCTATGACTTGCATTCGTATTTCGTTCGGCGGCTTGTACCTGTAGTCACACTGTGGTGTGCTGGCTAGAGTGGTGAAATAAGATTTGTGTACCGGCTATTAGATGTCTGATGCGTGAGACCCACACTGACGCTTGTGAGCATGAAGGCTTACCAGTGGTTCAAGGTGGCCTGGGCGAAATTCGAGCACGCACCTTCATGTACCTTCACCGCAACGGCTGTACTTGTAGTGCGCAGGATGTTGGGAATCTAGACCAGCCCTGCGTTTTGTAGGGAGTGTGACCTTCATACGAAATTGAGCTCGCGTGATCGGCGAGGGGTTTCGCATACGTATATCGCGTATGGTCAAGTGATGAAGACGTGGCGTACTTACGGAATCTGTCCAAGAGATCATGCCCGTAGGATAGATTCCTACTTCCTTTAGGGTAGCCCCAAAGTGATCACACTATGACTCCACACAGTAGTAGAAAGTGAATAGATATCTCAAGGCATGCAAGTTTCGTATTCTGGATCCTTCTAGCAGAGAGAATCGCATGGAATTGAGTCACAGTAGATGTTTGATGTCTGCGTTTGACGCCAGAGATACAGGCCAGGGTCGACAAGTCAACTACAGCGTGAGCAGTCGCCCAGAGAGTACTAGTCGTGTCTGTGTGCGACGTTTAAGTACCTGGTGACTATACGACATTTTCAGCCGCTTCTGCACATGCACTGCATAGTGCCTGATCGCTGTGTTCTTGATATACTAGTAGAGATCAAGGTATTCTAGACGCCAAGGATGAGGGACTTCCCGTGTTACCACAGCACTCATCGGTCTAGGCAATGGGCTCCGTCTAGTTAATCTAGTCAGCCAAACACTGAGTGCGCCCCCGATGAAACTGTTGGGAGCATCTGCATCATCACCAGCAATTGTCCTGCTTGGTGAAACACTTCCAATTGTTTTGCTTTAAGCGATGCTGTGAATGAAGCAAGAGGAGTCGTAGTTTGGTTGAAAATATGGGCCGCCTGTCTGTAGCGGGGGAAAGGGTGTAGTTGACGTTATTGATAGCCAGGTTGTTGCTGAACACGACTGGGCTGAGACGGAAGGCTGCTCGAGATGTACGTTGCTTCGGGGAGACGCATAAGCTCGACACCGGTTCACTGCAGGATGCTTCGAGTTCCGACATGACATCTGCAGATAAGCGTATGTATGATCCGGCCGATGTCGGTAACCAGATATGAACAACTGTACAACGGCTTTGTATTCTTTCCGGTGGTGATGATGCGAGAGACGGTGTGCCACAGGCAGCCGGGTGAGGTATTCATTGGCGGGAATATCTCCGAACAGTCGACAGCGTTGTCGGGTTGGACGGCATACTGTACTCGAGTACGTTTGTGCGTGTAACCTAGCGGTCTATGAAAAGAAGCGAGTACTCGGCAGGGCTGATATGCATATGCATTCATTCATCGATTGCAAGTCGTTGTATGACGAGCTGGATTCGCGCAAATCAACGCGTAGACGGGAAATATAGGAGGGTAAAATGGGTGGAGTGTTCATGCCAACGCCTCCGATCGCTCGGTCTGCAGCTGCTCTCCGCCGCCAGATCTGAGACAGCGCGGGAGGCTCCGTGATACATGTTCGTGATGTACACTGGTGGTACTTGTTGGCCTTAGTCATCTGCGACCCAGAATGATTGTTTTGGGCATCGTCTGCACATGCCTTGTCAGAGCAGTAATGGTATCAAAAACGTAGAATGCGCTGCTGCCTGCTCTGCTTACTCCGTTGGGGAAGTCGATGAGTGGTGTTGCATGCAAGATGTTCAGTTCTGTGGCTCTTCGGTCAAATCACGTTGATCTTCATCTTAGCAAATGCAGCTTAGCATAGGGTCCACCAGGCAGGGAATGGGATCTTGAGTCGAAAAGAAAATGGCGTAGGGCGTCCCGTGTGGATGGGTGCACAATCTTAACCACAGATGATTATTGGGGTTGGGCGAGAATGTTGGTCACATGATGGATACCGCGGGGTGGCAGTGCTCAGATTAACGTACGAGCAGATGGTAAACTTGGCTAGCTTACCCACACAACAAGCGCGAATTTTGAACCGTACTGTAGGGTTGGGTGGGTTGGGTGTGGGTGTATATCGGCGACCTCTTTTCTTCTTCAGTGGGCATACAGTGAGCTACTTGCAACGCGTATAGGAGGGCGTTTAATCCGCAGGTGGATTCATCTTATTAGACACGCCGCTGCAGTGCGCCCTGGTCTGAACAGAGCTTGTCGCCCACGCGTGCGCGTGCTGGTGTAACGCAGCAGCGAGGGAATACGGGCGTCATCATCAGTGCGTTCAGATGTCGGTTGCTGCGGGTCTGGCTCGATTGGTGCTAAAGCGGCAACTGAGGTTCCTGCGTAACCTGCATCGAGAAGGGTTCATGTCGGGTTGCGGAGCTTTTCATCCGGCGATAGTGCCCGTTGCGACCAAGGACAATACAGCGGGGGGACAAATGCTCAAGAGCGTGTTTGTCAGAAGGGGGGCCCCATCGCGAGGCACGATGAGAGCGATAGGCAGTGTTCTGCACAGGACATGCAGGCTCAGGGCCATGCGTCTGGGACGTGTTGGCGAAGGGGGTGGTGGTGGTGGTGGTGAGGTCGCAGGAGGGGGGCAGGGATCAGGCGTGAAGAGGGCATCACCTGCTCTGCAGGCACGCCGGACAATTCACCAAGCAAAATTATGACGACTGGGCCGCAGCATGCCGTGCAAGAGGAGAGAACAGGACAGGACAGCATAGCCATGCCAATGCCTCTCTCTCTCTCTGTTCAATGCCCTTTGCACGTCCAATCTGCACGTCTCCTGGGCACGGTAATTGAAGAGTTGCAGCCACCCAGGATGCGCGCTGCAGTGAAATACTCGAGTGGATTCATGGGCGGGCTGTCGTGCAAATAAAGACATGCTGTGATTGCTCCAACTGCATGCACACTGCCTAAAAGCCTTGCTGCTGGCTGGCGACGGTCAAGCGTCCGCAGCCTGGAATTGGCTGGCCTTGGGGATGCTTCAAAGGTGTTGAGGGCTGTGGTTTGCAGGCAGAAATGCTCCGCCTGTGGGTTGAGCCCACGTCTTCTTCGCAATGCAATGTCCACGTCCATTGTCTATCTGGCCGTCGCGGACGGGTGTCGCGTGTGTCAGACCAAGACGTGGGCAGTGAGCAGCCATGGTGAATTGCATTGCATGGCCGTGCTACCACTTTTGCTCGGCATGGAAGGGGGAGCATGCGGATTCTTCTTATTGGACTTTGCAAGCCACGCGCCAGCGACAGCAAGTGGATTTGGGCTGACGGGATAGGGAGAAACGCATCATTCACGTGCACCCACCGTGTCCGCGGCTGCAGACGGTCATTCAATGGCAATAGTGTGTGCTTGCAGCAGCGCGAGCGTCTAATAGCCAGCCAGCATTACCAACATTAGGAGCTCCGTTTTGCTGTCGCTGCCGCTGCTACTGCTATTGCTACTGCTACTACTTACTACTACTACTACCACTACTACTGCTGCTGCTGCTCCTGAAATCTGCCTCTGCAACAACCTCGCGCTACCAGACTCATCACAACTTGCGTCCCCGCCTACTGCAGGTCCGTTCATCTAGCTACCACAGTCCCAAGCTTCTTCCCCAAGCCCAGGCCCGCTTCTCTTCAACCTCAACGGCGGCGTAAAGCGTAAAGCATTTGATCGTGGTCACGAGCGCGCATTTCGCGCTAGTCGAGCCCCGCTGTGCCCGCCTCCAGCACCGTCACTCGAACCCCATCGTCGCCTTTCCCACACTCGTGCGCAACCTCCTCCTCCATCCTCGACCTCAATTATCCTTCGTGTCTCGCATACACGCTTCCTCCCTTCGTCCAGCTCCGCTGCCTCCAGCTTCCGTCGCCGCCCAACTGCGCCTGCCTTGTTCGCTAGCTTCATCAGCCACCCGCTCAACAGCATCAGGTGCTCGCACAGACAACACGCGGGACACCTCGACTTACCTCACCTACCTACCTACCTACACTCCCCCTCGCCCGCGCCCGCACCCTTGCGCCTACACCAACCTCGCACCACAACGGATTCACTCGCCTACTCTCGACGCATCTCACGCACCCTGCTCAGCTACAGCCCGCCCTTCTCTCGATAGCAATCCGCCCAGCGCTTGGCGGTCCCCCTCGTATACGCATAACCCCAAACAATGAGCCAGAACCGGCCATCGGCCTTCTCCTCGCTAAGAATGGGTGGTGAGTGCCCGCCTTCGCCCTGCAAGTCCCCGCCAAACTAATCCTCCGGTAGAAGTCATCCGCGAAAAGGTCCAGGACGGCGTGACCGGCGACTACAAGGACCTCGCCTACACGCAATGCAAGATTGTGGGCAACGGCTCCTTTGGCGTCGTCTTCCAGACAAAACTGTCGCCCAGTGGTGAAGATGCGGCCATCAAGCGGGTTCTGCAGGACAAGCGCTTCAAGGTGGGCTTCTGCATGTCGTGGGTACCATCAAGCCTTTGCTGACCCACAACAGAACCGCGAACTCCAGATCATGCGCATCGTCCGCCATCCCAACATCGTCGAGCTCAAGGCCTTCTTCTACAACAATGGCGAGCGGGTATGTGTCTGCATCCAAGCCCACCCCTGCATTTCGTGTAGCTAACCGTTTCAGCCACAGAAGGACGAGGTTTACCTGAATCTTGTGCTCGAGTTCGTCCCAGAGACCGTCTATCGCGCCTCGCGCTACTTCAACAAGATGAAGACTGTCATGCCCATTCTCGAGGTCAAGCTGTACATCTACCAGCTCTTCCGCTCGCTCGCCTACATCCACTCGCAAGGCATCTGCCACAGAGACATCAAGCCACAGAACCTCCTCCTAGACCCATCAACGGGCGTGCTAAAATTGTGTGACTTTGGAAGCGCAAAGATACTGGTGGAGAATGAGCCAAACGTATCATACATTTGCTCCAGGTACTACCGAGCACCTGAGCTGATTTTTGGTGCTACCAACTACACCACCAAGATCGGTATGTCACATGGACTAGGCTTGTAGGCTACGAATCACTAACATTTGCCTATAGATGTCTGGTCGACAGGTTGCGTCATGGCGGAGCTCATGCTCGGACAGCCGCTCTTCCCCGGTGAGTCGGGCATCGACCAGCTCGTCGAGATTATCAAAGTCCTCGGAACGCCCACCCGGGACCAGATTCGCACCATGAATCCCAACTATATGGAGCACAAGTTCCCTCAAATCAAGCCTCACCCGTTCAGTAAGGTATGTTTAGTACCTCCCACATCATGTCATACCTACTGATTGCTGACGTCGTTGCAGGTGTTCCGGAAGGCTGATCCCCAAGCGATCGACTTGATCTCCAAGCTGCTCGAATACACGCCAACTCAACGACTGTCGGCTATCGATGCAATGGTGCACCCCTTCTTCGACGAGTTGAGAGATCCCACTACACGTCTGCCAGACTCACGTCATCCCAATGGGGCTACGCGAGATATGCCAGAGCTTTACAGTTTCACTCATCACGGTAATTCTCCTGTACAAATCACCAATGAAGACAACTAACGCCAGTAGAACTTTCTATTGCACCTCACCTTAACCAACAGCTAGTCCCAGCGCATATCCGCCCTACTTTGGCTGCCCGTGGCCTGGATTTCGAGTCACCAAACTTCAAGCCTTTAACCCGGGACCAGATGCTGGCAAGGCTTGATTAACCCCTGCACATGAGTTATGCGAAACGATACCATTCATTCATGCGGTATGGCTTCTGGTCCTCCGCTCATGAGCACGAAGCTTTCCGTCCGGGGAGATGCAAAATGGAGTCTCTACTGGGCGTCGGATTTTGTGCGTGTATGCTAAGACGTGTACACCCTTTCCTGCTATATTTGAGCGCGTCTGAAATGATACCGACATTCACGTTTACAAAGAATGACCTGGCTTGCTTTCCTTTCCGGACTCTTGGCCTCCCCGTCTGCGCAAAATGATCACGGGTCGACTCCGTGAATGATGTTTCTTACTTCCTTTCTGATATGGCCAGCGAGCGCAGATGATTACAAGATGAAGGGATTGAGGATTTGGCAAAAGTCATGGAAGTACCGGCACGGTCATCCTAGGATGGGTTTCGGTTCTTAGGTCATACAACACGCTAGCATGGACTGCAATGCGTCACCTGGGTTGCATGCGGGAGTTTTTTTTTTGTTCGTTCAAGATTCGTTTTTTGTTGACTGCACGTGGGGCTAAGGCGAGGCTGGTTTTCGCATCCAAGCTCTAGTGGAGAGTAACGGGCGCCTCGGGAGGAATAGTGGGTTGTAGCCTAGCGAACTGGCCTTGTAACGGGAACATACGGGGACTGGCGGACTACTGGAAGTACGTGGACTGCTGGCCCTGGATAAGTACTGGAGCGAGAGATGGCTTGTTCACCAGTGGATGATGCCAACTGGCGCTGCGACTGACATGCTATTTCATCGGCCTCTTCAATGACGGCTTCCCTTGTTCGCTGAGTAGACTCTGTTTCATATCTTCTCTTCCTCTTCTTCTCTTCTTTGTGGTCGTGGGTGAGGTTCTTCAATTGTGGTGTCCATGCATACTTTGGTGAAGCGCTGGGCATTGTGTCCACGGAAGAGGTAATAGGTCGCTCTAGATGACGATGATGATGACAATGATGATGGTGATCAATGATCTATGCTTCTACAGACATACTTGATGATATACGGCAAGTTCTCGCAGTATATGAACCTCTGAAAGACGACTGTCGGATTCTCACAATCTGCTTACTCATCATTCAGAATACCACAGACGTGATATAATAATAGTGAAGACATGCAGCAGGCCGTATTTCGATTAGACGAAAGATTAATAGTGATTGTCTCGCAACCTGTTTTGTGTTGCAAAATTACAGATGGGAAGGGTGTTGAAAGGTATTAAGCAGGAACAGGAGGTATACCAAATGAGGAAGAAGGAATTAAAGCATACTATACATCCATCTACCGAAGCTCAATACCCAGGCCCGTGCTCAGTCAGTGTGACTTGGTTCACCGTGCTTCCGTGCCGTCCCGTATGCCTTCTCCATGAACCCGCAAACGCCGTTAAGGGATGCCAATAATACACTGCAAGCTTTTAACCCCAATAAGGGGGGTAACCGTTGAGTCGATCAGTACCCTAGGGGAGACTCATCTGCGCCTCTCCATTCGTCGCCTCCTTCACTTCATCTACATCTTCCATCTCGTCAACCACAGCATCCGGCTCTGCAGCCAGGAGTCTGATCCTCGCCTCAACCGCCTCCTCGCCAACGACCGACTCTTCCACCTGTCCTTTGCGGATAAAAACAGTATGCCAGCGCTTGCCCCAAGCCTTGATGAGCTGGGCTTCATCCTCCGTCAGCGCACCATTGGTCTGCTTCTCCAGCAGTCCATCCGCAGCGCCCTCTGCAACACCTCGCATACAGTCTTCAATGTACTTGAATAGTTCGCGCGCATTGTCTCGGTCCTTGGCGAGCGTGGCTTCTACCATCTCAATCTGCTCCTGTGGCAGTCCCTTCTGCAGACGCGCTGAGGCTATCTGGCGGTTACGGTTCGTAACCTTGGCAACAGTGTTGGAGACCATTTCGAAGACCCAGCTCTCAGTCAGCGCCTCGCCGGCACCCATGTGGCTGCCAAACACCCACTGGACCACGGTCATCGGTGCAAGGATGGTGTAGTTAAGTAGAATGTCGATAATCCTAACAGCAACACCGGGCTGGTCTTTCCAATACTCGACCACGCTTGCCACGATCTGACGGCGGGCTACTTCGTTCTGGGAGATTTCCAGCAAGCGGTCTTTGCCTCGCTCGATGCAGGACAGGACGTGGGATAGCGATTTGGCACCAAGGCGGCAGATAGCCGTGACAAAGGCATCGGTGGAAGGTACAAGAACCTCTGAGATGCCCTGCTCAAGCGCCTGCACGTGGATTTTGTCGATGGTCACCTGAATATCTTCTGCGGGGGCCTTCTTTCTAAGCTGGGCAAGCAGGGTCTGGCCTTCAGCAGCATACGGTGTTTCTGTGGATCTATGTCAGTTTATGTTTGCTTTTTGAATGAGAAATCTACTTACGTTGATTGTCGTACTTGAAGTCGGGGCTGTTATCGGCATCAAGTCGTTCCGGGATCAACGAATGCATGGGTTCAGGGAGGGTTGATCGAATACGCTTCGCGAAAGATAGACGGATTTCCTTGTCGAGCACGGCAAGAATAAAAGCCTTGTTTGGGTGCAGATTCGAAAGGTCAAGGTTATCAAGCCTATTGTGGTTAGCTAGGTCTGCTGACGCCATGTTGCAACTTACCATTCCGACCATCTCCACCGAAACTCGAAGTTACTAAGGTGATGCGAGAACCAGTCCAGGAATCGATATCCCAGCTCGAGATCCATCATGGGCAGATTTTTGTAGATCGTGCGAATAGCTCGGCCCAGCGAAGGGGCAATTGCAGCAGGGGCGACTTTGCAGCACTGTGTAATAAGGGCGTGGTAGTAGACGAGCTTATGCTCCGCACTGGGAAGCTTGAACAGTTGCGAGTAGATTGCGTCGATGATCATGTCTTCGGACTTGTACTGAATCTTGTCACCTACTGACTCGCGGAACTTGTCGAATGGTGTGCCACGCTTTGCAAAGATGTCAATAGACCAATAGCAGTCCACATCTACAAGGAACTTGGCAACCATCTCGCGGTTGAAGTCTAGCTGATTGATCGTGTCAACAATAGCATCTCGAACGAGAGATGAGGCAATGTCAGAGGTCTTGGGAACAGTGTCGACTTCCTGATCTGCGAAGAGAGAGAAGTACGCTTCGGGGAAGACGGGTCTCGGGCCAGGATTGACAGGTGATGGGATGGTGAAAGTCGGGAAGGCGTGTGTCTGTGGCGCGGTGGGCAAGGCATCCTCTTCTGCTGTGGCCCTACGTAGGGCTTCAGGATCGAATCGCGGAAGGCACCTAAGTTCGAATCCGTTTTCCGACTCGTTTGAGAGCTGTGTCTGGAGGAGACCGATCACACTGTGGTACTCCACTGGCTTCGATTCGAAATCGCCAACGTATGAATGGATGAGGCTCTCGATAGGAACCGCGTTTCCAGCAACGATGCCGGTGTTCTTGAGCAATTGCTGTGCTTGCTCATGGAAGCGGCTTCCACCGGCGACTAGGGCGTAGGGTATGGTGAGAAGGATGATCTTGACGAGCTCGATGCCAACAACCTAGTAGCGTTAGCTCATGGATGCGGGCGATTGGATACGCGACTTACATCATTTTCGTTTGCACTCTGAAGATCAACGACCGTGTCGAATAGCTGTCCCAAGAATGTAAAGACGCCGTCGTCCTGATAAAGCGACTGCAGACAAGCAAAGAAGCGCAGCAGCAGTTTGAACTCCTTCCACTCGCCAGCGTTCAGTGCCTCTTGCGCGCGTTCTCCAACACGCTTCATGGCTTCGATTGTGATCTCAGGCTTGACATCATTTCCGTAGAGAGCTACCGCTGCGACGAAAGGGATCTTGAACGGCTGCTCGATGATACTATGATTTGTTAGTGAGGCTGTAGGTGTAGAGCTACAACTCCGGCACCACTTACAGCTGAACAAAGACGTCGAAGAAGTCGGACCTGAGGCGCTCATCGTCAAATTGTTCCCCAAAGTACTTTGCGATCTCAATAGCCTCATCTTGGGGCAGTTTGGTGGAACTGGCAATGTTCAGTAGGAGTCGGCGCAGCTTGGGGAACGGCGGCTCTTCGTATCGGCGGCGGGGAGGGCCGTCATCGTGGCGACGTCGCTGAGGTCCACGGCGGTCATCGCCGCGATAGTGGTTGTCTCCGTCATCTGCGGGATACTGTCAGTACTGTATTCCTCAGACAAGCCATCCAAGTCAGCTGTCGCTGAGGGTGGGTTGGATGGCCTTCAGATACTACACAGTTGCCGGATTGCAATTGCGAAGTACCATGAAGCTATCCAAGCCAACCTCTACCACTCGCTGCTCGATCGCTCTTGCCTAAACGCCCAAACAACTCCCCGACTCACCATCACGGCGCCTTTTCTGGTTCCCACGGTTTCCACCCCTATCTCTCCTCTCATCGCGCTCCTCCTTGACATCTACGTCTGCCATAGCTATCACGAAGTTTGCCTCTGCCCTCAATAATCAGAGTCTCCGGTAGGTGTTTCCTGCGCTGCGGCGGACTGGGCTGCAGATCGACGCGTAAATTGTCACGCTCTTAGTACACCGGGTTGCGCGAGATGAGATGATGTCGGAGAGCTGTATAATCGCGGTATCGGGGGAGTTTCGACGGCGATGCGCTCGAAGTGGTCGCGAAGGGTGATGTCGAAGTCAAGGTTGCGCTTGCCAATCTCGAGCTTCCGTGAGAGCTTGCGATGGAAAGTGGCTAGTCGTGTTTGAGACTTCTTGGCGGTCCAACAGTGCACGTGCGCGGTCAACGTCATGCCCAGTGGGGTCTCTCACATGAATATCCTCTCTTACCTCCTTACGAAATGTAGTTATCTCTCTGTCTTTGCCTTTGCTAGTGAGGAAATCTACGATCCCACCTTAAGCTTCATAGGCCGTAATCTCTCTTACCTCAGTTTGCGCTGAGCGGGCAATCACAGCCAAAGGTTGCTTGAGGACGTCATCCGAGCGAGCCAATCCGCCTCAGGCATTTACAGTGCACAGCTATTTTGATTCACTTCATGTAGCACAATCCACAACAGTATTCGGCCAACTCGGGGGGCTGACCATGACGGACAAGCCCTGCAGATGGAGCGACCAATGTATACTCGCGGGGACATGGCCTTGTAGGAGTGGCCAAACACACTCCAACATACAACTCCAAGCCAACCGTCACACTTGGACGCATGTACTGTTCTACATGGCTTGGCACAGCTCAAGGACCGCAGACCTAGAAGTGTAGTATCGCAATCATACAGCGCGCAGATCCATCAGGCTCTCGTAGTAAGGGAGAATACAACTCGTAGTTGGTGCATCGCCGTGGATCTGGCCAGAGTAAGTTCCGGTGTGCAAATCGATCATCACGCAGGCAACGGTTCTAGACAAGTTGAGGCGCAGACCCGTTCAGTCGATCTACACCAGAACGGCATCCTATTCGCTAACGGGGCTGTGAGCATACAGCCCCAAAGCCACAGTAACTAACAGGCGGTTCAATTGACTGTCAAGAACGACCGTGATATCCAGCTCTTCATGGATGACCCCTCATCTATCTAGCAAGTTTACAGCGATGTCATCGTCCTTCGCCCCCACACAGGCTACATGGCAGCCTGTTCGCCCTGGCCTAAGAGTCAGCTTAGGTTATATCCCCCGTTCTATTCTCCCACTAAATTTAAATCCTCTCGACTTTCGATGACCAAAGCTCGAGGGCTCTCAAACACTGTAGCGACCAACACACACGCCTCTCGCTTTTAACAACCGTCCAAACTTTACTGCGCCCGAAAAATATCTCTAGAACTCACACGATGGCCTCATCAGTTCACGAAAGACACGACAGCTACGAACTATATGATGTGGAGAGAAGAGATAGCCGTATGTCGGGGCCCTCATCCCAGGGCTACGAAAGTGATGACTCCATGGCATCTGTCGCGACTACCGAGAGTACTCAGAGGAGAGGCGGTTTCGGGGAAGCGACCAGGGTACGATTTGAGCGAATTACCTCTCATGGAACAGATGTATGGGCAAACATGAGACATACTCTCCGCTTACAGACGGACAATCTGTGCTCCGCCTGCAAGAAAGTCCCCTTCCACGAGTGTCTACCAACGACTCCCTCAGGAGACAACGAGACAGTCGAGGACAAAGGCGCTCTCATCTTCTACAAAAGCTTGTCTAAGATACTGAACAATCGCGGCATTTGCAAACTTTGCGACTTACTAGTCCAAAGTATATGCCAGGACGAGTACGATATTTTGAAAGCGGATCACATCAAAGACTTTCTGCCCGATGACCCAAGGTTCAAAGCCATGTCTCGCTTCTCCGACTGGATTGGCAAGAACAACTACTGGAAGCGCGAGTGGTGTGGAGGCGCGGGTCTGTGGCCATTTGGGTACGCGATTGATCGATCACAAGCCGCCAATTCAACGGTGCGAGATGCGAAGAAACTCTTTACAGAAGCTGAAGACCGCGATACCAGGTTAAATAATTTCGAAGATATCTACGGGTCTAATGTGGAAGCTGCGACTCACACTCTTAACGTAGCGCAGGGTGGCATGGCACTTCTTCATTCCGTACACAAGAGGAACGAGAAGCTTGAGAGGCTTATTGGTAGTATGCAGGTCGTCACGGCGCAATTGGCTTTACTACAGAATAAGAAGCGAAAACGGCTACCCTGCATCTTCATGTTCCGGGTGTACCGCAAGCACGAGAAGAAGGCTGGAGCCCTGAGTGTGCGTGTGTATGGACATGGGAGAGCTCCGCTGGCGCCTCTGAAAGAGGTATGCCATTTCAGCTTGCGGTTCGAGGGTGACGGCGCACTGCGACAATTCGACAAGCAAATCTGGTATGGACGTAAACTCGAATCATGCATAGATATCCCATTCTTTAAGCACTGCATTACTGAGTGTGAATCTACTCACATTGGAACGGGAGGGTGCGCGAAGTTATTGAGCGAACCTTCAGCGACACCGGCTCCACATGAGTCGGCTACGTTCAGGTTGATCGACGTAAAGAAAAAGCGGATTGTCAGGATTCCTTTTGGACACATTCTTCGTCCAGATCCACAGCAGAAAACCATCCAGTATGTAGCGCTCAGCTACCGGTGGGGCATCTTGCCATTACTAAAGGGCTGGACGGAGGAAGACAATCCAGACCGCGAGGCACCGCCCTCGCAAAGATTCTTCTATCGCAATGAGCGACTCGGGGAATCACGATGGGATCGCCCGGACGCTACGAAACTCACTTCGGAGAATGAGCTCTACTTGTCAAAAGCAGGTAGCTTAGCCCACCCCGATATCCATATACCCACGACCATAAGCGACGCAATCGATGTGGTAAGAGGAGTTGACATAGATTACCTATGGGTGGACCAACTCTGCACAATCCAGACCGGTAATGATGACGATAAGATTGCCAACGTCAAACGCATGGATCAGATCTATAATCATGCCCTTTTCACGATAGTAGCGGCTGACGGCTCCAACGCGAATGCCGGACTCAAAGGAATGCGCGCCGACGGTGCTCGTTGCAAACAGATCATCGAAGACGGTATCCTTACCAATGCGCGCATGTTCCTGCCCGCCAAGATGGAGATGAATTTCCAGCAGTGGGAAGAAAGAGCTTGGTGTTTCCAAGAGAAGGTGCTATCCAGGAGGTTACTCGTTTTTGCTGGAGGTTTCGCGGTGTGGCACTGCCGCAGTGGAGTATGGCGTGAAGATGTCAACGCGCGAGATGGAGATGAGGCCTCGGTCTCGTTTCCATGGCTTCGTCTGCTGCCCAATCCACATCCTTATGACACGGCAATGGCACGAGCGGGGCTAAAGAAACGGACTGGAGATGAGAGTGTCAGATTACATCGGCTGCCAGCGATGAAGCAATACCTTGAAGCGGTCGAAGACCTCAACAAGAGAACGATCGGCAGCAGCTGGGACATCCTCAATGCTTTCCAAGGATTATCAAACATCTTAGCGGGAAGGGAGTACCTTAATTCCCCGTTCCGACAGGGGCTCCCGACTTATTTTCTAGATGTAGCTCTCTTATGGCAACCCAAGGAGCCAGCACGCCGACGACAACATGATGTCGACGAATCTAGTACCGTGATCCATTACGCTCCCCCTAGCTGGTCCTGTTTCGGATGGGAATCCGCAGAAGCGCGCCTCTTCTCAGGAGCAAAAGGCGCGCTCGTAGAATACGACAAGCCATTCGACGTCGGCGCCGAAAGAAACGGCATAATCCTTCATCTGTGCGAGAACGGGCTGGGCGAGGAGCGCATTCGACCACGCAAGGGCACGTTCTATGGCATCGATAATACTAGCAAAAAGCTCCAGCATCTCGGAATGTTCAGTATACCCGGGCTGGAGGCGATGTGCTTCAAGGACTGGGAATCACTGCAGGCACAAGCAGCCGTGCCGCCGAGACTAGACTCTCTACTCCCTCTACTCACTGAACGACATCTTGTGTTGCAGACAGAACTCGCGGTACTAACCCTAGGTAGAAATTGCTGGAAAACAAAAGTCACAACGCAGATTGATGGCTCCACTCGGCTCATGTTGTCCTTTCAAGACGCTACCGCCGACACCGAACCTAGCCATCTAAAGCCCGACATCCCCAACCTGCAAATCGACGTCTCACACGAATACTGGGTAGATACCCCTACGCATAAGCAAGTCGGCGTCGTCAAACTAGACGCTGGATACCATACTCAGTCCTCCCGCTCCATCAAAGCAGTTGTTCTCTCCGAAGCACAGTATCTCGGCAATGAGGCCACGCCCGATGCGTTGGGCTATCCACTATATAATATCATGCTTGTCCGTAGGGTGAGGAAGGAGGCGGGGTACTCGTTCGCGGAGAGAATTGGCTTGGGCAAAATACATAAATACGCTTGGAGGGATGCAGAGCCAGTGAAGAAAATTGTTGTTTTGGAGTGACTATACGACATATTTTGGACGGGATGGCTCAGGTTGGCCGTAAAGGTGGAGAGCTTTTATACAGTTTAATACCCAATTAAACCTCGTGTGTGGTGCTATGTTCCCAGTTATGCAGACCGACCAGTTGTGTTGCTGTACTTGAAACGCCATTTGAACTCCAGGACCGACAGACATCAGGATACAAAAGCATCGTCTCACTTCTCAACTTCCCACTGGCGTCCCGCTCCGACTAGGCGCACTACCTGCTCCTGAGCTATCTTTTCTGATCGGCGTTGCGCTCCTACTCCTCTCGCGCTCCCTTTCCCTCTCCTCAACCTTGACCCTCTCCCTCGCCTCTTCGACCAATCTCTTGGCCCCCCTAACATTACGCATCGTTCTACTCAGTTTCCCTTCCTTCCCCTCCTGCAACTTCTGCAGCTCGCCTCTTGCCTCGATGTCTTCTTTTGTCTTTGTGACGAAGCTCTTAAAGCTGCCCTTGAGGTCGCGACGAAAGTCTTGGCCTTCATCGAATATGCAGTCGTTCTCGCGGATGGATTTGACGTATTCAACGCGGCGAGTGAGGTAAAGCGTTGGGCGGCGGGTAGTGCTGTATTGGTCTTTGCGTTGCGCAATGATGCGCTGGACTTCTTCTTCGTAGGCGGTTTCGTAGACATTCATGTCGACGTTTGAGGGGGATTCGGAGACGATGTATGCTTCGTCGGGGTCGATGGAACAGTCTTCGCCGGTGCCAATGCTGAGATAGAGAGTATCTTCTAGTGGGTTGTGGGCGTGCCCTTTTCCGATGGGTGTTGTTGGTGCTGATATAGGGAATGAGCCGGGCATGGCGACGTGTGTTGGTGATGGGCGGTGCGACATGTTATCGTGTACGACTTTACCGCCGTCGAAGCCTGGCGACTGTCGAGTATCAGGGCTACTGGTTGCTACAACCTTTGGTGAAGGTCGGCTTCCGAATGGTTCCGCTTTAAATCCCGGTTTAGTATATGTCACGTCGTTGTACTGAACCTTGCGATTCTTGTCGTCAATCTGGATCTCGTGGTGTACACCCTCTGTAGTAAGTGCGCCCTCGACAGGTCGCCGATCGTGCGTGTCTTGGGATTTTGACTTCCGCAGCACAGATGGTCGCATAGACATTGGAGGCTGGACGATACGTGATGCACCACCGAGTATGCTTTCTATACGCTCCGGTCGTCGTCTGAAGAGGAGTTGCTTGAAGCGTTTGACTGCTCGTACCTGACAGGTAGTCAGCATCTTACTCTAAACTGTTATTCCACGTAATTGAGATTGTTGCACAGGTTGTTCATCGCGCCAGTGCCGTAACGAAGGAAGAGTCTTGAACCTACCACTGTTACGAGATGGCCCATGTTCCCGGTAATGGCAGCATTGACTTCTTCATCCGTCGGCGGCTCTATTATGATGGCAACATTTTCCGACTTTGGTAGTAAAGGGTCTTTTCCCTGTTTCGTGACCCACGGATGTTCCTAGAGCGGTCAGCGATGTATAGTATAATGTTTTGCTCCTTACTCGTATCTCCTCCATGGTAATTCGCTTCATTGGATCCTTTTCCAGGAGCCTGCACAGCAACTCTTTGAGCTCAGGGTTACACTCGCTCTCAAACTCTATTGGGTCGTTTCGTATTGACTCATACAATTCGATCATGCCATGCTGCTCGAACGGTATCCTCCCGAAGAGGAGGCAATATAGCGTGCATCCCATGGACCATATATCCGCAGCTCGGCCCGAGACATGACCATGTTTCGCTACACATAGTTCCGGTGGCATGAAGGCTGGTGAGCCGGCGGATTTGGCGGTCTTCATCTCGCCTTCCTTGTCGAACATTTCTGATACGCCAAAATCGACAATCTTCAGCACGTCCTCTTCATTGATAAGGCAGTTGTCGGGTTTGATGTCTCGATGAATGATGCCCTGGGCATGGACTATTGAGCATTAGTGGCAAGCCGCGGCAAAGCTTGATCTCTTACATACGGTACTCAAGGCCGAGTATCATGTCTCGAAACCAACACCGGCAATGTTCTTCGCTGTACGGGTCGGCGCGCTCCTCGAGGCCTACCTGCATCACGACGCCCTTTTTACACATCTCCATGACCATGTATAACGAGTCTTCTTCTGGATCGTCGAGCACTTCGATCAATGTCACAAGATTTGGGTGATTTAGCTTCTTCATGATGGCGATTTCTTCCTTGATCAGCTCAAAGGAGTTGTTCTCTTCGGTGGTCGAGTGTCGATGCAGCGGGGAGTTGAAGCCTATGCCAGCAGGCAGGGCGCGCAGCCGTCGTTGGCCTCCCGGTCGGCGGAGGAGGTTGGATTGCGCGCGTTTTCGCAGTCGAGACTTTGAAAACTCCTTGACAGCCTGTAGGGCAGCGTGTCAGCCAAAGCCAGAGCTCTAATCTTGTAGGCTACCCGCATCCTAGTGGCCCATTGAGCGTGTCGAGGGTTGGTATCCTCACATATTCTTGGCCATACTGGTCTACGGCGAGGTGGACTGCCCCAAACGAGCCGCGACCAATCTCCTGCTTCACCAGGTATTGGTTGATGCGATGTTGGGCGCTGCCGTCATCTTCGCTGTTGCTGTACTCGGAGCGCGCATTGAAGGTTTCCTGCAGCTCCAGTCAGTGGCAGATTCGAACCGAGGGTAGTGCAAACGAGTGACGAATGTGTAGCAGTGGTGTTTGGTATAGCCTAGCTTAGAGAGGTTCGAATAGCTCTGCAAGTACCATGTACTGCTCATTCAGGCTGCTGAAGCTCTCCAAGCTCGACTTTTCGGGAAACCAGCTAAAACTGGCAAAGTGTTCTTGGGGAGGAGTCGCACTTTGACTCGTCTGGTGCTCGAGGCAGCGCGCTTGTGGTGTCGTAACGGGCTCTGATATGCGGGCGTTGACCTATTCACACACACATCCATCAGCACTTCCGCGGGGTAGCCACGCCCTGGCCCAACGTACATGTACTTTACTGGCGGTGGTCGTCCGTCCACGCCAACAGCCGGAACGTCCAAGGTAGGGTTGGAATAGAAGGGAGGCTCCGAGTCGGATTGCTGCTTCGCAGGCGCAGGAGCTGTGGGCGAGGGCGAATGCGACATGATTGCTAACTATCCACCCAGGCTAAGAAAAGTGGGTGCCGCCGTCGGAATGTAACCACTTCTGCTATCTGGGTGGTTTTGGCGGGGCGGGACGGGAAATGACACCAGGCTACCGAGTGCTATGTGGTAGGTCGAGTGGAGGAATAATATGGGGAAAGCTTCTTAGGGGAACTTCCCAGGTTAGCATGACAGCATTGGGGACCAAGCATGTGCATACATTACTTTACGACGTCGACCGATGAGGGGGGGAGGGGGAACGCAGTGAGTGGAGAGGGGGACCCTTTCCCGACAAGTCTCTTTCTTTCAGCCTCTCCGGCAATAAGAGAGCACCAGCACCACCAGTCGGCACACTGTTCACCAGCTATCTCATCCAGTATCCACTTCAGTTGCATCATCCAGTGCCGTACGATAGATAGATACATGTAGCCCGCTAGGCTGGATAGCTTCGGCCTGATATGCCAATCCACCCAGCACACAATCTTGACGCCAGATCTGCAGCTTGGCAATTCGACCTCTCCAACAACTCACCCACCAATCTCGGCCATCTGACGCCATTAATACGTTATTACCATGGTCCTCTACAGCTTCTACATCTTCGATCGCCATAGTAAGTAAAAATAAACCCCCTGCCCAACCAACGCCCTCGCGCCGCCGCTGCTGACACGCTCCACCACCACAGCGGAGTGCATCTACGCGCGCCGTTGGACACCACGCCCTACCTCTGACAGCTCCAAAGCCGCATCCGCGCGCCCACAGTCCGGCTCCTCCATCACCTCCAATGGCGCAAACAACACCACCAGCAACGATGCAGTGGCTGCCCCGCACGCCCGCAAACCCATGTCGCACTCGGACGACGAGAAGCTCATCTTCGGCCTCGTCTTCTCGCTGCGCAACCTCGTCACCAAGCTCGGCGGCTCCGACGACACGTTCCTCTCCTACCGCACCGGCGAGTACAAACTGCACTACTACGAGACGCCCACCCGCATGAAGTTCGTCATGCTCACCGACACCAAAGTGATCAATTTGAGGCAGTACCTACACCAGATCTGGGCCAATTTGTATGTCGAGTATGTGGTGAAGAATCCGCTTGCGCCCACCGAGCATCCAGGAGGCATTGGCGTGGCGAATGAGCTGTTTGAGAGGGGGCTGGAGGCCTTCATCACGGCCGTCTTGCCAGCGTGAGGAGAAAAGGCCAAATACTGGAGATAAGCATCCAAAAGTCGCGTTGGACGCAAGATAGGAGGCCAGACACACGCTACGAGCAATTGTCGCTACAAGGTGCAGTGTACGTACGAGCCTTGTTCACTCAGGAGGACATGTTGGCACAGGAAGAGAGAGCCTGGGCATCCACAAGAGCTTGTAGCTCGAGAACGCTATGTGGAGATGGCCAGCCCACACAAGCTGGCTACTACTTCACTATTCAACCGACGCGACAGTAGCATGTGCACATGCAATGCACCTAGAAGGACGAAGATGCACCACAGGACGTGCACCGCCTTAATAGAGAAGTTATGATGCACTTTCAAACACTCCAATGTAGGAGAATACCGCATAAAGTATGCATCACCAAGATTCAATAGGAATCGATGTACGAAACAGAAGAGCTTGATTCATTCATTCATTCGTGATGCTGTCTCTAACATGGGTATATTCAGTCTCCAGCTCTCATCTCTTTACCCTTATGTAACCCACAAACGCCAGGCAAATGCATGCAAGCAACACTCACAATTCTCAAGCCGTCGTCGTCTTCGGTCGGCTCACTCGCGCAGGCCCAAGACCCTGTCGCACTTCGTCCAGCTGCTCGAGAGGACTCTGCTCTTTCCCCTTCTTCACTCTCCGCTTGCCCTGCACATGGTGGTTACCGAGGAAGTCGTCCATGATGCTGTCAAAGTCCGATCGCAGTGGCGGCGCCTCGCTGCTCGACCACTGGCTCATCCTAGACATGCCTGACATTTTGCTGAGACCAGACATCTTGCTGAGACCAGACATCTTGCTGAGACCAGACATCTTGCTCATGCCGGACACCATGGATGCGTCGTCTGGGAAGTCAAAACCGTCGTCCGCGTACTCTTCTTCGATTTTGTCGAAGCGTTGGTCGAGCAGCGTGAGTCCTTCTGTCCTGTGGAGTGCGGACGATGACATACTGTATCCGGACGTACTCGTCCGGGCCCCCTTGCGCTTCTTCTTGCGACCGCCGGCTGTCAGGGCCGACGCACCTGTTAGGATAGACGACTGCATGTCTGATGGTGCAGCGGGCTTTGTAGGTTTAGCTGACTTGACGTCGTCCTTGAACTTTCTGAATTCTTTGAGGTAATCTAGGTCGCCTTCCTGGGTGGGTGCAGGGGCTTCATCTGGTGCGGGGAGGGCGTCTGGATCAGTTGGTTCTGCCGGTGTTTTGAATTTGGACTTGTTCTTTGGCGATGAAGCCTTGATTGTGTCGTCTGACTCCCAGCCTCCGTCTTCTCCGTCGTCGAGAAATCGGGCCATGGTATCTTTCTCTTCGCTGTAATCGGATACATCCCATTCTCGCTGGCCGACTTCATACCCGTCTTCTGCTAGCTCGGCGAAGATGTCGTCTTCGTCGTCTACGTATGCGTCGTCCTCCAGTGCTTCGAGTACCTCTCGTAGCCTGGGGTCCATGTCTGGTTGGAATCCCGCAATCGAATCCGGAATATTCTGCTGATCCTGGTACGTGGTTTTCCGGACAAATTCAGAGGGCGCTAGATCCTCTCCAAACATGTCGCTCACACTGCTGATGTTGCTGCTAATGCTGAGCCCTGCGTCGCTCTGCCTGTCGTCCAAAGAAGCATCCCGCAGCGCATCTGCGAGATCCAGCTTCTGCTTGCCCTTCTTCTTTTCTGTAGGCGCCTCGACGAAGTATGCCTCTCCGCCACCAGAGCCCAAGTCCCGCATGTGTTGCATGTAATCGTACTCAGTGTCATCGTAGTAGACGCCATAGTTGGCGGCCTCTCCCTCATTCTGGCGTACGTTGTTCTTGAACTCGCCCTCTAGGTCTCGTCGTGATCTGATCTTGCTCCGTCCGGTTGCCGCCGAGTACTGTGAATACTGTGACGCTCGTGAACTGCCAGCGGGCTGGTCTTCCTCGCGCTGATTCGGAGCGTTGGTCTCAGCAAAGACCATCTGCGGCGCATCATCATCGTGGATTCGGGGATCATTTTGGGCGCGGTGGACGAGTCTGAAGTTGGTTGCCGTCTTCCTATCGCTGTAGAGGGGTCAGCGGGGTATTTGCGAATTTAATTATCATGCTTACATGAACTTTCGGCGAGCCATTCTGACGATATTTCAAAATCTTCGCGGTATTCTGACAGGATGTTAATTTGGTGGGCGTACAAGCCTGGGGGAACGCGCTGACAAAAGGGTCGTCCGGGCTCGGCTCTGCCAGAAAAATGTTTTAGGCGAGGGGTACCAGTGAATGACGTGGGGCAACTTCGGTCGCAACTTTGACTTTTCGACTCACCCTTCCGTGGGACAAGGACAACCACAATCACGTCCAAATAACCGGCAACAACCGCAAGTATGGTGCTCGCAAAATCCAAGAAGAGCGTGGGGCTGGGCAACAGCCTCATGAACGACAGGTTCGGGAAGGGAAAGGGTGCGGATATGCGGAGGGGCAACTTTCAGCAGGGAATTGAGCGGACAGGGCAGAATGGCGAGAAGGTATGTCGACCATGCCATCGCGGTGACTGTGCAATTAAGGCGACTTAATACTAACTTTTGCAGTACATCACGAACGAAAAGAAAGAGGCATCATGGGTCAAGATGCGCTCTGTCACCGAGCAAGGCGCCCTCGACGACTTTCTTTCAACTGCAGAATTAGCCGGAACCGACTTTACAGCTGAGAAAATGAACAACGTCAAGATCATCCATAAAGACCAGAGGAACCCCTACCTGTTGTCTATGGCAGAAGAGCGCAGCATTACGAAGAAGCATCGAGAAAACAAGAACCGGTTGACCGTTCCCCGACGACCAAAGTGGGATGAGCATACAACACCACAAGAACTCGACACGAGGGAGAGGGAGTCGCTGCTCCTCTGGCGGAGAGGCCTCGCTGAGTTGCAGGAGAACAACGACCTGCTCATGACGCCGTTCGAGCGCAACCTCGAAGTCTGGAGGCAGCTATGGCGAGTTATCGAGAGGTCAGATCTAGTGGTGCAGATTGTAGACGCGCGTAATCCCCTGCTCTTCCGATCCGAGGATTTGGAAGACTATGTCAAAGAGGTTGATCCGAAAAAGAACAATCTTTTACTCGTCAACAAAGCGGATATGATGACGCTGGAGCAGCGACAGGCTTGGGCCGATTACTTCACCGAGACGGGTATCAACTACAAGTTCTTCTCAGCCGAGTTAGCAAAAGAAATCAACGAGGCTAGAGCACTAGAAGAAGGTAGTGATGAGTCAGATGGTTCGGATGATTCAGACGACTATCTGGACGAAGACGACGTTGAAGATGAGATCGACTCAGAGGGCGACGATCTTGCCAAAGAGACCAAGAAAATTGACCTCCAAGACAAACCGGAAGGGAAGGGAAAACAGGTTGACGACACAGTTGACGTGCCCGGCGAGGACGTTGTGCTATCTGAGGAAGAAGAGCGGGTGCGGATACTTACTACCGAGGACCTTGAAGCACTGTTTCTCAAGCATTCCCCCGACATCGACACCGGACCCAATGGCGAGCCTCGCAAGACTTCGATCGGCTTAGTTGGTTATCCTAACGTCGGAAAGTCTTCTACAATCAACGCTCTGATCGGCGCTAAGAAAGTCTCTGTATCAGCAACGCCAGGAAAAACGAAGCACTTCCAAACTATCCACCTTAGTGAGAAGGTTGTTCTTTGCGATTGTCCCGGTCTCGTGTTCCCCAACTTCGCCACGACAAAAGCCGAGCTTGTATGTGCTGGCGTGCTGCCTATTGACCAACTGCGAGAGTACACAGGTCCTGCGGGCTTAGTTGCCCGGCGGGTACCACAGCCCTTCCTCGAAGCACTCTACGGCATGAAGATCAATCCTCGACCTCTTGAGGAAGGTGGTACCGGCATCCTCACCTCTGAGGAGGTGCTACGTGCCTACGCCATTGCCCGTGGCTTCTCCACGCAGGGTCTGGGCCAGCCAGATGAGTCGCGAGCAGCGCGCTACATCCTGAAAGACTACGTCAAGGGCAAGCTCTTGTACTGCCATCCCCCGCCCGTTGATCCACCCATCGACTCCAAGTATTTCAATCGCGAACTCTACGACATCAACCATCTCCCTGCAAAGCGACGCCACCATCCTCTAGCGCTCGCGAGCGCACAGGATGAGACCGACTCTCTCATGACAGAGGATCTTGACCTGCCTACAAGCGGCGCACCCGTCACGGGCGAAAAGACGCAGCGCATGGATAAGAAGTTCTTTGGCCCTGGGCAAGGTGTGGGCAATGCCAGCATGCCGTTTCACTACAAATACAGTGAGCAGGGCAAGGAGCTGAGTGGGAGGAAGTTGAAGACGCTCACAGCCTTGGAGAAGGATGTCGATCCTGAGGATCTCAAAATGGGGAGCAAGAAGCATTTCAAGGCGAACAAGAGGAGGGCGAAGAAGGTGCGGTCGGAGTATGACTAGTCGGTCAGTGTGCTCATCGAGATTTAGTTAGCCATGGAGAAATTTCTTATCGTTGCATGATCGGAGTTCTAGTCTGGTATTGTGCACGAGGGTCCTTTACGAACTCGAACAAAAATTCACTACAACTTTCACAATCCGCTTTCTAATCTCTGGGATCAACGTCAATCTAATTCACTGACAGCCTAGAAATAATTCCTTGCACGGCGCTCTAGATTCCGAGACTAATGATTCTCCCTGATTCGCAAAGTCACGTCGCTTCGAATAGGGCTAGCTGGAATGCGTTCAAGAGCAGAGTGGAGAATTTTTGCCATCGCCAGACTATAATCGAGTAGTTTACTAGGATTAGATAAATGTTAAGTTTGACAAGTTAGCAGCATGATACTCAAAGTACCTCCATTCATTAGCGATAAAGCTCACCAGGTAATCCTGGGGCGTAGGCGTCCTTCAACCCATTCTTTTTGGGTAACATGATGCTATCTGCGCACCATACTCGTCAATGTGATTTGGGTATTGAAATTCTAATATCTGTCCCTGGGCCGCGAGAAGCCACTGTGTTGAGATGAGTTGACTGTTCAGGCATATCAAGTCTCTTTCTCCATTACTCAACCACGACTATCCGCATGTCTTTGAGTTCTCGGAGCTGTCCGCCAGGACATGTGTCTAAACTTCGCATATTCTGCCTTCGGGAACATGTATTCCGAGAAACTCGCCAGGCGAAGAGGACCACGAGTTAGTCAGACAAACTCCCATTTTCTTAGCAGCGTCCACAAGGTCCCCGACTTGTCGCCGCACCGTGCTTGCGCTTCAAGCTCCTTGTGCAAATGTGGAAGTCGCACTATTTTCGAAATATCATTAAGTGGCGACTGTATTAATCAGAAGATGTACGATGGATTAAAGGAGAAAACTTGGGAAGAGTAATGACTGGTATTGATTGAGATCCGTCGTTTGGGTTAGGCAGAAGTGCACTTGGTGGGCGATAAGTCGGGAGCTTAACAACGGCAGAGGCCCAAGGTCACGTGTGGAAACGTCAGTATGTCAGTGGTCGCAAATCAAAAGACACAAAAAATCACGCCTAGTATTACCTGTTGAGCTATGGTTGGTTTTGTGGCTCCGTGATCGCAGCACTGATCAATGCTTCGTTCGATGTGGAGAGGTGTAGGCGACTCAGAGCCGCGAGGAACACCTTGTCGAGAAAAACAACACTTACTAGAGTTTAAGCAACTGAATCTGTGCGCGTGTTGCACTTTTCCGGATTATATATCAAGTCGTGTGTTATACCCACTCCTGCGTAACTCTAACCCCCAGCTAGTTGGAAATTACGTTGGCATCATGGACCTCTAGTATACCTGAACGACAATCTAGATTAGTGCTCAACGAAAGCAAGCGAGGCGCCTTTTGATATGACACAAGAGAGTCGTCATTGATTTCGCTGTGTCCTGAGGTCATCGTCTTCGAATGAGGTGGGTTCTCTTGGATGAGCAACGAGCTATCAGTGATCGGCCTGTGCTTGCATAGCGTATATAGCCTCAGTGGTATGACAGTTAGTTTGTGTGAGCTTTGTCGAGCAACAAGGTGGCTTGAACGCAGAGTAGCTGAGTTCCGTTCGTTCCGCATCCAATTTTCTTTTCTATGATTAGATGCAAAGATTGCCCATGCGTTTGGGACTCACAGAGGGTTCCGTTTGCTGCAGTGTCGCCAATACGATGGTCTGATGAACAACTTATGAGTAATGAATGGCTCAGACCGCCAGATTGTCGACGGCTTGGCGAAAACGGTTGGCTCACGTACCAGCACCAGTATTCGGATCCGGATGCTGCGTAGAGCTCGGCCCGCTTTATGTGACAAACATTCACATGAAAATGCGGGTGTGTGCATCGCATCTGCAAGCTCCCGTTATAGAGGGCAAATCAACCAATGACCCAGAGGCAGATAACCACGGGCAGGATTCGTGATCCGTAGCCTCACGTCTGGGGACTTGGGCCAGGTACCGATTTGCACGGTGGCCGCTTCTCTGGCCTGGTCTGTCCACTCACAGTGTCGTGGTCGTGTGCTACCATGCAACGACGGCTGCGGAAGTCATGCCAACTGGATGCTTCTGACCGTTTGGAAATGTTGAGTGTGCCAGGAAGGACTCGAGCACAGCAGCGAGCTGCCACTCAGCTTTCTTACTGCGAGATAAGCTTCGGCTGCGAATAGGAAACGCGGCGACATGCGGTACGCGCTTCGATCGTCGTGGCCGACGGCATGTCCAGAAATCAGAGCAATGGGGAGTGCGTCTTTTTCCGTCTTGCATGGCCACGCTATGCCGACTACGTGGTCGATGTCAACACATTGCCATAACCGGGAAGTTTGGCGTCTTGAGGGCCAATAGCCATGGGCGTGGCTGGGTGTAATCCTCTGGGGCCCAGATGAACGGTTCTCACCAGAAGGACGGTACGGTGTGAAGGTCAGTGCGAGCTTCGAGTAACTGCAGCCGTTGGTGCATGAAGACTTGCAGTGATTGTGCTGCACGAGACAGGCTGACCTGACGTGGATTTCGTCAAGCGCGGGTCGAGCCGCTGTGAGTGGACAGGCAGTGGTTGCTCGGGGTAGTGAGTTGCGGTGTGCATGATGAGGTGGAAGGAGAGTGGTGCCCAGGCGCGCTATCGACGTTGCTGTGCAGTGCAGTGGAGTAGCTGCAATGCGGGGCACGAGGTAGAAAGTACACTGCCCCTCGCTTGAGCGGATGCTGGCAGATGCATAGACAATCGCACCCATGTCAGTTGGTAGTAGTATTAGTGGTGGTAGTGGTAGTGGCAGTGGTAGTAGTGTTAGCGGTAGTGAGCAGAGGTATGATAAACAAACAGTGGCTCTGATGACACAATAATAGTACACATGAGGGTCTTGGGCCAGATGGCAGATGGTTGGGCCATGCACAGGTAGGTATCTTGACAAGGGCATCATCTGCGTCTCACGGTGAGAATACGGTCGATTCCGAGGCCATGCCGCCGCAACAGTGTAGGGTGGACGTAATTTGCCCTGCTTATGGCATGGCGTCGTCTGAAAAGCACAATTGCCGGCGTGGAGACGCAGCATCGGACGGCCTCGGGTTGAATGGTGGATGGGTACAGTAGGTAGTGACCCCAATTCCCACGTCTCCATGGTTTGCTTCTGAAGCTCAAACTTGGTTTGGCAACACGTCAACCAGACTATAGCAGGAGACGGTCTCCTCGGATTCCGTGTCCCCACTGGCTGTGTCCACCTTAGCTCGATAAAAGGCGAGCGAGGGTTTTAGGGAGTCCCGGATGCCTTCTCATGTCAAAGCTACTCCTGCTAGTTGCTATAAGCTCATGTGCCGTGTGCTTGTGCTGTCGTCGCTTGCTCTTGGCCCCGGAAGCCGCCTGTAGCGGTATAACAGCGTCGAATAGGTAATGAGATGAGGGGAATGGGAAAGTGGGAAAATGCCGCAAGCTAGACTGCATCTCGAAAAGCCGTACACGGGTCGAGAGTCGAGGCAGTGCCAGAGTTCCCCGCGCACTACAATTTCGTCCACATAACATAATATCGGCCCAAAGGCGACAAACTGGATCTCTTTTCAGCTTCGGTTTCAAGTTTCTAATTAATCCTCGATCCCACCGCCAGTCTTTCGGAAGTCATCTTGCGCACTGCCCGCCGCCCCGCCCTCGCCAAAGAAACGACATCATCGCTGCGGGTCCTGCGTCTTTCCTCTTCTCGGCACGGGCACAGCCACTTTTGCTCGACAGTGGCACCTCGTGGGCGTGCCCACCCACCATAAGACCCTCACTACCACCGCCGTTTGTCAGCGCTACCACGCTTTTCGCAAGGCGACGCCTTCCACAGGACTGCCACTGTGTGTTCGCATAAAGCCAGGGCGGCTCACGCGCATCCCCCCCGACGCTGCTCTCCGCCCCAAAATCACCACAACGATACCCCGGCCTGCGAGCTTTTCAATAACACCACCCTGGGCTTCTTGCCCACGAGACACCTGCGTCTCTAACGACCGAATCTTCTCCCCCAGTTTTCGACCCACCCTTCCGTCCTAGCCGCGCAGGCGAACCAGCACACAGCTACAAGAACCATGGCAGCCCCAACGAGCTCAAGCTCGCCCAGCGCTACGAGTAAACCTGGCGGCTCGCCACCTGCGTCAGCGACTGCCTCGACGGCCTCGTCGTTGCGCTCCATGCCCGAAACCCACCTCGCTCCTCCCACCGTCGTCCAGCAGTCTGGTGCCAGTAGTGTGCAAGCCGCCGCCGAAGCCCTGCTGAAGCCCAAGAAACCAACCATGAGTTCGCGCCTGAGTAGCATGCTGGGCATAAAAGAATCGTCCTCTGCCACAAATCTCGTAGAGAAGAATGGAGAAGTCAAGGCTGTCAACGGCACCGCAGCCAACGGCCGCCCGCCACCCCAACGCCAGGGCTCCATAAACAAAAAGGACGTCGCTCCCACCCCCTACAGGCGCTTCTGGCTCACCGACGAGGGCGTCCACGAACACCACCTCAAGGTCGCTAAGCGGCAGGAGAAGCTCTCCGATATGTTCCAAAATCTCATGCTGGGTAAAAAGAAGGGCGATCAGGCCGAGGACCAGCCTCTGAGCCTCATGTCAAATTGGGTCGATGTCATGCGCAACGAGAAGGAAAAGCTGGCAGAGCAGAAGAATTCGGTCAACAGCATGCCTCAGACCTTGGTCCAAAAGTACGGCAAGTGTCAGGAGGTCGTGGGCCGCGGGGCTTTCGGCATTGTCCGCGTCGCACACAAGCCAGATCCCAAGGACAAACAACGCGAGCAGCTGTATGCTGTAAAGGAGTTCAAGCAGCGTCCCGGAGAGTCCGCGAAGCGATACCAGAAGCGCCTCACATCCGAATTCTGCATTTCATCCTCCATGCAGCACCCCAACGTCATCACAACGCTTGATTTACTTCAAGACGAAAAGGGCACCTACTGCGAGGTCATGGAGTACTGTTCTGGCGGCGACCTGTATACTTTAGTACTTGCTGCTGGCCAACTCGAGGTTGCCGAGGCTGATTGCTTCTTCAAGCAGCTCATGCGGGGTGTCGAGTACATGCACGAGATGGGAGTGGCACATCGGGACCTAAAACCAGAAAACTTGCTCCTCACCACGCATGGCTCCATCAAGATCACCGACTTTGGCAACGGCGAGTGTTTCCGTATGGCATGGGAGAAGGAGGCGCACATGACTGCAGGTCTGTGTGGCTCAGCTCCTTACATTGCTCCCGAAGAATACGTTGACAAGGAATTCGACCCGCGCGCTGTCGATGTCTGGGCTTGCGGTATCATATACATGGCCATGCGAACGGGTCGCCACCTCTGGCGCGTCGCGCAAAAAGGCGAGGATGAGTTCTTTGACCGTTACCTAGAAGATCGGAAAGAAGAAGAGGGCTATCGTCCCATCGAGGTGTTGCGAAGAGTAAGCAAATATGGTTCCCTGCGCCAAAGGACTACTGCTAATATTCCACCCAGCGTCAGTGCCGCAACGTAATATACTCGATCCTTGACCCCATACCCGCCCGTCGTCTTACTGCCCACCAAGTCCTTGCTTCTGAATGGGTTTCAGAAGCCAAAGTCTGCCATGCAGGCAACGAAGGTTTCTAGATTTTTCCCACCAAGGCTGGACCTCGTTTAATTTTCGACCGCGCAGGCGTGCGATCTCAGCCAGAGACTTCGCAACCGTTGGACGCCCTCTATGCCCCCACCCCCGAAAGCAACACAAGTCACCGTCTGCTACTGTTCCTGGGATGAGGCGGCACCCACATTCTATCTCCCCTGGCTCGTGACAACTTTCGATCTTGAGCCATATGCCTGGATGTTTACAGCCCGATTTTTACATCACATGTTTTCTTGCGATACAACGATACTTGGCAAGACATACCCCTTCACGATTGATGCCATAGCATAGCGACATATTTTGGCACCGGCACTTCTTTGCACTTTCGTATGGCGTTTTTCTTCGGCATCAAGAATAGACTAGCGCGGCGTCCGGGGATTATCATCACGATGCACGATGGTCTAGACGACGATGGGACGGGCGATAGGATGCGCAGCTGGGCGGGTTATTCATACTTGGAGGCGGCGTGTAGAAGTTTTCCCTCGTTGTAATGGGTATTGTATTCGGGCTGCCATGGGTCGGCAGCCTTTTTTGACGAATCTTTTACTCTATGAGATAGCACGCGTTTTGTATCTGAGCGTGTAGCGTGCCACGCCCCATAAGCATTTCACCACGAGCAAAGTCCCCCTCGTGTTCATGCATGCGTCCTACTTGTGACCGGCCTAGCTTTGACCTCCGGGCCTTGTTGTAAGAATATTGTAATAACATCAGCCCATCGCGGCAACTGACGATGACTATGGCTTGAGCTGCGCGCAAACAAACAATCTTGAGGCTCTGTGAAGATGTTTATTAGCCGGGTGTGAAATAAGCGGGACCTTAATATGGTTTCGTGAACGATAAGAACAAGCAAGCATGCTTCAGACTCGACGTCTTGGCATTCTGTCATCGCTAGAAGGGGCCGCTTGTGACAAAGATGGCCTGTCCGCAACATTAAGCGGTGAATGGCCAGCTGTCAGAGACAGCGAACATCTGTTCACACCGCACCGAAGCCTCGACTAGCCCCCTGATATTAATTCGAGGCTGCCCCATGGTACCTGTACGCGTATTCGACACAGGTGAGGCGAACTTGCAGCAAACAGGCTTTGATTGAGCTATGCAACCAAGCGATGCCCACGATAGGTGCACCGCTCCGCAAATGGACGCTCTTCCTGCTCCTCTTCTGCAGCATACCGACAACTGCAGCAGCTCAGGCAGCGAATGAGACGCAGTCAGTCGAGCCAGGCGCCACCGCTGCTGCATCTGAGAGCTCCACAGCACAGCATGCACCCACCTCGTATCGGGCTTCGACTTCTCGATCTCGCAAGTACAGCGATACCGAGACCTCATGTCCATTCCGCACGATAAACTACATTACGCATACGCTGCCGCAGCAATGCGCGAAGACGAGCTGGTCGGCGCCGGGCGAGACCGCCTCCACGAGTGGAACGACTGCTGACGCAGGCGTCTCGCAGACATCAATACCCGGGCCAAGAGAAGGGGTCGAGGGCAACGCAGAGGAAGAGAGAGGCCGCGCAACCTCAATAATAGTCCCAGAGGCAGAGGAGACTGGCCATACTGGAAGCGCAACGGACAGCGACACTGGAAGCGCAGAGTCAGAGGCGGAGCTGGAGACAGACTCGCCTTTTGACAACGCTAATTTCCTCTCTTTTGAGGAGTGGAAGAAGAAGAACTTGGCCCAGATTGGCCAGTCGCCTGAGAACGTCGGCCAAGGGCGTGCTGCTGCATCAAACCAACCTGCACGAAGAAGACCCGTCAATGTGAATGCTCTAGACTCACTAGGTGATGATGCAGAGATAGAGATCGATTTCAGCGGCTTCGGCACTCCAGCGGCGGGCGAGAACGTAGCGAAGAATGCTCACTCGGAGACACGAGATGCGGATGCTACCAAAGCTACAGGAGACGGCAAGGTTGCGCCAAGTTCATGGGCGCTCAGCAAAGATGCGGGAAAGACATGCAAAGAACGCTTCAACTACGCCTCGTTCGACTGCGCAGCTACCGTTGTGAAGACAAACAAGCAGGCGAAGAGCTCTTCCTCCATTCTAGTAGAGAACAAAGACAGCTACATGCTCAACGAGTGCTCTGCCGGGAACAAATTTCTCATTGTTGAGCTCTGCGATGACATCCTGGTCGATACCATCGTCCTTGCCAACTACGAGTTTTTCTCGTCCATGTTCCGCCATTTCCGTGTCAGCGTATCAGACCGCTATCCGGTGAAGCTGGAAAGATGGCGGATGCTGGGGACTTTCGAGGCGCGTAATTCCCGTGACATCCAACCTTTCTTGATCACGGAACCACAGATTTGGGCCCGGTATCTGCGAATTGAGTTTCTGACGCAATTTGGCAATGAGTTCTACTGCCCTCTTAGTCTGTTACGTGTTCATGGTACGACTATGATGGAGCAGTTCAGACGAGAAGAGGAGGAAGCGAGGGGAGTGGACGATGATGAGGAGCTTGATGAGGCTACTCAAGTGGATCTTGTTAAGCCAGCTGAAGATAGCGGGCCGTTACGACCCGATCAGATTCCGATCCAACCAGCGAAGATGGACAGCTCAAGATCAGAGGTAGTCTCTAGTGACAATGCATCGCCCTCAGTTGTCCCTGAGGATGCCAATGCTAGATCGACCCAAATATTACAACAGCCTCAAGCTGCTGAATCGTCAGCTGCGCAAACAGCAGAAGCTACGCCCCCGAGCCAGCCAACTGATGCGCATGAGCACTACGCCTCTATCACCACAGGGTCGTCACGCTCTCCACCATCTGGCAGACCAAGCCCAGTCGATAGTAAGAAGAATACCACAGCAGTGGATAGCAGCCAGCCTCCTGAACCGCCCTCATCAACGAACAAAACTGAGTCTTCGCCACAAACTCCGAGCTCTGCATCGAGTCCTTCAACCATCACCAGGTCACCAGTAGTATCGAGCAACGACGACGGAATCAAACCGACCACCAATGTTACGGCATCCGCGCCTGCAGACAACTCATCCGTCAAAGCTTCAAGCAACGGCACGGTCGCCAACCCACCCGCCCAAACGCAGTCGCGCGGCTCACCCACACAGCCTAATGCTGCTGCCCCATCAACACAAGAGTCGTTCTTCAAATCCATCCACAAACGCCTGCTATATCTCGAAGCCAATAGCACATTGTCTCTCAAATACATCGAGGAGCAGTCCCGCATCCTACGAGACGCCTTCGTGAAGGTAGAGAAGAGACAATTGGCCAAGACGGAAAAGTTTCTAGATCACCTGAATTCCACTGTCATGCAAGAGCTCAAGAGCTACCGCAACATGTATGATCAGCTATGGCAGAGCACCATCATCGAGCTTGAGGGTATGAAGGAGCGGCAGAAGTCTGAGATGGGGGAGATTGGCACAAGACTTAGCCTGATGGCGGACGAGCTTGTCTGGCAGAAGAGGATGGCCGTTGTACAGTCTACCCTTCTTCTCCTCTGCCTCGCCTTGGTTCTCTTTGTGAGATCAGGTACGCTGGGCTCGGCAGCTGATGTACCCATCGTACAGCAACTGGGGAGTAAGTACACCAGCTTTTTTGAGTCGTCGCCGCCAAGGAGCCCAGCGACGTCTGGTATGACTAGAAGGAGAAGCACATTTAGGAATATGTGGCGAAGTGATACGTCAGCTGGCTTGACCGATCATCAGAGTCACGAACAACATGCTCTTTCCGACCCGGAGACAGATGGCGCAAGGAGTCCTGGTGGCCAAATCCAATACAGCCCGCCTACACCGAACACGCCTGGTGCGTTAGGGGCACATGATGCAGTTGCGGATGCGGGCGTCAACGGAACCAGCACTGATTCAACCCAAGAGCAAGACGCCGAGTTTCCAACACCAAGCCCTGGCGACCAAGCGAGGCGCGTACAAGTTCTGGAAACCCAATCGGGTCCCGCTACACCAAACGGTACACGCGATAACAGACCCTCGTGGGAGGAAGTGGATCGCGCCATGGATGAATTGAAGGTAGAAGCACAGAAGACGACGACACCCAAATCAAAGAAGAAGAAGAAGCGGTCTCAGCTGAGAAGGGCGCAAAGTAGCTATGATGGTAGGGTGGATGACTCGGCTACGGATGTTAGCAGGGGGTCACTTTATATGGATTGAGCCATTTTTCACTTTTACGGCGTTACTGGGTAAGTTTATCTCTGAGCATTGCATGCCTCGGCGTTCAACTAGTCTACGGCATATGAGGCATGGAGTTTCTGGGAGGCGTTTGGGAGCATCAAACAACTATTGGCTCTTTGTTATGAATTGTACATAATGAGCTTCACGAATATGTCAATGTAGTCACATCCTCAGTCAATGCAAATGAAGATCTCAGAGAAAGCGAATGATGAACGTACGACAAGCCCATATAATCGCTTGCATGTCACCCCATTGTGTGCCAAGCACCAGTCGTTGTTGATAGCGGAGCACCCGCGAACCTCGGCAACTTGACGTGGAGATGGATTATGCGGGGAGCTTAGCTCCAGCAATGGCCGAAACGTGCCATAACCCTCGCTATGCCCGAGTCGACCCTGTCAATTCTTTCAATTACCCCAGACCTCCTCCTGACTATTCATAGGCATTACACGACCTGAAATTCAGGATTACTTTTTCCAAAATGTCTGTACCGTACGATCGCGCCTACGATCTCCTCTCCAACAGCCAGAATGGCCATATCACCGCGTCGCAGCGTATTCCCACCATCGCGCGGCCGTTCGTCAGCGAGAGGGCTGCGAAGACACTAGATATTGTTCGTTTTTTACCCCCTTCCATAGTGGTTTTGTCAATGTTGCTAATAGGTACGATAGGTAGAGAAATTCGTGGAAGAAGAATGCATACCCGCCGACGCTGTATACGTCCGCCAGATTGGCGAAACCACCCAACAACGCTTCTCGTCACATCCGTCCATCATCGAGGACTTGAAGAAGAGGGCACAAGAGCTTGGCCTGTGGAACATGTTCTTGCCCAAGGCACACTTCAAGGAGGGCGCTGGGTTTAGCAATCTGGAGTATGGGCTGATGGCTGAGTACTTGGGGAAGAGCCGGACAGCATCTGAGGTACGCTCTATAACCATGGAGGACATTGAGATGTTTCTTGCTCTCCGGCTCGATACTGACTGCACGACAGGCTACAAACTGCGCTGCTCCGGATACTGGCAACATGGAGGTCATCGCCAAATACGGCACCGAGGCACAGAAGAGGCAGTGGCTTGACCCGCTGCTCAAGGGCGAGATTCGATCCGCTTTCTTGATGACGGAGCCTCAGGTAGCATCGAGTGACGCTACCAACATTGAGATGACCATCAAGCGTGACGGCGACTCTTATGTACTCAACGGCCAGGTATGTCCACCCTATCCATATGTTGCTCCCGCGTTCTGCATTCTGGTCTCTAACAACCATGTAGAAATGGTGGTCCTCAGGCATCGGCGACCCGCGCTGCAAGATCTTCATCGTTCTGGGTAAAACCGATCCCAACAACAGCGACAAGTACAAGCAACAATCCGTCATCCTTGTCTCCAACGATACCCCAGGCGTCACCATCCATCGCATGCTCTCCGTCTTCGGCTACGATGATGCACCTCACGGACATGGCCACGTCACTTTCGAGAATGTACGCGTGCCCGCCAGCAACATGGTGCTTGGCGAAGGCCGCGGCTTCGAGATCATCCAGGGACGCCTTGGACCCGGCCGTATCCACCATGCTATGAGGAGTATCGGATCTGCCGAGAAGGCCTTGGAGTGGTTCTTGGCTCGCCTCAACGACGAGCGCAAGAAGCCCTTTGGCGAACTGCTAAACAAGCACGGCATAATGATCGAGCGTGTGGCCCGGTCACGTATCGAAATCGACGCAGCACGCCTCGCTGTCCTGAACGCCGCCATCAAAATCGACGAAACGAATGCCAAGGGCGCCCTCAAGGAAATCGCCGAAGTCAAAGTCCTTGTGCCTGAAGTCAACCTCAAGGTCATTGACTGGGCTATTCAGGCGTATGGAGGTGGAGGTGTCAGCCAGGATACGCCGCTTGCCAACATGTATGCGTCTGGCAGGACGATGAGGATCGTTGATGGGCCTGATGAGGTGCATCTGCTGCAGTTGGGCAGGAATGAGAATAAGAAGGGTGTTGCGCACAAGAAGAGGATTGAGGCGCAGAGGCTGAAGGGCGAGGAGCTGTGCAGGAAGTATGGCATTGAGCCTAGGGACCCGTTGTATTTGAACAGGACGAGTAGTGAAGCGAGCAAGTTGTAGAGTGGTATCTAGGGCATGTTCATAGCCTTGCGAAAATAGCATCAGTCAGGATAGAAAGGCTTCTCTTCATACTTGATCTTCTGGCTACTTCATTGTTGTTTTAGTAAATAGAGCCTCCCGAGTACGTCTTAGCGCGAACACCTGTTCGGTGTACAGCCAAGATGCTATTGCGCGATGATAAGCTCCAAGCACGCAAGCAAAGCATGCGGCCCAGCCCGCGCCAATGAACAACTGGACGACATGCCTCCAGAAAGCAGAGGGAGTCAAGTTCCTTCGGGCTTCCAATCCAGAATTAGCTCGAATCTACCGACTCTGCGATCGCTCGAGGGTCGCGAACATGAAACCCACACGCCCTCGTCCCTCCCGTCTGCAGGATCGCGCCCGGGGATGACTTCTCGCTCTCCGGTCTCGAGTAGCGCTGTTTCTGAGGCGGCGTCTGATAGTCAGGACGAAGATGAGGACCCAATTGCATGGGCGGAGTCCGAGAGCGAGAGCGAAAGCTCAGAGGAAGCAGAGGGGAACCCGCCTACCACGCGAACACTATATACATCACGGTCACACAGTCAACTGCCACGGCAGACAGCGACCGCGCTCTTCCCGCCCTTCTACAACCGACCGCCAACCCCTCTACCACCCTCCCCGTCCTTGACATCGCTGCTCCGCCCCTCCTTCAGCGCCGCAACCTCACGCCCCTCTACACCAGATTCCTCCGATGTAGACATTCCCATACCACGCGGGGCCTCTGCCTACAGCGCAAGCAAGCCCGCCTCCAGCACCACGAACCTCGCCAACTCAGCGCGGCTTGCGCCGACCGTCCCTCGGGCGTCGCCGAAGGTCCCCACATACGAATACTATGGCTTCGCGCTGTACTTGGGCAGCTCGGCCGCGTTTCTCATGTACATTTTGTGGGCGTATGTGCCAGCGCCGATGCTGCATCAGATGGGCATACACTACTACCCGAATCGCTGGTGGGCGCTCGCCGTGCCGTGTTGGCTCGTCGTTCTAGTCATCTACATATACGTCGCGCTCGCGAGCTACAACACGCGCTATCTCACGCTCCCGCTCAGCAGCATTGAGAATCTCGTTGACGAATGCGCGCAAGTCGCTGTTGTAGATAGGAAGACTGGCGAGATCGTACGAGATCCCGTTCTAGTTACGGACAAGCTGCATGAGAAGGATAAAGAAAAGGGAACAGGGGCTGGTGCGCTCGCGAGCCGCAAGAGCTCCTTCTCTGCATATCAGTTCGGCGCCGATGAGTGTGTGGACTGGAAGGCCTTCTGGAGTACGGGCACGGACGCCGTCATGGATGTGCCAATGGGCGGGGTGTGTGAGATTCTGTATGGGAGCCATGACTGATGCATTGTAACTCTTACTCACAGTACATCCTTGCTGTATCAAGCCCAGCCGTTCAGTCAGCATCCATGTTTTCGTTGGACCGAGTCCGTTTGAGCCGGAGATAATTGCCATAGCGTGTAGGCCAGCCTGACCCCCACTTCTCTAGCCCTCGCGCTTTCGGGCGCGCTATATGCATGATAGAAAACTGCCCCGCTACATCTCACGCGTTCAGGCTTGGGATTGGACAATTGAGTCCTACTATCAACCCGTCGGGAAGCATTTACATCTCCTCGGCAGCGGCTTAGGAAGGTGATATAAGTCATCGGGGCCCTCCATCGTTGGCTTTCCTCCTACCCTGCTTCAATCCTTGTGATTCATTGCTGTGGACCAACTGGTATCCTTCGCTCATCCATCGACACTCGTCCAACTACCACGATGAAGGTCACCACCCTTTCCGCCCTGTCCATGCTTGCTGGTGCTGAGGCTGCTGAGACGATTCTTGGAGCCTACATCTTCCACCGTCATGGTGACCGTACACCCAAAGCTCTGGCTCCAACCAATCTAACTTCTCTGGGATACGAGCAAGTCTACACTTCAGGGTCCTACTACCGCTCACGCTATCTGTCAGGTGACTCTAAGATCCGCGGCATGAACAAAGATACTGTCAAGCTCTCCCAGCTCTCGGTCACTGCGCCCGTCGATAACGTCTTGCAAAACTCGGCCATGGGCTTTTTGCAGGGCTTGTACCCTCCTGTTCAGACCGTACAGACCCTCGCCAACGGCAAGAATGTCCAGGCTCCGATGGATGGATACCAATTGATCCCAGTGAATACTGTTTCAACGGGTGCTGGTTCCGAGGATGCAGGGTGGCTGCAGGATGCCTCGAGTTGCCAGAATGCGAAGACGAGCTCTAATGCTTTCTTCGACAGCAAGGAGTACAAGGATCGCGCATCGGGCACGAAAGACTTCTACTCTTCGATTGTCCCCTCGATCAATAATGTCATCAGCGAGGATCAAGTCACCTTCAAGAACGCTTATGTCGGTATGTCTTCTCAGATCCCTCTGTCTGCACATGCACTTACACAGCGCAGTCTACGACATCATCAACGTCGCCAAGATCCACAACTCATCAATCCCCAGCTCAGACGTGCTCACCAACTCAACCCTTCTCCAACTGCGCACTCTCGCCGATGCGCATGAATGGGGCCTTGCCTACAATGCCTCAGACAGCATGCGCGCCGTCTCTGGCATGCAGCTCGCCGGCGAAGTGCTAAAGTACATGAACGACATCATCTCGTCTAAAGGCAGCAAGAAATTCGGCGTCCAGTTCGGCGCCTACGCTACCTTTCTCTCTTTCTTCGGCCTTGTCGACCTGCCCAAGACGAACACCGACTTCACCGGCGTGGTAGACTACGCGAGTTCCATGTCCTTTGAGCTCTTCACTGATTCGGATGTGTCGGGCGGGTTCCCCAGCGCGGACGATCTGCAGGTCAGGTTTCTGTTCCACAATGGCACGGCGAGTAATAGTAGCCAACCGACTGTGTACCCTCTCTTTGGCGGTACCGCGAACACGGTTTCTTTCAACGACTTTCAGAATAATTTGAATAAGTTCGCTATCAGCACTACGGAGCAGTGGTGCACCAAGTGCGGCAACTCAACGGGTTCCTGCGCCGCGTACGCCAATAACGCCAACAACGGGGCGAGCACGCAAGCGAATAGCAGTGGCAGCGGTTTGAGCCCAGCAATTGGCGGTGTCATTGGTGCTTTCGTTACGCTGGCTGTCGTGCTGGGCGCCTTGGTTGCTTTCATGCTCATCGGTGGATTTAGACTGGTGAGCAAGAAGAGGCTGGCGAGTGGTGGTGTGCAGGGCACGAACACGGAGCCAAAGGCGTAAAAGTACGATATTTACGATTTACGTTGGTTCGAGATCGAGTTATAATGCCCTACGTCGTTACTAGGCAGATGACAGAAATTTATCGGAACATATTTCGCTGTCTTGGTTTTCGGTGTAAATAAGGAATTCATTGCAATATCTCGACATTAACCAAAATAAATCTCAAGCTCAAATCAACGTACACAAGAACCACAACTCCGCACACCACACCTCAGCCCAGACTATATCAGCTAAATCTCCCCTCTCCTCACCATCCCCTCAATCTCCCCACGACTAAACACCGTCCTCTCCCCCTCCCAATCCTCATGCCAAAACCAAGCCGAACAAGCCTTGAACTGGCAAGAATAAAACGCCTGTCTGCGCCCCATGGCGTCCACCTCGTTCTTCGCAACCAGCCTGACCGGCGCCGCACACTTGCAGAACCTGTTCTTTCCCCCGTCGGAGTTGACAAGACCACGGGCATCTGCAAAGCCGTTGAACCCGTTGGACCGCTCGCATGCTTTGTTGGAGCAGCAGCGCCAGGGCCGGCCCGTGTTGATGCTTTGGGATTTGTATTGCACTGTGCGGAGGAGGTTGGGCGCGCTGCATAGGGGGCATTCTTCTGTTCGAGGTGCTTCGGCAACGGCAGCGGTGGTGGTGGTAGACCAGGTTGTAAGAGGGAAGGCGGGAGCGGGAGCAGGAGTAAGAGCAGACGTTGAAGGATGTTTGGGTGGACTAGGCTTCGTGGTGCTGAGTACCCGCTGGGGGACAGGAGGCGTGTAGGCTCGAGTTGGAGGTGACGGAGGAGAAGCAGAGGTGGTGGTGATGGTGGTGTTCACCTTCTGCAGAGCAAGACTGCTAGAGGAAGGTACACGCGTGGTCGCTGGTGGTGGACGGACATCTTCCACGCGAAAGACTTGACGAATTGGTGTTTCAACACTGTACGCTGGTGGGCTTGGTCGCTCGTAGACTGGCTTTTCTGGAGTATCTAGCGCTTTTGGTTAGCTGGACCGATTAGCAAGTAGTACGATATGCTCATTACCAGCACGAGGGTATTCCCTTCTATACGGCGATTCGTATTCGATGGTCCCGAAACAGCAGAAAAGTCTCCTAAAACCCATGATGGTCGTTGTTGTCGTTGTAGCTATTCTATTTTTCAAGGTGAGATTAACACTTCAAAACGCTACTATAGTGTACTATTCATCCGCAGAAGCAAGAGACGGCTATATAACTACCCAGAACCCACCCGAAGAGGGGCTGAAGATGGGCCTATAAAGAGCATGGCGCGCAAGGCTGAGACGAAGCCACAAAGCCTCCTGTAACGCAATGACCTATGGCGCGAGCAGGTAAGCGAGTATGCGCTTGGCAATACTTAACCACAGCGTCTACGTTTGCAGAACCGAGGGCGTGAAGAAAGGATCCGAAAGATTATATTTATCTGCTAGTCATGAGTAGGCGTAGGCGCTTTGGAAATCCTCTTATGTATAGGTCGGTAGGTGAAGAAAAGTGAAGAGGATATTGCCGCCCACTCGCCCATTTCGGAGGCCAGGACACGAGAATGCAGCCTATTGTTCAGTGGTCAGTGTTCGAAAATAGATGACGGTTTTTTATAGATTGCCTAGAGAAAGAGCAGTCGACGAGTGTGACTTTGAGAACTGTCAGAAGTAGTTCTTGAAAGAGAGCAGGGTCACTTGGTGGAGGTGCCCAGACTAAGATTTCCCAAAGGGCGAGTTTATCACCTCTAGTATCAGCAAATAGCTTTTGTTGCAATGGCCCCCAAAATACTTCAATTCTCCGTATGATATCTTGTCTACCTTAGCAGTCTCAAGCTCCCGCGCCAAGACTGTCGTGGCCAGATCAACCACAGGTCTCTGATAACTATTGCATTTTTTTTTTGCCTAAGAATGCTCGGTATTTTGGAAGTTCGCAAGGGTTGGGTCCTGTAAGAGACGCATCTTCCGTCGTTCGTTGTCTGAACGAAATGCACTTCGCCAATCACTGGTCCCATTCGACTTCTCTTTCTCTTCGTTCTTGAAATCAACTATGCGTATTTCTCTATTAGCACAGACAGTGCGGTCCGTGTTGTATTAGGACGCATGCACACAGAGGTTTGGGAGTCGATGAATATACACGTTCACAACCGTCATCTCATAGTTGGACCTTAAGACGTCCCTCTCACGTGATGGTATCCAGGCACCACTCATGTCGCTGTGGAGTCACGAACTGGTTGTGGGTCAATAGAAGACGTGCCTGAACCTCTCGAGGTCGCGCCTTCCTGTTCGGATTAGCGGGACTACACAGCCTCAATCGGCAAAATCTAAGATTTCACCCAATGAGAACTGCTCCACACGGCTCCACAAAAAGGTTAGGCGTCCAGCGTCCGAATCCCAAGGATGGCGCTCACCTTTTCTCTTCCTGCGATACGACCTCCTCTTCGCGCGATTCTGTTGCTGCCATATCTGGCGCGGTGCACGCCCGAGCTTGTACTCCTACCATCACTAGCGACTCTAGCGATCCCTTTCGCGCTCCACACATCGCTCGCTTGAATCGAAGCCGGAATGCGAAAAGGACATGACGGAGGATCGCAAATATGAGACTGGGTTGACCACAGCATCCGAAGAGTCACTGCCACCGCCGGCATACTCAAGAACCTGGGGGAACGACAGTGTGAAGAGTGAAGGCAAGAGAGGGAGTTGGAGGTCGAGCTGGACATGGAAGCCTAAATGGACCTGGAGCTTGCAACATGGCTCGAGTTCGATCTACCGGACCGCACAGAAGAAGGTGAAGCCTATGCTCCTAAATCTACGCGATATACGAGTTTCGAAGAAACAATGTATCGCCCTCTTCCTAGTCATTAGCTGCAGTGTCGTGCCCTTCATACTTCTCGGCTACTACACGCCACCGAATGACTCTGATCCTGGCATCATGCCTTTTATGGGCATCTTCCAAGGCAAAGTCATTGGTTGTGGGGATACCCTCCACGGCACACCTCAGAATGCAAAGGTCTCGGGTATCGAAAATCTTTTCGTGCTTGACAAAACGTTCGGAAGTTTGACATTCTCCCAAGTCAAGATGATTGATGTTGTGTGGGATGTACTTCTTGGAAGAGGCGTTCAAATACTAGCATGGTGGGTTGGATACGTTGTTTTCTCGGATGCTCTCCTTCGTGCAATCGAGCGTCATCCGGCATCTTTCCGAATCTTTCAGCGCATCGCGCTCGAAGGACCGAGTTGGCTTTCTGTCTGGACGTTGATGCAAGAAGTATGGGTAGCAAAGAGCAGGCGCACAAAGGCGTTGTTCTTATACATGTTCTTGTCAACGTGCTACATCCTTTCCGTGCCATTGCTTCTTTCTGCCATGACCGGATACGATAGCACAACGATCGCCTGGGTGAGTCTGGGCGATGATAACAACATTGTTCCTGCATCAAGACTGGATCAATCTTGGATCATCTGGGGCACCAGGAACGAGACATGGGAGCGAAATGTTTGCAAGCCGACGAGCCTAATGTGGGACCTGCAATCTTTCTCATCCGACCATTTGCGGTACTGTAAGTTACTCAATGCTACATGTCCACAAGAAAGCCCCCCTAACGTACGCAGGCAGCTGTCAACTTCGGAACGGATCGCTAGTCGCACCAATCCCCCCGAACAGATATTATTATTATCCTTATCCGATGATTCCTGACTGTAACTATAACTACCCGGGCAACATGGAGACTTACAAATCACATGATTCTAGTTTGGGAAAAGACATTACCAAAAACTGTAAGCATACTCCTTCCGATCAATCAACCTACTTACTGATGTCTATGTAGGCAACGCCACATTTGACGTCACAATAAATGACAAAACCTACGACGGTACAAATCTGAACGCTACTCAGGGCTACTGTTACAACTCCGTTGGCTACGATTCCATGGCTTTGTACGATAAATCACGCTGTTTGCCCGACACAGCAAACCCTTCCTACCAATGGGGTTTCTCCACCATGATGTCTGCCTTTTTCATCTTCCTTCAGATGGCTTGGTGTTTGACCATGTACGCTGTGTGGCAGGATGCACAGTTCAATTCCACATTGGTCAAGAGCGGGTACCAGATGACCATACTGCGGGCTACATTCGCCATGGCGAAGGCGGCAAAGCGGAAAACGGGGCTAGGAGAGAGACAGCTAGTCCGGGCAAACACAAAAGAGATAGAGCAAGAACTGTATGGAGGCAAACAGCACAAAGGGACGACAGTCGACTATGGGCTTTTTATTGATGACATTGAACACGGCCGGGATGATAGCGAGGTGGTACGACGTGTCGTGCGACCTAAAGATGAGCCCGATTAACCAAAGTCACGGAGCTATACAAAACAGGAAAACGAAATCGCTGATTCATTAGGAGACATGAGTCTAGACAACAGGTCTACACACGTCTGGCCACTTGATGGGGAAGGTCTATCCCATACCCTGAGCCAGCATGCCTTCACAAAGCTTTTCATGAGCTATGTCGTCCAATGGGGAAGGAGAGCGCGAAGGAAGCAAGACAAATCAGCGCTCTGAGGAAAGAGTATGAGGGATCACCACCAACGAAGCTTGCTGCTCGAAAACAGGGTATATCGCTATGTGGATGGTAGCAGGATGACCACAGGCTGTTAGAGCGCAACTACACCTTATATCAATCTACGTGATTGGTATGACACCAGCATTGCCTATATATAAATCAAGAATTTATGATAGGCCTAAATCTTCATTTTCTTTGAGTCTTGCGAAGCCTATCAGCACATGCCTTCATCGCTCAAAAATTATTTTGCGCGCGTGGTGATGGTGAAGAGGCATATCAGGAGACGAAAGAAATTGATTCAGGAGAATGATGCAGTCAGCAAGTTAGGAATGACCTGTTGATCAGTAGCAGGCGGTTAAATCCACAGTGGAATCGTGCATCTCCTCATGCTCCGCCAGCACATAGCTTGACCAAATTCTACAAAGAACTAAACTTTATTCGTAGGTAGATAGATACCTCCAGCACAGTGTAGGGCACCACTGCTGTGCCACAAAGCATCTTCGTACATTTCCTCTCAGATCTGTGATCAAGTCCTCACTCAGTCTCTCCTCGAGTCTTCAGGTGAGAGTGAGCCTCTAACCCACCATACCACTCTCTGCAAGTGCCAAACAGGCCTTCACCACCGCTACTCATCGCGCCCTCTCACTTCCTCGCAGCACCCGCTCAGACACACTAGAGACGCATAAATATCGCACCCACCATCCCCTCTGGTAACCTTCTCTTGCTCACTCTCGCACCCTCTTCGCCTCTTGACGCTCAAGCAACGCTTCCCACCACAACAGCAAACAATAACATCAACATCCGACATGGCTCCTAAGAAAGCTGCTGCGACCAATGGCGAAGCTGGTGAAGCCGGTGGCGTGAGTGTTTCTGCCAGTTTGTGCATGTGTCTGTTCGAGTGGTGACTGACGTTTTGTGTAGAAATTCACCTGGGAGGGTCCGAATGACAACAAGGTATTCCAATGTTAGGAGAGAGTGAGAACGCATTGTACTGAAATGGAACATAGCTCTTGCTGTTGACTCAAGGCCGCTACGTCAAACCTGACGAGTACGACCAGCTGTCCAAGGCGTTTTCAGGTATGTCAGTCAGAGCCAATGCTCTTCTTTCGCATAGCTATATGCATTTCTCGTCGCCGTGTGCATTTACTTCCGTCACGTTCCACCACTTCCCATCTTACACTACCACTCTTTTCATTCGGCAGCATCCTGTACTTTGACTTACTGACACTATCATCCAGGCACCACCATCGGTTCCATCCGCAACCGCATCTCGGCGCTCCGCGTCAAGCAGCGTGACCTCTACGAGACACTGGGCTGGGACGTCCCCGAGGGCGGTGCCGGCCACTCAGCCAAAAAGACCAAGGGCGGCAAGCGCAGCATTGACGACGACAGTGGTGAGCCTCAGACGCCTACCAAGAAGTCGCGTGCGACCAAGGCCAAGAAGACTCCAAAGAAGGGAGGTAGCGACGGCGAGAGTGGCGGAGAGAAAGGTCTCGTGGTCAAGGAGGAGGAGGTTGAGCCTGATGAGGTCTGAGAAGGGGTATGGTGTGCGTATTGGAGGTTTGGCGCAAGATTTCTGAGATAGTGCTGAGGGATGACGGGGTACTTTATCAGAACGGGTATGCGGGTTGGCACGCACGACGAAGTATCCGCAATGTTCGCTTGCATGACTAACGCATGAAGCGGCATTGCGCGGCCGGGCAAACGATAGCCTGGCGAGATAATATACACATCACACGATAGTTGTTCCTTGGTTTGTGAGCATCTTAAAATCTAATGTGATACCCTCTAACGAGATGCGCTATATGTTATTAGCATAGTTACGACGAGTCAATCTGGATAAATCAGGGAGTCACAATCTTTTTGGTCAATGTATCGCAGTGATCAAGGTTTTTGGGCTTAGCCCAAGTATGATCGATGCAAACACAGTCCGGAGGTATCTGTTGTAAACGCCGCACGCCATGTCCTCCGTCCAGCTCTTGTTTCAGCGCCGTGAAATGCTTCGAACATGTGGAAAATCAAAACTGCCCCTAGTACCCTTTCTTTAGCACTATTTGTCACCCTTCTTCTTCCGCAGCGTCTGACCTGCGCCCTCAAAATGTTTCGACTCCTTCTGCTCACCCTCCTCCTCTTTGCCCTTGACTGGCTTGATCCCGTATCCGAAGAAGAGCTTGCCAGGAGCTAACCTGAGCGGTTGCGGACCGTTGGTGCGTCGTATAGTTGGTGGTGGATTTGTGGACTGTCCAGCCACGGGCGTAGAAGCTTGTGGAGTTGGAGCCTTGCTGCCTTTCTTGGAAAGCTTGTGGCCTGTGGTGAAGAAGTTTGAGGAAGTGGCTTTGGCTCCGGCAGCGGCAGTTGTTGATGAGGGAGCAATAGCGGCGTAGTTGATCGCTTGAGCCATGGTGCCGTGTGAATGCAATGTGCCCCCTTTTCCAGCCATGACGCCCTTCCCACTTCGCGGAGTGCTTGTCCCGCTTGTCTTCTGTGGTTCTTGATAGTCTACAGGCGGTGCGAAGTCGACTGACAGATCCGTTTCTAGCGTGCAAATGGCTTTGCTGGCATGTTCTGGCTTTGTCTCCAGTACAGCTATGCTGTATACATTATCGTTGTATGCAAAGGTGAAGATATCGCCGGTCGTAAGGCACGAGAAGTTTCGGAATGCGTTCTCGAGGACTGCCTTGGGATCTGAGATCTCTAGGAAGGCAGGGTCTTGGGGTTGGAGCTTGATGAAGGTTCCGAGTGGAAGATCGGTCGACTTGACTTGTAGAAGGTCACCAGGCTCGAGCAAGAGCGTCTCCATCAACTGTGAGATTTCTTAGCATACTATCGTATCACCCGGATATAGCGACGTACCCAATACGGCAGATAGATCTTGCCCTCCTCCGCTATAAACTCCAGCACACCAGCATGTGTCTTCTTATGGCCCTGCTTTCCATTGATGAGCTCGAAAAGCATGGGATATGTGATATGTAGCCTTGTAAGCTTGTCGAGAGCGCTTGGAGGAAGGAACACCTTGCCGCCGTGGTTCGCCTCTTCGCGCTCTGGGCCGGGGAGCATGGCAATGGGGTAGCAGCGAAAGTACTCGTCGAAGCGTCTGGGGGCGCCGCCGCGCCGTAGAGATTGGTACATGGCCATCGGGTCGTCTTCGTTGTAGAAATTAGGGTTGAACTGGTGGTGGTGAGTTCAGATGTACGGAAAGTGTGGGGTCGCTCTTACCATGTTGGCGGAGGGTCCTTGGACAGGAGAAGGCGTGGGCCTGATGGTGAGGGCTAAAGACCAAGGAAAGAGTCAATAGCAAGAGAAGACCGCGAAGAAGCCTATGAATGTAGAAGGTTGATTACTGAGAAGGCAAATGACGGACGGAGGGTGCTAGGTAACGCTACGGGATACTGGTCGAACCGTGTGTGCACTCCGCCGCGGTTGTTTGGGCGGCCCAAGCTCCAAAGCTCTCCGATCTCGTGCAGACGTCACTGCCTGTTCCTCCCTCCCAGACACTAAGTTCTGCGTTGTCTTGAATCGAACCCAACGCACCGTATATTATTTAGTCATGGCAAGCTCTAGTGGCACCTACAACCCCGCGCGTCCCAAGCGCGCTGGCGAGCAATTCACTCGAACCCACGACCTGGATAGCAATGAACCTTCTGCAAAAAAACCTCGCTTCGACCCAAGAAACCCCTCCACCCTCGCCCCAGATGCCGAAGACGAAGAAGACCCCGTGTTAGAAGCAGATGTAATTGGAAAAGGCGCGGGAATCAAGCGCAATGCAGTCAACATCGACGGCTACGACTCTGATAGCTCCACAGAAAACTTCAACGCACGCGCGGAGGCTCGAAATCAGAAAGACAAGCCTGCGAAAGATGATGAAGACGACGAAGATATGTTTGCAACCGAAGACAAGGACGATGATGAGACCGAGGAATCACAAAGGGATCAGACGAAGAAGAAGAAAAAGCTGCGGTTCTTGGACATGGACGAGATCGAAGGCCAGGAAGACAACAGCAAGTCTGGAGGCCATGTTGCGGTCGACTTCACCAAGGACCCGAAGAGCAGGACGGAGGAAGTGGAAAGCAGCAGTGAGGATAGTGGCGATGAGGACCGCGACCGAGTAGATTCAGACATGGACGAGGAGCTAGGAGCAGGCAGCAAGAAAAAGCATGCTCCCAAGCTAGATGCTTTCAACATGAGTGCCGAGCAAGAAGAAGGCCGATTTGACGAGGCCGGCAACTTTGTACGCAAAGCATACGATCCAGAAGCCGCCCAAGATTCGTGGTTAGAGGGCATCTCTAAGAAGGATATGAAGAAGGCGAAGGAAGCACAAGACATGCGGGACGCTGAGCAGAAGGCCCGAGAGCGGGCAGAAGATTCGATCATTACGAGTGATGTCATGTCGACACTCATTAGTCACTTGGACGTTGGTGAGACGCCTATGGAGGCCCTTGTACGATATGGCAAGGCAGCACCTAAAAAGCAAACCAAGACGTGGTCCAAGAAGAAGAAAAGTCAGCATATGGAAGTGGATGAAGACCCATTGCGCGAAGCTGCAGCGACTAGGGCGAAAGAAGCTATTGACTCGATTACCGAATGCGCAAGTCGGCTCTCGGATCGAGGGGTAGATGATATCTACGAACTTCCTCGGGAAGTGGTAATGCGGCAGTACAAGCGCGAAACGGGAGAAGATTGGAAGAATCCGAATGCTGGACCTGTACAATGGGAGTTCCATTGGCTTACTGCCCCAGAAGGAGACACCAATGGGCCGTATGATAAAGCGACAATGCAAGCGTGGGAGGAAGCGGGACAGTTCGCAGCAGGCGCTGAATTCCGTCGGGTTGGGGACACGGAGTGGTCACGACTGCTGGACTTTGACGATTGAATGACATGCCGTGGAGGGTATTATTAGCACGCTCAACTTGAACTTTCTGCCGCCTGCTGCACGAGACGTCAATGCAAGCTGGCATGATGAGCAGCGGACGCATGCAGGCCGACTTGATTCTACAGAGCTATTGGAGTGGCCGCCATCACATGACTGCACCTGCAATGCGGCTAAGCGATCCTACGACGACTGCTGCTGTGCCTCAGCCAGTCGGAAAGATGAGAAAAGCGGGAAGCCGTCGCGATGGCTCGTAGCGGCTGCCATGGTAGGCCGTCGCGGCCTAGTCTCGTTGTTTGAAAGGCAGCGCTGTTGGCTCTGTATGCCGTGCAACCATGCCGTCGTTCGCCGTGTCTGCTTTTGTGCGATGATGCAGGTGTTGAGATTCGACCTGTAAGAGTTGCTACGAGAGATTTGAGGGGCGAGCAAGGGGCTATGCTAAGTGGGAGAAATGATGATCACGCTCGCCAATGTAATCAGTCCAGCCTCACGCCTCACTTTTGACAGTGAATGCTTCTGACCTGCAGTGAGGAGCAAATGATGGGTTGAGATGACCAGTGGCGAAGCGGTTTGGCAGCTGATGTTATTCCGCTGAACACCGGGCACTGTCTCGTGCGCTGACGCAAGCCATCGTACTGAAACCCCGCCCACATGCGACATGATTGTTATGTACCCTGGAAGTCTGCAGTATAGTTTGGAGGAGGAGGATTGATTACTTGTTATATCATTATATCAAACGACGCTTCACTCGGAATCAGGGAAACTGGCGAGCAGCATGGCACGTTGGTTAGCAGGGAGCTAACGCTACGGCCCGCCCACTTCCAGAAGCATATGGTGGTGTGGCGCTTGGGATTAGGCCCTTCTCCCCCCTCGCAAACTCCACCAAAACATCCGTGAGCCATGTTGCGGGTAGGCTTGGAATGTGCTTCTATCTATGCCGTTAAGAGTATCGGCATGGCGACCAGGTACCGGGTCACGGATGGGCAGAGCGTTGTGTTAGCCAAGTAGTGGACTGGGATCATGAGTAGTAAGGCTGTTGGTATATTCCACGAGAGGCTTCCAATGCACACACCAAGTACCTTTGGGTAATGGTAGTCTATCGTATCGCCGCCCGGGGCTTTTATTGGAGGAGATGCACAAGAGCCAATGAAGCGTGCTTTTGCTTTTCCATCCATCCATCCATCACTCCAGACTCTCTGACTGACTGATGACTTTGAATGCCCCTCGTTTCTCTGCCGCGCTGCTCCCCTCTCTTCCCTCCACCCCCCCTCTGTCCTAGATTGAAACCCTCGTCTGCGTGTGACTCAACCCGCATCGTCGCGCTGACTCCCGGCTGGCTACGCGTGCCAGAGGCAAATATCTCCAGGGGGGCCTTCTGTTGGCTTCGTGCAGCCGTCTCCCCGCTAGTCGTGTGGCCCTCGGCGGCACATTTTTCAGCACTGCACACCTCACGTCCCTTTCTTCCCTCTCGTCCCGATTCCCCAAGACTGCCTTGTTCGACTCGCACGCAGAAATACCAACAGGCCCCTTTGCGCCGCCGACGCGTAGGCGACATTGGAACCCTCTGACGTCTCTGCTAGCCCCGACCCACCCGTGGTGCGGCTCATTACCCAGTCCCAGTGTCGAAAGGAGAAAGGCCCACAACCCTGCTCTCCTAGCCCAACATCGCCAGCCAACCTCGACACGCCCATCAGCGCTGCTCAAGCTTCATCTTCCCCCTTTTCCACCCCCCTCCCACGCGACTTGGGTTCATTTGCGCCGTTTTTCTTCCCTCATCTTACCCTCCGGCGAGCTTGGATCCTCTGCCTCGCCAAGCCTGGCATCAAATGTACTAAACCACCAACCCTGCCCTCTGCCCTAATTTTCCCTTCGCTCGCTGCAGCTCAATCCTCACCACACCACACACCATGTACTCTGCCTACGACCAGTCCACGTCACGGTCCCCAGGCTCCCATCGCAACCAGCCCCAGAATACCACGCTGCACCGCATGCCCTCGCGGCAGTTCGACGCCTACGCTCCCCTGCCCCAGGCCAACATGTACCCTCAAGACGAGCACGCCCGCGGCTACGAACAACAACAGCAACAGCAGCAACAACAACAGCAGCCTCGCAACTACGAGCGCCTCAATCAGACCATGCACGCAGGCGGCTACGGCTATGACATGGGCGCCCCTGCTGCTTGGAATACCAATGCGTTCTCGCAAAACGGTCTGGGTTCGCTTGGGGGTGGTGCTGCCGCTGCTCGCATGAAATCACAGCAGCGGGGAGGCCGCAGCGCACTGCCTTCGGTAAGGAGCTCGACACCCAACCCATCCCATCACCATAATACTGACGCAAACTGCTCTAGGGATGGATGGACCCGTCTCCTCAAGGCCTGCCTAGCTTTGCTCTTCCCAGTCTGAGCAGCGGCAACCTAAACTCGATGCAGAACTCGAGCTATGGCCACGACGTGGACGAAGAGCTTATCCCCACCGCCATCGTCATCAAGAACATTCCCTTCGCAGTCAAGAAGGAGCAACTCGTGCAGCTCATGACAGACCTCCGTCTGCCTTTGCCCTATGCCTTCAACTACCACTTTGACAACGGTGTATTCCGGGGGCTGGCTTTTGCAAACTTCACCACGGCCGAGGAGACAGCCGCTGTCATCGAGTCGATGAATCATTTCGAGCTCAACGGCAGAAAGCTCCGCGTCGAATACAAGAAAATGTTGCCGCTTGCAGAACGCGAGCGGATCGAGCGTGAGAAGCGTGAGCGTCGCGGACAGCTCGAGGAACAGCATCGACCACTGGGAGGCAACCTTCAGTCTCAGCCTTCCTTCGGCTCGCTTGCTTCTCACATACCCGCCTCATCCCCCTCGCCTGTATCTGCCATGCGTGGTGGTCCCACCCCAACTGTTGGTAAGTCACCGCGTGGTGTAGCTCTTTTCTGGGTTTCCTTGCTGACCAATGTCCAGATGTCGATCTCAACGACCCTCAAGTTCTACAATTCTACTCTCAGCTGTTGCTCTTCAAAGAGGTACCTGAGAGGGATAGCATGACCTTCCCCTCCACCTTGGCACCCCTCCAGCGTCGCACCGTCCATACCCTGGCTCATCAGCTAGGTCTTGCTCACGTCTCCAAGGGCACGGGTGAGCAGCGACAGGTGCACATATTCAAGGTGCACGACAACAATCAGGGTCTCAGTCCGCCTATGCCGCAGATGCCCACAAATCACATGGAGCAGCCCCGCCGTAACCTCAACCGCGCCGCTACCACTGATTTCAGCGACGTTCGTGCTGAAGGAGGATTCTATAATCCCTTTGGCCGACAACCTTCAGGCCTATTGGGATTCCCTGATTCACCGGGCGGCTTGAATGCAGTGCCAAATCTTCGCGGTGCCAAGTCGTATGCGGATCTTCGATCTTACACGCCCTCGCCCGCGCCATCCACCGCCAGCCATCCTGTGGGTCGTCCCGGTGGCATCTCTCTCGAGGGCCTTGGTTTCAGCGGCACCTCCACCAATCCAAACGGCACCCCTACAACCGGTTCCATGACGCAACGCGACGAAGGCTTGCTCGAGAGGGAAATGGGACGCATGCAACTCAACTCTAGCTTTGGCCAGAATAGCAGCCCACGTGCGTTACGACAGATGACTTCGTGGGATGCCCCCGGCCCAATTGGAGGCCACCGGACTTTTAGTAATGCTTATGATGACCGCCCGTCGCGACAACCTCGCGGGCCGCTCCCAGAACGAGGGCAAGGCTTTGGCCGCCCGCGACAGAACGGACATCAGAATCGCGGCAGCGACGAGCTGTCGTCTCAGTCCAACGTTGAGATCCTAGTAGGACAGTGAGCTCTCAATAACGAAATGAATCCGTCGCACGTATCACCACTCTTTCAACGAACGTGCGATGGCACCCTTGAAACGAACGATGACGACGCTTACGGCCTTTAAGTGTAGCTTGGCCCTGAATACTGGATTGACTTTACGATGCATACGAAGAATGATGCTACGACGGTAGAGACTACATCCACATGGAGCCCGCGCTCCCGATCACCGCATTTTGAATTTGGTTACCGAAAAAAGCATTTATGAACATATGGGACATGTGTTGTTTCTCGTTATATTTGGTTCGAGATGATACTATACCGTTTTACTTGGACAATGTTGCATGCGTTTGGACACCGTCGGTTTTCTTTCGTTCTTCTCTTTTTGCCGATGTGTATTTTGGTGCCAGCGATCCTGCGTTTCAGTACGGCAATGGAAGGCGAGGAATTCCCCTGCTTGCGCTACTTTGGCCGAAGCCGTGCTTTGGTTATTATTTTGTCCGAACAGTAGTGATCCGTTCCATTCAGCGTGGACTTTTGATCGCCTCGATTCACGCTCGCTAATAATCTGACCGCGTACTGGTCTCCTACGCCTGCGAACAAGCCTTCACTCCCGACTCCGATCTTACTCTCGACAACGAGTATAATGGCAACATAGCTCCCAAGCACCGCATTCATTGGCCTTCCACCAAGTACGATGTTGCGGAAATGTGGCGCTTACCATCGACCACTCTCCCTACGAGACTTCCAAAAGATGTCCGCAGTATATTCGAATCAGACCCCACTCTACGCTTGATATCACTTTACGCCAGTCATCATTCTGTTCACATCAGTACTTTTCCGCCGAGATAGTTTTGCGTCTTCACCGCAGTCTGTCTACAACAAGAGCTACTCCGGCGATTTAATACCACCGTACATGGGATCTTTTACTGCTATCGATTTATTGCGAGTTCTTGTTCTATTTTTGACATTGCATTTTGAATACTTGTCGGAATGGTTGAGATGGGAAATGGTTGGATGGGCTATCAGGCTTGTTTCTTTTCAGTATGTATTGTAATATGCGCTTAATACATGAGGTACCGGATGGGTATTCTTTCTGTTAAACTGGCTCGCTACTATTCGTGCTTGACAGTGATGTCTACCAAACGCTAATCGCTCCTGTTTCCGCCATCTGCTGGACGACTTGATGTGTTTAGAGTTCTTACCACCTCAGCAAATGGCAGCTACGGTTTATGAAGTAAGGCTGACCACGAGTCATGGCGGCCCGCGCTTACTACGCTAAGCGACGGCAAAACAGTGACGCCGGCGGGTGCGGTGAACTCATCGCTCGAGCATCCATGCAGAGCGTCGCTGTGCTGCAATCCCACCCACTCGACGCCCTTCCATTCTGCCGAAGAACCCTCTTGATGCTCCGCGCGCAAATATCGAATCTGACGTCTCTATCACTTTCCCGATTGGCCATTCCCGTTGCTGCCGCTTCGCCCAAAAACTTTCGACTGCACCCACGATCTGCCGCCCTTCTCCTCCCTGCCGCCGCCTTCCAGCAACGCCTTTAAGCCGTACATATTTCCGCTATTTGACTCCCTCTTTCGATCCTTTGTGCGAGTCAACGGGTGTTTGGAAACAATCAGCGCGCCGGTTTTACCGAAACTACGACAACAAGACAACAAATTTGAGGAGAGGCCTACATAATTGGGACAGATTGGACCGTTCAGGGACTATTCCCTACATGTCATAGCCTGCCTGCAGTATCTATCTGCTCCTTCCTAGGACCTGCAACTGAAGAAGCAGTTGCGAGGCTGAGACGGTCACGAGAGAGGGCGCAGCACCTTTTTTCTACCTGGGCTTTGGATACGTGCAACGCGAAGGAACCCACTGAAACATATCTAGGTCAATTCAACAATACGCACGCTTAGCACATATGTCGACCCGCAAGCGGCGCGCCCCGGGCGCGTCACCCCAAGCCCCATCTCAGACGTACCAGCAGGATATCCCTACACCGAACGACGCATACATGAACTGGAACGACCCCGCAATGAGCACGGACTTGAGCGGCTTCGACGACCCATCGCTGTACGATACATATGGTGCGGGCATGACAGCAGCAGGAGGAGGAGGAGGGCACAACCGAGTAGTGTCGCTAGAAGATGGCGCGGCAGATATGAACATGGGACAACAACTAGTACGGCGGAACCCGAATCAGCAACTCGCGCCTGCGCCGCGCCGTAATCAGTGGGATGGATACCCTAGTCCGTCACCGCAATGGGAGGCTGTGGACGATATTGAGGAACTGGAACAGAAGGCTGCGGTTGCCAAGAAAGACGCACAATTGAAACGGAAGCAGATTCCGCCTTTTGTCCAGAAGTTGAGCAGGTAAGCGGACAAGTATGCTATCCCTGTTGTTGTAACTCGCTAACGCATCTCCAGTTTCCTCGATAACAACAAGAACGAGAATCTCATTCGCTGGTCAGACGACGGTAATTCCTTCATAGTGCTGGACGAGGACGAGTTTGCCCGGACACTGATTCCCGAGCTTTTCAAACACAACAACTATGCATCGTTTGTGCGACAGTTGAATATGTACGGCTTCCACAAGAAGGTTGGTTTGTCGGACAACTCCATGAAGGCGAGTGAGACCAAGGCGAAAGCACCCAGCGAATATTTCAACAAATATTTCAAGCGCGGTCGACCGGAGTTATTATGGCTGATACAAAAACCGAAGAACCCCACCGCTGGCCCCAAGCGGAAGCGAGAAGATGAGGGCAAAGGCGACAGTGACGATGAACGCAAGTACGTGCAAGATACTGGCGGTGGAGGCTACGTTGAAGAGTTGGCTGTGAGAGGAAACGAGCAGATGGCCATGATCCCGCGATCGGAGTACAACAGCCTGCGCGTCGAAGTACGGGAACTACAGCAGCAGCAGAAACTAATATCGAATGTGTTGACTCAGATCAAGCGACAGAACGAAGAGCTGTATTCACGCGCAACTTCATTTCAAGCGCTGCACGACCGCCATGAGAATTCGATCAACGCGATTCTTACCTTCTTGGCTACCTTCTACAATCGGAGTCTTGAGGGTAACGCGAATGGCATGAATCTTGCTGATATGTTTCCCGCGGCACGGCAGCAACCTCACGGAAACGTCGTGGATGTGGATGACTTCCCACCACCAGAGCCCAACAAGTCACCGATGCTCCAGAGGAGTAAGCGACCTCTCGCCATCCTTCCAGCTCCACCGACTACCCAACAAGACTTGCTCTCGCCGATGGTTACTGGCCGGGCCACGACCATGAGTCCTACTACTAGGCCCATCCCAAGCCCCATCACACGACCTGGGAGCAGGCAATCTGCATTCAAGCCTTCGATACCACCACGGCAGCAGTCCGCCTATCCCGTTTCGCAAGGGAAAGACGATTTATCCTCTCTACCGCTCAAGGTTGAATCACCGTCGACCCTAAGCCCACTTCCAGAGAACGATGCGATCATGTCCGCCATCCAGAATGCCAACGCCAACGCAGGTCAAACCAGCCAAGCACCGCAGTTTGACTATGCAGCCGCATTGTCAAATTACCAGACACAGGACGGCAATGTGCCGCTGACCGCGCAACAACGTAACGATGCGCTATCAGTCATCGCAAACAACATCTCCGCTCAAAACACCAACAACGCTCTCACGAACCCCGACCCTCCGGAGATGAGCAACTTGATCAACGACCTCGTCCAATACCAAGCGACACAACAACAGCTTGAACTGCTACAGAAAATGTCGGATCAGCAGAATGCGCGTGTCCAGAGAATCCAGGAGCGCATTCAACCGCTCAGTCCGAGCGGTCAGATCCCTGGAATGGAGGATACGTCGTACTTTGGAAATACCGGAATAGGTGAACCAGGGCAGTATGACCTTGACTTCGACGCTCTCGTACAGGACCAAGACTATTTCCCCAATAACAATAATAACAACGTCACGACACAAGCCAACGGAAACAATAATGTAGCGAATGGCCTACCAGATTTCAACTTCGACACTCCATCAGCGGGGTTTGACGGTACGAGCGCTGACGCGTTCAACTTCAACCCAGGTGTGGGCGAAGATGATAGCCATCTACATGTTGCTGTTGACGATGGGGTAACAGAGAACAGGATCGAGAGCCTAGGATCGAGCAATGCCACGTCTCCAGCCGCAACAGTGGAGGAAGTCGAGGACGAGACAAGGCGGCGACGCAGCCCGAAGCGGAGGAAGAAGTGAAGTCCCACGGAGCTTGAAGCACAACCGAGTAAAAAAAAGCAGGGCTGCCTGATAACTAATATTGTAGATTGGACAACCGATGACGAAAGTTGGTATTAGGGGCATAGGGATGTAGGCAGGCCCGCGGCGACATAGATACCTCATGCGTGCAACATACATAGTCTCAGCACATAACGAAGTCATGAAAGCGACTGCGAGAGCGCAAACCCCAACGGGGGCTAGGAGGAGTTTTCGGTCTTCTGACTTTACTTTTAATATATTAGGTATTGAAAGGCCAGACGGACAAAAATGTTACATAGATACCCGCTTTAATCAAAATGCTTTTCATCCACATCGTGGTCCATGGGCCGTGCTTGTGTGGGTGCTTGAACATGACTTGACTGATAAGTTCCGTCTTAGCAGATGTATCCTTTTTCACTATATCTCGAACGATTCGATCTAGTCCATTTATCTTTTCTAACAACACTATACACACAAACACGAGCGAATCCGCGAAGCACATGCAGGTGGTATACATCGCTTCGCTCAGCGGGCTTTCCCTTCTAACACACTTTCACAATTATATACTCCATCTATCTACATACGCATACTCTCCGCAATAATCTTATACTCCTTCTTCTTCTTCTGCCACTTTGCCCCTCCAAATTTAACCTTCGCGACGCCGATCCATTTAGACAAGCCAGGGAAAAGGTACCGCTCGCTGACATACGCCAGAGCAAAGTTACCGAGGCCAAGAGCCATGATGAAGACCTTGAAGGACACGTCCATGTAAGTCAGTTCCATCCAGTCCATGACCCATTGCGCGGGGTCGAAGAGCATATATGCCGAGATAGCCAGTGTGAAGAAGATGGTCGTGATGAAGGGGAGGTTGCGGGACATGGGTTCGCGGTAGGGTTTCCCTACCGAGAGCACGACGGCGGATAATATGTACTGGAAACAGGACACCAGGAAGAGCGCGGTGTTCTGCGAGTTGAGGCTGTTGGAGTGGTCTTTATCCACGACAGGCGGCATGTACCAATCCTGCTTCTGCACGAAATGGAAGGCGATGAATTGAACGAGGATGCAGAAGACCATCTGGCCCAGCAGCGGCGTCAGCACCTTTCTTGACACGAGGTTCGCAGTGGGGCGTTTGCGGCTGAGGATTGGATAGGCGCCGGACCAGCCCATGAAGATGGCGATAGGGAGAATAAGTAGGAGGTCGATGAAGAGGAACTGGAAGTCTCCGAGGTTACTCGCGCTGGCGTAGAGGAACGATACAGAGCAAAACTGGATAGCGCTGTACAAGCTCATGTACTTGAAGCAGCTGAAACTCGTCACCAGCGCCGCCCTGCCTTCTTTGATAACCTGCGGCACACAGCTGATATCAAAGTTGCGACTCGTGAATGGCGCCGCTACCGAGGCTTCCGCTTCAGATAGCGATATACCAACATCGGCAGCCTTCAGCGCACCGCAGTCATTTGCGCCGTCGCCACAGAAACCGACACAGTAGTCGATGGACTGCAGTTTCTCGACAAGCTCGTGTTTCTCGTCGGGTGACATGCGTGCGAAGACCTGCCCACACACAAGCATTTCGCGCAGTACGGATTCAGATGCGAAGTCGACAACCCAGCGGAAGACATCTCCACTGACAGCTAGACTGTAATTCCTCAGATTCGAAATGTCGTATGGAAGGGACACGTCGGCTTCTGGCGGTGGCGGGAGAGGTTTGAGTGTATTTTCGTCGAGTTTGAAAACGGGGTCATCAACAGATTCCCAGCTAAGTTTTGATAGTGCAGTGCGGCAGTCGCCCTCAACGAAGTGCGGGACGAAACAATGTGCTGTTTTGTTGATGAGGCCGCACTCGCGAGCGACACTAATAGCGGTGAGGATGTTATCACCGGTGCACATTGTCTTGCGGATGTTCGCGCGTTCCAGCTCCTCGATGACGGGTGCGGTGCTAGGTTTGAGCTTGTTTTCGAATATGATGAAACCCACGAAGTCGAGCTGGCTTTCAGCTTCCTCGCGCTTCATCTTCTGGACCTTGAGCCAGTTGAGCTTGGCGATTGTCTTGGTGGCGCAAGCGATAACACGGAAACCACGGTGGGTGTAGAAAGCCAGGAGCTCCTCGTAATCGGTAGGAAAACTCTCTGCTCGGCAGATCTCTTTCATGACCTCCGGCGCGCCCTTGACATATACTTGTCCACTTTTTGAGCCGAATTGCCGTACAATGACACTGGCTCTCCGTAGCTGTGATACGAACTCAAAAGCCTTCAGCACACCGAGCTCGACTGGCTTTCTATTGGGGTCGTCTTCGTGATCGTCGACATCGTACTCTCGTCCCGGCGGTGGCCGAGCAACAGAAGGCGAAAGCTTTTGCTCGGGATCGTCGTCGCCCGGATTGCCAGACTTCTGCTCTCCTTCTTCGTAGCTCCAGCCAGTAAAGTCAAACATCTTGACGTCGAGAGGATCGCCCAACAGTTCCTCGTCGATCTTGCGCAATGAGTGACAGGTCGCCATGGTGTATAGGATAGTCTTATGGGCTAGATACTCTACGGTCGGGTCACGATCATGTTGTGATCCAGGGAGGATGTCGTATGGGTCTGCGAGGAGCTCGCTGAATCGGTTCCTGGGTCGCTCTACTACGCGCACACCCAACACATCAAGACCTTCTTCTGTAAGTGTTCCGGTCTTGTCGAAACAAACAACATCAAGTTTGCCGCCTACGTTCACTCGCTGCGGGCTGATGCAAAAGATCTGTTTCTGCTTTAAGCGAGATAGAGCGAAGCTGGTTCCGATGGTGAGGGTGGCCGGTAGTGCAGGAGGTACTACGATCGTAATCAAATCGAGCGCTCGCACAACGATCAGATGCCATTCGAGACCGAGGTGGACGAAATTGATGAATGACGCGACGAAGCCAATCATAGCAATTATTGCCATAACGGAGATGTATCGGAAAGAGTCACGGTAGAACTTGAAGCCGGAAGGCTTGGGGAAGAGCATTGACCGTACTAGCGCACCCTTTGTCGTGTTGAAGCCGGTACGGACAACCATTGCTAGGGCAGCAGCTTCATCGTCGACGTGATCCTCGTGCGGTCTCCGAGCGCGGATGATTTTAGTTCCAGAGAACAACATATGGCGCGCGATTTCTGGATGTACAGCGGAGGCACTAAGGTCGAGCATGTCGAGCGATGCATTTGAAACAGGGAGCTTAGAAACTGGGATGGACTCGCCGGTCAGCATACTCTCATTGACGATGCAGTCTCCAGAAAGTAGCAGGCTGTCGCAAGGGAACTGATTAAGTGCAGGATCCGTGACTTCGTAGACATCTCCTGGCACAAGCTCTGCTGAGTCCACGTGAGTCCAAAAGCCGCTACGCAACACTCGAACCTCGCATTCGAACTTCGAGACCTCGCGTAATCGCTTCATGGAGGTTTTTGTCTCAATCAGAGTGGTGATGATACTGACAGCTGAGATGATGAAGATGGCGCATGCGTAGTAATAATACTCGTCCAGGGACCAGAGGAGAAGACTGGCGATCTGGAAAACGTAGAATGGATGGAAGACCTCGTCCACCAGGAGTTGACCAATTGTTTTCTCGGCGATATCGATCAAATTCTTTCCAAATACAAGCTCGCGGTAGTCTCGTTCATCGTTATCGAGGCCTTCGCGGAGAGTGGACACTTCGGTCCAAGCAGGGTCCTTCCAGGTGTTCGCGAGTACGAACTTGTCCTTGATGGGGTGATAGACGAAGCGGATATAGCGGTAATCTAGGCAGCGTAGCTCTTGAATTAGTGGATCTTCGTCCTCATCCCATTCTCCATGTCGTCCCTTCTCATCATCGCCAAATACCGTGGATAATGACCGTCCGTAAGTCTGCCGGCTCACATCTTGTACAGCGAACTCTCCCCATTGGTTTTCGATTACGATCCAGTCGCACTCTTTGATTGGTGTATTCCTACCGACCAGTTTTACCCTCCATCGAGGTAACCACCGGAAGAGGAGCCAGCCGATGCCTAAAGTAGCAATGCAAAGCAGCGCGTATACAGCATAGCCAATGGGTGACGTTGTGAAGCCAGCGATGACGATAGTCAAGTCTTCGGTCATGATGTAGATCTTCTGGTTTGACCTGCGCCCTCTCCAGTCTGCGCCTGAGCCTGTACTCCCTGTCGAAGAATGCCGCCGCAGCAAGGGCCTGTCAACTGATTTTCTGCTACCACTTGACTTTCTCCGCGATGGCGTCGGCGACGTCGACTCTGAAGACAGGCCCGCCTCAAGGTCTTCCAGCTCTGCGACGGTATATCCACCGTATTCACTCTCTCCGTCTTCTGCGATAGCGTGGTCCTCAAGACCGTCTTGCGAGTCCTGGTCTTCATCATAGTATGCGAAGCTCGTCAAACTCGCACTCGAGTCTGCTCTCTGCCGGCGGCGGTGGGAGAAGGCGGATACGCTCGTGGGTATGCTCTCGGACATGGGACCGGAGAAGACCTGGATTGTGGGCGTCAGCTGCTGTCCAGGCTCCCTACGGGGAGGCCGCGTGCGCGAGGAGGAAGGGAAAAGAGGCATGGGGCCGAGTTCGAATACCTCATCGTGCGCCATCTCGACATCTTCCATGAAGCTTGCCCTACGCGACAAGTCAGTCGTTGCGCTTCTTGGGCCTTATCTTTGGATAGCACATACTCGCTCAGGTGCGATCCGCGACGATACATGCCGCTCATCCTGCGGCGCCTCTCAGGGCTACCGTTTGCTACCATGATGCTGCCGCGAAATTGAGACGTTTAGGTCATTGTGTAATAGGAGAAGAAGGATTTCCTTTGCGCCTGCAAGCTTTTGGACAGTAGCGCGCGTGGTAGCGGGAGTGGTATGACGAAGTTATCGCGCGGATGCTGATCCGAGCTTTTCTTTTTTAGCCGCATCCCATCGCAACAGGGGTCAGATACCTGTGCCTAGTGCTCTCTTACCACTACTCCCTTGAATATGTAACCAGCGATTTCATTACTTGAAATAAAAAAAGAGCCTATTTGTATCTTTCAGAACAGCCTTTACAGGCTGGCAATAGAGTATATTAATCTTGGCCCGACTAAACACTCTTCACTCCATGCTGTCACTTTGGTGCTGTCACCGAAAGGGAGTATCGCGAACCTATACCATGGGAATAGTACACCAAGTCCATAAGCTTAAACAGGGCCCCTTCAAGAACCGCTCCGCTCTACTTCTAGAATATCGTCTTGCTGCATACCATTCTATCTTACCTCCACAACGTTGAGCGCGAGCTTAAATCGGATTAGACTGATTGTTTGGAACATGGTTGTACATAAAACTGAGAATGGGTTAAGAACCAGCATCAATGTCAAATTAGTATCAGATCACAGATCACAACCCACATAGAATATAAGTTTGGAGGTATACTACAGTGTTTAGATTAGGTTTAAGAGAAGTACTAAAAATATTGCCCCAATGACCGCTACGCCCGTGTTGAAGAAATGCCAGGAGTACATAAAATCGGAGTAGATTTTTGACGCAAATGGTCCCCATGAAAATGCAATACAAATGACTTCCTACGCCCTTTAGCTTGGAATTAGAAAGGGCAATGTACGTATTACTGACGAGACCGGCATCTCGCCATGATGCTTTTCAAGTCGTTCAGCGTCAACCACCAACGGTCTGCTCGAGACGGTGAAGATGATCGTCTTCAAGCCCAAGCATCCGTAGACTTCCTCTCGTTCTCAACTTCATGTCGCTCGCGGCGGTCCTGGTGGATCTCCCGAACCACGTGCACAACATCTTGATCCCTGACTTGGTTGGACACGGGAGCTTCGGATGCCCAAGCAAAAGCGTGTACACCAGGAGAGACGGATCCAGTGGCCGATTTATCTGTTTCGGTAAGTTCGGTGATGGAGCGACGGGAGAAAAGCGGAAGGACTGGATGGCGATGGCCCTGGCAACGAAAGACGCGCTTTAGGAACGAAGGTTCCAGCAATGACGAGCCGTGCTGAGTACCCTCCTGCTTTTGCTTCAAGAGCGTGTCCTCTGTAGTGATGTTGTGTAGGTGTGATATGGAGTTTAGCATCACGGAATTGCTACATGTGCTGTCGTCCAAAGTATCCGTAGCAGATACAATCTTCGTGCCGCTGTTAGACCAGAACATGCCTTTCGCCCTACTCGACAAATTCGATCCCCAGGTCCTTGCAGTGATGAAGCCAGAAGGCGTCGAGTTCCCGCTCTCGCGCATGACATGCAAGCTTGTGAAAATCCTGCCACATCCAAGCCTTAATAGCATCTTCTTGTACAAGTTGTGTGAGTCTGTACCGGTACCGAAGACGAAGAAGATCACATAGCCTGTCGCGACTTGGACCCATTTCTCGATGGAAACTTGGCCGAAGACAGGGACCTTCATGACAGTGTTGAATTGGGGCCCGTGGACGTGATTCCAATCGTATGGGTCCTGGATCGCCCCAAAAAGATTGCCGAGCACCCAGAAGGTGTACGGGAGGTAGACGAGGATGACAAACATGCAGATGATGAAGAGGCGGATGAAACGGGATCTCGTTGTATTGCGTGCAGCGATAAGGCGGTGGAACTCTCGGCGGTAACGATATAGTCGGTAGATGAGGAGTACTATTCCAGTATCAGCAAATGAGTCCTGAAGAGTCAGACGATGAAAGCTTACCTGCGTAGTATGCAGCCACCAACATAGTGATAGGTCCCCACATGAAACCCAGGACCATGCTGGGCCAACTTGTATGAAACGCAGAAATGCAACCAACAATTCCATACAGGAGGTAGCGAACGGGCTGCACAACATAGTACACCATGATCAATACCATGGGGTATACCCAGCACCATAGAACGTCCAGTACCCACTCCTTGATCTTGCTGTTCCGGCTGGAAGATACAGTCATATTTCGCGTGTCCATGACTTTGGCCAGTTTCCGTACGATCATAGCGGTAGAGGCTGCAAGACCCACTATGCCTCCGATCTGTATGCGGACATTGATATCACACCACACATTGCCGTCCCACCAGTCTATGAGGTTGTCGCGCGGCCAGATGAGGGGATTGATCGAGTTGAAGAAGTTGTTCATGACAATCCAGAGGATGAGTGAGCCGGCCGCAATGTTGCGCTGCGAAAAGTGCCAGATCATAGGCAGTACACAGAGTAGCCATGCTGGGAAGCCGAGAACGGGGAGAAGGACGGCTTGCGGGTAGAGAGGAGCTACTGACGCTCCCTGAGGACTTGTAACCTCGAATTTCGACCCCATGGTCGGATTGTGGAGGCAGACTGAAGATGAGAAGAATTGAGATTATGGAAGCGGCAGTGGCTGCTCTGAACGGGGTCCACGGGTTTAGCCGTCGCTTGAGATACTTGTCGATGGGGCTTGCTGCTTCTTTGTTGTAGTTATGATTCGATGATACTATCCCTAGGGTGCCGGTACAAAGTGGAATTGTAGGAAATCTGAATGGTGGAGTTTGAGATAGCGAAAGAAACAGATGGATATGAGTAACGAGGGCCAGATCTTATGGCTTCTTTGGGCCTGCGTTGCAATTGAGTATATTTTATCTCAATAGTGTCTCAAGCTTCAATACTGGTCAATAGCGACTCCTGTTTAACATGTACTGTAATGGTTGGTGAAAGCAAGTTGGGCAACTCGAGACCTTGTCAGCCAGGTCGGCTCGCCGAAGACTCTGAGCATGATACGAAACGAATGGACCGACTTATTGAGTATAATCTACCAATCAACCGTATGCGCTGATCACTCTCGTTGCGGTAGTGGTGATGTCGGTGAGACCTCGTGATACCGGATTTGGGTCTGAATAGAAAAGGCCTCGGCGAACGTCAATGTGAATAGAAAAACCAACGAATGTCTACAAGACATGTTTGTGATAGACTGAGGACGGGCAATTGTACGTTTCTTGCTATTCAAACGTGGTCCTGGGGTGCCCAAGTAGTGCTTAGGTTGCTGCGAGAGCGTTTGCCGTACAAATGGATATGGTAGAGAGCTCCAATGAGGCGAACTTGACAGCTTTACTAGCGATGTATCCAGTCAATGGAAAAAGGATTCGTATGCATAATTGTAATTCCGGTACGACCAGAGGGCAACGCGTCCGGTAGATGGTTCGAAAGTTGAGATGATAGACAGGGCAATTTTAGAGCATGGTACCGTGAATTGGCAAGACGTTGTGAGCTCGGCACGTCTAGTGAGGTTAGTTAGCAACAAGTCAAAGAATTGCCTTCGTTTGTACCATCGAAAACGACAAGGGTATGGAGTGCCCTGGCGGTCGGAAATGAGTACTGTGAGGATGCTCGGGAAGGCGTTGGGTCAATGTTTCTACAATTGCCCATAACAAGGCTAGCCCGTGACGTAATCCTTGTGCTTCCGAGGTACCTGCCGAATGACGGATGGTATACGACTAGAACACACGAAATGTGAGCGTCACTAGAGTTGTCAGCCCTGCAGAATGCGCCGCCGACGACCAAGGGAGTACCACGTACACCTGGACCGCCGGCCTTCCAATCCCGCTTTGTGATACGCTCCCAGAACTCACCTCGCCGCACCGTTCGCTCATCGCATCGTCGCTTCTCTACCATGGACGGCGCGCCTGCCGAAAGCCATAGTTCTGGCTCTCAGATACACCCGCAGTTACGCCAGAGGATGTTGAATCGCGCAGCAACCTTCGCTGAAGGCGTGCAACAGCAGGCCCCGACAGCAGCCCTCCCGCGCCGACGAAGCTCTATCCTCTCCGACCTGTCAGACACGCGACACTCTCTCCGATCCTCTACCGATGACCTACTACGAAGTGGTGGAAAACATGATATGGGTAGTCTCACGTCTTCAGACGAACCGTCGCATTGGATCTTGCTCCCAATCGTGGCCGCCATTGTACCAGCAGCTGTTGGGCTGACACACAAGAATGGCGCCGCTGTTGCGACGGATATGTTGATGCTAGCGCTGGCGTCGTGGTTCCTGCACTGGTGTGTGCGGGTTCCATGGTGAGTTTAGAGCACGACATTCAAGCTTTCCCGCTGACATGGAGCAGGGACTGGTACCATGATGCCCAGCAACGGCAGTACGAATACAAGGAAACAGGCGAAGCGCAGTACGATGACACAATCCTCGAGGAGGATGAAGATAGCGTTGGAAGTCCAGCCGAGCCCCCAGAGCCTGTTGCAGAGGACCCGCAGGAATCAAAAGAGAATGCAAGTAGCGGTTCTACGGCTGCTGCAGATGCCCAGAAGGACGCTCGCAAGCAGTTGAAGCGGGAGGAGCTCTTGGCTTTCGCCAGCTGTTTTCTCGGGCCGCTGCTGGGCGCCCTTTTGCTACATACAATACGAGGACAGCTCACGCGCGCGGAAGGGATAGTATCGAACTTCAACTTAGGTATCTTCTTCTTGGGGGCCGAGATCCGACCGTTTCGCCGCCTCATCAAAATGAAGAGAGAAAGACTTTTGCATCTCCAGCGCGTAGTCAGGTCAGATCCTAGAGACGATCTAGGCGCCGCCGATGCACAACAACTCTCGCAGCGGCTGACAGAACTAGAGGCTCGACTAGACGGCCCAGTTGCTAATAACGACGTGGACATCTCCAAGCTCAGTGCCGAGGTACGCCAAAGCACACAATTGCAATTGGACGCCCTCAACCGCGCAGTTCGACGATATGAGAAACGACACATGGCACAATCAATACAGATCGAGGCGCGCTTCCAGGAGCTTGATGCACGGCTCGGAGATGCGCTTGCACTGGCTGCTGCGGCTGCAAGGACAGGTCAGCGACCCGGTATCATTTCTATGACGATTAGCTGGATTGCAAGTATCGTTAACTACGTCTTGGATATAGCCTGGAACATTGTCATGTACCCTCTGCGAACGGCAGCTGCTGCTATAGCGCTGGTCAGAACATGGTTTATGAAGGATGAGCCTCGGTCTCGAAGACGAGCAAAAGGACAGCTTAATGGGTACTCGTCGATATCGACGCCTAGGATGCAGTCCAAGAGCCAACGATAAATCACTTTCCTCCCTACAAACTATCTATTGATACCCAACACATATACCATTCTTTGTTAGATTCTCATATAATACCTTTGACGTACCGGTGTGTGTGCATTAGTCACTTCTTGCGGTGGCTAACTTTGGCTTTGGCTACCTTCCCTCCTTCGTAGGGTCACATCTAGGCCGACGTTACCAATCGAGTAATCCGAAGCAACCATACGGAGATAAACATCGACCCCGGGGCACTAGCCTGCAGCCCCCACCATTATAGTGGCCAGTCCGATACGACCATGTATCTATCGCGGGGCCCTTTCGTTCTCGTATCTGCCACAGCTTCTTCCTGTTCCTTCTTCAACACCGCATCTTGTGTTGTTTCGGCTGTTTGCCAAAAGAAACGTACTGGCAGTCTAACATGTCGCTTAAGTCCGACCTCATAATCGACGCGTCGAAGTTCGACCGCGAAACAATTGACAAACAAACCCTAGAGTTCAACCAGAAACTAATCAAGATATGGGCGGACGGTCCTAGGTGGTATGAGGTACGAAATGCTTAGATCTAGCTGTTTTCTCATCTTCCTTGCGTCTTTCCAAAGTGCCAACTCAGGCTTATAATTGCATCAGGTCGGAGCTGCCGAGTACCGTAAGCTTCGTTGGGAAGGCAAGACACCATTGACGAAACCTGTTGTTTTACCTGAAGGCATCAATGGTACCTTACCCTCGCGAGAGCTCGGGAGGGACATACCGTACAGAGTGTTCAAGCCTGCGAGTGGTGTCAGTAAGGGCATACATATGCACATCCATGGCGGCGGATGGGTATTAATGTCGGAAGCTTAGTATGTATTCCCATAAGATAAGATGGAAATAGACATAATAATTGGAGCAAGCTGACCGTTATAGTCAAGACCCATACCTGAAATACATGGCCGACCACTTCGAACTCACAGTTGTCTCAATCGGATACCGCCTCGCGCCCGAAGACCCCTGGCCCGCTGGAGGAGAAGATTGCTACGATGCAGCAGAATGGCTGGTAAAGAACGGCAAGGAAGTCTTCGGCGGGGAGCTGATGTTTACTGGGGGCGAAGTAAGATATTATGATAGAACCTCCCTGCAATCACTAACGGCTCCTACAGTCTGCAGGCGGCCACCTCGCCTGTCTTGTTGCTCTTCACCTCCTGAAGACTACGCCTACGTTTGCGTTCAGAGGCCTTCTCTTACACTTTGGCTGCTTTGATCTCTCCCTCTTCCTGCCACACGTTCTCCACCACGAATCGCACCTCGTTATCGACCACGACGTCATGACATCTTACATCGACGCCCTACTGCCCAACACCTCAGTCGAACAACGTCGAGATCCATCTATCAGTCCATTTTATGAGGATTTGAGGGGCAAGAAGCTGCCGCCGGCGCTGTTTACGTGCGGGAGTGAGGATCCGTTGCTAGATGATACGCTGTGTATGGGTGCGAAGTGGGGAATATGGGGGAATGAGAGCGTGGTGAAGATTTACCATGGCGCGCCGCATGGGTTTATTGGGTTTCCGCCGGGGACCATCAAGGCGGTGCAAGAAGCATTGGATGATACGGAGGTCTTTGTGAAGGAGAGGATTGATGCTTGATGAGGACTAGAAGGAGGCGGATCCTATGCATAGGGATGTTGTACCGTGAATACAATCAGCTTCCTATGCATTGAGAGCGCATACACAATCTTAAGCGACGCGTGGAGCCCTACCATAACCGTCGCGTGAAGCTCGAGCACGCGTGCGGTATCAAGCTTGGGCCTCACTTAACGTCATGCCACAAGGGTGTTAAGACTGTGCGGGGTAAGGCCGTTAGTACAGCAGCATATCACAGATCACGCACAAAGAGGATCGATATTTTCGTGAAGCATTTTTGATTCCGTTATCGTGATGTCCACAGTGCGAATGTGTCAGTCAAAGGCAGACCCCCAGAAGAGGAAGCTAGCCGGTGTTAGAGTGACAATCGTAGTGCTTTCAAGTGACTCTCAAACATCTCAATATGGGCTTTAGAGCCATTGACCAGCACCCCACAGCATTCCTCAATCCAGCACATTCGATACCCCCGTCGTGTATATTGAAGTTCGTTCGTCGCGTGTCCGCCGAATGACGTAGCCCAAAGGTCGTAGGCCGTGAAGCGGTGAACAGGAGTTACGAGCCGGCCCGAAGGCTGTGCGTAGAAAACGTGTCGTTTGTGAATCGTTGTCGTTCAGAATTGAGATGGTGGGTGCTGAGATTGAGGGGCGAGTAGTTTACTTGCTGCGGGGTTGTTAGGACAAAGAAGCTGGCAGCAGTGACAGTGGGATTACTTACGAGCGAGCCCTCGTCTTTCTTCTCTTTCGCTTGAGACGGCGCACGCGCTTCTTCCTCCATTTGGCTCTCATCTTGTCGGCGAACTGGAAGTGATGTCAGCGACTGCGATTGGAGCTGTGCGGGGTGGGTGAGGGGAATAAGGAAGCTCAGGGAACAGCTCAGGATGTCCAATTGAGTGTTGTGAAGGCGCTCCGAGGACAGGATTGGGAACTTACGTTGCTGTCGAGATGAGTGTCGTGGGTTGCAGAAGAGAAGGTGCGTTGGAGCTGATCGGAGCTGTATTGTGCGATCCGCTAAGCGAGCACTTAGTCATCAAGTACGTCAGGCTTGGCGTTTGGACGACAGATGCGCATTGGACTAGAACAGCCGTATCTACGGGGGACTTCATTTCATGAAATGGCGGGTGTGGCTGTGGCGTGGTTCGAGATGCGAGCCGTTGGCGATGAGCCGTACGGTGAGTGCAATACTGGAACCTGAGGTACTATAGCAAGCTAACGCATGTAGAATCCTGTGGCAGGATTGAGATATGCGGGAACGAACAGTTCCACGTTGGGAGGGATACAGAGCTTTGGTGAGAGCACTGTCTACCTCACCACGATGAGAACTCGCTCTGATCCATATTGTAGCCGGTACTCCTGGGCGGACGACCTCACCATCTCTAGGAAGCATCTGCGGATCCATTGTATCTTGTACGAACAGGACCCCGTTGCCAACATTGCGCCTTTCGTATACGCAACTGATTTATCGGCTAACGGCACGTACTTGAGAAAGAGGAGCACTAAATGTACGGCATCGCAAGGCCCTGGTATTCTCATGGGCCCGAACTGCACTTTCCTTCTGGATGACGGCGATGAGCTGCGCATATCAGACACCGTGACGTTGATCTACCGCCCGATCAAGCCGGTGGATGAGGTCAAGCTGACTCCAATTCAAGAACGCGAGCAGAGCGTCTTTGCCTCACGTTATCTTGTTACGGGTCGTCTACTCGGCGAGGGTGGGTATGGAAAGGTGCTTGTTGGTATCCACCAAGAGACCCAACGGCAACTCGCATGTAAGATCATCAAGCTCGGTCACATGTACGAAAAGCTTGTAGTCCCCAATTTGCGGCTGCCCACTGGAGGACGATCCTCTGGCACAAACACAAGCGGCACTAGAAAGCGATGGCCAACTAAAGTTGCCAATTGTTTCCGAGAGTTCGACATTCTCAAAGACGTGAGCCATCCGAACATTGTCGCACTCCAAAAGGTCTTTTGGAGCCACGACACAATTTACATATTCCAGGAACTTGTCACAGGCGGCGACCTCTTCTCGTTCCTCGAGTACAAGGGCGGCCGACTTGACAACGTTCAGGCTGCAGTCATTATTCGGCAGATTCTGAAGGGGGTCAAGTACCTACACGATCAAGAAATCGTGCATAGGGACCTCAAGCCTGACAACATTTTGATGACCTCACTGGAAGATGGCGCCCGTGTTGTGATCACGGACTTTGGCAATGCTAGGTTTCTACCTGAAAAAAAAAGCGAGAGTGATTTGGTATCGAACAGATATCAACGTATGTTCTCTTATGTTGGTACCTTAGAGTTTGCAGCCCCAGAAATACACAGAGCGAACCGAGCTATTCCCGCCGAGGACGGGTATTCTAAGAGCGTTGACATGTGGTCTATTGGCTCCATAACGGCTACGATACTCACTGGAGATGCCATCTTCACCGACCGCACTCATCCAAACTACTACGATGATCCCCGTGCAGTTATCATCAGCCTTGCAGCAATTTGCGATCTGAGCGTGCTCGATGACGATCATCATCCGCTATGGAGTACGGTCAGTGATCGCCCGAAAAGTTTCATCAAAAGTTTGCTGGTACTTGAAGAAGGGGCACGACTTACAGCATCTGAAGCTTTGGCACACAGCTGGTTCTCGTGTTACGCGGGAGATTTCGAGGATCTGTATTCACGTTCAATCGAGGACTGGGAACCGCGTCAAAACAATGTGCAACTCGTGGAACGCATCTCCAAGTTGGCACCAAATCTTGCCCTAGTGGGGAATACACAGAGTCAAGAGGTTACATCACGTTTCTTCGCTCCGCGCCAACCGGGCCAGACGGACGACATGCTGCAAAAGCTATCAACCTCCCAACGCTGGCGTGCGAATACCCCGCTGCCATCGATTAGAGAAGACTATGAAACGGCCCAATTTGCAAGTCAAGTCCAGCCACCGTCATCCGAAAGCAATTTTGGAAATAACGCGAGTCAACGGGATACGAACACGTACAGTGTATACGACAAGAAATTGTGCGGTGAAAGCAAATCAAATAACAGCAAGTCTCAACTCTTCGATGCAGATGGCTCACAGAAGCGCGCAATTTCGACCGGTCACTCCTTGAATCAGCGCTCGTCCAACAATGCAGCTGTACTGGGTACGTATCACAGGAACGAAGTCGCCGAAGACGAAGACTCCTATGGATCTGGTGAGAGCTTGAATAGAGCCATGCATGATTATTCGCAACAAGGGTATTGTATTACGCCACAACCGCAGATTGCTCACCAAGGGCAGGAGTCAATTCTAGTAGGCGAGACACCCCAGGCCAAAGAGGAGTCACAGAGAAGCAGCAACACTAGTCAACAACCTGACGAGAGTTATCAGCAAACCCAGTTTCCTGACGAATACGGTCAACAACAGGCTCCAGCCGTGGAACAGGACTCCGTCGTGGTGAGCGAGACCCCCCTTGACGTTTGCCGACAATATACTTGCTCTTCGCACAATAGCCTTCCGAGCTACGAAAATTGGTTTAATCATAACTGGCAAGCTAACGGGGCTGATGTGGAGATTGATGCAGAAGACTGTTCAAAGCGTAGACGGCTTTCGCATTATCGCCACTAATATACACAGCTTGATCTTCGACTAATCCGCAGCCCAACTATTCACGATTTTCAGAACGGGATGATGTAGTGGGTACTGTCATTTCCTCGTTTCATACGTTACTCACGGTTTCACATTTCGCCGAGATACATTATATGTCATATAACCCATTTATCCCTTCTATCTATCGCCCTCATTGTCAAGTGTCTGAAAAGTCTATATGAACGCGTATTATCAGCTGCACTCCTATTCATCTTTTTCCTGACTGGCTAAATTAGCAATCTGAGACTCCCGTGAGCTATCGCCTTTCGTGTCAATCATTAAACATATTTCCAATTCTGTACTTGGTATGACGATGATGCGAGAGCTGATCAAATGGAAGTGACTATGAGTACATGTTGCGACATCACATATTATAAGCAAGTCAAAGAATATACGGGACTCTGACTATGGTCAGAGTCAAGGATACTATTGAAGTGTCCATGCTAAATCAATCGCTGTAATACGGGAAGATTACCCTTATTTATCGCCCGCAACTATATTCCCTCTTGTTGCATCGCTAAGATCCGCCCTTTGAGGAAGCGTACCTTTCCTAGCCCTTTTCCCCTCCAAATATCCCCCCCTTCCCATCGTGTCGCTGTTTACTGCGGTCCACTGCTTGTCTTATCTCCTTGCTCTCATCTGCCGTATGATTTGGATCGACTGTCGATCTGTTGATGTGTGTGTATTTATCAATCTCTTTGGCCGTGTTTTGTCTGTAATCGTGTCGGTACCTCATGCCTATCTCCATCCGGGCTCAGACTGTTTGGTCCATCGGAAATTCCCATTCAAGGCTGCGACTTCTCTCCTTCGCGCAAATTCTGCACCTCCGTCGCAAACCGCTCGATGCCCTTAGCCTTTGAAGAGATGCCAAGCTTGCTAGCCAGCTTTCGATACTCCATGTCTTGCTTAGCCTGCGCTACTGTCTTGCTACCGATCTTCTTCTGCAACTCCTGGACAACAACATCCTCAAATTTCTTAGCCATGTTCGCAAGCTGCTCCGCAGACAGTGGGACGAAGTCATTCCAGAACGGTGCGCTGCCGGCTAACATGAGATCTTTGAGAAGTTCGTTTTCGAGGCCCTGATTCAGCCTGGGAATCTTGGTATTCGCGTTGACAAAGGTATCGTAGAAGTCGACGATTATCTCGCTGCGAATTTCGCTTGAAATAGTCAAGGCTGCAGGGGTTTGCGACATTGGCTGTTGCAGCTGGGCGAGATCATTTTGCGTGAGTGTTTCGCTCGTATTCATGACAGTTGCCTGCGCCTGCGCCTGCCCCTGTGGCTCTGGTGCTTGGCTTGGTTGTGGCATTGTGATAGCCGGATTGGAGTTATTGTGACCTTGACTGTTGTTCACTGGCCCAGCTTGTGGGTTGGCAGAGAAGGTCGCTTGTAGCTGGGAGAGTGAAGCCGCCATTGACGATAGTGACGGGAACGCATTAAGGTATTGCTACCATTATTGTTACCTGAAACCCCCTGGCTTACTGCGGAGAGGAAGGTCGCCTGACTGGGACGGAAGAAGTTGGCCTTGTCTTCAGCCTCCGCATCTTCCATGTCAATCTCGATGGAGACGGCAGGCACGGCGGGTGGTGGACAAGTGACCGAGATACGTTTCCCCCAACGAGAAACCGTCTTTAGGAAGAATCCGAAAGACTTGGAAATCATCGGTTGGACTTTTCTCCTCGCTTGCTTCATCATCTTTCGCGCAAGGAGATGGAATTTCTTGACTCCTCGATAGAAGGTGGAACGAATCATGTACTCCTCGCACTTCTTGGCCTGGAGTGTATGATACTCATTGATAATGGCAGCTCTAGTCAAGGTGAGTCGACCTTGGATAATTTGTTGGTGAATACGCATGAGGATGCGGAGTTCCATTTGCTGCGCCATCTCAAAAACTTCATCACCAGACAAACGGCATACACATTGCTCGAAAGGACGAGGATTCATCGCCTTAAGAGTCTGATAAAATTTGATGACCGCGTCGCAACGGTCACTGTCTGTGACACAAATGAGGCGTAGATACGGCGAAGTAATAGGCCGAAGCTTCTCGACGTCTTCACCTGACAGCATCTCTTGGTCAAGCATATTTGCGCTTGGAAGTGCTGATGTGCCTTGAGAGGAGGCATGCTTGGATGACACAGGTCCTGAGCTTTGGCTAATGGGCTGCTCATACTAGCCTGACTGTCTTGGTTTTGCTGACCGGCAGGATTCGTAGCTGCCGTTTGATCCGTAGTCGTTTCCTCAGTGTTCATTTTGTCCATGTCATTTTGTTGCCGAGCCGCGTCTATTTGTTGCTGGACCTTTTCGGTTTTTGAAGCCCAGTCTACGACGATGGCCTTGAGCGCTTGGAGGGTCTCCGCGGTTGCTTTCACACCAAGCCTTGAACAAAGCTCACGGCCAACGCACTCAACCTTGGCTTCAGGGTCTGACTTTTTGGAGACTGCGACGAAGTGTTCAACGGCACAACTCAAAGACCGAGTTGCGGGGCGGTTCAATTGAACTTTGTGTTGGAGCATGCTGCTGATCAGTAGCTTTTGGAGGTAATCCAGGTCTAGAATTCGACTGGGCTCGATGGCATCCTCAAGTGGCAACGGCATGTGCGATCGGGGAAAGTCGATGTGCGCGACCAAAACATCTATATCAGCCACTTGGACGGCCATTCTCAAGATTGGAAAGATGTCATGAAGAGGTGGAGGTGACTCAGTTGATTCTGTGCTCGTTCTTTTCAACGTCAAAGACAAGGACTCAGGCTCTAGTATCAGTCTTAAGGTAGTATGTTAAGCTACAGAGCGCAGCAAGATTAATTATATTTACTTTTAAGATCTTTTTCTATCTTTAAGTTAGTATAGGCGTTAGGGTTTATAAAAGTTAATTTTCTGTGGCTTAAGCTATAACAAAGTTTTAGTAGGTAGTGCAGCTAATGCATGCAATATAGTTAGATACATTTTTGTCTATAAAACTCCTAGTTAGCTATTTAAATAGCTATAGTAAAAGAATAACCTAGGGGAGCAATTGCGTACTAATTAAACTAAGCGCCTTATAGAGCGCGATCTTCCTCGCCGCCTTTCGGCCGCTGGCCTTACTACGACTTGTAATCCTAGTGTACACTGCATTAGGGCCTTCTACCTCGAAATCAACAACGCAGCGCCACTGCGACGGTTGTAGGGACAATTGCTCGTATGTAGCGCCGTTGTTGAGATGCAGCCATCCAACACTTACTAAATAGCCATGCGCAGAAATTGCATCTGAGGCGTACTTTTTTAAAAGCCCGGTGATTGTAGTGATTCGTGCCATGTTGATTAAAGTAGGAAACAGCTTTGATCTAAGCAATGTTGAAGTCACTCTGTAACGGTTGTATAGAGTACGGTCGCTCGTACATACTGCTTTAAGCAAGGCCGTGTGCATGTATCTATGAGTAAGTGAGTACAGCAGAAAGTTGTAGTAGGGAGAGCCCGGGCTGTTGACGGTAACTATTTAACGCTAACTAGTCCGGGCTAAGCGCTAACTGACCCTGGTTTGCGGATGCGGGCTGCGTATATGCCACGAGTAAGAAGAATATTATTAGTTGCAATATAATGATAATGCTGTTTAATGGACTAAGCGCATAGTATTGTACAACTACTTTAACTCTTACAACTTTACGAGTTGAGGCGACACACGTAGCCAGGGAACGGTTATAGATGGGAGTATGTGGCAAGAATTAGGTAAGACCGGCATATTCGTGCAAAAGATGGAATGATAGACAGAATCTATTCACGTCTATCTATAGAGAGGCAGTCCAAAAAAGTCTGGAAGCCGAATAAAACACTCAGATCAAGAGTGCGCATCGTACGTTGCTGGTAGTGCTAAGCTACGCTCGTAAGGGGTTCTTAATGCCTGCCGACGCATGTTGATAACAGCAAACGCCATCGTCTTCTTCCAACTTCTAGTTCCTGCGACTCCTCTTTGCCTCCTCACGCAGTTGATCTCGGTTGCGAATGTCTTGCGCCTGCTTCACTGCCCAGTCCGGGGCACCCGCGTCTTGGGCGTCTGCACCTCGTTTGCGTTGGGCGTTGAGTGGGCTGAGAGTCTCACCAGGACTGTTGTTCGTGGTCGTTGAAATGTTAATAGTGGGCTGCATACAAGTACGACCTGGTCGGTTCGTATCAGCACGGTTGCTAATATTGGTGGTAGCCCTAGGGGGGCCTTGTCGTGCGCGGGTAGCGGGCGTGTCGAAGTAAATGTTATCATCACTGTCAGACAACTCGATGAAGGTGCGACCTGGCACACCTCCTTCAACCGAAGTGTCGCAGCAGCGATGTTGATCTGGTCGGGGCTAACGGATAGAGGAGGGTCACACTGTTCTAGGTTAGAGGCTTTCAAAGGGTTTTGTATTCCTGAACTAACCATGGCAGGCTGAGTATGAGAAGGTGCAGCATCAGGTGCTGTTTGAGAGCTGTTCGTGGCCTGTTGAGTCTGCACCGAACCCTAAACGTAGTCGGTAAGCCATGCTCATGATCACTAAGAACTTGAGCACTCACAAGACTCCCAGTTACATATAGAATTGGGGTTGCAACAGTCCTAGCCACTTCTGGATTGCTGGCCAGCGGGATCACACTTTGAGACTCTAGTGCATGTGGAGTCGAAGTGCGATCGGCAGCAGAAACTTGAGTGTCGCCATTTGGTGTATCGTGCGCTGGGGCGTTGTAGACATAGTCGCTTCGAGTAATATCCTGTCCGGTTCTGGCGGCAAGGAGCTGCTGCAATAAAGTCTTGATCTCCAGATGACTTGCTTTCAGCTCTGCCAGCTCGCGCTCGAGGCGCTCAAAGTCCGCCTTGGTCGCGTATTCGGTGGAGGTCGTAGTAGGAATCGCATTTGCGATCGTCTCCTCAATCGCGCTAGCGGTGGGCATGTTGTTGGTGAACGACATTGTGGAGCTGGAAGAGTCAGAAGATCGCGTGTGGTTTTGGGTAATCGGTCGTTAGGTGCAGAGGAAAGATCGAAGTTCGCGATGAGAAAAGTATCGGGGGTGCCAAGGCAATCCCAGTGTGGTAGAGCGGGAGTGAAAGTAGGGGTGAATGGTGCTTTGAGTGGCAAGAGTTGAGAGCGCGTCTGGCCGTGGATGTGGTAGATCAGGAGGTGAGGAGGCTAGAAAAGGTACCAGCGACAATATATATAGTGCACGGGGGAGAGCGCTGCCAAGTTTGTTTTAGCGCGATGAAATCCCAGAGTGAAATGGTAAAGTGAGCTGGACTTGGACCCATTGGGCTGCGAGGGTGAAAGCGAGTGGAAGCCCCGAGTACGCGTAAATAGAGCACTTTATTGTGAAGTTTACTATATAACTACAGGTGAGCGTTAAATCCCGTGCGCTTTTCACCTTTTCACTCATTTATTGAAAGGCTGTTTGTCGTGTGGCAACCGTTTAGACTCATCCTATTGTCTAAACAAAGACGTCACATATTGAGTGGAATGGTTCTGAAGGAATCATTTATGTTATATTCTCCAATTTCAATTGTAGTTTGCTTATTAAAGTTCCAAGTCCACTTTCCATGCCGTGATCCCCCACTGTACTCTGCTTTGTCGAACCGCTTTCCCTCAATACTTTCTATATATGACTGTGTGGTTGCATGACCGCGGGAACCTAAGAAAAGAAATGTAATCTCGCATTGTTTGCTGCGACATTTCTGCACAACAATTTGCAGAGAGTTCTCCGAGCTATACAACTTTTTGTTCTCATGTCTGCACGGTCGCTTAAATCCGAGAAAAGAAGGATTGTAAACTTTTGCGTGCGGAGTGTACGATGTATCGTATTGATAGAGAGAGAAAGAGAGAAGGGGAGGGTTTAAAGCTTGCCAGAGCTCTCGGTCAAATCGTAGAGGCTGTGTTGCAGTATAATGGTCGGTACAGTACGTATACGTAGCGTTGACATAATGCTCCCTAATTCGCGATTAGGAGAATGGAAGAAAGAGAATAATTTCTGACACGCACGAGTGTAGTAATATCTCAGATGGTGAAAAGCTTACAGCTTTTCTACTGCCAGAGTTAGCCTCCATATCAAGACGTTAACGGCTTAATCAACTCACTATGATCTTCTATCATGTTAAATAGCTCTTGAAAGTGCCACGGTCTATGGTCATCTCTTCAAGTACTCCTTGACAGTTAAAACGAAGAAGTGGAGGTCTATCAACTTCTCGATGACTTCATTGCCTATATTGACGTACTCGTGCAGCTGCTGGTTGTCATCCATGGATTTATTTTGATTTCTTTCGTGTCTCCCATCGCTATGAGCCCTCAAGCTGTTTAGCGATGTCATCGACTTGGTATGGATGAAGTACGGATTGCCTGTTGTTATGGCTATTGCTTACGCTGGTTTTAATGCCATTTGAGTGTTACGGAGAGCGGCGAAGAGCAATTAGCGAGCCCCCAATGCATCGAACTGGCTCTCTATGCGTTGGATGTATTCGCTTTCGATCTGTTAGAATCTGGGTGAGGTCCACTCCTTCATGTGGCGGAGGATACCTTTCATAACGAACGTTGTAATCTATAATGTGAGTCAATTCGGGTCTCTCCTTTTTAGACAACCACACCTTCGACTTCTGCCTTGCCAACAGGTTCATGTGTTTCACTTGCCTGAAAATCTATAGAAGTTCCTCTCGACGGAAGGTGTAACATTGAAACGTAGTATGAAGTCATCTTTCTGATTAAAAAGGTTCGTCTGCATTGCTCTAATAGTCGTAGACAAGTTTGCTAGGACATTGGTGTGGCGCAAAGCTGCTTTTTCCCAGCTCATGACAGTTTCAAAGGCTTTCGTACCATCAAAGGCTGTTCGTGTAGTGGTCCTCCGAACTTGCTAAAGTCGACCTTGAAAATATCAACATCTTCGAATCCGTGCTTCTGGTAAAATCGATGTCCCTTAATGCTAGACTCAAGATACACAGGAAGACCGAGCTCGTCCGCTTTTTTTGAGCCCCAGTCCACGAGCATACCCCCTGCCCCCCGGCCTTGAAATTCTGGGTCGGTATGCAACATATGGAGGTCTTCATTCAGGTTTTCAGTTAGATTTTGGGATTGAGAAAGATATATGGCACAAGGACTAGGCTGACTTACAAAGATGCGGCTTATCCCCCATAATCTCCTTTTTTCGCTTTGCCATACCACCAAAGAACAACTGACAAGCCTCCTTATTTCTTCCCGCCCCGAAACTCAGTGGTCTGGATGATTTCGCTGCAGCCTCGGAAGACTCGAAGACGTGCCATTTAGCGAAAGCGACCATCTTGCCCGTGTCTCCATCAAACGCCTGCAAATATACTGTTGTCGGATCTTCTTTCCTCATGGTGGTAACCTGCTCGATTCTTTGCTGCCATGAATCTGGGGGGAACGGACCGGGAGCAAGAATTGGGCTGAGAGAGCCGCCTTTGTAAGCCAGGAGTTCAATCTCACAGGCACGCGGGATGTCATCATCGGAGACTTCTCGTACAGAAATTGCCATCACAACAAGCAAACTTTATAATGCTGATGAAAGTTCGAAGACTGCGTCTCGGTTGATATGTTGGTGGGTGGTGCTGACTCAGCATACCGAACGGGAAGGTGCAGCCCTTGCCCTCGCCCTTGCGCCCTTCTTTTGTTGCCCGAGACATTCTGCTTGCAATGCTGTATACATTGCGCATAATCTTTCACTCTTGTTGCTCGCGCGGCTACTTCATAGTACACAGGACCAAAGAGGACCCAGTTCATCTCGCGCCTCCAATGCCCCGCTCGACTCGGGATGCAGGTCTTTCCAAACCCGAAATATCTTCCGCTCCATGGCGCGTTCAGACCAAACGTAGTTTCTCAAGATACCTTTGCAAACATGCCAGTCTTGGTGTATTCCTTCCATATGGAGGAGAAACACGCTTTGTATCAGTACTGTAACTTGCTTCCTGACATCTTTTCGCTCAGTTAATCCTCCACTCACACACAAAAGCCAGAGTAACAGACCAGGAACGGAATCCCATAATGGATCGTGTACAGCTTCTGTGACGCATCCAATGATCCGACTCACACAAACCTCAGGGACAAAACACCCCATCCAGATGCCGGTTGACAAGTTGTACGTACACAAGTATGTAGCGAAGATGCAAGCTTCATAAATGGAGTCAACGCACGCCGGCGAGGATCTCGACTCGCTCAGCAGGTCCACCAGTCGAGATTCTATATTCGCTTGAGAGTCGTCGATAGGTAACTCGTCGATGAATGTCCGGGTAGGATCGCATTTGTCTACGAGCGTGCATAGCCCGGTTAGGTCTTGAACCACGGCCGCAAACTCCATGTGCCACATGTAAGTAACTTCCAGGAAGCCTAGGGGCAGTTCTTTCGTAACGTTAACGATTCTCAAGTTTCGAAATTCCTGGTAACAGTTGTGGGAGAGCAGTCGCGAGGTTCCAAGCACCAGACAACTTATCAGGTCTTGCCAAAAGAGTGCACGTTGGACTTGGTCAACAGCAGTGACATCTTCAGCCTGGCACATGTTCATGATCGCTTGCACACCCTGGATGTGTGCACGAATGCTGTCGCAATTGGCACCATCAACGCGATATTCATAGCTAATAAGCATCAACATCGCTGTAATAGATGATACCTTTGGTTTCCAGCCTGGCTTTCTCATGATCGTGTTAAGACCATTTAGGAGTTCTCCTCGGTATGTGAGGATCTCTATATTTGGGAGGTTGTTATATGCCGCAAGAGCAAGCACAAGCGAGAGGGCGTGAAAGAGCGCCGGGTCAATTAACGCGCCTCTAAAGACTGTGTCCATCTTTTGGAACAGAACTTGTCCCGCGCTTCCGATGCAGAAGATAGGCTCGCCGGCTTGCTTTGCTGCTGCTTTGACAGGTCAGGTGACTACAGGCTGGGGAAACTTATGGTAGTTACGTACGGTGCCTCATCAATGTGCGGAGCCTCTCAGGACAGCCACAAAGTGTATTGAACGGATCCAGCAAACTGATAGATGGCGTTTGCCATAGCGTGACTCCAGCCTTTCTCGTACAAGACTCCACCCTCTTTTGACCGATTTCAACCGACACGAACACCTCTCTCCGTTTCGTTCGATCGGCCTTACTCCTTTGGAGACCATTTCGGATAGCATGCTGCCTAATCCTTCCTTGCCTCTTTCTGTCCTTGATTTCGTCCGGATGCGAGACCGTCACGAATTGGAACATGTTGCTAATACTGCCGTCGCTTGGCAGCTGGGATATTACCCAAGATGGAATTAATTTCAGCCTCGCCGAGGCCGTCAATCTTTATATCTAGCCTTGATATGCCGTTCGAAACATGATTACCTCAACATCCTTCCTAATCGGGATGAAGGGCGTAAGCTTTCGTTTTGTTAGCCCCAATAAAGCATGTTACGCGATCAGCGCTTGAATAGCTGCAGATTTCAAGGGAGTTATTCTTGTACGTCAGCCTAACGGTGCTGATTCAGCTGTAGGTTTATTCAGTCCTGTTGTTTGACGTTAGTTGATCGGTGTCTATCACACGGAATACTTCTGGAACTCCCGCATAGACATTGGTAGCCTCTCTTCTGGCGGCGTGTGACTATGAGCGCCATTAGTCTGTAGTGTTTTCTGTGCGTCTTTGGGGACGTGCAAATATGCGCATACGGCTGAGCCTATCAGCTGTATGCTTTGACGATAGCAAAGTACGAGAGATGACACATCGCCCGGCATGTACTCTACTTCGCGTGGCCTGCTTACCAAGCACGAGATCTTCTATCACGCGCTAGGCCTCCTCGTGTTGCGCTAATGCTTCCTCGACTAGCCGGCGACTGAACTGCATAGATGGCGTACCTACTATATTCCCAAAGTCACTGTAGTGTGTTGCCAGCGCGTCGTAGGACAGTTGTCAGAAGAGTGCGTAACGCGTCGCGCTGCTAGTGTATGCTGGACGAGTCATGCAAGCGTGTTAGAACGTCATCGCTTCCCTCGCCTTCGAACAGAGGTTCATTCCACTAGCATCTATAGCCCAGTATGCGATGTATCCTGATACTTTGGTCGTTTCTTTACCAAGCAGCAGTTACCACACTCATGGACCTGGCCGAACCACAATGTCTAATTCGTCACCCTTTTCACCAGCGCTGCTCCATCGAATACTGTTACTGGATGGATGAGACTACTTAGCCTACGTGCTTTCTACTCTATTGAGATTTATGAAGGCTTTAGTAGACATCCTATGCAGAGACTTCAGGCCTGGTCGACTGCTCGAAAGTAGACTTTACTTTATATTCACAGTGAGTAATAGAGCGGCAGAAAAATATTGGGGATCTTCTTCCCTCTCTCAGTTCTTTTAGTAGTTTATGGGTAGAATTTCGAGGTGATCCAAAGTCACCAAGGTGGAGTCGCCCCGAGGCGGGCAACTATAGGACGAGAAAGACTTGTAGTAACGAAACTAGGTGCATCCCATCATAGAATCCGAGCATCGCGGTCCATATTGATTTTTGTCCAAGATGACCGGCAATATCCATCGTAAGCAACGTTCTGGAAGGACTCGCAACGTTCTGGAAGGACTCGTAATGATAGAAGATGAAGCGCCTTCAGTTGATAGGATGTATAGGTATAATGAAGGCGGCTGACTGCGTTTAAGTGCGAGGAGTGACCGCTATGGAGGATACCTGAGTTCCAAGCGCAGCACCTTCGTCTGCCTTTTTGGGCAACCTCACGAAATAAACCCGGAAACAAAACCGCCCTGTAGTGCTACTTTTTGGCCAACCTTGTTACTTGCCGGTGAAGCTAGCTACTCAGAGTACACCTCAACCCACAAACGGAACGAAGTTATCTTGGTCGGTCTAGCCCCCCAAATTCTTTGAAACTCTAGGCCAAGCCATAACGCGCGTCTTCAACAGTACTCTTGCAGTCGCCCGTGCACCATGCTATACCGATTCCCCGTTATTTCCTCGACGCTCTCACGCGCTAACGCTGATCTCCACGCCCTCCAACTTTCCGTCACTTCGCCATGCTTCGATCATGCGGCTGAAATCCACCAATCCTTTATACCAGATTGCACTCTTTGCTTTCTTCATCATTGCCGCATAGTCATCAGGCGGCGGCATCTGCAAAGCTTCACCTTCAAGATTGAGATAGCTCGGTGTGCATACAACCATTGCACTGAAGAAGGCTGCGCCTTGCGCAATCTGCATACCCCATGCATCCTCTGCAGCAGCAGTGGGCTCCATAACAACCTTTGCTTTGTTATCAGATGCGCGCTGAAGCCCTATGGCAATGATGGAGGCAATGTGTTCGCTCAGTACATCGATGACATGGGAGTAATTGGCAGTCGCTGCGGCTTGAGCCGGGCTCTGGAAAAACAGGTTGGGAAAACCGTTCGAACAAACTCCGTGGAGCGTGCTCAAGCCTTGTTCTTCCCATTTGTCGGCCATACGACGTGCATTACGCCCGAGGATATTGATACCCATACGCGAGCCCGGATCTCCTCCAGTAGTCGGGGAGCGATATCCAGTACTCAAAATGAGAATGTCGATGGGATAGTCCTGACCATTGGCAACGATACTCTTCGATGTTACACTATCGATACCCTTGCCGTCTGTATCGACTAGGTGTACGTTGCTACTGTTGAAAGTCTCCAGATACAAGTCGCTAAATGTGGGTCGCTTGCACCAGGTCGGATACCAAGGCGTCAGTTTCTTGGCTGTCTCATTGTCCTGAACTATCCGATGTATTCGCTCGCGAGCCTTCGCGTTGTGCTCGGAATCAAGTGCCACGAGTGTACCAATGTGCTCCTGAGCTTTATCAGGCGTAATCAAGCCAAAACTATTGCTGCCGATGAGAGCACCATAAGCTTTCAACTGCGTCCATCCATCGTCAACGAGATCATCAATACCAGGCTGCAGATGACCTGCGAGGTGGTCCGCAAAGTTCTCCCTACGATCTTTCTGCCAACCAGTCTTTGCTGCAATCTTCTCACGCCATTCTGTAGCGTCTGTATCGCACTGTCCGCGAGTGTTCACCTGGGACGGTGTGCGTTGGAAGATGTACAACTCTTTCGCATATTTTGCTAGTTGTGGGACGACCTGAATTGCTGTCGCACCGGTGCCAACGATGGCAACGCGTTTCCCCTTCAGCTTTTCGAGCTCTGGGAATGCAGTGTCGCTAGAACCGCCAGTGATGTCATAATTCCAGCGCGCCGTGTGAAGCATTGGGCCCTCGAAGTCTGCAAGGCCGGGTACTTTCGGTACTTGTGGGTACGGGAATAGTCCAGTGGCGATCGTGACAAAGTCGGCGTGTACCGATACTACCTTTTCCTCCTTTCCCTGTGGGCCGCGATGAGTCCTCAATTCAGCTTTCCATGCCGTGAGACCCTCATCCCACTCGAGACCAGTGGCCTGGCTGCGAAATAGAATGCGGCTGTCCAAACCAAACTTCTTGACAACATCCTCAAGATAGTCCCGAATCTCGACACTTGAAACGTACTTTTGCTTGGGCATATAGCCAGTTTCCTCAAGGAACGGTAAGTAGCAGTATGCTTCCACATCGCAATGCAGTCCAGGATAACGATTCCAGTACCACGTTCCGCCAACTCCACCAGCCGTCTCGATCAATAAGATCTGGTCTGCAGTGATGCCCTGCTTGAGGAGCTTGACAGCCATGACGATACCACCCATCCCTGCACCCAAGATGAGGAATTTGACGTTGTCGCCCGAGCTGACTGGACTTGCAAGTTTGTCGAGCGTTGCATGATCAGCGAAGACATCGTCAGCAAGACTGCGAAGCTTCTCGTTTTCGCTAAAATGAATTTGCTCAAACTGTTTCGTTCCTTCCGTTCTCTTCCGCTTTGCTGCTTCTATAAAGTACTTCTGCTCCGGCGGAATGGCGGACTCATTGGATTCGATCACGGTTGACATCTTGATCGTATTTGCTACAGGTTAGGTTTTAAACGGATCCGTTGATGAGATGAGCGCGCCTTGAGGTGATAGCTCAAAAAATAGTCCTGGGGTGTAGGCGCTTTTTAAATCTCGTTCCCATTTGCTTTTATCAACGTCGTTCGTCGTAATCAAAGTCGAGCTTGGTTGGCATTGCCCCGCTCCCAGCACCCCTGTCTTACCGGTACAAGGTTCCACAGTGGAACTTCGTTTCAATCCTTTGGAGGGACACCACCATATCCACCGTTCGTTGCGATTGGCGTGTCAAATACCAAGAGCTCATCCCCGTGAGATTTATGCGGGGCGTTTCTGAGCACTGCATACGCGCCAAAGATGATTATTCGCGCATATCAGTATGTAATCTGTCAGGTGCATGCCCACTAGTTCTTACAGGCTGAAAGCGGCCCATAAAAAGCCAGTGAGCTGCTTATACCAATTGACTGCACTATCAATTCAGCTCTCACACCAGCAAATATGGCACCAACGATACCCGACTTCGATGACCTACCCTCGGTAGAAGGCATGCCGCAAGGCTGTGCGTGGGGCATATTTGACAAGAATGGGAAAAAAGATATGATAGGCACGCTAAATTTGCTCACACCTGAGGTGGTAGCTGCGGCATGTAAAGAAGCGAGAGATGGTGTTTCGATATCGCTCGAGTAAGCTGCATGTGCACCCCGAATCCAGCGATAAGCTAAGGTTGTGTAGCTGGCCTCTTAACGCCATCAAATTCCCCATGCCTGGCCGCATCAACCCTGTCCACAAAATCATGACGCTCAGCGAAGCTGGTCTTGGCAGCGGTGAAGGATGGGATGACGAAATCACATTCAATACTCAGGTACATCCAGCTACCTCATCACCTCATCTCCAATAGTATTAATCAAGTTCAGAAAACTAGTCAATGGGACAGTCTCGTGCACTGGCAAGACCCGAAGACTAAGCTCGCATACAATGGCATCCAGGTCACCAAAGAAGCACTATCCGTATCTAGTACGGAGAAGAATTTGATGCCTACTTTGGACCACTGGCATAGTGTAGGAGGTCTTGTAGCTCGTGGTGTTTTGATTGACTACAAAGCCTGGTACGAATCGAGAGCCACCACTGAAGGAAAGTCCGGCGACGACGCCATGTGCCAGCCATTCGATGGCTATCGCATCACTGTTGGAGACATTGAAGCTATTGCGAAGCACCAAAATGTCGAGTTCAAGCCCGGTGATGTGCTCATAATTCGCACCGGAACGACGGAAACCCTGGAAGCACCAACGCCAGCTGATTTTGCCAAGATGGCACAAGTGCAGATCATAGGTGTGGACGGTACAAAAGAAACTGCGAGATGGCTCTGGGATCGACATTTTGCAGCGGTAGCTGGTGATTCGTGGGCTTTCGAGGCATTGCCCCCATTGAATGACAAGCGAGAGGCGGTGGCGTTGGAGGATCTCGGTGAGTGGTGCTCATCTGGTATTACACGAAGAAGCGTATTGACAGACAAATAGTTCTACATCCTTGGCTCCTCTCCATGTTTGGCATGTCCATCGGCGAACTCTGGGATCTGAAGGCCCTTTCTGCACATTGTGAGAAGACGGGTCGATACTCGTTTATGCTTACTTCTACGCCGCTTAACATTCCTGGGTTGGTGGGCTCACCCCCGAATGCTCTCGCGATTTTCTAAGCGCACATTCTCGGAACACCCATCCGGCATGTACATCGGCCGTGTTACGCTGCAAGTGAGGTGGAGATACGGGGCAACAAAGGCTATTTAACACGCCCCAGCAAGTGCTGACGTTGGTTGGTGGTTTTAAATTGGAGTAAGACCTAATGTTCAGTAGCTTAAAGCTCGTCCCCCAGATCGTGACGTCTATCCTAATTGAACAAAACAAACTACAGAATTTATAGTTCTACATTTTTTGTGCTGTCTTGCTCCGCGAAAAAAATCTGCAAAGTCATCGCTCAGCTGGATCTATAGGATTATGCAAACAAAAGATCCTGTGCTTACGCGCCCAACTAGCCTTTGAGCTATCACCCCTCGGTGAAGGTACGTTGAGTAAGATTATAAGAACTACGAATCAAATCGTGAAGGGCGATTATGAATCGGTTCTTGCCATTCCATAAACAAATCTGATCAAAGAGAAGAAGGAAAGGACATGAGCAACGCCTCGATGTTCATCAAGAGCGGGGATCAAGGTTGAACCTCGGAAGATCGTCGACGCTAACGAGGAACCGGTAAGTTTTGCGGAGTTCTCCTAATGAAGTCCTGTTCTGTTCGACACCCAACATTAGCGAGCAGGCGAGAGCAAGGCAGAATTTCTCAATCTCGGTTTAAATGTGAAAGCTTCGAGCGCACTCCTTGACAAGAATAACCGTTCATCATCATAGGTGATCATGGTATATGCACAGCTCGGTATTACCTCCCGAGTAATAAATACTATTTATATTATCAGATTTTATGTTTTACAACATGTGGTACATGGCAAGATGAGACTGCACAATTATAAGGCATCCAGCTATCTGTTCGACAGTTTGAGACCCGAGACCATGTCATGGGCCACTCGTCCAATCATCGAAGTCTCTAGCTTTTCTTTCCTATTCCATCACTACCCACTTATCCATTTTGGAGTCATGTTGCGCTTACCTATCGGGTGATCAGCACTGACGTGGCATCCTTCACTTTTCTTCTAGTCCGTCACAGAGCTCCATCCTATTCATTTCGAGTCGCTTGAGCAAATCTCGTTATCAGCCGACGCTTTACGTTTCTTCTTAAGCGTCTTTTAGACTCTCACTACACTATTGATACCTCGCGTTACTTTCAGCTTGGCTTAGACCTCCTCTGCTCTTGCCTGGTTACTCCTGCCTGATTACTCCAGCTTTCCAATGTCTCGCGCTGCTAGTATTTGCTATATTTGGTAAGAAGCGTGCGCTGAGCTCGAAGAGGCATCGATCACAGGTTCATAAAACAGCGTCTCAATAAGTACGAACATGAGTAAGAGGCACTCAGGAAACAAAGGATGCAGGTCTGAAAGGTGTTGCTTTTCATTCCATGAAATAGCTACTATTCATTACCATTAGACGCGTCGTACGCGCTAGGTCATTATTTTCGTATCATGAGGTTTCTAGTTCTTTCCGAAGTACTTGCCCTTGCCCTTTCCGCCCTTCTGCTTGACAACAAATGGACCGCGGTCGATGGTGTTGACAACAACATATCCAGAGGGGAAAGTGTATGCCGACCAGGTACCACCACCCCAAAGCGCATCACCGCCACCAGGCTTAGCATCATCCAGAGGGTAGACATCAAAGTACGCAATCTCTTCGACCTTGGAGCCGTCAGGGAAGTGGGGGATGGAGCTGACGTCGAGGATGCGGAGACCGGCCTGGTAGTTGGACTGGTACGAGAGGCCGTCGTAGACGTATTGATTGTGGTCGACGGAACGGACACTAGACTTGTAGAGGCCACTGACTTTGGGTGCCTCGAGGTTCTGGATGTCCCAAATATAAGTCACGGCAAATCCGTCCTTTGCCGGCGAGTCTACAGCAGTACGGTTAGGGTCAATTTGGCCCTCATCGAGCTCGTCGTCCATGACAAGGTGAGTCTGCCAATAGGGGTCGAGAACCCACCCTTGGTGGGTGTATGTAGCACCGACATAAGGAGTGCGCGAGATGATGGATGCAGCACCGACGCCCTCCTTGTTGGTAACGTCGTAGATGGTCAGGGTGTCCTCGTTGTAGCCGTAGCAGATGTCGCGACCATAGTACTTCTTGTGGGGACCACGGTAGACGATGCACTGAGCATCGTGGGTGTAGCCGTCCTGGGGCGCGCAGCCGGTGACATAGGGCTTAGACGGGTTGTCGAGGTTGATGAAAATGGGACCACCGGCGCAGGTATCATTACGACCTGGACGTCCACCAGAGCCGCAGGCAACGGCGTAGTTCAACTCCTCATTGGCAACGACAGTGTGTGTACGTCCGGCAATACCCTGGGTGATGTTGAGCCATGCGACATCCTTTTTGATGTCGAAGATCTTGGGCTTCTTTGGGGAGAGCTTGAGAAGCTTCTTCAGGTCGAAGAACTGCACACCGTGACCGATGCCCTCAGACCCGACAACAAGGGTGTCGCCGACTGTCTTGATCTCGCGCCAGACAACAGAATCATTGTGCGCTGGCAGACGACCAAGGTACTCGAGCTGACCCTTGTCCGTGACCTCAGCGAAAGCAGTGCCTTCGGTCTGGCCAATAGCAATGAACTCACGGCCTTTGTGGGTCCAACCCCACGATCCTGAACCTCGACCAACGGGTTGGCCAAGCTCCTGATGCGTCTTGAAGTCATACAAGTCCTACATGGCGTGAGTATGGAACTAGGCACGGCATGACTGGTACACTAACGATGTTCTTGCACTTGTATGTCTGGTTGGCATCGCCCTTGACAGCCTCAACACGACCGTGCTTGCACTCGATCTTGTTCTTGCTGCTACGCTTCTTTTGAAAGTCGTTCCACTGCTTGTTGTCGTAGTCGCCAGCTGCCTCGCGCTCGGCCCATGTTGCCTGTGGTTGTCAGCGCCTGGATAGAGGTAGACAGAATTGACTAGTACGCACCTCTTTCCCAGACATCATCAAGTCCATGACTTCTCCAGAGGCATATTGCTCGTGTGTGAAGCCATGGGCCGAAACCAATGGCAACAGAGCAGTTGCAACAGTAGCCCACTTCATCTTTGCGAACAAGACTGCGAATTGACGGGTGGCAGTTGATGATCCAGTAACCTGGGTGCCGCACCGTGGCTCTTATATCTCTTGTCCTCTCTGCGCTTGTCGCACGTAAACGGTCGCGTGCGATAGGCACAAATGGCCGTCATCGAGATACCTTCCTATCGCAGGTACTCCGAACCCTAGTGTTGGCTTCCAAGACTCGTATTGAAGCATCGGTGAACTTTAATATCGTGCTCGGCATATCTTGGTAAGATCTTGGGAGGGGGCCGAAGACAGCGTTCATTTGTTCCGGGGCTGGGTTATAGGCTTGGCAGGCATTCCGTCTACGACTGGAGAACAGACTGCAGCATGCTGCGGCTCGAAGCCACGCATTCTGCCGGTCAAGAATAAAGCGGGTGCACAGCAGATGTAGTTCGAGCTTGGCTCTGGGCATCCTTCAGCAACCGTGTTGATAGGTCTGCCGAAAATGGAAGGTGCCAAGAGTTGTTTGGCAAAGAACTGGGGTGCCTTGGACCGATGCCATTGAATATGAAGAAGGTTGAAATGTTCTGGGGACTTTAAGCCGGGAAAGTGTCAGCCAACGTGATCCGATGCATGCCGTGTCGAGCTGGAATCAACTGCATGCACTATGGCGTCCAGACTTGTTGCATGACGTGCTTAGGAGCAAACCAGAGCTTCAACACCTGTCCAAGTGAAGATGGAGTAATTGACTTCTGAACCATGACGGAGGTGGCAGTGGATGGAGCCCTGATTCTGGAGCTTTGGGGTGGCTTATCACGGCGGCCTTATAGCTTGGGAAAGCGGGGAGTAGATCGTCATGGTATATCTTGGCGTAGGAGTCGTCGAAGACCTCGGGGCATGTTGCCCAAAATGTGAATAATAAATGATGTTGAGGGAGAAGAGTAGCTCCAAGATGAGAACGGGGCGCCATACGATTTTAAACTGTTACCTGCTCGAGGCACTTGGTGCTGGCGTCAGACTAACTCGCCGCATCAAGCAGATTGAGCAGAATTGAGGCCAATTCAAACTCCCAAGACCATGACTAAGGTGATTGGGCACGTATCTGTGGGGATACCTTGTTTGCATACACCGTGGAAGTAGTTGTAGTAAACATGGGTAGCGGTGCTGCTGGTACCACAGCCGGGATTGATGGAAGCTTAAGACGGTCCATGAGATTGGATACAGGATATCATGGAAAGCACCGAGTAAAGCCGGAGATGTACGGTGAATTAAAGCACCAAGCTAGTAGTCCACCGCAACGTCGAAGAAAGCATGTGAAGAAAGGGCACCTCGAACAGACTCCCGCTCGGCTAAACCTGCCCTTCCAACCCACCTTCCATTTGCACTACAAGCTCCACACCAGCACATGCAACTCGCATGCAGCTATCAAATTGCAAATCGCACCAAAGCAGCCATGAAGCTCACGGAAGATGACCTCTACCGCAATTCAACCCAATTCAGAAACTGGTCCTTTACCTCGCAGCAGCTCGCAGCGCAACGCCTGACGACCAACATACAAGCCACCGAGCGCGTCAAAGCAAACGTCGCGCGCCAACGCGCCCACCGCGCCCAACACGTCGAAAGCGATAGTATAAGTTCGGGAGTCGAAAATGGCAGCGGCGCGAACACACCAAATGCTGTGGCCTCGGACAGAGAGGTGGACTGCTTGACTGTGGACGAGGAGTTGAAGATCGTGGACGACTTCTGTGAGCGCGCCATCAAGTTGGGTGAACATTGCAGGTTCCCTTTTGAGGTCACTGTACGTCTATCCCACCTTTGCAATTACAGCGCAGCATCGCATTCTAATCTTACCCTGCAGGCAACATGTATACAATACCTCCGCCGCTTCTACCTCTACAACTCGCCCATGACCTACCACGTACACAACATATCCCGCACCGTCATGTTCCTCGCCACAAAGGTCGAAGTACACAACCTAAAAGTCGACGAATTCGCCGCATTCTTCACCTCTGCGAGTGTCACTACCGAGAGCATCCTCGCGCCCGAGTACATGGTCATGCAGGGTTTGAGATACAACTTGGATGTTCGACACCCGTTTCGCGGGCTCGCGGGAGGTCGTATGGAGATGTTGGAATGCGCCGGGGGAAGATATGAGGGTCCTGGAAGCGGGGACGACATACAAGCACAGATGCTGCAATTACCAAAGAAGAAGAACGGCCCTGCGGCGAACTGGACTGTGGAAAACATGGAGAACCGCATCAATAATGCCTCTTTCTTCGCCTCCAAGACGCTCAAGGAAGCTGCGCTCCTCACAGACGCCTACTTTCTCTACACACCCTCGCACATCTGGCTCGCCGCACACCTCCTGGCCGACGAACCCCTCACGCTCTTCTATATTGGTCTCAAAATTCCCACCTCCTCGCCTATATACGACAAGCTGCTATCCACCATCCACTCTTGCGCAAAACTAATATCCTCCCATCGCCTGTATATCAACGCCACCTTACCAAAAGAAGAAAAGACCGCGCGAGAAGCCAACCATCAAGCAGAAATCAAGAGGCTAATAGGAAAACTAAAAATGTGCCGGGATCCCGATAAAATCGACCTGGTAAAACTCAACCAAGCGCAGAAAAGGGACGCGATGCAGGGAGACGGAGGTCTGGAGCAGGGCAAAGCGAAGCGGAGAAAGCTGGAACGCGAGAGCTATGAGAAGGAAGCAGATGCGTTTTGGGGGCCTGAGCTGCCTAAGAACGGGTAGAATGGGGCCCAGAGGGAGGTATTCTGACAGGTCGGAGTGTAGTTTTTGCATAGCGAAGGCGTTTACGGCGTTTCACTGGGGTATATGGGACATTAGGCGGCATCTTTTATCTGCTGTGTCTTTAGCTGTGTCTATCCGCACTGGTAGCGCATTTGACCTTTCATAAGGGCTCTATATCAAATACCACATGAACAATAAGCTACGATCAGCCATCGTATGTCGGACATCCACCAATCACGAATGCACGCCATCAAAGAAAAAGAAACTGCAAAAGTCTTTTGCGACAAGCACAAAGCTTATGGTCTGTATCTTGAAATTATATTTCGCGCTAGATGGACTTATACAGACAGAAAGCTATGCTTTCCAGTCGTCGAATCCCGTTCTCTCATTAAAGAAAGAATCTAAATACTTCTCCGCGAAGTCAAAAAGACATAGTCAAAGCCGCGTCCCGAGGTCAGCAAAAGTTACTCCAGCCATTACGCGCCAAAAAGGCAAGTTCACGCCCTCTCCTCCTTTCTCTCCCTCTTTCTGAACCTCAATAACCCCTCCGACCCGAATTACCACTACCAGGGCTATTCGTACCACCCCCTTCCTTCCGATTATGCAGCATAGGAGCCACAGGCGCCATCATGCCCGTAGGTTTCTTCGCACCCAGCACTGAATTCCCTAGATGCGCACCCGCCATCGAACTTCCCGGTGATGCTGGCAGGGGCACCCTCCGCTCTGTTCTACCCTCTTCCTTATCAGCGCGGTCGCGCGCCCTGAGTGCAGTTTCGAGTTGCTGCAGCTGCGTGAGGTTTTGCTGCGGAATGTTGTTTAGACTGCCGTATGTGCGTATTAGCGTCGCTTTGCGGTCGTGGAACTTTTGGCGGAGCTGTGTTGTGGTCGTATAGTCGGCCATGGTAGTGGTAGCGGTGGGTGTGTTCTTCCTCTTGGGAGTAGTGACTTGTTGGTCTGCGTTTGGGACTTGGAGTTGGCCTTGTTCAGACTGCGATTCGGTGGAGGCGGCGCGCAAGGCTTTTTCTGTGCCGCTGCTGTGCAGATCCGTTTTGCCTATCGATGAGGCGTACTGCTCCCGTCTACGTGCTAGTTCTACGCTGGTGGTATTTCGCTCGGCAGCTTTATCGCGCTCGTCTGTACTGGCTTCTCGGCTCTGATCGCGTGCTTTCTTGACGCGCTCGTGAGAGGGTTGAGCAAGCTGCTGGGCTGGTGAGGAGTTCCTTGAGCTTGTAATGTCGCTGGTCTCCTTCTCTGACGTGTGTCGTGGACTTGGCTGTGGACTGTCCCTATGGTGTTCGTCTCCAGCTGGTGAGAGAGCGTCAAGTGGGTGTTCGTCCTGTTCATCATCTTCAGGGTGGGGGGTCAACTGTAGGTTACGCGGTGGTGGCATGCTGTCCTGCTCTTCAGTGCCTTGATCCTCCATACTATCGACTAATGCGACGCTATTGTCCATATGCTGACCCTTTCCGCTGCCGGTTCTACCACTGGCGTCGGGTAGAACAGCGTCAGGCCCAGACAGTAGTAAACGATGTCCACTCGTACCCTTTCGCGAAGCAGGGTGAAAGTCATGGCGATACCTAGGCTCTGTCCGATCTCCACGCATTGCAAAAGCTTCATCGAAATCTACAAGCACGTGTTTCAAATCGACGATAGAGCTATGGAGATCAGGGAAGTCTGTTCCGAAGTTCGAGTAAACAGACACCACGTTCCAGGCTGCAACCATTAAGTTGTCGAAGTTGGGAAATGCAGTCATCACTATGTTGTTGAATAGATCCACTTTGATATGTTGTGGGATAGTGTTGAAGGTCGCGCTCTTCATATCGTTGGGAATGGTGTCGAGGCCTGTGCGCTTCCGCTTGTTCGCGACATGTTTGACCACAGGGTCGCCCAATTTGCGCTTTCTAGCCTTTTGAACTAACATTTCGTTAGTCTCCTATTGCATTGAAAAAGGCGTGGCATACTCGCCTTGAGAGGCCTCTCCATTCTGCTCAGCCTTTGCAGGGTCAAGCCTAGCAAGTGTCTGCAGCAAGTCAGTCACCTGTTTCACTCATAAGGTCGGCAGGGCAATAGAGTCAACATACCTCCCCTTCGTGGAATTTCACGGGCGGCTGCTGCGGCTTATTGTAAGCGGCCCGTCTGGCATCGTTGATCTTATCCTTCCTAGCGAAGATTGCCTGGAACTTCTCCTTGAACATCTGCACCATGCCGCCAGCGATAAATCCATGGATGGGAACTGACTCGAGGTTTGCGTCATTTTTGGGCAAAGGCACTTCTGTGCGCATCTCGAACTGGCCATCCTCTACCGTCAAGTATACTCGATGCACAGCATTATCTTCCTCTGGGAAGAACACATTTCCAAGGTCGAATCGAGTTGCTGTGTCCTTGATGGTAACGAGGGTGAGAGTAGGCACGACCTTGCCGTTGATCTTCCTATAAGTCGGCGGCTCGTCGTCAGTGATACCTTCAATAAAGGTGTCTAGGTGACGTGGCTCTGTGTAGCGAAGCTGATCTCGTAGAATCAGAGCTCGCTTCTGCGGCTTGTTCAATGAGTTGAAGGTAGGGGCTTCGATTTCCATCTTGGCCGGTCAGCTAGAGGAGGCCGGCTCTCTGATATGGTCGAAGGCAGCAGAGCCGCTGTTGAGGGAGGAGTCGCTATTAGAGTGGGCACGTCGGTAGAGGAAAGAACAAAATATATGGGGAAGGGAAACGCGGATGTATGACTCTGAACAGCACGAGCCTTAGTGGTGCGCGGTGCGCTCTCACCCATTCGTAACAGAGAGCGGGCTCCAATATTGGGGTGAAGGTGGCAAGATAGCGGGTCTTTCACAGCATCCCCGTCTCTCACTCTGGAGTATGGACGCTTGCAATGTTTCTCTAACGATGGTGGGACTGCCATATGATGAGTGAAACGGAAGAGTCGGAAAGCTCAGCCAGAGCTCGTGTCAAATCCTAGAAGAAGTTTGTCCAATAAGGAATGGCAACGTCTAGAACTACGAACGACTAGCGTTTGCGTCAATATTGAAAAGAAAAGTGAAGATGAAAAATTGTGAAAAATAAGTTTGTGTTAATAGAGACGTGTTATGAGCGGGGCACAGCGTAGGGTAGGGCAACGAGGAAGGCCGCGATGCACCCTATTTGAGAATGAGCGCATCGCCCATGTTAGGCGACGAGCGAAGAATGAGAATCAAAATATAATCTCAATTGGGATGAAGATTAGGAGCCTACCATGGCAAGAAGCTGTTCGTTTCTACTGATACACTCATCGAATACTTGAGTCTTGAATATGCTGCCAGAAGCTAGATGTACCTCTCTTTGCGCTTACAAGTACAGGCCCTCAGGCTCACCCTCGGTCTTGGTCTTCAGCACTCGCTCTCTTGCGGTGCGGAAGTCTTCCATATTGACCCGCATTCGGCGCTCGCGGAGCGCCATGAGACCGGCTTCGGAGCAAATTGCCTTGATATCAGCACCGGAGAGGTCGTCCTTTTGGTTGATGAACTCGTCGAGATCGACATCCTCGTTAAGGGACATCTTGGAGGTGTGGAGGGTGAAGATCTTCTTCTTTGTCGTTTCTGTAAATTGGTTAGTCATTACAGTGTGATGCGAATATTATTATCATCGCAGCTTACGGTCAGGGTTCTCAAAGAGAATCTTTCGGTCAATACGACCAGGTCGAATCAACGCAGGGTCAAGAGTCTCAATCTTGTTCGTAGCCATAATGACCTTGACATCTCCGCGATCATCGAAACCGTCGAGTTGATTGAGGAGTTCCAACATGGTTCGCTGGATTTCACGTTCACCACCGGATGTCGACTCGTATCGCTTCGTACCAATTGCGTCGATCTCGTCGATGAACACGATCGAAGGCGCATTCTCAGCCGCAGTTTGGAAGAGCTGTCGCACTAGCCTAGGCCCGTCTCCAAGGTACTTCTGGATCAGCTCACTTCCCACAATGCGCAAGAAGGTGGCGCTGGTCTGGTTGGCCACAGCCTTGGCCAACAGCGTTTTTCCGGTACCTGGAGCACCGTAGAGAATGACACCTTTCGGCGGCTTGATACCCATCTCCTCGTATAATTCCGGGTGCAACAGAGGAAGCTCAACAGCCTCGCGTACTTCTTGTATCTGCTGTTCCAAACCACCAATATCCGCGTACGACTCCGTAGGTGCTTTGTCTAGTTTCATGACGGACACCAGCGGATCCGCGTCGTCTGTGAGTACGCCAACTACCGACACCGACTTATGGTGCAGGAGAATGCTTGCCCCCGGCTCTAAGAGATCCTTGTCGACGAAAGACATGATGGAAACGTAGTATTCGGGACCCGTAGCGCTGGAAACGATGGCGTGGTCGTCGTCGATGAGCTCCTCTAAATTGCCGACTCCCATGGGACTGCCTCGCATGTCATCGACCCGCGACCTCTCGTCCGCATTGCGGTCAAGGGCATCCTCTCCGCCAGAGGGGGCTGGTGCGTTGCCTTCTTTCACAGCCCTTGCCTTCCGTAACCGCTCCTGGTTCTCAACGTACTCTTCTTCGAGCAGCAGATGGTCGTGAATGCGCTGCATGCGCAGGTATCGTAGCTTGCATCGTGCGGTCGGGTAGACGATTGGAAGCTTTGCGGCGGCGCTCGGTCCTGCAGCCCTCTTCTTCTTCCTGCCGATGCGCGTGGTGGGCTGTGGTGGAGGCTCGTACTTTGGCTTATCCTTCTGTACACAGACAAACATTAGTACCAACCAGATTGAGGCGGCAAGGCCATGCAACGCCTAGGTGTGACTAGCACGTCAAATGCACAGGTTCGTGACAACATACCTTTTCCTTTTTGCTCTTGTCGTCGCCCGGAGGTCCGCCGCCTCCAGCGCTGGATTGCTGGTTACCCTGTATGTCTTTAGTATGCGGCGAAAGTGAGTTCCGAAAGGAGGTAAGCTCACCATGGCACGCGATCACGCTGGCAGGCCTGCACTCCAGATGCTGTGCTATTGAGCGAGTGATTCGAGAAGAGAGTACCACAGGGATGCGAGTGGTGAGGGCGATGGCGGAGGTGCAGCGGGCGTCGTGTTGGTAATGTTGATGGTGGCCGCAACGAGCTGATGCCGCGAAGCTTCGCGGGCTTGGCGGCCTGTGGCGTCACTGCAGCTGCCTCGAGCGCTTCCGCCTCACCAGTCCCCATACAAGGACGGACACGTCAGGCGTGCTTTGCTAGCGATAAACCATTCACCCTCAATCTGAGTTCAGATCGATTTCCTCTTGCTCTCTCTATCTTCCAGCATCCGTGAAAACCTTCTGATAGTGCTGTTGCTACGACCCCGCTGGTCTACCCAAGAGCTCCCCACGCGGGTTACCAGATACTGTACATACAACACTGTACTGCTATACTCCACCACAACCACTCGATATCCGCGTAGGTGCCGCTTTATACTCTACCCTCCCAAGCAACTGGTGGTTCAACGTGCCCCGCCTAAATACAACCCACTTGCTTGACCATTCCCCGCATCAGTCGGCGTTTCCCTAGCCTCAGGCTGACACTCCCACGTAGCGTCAGTGCCGACTTGTTGCCTACCTTTCGCCAGCCTCCGCCCTCTTTCCCCCTCCCTCAACTTCCTTGTATTCCGACTTCCACTTACTCCCACAATGGCATCCAACCGAGCTCGCCGCATTCACAAGGAGCTGGCCGACATCCAAAATGACCACCTCTCCAAGATCTTTGTTGAGCCGACAGGAAACGGCGACGACCTCACACACCTTCGGGGCCAGTTTTATGGGCCGCCAGACACACCGTACGAGGGCGCTACCTTCTTCGTGGACATCAACATACCGGGCGACTACCCGTTTCGCCCCCCGGTTATGAAGTTCGAGACCAAGATCTGGCACCCCAACGTCAGCTCTCAGACTGCAAGTAAACCAAATATAGTAGACGTGTGCAAGCTACTAACTACATCAGGGTGCCATTTGCTTAGACACGCTATCATCACAATGGTCGCCAGTTCTGACCATCAAGTCCGCCCTCATCTCCCTCCAGTCCCTCCTGAGCACGCCTGAACCAAAAGATCCACAAGATGCGGAGGTCGCCAGCATGCTGATCCGAAACCCCGCTGAGTTCGAGCACAAGGCGCGTGACTGGGCTGTGAAATATGCGGGAGCACCAAAGAAGGAAATCGCCGAGGGTAGCGGAGGTGCTACAGCCGAGTCGATCAAGAAGAAGGCCCAGCAGGCTAGGCAAAATGAGGAGAAGGTCAAGCTTGCAGCGTATGTATTCACACCACCCCCAAAGTCATTTGCTAACACTGTCACAGGTACCATGGATACAACAAGGACCTTGTGGATCGCTTTGTGGCAATGGGCTTCGATGTCGAGGCCGTTGTGGGCTCGTTCGAGTATGTCGGCATTGACAGGATGGGCGGCGAAGACTACGAGCTAGAAGAGGCCTACATGGGCGATATCACAGCTCGGCTGTTTGGCGAAGCGTAAACACTTTTAACGGCTTCACAGTTATCTAAGCGATTTCTAGAATGACCGATATTTCACTTCATCGAGGAATCGACGATTCGCATGAGACACGGGAGGTATGAAGAAGACAATATAGGCAAGGGTTCACGGGCGTTCGTCATTCGATTACTCATTTTATCATTGGCGACGGCGTCAGGCGATGTTGGGATTTGACGTCTATCGAACGTCTCTAGCGTGTGGGTTTACGGCAGAATAACTAAATACAATACTCAAGAATTACTCACTTATCTGAAACAATACGACCCTAAAATCCCTTTTAAATACAACAACTTCATTTGTTGCGTCAGCTTACCTTTGTATCTTTCTACTATGCGCAACGATAAATCACAAATTTAGCACCGTTGCAGCGCTAGAGGGTGCCAAAAAGTTCATTCTCAGGCCCACTAAGTCCAAGGCTGGATCACTTAATAAATTATGCTAGGGCCTAAGTTCTTCGCATAGCTTCCGGCTTCTAGACGCTATGAGATATTTGATGGAGTCGTGTTCGACGATTCCGCGCGGATTGTAAGCATGGCAATGACTTTACATATCTTCGTATCCAGTAGGGCAACGGTACATAGCAATTTGAATATAAAAACAAATACACTCAAACAACTAAGGAACCAGCATGATTGAAACTTCTCGCTTCATTTGATGATTGATACTAAAAAACATTACTTATTTCAGGAAAGGGAGTGAAGACACCATCATCAAGTCTTCTAGAAGTTTTCAAACAAAGAGTAATAACGAAAGTGGGAAACGGCGCATCCCGTACCCGACTTGCTCCTGCAGTCATGGAGATCTCGGTATAACCAACTGTCGGTGTTTCTAGAGGCCTGAAAGGTCTCGAATGGAACGCAGTAGTGACCTTGTATGACGGCCTCTTATTAGATTCTAAATCAGAGGATCCGGTTTTCGGCTCATCGAGAAAACAATACGGCGCACCTTCCCGGGTCCCAAACAGGAGACTCATCGGCTGGTTTTTTATTCCGACATGAGTGACAAGAATTCTACCACAGTGCGATGGATGTAATCCAAATAGTCCGATTGCTGGGTCCCATCTCCAATAGGAGACCGGATCAGTGAACTGGATCCCGTTGGTACCCCTAATCCAATACCAATGAGAACCCTCGTATGCATTTGCGTTCTTCGGAAATCTAGATGGCTGTAAAGGCAAGAAAAATTTTGTTTGACGTATACGTCCCTTTTAGCTTCTTTGATTGTTAAAAGCCTTGGCTCTAGTTGCGGAAGATTGTGTGCGCCGATTCGAACATACTGATCGGCCCAAATATGTTGTAATACCACGGCAACATCGTGGCCCGTCTCTCTACTTTTACACTTCAGAACACCGTAGTAAAACCCACCTTTCATATGGACTAGGTCAAGTCTCGCACGGAGTCCTTTGCTAGACGTCGAAGAAGGCTCGCTTACATCCAGGTATTCAGATGATGTAATCCTCTTCGATCGGGCGAAATGTTTCGGAGATGTGGCGAGCAGACCACTATAGTAGACTGGATCACTCGTTTCCCACGCAAACAGGGATTGATCATTGCAGTCTTTCATGATCTCTTCTTGAAGTCTGATGAACGCCTTGCCCCCCTCACCGTACAGTAGGGGCATGTTGATATCAAACATGCCCAGAAGAGAGTACGCCATGTCTTCAATTCTATTTGTTTTCCTGTTCGCTGCCCAGGACATTCTGCTTGCAACGCTGCAAATGCTTGGATATGCTCCTTGGAGTACTTGCTGGTCAATTCCAGTTATTTCTTCAAGATATTGCGTTATTTCCGATTTGGTCCCAATAGGTTCCCATTCTTTCGAGTAGAGGTTTATCTCTAATGGCGCAATAAGTTCCTGCAATGTCCATCCTCGAGTAAGCCAGGTACTGTCCTTGAAGTCGACCAATGTGGGATGCCTTGGATGTTTGCTGTCATGGCTTGATATGTCCTCTAGGAATACGTAACATATCTCTGCATCTCTATACCATCGATACATCGAGTTGATAGCTTCCGAGAGCTCAGCGCTGCTTGACTTGTCGATGCAAACTCACCATACACTTGCGACAACATCGACTTTGTTAAACCGCTTACACGACCTGTAATTTTTACTGCTTAGTATATTTTTCAATATTTGTAACCCCTTATTTCTACAATCTCTTTTGGACGCACATCCTTGTGATCAGACTGCTTAGGCTCGGGGGTCCGAAAATGGGACCCCATTCTAGACCGCTTAGAGGGACTGATTTCGGGTCCCTGACACCTACAACGCTTGACATCCTGTTCACGTAACTTACTGTAAGTGATATGATATATGAAGCGAGAAGAAGGTGGTTACAGGACCAGCACTCGCTGTGCCAGACACCATGGATCAGAGTTGAATTGTAAGACCCGAGCAAGCGCCGAAATGCGCGCTCAGACAATAGACAAATGAGACTTATTGTGCTTAAATGTGGATTGGACTAAACGTTTATACGCGGATATCAAGCAGAATGATGATCACCAAGGAGGAGAGGGTCCGTGGAGAGATTCTTCGTGGAGAGAGATTCTTCGTGGAGAGAAGCGCTCTACGGAGAGAATCTTCAAGGAGAGACTCTCTCTATGGAGAGAACAGCCGAGGAGAGATGATCTTCACGGAGAGGATATCTCTATGGAGAGACTCTCTGAGGAGAGAGGAGCTCTGGGGAGAACCTGGCCTTCCATCGACTCGTTCACATCTCTATGTCACTCATTCAGTTGGTTTACTTCCTCTAGCAGTTCAATTTTGCATTTGTGCAATCTGGCTAATATGTGTTTTTCTATGCATTTCAAGGCTTTGATTTGATTTGACCGCACTATTGAAGGAACACGGATTTTTTATATCGTGGAGATGGTCCCAGTTTCGGGCCCTTTGAATGCCAAGACCGCCAACTGTTTGTGTCAAGCCCGGCTTCGCCACCCTACAACTTGTTCTCCTCTTCACACGCCTGTAAATACAGAGCCTTGCACTTTCAGCTTCCGCTTTTTCTTTCAAGTGCTTTCTTTCTAGGCACGCACCCATGCCAAGATTGCTGGCATTTTACTCGAGCTTGCTATGCGTTTTGACTTGGCACTTTTGGTCTGTCTTTCTGGAGTTAGTTCTGAGATAACTTCTTTGGATAACACAGTCTCATTACCTACAATTCTGTGCAAATCCTATGGTTTGACCTTGTCACTCTCATTTTTCTCGTGTTCCACTAGGGCACGCCACTCAGTCTCCAGCATCGAAAATCTCACTTCGTCATGCCAACTTCCGTTCAGCCATAAAGACTCTCGATCCCTTCCATCCTCTCGAAATCCCAGACGTTTCCAAAGTCTTATTGCTCCGGTGTTGAAGGAGCCGCTTTGCAATCCTACACGGTGTAGTCCCACAACCTGAAATCCCCAATTCAGTATCCAACGGACAGCCTCACTACCATAACCTTTTCCTTGATGCTCAGCAGAGATGAGTATGCCAATATCCAGGGTCCGGTGATGTCGAGTATTATCGCTCAAGCCATGAAGGTTTATAAACCCAATAGGTAAAGGCTTCTGTGAAGATAGTTCAGCTCCTGTGACATTCCCACAGTCTTCAACAACGGGTGGAAGACAGATCAGCAGATCTATCAGACGGGAAGATTGCTTGGCTTCGTGTTGCGAATCGGAAGTTTTTCTGCTGAGGGGTCGATGTAAAATGTTGTAGTTGTTTTGGTGCAGTGATTGTGGATCAAGCCAAAGTGAATGTATGAAAGCCTTATCTTCCTCATTGTCCTCGATCGCGCGATAGATAAGAGACCTGCTTCGAAAGGCATTGACCATGGACATTATAGGCACTTAATTTCTAATGAAGACCTGTAACTAAGAATCGGGTAGTGCTCTTGGAATGAAAGGTTTATAAGAACGCAGTAACAGCCGTACTATCACAGCCTTACTATCACAGCCTTACTATCACAGCCTCACTATTACAGCCTCACTATTACAGCTTCACTATTACAGCCTTACTATCGCAGCTTCACTATCAGCTTCACTATTACAGCTTCACTATTCGATCAAGCCACTGCACATCCGATCCACCATGCGCGCATGGTCGAGCACTGTGGTTTATGCTTCCTTTCGGCCTGCGAGACAGATACAAGCAAGGATCTTGCGCTGCGAGACGAGAATGTTCACATAGCTGGTTCTCTCCAGATGGCTGGTGTGCTAAGCGTTATAGCCAGCATGTGGTCTGTGGCGGATGATGTCTGTCGCACTCTGGCTGATACCTTCTACACCGAATTGACAAGAGAGAATTCTCCTGAGGGAAAGCGGGGGATAAGTATAGTTGAAGCCCCTTTTGCTCTCCATGCAGCAATCCAGCATCTGCGAAAGATGAAGAGCACTCCTCCAATTCTTTGGGGTGCCTGGTTTCATGCGGGAGTCTGAATAAAGGAGGCGCTGTCGCTGTGTGGACTGATTCTGGTGATTTATCAGAGCAAAATTCGGCTGATGTCCTCAATGGTCTCGACAACATGTTTGACGACATGGTTGACAAAGGTGGCTGCCGGTGAAGACGTCAGTAGGTTGTTGTTCTTAACTTGTAGGAGAATATCGGTCCCACTGAATCGCGATATCCGTTCTTGAACTTAAAAAACATAGGGATGCAGCTTGACTAGTGGGTAAGCAGCTTGAGCTACAGCAACAGGGTGAGCTCGGCCACTGCTAAGCCTCGTGCCTGATTCTAGGCCCTCTGTACAAGATTTGGATCTGGGATTAGAGTGTGGAACAAGGATTCTTTGATAAAAAGATGACTGAGTAAGGCAAAATTACTACATTTGTATTGAATGGCTATGTACATTCTGCCGCCATCTTCGGCGGCATATGCCGCGACTTTCGTAGGGCAAAGGTATCGATGGTGACTCTGTATAGTGCAGCAGGTATCCACCCAGAAGTACTCTATGTCATCCTGAGTAGCCTGTTCGCCGCAGAACTGTATCTTGCGATAACCTGGTTTTTCCTCGCCTCTGCCTTCCATCAGATCTTTGAATGTGACCTCCTCGGCGTTGTTCGCTCGCCAGACGTGTGAAAGAATCGCATATCGCGGTACTTCGTCGCCGATGTATTCTACAAGGCTGAATTTGCCATCACCTGTACAGTGCAAGAGACGCATGGCAATAGGATGTTCGCATGAGCAATCGCACAGGAAATTACAAAGATGATGAGTAACTAGAGTACTGCAATAGTACCGGCCTTGAGAATGGATGTCTTTCAGACTCCATTAGCAAGATGAAACCTTTGGTGAAGACAGCGGACAGGCAGCAGCAGTGGGGCACAGGCGCAGGGTCAAGCGAGTTTGCATATAGTAGCACGTGAGTCAATCGTGATGGAAAAGGAACGCGTCAAGTCATACGGGTAGTAGCCTACACTAAGCTGCCAAGATATCTAGGGCTGACGTAGAGTGGTCAGAGCGCTTTCGACTTCCTCATCATCTCCTTTGACACTTCTTTTCTGACAGACACACCCTCTTAGAAATCCCTTTCTCGCTGGCAAAGACACATAGATACTCATTGCTCTCCTTCACTTCATACTATCCAATTTGGGCTCCTTCTGATTGACTCTTGCGCACTTTTGAAAGCCATATCTCGGGACCGCGTCGTGTCAATCATGAGACATCCACAGCCAATTTTCCGGCTTATGCTATCACTTCCATCGATAGCGCAACTACCGCTGCTGCCTCCGATGATCCTATTTGGTCCCGGCGATAAACCGGCGAACCACAAGCTCTAATCGCTCACTTGACCGAACTGCCATGTGCGCCGCCGAGACATGGCCAGGTTCACGGAATGCCTCTTCGGTCTGCTATTCGACGGCCCATCGTACACTTGGGGATTAGCTAAGAACAGTTGCTCGTGGTTTCTTCTTCGTCCTTCATCCCCTTACTCGACATACGAGTGCATGCAATCGCATCACCCGAAGTCGTTCCAGAAGACCAATAAGATCGCTCTCCGCAACTATACTCAATGACTCTTCCGGCGTAAGTTCCAACACGGATTGCTTGGGGTTTCCATTACAGAAAGACCCGTCATCATGGGAGTCGGACCGCAGTACCTCCTGGTATTTGACCATCGGTAAAGCTCTCTCATCGCAGTTCAACTTTATTTGTCTTTACTCCCTTCTATCATTACTCTTCATCTCTACTCTTTTCTCCCCTCATCATCAGACCTCGGAGAATCACGCATACTTGACAGCTTCACTCCCACGCCAAGTCCTCCCCTGAAACACTGCTCACACACGACATGTGTATCCGTGTGGTCGAAAAGTTTCCAGTATGCGGTTGCGTGTATCATACGCATGCAGTCGATCGCTGCCCCTACTATGGTCGACATCCGGTAGTGGACAAGGTCGTCTGGGTTGGGTCGTCCTGTCCGCATCATAGCAGCGGCTGAATATGATATGAAATCTCATCCAAGCAAAAGGAGGAATGGGACTGTTCTTGACGGTTATCTACCATTACATCCACTCTCAAACCTATACCTGAGGAAGAAGCTCTACAACATATCTCTCCGTGTAAAAGGGAATTGAGCCGCTATCGGCATCGAATGAGTTGGCTACGACCGGACGATAGCTAGCGGATCTTTCGAACATGGATGCTGGTACATGTCTATATGACCAGAGACGCAACGCGAGCAACGTCCATAATACACCAGTTCGACTCTAGGGAACCGACGAGATTGAGCGAGGGGAACAGCTAGATCACATTTCACGATCTCGGCACTCCTTCGTATCAGAATTCAAACGACAAACACAGCTAGAAAGCACTCGCCCTTCAATCTGACTCGTCCTATTCCTCTCCTCTCCCCTCGATCAATCGGAGCCAGCAACTGCACAATCCTCAGAAGCATAGGGAAAGCGATGGACGAGGATGTCGGAAGTTTGAGCACACGGAGCCATATCGACGGAGATCTGCAGAATTTCCCCTCCGCTGGACTTGGTAGGTAGAACAGAAGTGTTTCACGTTCAAAATTCATTCAATATAATCCACTACATTGTTCATGGATGGAAGATGGAAATGCATATGCATGCTCTAGAAACAAGAATTTGCTTTTCGGGGTATATTAGACACAATAATCTAGACCATTAGGGACAATAATATAGTATAGACTTGGAGAGAAGGAGGAAGTAGTCTCGTATTACATGCAAGACCTTTCCACCCCACCATCAACATTCTCCCTGACGAGTTGCGATGCAGAATCTCAAGTCTATCAGTTTCCCAATCCGAGTGGAATGCCCTTCTCAAACACACACACATATCACATATCTCACATAAGGAATATTTTAGGGGTGCAAGCATACCGCCCCCAGAATGCTGCGCTGGGGTATAACCAAGAAGAACCTCATAACAACCCTCATGCCCTGATCGCCCCACGCCCGTGATGCAAAAGCAAATAGAAAGAAAAGAAAAAAGAGTTAGAGTGCAATTGCTGCTAAATGTACGTGCGCCGAGGCTTCAATACACTCGATCTGGATCCTCTTCTTTCGGTTTGTACATGATCGTCGTGAGGAACTAGCAGTTGTCAGCATGGTACATTTCTCACAAGTGGGATTACGACGTACTTTTTGTTTATACCGCGTAGTTGCACTCGTGGCTAAGATGTTGTCTTTGATACTACTCGTCGCCAGGTGATTCAGCACCGTATGATTGGGGTTAATTAGCACACTGCTATCGTCCTTGGTCGGCGTTGTGCCGTTCAGGATACTCTTGCCCAGGAACCCCGGTAGTGACGGCGGCGTCGGCAGGTTGTTCGTGGTAGCGTTTGAGCGCGCGAAGCGGGAGGATTCCTCAGGGGCATCGAGATCTAAGAGGTATCGGGGGATATTTTGGTGGTATTTCTTGGTTGGCTCTGGGATTTTGGGTTTTGCGGGTTCCGGCAGGGGCGCCTTGAGGGGTTGCAGTTCTGGAGTTGGGGGCAGAACTTGCGGCGGGTAGACGCCTGTGGGTGCGTCGCGTTCCTGCACTGGCGTCACGGCATCGAGGCTCTCCTTCCCTTCCGTTGCGTCCGAAGCTGGTTTGGGAACGTCATCGTAGGACACTTCGAGGTAGTTGACCAGGATGTTTGTGTAGTCTACTGCCGTGGGCAGCTTATCGCTCGTGCGCATGTCGTTGTCCACGATGAACATGAGATGGTGGGTCCCTGGGGTGATGAGGACGTAGGCGGAGAGGGCATCTTTTTTCTTGCTGGGACCGCTGTGGGAGACATGTCAGTACTGTCGGTGTGCAGTGTAACCCTCGAACCGAGGCAGATGCGTACGCCTTGAAATGTAAGGCTCGAGGCTGCAAGGCTGAGATGGTCTTCGCTGTATGATTGACCGGGTCTCAGGCGGCATCGCGTACGAGGGGGCAGCCACACGGGTAGCTGCAGACAGGGAGGAAGCAAACGTTTCGACTTACTTTGGATGCAACTTGTACTTTTTATTCCAGCCCGCAAAGGTGCCTGTTACATAGACGCGCTCGCCGGGGCCCTCCCACTCTATCAGCGTGGGCACAGTCGGCCGGCCTGTGGTGGGCACTTTGAACTCTTCCCCCAGGTCTTCGTCGTCTGCGGTGGTGGTGCTGAGCATCGACGTGCGGCGCGGCAGGGCACCTTCGACCTCTCCATAGTCAATTGGGCTCGCGAGATCCTGGGCTGATATGATGGGGGAGCCTGGGTTGTGCAGCTCCTCCTCGATGGGCAGCGGTAGGCGGGGCGGGCGACTGAAGTGCGACGAGGGCACAATGTAGTCTTCTGGGTCGGCATCGGCGGCGATGGCGTCTATCGACGACGACTCTTCGCGGAGGCCTGCAGGCACATTGACAGGGCATGTTTGCGGCGAAGGGGAGGGCGCGGGCTGGTGCTGATGTTGGTGCTGGTGCTGCGCGTCCTTCTTCTCGGGCGGCGGGCTCGCGGCGGGCTGCTGAGGCGGGGTGATTTGGCGGCTCGTTGGAGGGCCCTTCTCTTTGGCCTTCTGGCTGCTCTGCTCGTTGCCCATGGTTTCGTGCTCGGGCGCCTTGAAGTGGTCCTGGGCAGCGCGCAGGTGGCTGGCGACGGCGGCAGCGGTGCTGGTGCTGGAGCTGGTGCTCGAGGCGGCCGTCTGCGAACGGCCTCGCGAGTGCGGGCGGGTTGACGTGGGCTGGCTCTCTGCGTGCGCGAGACTGGCCGACGGGGGCGCCGCTTGGGCTTTGGCGGTGCTCAGTGCCTGGATGGATTCTCTCCTGCGCGCCGAGTGGTGGAGGTGGGGGACGACGTGGTGATGGGAGCGCTCATGTGACGCCGTCACGTTGGGGGGAGGCTGCTGCTGCGGCGGCGGCGGCGGTGATTGTGGATTCCATGGCGGCGTCGTCGACCGCGAGTTCTGGTTGCCCATGTCCTCGGCCTGCGAATCCTCTCGCCGAAGCTGCGAGACTCGAGACTGGAGTGTACCACCAGATGGGAAACAGCCGCCTGTGTCTTCATGGATAGTAGACAGAGACGTCCAGGTCCGCTATCGCCCGTCTTAGCATTGCCTGCAGCGGGACACAGGGATTGGCAATTGGAAATGCATAGCTGCATCATCGCCGATAGCTGCCGCCCAGCCAATCCTACCTATCCAGGGGGAGCTTGCCTCGACGACGACACGACAGTGCTATACACCTCCAAGATCCACTTGATTATCGGGAGAAATTATCTGGCGGAGCAGGGAGCCTCTTCCTTCGCCATCTATAGGGCCGACGTGTCACAATGCGCCTGTCGTAGCTGTGCTGTCGTAGACCTCCTCTATTGCCAAATCCCGCAAACCAACTTCGACCCCCCTACACCATGGCTGACGCCCTCACTACCGTCTTCATTATCCTGCACATCATTTGGTGGCCGCTCAGCAAGATTATCAAAGCCATTGTCATCCTCCTCACGCCATTTTGGATCGTGGCCACTTTCCTCCTCCTACCCTTCATCCACATCGGGCATGCCATTATCAATGTCCTGTCATTCCCCTTCAGATTGCAATGGATGGAGCGACTCGAAGTAATACATATGCATTGATCATACAGAGAAAAGTACTCGGGCATGCTAACATTGCTCCGCAGACAATTTACATCTACCTCGGCACTGCCGGCTTGATAGGATGCATCACTGGCGCCATCCTCTTTACCATCTTCAAAATCCTCTCATCAAGTCTCAACATTGATGCGACCAGCGTGCCCGAAACACGTGATAGTGGGCCAACTGCTGCCGAGTACAGGGCAGCAAGGCGGAAGAAGAAGGACGAGTCTATGGATTATTCGCCCATCGCGACTCCGGTAGTGTTGAGCAAGGTCGCTACACCGCGTAGACGAGGCCTCTTGTCGCAGGCCATCATTGAGGAGGAGGATTCGGACTTTTAATCTCGCCTTGACATGGCGAGGTGTGCGTTGAAGAGGAAGCCATGTCATACGAGTCGTGTTGGTAGCTTTTCCAATTCCACTCATTCTGGTGAACCCGCGACTTGTGGCTCGAGTGTGTCAGCGCGCGGTCGAATCCAGGGATTGGCATGTCTGTGTCGCGTGCCTGTGTGCTGCGTGAAGCGATGCTTGATGGGTCTACTACCGATAAGGCTCGTCGCGTCGGGCATGGTCGATATTCAGCGCTATTTTGCTTCGAGCTTGCCACATGGTTAACACCGCACATCACACTCTACAACGGCTTCGCTAGGTATATTGCTTGTGGACAGGGTGTCCGGAACTAACGCAGTCGAAGCCCTCTCGTCCGCCTCAGAGGAACCCAAAGTCAGCCAGTGGAAGACGCAGACAGTAAAAGTAACTGTAGTATTTAGCAGAAAGATCAGCAAAATGAACCGTAACAGACATACCATCGACACTGCAGATGGTCAAACACACCCAACCTAACTCTCTCCCCTTGAACGAAGTTAGGGAGGCCATATTGCCCACAGTCGGTATCAGAACCAAGCATGATCCTATGAAAGTTCGCCACAGCAGCTTCTCAATCGTCCTTGCCCTTTGTTGGTTCGAGGTGTGGAGGTCTACGCTGTTCCTCGCTCTTGATCGACTGCAAAGGCTACCAAAGCACTTCGTAAAGCGACTTGCAGGAAACGCTGCAGTGGGTAGACTACCGGCGCGGACCAGTGGACTCAGTAGGTAGACGAAAACTAGAGTCAGCAGGACATTGATGAACACATCGAAGGTCAGTAAGGGTATAGTAACAAATTGTGGAAGACCGATGCGACAGCGGCCGTCCTTTCGAGAGATGTTGGCGATGGGCCAGATGAAGCCGGTAACAGCGATAGTGCCGAAGACTGCTGCGATACTCAACGTCCCAGTTATCCATAGCCAATCGTATGTCCTCCGCATGTACGGGGCTCGCAACGCATGAGCTCGTTCAACCAGAATAAGGTACCTGGAGACGATAAGTCAGCCACTTTAGTGTAGTTCAGCTGCGATAGCAGGTTGCGCAAGTTTGATGCAGCTTGTAATTTAAGAAGTAACTGCTTAGACCCACATAATTACTTTGCTGCTAGTATAAACTGCAAATCGAGATCCGAAGTCAGTGCACGTGTCATGCCTAATTCGTGTACAGTCACTACTTACATGCCAGGCAGAGGATGACAGCCCCTCGACAGACATTGTAAGATGATAAGCCAAGACCGGATTCCGCAACGGCAGCGGAGAAAACGAATGCCATGGAAAAGAAGTAAAGGAGGTAGATGAGGACGTGTGTAAGACTCAGGTTCTTGAGTTGATGACGGTCGGTCGAACGCATACGATGCCCTAACATGTTAGCCATGGTAACTATAACAGACCAGCGGGGACCGGTACCAACCATCCCTGTGATAAGGGACATGCAAAATAGGGATACGACAGTATAGAATGTTCGTGACGTGGTGGTCTCGCCAAAGTCATTGTTTTGATAATTCGCATGAAGAAAGATGGGAGTTCCGGATCCACTGGCCAACACTCGATTGATCCCAAGTGTAGTATTGGGTATTGGTGTTGCTGCTGATACTGCAATTACAAGCGAAGTCCTTATCCACAACATGCTGGCCGTTTGTCAAAAGCTGTAATCGAGCACGTCAACAGGTATGCGGTGGATCATGCAGGTGCGACGCTGTAGAGAGACATAGTACTAGGTTGTTGTCGGACGTAGGTAGGATGATTAAAGCGTGGTGAACGACGGGGAGCAAGATGCAGGCTCCATATAAATTCAGGTGAGCAAGTTTGCATGCCTCCCAGCTGATCAATGTCGCCATTTGGAAAGCGCGATACGAGGATGAAGCCAAGTGCGAGGTGGTTGCTGCTCGCTCCTTCACAAACGACCTTATCCACGTCTACTATAGTACCACAAAAATGGGATTTGGCTGAGCGCCGTCCATTTAAACACCATAGCGATGGCCAGTTTCGATCAGGGACGTCGATGTGGCGCGAACTCGAGCAGACCGGACAATGCCGTCAGAATTTCTGACAAAATGAGAGAGCGACAGAGGGAAAAGTAATAACGTGCAACAAGTAGAAGCTTGTACATTGGCCAACGCGCTGAGCGGCACTTTCAGGCGAAAAAAGCATCGGATTGTGTGACCTCGTGCTGCCGCCCCTCCGAAAATCTTGTTTCCAGCCGCTGTCCCGCCACGGCTTTCGCCGAGTACATAGTTAGCTATCCAGAGTCCGTAATTAAAAGAAAGCATATAAAAAGCGCCTCCACCCCAGTGTTACCTGTTGAGATATGGCCACTTCCATGTAGGTACCTTGAGTGAGTCCCGCACTTAAGAGTTAGACGAGAATCAGGTTGAAAAAAAGGCAAATACATCATTCCTATTCCAAGTAGGGCCCAGGGAGCTAACATCACCGCTTCCTCCCGAGGTCGTTCTTCACCTACGCATTGCATGTTGCGCATCGAACACATCCCGACGAAGCCTAATAAATAAAGGTAGCCATGGCTGCATTGGCGGCAGAGGCAACACTGGGAGAATAGGGTGATGTTGGGCTTCTGAAGATGATCCGGCAGAGACCTACTGCTACGAGGGGAGGGCGGTTTTTATGATGGTCAGCAGCATGAGGAGCTAGTCCCAAACGGGGCAAAACAACACGGGTTGAAGTCAATACCTAGGTATGCGGCCCCACCTACCAGCTGGGCCGCACGAGGCAGTAGTCTACTTTGCTCTTCCCCACTTGAAGGCTGCACCATTATCCTTTTCGCTTCTTCCATGCCTTTGTACCTCTTACACTGCTAAAGTGCTTCGTTACCTAACGGACATCCGACTGTTTAGACGAAAACGACCAGCTGTTCTCCTTATTCCCCCCTCTGTTCTCAACATGCCTCACCATGAGACATCCTCACTCAAGTCATATTTCGACGAGATCGCCGAGACCAACGGTGACAATGAGTGTAGAGCTTGGTTGAACAGGCTTTTCGACAATAAGGCAGAAATAGCAGATTGCGTTTCTCATCTCCTAGAACGCGGACCCGGAACGTATGTTGGTTTCCTCAAGGGTTCTTTCAACTTTAGCTTCCGAATCCGCTTCAGGGAAGGCTTCCCAGACGCTCTTATTCGGTTCCCCAAACCGGGACACACAGCTACAGCGTTAAGGGACGAAAAGGTCGAGAACGAGGTCCGGACCATGGACTACCTCCGCCAACACACCACTATTCCTCTCCCTGCAGTGCATGAGTGGGGTACGACAGCGACGGCAACAACAAAGACAGCAGCGAAGAACTTACTCCGATTTGGGCCATTTATCATCATGGATTATGTTGAGGGAACGCTTCTATCAACTATCCTAAAGCAACCGGATCAAGAAGACATGATTCTCAACCCAAACTTCGACAAGACAATTTTGGACAAGATATATCGTCAAATTGCGGATTACATGCTTCAATTTTCTCAACTTCGGTTCACCCGCATTGGAGCCATATCCAAGGACGACCACGCGAATTGGTATATCAGAAGACCCCTAACGTATAATATGAATGAGTTGGCGACTGTCGCGTTCTACCCTGGCGATCGATTTCCTACTGCGCCTATGGACAGCGCAAGCGATTACTTCAGCTTAGTCGCGAACGAGCATCTGAACCACCTTTGGACCCAGCGCAACCTTGCTGATAACCAAGAAATCGCTCAGAAGCGATTTATTGCCCGTCATCAGTTCGCACAGCTGATTCCAAAGTATTGTATCCATGATACTGGTCCATTCATACCTTTCTGCGATGATTTGCGACCAGGGAATATGCTCGTAAATCCAGAAACCCTGCAAATTACAGTCGTGTTTGATTTTGAGTTTACCAATTCTATGCCGGCCCAGTTCGCGTACGACCCACCTTGGTGGCTTCTATTATCTGGACTGGAAACTTGGCTTGATCGTTGCGCTTTACAGGAATTCTTAGCCCTATATGAGCCTAGAATGGAGCAATTCCTACGAACGTTAGAGCATGTAGAAGCGGAGTCATTAATTCGGCAACCTAGTGCGCCACCTCTTTCTGCCCGGATGCGTGACTCGTGGCGGACTCGGCGTTTCTGGTTCAATTACGCTGCAAGGAAGAGCTTTGAGGTGGATTCCATCTATTGGGCTACCCTACATGATGACAGCGCTACCGTGCTTGATGCCCAGGCGTGTGCAGAGATGGAGTCACTTACCCAGAGGAAGATGGATCAACTAAAGGCATATAAAGAGGAGTGTTCTGCTCGTTTTTCTTAACGTAGCGAATGTTTGTAGTTCCCTTGTATAGTATTAGGTCAATGCTACTTGTTTCTTCAACCATAGGATAATCAAAATGGATGAATTGTATGTCTTAGTTGACTATCCGGTAATGAGCGATTTATAACTATGTGAATAAATTAATGATATAGCGCGCAAAGGCGAAGCCCAAGATGAAAGTAAAGAGTTGAGACCCAGGATAAGGGGCGTGCTCTCTTAATTGGAGGTTCCTAAACACTGCTAATTGTCTAGGTTAGTGCTTCTTACTTTCTGCGACGGTCAAGTTTTCTTCCAGGATTTAGGGATAGCTTGATCTAACAGTTTGTAGGGGACTTTGACTTTGAGAAGTGGCTGAAGCTAGGGTTAGGGGTAGTGAAACAGATGTACAAAATGTTTGGTAGTCCTGAGAGAGAGTCCTAAACATTGAAAGATTTTGCAATTGCAAAATGAATCAGACAATTGTTTGGAAGGAGGTGAGTGAGTGCCTCAAATGAGCGCGTGGTGTATTATTGCAACAAGAAATCGAACATCTCGAGGTCCAGACGCTCCCATGCCTCCTTGTGAACACGGCCTAGTGCTTTCCTCTTTGCAATCTTGCCATGCCACTCTACCCATATGACGTTATAGAACTCGTACTTCTCTCCAGATCTTGGTCGTTCTTGACATCTCCACTCAGCCAGTGTGTATTCTTGCCAGTCGTTGTAAGCGAATCCTCTCGATATCGCCACTAGCTCAACAATGTCGCTAGTTTGGGGTTGACCGCCTCTAACATCATGGCGCAACTTCACTTGTTCTTGATACTGCAGGTCGAGACAGCCAACCCATTTCCCCAAATTATCACGGATAGCCAAATGCCCGGGAGTGGATCTTCGGATGGGACGTTTGATCCAGTCCCTTGAAAATAGTCGCGCTTTTGATGTGCGACACGAGATTATGAGGTCTGAGGTCTTGGCCAACTCCTTGTCGGACTTGCGCTTTGTGTCGAGTTGGTTCGCTTTGCGCTCGGTCGCGTTGGTGATGAGAGGGACCGGATACCAGAATTGAGAGGTATCGTCGCTGATATGGGTATAATAATGATCTGGTTCGTGGAAGCTATAATGCCCCGAATAATGTGTTCTTTTTCCGTCCTCAAAGTCCCAGAAGCCCCACATGCTCCCCTTTCTTTCGTGGGTGTTTTCATGACAGGTCCAGCCATTTTGCAGGGCCATTGAAATATCCGCATCTTCCGTGGTACTTGCAGAGCAATCGTTTCGAATTGGTCGTCTTTCGCTACTCTCCGTGCTTCCGTAATACCACTGAACTATCGGAATTGTGCGCCGCGAGGTGTATGCCTGTGTATGTAAGACGGTCTTTTTCCAGAACCCAGAGTCAAGGTTGTTGCGGATTACACCCGTCCATGCCATCCATGACCACGACGGAAGATGTAGGCTGACCGAAGGCGACGACGTGCCTCTTGGGCGAAGCTCATTGCCCGACCACAAAAGTCCCTGGTCGAAGAACATCTCAGGAAGCCCATACAAAAACCCTCCAGGAAACGAACTGCTGAGAGCTGCCAAGAACCCAGTAAAAGCAGGCAAGACGTCCTCGGGATAGGTGAGCACTTTCGTAGTGAACGTGCTTACCAAGTCGTTGTATGAATCGAGGCGCGGCCATGAGGAATCGAATAAAACCAACTTGCTCACTTGTTGCGTGTGTCTGAGGTCCTCTCTGGAATGGACGGGAATCGTGGAGTTATCTGGAAATATGTCCTCGCGCCAAACTGCACATTGACATTGCCATTGTACTGTCTGGTGTGCGAAGATGAGTTTTCTGGGTGACAAAAGCGATTCCTGGAATGTCCACCCTCGCTTCTCCCAGGTTAAGCCAAATGTCGAAAAGGGTGGACAATGCACGTAGGTTCGCATCGGCTCGAGCTTGTGAACGTCCTGAGGACGTGACCTAGGTTTCGTTATGCTTTGAATACCATGCAAACCAGCGGCCGCATCATCCCCATTTGCCGCCACAATAGTCAAAGACGCATTCGCGTAAATGGAAGACATGCCGTTGAGTTGACTGTCCTTGATGCTTTGATCATCCTGAACTATGCATAAAGAGTCTACCCACAGAAACTGCTCGCCCATAAGAGAAGTGAGCTGAATGGCATCCATGATAGTCCTAGGTATTTGGGACTTCCACAACGAGTTACCAAAAGATCCCTCCAAACTCAATTCATAAAGATTGTTTCTGGTCGTCTTAAGTTGAGGAACTTGGCCCCAAACATAGCTGAGAGCAAAGTAACGGTCTGTGGTCTTGGCCTGCGTAAGACACATGCGTGTGGTGTCGATAAGAAGATTGGGACGGAGAGACAAGGTGCTTGCTAGTCCATTACACGCCGAGCCATGTATCGTTTTACAGCGACTATACCAGTCTTTCAGAGTTTGGCAATCGATCCAGTCCGGATTAGTCAGCCTTCCTAGGCCGGCTGGGTCCTCGAGATTACCCTCTGGTAGAGCTGCCAGGTTGACAATTGTGTCATAATGAAGAAGAACCTCGACATTGCGCTGTAGAGGTTTTTTGGTGAGCATAACAGAGTCCTCCCATTCAGACAGAGTCCTGTGCCTCGTGCGTTCCTGTAGTTTAGCGACAATGGACGCATGGGCTTGACAGGGTGCATCCACAAAATCAGGAAGCCTTCCCACTTTTTGTTCGTAGATTTTGTCTTCCAAGGACAAGTCCGTGAAGCGGATAATTTCAGAACAGAGTTTACAGTTCTTCAAATTTGCATCTAGCTGCGATGTTGTTCAGCAGGGGACTGCACACTTGTTCCCTCAAGGTACCTTACGAGCGAGGAGACGACCCTGGACGCCTTTGGCAATGCCGACATCTCAACTCTAATCGAGGCTTTCTACGTTTAACATTACCCTTCGTCTGTAGCGTGGAGACCCTAACACCGAAGTAGTAGCAAAGAGCGAAACGAGAGGAGCCGGAGACTACAAGCCAAGTAATACTAATATGACGAGAGTAGAGCAAAGATACGACGTTCCCTAGTGACTAGACGATCGCTCTATCGCGCTTCTTGACAAGATTTGTGTGGGTGGACTCCGCAAGGCCGCGTCAAGACGTTGCAAGGAGCTTGGGCGCAGGCGGCAGAGTAGTGTAGCGCGATGCATGGACTCGTCATAGGCGGGTCAGTATCCTCAGCAACACAGCCTCTTGCTGCAGCTTGCGACAGGGTCCAGATATAGATAGACATGACGGAGTGAGGTGAGATGCAGCTATGGTTCTATGAAGCCTGGTAGAGCAACAGAAGAGGCATCTGTCGCGATGGATGGATGATCTGATGATGAAGCACTGTTCGCGACTGGCACCAGAACGGGAACAATGCCCCCCACCTCCTTCCCCCTTCTGCCGCCCCTACCAAGTATGGAAAGGGTGGGTCGCGCCTGCCACCTGGGCCAGGGGTCTGGGCACCAAGCGAGGGTTGGAGAGATTGCGCCTTGGTCGGTGCACCGCCTCCAACACCGGAATCTGCAACGCCTTTCTTTCACGCCCGCCCACTACCCTTCTTTTTCTACACCAGCGCCCCCCCCGCCCAATACGAGACCAGACGCTCCTTCTTCTCGCATGCTTGGATTGTAGCACTTTTAATCTAATATATCTTTAATCCCCGCGCGCACCTTCGCATTGCATACCGCCCCTGCCTCGAACCGCCAAAGACACCCAGGAAATAGGAGGCTACCGAGCAACGCAGTCACGATGCGCAGAGGCGTCACCATATTCATTCTCGTCACCGTCGTCGTTCTCGGCTTCGCAGTACACAGCGTGTGGACACTACTAGGTCTGCTCGTCGCCACCGGTCGCGAAGATGCCATACTCCGCGGCGAGCTGCCTGCGCCAAACTCGGGCTCCATCAACGACCGCCCACAACTGATCCCCAAGATCATCCACCAAACCTACATCAATGAGAGCATACCGGCGCATTGGAAAGGACCGCAACAGAGCTGCTTGGACCTGCACCCAGACTACGAGTACAAGGTAAGGCGCGCGTCCTCGCAGATAAGAGCAAAAGTCGCTGACAGACCGTAGTTATGGACCGATAAGAAGTCGCGCGAGTTCATTGCCGCTGAGTACGACTCCACACACCCTATTCTCTGCTCGGAATCCACTAACAGCTCCAAGATACCCGTGGTTCCTCGAGACCTTTGACGGCTACCCGTACCCCATCCAGCGCGCCGACGCCATTCGATACTTTGTGCTGCACCACTTTGGTGGAATCTACATTGATCTAGACGATGTACGCACTCTCTATGCGGATTGACCTATCTCAAACTAACACCTCCCAGGGATGCAATCGCAGCCTCGACCCCCTCCTTGCCTACCCTGCGTGGGTCCGCCGCACCCTCCCCACTGGTATCTCCAACGACGCCATGGGCGCAGTCAAAGGCCACCCATTCTTCCTAAAGGCGATCGACTCGTTGACTGACTACAACCGCCGATGGCCAATGCCCTACATCACAGTAATGGCATCTACCGGCCCTCTCTACCTTAGCATCATCTGGAGACACTACAACAACGCGAACCCCGCAGAGAATGCTCGCGTGCGCATCCTCTTCCCCGACGAGTACAACAACCACCCATGGAGCTTCTTCACTCATCATCTCGGAAACAGCTGGCACAGGACTGACGTCAAGGTCATCTTCTGGCTGGGACGACATTGGCTACTTGTCACTGTTATTGGCTTCATTGTCGGATTCGCCATACTCGGTCTTCTATACAAGGTCTTCTTCATGAACAGAAGACAGCCTGGGTCACCCAAGCTCCGATTCGCGTACCCACGGATGCCCTTCTACCGTCGCATAAGCCAGAAAAGTTTTGAATTGGATGATCGGCTTCAGGTCTAAAGCTGGTCGAGATTTGCCATTTATTGTTCGCATTGTTCCTTGAGCGTGTTTGTTTTGTTCCCTCGGCCTTGCATTTTACGGCGTCACATTATCCTCACGGTCGCTACGCATATTTTCACTTCTCCATCAATAATTTTTCGATTCATACTCATACCATTAGACGGGGTCGTCTGTTTGACCTTACTTATTTAATCTATTTGGACCGCAATCGCAGGTCGGAGGTGTTGCTACACATAGAGAGCCCAGGGGCCGACGATCATGGACAAGAGGAGACTTTGGAGAGGGGACCTAGACCGAGATTAATCCATGGAAAGACTTCTCGGACAGTAGTGGGCCAACGGGCAAGCCGAAATGAAGGCACTAGATAGCCAGACGAAGCGTCTACAGCTCACGTCACAAAAAATATCAACGAATGTAGCACGTAGCTTTTCTTCTCTCTCTCCTCTTGCCACAGCGAAACTCACCTCCCAACAGTCGCCCCCAGCACCCACTTGCCAATGATCAGCGAATCGGAAATACGCCATTCCGAAGCTTTTCCTTCCCCGGCGCTGCGGTTGTACCTGCATTTCATGATGCGGGCAAGACCCGCTTTCACGTGCGTCTGACTTCCGCGCCCTTCCGCGAAGGGAAAATTCATCCAACCACACTACTGTTGTACACGTGTAGGGAACCCCATCCGTGCGTTATACGAGCAAGTGGCTGACATTCAAGGGCTAGGGTGCGTGCGGGTGTCTAGCATGTGTGTATGTGTATGTGATATATGTGATAAGGTTAGGGTTTATGTGTTGAGAAAGGAGTGGTAATAGGGAAATTACGTAAGGTAAGATCAAAATGGTGACGGTAAGAGGGGAGGCAGGTATTCAATCAAGATGGGTATTATACGCCTTGGATACGAAGAAGGTGAGAGTGACAAGTATTCGTCCTATTTGTCCAACTTCATTCAATAAAGACGGCCATTACCTCCTCGGGTTGGAAAGCCTTGAACTGTAGTTTGTAACACTAGAGGCTGTTGTTAGTAAAGACACTGCTAGAAACATACGACAAGACGGTGAGTTGAATAAGGTATCCTTAGTCAGGGGTCAAACACTGCACCTGCTATAGCTAGCATTGCGAATATAGATAGACATGTGGTTTTTCACTCGGGGATCTTGACGCAGCAAGTTCTTACGATATATCAGAGTCGAGCAGTGATCTGTGTCTCCGGCTATAAATTAGTTGCCGGACAAAACCACCTGGCTTCAGGCCATGAGGGCACAATGCCAGGGAAAGAGAATTACTGAGCTCATGTGATCTCATGACCTAGTAGGAAAAGCCTACTGCACCATATTATTACATCGATCACGGTGACGTTCAACGCATATTGTCTGCTCAAATTAGAAGCGGTGCGGAGCAATTGTTGTTATCAAATCGATTCCAAGTTTGATTAACGTTGGAAGTGGGTATCTTATCTCATTTTCATCACAAACCACCCTCGTACCACCCTCAATCCCTCCACCCCACAAACACTTCATCTGTTCTAAACCTCTGCGTACACGTTGTATCCGCCAGCCCCGTCACTACGCCCGTGCCATACTCCAAAAGCCCCGCATGCGCAATCATGATTCCATTGTCAATGCAAAACCGCTCATCTGTCGCAAAGACACTGCCTCCTCGGTCTCTCGCCATGATGCCCATCATTTGCTGTAATCTTTCGTTGGAACCCACACCTCCTACTACGAGCACTTGCTGTGACCCAACATGTGCCATGGCGCGCTCGGTGATCTCGACGAGCATGGCGTAGATAGTCTCCTGCAGGGAGAAACACATATCTTCTCGCGTGACCAGCTCCCCCTCCTCCGTCACTAATCGTTTCTCAAGCGGTAGCTTTTCATCTAGCCCCCTTGCTAGTAGGTCGGCTGCTGCGAGAATGCCCGAGAAGCTCGCATCCATACCTTTAACTCCATATGGCAGATCCACTAAATTCTTCCCCTTCTTTGCCAACTGCTCAACATTATACCCAGGAAACGGATCATTCGGTATCATAAGTGTCCTAGCGAAGCGATCTATACAGTTCCCTATTGCAATGTCGAGGGTCTCGCCGAAGATACGGTATCGTTGCGCAGAGTACGCGATTACTTGTGTGTTGCCGCCTGAGACGTACAGGACAACGGGGTTGGTGGCGTGGGTTATTGCGCGACCCATTTCGATGTCTATAACGTATCAGTCGGTCATTCCCCATCTCTTTGTAAGAGTACGGATGAGCACAAGGGGTACGCACGTCCAACGCAATGATTCACACCAATTATCGGCTTCCCCCAAAGCAAACTGATTGTCCTCGCTGCCAGCGCAACGCTCTGCAATGGCGCGCCCATCCCCGGTCCTTTGGTGTAGCATATACAATCGATATCCTCAATCTTGACACCAGCCTGTCGCACCGCTTGCTTTATCAGCCGCACTACCCATGCTCGGTGATGTATCGCTGTGTCTTTGGGGAGGAAGCCTTCGCCTGCCGGGGAAATGTAGGTGTGTCGGAGATTTGAGAGAATGAGGGGTGGTTGGTCGGGCCCTGGATGGGATATTACGCCTATGCCTATCTTATTGGCGCTCCCTTCTAGGCCTATGGCGATCATTGTGCTGTGATTTGGAGGTTTAAGTGTATTTGACGCGTCAAAGTTCGCGATGGCGGGGTGAGAATAGAAGGCTTATCGATAAACTTCCTGGCGAGTCTTGAAATCGATAGGTTGCAGCTACTAAACTTTCAAGACGTTTATTCTGCTTTCGTTAAGCGCTTGTATATTGAATTGGTCGTCTTCCAGCAAGGAGCGAATTAATGGGTAAATCAGAGTTGTATCGTCAATGTGGAATTCAGCCAATACGAGGTCTCTGCAATCTCTTCTCGACAGTATTGAAGCATGGTAACGTCGGTAGCTATTGTAAACTTTACGTCTGGAGAGATAAACTGATAATTGAGTTCACATACATACAGCTTTGACTTCATCAAGAGCACTATTTTGCTTTTTTCATGAACGGAACTCGAGGACGTCATTCTACCGAGTCAGGGTCGAGCACCCCCCATACAGACCGTAGTCGCATGTCGGATCTCCTGTCATTTGGATGACAGAGATCCACCTTCTTCAACCTGCTAAGATCATATCCAAATTCAGAGTGTGCCGACAGCTTCATCAAGAATGATGTGGGTCGTGAGAACTCGTAGTCCCATGCACCAATGGGAGCCGTGCTCGGTTGACCGCTAAATAAGCTACCGAATAACGAGACCATTTCTAACACTCAATCCTTCACCAACGCTCACACTCCCCAAGCCTTCACATGGCAGACTTTGATGAGGCCAGCCAGGCCTTCCTGGCATGGCTCCGACATACTGGTGCAGAGATCAACCCTAAGATCAAACTGGAGGACCTGCGGCACCGGGACGCTGGGCGAGGCGTTGGTAAGTGGCTAGATTTCCAGCATACGAACCTTCACACCTCCACCACTCTCGCCAAACATGATATACGCCTCAGCGGAAGACCCTCAGCTAATCTGGTCTAGTCGCCATTCAAGATATCGCCGAACACGAACTGCTCTTCCGCATTCCCCGCTCTGCAATCCTCAGCGTCGAAAACTCGCTCCTCTCTAGTGAAATTCCCGCCTCCACATTCAACGCACTCGGTCCCTGGCTCTCCCTCATCCTCGTAATGCTCTACGAAAACCTCAACGGCTCCTCTTCGAACTGGTCCTCGTACTTCTCGGTTCTGCCATCCGAGTTCAACACCCTGATGTTCTGGACCAAGGACGAGCTCGCGGAACTGCAAGCAAGTGCTGTGGTCGACAAGATTGGGAAGGAAAGCGCAGATGAAATGTTCCTTGAACAGCTCGTTCCGGTGATTATAGAAATCAGTGAGGTGTTCTTCGCTGGAGATACAAGGGCCAAGCAGAAAGCCGAGGAAATGCGCTCACCCGCTAACCTGGAGCTAATGCATAAAATGGGCAGCTTGATCATGGCCTATGCTTTTGACATCGAGTCCTCGACCCCGCCTAAGAACGTCGATGAAGATGGCTATGCATCGGAAGAGGAGGACGAGGCGCTGCCGAAGGGTATGGTTCCCTTGGCGGATATGCTCAATGCGGATGCTGATCAGTGCAATGCCCGATTATTTTATCAAGATCGATACCTCGATATGAAGGCTCTGAAACCGATAAAAGCTGGAGAAGAGGTGTTTAACGACTACGGACCACTTCCAAGATCGGATCTGTTGAGGCGGTATGGCTATATCACAGACAACTATGCTCAGTACGATGTTGTAGAAATACAGATGGACCTTGTCGCCGACCTTGCAACCGCAGCTGGAATTTGGTCTACAGAGAGAGTTGAGTATCTCGACGAACAAGAGATTCTGGACTCCGGATACGACATCACCGTCAGCGAACCATTCACTTTGCAAGAAAGCTTATCCCCCGAACTCATCATCCTCGTCGAGACCCTACTTCTCCCGGTTGAAGAGTTTGATCGCATCAAACAAAAGGGCAAGTTGCCGAAACCGGAGAAAATAACCGGCGCTGGCGCCAAGCTACTGCACAAGATCGTTCAGACTCGGATTGCACAGTACGCCACAAGCCTCGAAGAGGACAGTCGGGTTTTGCACGCAGATTCTACAGTAGGCGGTGTGACATCCAAGTCGAAAGATCGCCGCTTCGCCATGGCGCGAGCGGTACGTTCCGCAGAAAAGAAACTGTTAAGGCAGGCGGAAGAAGCATTGGCCGAGCTCACAGCACGAGGAGGCGGCGCTCTGAAAAGGCAAAGAGATGTGGACGGAGATGTCGAGATGGGAGGGACGGGGAAAAAGCAAAGAGCTTGATGATCAGCTACATTCGACCATGCGGGTAATAGAGTATTGAACGATCTGTGGACCATCAACCAAACATATGGAGAGAGCGATCGCATGCGCAGTACGCCAAATGCGAAGACGTCAAGGGTTATTAGAAATGATTCAGTAAGTTTTTTGATTATTTCCTCGGTCGAAGTTGCCTTGTGTTCCCTTACACAACAGCTAATATACATCAAGAGTAGTAGTCGACACATTTCAGTAATGTGCGCTCTATCCAGGCGTGACCTCCAGCTTCCTCAACCAGCCCAATCTTCCCGGCCTTAGGAGTATTGTACATAAGTTCGGTAGATCCTGCAAAATCTGCTCTAGCATCCAGGTCCCCAACTCGAATAAAACAAAGGGTATATATCGCCACAAACCTACACCACATCCCGTCACAAAACGCGTCAAATGAACAAGTCCAATTGCCCGAATCACCTCGCCCCCGCACTCGCAGTCGTGGGCGTAGGAGGGAGCAAATGTCCTGAGGCCGACCGGTTATGATTCTCAATCGACCTTCGATTAGGCCCTGTTGCAGCTTGTTGAGCGGAAGCCTTCTCACCCTGCCGCTCGATCATGATGCGGTACCTGATGTGCATGTTGTCTGTCCAGTCGACCGGATAGACTTGCTCATCCTCGCTACTGTCCCCAGAAAATTTCCATCGGTCGGCGATACGGTCATCTACTCTTTCGGTGAGCTTCTGCCGCTTCACGCCCCGTCGATCGATCATCACGCGCCCTCCTCGTCCAATCCGCCGACGGAAACGAGACTGATCTTGAAACGGCATGTCGTCGGGTGGCGTAGCGAATCGTATCCGCGCACTTCTCCTAGGTTCTATCTGCTTATTCACTGGTTCCACTGCCATGGCATCAGCACCCTCTTCATCAGATACAGAAGCCGGCGGCGTAGGAAGCTGACTCTCTGTAAAGACAGTACGGAAATCGCTTTTGGCAGCCGCTGGCTCCAAGGGTGGCGTGATAGGCCGCCAGGTGGCATCGACCCAACCAACGTTCCATTTCTGGTGTTTGACGAGGTTGTCTTCGATGAAGGAGTCGATTGCCTCGGTGCGCTTGGCTTGCTGCTCCTCGAGGTAGACAAGGTCACTATCAACAAGACGGCCATCTGGACGCATGTTTTGCGGTTTCATGCCAGGGATGTTGTGGCGCACACGCTCTAGATCGGCAGGTCGCTTTGGCTTGGGAGCAGGCTGCGACGGGTCAGTTGAGTGCGACACATTTTTGGGGTGGCTGCGACGTACTTTTTGAGTGATGAGGAGTTCTTCGTCATCACCCTTGATGCTCAGCTTCCTCTTGATCTCCTTGACGGCAAGGCGTTGTTCGAATATCAGTTTGTCCGTAGCAAGCTGATCCCTTGTCATGCCTTCTCGTCGCTTCACCTGCGACATCAATAACCGAGCCTCTTCCAGCTCCTTTCTCAGCTTCTTTAGTTTTTCGGTCACCTGTGCATCACGGCCTCGGGTCTTCCGGACTTGTCGTACTTCGCGACGGCGGAAACACACATACGGATCCGCGTCATCGGTTTCGAGGTTTGTCTCAAACTTCAATGATGGCATTAATGGGCGATTGCCTCTTATTACTCTCTGGCTCTTCCAGTGTGCGTAGATGTCCTTTGCAAACCGCCGCGCCGACTCGCTGATGGTCTCGTCGAACTCGGATTCTAGGTCCTCGTACGCAAGCACTGGCGAGTTATCGACAGCAGCGAAAGGCTGCTTGGTTGCAGTCGCCTCATCGAAGAAGTTCATTACCTCTTCGAACTCATCCTCAGAGCAGCGTAGACTCTTGCCCTTCTTCTTATTGAAGTCCTTGAGGAAGGCAACATCATCACTGTCCATGCAGTACGGACATCCAGACGAATCCTCAACGGTAGAAGAAAAGCGGATGTACGTCGCAGGTTGCGTGAATTGTCTTGGATAAAGATCTTCATACTGCAACTTGCTTGCGACGGCGTCTGGCGTTGGAATGTAAAGCTGCGCAATCTTTCCGCCAGTCGAGCCTTGCGCTGCTGCCTGCGCGGCAGATATGACAGCCTGTAAATGGTGCTCCTATCGACATTATTAGCAAATGTGCTTATAGCGACAGCAGGGTAAGTAGATGCGATGCGATGCGTCACAGCGAGCAGCATCACGTGCGTTGTGCTTGCTGACGCCACCGCAAAATTGCGACGACAAAGAGAGTGAACGCCAAAATGGGCTTAGCGGGGAAACTCACAATTTCCTCTCCCTTTTCAACACCCGTCTCGACCTTGGGAATGTGCCGTGACGCATCGTCGTCAGCAAACTGCTCGACCTCGTGCTCGCGCACGACAGGTAGGTTCTGCTTGGTAGATAGCTTGCGCTGGCGAAAGCGCTGGCCGGTAACCCGTTGCGCCATGGTGCTGTTGCGATGTGAAACGAAAAGTGGTTGTGCACGTGACGGCTGTGATGGCAAAACCTGCCGCGGCGGGCAGCAGCGCAGAAGGGAGTCAGGCCAGGTGGCCGCTCCGAAGCCTCACCACGCCGAGTTCGACCACAAACGCGCTCGAATATTCGTGATATGGGTATCAGAAGATTCGCAGCGGCCGTCGCATCAAAATGATGGGCGACAAGGTGATGAAAGGCGTGGTTGTGGTGCTGTTTTCCGATGGAGAAGTTTGTAGGCAGCGGTGTCGGGGCGCGTATGTTGAGGGTGTGGAAATGGGCGGGTGCTGCACGCCCAAGGATGCAGCCTTCAAGGCGAGGAGGCAAGCGAGGGCGGCCAATCATCGTGCACGGATGATGGGCGGCAGTGGAATGCGTGAAGGCTGGGTTGGAATAGTCATGATTTTTGTTTGATACTGCGTGGCTAGGTCTCTGCACTTTTCCGTGCACTTTTCTTATAATGATGCAGTCCATCGCGCGTGTTTGCCGCTACATTTGCTGTGTTCCATGGGTTGCATAGTGAGGCACTTCCACAAGGGGAAGCCGCTAGTACGTTTAGCGTTGCGCATGGGCCGGTGCGTCTATCGCGACTTCTGCTTGCACTCAAACAAGATACCAACACTGTCGACGTCTTCTTTGATATTCTCAGTGGCTTGGATGATATTTACTTGTGTCTTCTTGAGAGAAGTTCCATCTTCTTCAATGGCCTAGCTCTCCCAAGCGCGTTTCACATCATCATCAATTCCATGGAAGAGGCAGGAATATAACACGTCAAACACGGGTTTCCAGTCACAGAAGCCGCGTTCTTGTTGATAGCGACTGTATTGATAAGTAATTTTGTTTCATTTCAATATTGTCGCCTCATACTTGTTTCCGTTACGGTTTGGATAGTAATATTTCATAATGGCCTTTCTGCGAAACTCCAAGATGGAATACAAATCGAAAACTTGGTTTCGTCCAAGTTAGTCGAGCGAATCATGGAAGCCTCAGCTATCAATTGATTCCCAACTTTTGGTGCTAGGCCTGATGAGGGAAGGCACCCGCCTGACAGTACTCTCCATCAACTGTCACATTTTCATGTAGATGCATATACGGTTTCTCATCTCCTTGATACCTCGTTCAAATCCTCCTTATTCAACTTTCTCAAGTAGCGCAAAGGTTATGGAGCGGAGTTGAGCTCTGACGAGCGCGTTAGATGTGCTTCTGAAACCTCCTTGGTACTCTCGAGGTTGGTCATTCCAAGGGTGTCCGCATGGTAGAATCAGGGGTTGGAGGCATACGCGTGGTTCCTAGCGGATTACCCATCCCGGATCTTGACAATCGCACTCGACATCTGAATTGCTGCGGTGGTAACCTTGAGACTCTCGTTTCCTACCTAGGTCTATTCCAATAGAGTATCCCCCTGTAACCTACTGAGTGGATGCTGACCTGGCAGACCGAGGAAATTTACCGTCGCATAAACAGATAGAGTTTCCCACTTGGTCATGGACGAGCTGAGAGAAGTTTATACATGCTTGGAATTCACTATTTCCAAAGAAGCCACAAGACCGGAAGCCTTCAATGATGGCAGAAAGTTGGATTTCTTCCATTAGTTACCAGTTGAATTTTGGCCACTCTCTGGAAATTAGGTAATACCAGAGTCTCGCAGCTGGCCATTCCCTGGATCTACCGTACAACTACACCTCGGTTTAGACCGATCGTGCGTCAACTCGCGGTTGATCTAGAATCTATGAGAATAACGGCCGAAGGCACCGTTCTGGCACGACCTAGTCATCAAATTATACGAGTCGGCTACATTGGTATATGACCGGAACCAAGCTGGAGAAGGAGTCGGACTACAAGAGTCAGACTACTGGTCTGGGATTCAGATACCTCCACCGAAGTTCACTGTCGGGCATCTGTCTGATATCTATCGACCGTACCGTTCATTATGTTGCAGCACCGCTGTCACGATTTGCAGAGAGCTCCACAAGCTTTACAACTTATTCTCGTCTCTCACTTTGGCCGGCTCTTAATCACGAAATATCTACTGACATCAACCCATTCGAACAAAGTTACCGTGCAACGAGAACACATACGAAAAAGAGTCTACCAATGGAGATTCTAGCATTTGGATTTTGTGCCAGCAATAGCGCCTCTGCGTGTTTGCAGCTAGTATGTGCTCACTGTCCTGGTTTTCTCATAAAATACCTCGTAGCATTATTCCTTGCATTGGAGGCTAAGCAGTATTTACAAAATGCAAAGCTCATGTTGTGTCCTGAGGGATGGTAATAGATAAGTCACTCCGCCGCAAAAACCACAGTTCCTCCAACTAGTCCTTCACTTTCTCATACCTTTGGTTGACTGTGTTTGACCTTGAGATCCGAGGTGTGTTCGTATCTATCTTCTTTACGTTCACGAGTTGAGCAGTCTCTACGATGGCTAGTTCTCTTTCAATTATCGACAGCACGTGGACTCACTCTTATGAATATTGGACCATGCGCGATAAACCCACCATCTCCTCCTTCTCCTTCCTCGACCAGTCGGCAAGCCAACTGAATCAATGAAAAAGTAAAGATTTCTCTGAAGTCAGGCCCCACCACCGCCTAACTCAGTCGACATACTCCGATCACCCGAAGGCAACTCATCAACGTCGTCCTCTCGCACTGGCTTCCCTCACCAGATTGAGCAGAGAAATTGTGCCAACACAAACACTCCTTAGCAGTGGTCGTGAGGCGCCGATCGGGAAGGAGCGTCGAGTCAGCCCCGTCGAAGTCTTAAAGCTTGCGCAGTCCCCGCCCTGCTCACGCACACCGACGCTCGCAGCCCCAAAGTCGGGCGGCTCAAAGGCAGTCACCCCAGGTGACCCCTCCGAGATGGTTCTTGTCGTTTGCCCTCCAAGACCCTGCAATCCTCCACCTGCGGTCAGGCATTCCGATCACCCCACGTATACGAGGACCCAAAATTTCTCCCTTAACACTTTTTCCTTGGATTTCTTGGTCGCGATTCCGGGCTCAGAGAGGCTGTCAATGGCTCAACGGCAGCGTACATCCCGCCCATTGTGACTTCCTCGGATGCGTGCCACTTGTCAGAGTGAGCACAGAGTGACGACGTCGGGCCGCGGGAACAACCCCGTACTCATACGACTGCGTCACTCAGAGCGCGAACATCGTAGCGGAGTAGGTGCCTTGTTGAACAAGGCCGGGGAGGCGAGCGCTGTGCTAGACTGGCGCGGCGAGTGGATGAGACCCGCAAGACGGCTGGTCGTCGAGGCATTGACTGGGGACTTGAGGAGAAGAAAGGAAGGCGAGCGCCCGAAAAGTTTTCTTATGAAGGCAGCGGAGCACGGGCGCTGCAGCTAGCTGGATTGGGGCGCGGCGAGGTTGTTGTGATGGTGAATGTGAGTTTGGGTTGGTGAAGGGGGGAAAGCGCAAATTTGGGAAAACACGTCAAGGCAGACGCGGTGAAGTAGCTTTCACCTCGACACACAGCCTTGTTCCTATTAGCGAATCAAGAGCTCCCAGCCAGTTAGGAAGTAGATGCAACAGAACAATTGAGACAGCCCGAATCTGGATCGATCAAGTGCACATGTTGGCCGCAATGGCTTCGTCGACACCTTTTCTGTCATGACGAACATCCTATACTAAGATGCACCATCTCTTTCCATTTGATCTCAGAAGCCCGTAAGTAGAGCCAAGAGCGTTCAGAATACCGACATTGATCTTTCGCGGTATTCTAGCTGTGATATCTTATGTGGAAATCGTCTCCACTCGTGCTGTATGGATTTGAGTCTGTCATGTTTAGTGTCGCGTTAGACATTTCAGGTGTAAGAACTCACTATCTTTGGAGCTTCTCACTAATCGGGCTAGTTACCTCTGAGCCTTGACTTGCTTTGTGCTCGAGTTATATTAGGAAGGGAAGATGGCCTTTCAAGAGCAGACAATGTGATCACGTCGCGATGTCCCAGAGGTCAAATGCGGTCTCGTTGTATCGTCATGTGAACGGTGTTCTCCTGCTTCACAGACAGCTGCTTGCTCCACGCATCCAAGGTATGGAAATAAACAAGATCAAGAAGAATGGTGTTGTGTTGTAGACAGAACAACAAGTATCCTATCAGTAAAATCTTCGTATCAATTGAAAGAGCTGATTAACCTTCATTCGTTTCCCTCGTTTCCATCCAACTCGAACCTCGACTGAGGTTCCAATTCCTGTAATTCACTAGATATATACTCCTTTGTTTCACCGTCGAGCTCTTGCCTTAGCATATCATCAGTTGTAGCGTGGCCCATTTCTGCGGTCGATGGATTTATTGAGATCTCGTTGTATATCTCCCGAGATTCAAGTTCGGATTTTTCCCGCGCTGCTAGTTCATTTCCCTCATGTGAAGAAGCATTTGATGCAGCTATGTTCTTTCGCCTGTGTCGAAGGCAGAGGCTGACTGCGAGAAGAACAAGAAGGAAGCCACCTACCCCGACGCCAACGCCAACACCAATGGATATATCGATACGGTCATTGCCATTCGACCCTGAGATACTTGCTTGCGTCGATGTGGATGAAGAGCCGGGCTGCATTGTAGAATTCTCGATTGCATCGTTTATGGCAGGTATCGTAGTAACGATATTCGCGACACCCAGTGTCAAGATGTTGGTCGTATTGGAACAACAGTCATAATTTTCAGCACAGCAGTATTCATTGTTGCCACAAACTTGTATACCTTCGCCGCCTTCAAGGTTATAATGAGCTGCAGGAGTTAGCTCGGATTTTCAGAGACGGGGAAAATTCCACTCACGTCCTCTGCAAACTTGCGGGCAGGAACTCGAATTCCAACTTGCATCCGTACATCCACTGCGGTAGTATTTGTATGCAAATGTCCGTTTTGTGTCTGGGCCGACTTCGCAAAGCCCATTGCTTAAGCAAACGAAAGTGGGCCCACAGCATACAGATACGGCTGCATCTGGATTGCAGGCCTCACCACGGTTTGCGACGCCGTTTGGGTAATAGCATGTTGAGTTCTTCGCCGCTACGGCTGGAGATATGAGAGCTTGAATGGATAGAAGTAAGAATGATAATGTAATAAGCATGATGAAACTACTAGCTAAGGGAATGACTTCGGACTCTTGGAACGTAGAGACCTTGTAAGAGCCGTGTGAATAGATAGGAGAACAAATTGGACGACACTAGAGGCAAAGGTGCAGGGGTAGCAATTGTTCTTTTATGACCGTTGTTGCCCAAATTTTCGGTGGTCCGGAATGCTTTGCGGTGATAATGTTCAATGCCAGAAAGACTACATGCCTCATCCATAGTTAGTGTCAATGCAACGTTGGACTAGCGATTGATTAAGTTAGTCAAACTCGGAGCCAGGCTTGTGTGAGCCAATAGAAGTTCTTACCGCGCCGATAGAGTTACAAGATTATTCAGTTGTCGCACAGCTACTAACATGACCGGGTTCTTTTAGTTGCTGCTGTTTCTTTGGCGCAGTTATTTTTCGCTCATATATGATAGGCTACTAGGGAGGGGGGCGAAGAAGTAGTGCGACGAAGAGTACAAGCATCAGTGTAACAATTTGTGCAAGAGATTGTGCGACACACAGTATAGCAGTCGACATGTGAAGAGATAGAACGTTTGCAATATGTGAATGAGACTGTAATGATGCTAGCGATGAGATTACAGATTTCGAAGGACGAAAACAGTTTACCAATAATCATCGCTCGGGTAAGCTCGTCGCTAGTGGACGCGCCGTCAATCATTCGCAACGAACACCGGACCATTTCCAGCCCAGCCCACGATCATTCCGAGCGCTCTTCAGCCTCTTCTGGTGACGCCTCGTTCCCCATTTTTTCGCTAACTACACCGCTTCTACTTGTATCACGTCAGCAGTCGCTCCTTTGGCGAACGTCGGACAGAGTTCCTATTCTATTCCTGTACGAGATCATCCGCTAAACTGGTGCACGTCCTGTGCCTTAAACTTATCGTGGCATCGGGTTTCGCTACGTTCGGGCAATTCCCTCATTTGCTTTGCACAGCCATAACATAACCCTGTCGTTGCCTAAGCTTTTCTTTAGCGGGACGCCTAAAGTCCCTAAAAAGCAAAAGAGTAGTAACTGTATATATTCTGTGCAATTTCTAGATTCCTCTCGGTATCATATCAAATCTCCTCATTATGAAGTCATCATTGCTTTCTAGCTTGGCACTGTCCACCCTCATCCCGGGTATTACCTCCAGTTCAGGTACAGCATCTGATGGCGGCTGCGGAAAACAACTCCCTGAAGGCGTACAGAGCGATAAATCTGTCGACCTCACCCTCGATAGCTCGAGCGGCGTTACACCCCGCAAATACCGCCTGCATCTCCCACCATCTTACGACATCAATAAGAAGGTGCCCCTCATCCTCTCTTTCCACGGTCGAGGTAAAGATGGGCAGTTCCAAGAGGCATTGAGCCAATTTTCGAATGCGAGTTATGGATTTGACGGCATCGCTGTGTACCCTGAGGGCGTCCCCGTACGTATTATCGCGGTAGAAGTGAGGAGAGGAATTCTCTAACGGGGTCACAGAATGCAAAGGGAACCCAACAGTTTCAAGGCGACCCCGACGCGCCAGCATCAATCAACGATGTCAAGTTTACACTAGAACTGCTAGACCACCTTCAATCCACATTCTGTATCGATGCTTCCCGCATCTACGCCGCCGGAAAGTCCAATGGCGGAGGATTTACTGGCTTGCTGGCCTGCGACCCAGACGCGACAAAGCGTATCGCTGCGTTTGCTCCGGTATCTGGCGCTTTTTACCTTGACAAAGATCAAAAGTTGCCAGAGTGTAAACCAAGCAGGAAACCAGTCCCGCTCATGGAGTTCCACGGCTTCAAAGACACCACAATTCGCTACCTGGGCGGCCCGAATACACGCGGAACGACAAATACTACTAATATACCAACTTATGTTGACGACTGGGCAAAACGCAATGGATTCGAAGTTGCCGCTAACAAGACATCTTTTCTCTGCAGTGGAAAGAAGAAGGTGACGAGGTACAGCTGGGACGACGTGGTTGTGCATTACAACTACACAAACCTAAACCACGATTGGCCGAGCTCGTTTGCGAACGGGGATACGGAAGACGCGTTGACTTGTGTTGAGGCGGAAGCAACAAGTATCATATTGGCATGGTTCAAGAAGTGGACATTGTAAGCAGGTCTCTAGATAGGCTACATCTAGAGCTATATCCTGGACACAAATTGAAAATTTGTGCTCAGGCTTTTGTTGTAGAGAGTCACAACACGAATACATTTTCCCACTAGAGCCGAGCGCTGTGCGCATACTGCTTATACATTTCCTCCTCAAACGTTCTGTGCAGCGCCGCACACTTGGTGTCACCTGGTGGGACTACTTGTCCCGCATACAAGCCACACAAGCCAGCCTTGCGATCAACCCACTACAGCCTCGTTAGCACAGACTTACAAACCCCACAAAACCGCTTGTATGAGAGCAAGAGGAAACGTACCCATATCAGATTTGGCAGTCCACCCCATATCATTGTGCCAGCTTTCTTCCCATCCGGCGCATCCTGCAGGATTAGTATGCCGCCGAGACCCCAGTCTTTCTTTACTTCCTTGGACGTGCCACCCATGCCATTGTTCATCTAGAACATTCCAAAGTCAGCAACTGGTCAATGACAGTTTCAGCCAGGTATTTATGGTCAGACAACCATGAATTTCTGACGGAAGTGGAGGTGCCGTACCATGTCGTTCTGCAGGAAAGCGTTGAGAGCAGCAGAACTACCTTCTCCCAGCTGTGGTTTGAAAAATTCCTCCAGAGACGCCTTTTTCAGAAGCTTCTCGTCTTCGTCGCATGTAAGCAGGGCGTGGACGACTTTGATATACTCCTCTGCAGACGTGAATGAGCCCTGCCCACCCATGCAATCTGTTACTTCATTCCCTGTTTCATCCTGATAGAGATGCCTCTCCTCCGTATACTTCACCTTACCACTCTCATCTCTCGCGCTCATATCCGCCATGCGCGCCTTCAACTCAGGACGGGATGATAGGAAGAAGGTGATATCCTTAACGTCTAGAGGTCCCCACAGGTTCTCTTCCATATAGGCGTCCAGCCTCTTTCCCGTCACTCGCTCAATCAGCAGGCCCGCATAGTCGATACCAGGGCCGTACATCCAACTCTCTCCCGGCTCGAACATAAGTGGCGAGTTGAATCTGTCCAATAACTTCCCACTCTTATTAAATCCGCGGTTGTGATACTTCAACCACGCCAGCGATTGCGGGAGCATACCGTCGTACGCCAGTCCACTCGCATGCGTCAGCAGCAGTCGTAACGTGATGGGCTTGGTATGTTTCTCCTCGATCGGCTTGCCGTCTTCCTCAAATCCCTTCAGCACCGTGAACTTCTCTAGCTCTGGGATGTGCTTGTACACCGGCTCGTCTAGGGTTACTAGCCCTCGTTCAACGAGCTGCATGGCGCACAGCGAGGTCATGAGTTTCGTGCAAGAAGCGATCCACATGATCGTGTCGAGACCAAGAGGTTTGGCGTTCTCTTCTTTCAAGGAGGTGGAGCCAAAGGCTTTGGCGTACTTGAATGAGCCATCGCGGTTTGTGGCTACGAGGGCGCAGCCTGGAATCTCTTGAGCGGCGATAGCTTGCTCGATGATTTTCTCGAAGTCGGCCATGGTGTTGGTAAAGAAGGACAGGCGCGGTAGGCTGATTTTAATGTCCAATGGTAGGAACTTCCAGCTTCTATACAGATATGGCTTGCTACGATACTGCAACACAGATTGGTCTACGGATTTATAAGCGTTACAGGTCACGGACGTAAATCCCCGGAAGAGTTTAATAAGGTTGTCTTGGTCGTATCCAGTGACTAGATGAACTGCGGTAAGCTTGATGAACGTAGGGCAGCTATGATGATATACAATAGTCTCTTGGCATTTTTGGTGCTACTTACTCGTCCCTGACACGGGTAGCATGATGCCTCGGTCCACTAAAGCGGGGGTCTTACCAAAACCTCAACAGAAACAGACATCGCTACATCAAAATATCACGCAAACTATGACCGTGCGACACTTCCAAGGCACCCAAACTCACGACTTGTGTGCACTCTTTTGAAGCTAGAAATTTTGATGCGCAATGCTCGAGTTGTTCAGAAGTTTATGACAATAGGGAGGTATGAATCGCAACCTACGACGTCGTATGGAGAAGGTGAAACGACTGAAGGGGCGGTGAGGTAGACTTTTCTAATTTTGTGGGAACAACATCGGATGCTGTGGGGTGCTTAGCATTCAAGGGTGTACTTCCAAGCTAAGCCTCTTCTGGCTCACATGTACGTCCACCGTATCTTTCCCGGGCCTATTCTTTGATCAAATCAACCCCAGGTGAAGTCTTGAAAGCCCACAGGAGTATCATTATGTCGTCAGGCAACGCATGAAGGTCGGGATCGTTCTTGTAGCTGTCTTCATTCCTGATGAACTCTGCCATGCCTTTCATCTGTGTTTCAGGGTCCTCGGGCTCTGGAGCTGGGGCTGGATTGAAGTGCGTAGTCCAAGGTCCAGGATCAAATCGTTGCACGGCATCGGAAAGGTTGCGGTAATCAAGGATGGTGATATTCTTCATTGGCTCGAGATCTAGAAATGGGTCAATACCGACTTTGAATATGAGATGAAAATGGAGAAGCTTACTGCCAATGTGACAATCCCACTTGTGGCCCTCGTCTTTTCCGCAGTCCATGCAAGGTAAGCCAGGATACGTTTCGGATGCCTGATGAGGTAGTTGCTCTGCGTTTGATCGACCTGTGTTTGCTCTATCTTTGACTGATCTTGAGCTCGCCTGAGCACTATCAACATCGCTAGTATATGTCGGATGCTTACGTTCACCTGGTCTTGACGCTGCCGCATCCAAAGTGCGATCAGCTGTTTTCATGTTGTCCAGATTGTATACTGTGGACGCAGACACGGTTGAGGGAGATCGAGCCAATATTGTATCATTTCCACGAACGGTCAGCGGGAGATCATTGGAAATCGCTTCGGGATGTGGCTGCTGTATGAGCTGAGCCGGTTCACTGGGTGCACGCAACTGAGGACTCCGAGTACCTCTTTGGCCAACATTGTCAACATATAAAGGCCGAACCGGTAGAGGAATTGGCGCCGCATTAGGTAGTGGTGGCCGCGGCGAGGATTCTGTCCCGGTTTGGGGGACGTAAGGTGACTTATAATTGTCGGTACAGCCTCGGGACGAGGGATTTCTGGATAGTTGCGAGGTATTGTAAAAGGAGGGAAGCTGGCGACCAATCGCATTAGTCGAGTGTAACGGACCTTGAACCTGTTGAGAAGACTGTAAATTAGTAGGATCCTGGACTTGCGCCAATGCCTGAGCATCAAGCTGGCCCGGCGATATGGGGAGACTTATTGTTCCTTCCGCGTCCCCTACCATGCCTAGAGAACCGCTGCGAGTTACAGTATCGTCGGCTTCCGAAGGAGCTTTACGTGACGATAGCGAGACAACGTCCATGTCAGCCGATGTCATTTCTGGCTTGTTCTGAGGCATTAGAGGTGTGGCTATAGGACGGCGGATTGTGTTGCTGTAATCGACTCTCCCTGAGGCTGCCGTTGTGCCCTGTGTGTTCTTCAAACTGTTGCTTGCAACTTCATAATGAGGGAGCGAGCTGCTAGGTCGTTGTGATCCAAGGCCGATCTGCGCGTTGGGCGACGGTTGACTTGCGGTGCTCAAGGCTGTAGAAACTGGCAATGGAGGCGAGGAAGTGACAGGACGGCATGAAGTCGACTGATGTTGGGCTTTCCGCTCCCAGTATTGCCTCACTCGTACATCCTGGCTAACCGGATACAGTGGTACCTGGCCGCGCAACGACGTTGACATGCCTAGCAGCTGCCGTATCTCGTAGATGGTCTGCAGATGCTGGGCCGCTGAACCCGTCAATGGCATGATCATTGGGTTGTTTGCTCCCCATACCCAACGCAAAGAGATCCCGTTATATGACTCGTCGCCGCGGTCCTGTTCAACCAAAACGGCCTCTGGTGTCATGAATCCGCGGGCATGTGCGCGTCGATCGTCTTCGTAAGAGCCAAACCTCCAATACCCAGCGTAAAAATGGGTTTGGTCGGGTGTACGAAGGAAATGGTCGAACTGCCCATCAGGTCCTGGTACGATCCCGCGGTAGGCGCTGTGGTATGTCGATGGGACTGCCACCGACGTTTGCGGCTGAAGTGGAGTAGACGTGTTGTTCTGGCCGCCTGAACTAACATTGTTCGATCGCAGTCGCATCGTGGTATTTGAGGATAGAGGAGCGTATTGTAGTTGACGATGAACGGAAGTGGAAACAGCCAGTCGTGCGAGGAAAGCGCGGGATGATATCCAGTATGGCTAGAAAGGGCCAGGGAAACAGAAAGTGCGACAAATTGCGCAGAGATTGTGAAGGTAGTAAACATTGTCGTAGAAACGCTGCATCGAAGTGCTGAACTTACACTGCTAGCTGCGGCTTCCATGGGGCGGGCCCCCGAGCCTTCACTGAGGTCATGTATGGTCACCAGAGCGATATTCCTCCTCATTTCACGCAACAGTTTACATTATTATCGAGGCGCATTGCTGAATCGGTAGACTTAGCAGAGCCCATCAAACCTCGTTTGCCTATCGCGTGAGACCTACGGCAGCCCGCGTCGGCTAGGGTTGACTCCATCGGCAATGTCACAGATATGATAGATCATAGACCAAGAAATAAATGAGTTTTGCTCTTAGACATCCATGGAGAGATGTTGTGAGGGTTGAAACATTGGCGCGGCTTCCCAAAACTTGAGCGTGCTACGTCATCGCTGCACTTTGCCGAACTCACTACTCAACTACCTGTCATGATGAAGACTATATCTTTACATTTCGATTCTTCTATTGGCAATACCATTTTCCCACCATATTCTCTCACTTTCAACTCGTTAGATCTGCGTAGGCGACAGCCGTCATTGGCAAAGGACGTGTTGGAGCGAACACGTATCGAACTAAGCTCAGCGTCCCGGGACATATACGGATACTTTCTACCTGTTCAAAGAGTCGCCAAAGATTTACCATCCCGGTCACTCAATTCGCCTCGTTTGCAAAACTCTATAGTTCTCGCAAACCGTAGAATCGCAACCTCGGCCGACACCACAATCGCCAATCATAATACTGCTGCGCAATGGTGGGAGAATGAGACATAAACGGGCGCAAGAAGTGGAGGATACCGAAGCTTAGAAGAGGATAGAAAGAGTACATCTGCTGGCCTATGGTGTAGTTTCAACGCCTAGGCGGGAAATATCATAGACTTGTCAAGCGCATTGACGAATTATAGATGGGGGAAATATGTTGTGTTGTATGACTGCAATGGTAGCGCGTATATGTTGAAGTAATTGGAACGGTGAGACATTGGTCGCTCCCGTTGGATTAGTGGTAGTATATGTGAGACATTTCCATAGCTGGATATGGCATTACATGTCCTCAAGCGCCACTTATCTAGCATGTAAGGTGGTCATACAGAATGTGAATAGGCGACACGTCAGGTTCAACTCATAGCAGATTCGCAAATACAACGGATAATGAGTTTGAGAAGTCATATTTTCTACCAATGAAGTATTCGGTGCTCCTGCTTGCACTAATGTGCCGTAGTATTATATCGTGAGCAATGTCTGAGAATAGCCTGAAAGCCGTCGCAGTGTTAGAAACCAAATTGCACAGTCGGTCACCAGAACCGCGGCTGTAAGCACCCATCTCCAAGTCCTCCACGCCAGTGTACCATGCTGTACGCCGGCTCTGAATCCCAGAAAGCAAAATGTAACCTCATTCGTCACGCCCTCTCCTTAGCGCCTCTTGCCCATAGTCTGAAGCATCGCAGCCCGCTCGAGAGCCTCGCTCTGGCGGTTCATAGCGTAACCGTTGCCGAGCTCCGCGGCGGCTTCCTGAGCCATGTTGTATGCGTTCGTACCCATACCACCACCATTATCCATGTCGAACACTCCACCACCCATAGGCATAGCGAAGTTGTTGCCCAAGTTCATACCACCACTCATACCCATACCCATACCCATACCCATGTCGTTGTTCATATTCATGCCATCACCTAGGCCCATACCAATGTGGTTGCCGACGTTCATATCGTTGCCCATACCAATGTGGTTGCCAAAGTTCATATCACTGCCCATATCCATAGCTGGAGCTGCGACGTAACCGTTGGTCAAACCCTGATTGAACGCACTCAGCGAACTTGCCATTCCAAGCGTACCAGGGCGGCCCGTTTGCAGGCCAGTCACCGGGTCAATACCCTGGAGGAGAGGGAGCAACAGACGAGCTTTCTCTTCCTTGCTGAGCGTGATGAACTGTGCCTTATAGAGTTCTTGGAGAGAGCGTTGACGGCCGTTGGCAGCGGGGCTGGGAGTAGAGGTAGTGCGCTTGTGCGTCTTTTTGGTGGCCTTGGTGACTTTGTTGGTAGCAGCTGGGGTGCTTTTGGCTGGAGCCCGCTTTGCTGGAGCCCGCTTGGTGGTCTGGGTCTTAGTCTTGGGAGCGGGAGTGGGTGTGTTGGGAGTTGCAGCCGGACTTGAGGTTGGGAATTGAGGAGGAGCGACCGCATTGATGCCGTTGTTGGATGCAGGGCTGTATGTGTAGCCGCCATACTCAATGAGTCCGCCCTGTGGATGTTGGGGGAAGGTCTGGCGATGCGAAGCTTGAGGCATCTGGTCAGGCGTGCGCTGGACGGCCCTGGAGGGCGTGATAGGGTCGAAGGCCTGCATAGGCTGAACACTCTGCGAAAAGATATCTTGATCGTACTGAGCTCCTTCTATGAGCTCGCGAAGCAAGAGCGCATTCTCCGGTGAGAGCTCTTCATCGCCTTGAGAGTTCTCCAGATCCGCGAACGCAAATGAGTTATCTTGATAGCTAGCCGGCTGCGGTGAAGGAGTAGCTGCGACTTGAGGAGGCTGGGTGAGGAAGTCGACGGCAGAGACCTGTACAGGCTCATTGCATAGCGCGATCATCTGATCCAAGTGGGCGGCGGTGGGATCTCCAGTCTCGACAGAGGAGGCAAGATTGGCTGATGGAGACTTGCGGGCCTGCTGGCAACGAGGCACATACTGGGGAGGCGGGGGGACCATTCGCTGCTGAATCGCAAGTCGCTCATCTGGTGAAGTGCCTGCACTCCACATGGACTCAATGGGTCCCTTCTGCAAGGAAATTGCGAGCGCGGCACCCTTCAGAGGTCGATCGGGCTTTCCGATCGGGGAGCGGCTGGTTCCACGCGGACCTGACCTCTTCCTGGGCGTGGATCGAGGTGTCTTGGGTAGAGAAGCCTTCCTGGGAGGAGTCTTGGGAGGTTTCGCCGTCTGAGCTGGGGTGGGGCTCGCATTTTGTGACCCCAGGAGCGCCTTCAAACGCGCGTTTTCCGCCAGCAAGTCCTCCACAGATGGTGTACCCGGGAGGGTCTCGGTAGCTTGGTCGACTACCAAAGACCCCTCACCAGAGCCAGCTGGGAGGTCTTCGGAGCCTTGAGGAGTCGGAGGAGTGGGCCAATTGGCATCTTGGAGATCTCCTGGCTGCTCCATGTTGACAGCGCCCCAATCGAAGAAACGGGCGGGATCACTCACACCGGACACCCCCTCATTCGCGAAGGAGGTGCCGGATGGATCGCCGGGGAGGTTGTCGACGGAATCTTGGCGGGTGAGTGCGGCCCAGTTGATATCCTGAGGATAACTGGGGTACTCGGTGTCGGAGAGGGCCTCAGTCTCGATACTGGTGGCCGGGAGGTCGTTGATAGGCTGATTGGTAGGCTGGACATACTCGGAAATCGCGGCCTCAGTGTCCAGCATGCCATACATGTCGAAGGCGCGGTGAAGCTCGAGATCAATGCCGTCTTCAAATAGCTCATGATCAAGTCTAGGGCTAAGGATCTCCGACATGGTGAGGAATAGGAGTGGTAGAATTTGGATTGATAGTAGTAGAATCGATAGTTGAACGAGTTAAGATATCGAAGTGAGGTGTACGGGGGCAGTCTGTAACTCAATTTTGCGACTTTAAAAAGGCCTCTGTGGGCGAGGGGGCTGGGAATTATCTAATCCGTCGATCAGTAGTCATTGTTTTCACCGGTGGTCAGTGTCCTCACCGTTGTATTCATCGTGGTATAGAGCGGGGGAGGAACAAAAGTCCTTACCCGGCCTAGGCAGCGCACGTTGGTGAAAGAGGACATGATTGGCCCGGCAGCTGGGGAATCACTGCGATCGGCCTGGGGCGCTGTTTGTAAGTTTCAGAAGAGAGTCGAGGGAAAGCGCGTTTTCAAGTCGCTGAGCGGCTTTTCACCCTGGTGCCGCATACATGAACAGGCATCGCTGGACGGAGTAATGCGACGTTGACAGAGACAACAGTAAGAATTGGATCAGTTAAGTTCGTTATCCAATACGGCCACCCAGGGAGTATATAGCGAGGCTAAAGTCCAGAGGTGGAGACGGGGTGAAAGACTGCGCCCGCGCAAAGCCTGCTGCAACACAACTACGTAGCATTTCTGTAAGCAGGTCAGCGATATAAACGAGGAAAGTTTTGGCAATCGCCATTTGTCCTCGCAGGCTGAAGATGAGCGCTTTGTATGCTGTCGCTCTCACACCATGGCATAACTAGTGGAGGTGAAAGCGACGCCATGTTGTAGCCTGCGCCAGGCCCCAGGGAAGCCAATCTTTTCGAGGAATGGAGAGAAAAGAAATGCAACATGTATGCCCCGGCGACGCGCGCTCACTGCCGCATCTCTGTTATATCGCTACTCACCGCTGGTAGCTCAGTGAGAAGTGCAGCGATGACGTCATCACAAGACGTCGTCGCATTACAATAGGTGTCAATGACGAAATACGTATATTCAACAGAATTGAATAGATTGAGTTGGGTAGGGCGCCGCCTTGAATTTATGCCGGCAGCGGAGGTGGCCTTCAGAGTGGTTCTAGGTGAAAGTGAAGGTGGAAGACGTACAGCATATAAGAGACGAGTCTAGTAGTCTGATTTTACCATTATCTTGGAATCATGCAGGTTCAATAAAAGAATCAAAGAGTTACGTTGTAGTAGGGCGTTATGTTTAGCAAGCCAACTGTGGAACCGAGCTGCAAGGGAGGGGGCTAGCGTGCACACTGACACAACCCAAATGCCACCTCATCCATCATCCTTCCCTCTATGACCACGTCGATCATCGTTTCCATCTGGCTGCTTTGCCCGCACATCATGTCCTAGGCTCATTGTATTTATTAAAAAGAAACCCATTTGTTTTTGTATCTTCCGCATTCCTTTGAACTACCTGCACTCGCGAGTAGTTCCCATACCCTTTTAATGATGTCGCACTGAGTTGCTATCGCTTCATATCATCTGGGAACCCAGTTAAAGGCTGGGTGCCCACCTCCCGACCTTATTCATCTATCCTCTACCGAGATGAAGGCCTGGATCCAATCCATCCTAACTTCGTCGTCCAACTCGTTGTAGTCTTCCTGGGACAGCTTGTACTTCTTGAGCCAGAAGGACTGATATGGAGGAGCTTGCGGCGATTTATCCGCAGCAGTTGGCTCAGACGGTGGTGCAGCTAGAGGCTCTGGTGCCTGGATCACTTGGTCCTTTGCAGTTTCCGTGTTGGTCTGCAATGGTGCAAGGCCTCGATTGAGTAGGGCGACGCGGTTGCTAGTGCGAGGATCAGTCGGATTTGAGGGACCCTCTGGAGGCGGATACCCCATCTTTGCGCGATGTGCCTTTCGCTCTGTCTGCTCCTGGGCCTCCAGACGATATGCGACGTCCTCTTCAGTAAAGGGTTTGTACATTGGAGCCAGGTACACCTTCTCCAACTCATGCACTGGTATCCAGCCCAAAGGCCGAAGTACTCGCAAAGCATCATATGTCGCGGGGATCCAACCAGGCCTGAAGCCGGGTTCGTAATACTCGGCAGGAATCATGGCAGTGTCGACCCCCCTCATTGTTAGGTCGCAGGCGTACCGTAAAGCAGCCCGGTCTGCTACGACCTTGTTGCGCTCCACGCGCTCTTGGACGTGGACGTCTCGGCCCAGCTCCATGTTGAGACTACGAACCTCCTCGAGTAGACGCTCTACTTTTGACACCGCCTCATCGTAGTATGCGGTGTAGTAGAAGTCCGTCGCCTTCTGTGCCTTCTGTATCTCAGAGTCTGCTTTATCGTGGACGGCCTTGTTGTATTCGCGTGCCGCTTTAAGGTCGTCGGCCAGGCCGGAAACCTCCTCAGTGAGTGCCTGATTTTGCTCAGTTAGTTCGCACAGATGTTGGCCGAGATTAGCTTTGTCGTCGACAGTCAAGTTGCCATCTCGTTTGATGGCATTGCGTAAGAACTTGATCTCCTTGATCATTGTTGCATGCGCATGTTTAAGGTCTTTGTTTTCTTTCTCCGATGCGTGAAGTTGCTCCTCCGCATATTCGATTTTCATCGACAAGCTCAGATTCTCTGTGTCGAACTTGGCAAGTTCTCTCTGTAACTCGGCCTGCTCATTTAGGATGGACTTGATTTGATCACGTAACGCGTCATTATCAGAGGCCGCCTTGTAGCTAGCATCGAAACCGGAGGTGGGACCATCAAGATGTTGTTGATCCAAGACTTGACTGCGCTTGAGCACCTCAATCTGCTCACCAAGATCACGGATCAGATCATTGCGAAAACCGAGCCTGTCTTCGAGTTCGATGACTTGTTGTTGCAACTCGTACGCCTGTATCTGGGCATCCTTCTCCTTCTTGAGCTGGAGTTGCCAGTGATCGCGTTCCTGTTGCATCGTCTCGAGAATGTTCTCATTCTTTTCAGCGATAACCATATATCGCGTCCGCGCTGTCTCAAGCTCCTTTCGCGCCGACTGTGACTCTGCGATGGCTTCTTGGACCTGCTCCATGTCTGGAGGATGGCGCTGATTTGCTTTAGACATCAAGGCGTTCTCGATCTCAAGGCGGCGCTTGCAGTTGGTCAACCGCTCGATCTCATCCTTCTGCGCCTGGAGCGAGTCTCTATAGTCGTGGTTCATCTGCGTTATTCGGTGCTTCATCGATGTTTTCTCCTCCGACCAGGCGTCTCGGTTGATCTTGGCCGCCTTGGTGAGCTTGCGCTGCTCCGTACCGGCCTTCGACTTTATCTCGCGTCGCTCACTGGCGGCCTGTCGGATCACTTGATCCATCTCTTCATCCTTCTTTTGGAAGAGTGCCTTTGCTTCGTCGATCTCGGCCTCTCTGCTCGCAAGCTGTTTCTGGTGGGTATCTTCAAGCACTGCGACAGCACGCTCGTGGTTGTTTTCGAGCTTCGACAGCTGTCGGTCCTTAGTCTGAAGTTGGGCTTGGTGCTCTTGGTCCATCTGATCGCACTGAGCTTTCATATTGTCGTGCTTCTCTTCCAGGGCATCGCAGCAAGTCTCCAAAGCCTGATACTGCGCGAAGGCGTCATCCACTGTCTCCTTATCCTTCACGCGTTGAGCCCTTTGCGCACCATAGCGCTCTTCAAGCACACGGTAATGCTCATCTTGCTCCTGCACCTTCTTTTCCATCCTGACGAGCTCAGCCAGTAGCGCGCGGTTCTCTACATTTTTTCCTTCCAGGGCTTGGATGAGCTCCTTTGACTTCTTGGTCTCGGCGCTGTGGGACCCGCTGTTCAATGACCAATCGGTCTCTGTTTGTGTGCTGCGCCTGCTCTCGTTGCAAGGCGGTGTTGATAGACCGCTACCAGAGGAGGAGGAGGAGTAGGTCGTGACGGTCACTTGGTCTACATACTTGCTCGTTCGTCGCGCTGCAGTCGCCTCGAGCCACGTCGAAGCAGTCTCCTGAAAGATCTGAGAGGACATCGGGTTCTGCATGTGGTCAGTCATTAATTCTGTATGTATGCATTGCGCACTACTGACCTTTCGGGTTGTTCCCTCTACCGTCGGCTTGACACAACGCGGCATGTCGGACCGGTCGGTCTTTTGCATGGCATCTGTGTGTGTCTTTCGAATGCGCTGGATGAGCGTCTCAAGTGACGATTGCTGGCGGGTCGCCATGTTTTTGGTGGTGTCGCTCCTGTCCCGCAGGAATGTTAGGGCTTGAAAGTGTGAGCTCAACATTTTGGTCGATGTGCAAGATCGTTGGTCTTGAGATTGACTGGAGGGTTGAGTTCGTTGTAAATGTGGAGGTGGGGATAAATTGAGCGAAAGGAAGGAAGTGCTCCAGAGTCGCATCCATTGTGAAATTTACAATTGTGGCTTAGCTGTGCGGACATTGTACTTTCACTCAGGGACTTTGGTGGCCCTCTGACCGGCAGGGTTGCTAGGGAAGCGAGATTACGGATGCATTGAGCTGTATTTTGCACGTTAAGGTGGGAGCCACTCAATATGGGGTGTTGAGCTATATAGGAGGCTGCTCGGGACTCGAAGACCCGAAGTAGGAGTGAGCCATGAAATGAATCCCTCACAGAGATGCATCCAATCCTGCAGCAATTCTAGGTAGAAGCACAAGCAGATTGCTATCTAACACGCACGAATACGTCTAGGCTCATTGTCGCAAGTTTGACATTCACCCTTCGAGCGAGCCGAGTATACATCCAACTTCACAGCAGATCCTATATGCGCTAATGGCTTTGTTTAGGACGCAAACCGAAGTCTCACGCTGCACACCGTGTGATTCGTTATCAACAACAAAGATCTGTGCATCTTCGGTCGTAGGAGCAATCCTCCGTCCCAGAAAGGCGTCATCGGACATTGTGTTCCTAGGTACAGGGTGACAGATCGTGCCCTCTATTGCAAAGTCTATTCTTAGATACACAAGCTCGTGTCACAGCACTCACAATGTTTCGCATGCTAGCATTGTTCTTGCGTTCCTCGTGGGGCACTGTTCTTTGTGATGTCTCAAGGCGATTTCGGTCCTTGGTAAGACTACTCCTCTTCTTCATTCATGTTACGGACTTGGACACAGACGTAGTTTCGATTAGAAGTAGATGCGACTAGTAAGGGTTCAATCATATCTCAGAGGCTCCAGGACAAGGAGTGCATATAGGTGTAACGAAAATGAGTTGGAGAAGCTCAACGAAATGTAAATAGTATAAGTCGGTGTTTTGCATATGACAGTTTAGTTTCATTATGGAAAAGTAGGGATATCGTGTAGAAGTGATAAAGCGTAATGGAATAAGGAATCACACAGCGGTTCCAGTATCGTGGATAAGTTCCTCCTGCACATCTGATTAGTGTCGTCTGCAGCCATGTTTAGGAATCAACTTACTTCTTTCAAGACTTCGTAGGGGTTACCAATCTCAGAATCCTTCCTCGCACCGTTCGTCCACTTGTCCTCCCACTCATGTGTGTCATTGACACCATTCGCATGGCCACCATTCCCTTGAAGTGATGCACTATCACGACCCTGTCCCCCATCAATCCTTACCTGGCTCTTCGCTATTGGAATCTGACCAACTTCCACTGCCTTGTCGTCTCCGCCCTCAGCCTCTCCATCACCAATCCATAGGGCCAATCTACCGCCAGTCAGCCCCTGCAACTTGTCCCCAACTCGTGTTCCACGTTTCCCGGGCGCCTCGCCCTCATTGAGTCTGCGCAGAATGATGTATCCCACGAAGCCCCAAATGAAGACGAAGGTTGCCGAGCAGCTGGCGAGGAAGACTGTCGGGACAACGAAGAGCAGGGCAAAGCCGACGAGGAGGAATGTGAAGGCGAGGGCGGCGAGGAGGCCAAGTAGGATGCATGTCGTAACAGAGACAATGAGGGTGGTGGTTGCGAAGGCGAGGAAGAGCACGAGGGGAAGGCCTGTGAGTGCAATTTGGGCTGCAAGAAAGGCCTGGCAATGTGGTTAGTCAATTGCATCTATTCGACCTGTGGTTCTCTTTGATACCCTTGGAGACGTACGGCTAGTTTGGGGTTCTGGTTGGCAAAGTCTCGCATCTTCTTGAGCAGCTCTTCGCGCTGTTGCGGTGGGAGGATCCTGTTCGTGGTGATTTGGAGCTGGTTGCCTACGCGGTTCGTGGTGATTTGAAGCTGATTGCCTACGTTGCCCACCACCCCTGAAGCGGTATGGATGATGGTAGACATTGTGGAATCAAGGAGAGCAGGGATGGTGTGGAAGAAGATTGCGCGTGGAGAAGACGATGTGTATATTGATTACTTTGGACTCGATTGGAGTAATTGCACTCAATGTCATGGAAGCGCAACAAGCCCAAAGAGCGCGACAACCCAGTTCCGGTTGCACACCACTTGGTGTGCGCACATGTTGACGTGCGACGCGTCAATGGCGCAAACGTCATTTGCGACAGGCAGGCTAAACTCGACCCGCGCGGGCAACCCCTGTTGTTTCTCGCCTAGCCTTGACCGCCCGCCCGATTCTGCCAATTCGAGGTTTGAACTTTTTTGATTGCAACACCAGTCTCGCGCAACAGAACCGCACCACACACGCGACACCATGCCCGAAAAGAAGAGGAAGAGAAGCGGAGAGAATGGAGAGCGGCCGAAGAAGAAGACTGCCACTGCGCCATCAGGAAATGTGCAGATCGAGCTGCTAGAGAATAAGGAAGCGCTGGGCCCGCTGCTTGGTAGGCACTTCATTTTTGGACAATACCAAGATTGAGAGAGACTGACTATGCATCAGCGGCTACTCCAGGTCTCTCGTTCCCGAAGCGCACTACATTCACCCCCTACAAGCACACCAAGATCCTCCCCCAAGGCGACACCACCCAACTACTACTCCAGTCCTCCGAACACGCCCGCCTCGACTACCTCGCACAAGAAGAGCGGGATGGAAGTTCAGAGAGCCATCTCAAAGACTACGTTGGCGTCTTCGACCCCGCCACCAACAAGCTGCAGATTGTGCCCGTGAAACGAGTTGTAGTGCGGAGCACACTGCGCAGTGAGATGGACCAAATGCGGGAAGAGCAGGCACAACTGGAAGCACGCCAAAACACCATGGCGGCCAAGAGATATGCTCTCGCCGCCGAGTTTGGATCCAAGAAATCGAGAAAGGCGCTCGAGGAGAGGACCCTCAACGCCATTCGCAGTGGCAACGCTGACGACCCAAGCGCAATCAGGAACGAGTCGGTCGCCGAAAACGTACTGCAGAACATGGCTTCTTCGACTGTCGCCATGCCTTCCAAGGCACAGCACGAGGCTGCCATAGACAGCTCCAAGCCGCGCCCGACGCCCAACCTTGCAGCCGAATACCCAGGCGACGTCTACACCATCGACACCGTAGTTGGCTCCGAGCTCATGACTATGCTCGACGTCAAAGACTGGGTAGCAGCATCGGCCGCCGGCGAGGGAGTAGCTGTCAGCAGCAAGTATGTCGCAAGACGCATCGTCAAGCTGGCACAGAACAAGCAGATACAGAAGTTGAAGGTTCTACGGTTCATACTGCTCTGCATCAACTTCAACGCCGCGCTGGTGAGTGGAAGTGGTTCAAAACCAAAGAAGATTCCATTCAAGGATAAACTGGAGGCATTGATGGGAGACGATACGCCAGCAGGGTGTGTCTTGGCGATCAGAAGGAAATTTGCCCCCGAAACGTATGTATCTTCTCGGAGCGTGGAAACGATGCAGGAGCTAATTAAAACAGCGGCGACATGCCTCGTTGGAATATCGACAACCTCATAACCCACGTGGCTGCGGCAGCACTTATCGTTGACGACCACGAGGTCGATGTCAACGATTTACGGGAAGATCTCAAGCTCGAGAACAAAGAGTATGCTCTCCACCCTATCTTGTCTTTTTCAGGCACTAACATATCGCGCAGAATCAGACAGTACTACATGGAGCTGGGATGCAAAGTCTCTGCGCCTACGCAAACCGATATGACCAAGTGGAAACTGAGCAAGGCTGAGAGTACCAATCACTTCATAGCGAAACTGAAGCTGCCGCTGTCGTTCCCGAAGGTACATGGTCCCCCGAGGAAACGGGGATGATTGAGGAGCCGGCGCCGAGGCAGAACAGCGATAAAAGCACGAACCAATCAGACAAGATTAGCGATCAAGAAGACTGAGCCACTTTTTCTTATTATTTCCATGTCATGAGAGTACCTTGTATTACAATGACCGAGACAGAACCAGCCCCTGCTGAGACATTTACGAGAGGACATGCCTGCCCTGGCCCTACATAGCATGCGCCGATGAACAGTCCGCAATTCCAATCTTGACCAACCATTAGCCAATCTCAGGGCTACGGAAGCTATCACTAGCCACACCATTGACATGAACTTTGAGATGTCGTATGTTGCTCACGACCCTCTCTCATCATGAAATCCGGCCCGCCGCGGCAAATCGTGACGCTGCTCAACCCCAGCCCATCGATATAAACCCTCTTCAACAGTTCCTAGCTTGTGGCACCATCCCAATACCACAGAAGTACTTACCTAGAACGTTAGTTTTAAGATCAACTCGCAGAAAACCCGGCCTCAACTCTCAATATCCACCCATCACTACCAGCAGCATCATCACGAGAGCTGGGTAGATACCTTGGATCATTTCTTTCTGTTCCTTGATTGAACAACGTATCTACTGTACTGAATAGAAGTGAAGTCAACCCCGATGGAGCAGTCGGTCAGATTGGCCAAGCGGTCAGCGGCCCTTTCTCCAAGGACGGCGTGAATGGAAGTCGGTTTGATGCTGGCAAGGATGGGATTGTAGGACATTTTGAGCGCGCGTTTGATGGGCCTAGTAATCCTGCTGGGAGTGGGAAGAAGGTGTAGAGGTGACAGAGGATTGATTGTATAGTAGCGAAGATGAGGATGGAATTATGAAGTCACTGTTTTTCGGAGTTATGTCGATTACGCTGCGCTATAGCTCGAAGAATGAATGTACCATTGAAGATCGCGAGAATATGGAAGATGAAGCTGCCGCATGCTTTACTTATTTGATACTACTCAAGAATAGGCAGTGTAAACATTATACCTGAGTGTCTAGCCTACACAATGACACAATTAAGTGGACTGTGCAAAACATTTCCAATACCTGCACCACTCTCTAATCGCTACCAAGCCGGCGACCAGGACCCAGTCCGCCCCATGCATTACTGACACCCGTGCTACGTCCGGCGCTTGCGGGTTCAGCACCCGCACCAGTTCCTGTCGCTCTTCCTCGGCCTTGCACAACGTGTCCATAACCCCTGTTCTGTACACTCCCAGCTGTTGCGCCAAACCACCGCTTGACGATCTGCGGCGTAAAGATGTAGTTCTTTCCTCCGCCAAATGTCGGCCAAATCCTCGTCAAGAAGTCGTATAGATGAGCCGCAACAAGGCCAGTGAGCTGCGCTAAAGCGGGCTCGCCCCCATCGATGATGAAGGTCATGAATAGCAAGGCAAAGGGTAGGTATTTGGCGTCGAAATTGACGATGAAGAAGGAGACTTGGCGCGAGGGGTTGTCTTGGGCGAACGTGTATGCGTAGGCGAGGGAGAGGGCGGGGAGAAAAGTGTAGGCGTTGAGAAGACGGCCTGCTAGACCCTAGAGAAACAGTCATCAGCAATCGTCGTTCTTCATCGAACGGCACGACAAGGACAAAACTAAGAGCGAGATATGATGGTATGTAGGGAGCCACCCCCGCCTAGCGAAATGGAGCGCATTCGCAAAGCTTCAAGTGACTGTCCCACCATGCCCACACATCACACAGGTCCCTTTATATATTATGCGAATGACGGGACTGCATGATGTGCAAGGGTACTCTCCCTCGGTTCCAGGAACCGCCTTCAGCTAGAGATAATAGACTGGGCGGGCAGATAATCCGAGGTGGTCATAGACCGTATGTCGAAGTCGCAGACAGGTGTGTCGATGCGATGTGCAGGCGTGTAACAACAACATAGTGGGGGCGAGATGGCAGAATGACTTACGACAATCACACTTCCAACAAACAAGGTATACACGAAGAAGTCTCCCGGCTGCGAGAAACGAGTCGACTCCCGCTCAATGGAGCTTCCATACTGGTATAGAAAGTACGGATCGAGAAGGATAGCAAACTTGGGCTTCGTTATGAGAAACGCTGTGAAGATGCGCCAAGCTTGTGGCACCGCCTTGATCGTGAAGACGGCAGGTGAATAGAATACATATTGTGAGAGGCTGATGATTCCGCCATAGCCGAGAGCCGATACGGAGACTGCGAGGGCTGTAATGGTCCTGGGGGAAAGCTGTTAGTAGAGGAAGTTGTTTGGTGGGTATGTAAGATGACAGTGTAGCGCGTTGGGAGCTTACCTAGTGACCGGCGGGAGGGTCCAAAAGACATCCATTGTGAGCTACAGCTGAAGCAGGTGTGAACGAAGGTATCGTGAGCTTCGGGTGGGCGAGGAACAGCGGATGCTGCCTGGAGAAGAGAGCTTGAGGCAATGGTGGCTTTTGAGGCGCGGTTCGTGGGGTGCCTTACCTAAGCCTTAGCGCCGAGGTTGCGTCATTGGTCCATGATATGGAAGGTACTAGCCTCGCGCGTTGTATTCCCCGAGCATGGACGCTTGATCAAAACTATGCTGAAGATAGGATAATCAATTTCTCGCTATCCTGGTCTTGCTGCCCAGTGATATTGTACAAAGTGGGAGGCTAAAGCCTTCTACCCCATCTACCGTCCATTTACCCTTTCCTCTAATTCAAGTCTACCAAAAACACGGCTAACATGCTCCTCTTCCTCTAGAGTACCCATCTGAGCATGTCTCAGGCACTCGGCTCCTTCCCGTCCGGGCCATGCACACCACTCTCACTCCCGACCCCGGGCGTCCCCTTCTCCTCGTAAACATTCTCATACCGTCGCCAAACCTCCATGTCCCTCGCCAGTCGCTTTTGGTTCCTGATGTGGTGTTGGTAGGCAACCATGCGACTCTCAGCTTCGAGGTAGCCGCCAAGAATCATGCCGGACATTTGGATGTATCTATCAGGAGGGTTAGAGTTGGGTTGGTGCATGTAGGCAGATTAAGGATTAGATCCAAAGACGACATGGATGTATTGAGAATCGTCCATGTGATCGAGTGCTTGAATTTGGGGATGACGTTGCCAACGTACGTTCTGAACTGGATTGTAAGACCCCGGTATAGCGGCGAGAAGGTATATGCAACACCACCAGCTACAAGGAAGAAAGCACCCCACTGCAAATTTGTTAGCAACCGAACTTGAAGTCAACGCAATACTGTGTAAAAGAAAAGCACGGAAGCCATCAAACATAACAGCATGTCAAGAAATAGAAAACCATCCTCTGACGTAAGCGAATCTGAATGAGACCGCAAAACAGATAAGCATCCTCCATGTCCAACACCAACACCAACACGAGAAACATGCAAACCGAAAAAGAAGTGAAACATCTCAATGACCCGGAGTTCACAACGGCACCCCGACTTTGAAAAAGCACGTGCACATACCTTGGTAGCACCTTTGACTGCGCCTCCCGCCGCTTCCCATGCAGCCTGGTTCGTCTCTTCATCCTTTTCTAGGCTGCCATGTTTTCTCATCGCGCTTCGATTCTGTCTATCATCGGTTCGTGTCCCCGAGGAATTATTGGGGAGGTTGGGTAGAATCGGGGGAGCTGCGGTGTTGGTGAGGTGATGTCAAAGTGCATATGAGAGCTCGGACGTGAACTAGTCGTGACCTTAGTCTGGGTGGTATGATCTGCATTGGCTGGTGGGGCGATTTCGCTGGTGCTTGCCATCACAAAAGCATTTCAATCACATCTCATCTAACATCAGGTGAACTAGAAGCGCGGTGCTGTAGCAGTGATGAAATCAAAATATATAATAGTATTTGTTTGTACGCAGGCGCCGTAGTCCTGTACTTGATTCGTCTATGTGGTATCATTAATTGGTATGGCAGAGGTATCCAGCCAGTTCCAACCAGGGCATGTACATCTACTCAAAGGGTCCTAGAATTCCTAGTATGTCCCATTCCCTTGTTGCTTAGAAAAGAACGCCATGTCGCCTCTGATATGCAAGGTGCATGCCGAATAAACGCGAATATGTACAAGAAATAGAACTCCTCTTAGATGCGAAGTCCTATGATGCAAGAGAGTATCTTATAAGACAATAATAGGTAGTGTGAAAAGAACGGCTTGCCGGCTAGTGATCAGCCTCGTTTTTACCGGGTGTTTGCGATTAGGATGTCGACGTGTAGGCCAGTCGATTATGCGAAAATGACATTTCAAGCTGCTTTTCAAGGGGCGTTATGTCGTAGTCCGTTTCCGGAGTAGCCGCTCCAAGCTGAGCATCTTTTTCGGTCGTAGGTGTGCTTTCGATCTTGACTCTTTCAATAATCCTGCTCAGACTTGTTGCTGTGTCTGGGCGCTCAAATTCCTCTTCGTCGACATCCATTGCAGTTGGAATACCATGCGCGATGTTATAGTTGCGCTGTAAATACTGCTCTAGTCGGTACTCCTGTCGTGCCCAGCTCTCATCCACTAAGCCGAGCGCTGCTTTGATGTCTTGATCTGAAAGACCCATTGGGTGGACCTTTTCTTTTGGACCCTTGCCGCTTACTTTACTTGCAAGCTTGCTCCGGACAGAGACTGACCTTGACTGTGTATGAACGGGTACGTCATCGCGCATCTGCTTGACCTGGTCCTCCGTTTGTTTGAGCGCCATCTGCCGGCTTTCTTGCATCGAAGGAAGATAGAGGAGTGTCGTATTTCGATGTAGAGCGTTAACGAGGTCGGTAAAGCCCGTTAGTGCAATGCCGTTGTTTTCGCAGTACAAATACTGTAAAGCTGTGTTTGATTTTAGAACGTCTGCGAGTGTACTGGCGCCTTGTATACCGAGTTTTTGATCTTGAGTAGATTAGCGTTGTCACGAAGACCCACTCCGACTAGAGAAGCTTACATCGGATGTACAAGACGCGCAGGGTGCTGTTCCTTTGCAGCCCACGCAGCGCTCGATTCACCCCGACACCAAGCTTGGTGGTTTCCAAACGAGAGTCTTCACCAGATATGTCAAGCCATTCGAGGCTTGTGTTGTCCGCGAACATTCTCTCCATAGCTTGGCAGGTATCCTCTGAAGCATCACAAGGTAAAGAAGCCCGCGAAATGTCGAGCTGTCGGATGGTGTTGTTTGCGGCGAGCGCGAGAATCATCTTCCGAAAGTCTGCTTCCTCTTCGAATTCGAGCAGCCGGATGGTCAAGCTAGACGGGGCAAGGCCGCTCGCGATAGCTCTTGTTAGCTTTCCGAGGTTTTCCTCGATATTATTCTCACTGACATCCAGATGCAACTCGCGAGCCTTGCCAGGATGCTCTGTCATGGAATGCAGCAGGTACGCTATGTCCCTTCCAGTAAGAAAACAGTGATCTAACCGAAGCTCTCGGAGACCGCTAGACTGCTTGTAATTGACAAGATAGCTATACATCTATTAGTCACACAAATACGATAACAAGCTGTTCTGAGTAGCAACACACCTAGCGATTGCATCAACCATGGCGGAGTTGAGTGATGTTCCACTGAGAATAAGCTCCTGTAATCTCCATGCCTGGAACGTTTCCACTGATATGAGCGATTCGAGGCCGGACGAGCGTGCGACATGCGAAAGGTCAAGCCTTGTAAGGTAGCCAAAAACCCCAATCTGGGAATCGAATATGGCAGGTGACAGCCGAAACGGGTTGGACGATAGGTTTAAGCACTCCATGGTGGTCTCCTGCGCTCGAAGTGCGTCTAGAATCAGCGATAAGGCGCGATCGGTCAAGCCACAACCACTCAACTCCAATCCCCGTAAGTGACAAACTCGTTCGACCGCGGCTGCGACTAAATAATCCAGGTCGGTATCGCCAAGCTGAATGTTGTTCAGAGCTATCCAGTCCACGTTGGTCGTTTGATACTTGCAAAGAGGAAATAAAGCTTCTACTATGCCGCAGCCCATGTCCCGGGCATTGGCACCCGACTCTCCATGGTCTTTAGGGCTTCGTGTGATGCACGATGAAAAATCCAATCTCCTGAGGTTGCGATTCGTCAAAGCCAGAGCTCGTATTTCTTGCACCAATAGACAAGACCGTTCAAGCTCTTCAATGTCCAAGCGCGCATATGTGCCTCTCTTGGTCTTCAAGCATAAATGCTCGGCGCCATGTTGGTCTTTCAGCCCATTCAGAACATCCAAATGTACGTCCTTGAAAGATATTCCACTAAACGTTTCATTGTACCGCAGGGACCGCATGACGGCCAGAAGCTCAAGTATGGTGTACTGGGTTCTACGTATGCCTACGGGTCGCAGAAGCTCGAAACGCGGGCGATCTTCGGGCGGATACGTGATTTGATAGCTGATGACTTCAGGTTGTACATCGTAAGCCACACAGTAGCCGATCAGGGTGCGATCCAAGGAGTCTTGGTCGATTGGATGTGGGCTATCCTGTCTGGCGCTATCATGATTTACATGGTCCGGTACGAGGAATTGGTACGGGCGCGATTCCCACTCTGGTCTTAAATTCCCTTCGACGTGTTGTAAACGGACGGCGATGTCGTGTGATGCAAGCGATGCCAGATGAAGGATCTTGGGACGCTCTAGTGGCTTCCTAATTGAGGTCAGCATAGCTTATTAGCAAGGACGTTCGTACTCACCGAAATGTGAGTGTAAAGGTGTCGTCGACTTCACTAACGCTGACTTCAGTAAGATTGAGGATGCCATGGGCGGATTGGGTATTATGGGACATTAACGACGGGCTAGAGGATCGTTGGGTTGGCGGCTTGAATAATGGAATCAAGTGCACCTTGTGTATGCCAATTGCAAGAAAACATACGGAAGCAGAAAGTTTTGAAAAATCGTCAGACGATGCCCTCGAAGTAGTTTTGCCTTGTGGACGAAGAACGACTTTGTAGATGGCGTAGTGCGGAGGAACGTAGTCCCGTTCGGCTTCAACCACACGGGCGGCTAAGTGGGAGTTGTGCGCAGATAGAGGGTTTGCGTCGGCCAATCTTGCGCGATTGGCAGCTTCGCGAATGTTGGTAAGCCATGTATACATCTCCTCTGGGTCTCCAAACTGGAGCGTCATGGAGGAAGCGTGGTTGGTTTCGTCGTCCAGATAGTATAGCTCCAACGCAAAATGGGGTCGTCCGTCGTCGAGATGATAGACGGCGACAACATGGCGCAAAGGTATGCCATGATCGCGGTCGCCAGATGTTTCCGAGGCCAGGGATTGGAGGTCATGCGAGGAGCCAGTCGAAGGGTTTGAACTGTGTCGATGGGTATTTATACGGGTATAGGATGATTGTATGCTAGGATAGTTTAGTGTGTGACGGGGGATGGTAGCTTCCAATTAGGGTAGGGCTTACGCTGGGAAAGCTTCTGCGGCTTTGGCATGATGCTTGTACCGGATCAAATGCGTCTCTGTCAGGACCAGGTATTCCCTCTTCTTCCTGAACATGGAACTGCTCGTCTGCACCTCGCCATAATGTAGCGCCTGGCGGTTGCGTACGTCTTCGCCCAAATATTCCCCAAACCCTGTCGAGGTGCGTGTAGACGTTGCAGAGAGAGGTTCGTCGTCTTCTTTGTAGCCGCGGAAGGAGCCGAAGACGGAGCTTGCACGTTTGATGCTGCCTCGCGAGAGAGTTGGTCGGGGCGACGCAGGCGGCTCGGCTAAGGCAGTGGTGCCGTCGAAGGGTTGCAAGTGTTCTCCATGCTGGGATACGTCTGAGAGATTGGACATGAAAGAGGCGGCCCGCCGCTTTCGCAGCAACGTTGCTGGTTGTGAATCATCTTTGGGCACCTGCAAGCCGAGGGCACTCAGGGAGCTGCGGCCAAAAATGCTTCGTCGTTTGTCCTTGGACATGCCGCGCGACCAGCTTGGCGTGCGCCGCTCAGCACGAGCTCAGCGGCGGGAACAGGGCATGCGGAGGGCGGAAAGTCGGCGCAGGAGGAGCAATTGGCGCGTCCAAAGGCGCGTTCACAGAGGTCTAGAGGGAAGAGAAGGTCGGATATCAGGACAGGACGGCAAGTCGAACGAGGGCGACTCGGGGCGCAGTCGTATCAGGAGACGGGAGGATGTTGCTAGCGGTGGGAAGCTGTACGGGGACTTGGACGGTGGTGGTAGAGTAGAGATGTTTCAATTACAGGGCTGCTCGGCTTTCAGCGGAGCGTGGATTGGCAAGCTGTTTTGACATCAGCTCATGTCATTATTATTCCGTAGGCCGTGGCTGCGATTGGCATGTCCAGCGATGGCTCGGTATCCAGACTGGAGGGGCTGCTCGGTGGATTGTGCCAGAACCGCACGCTGGCAATGAATGGCCTTGTTCCCGGCACACAACAGCGGGGCCCAACCGCGAGGATTAGAATGAGCAGGAAAAAAACAGTGCAGAAGACGGGCAGGCTAACATCTAGTGTAGAACGACGCCATGGGCGGAGCGGTGGGTCCCAGATGGCTCCGCGCGTCAACTTGGCAGGGCAAAGGCGGTGGTGGTGGTGGTTGCTGTGGCATGAATGTACGTCAGCCGGCGATCTCACTGTGATCGGCAAGGGTCCCTAGGGGAAAAAGTGACACGGTCCGCGGCCAAATTTCTGGATATGCGCCGCCATCATCTCTTCGACGACGACATCGCATGCCCTACTTGCTCGCCCGCCCCTCTCGATGCTGAGTCGCGTTCTCAGACAAGTTTCGCCATGGCCTAGTCGCCCCATCTGTCTATTCTGCGCCGCACGCGTCCAGCTACAGCCGCCTCCTCAACGACTATGGAGTGCCTCTGCGGCCCTGCACAAGCGAGAGTCCAGGACGTCCAGGGCACGAAAGGCTTCACAAGAGGGCAAGGAAGGACAAGAGGGCAAGAAAGGACAAGAGGGCAAGAAAGGACAAGAGATCGAACCACAACCGGTGGAGAGGGTGCGTCGAGGAAAGTCGAAAACTCGACATGACAAAGATGGGGATAAGGCACAAGAGACAGTGGAGATGGGGAGACCAATGTCTCTCAAACAGGCCATGCTTGGTGGTAAAAAGCCTCGCAAAGAGACCTCACTTGGCGGCAAGAAGCCTGTCAAAGAAGCCTTGCTTGGTGACAAGAAGACGGAGAGAAAGCGCAAGGCAGCCAAACCCAGGGAACAGCTGCCCATCAGTATTCTCTACCCTGAAAATCTCCAATTCGAGCCCGTCGATGTCGAGAAGCCGCCAGTCCCCATGTTGTCCTACGGTCTCGACCGCGTGCTATTCAACCCAGGCGTCTACCGTTTGCAGGACCCCCGCTCTCGACTCTACAATTTTGATCCGTACCTCGAGAAGATCATGCCGGTGAACGAATTCGATTTTGATGCCCTCAGCGAGTACAAGACATCTTCCAAAGACGAAGAATTGCTGGCCATGACGAAAAGACTTGGCTCCAAATTCACCGGCTCCACCTCCAGCATGTCGGGCATTCTGCAGCACTTTCATTTCATCCTCTCTAATTTTAGACAACTCAATCACGAGATGCTCTCTCGCGAATTCCCAGACCCCTCGCCCAGATTTTCCAAACTCACCTATGGGCCCAGCGCCATCTTCCTCCGCTACAAAGACGGTGTGTATGCGATAGACGCCGACAAGACCTACGACCGACCGAACATTATGAGCTGGCTCGGACATTCCCTGGAGAAGCTCCTGACTACAGAACGGACCGAATTTGAGCGATACCGCAGATCGAGTCCCGAAAAGGCGCCAGTGGAAGACAATGCCAGCAGATGCTACCACTACTCGAAACAAGGAAACCTGCTGATGCGCTCTCAACTTGATGCGTATGACCCACGTCTTCCGGGTAGTGGCATATTCGACTTGAAAACAAGGGCGGTAATCTCGATCCGCATGAACCATAAAGAATACGAAGAAGGTGCAGGCTACCAGCTTCGCAAAGAGCGGGGCCAGTGGGAATCATTCGAGCGAGAATTCTACGACATGACTCGAGCAACATTATTGAAGTACTCTCTGCAGGTTCGAATGGGCCGAATGGACGGCATCTTCATCGCCTTTCATAACATTGAACGCATATTCGGCTTTCAGTACCTCAGCCTACCAGATATGGATGCTGTTCTGCATGGGCAACACGACACTTGCCTGGGAAACCAGGAGTTTAAGCTCTCTGTTGGCCTAGTGGATGAATTGTTGACCCGCGCAACTACCCAGTTCCCCAACACGGTAAGCTGCCTCTCAACTACGCTCCATCTATATGCTAACAATAGAAAGTCTTTACGACTCCACTTTGATTCACGCGAAGGGAAGACGTCATTCATGTATGTCTTTGCTGAACCAGTCACGGAAGAACTGGCGGATCAGATCCAGGGTGCCGGGAATGTAGCACAAAATGACTTTGCACGCACTGTTGTAGGGGTGGGAAGGGACGATCCAGATGTGCAAGCCGCTTGGCAGACCATACAGGATGAGGTTGACGAGCAAGTCGACGAGGACAAGAACACGGCGGCGACGATGGAAGCCCAAGGTGCGGACGTAGCGTCGCAGCAAGAAGAGGTCACCAACAGAAATGAAGATGATATCGAGGCCAATGCGCAGGACACGGTGACAACCGCCAAGAAATCCTCTACAGTTAACAACGACTCGGATGGGCCATTAATGGGATGGACCTTGACTGTCCGTAGCAAGGTCAACGGGGAATATGTGGAGCGACCAGAGCAATTGGCCATCATTGACGACTGGAGGATCGAGTATCACATCAAAGACATTCCGCAGGAGACGCGTTGGAAGCTATACAACGCGGTCAAGGAGCGACGGCGCAAGCTCATTGGCCAAGATGAGGAGGAAATCGACGTAGGGCTTAAACACTACCGCGATAAGATTCAGCGCTATAGCGATAGCGGACGCAAGTGGAGGAAGAAACAAGATAAACTAGACGAGGCGCAAGGCGTGCACGTATATAGGCCGCTTGGTCCTGGATCTGACGTTACTCAGGAGGAGGCACTGCCAACTGCACCTTGATAAGCACCATGGTGGGATAGAAGTAATGGAGTCGAGCTCGCGCCCGGTATCATATTGCTAAGTGTATTTTGTATTATAATGTGTATGCTGTAAGACTACGTAGCATGTAAAAGTACTGTGGACAAGAAATCAATTTTGGGAAGCACGGATACTATAGCAATAGCAGCAAGGGCTTTTTTTTCGTCTTTAACCAAGTCGCGTCTAGGCATTATATTATTCTTCACGTATTAGTCGGTCCAAAATGTCTGGAGTAGCACCTTGGCGGGAGAGATGCCTGCCCCTCCACTTAGCGACATGATAGCTCCGCATCGTCTCGGTGAAGCTCACCCATTGCCTCCCCCACTCATGCCCGCCATAACAGGAGACCCAAATACAGGTCCTCGTACGTCCCTTGCTACCTGCCAGCACCTTACCGCCAGTGCTGCTGGCCGAGCGCCGTTTGCTCACCCCTGTTTTCGCGGGCCCAAAGCTACTCGCGCCCGCTTGCCCTCCGTCATAGCTCCACAGCGCTTCACCCACTTCGCCGCCACATCTCGCAACTACATACTACCACACAAGAGCCGCGACCATGGCCTCGGACCAGGATGTTGCTCAGCTGCTGGAAATTACTTTCTACCAGCTTGACAAAGACCAGGCCAAACAGCTTCTGGGGATAACTGGCAACAATGTCCAAGCCGCGGCGGAGAAGTTCTACGACATGGATATCGAGCCGCTCAAAGCTCTATTGAGGGACTCCAAGCCTACGTGGGATGATACCGCCTTCGGCGCGGGTAGCTATAGGACCGAAGACACAGGTGGTGCGCTTCCCAGTACGTTGCCGCCGCTCTTGAAGTTACACGACTAGACATGGCTGACAGCTCGGTGTCTCCAGCTTTCAATATTGACTATGCCCCAGGCTTTGAGAATTACCCCCACAGTACCGGAAACAGCAGAGCACCCACGCGCCCGCCCTCGCGAAGTAGCCAACACTCCGCAGTCTCGACGCATGCTGGCGACGCGCCTGTACAGAGTCAGTATAGAGAGGGTGTGAGCAGCGCACGGCTGACAGAGACAGGCATCGAGAACACGCAAGAATCGGGAGTGATAGGCAACTCGAAGCCAGTCTTTGGGCCCGCTAAGAGGGACCACTATGACTCGTCACAATGGGCTTTGGTATCAACGGCTACAGAGGTCATCTCAGATCCAGTTCCTAGCCAGCGGCAGCGCGAAGAGGGCCAACCCGCTATCCTTAAGCCATCGCCCAGTTTCAACTACTTCCCCGCCCTCATCCCTATCCTTCACTCGATACCACTATTCCGAAATGCCTTGCTCGCTCCCGGCGTCGTGCAAAATGACTATTGGGTGGGCGAGGATTGGTGGAAAGGAAGCCCCTCACCACCGGCGCGCATCATCGATACTACCATTGGTATTGCCGAGGAATATGGACTGGACATCATACATGAGACTCAACGTTTGATGGCATTCCTAGACAATACTGACAGGGTGTACGGCTCCACTGGCTCTATGCTGGAACTAGACGCTTGGAAAGAGTCACGTCCGCCCATCGAAGACCCAGACGACGATCTCCTCAAATTTCTCGTACTTTGGGGCTTCGCATATCAGAGTCAAGTTGCCGATGCGCAACTTGATGGTATTTTGCGATCTACTTTCAACGCTGGCGGGGCTATTCGGGAAAGCTTCGTGCTTGACTCCACTGTGACACGCGTGCAGTCCAAGCCTGATTTGAGCATATATGACGTTCTCGACGACACTCTCTTTTCCTCGGTCACGGGAAGTGCGCACATTGTCGACATTAGCAATATCCTCATCTTTCGCTTGACATCCGCCAAGACGGACGCAACCGACTTGGGTTGCCGCATCCCTGCTACCCTCTACGTTGATCGCTACCTTGAGAAGAATCGGCATGTCATTGATGGCATGTACAGGGATATGAAACAATACGAGGATCAGCTAAAGGACATCGACACGCAAGAGCAGCGGCTGAAATACCATACTCCCAAGAAACAAGGAGTAAATCGAATAGAGTCTCTGAAGTTGCTACAGACGAGCATGAAGGCCTTCCAGCCTCCGAAGGATGGATCAGATGTGAACTCGCAGGATGCTGTAGTCTTATCCCAGCTGCAAAATCTCTTCCAGAGCCTCGAGAGCAGACTCGCCGGTAGGTTCTCTCCCTCAACACTACTGAAACTGCATCTAACAATTTTAGCCCTCGGTGAACAGGCTGCTGAGATTCGGAGGACGTTGGACGGCATCTCCGGTCGCTTCAAGCCATCTGTCAACGATGGCGTGGATATTGCCATGGACACTGCGAATGCCGAGTATCCAGAGGGGGAGACCCCGCAAGACGCCATGAATTACCCATACCAGCTCTACGGTGTAGCTACTCGCCGCGACGTCGTCTACCTTGTTCATCCGGATATCAAATCCAACGACCCAGGTGCAAAACAGTGGTGGCGCATGCAGTATGATACAGAATCCGCTAACCCAGTCATCATGCGCGACCGCCTCAGTCTGCAGGAAGTCATTGAGCGCGCAACATCGGAGTCCGCATCCGTGCTTCTTATCTACGCCAATGAAGCTGCTACGTCTGTTGAGCCGGTACCGCTGTCTAAACCCCTCGAAGACTTTGTCAAGAGAGACAAGCTGAATTTCTTGGAGGAGCTACAAAAGAATGCGACGGGGTGGGAGGGCTTTGGTGATTATGGAACCACCGCGCAGGGCGAGTGGGACAAAGATCCCCCAACCTACGACGGCGATGGCGATTGGAGTAACGTGGGTGCTAAAGAGTTCTACAGCCACGACAGGAACGATTCAAACATGAGCTCTACGACACTGACGCCGAACACAGAACTTGGCGATGATGTCGGAGAGGTACAGGAAATGGTGGAAGTTAATGGCGGCATGGATGCGTTTGCTGGCTTGTCGAGCAGCGTTTCTAGTGACACAGTTGGCGCTGAGGCCATAGATGTCGATAGGCCGCTGTCGCAAAGCAATCCCAGCCTACGAGATGTCAGCATGGTCGATGCGCACGAAAAGATGGTGACGCAGCATACTGAGGTTGCGGAGAAGAAGGGGGGGTAGTTTAGCGATGATGATTGTGCATAGCGCCGGCGTTTGAGGCACCTGGTACAGCATTGGCGCATTTGCATCATTGCGTGGAGTTTGGGCCCTGGCCATGGTTGGCGCTGAATCTAGGAATGATCCGAATATTTCTTTCATTACCACCAGTTCTGCATCGTGAATCTTTTACCAGGGACAGGGGAAGCAGGCTACTATATTAATATAGGGCGTGAGAAGGAGATTCACAGAAGATCAAGTCTGTCAGCTACATAGCTTGATTTATACGGAGCTTGATGCGGGCGTTTCAGGCGTAAGAATATATAAAAAGAAGAGAATCGTAATGGTGATCAAAAGCACCCAAGATGTGAGACCAGTCCACAGAAAGAAAAGAAATTCCAACCAACCCAACCGAAATCCATATGTAAACGAAGGCTCCACTTTTGTTCAGAGCCACTTGAACATGCAGTTACCCCATGAACCGATTGACATGATGCATATGCGATGTGCCGCAATCAAGAAGAGAACTCCCTTGGGTGGCTCCTACGAGCCTTCGACTGAGCGACAGATGCCAATGCAGGACCAGGAGAATCTGGGAACGTCTTGCCAGCCTCATGCCAGTAGAGGTTCCACTGAAGCAGAGCATCATTTGCGTGGTACAGCTCCGTACCCTTCTTACCCGCAGGCATTTTGGCACTATCATCACCACCGGAAACGTTGATAGAAAAACATTGCGGCCAGAACTGCCTCTGAGAAACGTCTGGTCCGTTATTGTGAATGGAAGCTACCTCAGTTCGGAGAACATAGTTCCCATTCGGAATCTCGCTGGGGATCTTGACAGTCTGCGAATTGCTGTTATCGTAGAAGATGGCGTCAGTGCCCCAGTAGCCGGACTGCTCTTGCTTGGGGCCCTGGGAGTAGCGGCCGGGGCGGTAGTCGATCAGGGCGCTCTGGTGGATCTTGAAGAACTGGAGCTGCGTCTTGTCGACGTTCTTGCAGTCGCCGTTGCAAGGGGCGAGCCATGTGGCGGTCCAGCCGTGGTGGCTGCAGTCCCAGCCCTCCTCGCCGTTCTTGCAGGACCCCTCGTGGTGCCAGTGGAACGTGACTTTGGATCCGGCCTGAACGGGAGCCGTGTATGGGGAAGGAGAGCCGTTGATGTGCGCGATGATGTCTGGGTGTGCCAGTTTGTCACCGAAGACAGGCTGGTAGCCCCAACCTTGACCGGTCCACCATGCAGGTGATTGGTTGCCTGGGTCTTGTTTGGAGGCCTGGCGGAAGCCTTGGTAGGTCTTGCCGCCGGCTTCGAACTTCTCGACGGAGGTGTGGCCAGCGACACTGGAGAGGAGGGCCGCTAGAAGAGCGCCGGTTTGAAAGATCTTAGACATGGTGGTGTGTGGGAATCGGAGTGAGCGTTTGGTTGAAAAGAAGAAGTGTTGAGTCTTTGTGGAGAACGAAAGTGTGAGTGACAGCTAGCTCCAGAGCTATATGTGAAAGAGTGACTTGGTCAACGAATGACTGGGGAAAAGAGTGACTGCGCAGTGTAGCGTAGGGAACAAGAGGAACAACCTTGGGGAAGGAGACTGCCTTTTGTATTAGACCATTCACACGATGGCGTTTTCCTCAGCCCCGCCTCGACCGAAGCTAAAGGGATGTGCAGCGTGGCTTTTAGTTGTTCCTGAAGGTCAGTGCCATAATGAGGAGAAGGTCAACGCGCTAATGTAGGTACGAAAGAAGTTAGCATCTGCCAAACCCTCATATCATAGGTTGAACGCCCACAGACGCAAGCCTGCCCGACTCACGCATACTTCTTCAGCAATAGCGACATAGGCCCCGTTTCAAAGCATTGTACGAAGTCTCTTTGTTGAAGTCTGGGTCTCAGCCCTGGATCCTTTTTCATCTCTTGGGTGGAGCAGGTGACAGTGCCTTGTCATTGTCTAGATGCTGATGCCAACGAAAGCAAATTGAAGTCTTGGTGAGTTTCGGTGGTACCGAAAGTGCCATGCCCTGATCTGAAGTGATCTTGTTTTTTTAAAGTTTGAAATGACGACGCTATCATAGTCTCTTGGTGGTCGGATCGCCATTCGGGTCTGGAGCTCGCTTACAGGGTTGATACTCTCCTGAACATCACCCGCCCGCTTTGCCGCACGGCGCCACTGTTTCAGCCTTAAGCCTTAGGCGAAAATCTATCGATAAACGGCGTGTCGATAGAGTCGAAGACTCCTCAACAAATACCAGGTGACCGGGTACGGGGAAATAAGAGAGCGGGGGTTATTCGACGAGACTGCGGCGCTAATCCACTGGTTCCTGGACGTATTGATATGTTTTCCAGGTCGTGCCTCACTGCACTGTTCCGTCCGCTTAACGTCGCAGTTCTACGTGTTTCTCCTGTAATGGCTCTTCTGGTTTCTGGTAGACCTCTCCATCTGCGCATGCGGGTCAACCTTGCGTAGGATGCACGACGAAAACGCTGCAGAGCAAGCAACATCATGATGCGTGAGAAGTTGCATACGCACTAGGGAGGAGACGTACGTCCTTTCACAGCCACCAATTTCGCATCGCACGTAATGACATCGTAGTACGTGCTTGCATGTGTGGGAAGTTTCTGCCCCCGGATCAGTGGCGGGGGAAAGCAAAAGCCCAATTTCCCATTTCGTGAGCGTAATGAATGTTGCACTCAGCATTTCGAGCATCGGCTGTAGCGATGGCTGTGAATGGCGCAGTAAGCTGCGCCAGCTGCCCGCGACGAAAGGAATTTGTGGAGGCAGGCATCCGGAATGGGGTTGTGGCAATGAGAGCAAAAGTACCGCCTACGAAAACATCAGTACCCAGTCCAGAGCTGGCTGAAACGTCAGCTTGTCATGCAACTGCGGGTGCTACCGTAATGTTGGGGTTCACGTCCAAGGTTGTGCGGAGATTTCCGGTGCCGTGTCTCTCTCTTTCTGTCGTAGCGTAACCTGTCTACATGTCACCCCTCCTACGTAAAATACACACATCATTCCCCTTTTTCCCCACGAGCCTCGCTTATTCAAATCGACTACGCGGTTGGGATCATGCAAAGTTTAGCTACGATGAGGATGCGTAGCTCTAAGACTCAGGCTCGATGGTTTGCCCACCAAGTAGCGCTTGTCCCAGCTGCTTGCATCGCAACTCTAGGTTATTTGCTACCTAGTGCAGCCTGTGTTCTTGGGACCAATCGTACATATACTTGACGACATGTTTGCGAGGAGTTGCAACAGGTCTTACAATGACGACCTATGACGGTGCTTCTTGAACCCCTCTTTCCACTCGCACCACGTTTCCTTCGTTGCAATCAAATACGTGGAGCTAACGTCAGGATATCGTATGAGGTTTTTGAGTAATAATCATGATTCTAATATCGCTACTTTCGATTCAGACAACCAATTGTGCGTACGTGCGAATAGTGCTACTGACAGCTCTTTGAGAGATCAAAATCTAAATTGAGTAGCTCATCAAGAGGCATGGCTTGGTTGTGTCGGGAAAGTTGTGAATTTCTCCCGCCGCTATCAGTTAGCAACACACTCAGTGCCTTCACAGAACCGGTGATAGCTCAACTAGGGCGTAGGCGCGTTGGAAAACATCTTTTCAGTTAGCAACAGACAGAAGACTGGAATCGAGATAAAGGCAGATATGGAATCTAGCTCTCACAGGACCGCATATTACATGATGCGACTCTGTATCAATATGCTAGCTATCAGAATAATTACCTTTAGTCTATTTGAAATAATATCCTATGCTACCTTTAGTAAGCTATTCATTAATATTGTAGAGCAATGAACTACTTACATAAGCATCATCTGATTAGTCATACATAGTTAGATCGTGCCTTGGCTGATTGCCTACCTTCCTTTGTCATGTGCGCATACCATGATGCACTCACTCACAGCAGGATGTCAATGCGTATTTTGGCTCCTCGGCCTAACCCTCTAGCCGCGTCCGTCGTGTCAAAGTCACAACCAGCGTTGACGCACACCGACTCGGAGTGGGCGGCTTCATACCATATTATCGAGCGGCTCTATGTCAACGAACGTCGGAAGTTGCGATATGTTATGCAGTATATGGAAAATGAGCATGGATTTAAGGCAACGTAAGAGGAAACACTTCCATAATACCTCCTAGTCTTAGCTTTAAGGACAAGTGCCCTCTGTCGTACTGACATTTGCTGTTATCTGTGCATATAGGGAGCAGATGTACAAAAAACGATTCGCCAAGTGGGGCTTCCAGAAGAACGCTAAACGATCCGCTACAGCTAAGCGCCTTCTGATAACAGCGGGAGAAGGCAAGAGCATGACAAGCAGCAAGGCCAGCACGTCCGGAGAACTAGGCTCCCTGAAAGCTTTTCCTAGAATCAGCTCCCGCGATAGTCAGGTGCTCTTGTTTTTCACCAGTGCGCAGACGTGGAGCATAGCATTTTATGAATCGTTGCACTGCCAGAACGGGGGGCTGGTGTCGCAACAGCAGCAGCTTTCGGCAAGTCAGCGGCAACCTTCGGATACCAAAGAGGTGGGCTTCGCATTTAGGCTGGTCGTTGAGCTACTAGGCCGAGGCCGCGGGAAATTGGCGGGAAAGATGGCCCGGAAAGCATTCCTGCTGCTTGAGGATATGCTGACCCTTGAGGGGCCCGCGCTAGTATGGAACCTGCTTGAGATCATGCACCACATGGTTATGCTGCGGCATGCGCAGCTTTTCCATATATTACTCGCCCATCTCATTGCACTGGCTGACAACCGGGTTGCTGAGACCCACCCGCTCCCTTCTATGCTACGCAGTTTGCGGGGACTTGTTGCAACGGGTTCTCTCTTCGACCCTTCGCTTCACGATAGCGACCTTACATCCCTTTTACAACGGGCGTGGATCCTTAATGCCGAGATTCTCTTCGACCATTTTGACACTCGTCTATTCCACCTCTACGACCACGTGCTCTGGGATTCGTGCTCGATCAACATTCCTGCACATATCGTCCTACGTCAAATTGAAGCACAGCATGTATCCAGCTCCAAAATTGTGGCACAACAATCCGAGCGGCTTGCTGCGAGTACCTCGGTTCGGGATGGCAAAAGATTTCAGCGCTTCTCTCCACCGCGAATTGATGTCTCGCTACCACTAGACTTCGAGATTCTCCGCGAGAACAGTCTTGCTGCGCTCCGAAAGCGTGGAAATTCCATTATTACAAAGCTTCCTAGCTTCACCGGCGATACCACCATCTTGATTAACATGTTGGCGGGACTGGCAAAAGCCAAAGTTCTTGAAGAATCGCCTATCGCTGCTGAATCACGCCTTCATGCGGGGAACGTCGCTTGTGTGATCAGGGCCTTGGTCGACTTCAATACCGAGCGCGGGGATAACGAATCGGGAGAACCCCTGGAAGCTATCGAGCAGCTTCGTACTATCGGGGTACTCCGTGAACATGCCCAGGGCGAAACACATCCGCAAGTTGTGCAGGACATGTGGTTCCTGCGGGACACCCTCTTGGCAGCTGGGAAGGATGGAGAGGCACAAGAAGTGGAACAAGACGTATATCGTCGAGTGGAGAAATACACTCGTGATATTTCCCATTGATATCTTCAAACATTTATGACCAATCGAAAGTTTCATTACAGGATTTAGCCGCACAACAACCAAAAAATCATGGAGTTCTCTCCTTTCCTACAGCAAACACTTTATAGACGGAACGACCATCTGAATGCACCTGTGTATCCCACATTGTGGACACGACCTAACCTACCGCCACAGGAGCTTCGCCTGATCTCATGGGGATAGCCAAGGAGACCAATAACGCAACACCACAGTAGGCAACTGCGACTACGAGACTAACCTTCAGGCCGACCATGGACGCTTCAAGGACACCAGGAAGCACACCTGGCGGGAATATAGTACGAAGCTCTTCGGCGCCTGTTTGTAAAACTAGGCCTGGATCAACCCCTGGGGCTGGATCAACCCCTGGGGCTGTCTTGGGTAGAGTTGCAAGCAGTCTGTTGACGCAAGCAGACCGTCCCACCGAGATATTAAATGCAACTTCCACCGTCTAAAAAACCGTGCAACATGCCCGTCAGCCTTTTTTGGAGGAGCTCTCAAGACGAAAGAAGATGTTCGCTTATACAAAGGGTTAGCCGTGGCGGCTGAGAGGTCTTCGTGCCCCACACTGGCTTCGGCAATACTGAAACCGTGCAGAAATCTGGGAAGCGCTGAAGTTCATGAAGTAGGCCGCGACAAGTTCTCGATCTCTAGGAGTAATAGCAGGTACGGAGGCGGGCCAATTCACTAGCCGGTGTGAAAGCACGTGATAACAATAGTTCGGCCGGGACAGATATCAAGCCTTTAATCGGGGCAATGATTCGATCAACAGATCCGATTGACCCTGCAAGTGATCCCTCGTACAATCCTTGCGAGACGTGGTTATGACCATCTCGGAAAGTAAAAAGTGCACGTCCATCTTACATCCAATCACATGTTAGGCGATCCACCAATCAAGACGTAGGGAAAAGTTCCTTGCAGGAGACGCACCATTATCCTTGCAAGTCCTTTACTATTTCAGCCCCTGCGCTATCATAATGCTTTAAGAGCTTGATAGACAGTTAGTTTGGCCGCCTTAGTGCTGAGGGACGTAGAACGATGTCCTTGTTCGACCGACAACGCCGGGCTGTAATCGCCCACTATCCGCACGAATTATACGATAGGAAAAAGTTCCTCTAGTCTTATGTTCGCGCACGGCACCTATATCTCTGAATTAGCGGCGTAGAAAGATGTAACTATGTCGTGTTCTATTTAAGTGTCCCTACCTCCTCCGACCCTGAGCAACTACACACTCGCACTTGCCCTGCGCCTCTTATCTTCCCCATTCTCACTTCAGTAGTATACCAACTACCTCTTTCCTCAGCTACTTCACAGCACAAAATGTCTGCTCACTTGGAAGAGCAGGCATCCACTCAGGCAGGCATGCTCTTCAACACCAAGAGACAACTGTTCCAACGCGTCCCACCAATTCCGCCAGCCATCGATCTCGCGGGCAAGACGGTATTGGTGACTGGCTCCAATATCGGCCTCGGTCTGGAATGTTCGCGCCAATTCCTAAATCTGCGCCCAAGCCGACTTATTATGGCCGTGCGGTCCCTCCCAAAAGGCGAGGCCGCGGCGGTGAGCCTACGGGCCGAGTTCCCAGATGCGAAAATCGAAGTTTGGCAGCTTGACATGGAGTCCTTTCGTTCGGTGCAAGCCTTTGCAGCAAAATGTGAGCAGGAACTGGACCGGCTCCACGTCGCGGTGCTGAATGCGGCTTTGGGCAAGTTCAAGTTTGATCGTACCGAGGAAGGGTGCAACCGGGAGACGACCATCCAGGTCAACTACTTGTCCACCACATTACTGGCTATTCTTCTTATTCCTAAGATGAAGCCATCCGCATCATCATCCGGGCCGGGCCGTCTAACAATGATCACTTCCGACGCGTCACTCTGGGTCAAGCTCAAGGATGCTGGCTCTGGTGGGCTCCTTGATTCCATAGATCGACCAGAGAATTTTGATGGATTCGAGCAGTACTCAAGGTCTAAGCTTCTGATTAACATGTTCGGTGCGAGGCTGGCTGACTTCCTCGACCCGGATGAAGTTATCGTCAACTGCTGCAACCCAGGCGCGGTCAAGGGCACGGCGTTCATGCGTAATGCGGACTCGTGGTTCTTTAAAACAGCCATCTCCCTTATCATGAGAATCGTAGGTCGAACAATGGTGGACGGTGCGAGAGTATATGTGCACTCGTGTCTGGTGCTGGGAAAGAAGAGCCACGGCTCGTTTACAGACTGGCAGATCAGAGCGTAAGTAGATCTCAACCAAGTAGTCCGGGCTCGCTGTACTTCGCGAAGCTAACGTTGAATCTGCAGGTGGCCTGAAACTATGTACGGGGCCCTAGGTTATGAGTTAGGGACCAAAGTCTGGAACGAGACAATTGAGGAGCTTCGCTTTGCTGGCGTTGAGAACGTGGTAGGTAGAGTAGGGAAATAACCTGACTGGTTCCCTTTGCATGTTTCAGTGGTGGTGTGTATACTACTAAGCGTATTTAAGAAGATATCGAATTTATGACTACATCTCAGAATCAGTCATAACGATCTAAGCCAACATCCTACCATATAATAGCCCAGCTCTGCTCACTACCATAGATACCGTCATCTGGCAGAACCATTCTCTGCGAAAGACGGTGATACATTTTTGCAACCCTCCTGTATTCCTTTCCATCTATTCTATCATCGTCTAGGAACTCATCAATCCTTTGCTTGAAGTTGGGATACCTTCCGATGAGTAACTCATGTGCGCAGCTGTTTGTAATACTCTCCGACAGCAATCTAGCCGACAAGGAGAAGAATTCGGGCTTATACGGTTGCAGTTTCGCGGCTAGATCGTCTACGGCTGTGCCAAATGCTACGAGTACCTCAGCCTTTGATGGTGGCGCGTCGGCGAAGATCCATTGCGGTCGACCAAGCGCTGCATAGCCGGGTGCGCAGAATGATGTGCTTGCTGTGATGACATTGTCTGGGCGTGTGTTATAGCACATCTTGACCAACCGTGTGCGAGCGGAGTTCCAGGCTTCAAAAACGTTGCCTGGCGGTAGCAAGCTAGCGGCAGTGTTGAAGTCGTCCCCATATCGATCCTGCATCCTGTCTATAGTGTTGCGGCATTGGTCGCCGCAAATTTGGTGGATAAGATAATTATGCGGGGCAATGTTTTGAATGGCACCTTCTTTACTGAACCAGATGGAGCACGGCAAACTCTGAAGGCCATCATGTAAAGCTCTAATTGTCTCCTTCGGCGTATCCCGTTTCTTTATCTGTTCACGGATCTCGGGAAGCGGTGAACCGTCGCTCCGTAGCCCGTGTATTACTTTTCGTGCCTTATCTTTGGCAGTGTCACCTTCATCACAAGGCTCATTGTCGCACCACCATCCTAATTTTTCCCATTGCCTGCGCACCCTCTGCAGCAATTTTCGACCACTTCGCCAATCTCTCCTACCTTTACACCTTCGGATCGCTTTAGTCATCACATCATGAAACTTACGCCGGGCTATGGCCTGTCTAGTAGAGGGGTTCAAGATCTTCCCAATTTCGAAACTTTCCATTTTGTGCTGAAGCTAGTACAATGTACAATATTCGCATTCTGTCTCCCCATCGCCAGGTCCAACCTCCTGGATAGGTACCGTGACCTCGGCTGCTTGGCTTGTCCCATTTGGTCCAAACACTACGCCGGTTGTATTGCCACTGTCGAGAGTCTTCTGAACGTCGGTTTGCTCGAGGAATTCAGCAATACCGTTCATGTTTGCCGGATCCCTCCCGGACACGATCCCCCATCTCATCCATAGTGTCGCTGCGCAGGTACCCCACTCGCTAGGACTAAGACCCCAGCCGCATAGTCCTAAATGTCTTTCCTCGAGCGCTTGCGCTACGTCCAATGGTCCTTCGTGGGTTCTGATTCCGCTAAGATATGCCAGACGGTCTTGACCGTAGTTGGTAAAGTTGTAGCAATCCGTTCGTTTATTACAGTGATTGCGCATTGCCTTAGCTAATTCATGTATAGATTTGGCCGCATACGTTTTTTGAAGCTGTGAACGGGCTCAGCCCTACAGCGAGGGCTTCGGTCGAGTTGCCGTTGTCAAATACGCGAGACAGAATGGTGCTATGACACTGGAGATGAGCTGCTTCTTTCTCCCAGATCAACTTGCAATCCTCACTGGCGCCATCTCCAAGTACTGGATACAGCATCGTGAGGTTCATGGCACCATCACTCAAATTGAAAGTACGCCATCCTGAAGCATTGGGATTCTCAACCCATGGCGCGAGCTTAGTAAACAGTCTGATGCATACGATGGCAACCGATACAAGTACCAAAACAGCAGTATATGAAGAACTTGACGTAAAATACCGCTTTCGTATATCCCACGGTGAGGGATATCGATATTTCTGTGATGCATCATAGGAGCCCGTGAAGTCCGAATGCCTCTCCTTCTCGGAAAGAGCGTCATCGAAGTCATTACAATCTGATAACCAATTTTGATCATCTTCATTGTGGAGGACTATAGCCTGGGGTTCGTCGCGATACGGCCTGCTCGCATTCGTATATTCTTGGATTCCACGGTCGTTAACGCCTTTGTGCGAGGTCAGATCACTAACGAGTTTCTTCTCGACGCATTGCGACAGGTCAGCATGGGATTTTGCAATAAAATCCATCCCTTCAGTGATGATTGTGCGTCTGCGTTGCAGGACTCAAGGACTTTCCAGCGCGTTGCGGTTGGGTCTGGTGTTCAAGTGTTCAGCCGCAGCAGGAAAGCTTGCTTGTTTTGGAGCGCCCAGGTGGTCAATGCTGTCAAATGCGAGCTACCGGTACCGGTCAAGATGACGGTGTTACTTACGCCAGTGACATATAAATTCTTTTGATGTTTATGCAAGAGGATGTTCGAGGGTTAGTCTAAACCTAGGATTCCAATTCTCCCTTATATTTGACGTCAGCAAGAGGTAGGCAATATTGTCACATTTCTGAGATGAGCTTTAAACACTTTTTTGGTGCGCTTAGTAGTGCGCGCTCTATCTATTTATTCGCGGAGTACAGCGTCACTTGCTTGAACAAACACAATCTGGAACGAAGATCGGTGGCGTAAAATTAAAGCAGTATACTAGGTGAAAGTTACCCAAAAGCAATGTAAGATTGAACGAACAATGAATACTAATCTAATGGCACTGTATTCAATAAACAAACGCTTGTAGTAGCAGTCATTAAGCTTCCAATCCTTTGCTTTGACTTTAGTATGCGCATAAACATGTCACTTTTCGATTAGCGGGGTATCCACTCCTAAGGCAACGTCCAAAACGATGATAGGATGATAAGAGCTTCGTGGTCGTCGTCTCCATATCAGTGCTGCTGTGACGAGAGACAGTATTACTGTGGTAATAGCAAAATGACTGCTACTGATGGTGCACGCGAAAAGCCGTGGAGGCGAGTGCATTGGTCTTGCATCTGAGAAATAGGCTGTAGTGTTTATTCCTCTAGAAGAGGTTGTAACAGGTGAGGTGATATTCGGAGCTGCAGTAGTAGAAGGCATATTCGAAGTCATGGCTAATGAGGAGATGGTCGATGCCGCAAATATTGGAGGAATGTTCGAAGCCGCAGATGTCGATGGAATAGTCGAAGCCGCACTCTGAGGTACCTAAAATAACAGAGTTATTATCACAGGCTGGCAATTAATGAATGAGCAAAGGTAGCAATGATAAGTGCACCAAGGAAGCCATACAGGACCTCTATTTGAAAGTCGAAAAAGCAGTGGTACTCACCTCAGGACTTAAGACGTCATTTAGCATCCCTGGTTGCCAAATTTGTCCCGCAGACAGGTTGACAGTGACAATCCATCGCTTGCTCTCATCTGGACTTGGGTTCATGGCTGGCGCAATTTCATGACTAGAAATTGCATCCGAAACACCCAGCACTGAGATATTGCCTAAAAGCGCATTCGTGACCCGCCAACTACCATCCTCATTTTGGTCCAAATTCCACTGCTGGCCCAACTCGCCCGATCGCGGTAATAACCGTGGAACAGCGTCCGACGCTTTCGTAAGCCCTAGCTGCAATTCTGCGCCATAGTCATAGTTGCGAATGAAGTAGCGTTCACCTTGGCGGAATATTTGCCAGTTCTCGCTCGAGCGCGAACCTGAGGGTGTAAAAATGATCGAGGATGACGAGTGCTTGTATCCAGTGCTTATGGTCACACCTGCGTATGCGGCGTTTGAGAAACGATAGTATGACTTGGGGTCAAAGGGCGAAAGTATTTTTGACATTGTTGAAAGTTTTGCATCTGAAAGGGATGTGGGTCTGTAGGGAACAGGTGGTAGGGAGAGTAGAAATGAACTTCGCCCAAATTGCTAAATACGAGGCTGCGCCTCCACCAAACATCGTTGATTTCGACGGAAAGGGACAGGGGTTTATAAAAAGTAACAAAAGAATCACGCTAGTTTTAATCCGCTTTACGGCTGATGTGATTTGTTCGTTAGCTTTTTGAGGCCCCCTGTTACTTAGCTCCGAACTAACAAAGAGGCGATATTAGGCAACAATGCCCTTCCACTATCACAACAGGAAACAGAAATACAAGACGTAATGTCACTCAAAGGAAAGCGTGAATGTATATCGGTAGGACGTACAAGACTTGTAAATATAAATACAATATAAGTTCCAGCTCATGTCTAGGTTTGAGCGCGGAATGTTTACTTGCAGATGCTACTACGCTATCAGTATTAGCAATGTAAACGGCGTATTCGGGTCCAAATTCTCGTTTCATCATATATTCACATGCAAAAACAGTTTGCAATGTAAATTATACCTCCTGACCTTTTGACCCGAAGCGCTGATACGCACCTAATGGCACAATCGAGCATTTGTGTAACTTGGGGCTGCTCGGTAGCACTACGCTCGGCCCTGTAGATATTCCCTCAATTCCAGGCTCTAATCTCATATATTTCGGATTGGAAAGCTCTTGATAGAAGACACAGTAGATTGAAATTCTGCAGCTACACAGTAAAGCGCTCTACCTACTCCGGCAAAGCTGGTGTCTTTGGAACAACAGCAAAGTAGCAGTTGATAGGGAGTACAGGTGAATTTCTTAAATAGATCAAAGATTACTTAGTCTTAACAGTTTTTACTCCCAGTTATCCACCCATCCCGACCGTTGACAAAGACCTCTCTTGCAGCCTTCACAGAACATTTCCTCGTGTGGTAGACTGATCTTTCGCTCGTAATGTTGCTTCTCCATGGGAATACCCGCCCATTTCTTGAGCCTGTATGCGACTCGGTCGACGTATGAGTCCTCGTCAAGTTTCATGCTACCTGGACGATTGCAAGATTTGCAGCGCTGATTGAACACCTCGGCGTTGTAACCATTTCCGGGGTATCCTCTTATGAGTATTGCCACCTTTTTGCTACCCCAACCGCCAGTGGGGCAGGCCTTGTTGTTGCAAATGAACTTGCCCATCACATGCGTCGAGTATTCGTTGTTGGAGTTCCTATCGCTGGGTTTTCCGTTGAACCATGTTGAAGAGATGTCGCCAGAGACTGCGTTGACAACGTCCCGATGGAGCAACGGAAACATGAAGGATGTCTTCATCTTTCCATTAGATTTGGGGGGAGGTTTCGTTGCCATGTTAAAGATTGTGGTTTGAGTTTGCGCAGGAAGATCGCAGAAACAGAGGACAAGTGACAGGAGAAAAGAGACAGGAGAGCGGCAGGTGTCCGAATTCCTCAACAGTACAGGAAAGGTAGTGTTTATCAGAAACTTGAGTCGTACCGGTTCACTCTCAAGCATGCGGGGTAATGCCCTGTGGTGAAACAGTACTGATAGGAATTGTTAACCTCTGATTGGAGAAATACGAGGAAGTGTTCCGACAACGTGGATGTCTGGACACAAGGAATCCTCCATCGCTCTTTTTCGGAAACTGGAATGAACGGAGAGTTGGAGGAAAGCTCTCGCAATGTATGCTATCTCTGCGCGATATCAGTTTTCCGTGAGGTTATTGAGAAGACCATACAAGACAAATTATTCTTGAGTATACAAGTACCTCGCCTACCTGGCGTTGTACACTCAAAGAAGTGCTCTTCGCGTATAGCTTTCGTTCTAGGACGATTGGAGCAAGATTCTCTATGCATGACAGCCCTTTAGATACTCTTCATGTGTCTGACTCTCTAGCCCATCTACCCTAGTGATCTTAATAACTGCGATGTGAAGTCCTTCTCAAACTCGTAACTGCGCGCGTATATTATTTCTTTATAATCAGAAAAGGGCCTCTTTGAAGAAACAAGTTTAGACACGCTTGTTCTACATTCGCGCCTCGCCTTACCTATAATTTACCAATTTTATATTCTATACAAGTAGGTTTTCTTACTCCTAGAGTAGAGTAGATCCACGCGAGAGAAGTTCTTGTCGTAGGCTAGTCAGCCACCCCCAGCGCAGAGCTCCCATATACATATAGATCTATCTTACCATAGTCTTTCCTGAAAGATTCATAGTCGTGCCCAATATATATTCTGGACGACGTATCTTAGACTGAACATGCGGTATAAACAGTTATATTTTAGAGAATAAAACTATAAAGAAGTTGCACGCTTCAGGCTTTGGAAATATAATAAGATACAGCATGTAAGCAGTGTTTTGCCTCCAAGATATCATCTGGAAGCAAGGTGTAGGATTTGTTTTCGCATTCATACAAGAAGAAATTAGAAGCATGCCACTCATGCACAGGCAGAACGTCCGACTGCCAAGTGCGACAACAAGAAGCTAGTTGTAGCATTATCAACATGAAGAGGACGAGTACCATAACTACGACCGGAGATAGTGAGTTGCAGGTTGCTGTTATTGCTAGTAGTAGTCGCAGCTTGTAGCGTCGCACTGCCCAACATTAACGCAACGGACTCTAATATCACCATGTCGAAGCGCGGTGACTACTCTATTATGTAAGGCGATCGCGCAATATTGATGATGCTTTTCTGGGATTATTGTTTCCCTAAACGAACCCTGATTTGATCGATAGGCATCATGGTCTTGGTAGGTGTGCTTGCGAACCGCAATGGTGGGTGCACAAGAAACGCGTTTGATAAGAAGTTTGTTGAGAAAGCGTTTGAGACGGGAAAACATAAAGGAAGCGAAAGACATGGTATATGTCGAATAGAAACATTAAGATAAGGCGGAGAGTAGATCCCTCAAGTTGAGGGGCAAGATTTGGTGGGCTGATGAGATGCGCTGAGACATCGCTTAAAGTGTCGGTGAGGAGCGGTGAGTCGTCATAAACTCCGCGCATATTGTTCATGTAGCCGCTTTGCTCTTTGCAGACCCCATTCTATTGCCTCACTCTCTCAGTCTGTAAATTTGACGCAACAATATGTCCAACAACGCTTCTGAATCAGCGCTCTCGAAATACCGTTATGAGGCCGTCTTTGGCGTGTGGCTGGCGGTTACTGGAGCGACCTTCCTACGCATCGCACGCCAACCTTATAGCTCAGGCCTGAAAATCGAACAGTACGAGAGCATCTTCAAGGGTACATCTCTCAGCGCCGTGCTGGTCGGACTCGGAATATCCCCAGGAAAAAGGTCGGCAAGGCGCTTTCGTGGCAACTGATGCGAGCTAAAGAGCTGGAGGACCGACTTCAGGTTGTTGCACTCTCCTGCTCCGCCTGGCACATTGCGCGAGGTTGGGAAGGCATCTGATGGTATGAGATCAAAGAAGACTGAATTGGAAGCACAAGACGCGTCTTTGTTGACTGACGACGCCGTATCCATCATCTGTGCCCGAGCTTGGCGTTCCCCACAGACTTTCACATGCAAGTGCTCGCGACCTCGTTCCATTGTCACCAACATCACCATCACCAACGCTCACACATCGTCAACATGTTGATCCGGGCAGGCTCGCTGAGCGTCGAGTTCAACGTGTGGAACCCCCTGTACGCCGTTGCTCCATTCGCCCTCTTCCTAATCTCGATTCCTCTCGCCACCTTCGCTGTTGTTACGACGTCTCTCGCCGTCGCATTGCTCTCCTGCCGCGCCTTGGTCGTCTACTTCCAGCTTGGAGTTGCGCTCGTGAATGCATGGCTCTTTCCTCTGCTGCCAAAGTCCTCCAGCCTCTACCACTCACCATCTGCAGCATCTCCTGGGCGCTTGTCTCCGACCCATCAGCGAAATCGTCGAAGTAGTAATGGAAGCTCTGCATCGCAAGACACAACTATACCTAGCGCACACACATCTCGCCTTCGAGGCAAGAGCGGCTCCTTTTCGTCCATTATAGGCACCAGCGAGATAACGAGGGACTTTGAAGGCGTCGGCGGTTGGCGCGTACCAGGCGACGAGGACGAGGAGGCTTTGTGGATGGGCATAAACTCAAGGTTGCAGCTACCGGCTGATGTGCCCATTCGTAGACACAAGCGAAGCCTCACAGGTGGTGCCAGCCCGAGTCAACGATGGAGCTGGAGCCCCGAGGCGCTTCGGATGAGTCCCGTGCAGAGCAGAGCAAGGACACCGGTGCGATTTGCAGTCGATGACGAGGGTGACTACTTCCCACCGCAGCCAATGTCGAGTATACGTTCTATGAGTTCTGATCCCAAGAAACAACATAAGAGGAGAAAAAGTGGTAGCGGAAGTAGCACCTCGAGCACTTCAGGTATTATGATGGCAGTGAAGGAGGCCGGAGAGTGAAATTTCAAATGCACTTTGAACTGCTTGTGTACACCAGTCGCCCTTCAATCACCCCATTCGGCTGGCTAGTGAAAGAACAACTCTGCCACGAGTTACTGTCTGATGCCCTCTTCATGCAATGAAAGGTGCACTTGCCCCTCCACTCGGCTATTTGATATCAACTCGACACATTGACCACGATCAACTACTACCATTAGTACTCGAGTCCTTGACTGACACCCGCCCTGCATCCGTTGCAGCCGCAGGTGCTATCTAGCCGCCATGGAACATATGGGATACTCGCCAGACTCGCGTACGGACATTGGCATCGATAGGAAACGTTTTGCTATGATGGCCACTATCGCTTTCGTAAGCATTGCTGTACTCGCATTCACTCTTATGGTCTTATTCAAGTACAAACGTCGGCCTACTCAACCAGCCATGCCACGAGCTTTCCTCCTGCCGATCTATATGCAGCGATATGGCTCAGCTGCTGACCCAACGTCCACTTCGACCCGCTCTCCACTTGACGATCCATCTCCTGCATATGAGGAAGAGGAACCCATCCTTGCACGCGGCAATTCTATCGTGGTTCCGATTCCGGCTCATACACGCCCACCCCGAGAACTTAGTCCTAGCAGGCGCAACGCCAATCCCCCACTGTTTGGGTCGGTTCATCACCGAGGCATCTATCGCGCTCCGCTACAAATCCACCCAGCTCTTAGAGGAGTTGACCGTGAAGCCCGTGAGTCTGTCGACACGCTTCCGCGGTACCCCAATCCCCCGGCCTACAGCCTGGTGGTTGGTCCCCCAGAGTCTGGTTAGCACACGCCTTCAGTAGCAGGTCCCTGGCGTGTCTTAGCATAGCAAATAGCGCCAAACACAATGGGATCACATTGTATGTAACGTTATGGGCCATCAGGCCGAGGTCTTAGTCCCTACGATACTCAGTTAAGCGACAATGTCTGGTGTTACATTACAATGTCTCAACCTTTCTACCAGATCCTAGACATAAATTTCATCGATATTATTCGCAATCAGCAGCCAAAACTCAGTAGAATCCGCCCAGCAATCATGTATGAGCTGATAATTCCAATCGTGTTCGGCGGCTTTGTTCTCATGGCTATACTCACTTGGAGTTTCTTCTTTCTCAAGAAGCGAAGGAGTGGTCAGAATCTGCCTGGTCCAACTCCCCCCTCGTCAGCCTTTCCTGTTCACGCACGCTGGTTCCATCGCTCTCAGGGAAGTGATATTGCGAACGTGGGCGAGTACCTCATGACAGAACCTCTCTACATGCATGATTCAGGCGAGAGCGCAAGTACTTTGCCAAGGTATTCGGTGTCTGCGCTGCCGCCTGTGTACGTATGGGTTGAAGCGAGGAATTCGCGGTTCATTGAAGAGTGCTGAGCGCTCTTTGATAGCGTACACTGTGTCTCAATCTGAGGAGTTTTGTTTTTCGGATCCTCTGTCTACTAATCTCGCAGCAGTTGACTAATAAATACTTTCCCATAATTCAAAACTTGCATTTTTCCATATACCCAAGATCCCCCCAATGCTTCCTTCTGATCGCTTACTCGGAGATTCTCTGGTCACAACTTGATCAGCGCTCTGACTCCTAGTTGATATTGATCACCAGACTCAAGGCTGCCTTAGGTACACTGTGGACCCACTTTGGAAGTGCTCAAAGTGATATGGCGCTTTAACAATGAATCTGATATGTCTTTGTTCCTTTATCAGTCATGTAGACAATAAGTCCTACATAACTCCAGCAGTGAACTTGACTTCGCTCCTAAATGTAATCCCAATTACACCGACCTCCCAGTACGCATATTTGACAATTAAATTTAGCAGTCTATATCAAGTGCGTATATAATTAAGATGTCCACACCGAGTCCAGCACCGTTCGCCAATACAACCGCACCGTTCAGTGACCCTACACCAGCGCCAACCTCGCTACCAGGCAAATATCACGCTCAGGGCCTCTCTAAACGAACAACAATCATTATCACGACTGCAATATCCGCTGCTGTAATCTTCGTGGCACTCTTCGGTATCGTACACTACATACGCAGACGCAATCGCCTCAAAGCACACGACCAAGAGCAAATAGACATCGAAGCGAGCCTCAGGCGCGCACAATTACCCGTCCTTGCGCTTGACACGGATGTCCCGCGCTTAAATAGGCCCTACGTACAGTCCGCAAGCGTACCTAGATTTCCGATCCTAGGATTAGACGTCGATGCAAATCTTCGACCGCTGGTTCGAGGCCATTCTGCCCCGCCCGTCTTCAGAGTGGAGGCTGCGAGGCCGATGAATGTTGTTAGAGGCCCGACTCGCAATCCACTAGGCTCACATCCGCCTGGTATAGGCGGTAGGGGCTTGTGATGCGATCCTACGAGTGTGTTAATGAGGATCTATTGAACCGACAGACCTTATCTGTTTTAATGGTCGGGGATGAGTTGAATTACAGTAATGATTAATGGTTTTTAGGGGGGTGTGATAAAGCATATGCAACTAGAGAGCAAATTCTGAGTCAGAACACGAATAGAAGGTTAGAATGACGGCTTTCGAGCGACTACTATTATTTCAAGTGATTTCTCGCGACACTGCACAAACATTGAAACGATCAAAGCGCATCATTTGCCGACTCAAACACTGTATGGCGGAACAAAGTTACATTGTTTGCCAACAGCCACGATCACCAAGCGTGACCACTGCTACAGTTGCCTTTACACAATGTTGTATCGATGGTTCCGTAATATCTTACCATCTATCCTTTCCTCTAGAAAACTCCTCTCACACTTGGACATCGCAACTCTCGGAAAATCCAAGAACAATCAATACACCACGACTCCAGATAACGGAAAAAGCATGCCGACTGATGGTGTTATTGTTGCGGGCTGCGCGGGCGCGGTCATCGCTATTGTTCTCATCACCATGGTGGTGACACGAGACCGCGTCCCATTCACCTTCTCACGCCGCAACCCTCCTAGCCCTCAACCGGAGGATGTAGAAGCCCAAGCAGGATTGTCTATAGTCTCCGAAGATTTCGAGGTGTATGGACATCTATACATCCCTCCTGATCGACAACCAACGCACATGGGTTTGGACATCATCAACCGCTTAATCATGACTACTGGCCTACCTACCAACGCCACTGTGAACTCTACAAACTCACCTGCTACAGGTTCTACAATCCAAGTGGGCCTTGCACCGCGCATCTCGATAAAGCTTCCCCGCCCTTCATCGATGACTCCATCAGAGCAAGCTCAACAAATTATGACGGAGGTAGAGGCATCAAATGCGGCACTGGATGTTGGGCGCTCTTTCGTCCAGAGTTTGAAGGATGCTGCGCAGCTCCTAAAGGCAGAGCAGCAGCATCTGGGGTTGCCCCAGCAGGATAAATTTGCTGTGTCTGCTGCCGAGCGCATCAAAGCAGGTAAGTGGACTGATGTCGCGCGTGAGGAGGCGGTCATGGGAAAGCTTATCGATCAGTCGGAGATGCAGGATGTGTTCGTGGTGGGTGGAGAGAACGAGGAAGAGGAGGTCGTAGAGGACGTTGCGGTTCATCCCATGTCTTTTGCGTTTGGAACTGGGAAGACGATGGCGAGTCTATACCGTTAAGCGGTGTATTACCATAAGTTAAGGCAGTAGTATCCTTCCTCTAGCGATTAACGCCGAAAATAAGAAGACCTGTTATAATCTCCTTCAAGAAGAAATTAGGAGGCTAAGAACAGGTATTATATACGCAGCGAGTGGAAAACAAGGCCTTATAACGGAAGAATTATAAAGCTATTACGTTACGCCATTTGTTCTCTTAACTAGTATAGGGGAGTTATCTGCTTTTAGTCTAGCTTATCTTTTCTGATACTTATTATTACGTTCTATATAAAGCTCTACAAAGAGAATAAGACATATTTTATGTAACTAATCTAGATCAAGGTAATACATCGGTAAAATATTAAAAGACATTTCAAGTTTATAGCTAGGACTGATTGTAAATTATGAGACAAGTATATACAATTTGTTTTAAATTCTAAATTCTCACAGTTCTTAAAATTGTTACTACCTGTTCAGTCCGGCCATAATTACCCATATATCGGTAGCCGGTGGAAAGATTCTGCGAGTATCTACAATTCAACCCTATGGCCAACTTGTCAGCATAAGCTGGCCTCCTGCATATGCAAATTTCCGGCACAGTTGATGACACGGATATCTGACACTGGCACGCGCAAAGCTCCCGTACGGTCAACCAGATAGGTACTAAACATGTGCCTACGCACGCAAACCTCCCGTACGATCTACTAGATACGACTACTGAAACTTGCCCGTACGAGGAGGCAAAGACTGCTATTCTGCCTAACTAGCACAGGATGTGGGGATTATACCAAGAAATGCATAACCAGGTAGTCTCCAAATAACCAGATATCCCTAGTTTATCCCCCATCTCATCCTTCCGCTTCCTACTCTTCACTTGATTGTTTATCACCTCCAAATCTTCCTACCGTAACCCAATCCAACTTACTTCCCCACGCATCGTTCAGCGTCATGCCTTCCCACATCAGCCATTTCATTCCTACAGGCTTGCACCCTAGACCGCCCCCAGAAATCCAATAGCCTACTACCTCAATTATGAAACGAAGCTTATCTGGCAACCTGTTTGCCTCTGTCAAAGCTAGTACGTCGATTTCGCTAGTTGAGGAGGTCGACTTGTTGGTTAGGTTTACGGTGGGCTGAGTACCGTATAGTAGCTGGTTAATAGTCCCGGAGACGACTCCGCGGGCCATGATGAATTCGAAAGGAAGGTCGGTTGGATTGCCATTGCCATTTATATATTTAATAGCGGAGAGTGGTAGCACAGTGAAGGAGGCGTAGGTACCATCAGCGGAAAGGACAATTTTGGTGTGATCGGGAAAGTTAAACTATGTTAGGGGAGTCAGAAAAGTATACGATTGGATTGAGAGATAATGACTGAACTGGGAGAAGGGAGAGATATGGGAAGGGGGTGGGATAGACGAACCTGGAAACAACCATTACTAAAGCCCCATACGCTGACGTTGCCCAGACGTTGATAGAACCGCACGATTGTGGTCGGTCGCTCCCCCTCTTCGCTCGAAGGCCCAGTGGTCTGTTCTTTTATCTGCTTGCAGAGGTACCGCGCAAATTTGGCCCACAAGGTGGTATGCTGCTTGCGGACCGCATCAGTCATTGTAACTTCCTCCAAACTACCGTCGTCCGCCTGCATAAAGAATGCAAATGAAATCGGCTTGGAACCGTCGCAGTTCTTCTGGAAATGTTTAGAACCGTGCTCCACAACTGTATGCGTAATTGGCATATTATCGGTATGGTTTGCAATGATGCCGACGCTACCTGTAGCAAGAACATAACCTATGCCATGCTTCTTGCTATAGTCGACCCATTTGCAGACAAATGGAAGGTGATCGATTATAGATCTCGAGTCGCAGAAAGCAGAAGAAAATTCGGAGCTAGAAGTCAGTGCGGTGATGATATTGTCCCGGAGCTCCCGTGCTCGAGCAAGGACTGTAGATATATCAATGTAGAGACTGGTGTGCGCCTCATCAGAGGTGCAACGATTCCTCGATCGTGTGAAAATACCATGTGCTGGTGGAAGAGGTGGACGGGCAGATTTAAATCCTGGTCTGGTAGGTTTAGGTACATCGTGTCCAATGGTGGCGACTCTAGTGGTTTGTGTACGAGTAGTTGTAGAAGAGGTACTGCGTATGGATGGTAAAGCTTTCTTGATACCATCTGCCTCACGTGCAGTGTTCCAAGAGGTTGCTCGTATTGATTTTGAAGACTCTGAAGTCGAGCTTCTGCCTGTGGGAATGTCATGCGAAGAAGTCCGAGAACTGGCCCAAACTGGTTGCGCATGAAATAATCGTATAGGGAGTTGCTCTGTTGTAGTAGGCTTCAGCTGAGTAATCAACCTTCCCGATTCTTGCTCAGCAGTAGCAACAGAAGTATCCCTTGCAGCTCTCTTGAGATTTGATACAGCTGGGCGACGGGCAGCCTCCGTACTCTCTGCATATGAACATGCTGCTACTCTTGTCCGCAAGGATGCTATAGTATTTCGGTCATGACGTTCTGTGCCTCCCTGCTTGCTTGGTAGTGGTTCCATAGCACTGGGTGTTTTATATTTGGTGTTTACGGAAGATTGAATCGACTGAGATGAAATGGCAGACACCTCGCGCTCTTTGATGTTCTCAAGCCCGCCCTTACCCCTTTTGTAAATGAAGGGAACATAGATAGCGCTTTGGGGCATTGGAACAATAGGCATCTTACCAGACTCGGCTTCTCGCTCGCATTCTCGGTATATGCTACTTGATGGGAAGTCTCCAACAACAGAGAAGTGCTTTCCTAGAGCGTACTCGCCCACTCCACTAGCTTTGCATTGTTTATACCAGGCCTCTGTGTAGCCTCGCTTGATGTCCGCTGGACTGAGTGGCTTGGCAGCCCATTTCGGTGTAGAGGTGAGAGCGCTCTCGCTAAGAACGTCGGGAAGATAGCCCACTTTGAAGAAATCATGTGAGACAATAGTATCGAGGCTTGGACGTAAATGCTCGTCAACGAGAATTTGGGAGACAAGCTTGCAAAGATCATCTGGAACATCATTCTGATGCTTTCCAAGATTGGGCCAGGCATATTCGCCTTTTGCGACCCTGAAAAGGACTTGGTCGGGTTTCGAGGCGTGAAATGGTGCTCTTCCAACAGCAAGTGTGTAACTAAGAGAAAAGTTATCGTGAGTTTGACAAGGAGCACGCGGAATACTTACGCAAGAATGCCAATAGCCCATATATCGACCCTTTCGTTATGCCCTTTGCCGCTCTTCTCAAGAACCTCAGGTGCGATGTAATTCGGGGTCCCACACATTGTTGTTCGGCGTACAGCAGCATCATCTGGACTAACCAGTACGGCGGCAAGTCCGAAATCTCCAACTTTAATATTCATATCACAATCAAGGAACAAGTTTCCGGCCTTTAAGTCGCGATGTACGATATTCCGCATATGAAGATATTTCATAGCACCACAGGTTTGAATAATGCATCGACGTAGTTCGGGCATTGAAAGATATGATCGCTTCTTGAGCCAGTCAGCAAGGGATCCATTCGAGCACAGTTCGAGGACGACATATGTGGATGATTGGAAGGCGAATGCATGGTGGAAGGCAACGATGTTTGGGTGATGCAGTTTTGAATACAGTTGCAACTCGGTAACAAACTGTAAGTAAGGGTTAGAATGCTATATATACAATGAGACATATTCAGCGTTGATACCTTCTGTGCCACCTTCCTAATTTCCATTTTGGACTTTACGATCTTCATAGCGACAGCCTTACGGGACGCGTTGGCAGTGTTAACTTGTTGTGCTTGCCAGCAGATTGCGAAACCTCCACAACCGAGCTGCATCTCCATTTCGTACTGTAGCCCAGCAGGGTCACACACCAGCGCGGGGGGTGGGTCGGCGTAGGTCGGCGGCATGTTGGGTCTATTTCTTGAACCTGTGTTGTTTGTAGTCTTGGACGCCTGCTGGACGCTCGCGCAGGCTGAAGATTTAGCCTCACCCGAACAAAAGCTTTTCCGACGGCAGAGGTAGCTATCCGGGGTCAAGCTTATCACCTCCGCGATGCTGCTCTGTAGCTTCGTGAAGGTCGAACAACTGGAGAGTTATGGCCCGTGCTTGCATGCGGTTGCTGTAGTAACATGCACTAGACAGATATTGTTAGCGTAGACACTATATATATGGCATATAGCAAGTCACTGCAAACGTCGCAGACTACAAGAGTTACTAACCAATAATCTCAATTTATTATAGATTATATGCTACCGTAGATGCCGTGTTTCCCATGTTACTACTAGTCCAATAGGCTGTAGTTTCATAGCAGGTAGTCATACTCGTCAACAATGTCGGTATTCTATCGTTGCATATTATAACAAATTGTGATGCACATGTAGAATGCGCGCTCACACATGCACCCCATTTTCTATGGCAGTCTATGACAAAGAACAATGTCTCCTATCCTAATCCTATCCTAGCCCTATACGATAGAAGGAAACTCCACTGAGATGAATTAGAATTGATACACAGTGGAAGACGAAGTGAGCATCGTTACCATCAGTGCTTTTTTATGACGTGGAATACAATCAAAGGTAAAAGGCGGAAGACAAAAGCATAGAAATCGCCATCGAAATACAAATGTCCAGGTATATTGAACTTGCCCAATTTCTAGCCGTCTTTCAAAACGCCTAGCGAAGCTCAGGCTTGGTTGCTCAAACTTTAGACAAGCATTGTGTAATCACATTGTCCGCTCCACCGACGTTACTCACTGATATTACGTCATGGTCTTCCCTCTGTTAGCAAACAAAGTCCACGACACATGATCTATTACACTTACAAGGTTGTGCATAAACTAAATCAAGAAAAACATAAAATGCTCCTCAACGCAGGCGAGATAATCTCTCTTCTATCCACACTGAACTCTATTCAAAGTAAAGACCAAAGGCCAAATTACCTCTCAAACCCCCATAAACGGCAGTTTGCTAGTTCGGACCATCTACAAACTCAGTTCGCTCAATGATTTCAGCAATGACTTCTACAGTTGAGCCAAGCATAGTTCACATCATGGTGACTTCTACCATCACTGTTCCATCACCACAAACTATGGTTCCTTCGCAACATCTCCAAGCTCGGCAGTGGGGATGGCTATCATCTGCTCCTGCTTGGTCTGATCCTGCCAAACCTTGGATCCCCGAAACCCAGCCTGCCAATCCACCAACTTCTGTAGCTTCCTGGGTTATGACTGAAGTTCCTACTGTCATCGTCACTCCGACTGCCACCGCATCCCCTGCGTCGACTCACCGTGTGCTTCCGCCATCTACGGGCGAAGGAAGCAACCCGAAGGATCGTTCAGATCCCAAAGAGACGCGCTCACACGCCATTATCGCTGGTATGGTCGTTGGCTCGTTTGCCGCTGTCGGATTTGTCGGTGTTGCAATCACCTGGGTCGTTCGGAAGTGTGCTGCGCACAAGAACAAGTCCGCTTCAGTCGATGAGGAGAACATTGCTGGGTTGTCTGGTGATGCTGGTAACTCTCGAGTTACTTCAACACATACCATGACCTCTTGTGAGCTTGCACCAGTGCGTGGCCATTCTTTCATCGATCAACCTCGAGCTACCTACTATCCGCCCCAGCCTACACACTGGCCGCCTGAGGATGTGACGGACCGTACACTTCACTAGTCGCGTGAGCACAGCGATCAAGTACGACGGAAATAACTGGATATTATATCATGCATTAGCAGATATTCCCTGCTTAGTGGTGTTGAATATGGGTGGTGCGGTGAGCGTGCTGGTCGCGCGGCTTTTTCGAAGATCCAAAATCTCAAAACATAGAAACACCCCTTCGTTGCAAGTCTACCTTGTTCCCAAAAAAAAATGATTATTTACGTCCCACGAAACTTAAAAATCCAAAACAGTGATTTACTATATTTCCGATATCCGTCCCGCAAACTACATTTCTTCTGAACTTTACAGCACAACACTAATATTGATCATCAGTGAAGGTGATGACATATTTGTTCGACTATCTTCCCTGCAACTTAAAACTAAATGTGATGCATGATCCGAATGAACTGCCCTGACAGTGCCATTAGGAACAATTGAGAACTTCCAACATACTTAGTCTTATCACCGGATCAAACCGCCCTCGCCGCCAGATGGGTCCTTCCCATCTTGGCAAACATGATAAGTAGGCGGAAGGTCCGGTGGAGTAAGGATTGAGACGTGTGAAAGTCACAAGCTGATAAATAGACAGTATAGTGGGCTATTTAGCAGCAGGAAGGACACCACTTGGATGAAAGCTAAAAATGCGCAAGTGTACAAGTGGTGCAACTGGAGTTCACGAGAAGATGTACCGGAGTATTGGCGGCGACAAATTGTAAAGAAAAACGGGCGACCCCTCTCACGACTTCGATTCTAACCTACCAAAGAACTGGGCAAAACCTTGGAGCCATCTAGTCCATGCTCGTTGCTAGAACGCCCTATCGCCAATATGTAGGCGTTCAAGACCTCCCCCCTGACATTTTGGGCCCTGACGTGCTCCACCCTCACCTTAACATTGCCATACGCCTCGTCGGTTGTTCAAGTAGTTCCACCGCATGTCCCGCATTTTCACCCAGCGCATGAGGTTCCTCCATCTCGCTCCTTTGCATCTACCCATTGCCGGAAGCACTTATCGCCAATGATGTGACCGCAATGAGAGAGTCAAATGGCGTGGCATCCCAGCTGTCTTATCTGTGCACATGGCTCCCTACAGATGAAGCATTTGTCGTCGTCCATGACTGACACTTCAGATTCTTGGGCGTAAGTACTGCCTTCGAGCCAGATCGTCCGTAGTAGAGGGGCTGCCATCGCGGAAGGGATTATTGTAGGAGGAGCAAAAGAGCCAGAGTCACGCGGCTTTAGCCTAAGGATATTGTCTACAGGTAGCGGTGAACAACGGGTAACTGCATTGAAACCCATCCATTGCGGCTGCTTGACAGACAAAGGACCCCACGCTTGTTATGCTTGTAGAGGCAAGTGTCCGTGAATCTTCCTAGTGGGTATTCAGATCAATGGTCATGAAGCCCCGCGATTAGATGCTGAAGCTACTAAACTCGAAGGGGTTTCTGAAGTTTGAGCTCTCTCCGAAGTCAGTGAACGATCAATGACCGAAGCTGTCCGGGCGAACAATTCAAAGTGAAGTGTCAATAACCGTACCCAGGGTATTTTCACTACGCCAGAACCATGCAAAACGCCAATCTTGTCCGTATCGTCGAACCCTCATTTACCAGCATAAGACCTGAAGGTCTATAGCGTACCGAAAACTACCCCAGCCGGCAGAAGTCAGCCTCACAATTCAGGTTTGGGTCTGTCTTCTTTCACGTCATCCCTCTCCACAAGTACGAAATCGTCATCGGCCTCGCTAGTCTTCTGCCGTTTCAACGAGGGCTGCTGGGCATCTTCAGCGTCTTGAGGGTCGGTTGTTGGCGCATCTGGAAGCTGTGAAGCGAGTTCGCTCGGCTCGGTCGACTGCTCCTCCTCAATTGTGGGGTTGTCTTGAGCTTCGGTGTCTGTAGTGGTAGGTGGAAAGAAAATGCTAAACAGTCCCAGATTAGCTTCGACTGTGAAGAGAATTCATATATGCTTACGGGATGTTCTTGAAGTAAGCCTCCTCATCTTTCTGCAGGAAGTTGCAGAAGATGACGCGATCTAGTTTGTCTGCCCTATCCTTTTCTTCCAGAAACCTTCGCACCGTCTCCAGCGCAACTAAACTCGCTTCGCCGCTCGGGTAGCCGTAAACGCCAGTGCTTAGTGCCGAAAACGCGATGCTTCTGCATCCATTATCGACCGCTAGTTGTAGACTTGTACGATAGCAGCCTGACAACAACTCTGCCGCTCGAGGGCCCTCCTTCCAGTATATCGGGCCAACAGCGTGGATGACTTTCTTGCTAGGGAGTTCGTAGCCCTTGGTGATCTTGGCGCTACCTGTTTCACACCCTTCGAGCGTTTCGCATTCTTCTAGCAGCTCCGGACCAGCTGCACGGTGTATCGCGCCATCAACGCCGCCTCCGCCGAGCAGCCAGTTGTTCGCGGCGTTGACGATGGCGTCAACAGCCAGGGTTGTGATATCTTGCCGAATGACGCTGATGCAGTCGTTGAGCTCTGTCGATACCTTGTATGAGGGTGCCAAGTCGTCTTCTGGTGTAATCTTCTTGAGCTTGTACAGCAGCGAGAGGGTTGGAATCTCCTCGAGAGGCACTGCTTCGGCCATTTTGAGAGGTGGAGACTGACGGAGAGTCGAGATAGGCTTGGCGAGATAATATGAGCTAGTCATGGAGTGAGCAAAGAATCTTGTCGTGGACAGGCGTAGCATCCAGAAGTGATGATCGAGGAGGCAGCCGCCGTGTCGTGTAGTGTCGTGTGGAGCTCGAATGGCGGGGTGGAGCTTGGGCCTCACTCATCCCATCACCACCAAAGCTCAGCTTACTAACATCGATGCCAAATGCCTCCTCCTAGGCGTCGCATAGGCCTAGACATGTCCAACCTATCATCCAGCAAAATATCGTACTGTGGGCGGCTTCACCATGCGTTTTCACCTGTCGAAGCTCTATAATTTTGCCGCTCCACAACGTCCGTGGCATAGCTCACGTATTGGCTATCTGACTAGTCTCATATATACAAACCTTTAGACCTTCATCGCGCTATCGTACCCCAGCTGTCTTTTTCGCCGCTTGGTAATGCAGTGCAGGGGTTCTTGCTCGAGGCCTAAGTAATACGTCGAGTAACTACGATTCCCCATGGTCCCCCGCATCCTGAGTAATGACTATATACCTTTAGTGGGTATTATCTCTCGCCCGGTTATGATCCAGGGTTTATCAAGGTAACCAGGCGATACTATCACGAAAACTGAGCTGTTGAGGAATGCGCGACTTATGAACGTGATGCGTCCTCACTCTTAGATGCTTCTAGTCCGACATGCGGGATTGTGATCACAGTGTCATAATGGGGTTTCCACTGACTGGATTCAGCAAAGGTGGTCAAACTTTGATACACTCACAAAGAGAACCCCCCGGTACAGGCGCGCTGTGAAAGCACATGAGAAATCAAATTCTTCACTGCCTGGGTAATGGAATCACAAGTGAATGCTCTCAGCACAAACACTCGCTATCATAAATGCGGGATGAATCACTTATCTCCAGTCCCGCTCACGCCCAATCTCAACTCCCGATCCACAACCGTCGCAATGGTCTTGGGAGGCAAACTTTGTGCAATCTTCTGGTCGGCTGCCAGCTACGATCACAAGACCGAGACCAATATCAGCGCAGAAGACGGATGTTTCATATGTAAAGAGCGGTTTGCGACCAACACAAACGAAGAAGGCTGCCACGCTATACGACTCACCCATTGCAACCATGTGGTTGGTCACGAATGTTTTCGTCAGTGGTCAGCACGCGTGCCGGAGACCTGCCCTTACTGGAACCATCATCTACCGTCCATTCCACGGTCGCGCCAGCCTGACGAAAACTGGGGAGTAACGATCCTGCGCTGGATTTGCAGCACCCGGTGGTTCTCACAACTGGATTACCTCATCTCGGAATCGGATATAGCCTTCCTCCAGGCGCATGACGTTACTGCGTTCATTGATCTTCAGATGAACCGTATGACGATTGCGGGATTCAAGACAATCTGGCAATACTACTCCAGTGAGGCCATCGCTATTAGCTTCGTTCTAGGCTGCCTGTTGTCGCTTTGTATTGTCGGCCTGCTCATGATTACTTTCTCTCTATGCTTACTGGGATTAGGCTGGAAAATACCGTTCTGGATATTGCTGCGTTGGATTCTTGGATTCATTTGGATCCTTCTGATCGTCCATGGCATCTGCTTCCTTGCAGTAGCCCGGCTGGCGATACGCTTAGCATTTCGTAGAAGTTCTCAATAGTGTTGCACAATGGTAGTGATGGGGGTATTTTCCGCTCCGGGTTGGCTGTGGTCCTCAAGCGTACTTTAATCGCGCATAGGCTCTCCGAGTGGGTGTGATGATGTTCAACGTCGGTCGTAAGAACGCGATGATGGCTAGGATAGGATAAAGTGCAATGCGCAATCCCATAATACTACTCACTGAGGGTTCTTATCATTATGGACCCGATTGGCTGGAAATAGATGAAGCTTAGGTCGTTATCTCTATCTCTCCATGCAGTGAGGCTCATTTCTTACTTTTTATGTAGGGCGAATGCGTGGCGTTCGCCTTGCAGTAATTGCCGATAAGCTTCGCTTGCATGATGTAGCATGGCGGTACCTGTATAAAAGTGCTCGAAGAGTATTTTCTTCGATAACAACCAAAGCTTTGGCTTCAAAGTGGCAAGACTCCACATTCTCTAGATTATATCAGAATCTCCACGATGGTGCTCCCACAGAATATCGCTAGCGTGCTAAGTGGAGCATGGCAACTTCTCAACAACACCTCGTTCGTCTCTCTTCATTCAACGCATATCCTCATAGCTAAATCAATATAACTCTACTAGCACCTATCTGAATGGCACGAACAACCCCGCCGGCTCAATGGGCCACGCCTCTGTTGGTCTCTTGATCTACCACCCCCTAGGTTACATGTCCGCAAACCTCGCCTCCACGGACCCAGCCGACACCCCACCCGCAAACCACACCGAACTTACTGATGCCGACTTTGCGCTTATCGGGAGGCACTCGTTGAACTACGCAGGCGAACTGCACGTATGGGAAGGAAGTAATGAAACGGTGGGAACACTGACGCATGGTCCGTTAACGACCTCGAGTCGGCCGAGTTGGTTGAAGACGAACCAGACGAGGAATTATATTGTGTCTAAGAATAATTTCGAGGGTAGGGATGTGCTACACCTGTGGCTGAGGGATGAGAAGCAGGATAATATTGCGAATATCATATGGGCGAGAGCTAAGGCGGATTGTTGATTTTCTGCGATCGCCATAACTTTAAAAGTCTACTGTAAGAGCGAGGAGAATTGAAGCACAGTAAAAATCACCTTTGTTACCTCCCGACCCGTGCGTCCCGCTACAGATATGATAGGATTTGTAGTCCTCATACCATATGCTTCATCCCATTTTTCTCACGTCTTCAACGCGCTCAGTGCCGATATCTTTCTCTTTCACCAGTTCTAAGCCCTTGTTGTTCGCGATGACTTCCTCCTCAGTCAGGATTGGCCTGCCTCGAAGTTGCGCCCAGACTGCCTTATGCATCGGCCTCATAAAGAGCGCATCCATTTCTTCAAGCGAGATGCCTTTCGTTTCGGGGACAAAGAAGAAGCTCCAAATGCCCATGGCAACCAAGATGGAAGCGAAGAAGAAGTACGCACCGTAACCCAGATCGGAGATCATGTACGGTGTGCTCCGCGCAATGATGAAAGAACCGAGCCAGGTGTCGGCTGTGGTAAGAGACACGCACAGCATGCGAATGTCAAGTGGGAATATTTCCGATGCATAAGTCCATGTAATGCCTTGCCATGTAGCGCAGATGATGAAAGCATTGATGTAGACACAAACCATGGCTAGGTATCCCCAGCCATTGCGGTGAACATCGCCCCGTAATGCAGCAGCAGCCGGATCAGCCTTCATCACGTAGCCGCCAATGTACCACATGGGGATACATCCGAGCGCTGCGCCCCAGATGAGGCCTTTGCGACGTCCGACCTTTTCGACGACAAGGAATGTGAAGGTACACATGCCAAGGGTTTTGGCGATGCCGTAAAAGCCAGTTGAGAACAGCTTGAGCGATGTACCAGAGATGCCCAAGGTCTCGAAGATACGCGGCGCGTAGTATGTGATGATGTTAACCTATATGAGTCAGAACTTGAAGTTATATCAAAATGCGATCACTTACGCCTGTGAAGGACTGCAGAAACATCAAAGAGAGACCAATCGCCATTCGATTTCGCACACCCTTCTGAAACAATTTCATGAATTGAGCCTTTTTGCTCATACGAATGGTACTGCGTTCCTCGATCTGAGCGCGAATCTCACTCATCTCATGTTGAATGTACGTGTGAGATGCATTGAGACCTCTAACCTTGGTCAAGATCCTTTCTGCGCCCTCAAAGTCATCTTTCTTGGCTAAATATCGCGGTGACTCCGGACACCAGGCGACACCAAGGAGGAGAAGGACACCGGGGATGAGCTGAATGGCGAGGGGTATGATCCACTGCGCTTGTCGTTCAACATCGACGGTGCGATCGCAGGCGTAGTTGATCCAGAAGCCCAGCATACCTCCTCCTTGAGAAGCGATCTCAAAGATACCGATGAGGCGACCTCGGATCGAAGGCGGGGCTGTTTCTGAGATATAGACAGGTACGACCATGGAAGAGGCTCCGATACCCAGTCCTGCTACAGCCCGTCCGCCGTAGATCATGTCGAGACTACCTCTGGAAGCAGTCATGAGAGTTCCTCCGAGCAAGAAGACTGATGAAGCTATGATCATTGTCTTCTTACGACCAATTTTCTCCGCAAATGGAAACGCCAGCAAAGCCCCAAAGAAGCAACCAGCCTGTTTAGCGTCAGCTCATGTTCATAACTATATCCTTGGACTGATCATGTTGACCTGGAAAGTAGAGACAATATTGCCTTGTATTGTGTCGCGATTCGTTTTGGCGATGTTGTCCATCCCAAAGTCGCGTATGAAAGACTTGAGTGCCATAGTGCCCCCAATGACTGCTGTGTCGTAGCCCACTAGTAACGCTGTCAGTATTACAAGCTATGGATACCTCGAATTGGATACGAACTAGCTAAAGCAGACATTGAGGCGATAAGGGCAATGAGATGGATCCTCCAATTCCGGACCTCTGGTGGGTCCAGAGTGCCCGAAGCGTGAGTGTTGAAGCAACCCATATGGAAAAGATACAGCAATCCAATCTGCAGTCGAGCGTCTAAGAAGAGAGCGTATCTCCCAACGTTACGAGTTTGAGCTATAGCGATCGAGGCTCTTATGTATGTCGCATCGCCCTCAGGGATCATCACTACGCTGCATTGGCGTCCGCATGGCTACGCTCAGCGCCGCTGCAGTCATACAATGTTACAACGCGGGGGAGACGCATGCGGGCACCATTTTGTGCCATGCTGATTCAAACACCTTCTATTTTCAGGCAACTAGTCGACTATCGCAGAGAATCCGGGGAATAGCCGCTTGGCGATTGACGTGGTGACATCGAGCAGTCTTGAGTGAAGATTGGCATCCAGAAGATGATAGGCGACAAGAGGTTGAAGTTGCATGAAGACTACTTGGCGAGTCAGCCGTTGGTGTTGGCTCGGGTTGTGGATCCTAATGGATCGGCACGCGCCATTGACATCTGCGGGGTAAGCGCGGGACGACGATAACTAGGGTACGGTAAGACCAACTACTCATTGTGTACCCTCGATGGCTTCACAACAGCTTTTGAACCTATGGACCCTGGCAACACTCAAAGCAGTAGCTCGAATTGTGTGTTGAGAAATTGACGAGACTACTCGCGCTTCGAATGTACTATGTCTACATTCCCTTTCGTAGTATCTGAGTCATTGTCTTTCAACCCTGAACAGCCAAGTATTCCTGCGATGCTACACCAAGCCACTATACCATGCCCAGGCGTCTTCATAGAACACCTGATTACCATCCCATGGCTCCGAAAATCGCAAGCCCCCGTTGTGGTGTAATAGAGGCTGGAGCGATAGTTGATGAGCAAAATCTCCATCTTCCCCTGCCGCTTAAAGGACATGAACAACCCTCATGGAAGGTGTATGTTGAAATCCAGGTTCTGATACATACACCTTATTTCTATATAGCGAGCTAAGCGCGGCTCTAGCAGGGTCTTCTTATGAGTCCTAGCGAGAAAGTCCCTGCGCACAGCATCTACCAAACACACAGTAGCCGACTTTTCTTTAGTGTTCCTTAAACGCGCATATCCCGGGTTCTCCACTGTTTTTACTTCTGACTCTAAACTTGGAGTCCACCATAACAAGCTGCCGAGTACGGAAAACCTCTTCCTTCGAATGCCGGCTCCTAAACTCCTCCCGGGCCTTTTCGCATTTCATATCTTTGTTGGTTTCATTTCCAGGCAGCATGTACTATGGTAGATCTTTGAGTCTTCGTTATGCAAAAGATTTCGTGAGATATTCTTTCATATGAATTGGAAACACGAATCAGACGATCTTCAGAGTCTGAGTTTCCCACCCGTATTCATGATCCCAAGGAACTGAATCCTTTCCCACCATACACCCGACTCTTTCATAAACGTAATTACTTGTCTCGGGGATATTCATACGACTGAGAACCAAAGCACCCCAACTCGTGTGGCTATCTTGTATTTCGGCAAATCCCGCAAGACAGACCCACTGGCCATCATTCCAGTCGGTCAAAAGGAAATCCGGGATGAACTCTGGCTGGGAGACCAACCTACGTACATCCACCTCTTTCACTAGACTCTGAAGTATTATGTACCCGCCTTGCATTCGAGATTGTACGCTGGGAGTGCCATGTGTCTCAACGGAATGTACGGTGTCTTGCACAGTAATGTAAAACTCAATACTGGAAGGTGCGGATTCTATAGGTTTTGACACAGTTCGATGGTGCGAGAGAAGTGAATCGACGCCTCCATCAAAAGAGGCCCACGACCATGATGGCGCGATATAATCTCCCGATCTCGCTACTCTTGTTGGCCCCGCACTACTCCATAGTAGATCCAGAGCCAGTGTGGATTTCCACATGCCTGCCACGTTCACCATCTCGTTATTATTACTCTCAATGAGTTTTACAAGCCCAGTTAAGGCTATTAATCTGTCTTTCTTGAACGTGATCGAACGGCGCGAGTATGCGGATACAAGCTCATACCAGCGATCATGGCATTCAAGCTGCTCAGCCTGTGAGAGGCTCGTTTTCGGCAGCGATTGCAGCATGTCTAGCGCGCCCCGGATTCCATATCTAGCAGATTGAGATATGAGTAATTTCTTTTGTTGCTCGACCTGTGCGTCGCGCGCATATTGTGGATTTGCAACGAGTCGCATGCGCTTCGCGATTCGAATCCGGCCGTTTGGATGGACATACTCGTAGCATGGTTCACGAATGGTGCGTGGAACAGTTACTGTTCTCAAAGTCTCGAGTTCAGTGCCTGTGTATAATCTCCCGTCGTGGCGAACGTATTCTTTTCGTCGGTGCGGCTGGCCGTTGGGTTCCCACTCTGATGCATACATGGCGCTGCACTCAAATAAGACCACGCCCTCACAATAATGCACAATACGACGTGAAAGCAGGCGCTCCTGGAAGGTCCATGCTCTTTCGTTCAAGGGTGCCTTGTCTGCCATTTCTTGGACTAGCGCCCCGATGCTTAACTTCTTCTCTGGAAGTTCAGATGAAATGTATATGTATGAATTGTAGGAGCCCATTAGTAGGCAATCGGTAGACAGAAAGGAGTCGCAGGAGCGAAAGCAGCCACCTTGGGTATTGTCCGAAGCTGTAGCGGCAATAGTGCACTCTGCGTTTGCATATATGTCGCTCATGACGATTGATTCGGCTTTCCAATCTTCCTCGTCATCCTGGATGATACATAGTGAGTCTATCCAGATATAATCGTAGCCTAGCGACCGCGTTATTTGGATAGCGTCACGAAAATTACGGGGTAGAAGAGATGCTCGGAACGGTGTAGCGAGTAGTTCCTCAGTAGACCTAGTCAACCGAAAATTGACACCATCTTTCCCCCAACGATGGCTGAGTGCGGTATAGTTGGTGTTTGATCGACGGTTTTCTGGGTGTTTGTTCGTCGAATGCACTTGCACCATGTCTGCCCCGCTTAACTTCAGTAGACGCCTTGGAAGGAATAGAGATCTCCGGTTACATTCGACATGCCCTCGGGTGCATTTTTCTATCCATGATTTCGCAAGTAACGTTACGCTTTCAGAATTCGTACTCGTCAAACGAGATGGAGATGGACGAAGAGCTCGATCTCCATATCCTATAGCCTTAGTCAGCGGTGCGGCACCTGAGAGCGGAGGCCGAAATCTGACCAATGTGGACCTCAAAAGCCGGTGTCACGGCCTCAGGTGTGTGCAACTGTATAACTGTACGGCCTCTACTAGTGGACACCTTGAGCTTGGAGCTTAGACTAGGTGCTAGCGTGGTGCCATACTCGGGAGCACTGGTCGCAAGCAACGGTTCGTACGGTTGGTCCGAATGTAGGTGTTGTGTCTTTTTTTGAAGAGTAGCTGCGAAAATGACACAGAGTTGACAAGTCGCGTTAGCAAGATTAATAGGGTGACTGTCGATCACAGAAAATTCGTGCCATTGGACAGCGTCTATGTTGTCCCAGTCATACCACTCCGACAACCGTGACTCCAGTAGTACATTCTGGCAATTTTCGCAAAGAGGCGATACGATGGTTTTCCCATCCCAGTTTGCGTTTCGAAAGAGGAACAATAGTGCAAGACCGAGAAGTCCTACGACAAACAACAAGTAGAACGTTAACAAACGAAGACCACTGAGGACTTCAGAGATGAAATCCAGACCACGAGCAAGCATCGTGATCGTTGTCATATGAGGACCCAAGAAGGAGGCATGTGTTCGTTCCTGCACAGGAGATAGGTGCTGGGGCTGAAACGAGGCACGTAAGCTGCCAAGCCTCGAAAAACGGCAGGCACGCATTACACTTACCCAGTTGAGATCTACTAGCTACCTAGGTACGGTCAACTTAGAATAGGGCATCTATCCTGTAAGCAGCAACGCAAACACAAAAAATCTCTTCTTGAAGTATACATGAAGACTGGCGATGGCTCACTCCATAGTCCCAGGGCGCAGGGGGCTATCGTATACTCAATGCATGTACTTCGAACACCTAGCTCCTACAAGTAGTAGCATTCGACTGACGGCTCACAAGTATTCAATAATTTTATAATCAAAATTTGGGAAGAGTCGCATCCGTTCGAATCGCATCTTCTCTGCTATACCCTTGCAAGCCTGTCCAGTGCCTCTCCTTCCACCCGCAAGCCCTCCCACTCCGTCTTCTTCTTTGCGCCAATGGCCTCGCTTTGATAGAACTGCAGACTCGGCTCGTTCCAATTTAAACAACTCCACTCGAGTCTCTTGCCGCCAACCTTTAGTACTTCTCTCGCTAGTTCTTGTAGCAGCGCCTTGCCATAGCCCTTCTTGCGATATGCGGGTTTGACGAAGAGGTCTTCCAGGTAGATGCCCGGCACGCCGGTCCATGTGCTGTAGCTGTAGTAGTAGAGAGCCATGCCAGCTATTGTATTGTCTGGGTCGACGAGTAGGAGAGTCTTTGCGAAGCCTTGCGAGAACTTGGAGGGATCAGAGGGATCAGCATGGGAGAGGGTTTTCAGAAGAGATTCTTCGGTTGCTTTGACGGAGGACGATGATTTCTCGTATTCGGCTAGTTCTTGGATGAGGCCGAGTATCGTGGGGACGTCTACAAGGCATTGTTAGCGGGCATCGAAGTGTGGGGGGAATTGTGGGGAAGTACCTTCGCGGGTTGCGTGGCGAATTGTTGCGCCGTGGGAAGCCATTGCAAAGGACGATGTGGTATTTGGACAGATAGAGAGGCGTGAAGGGCCTGGGAGATGATGTAACGAGGTTTATGCTGCGATCTTGGAAGCCGCGCCCTTTGATTAACACGCTAGCAGAATTGCGGGACTCAAGGTCGAGGTCGGAGTTTCGAGGTTGCCACCGATTTGAATTCCGATTCCGACGCCGCGGCAGCCCGCTTCCTCTTCCACGCATCCAGTTCCCTGCGGATAGGATGATCCTTGGGAAGATATTCAGCGAAGAAAGGAAAGTGCACATATTCGTCCTTTGCATTTCGTGGTGGTATCTTAGGACCTGCGTCGTTTGTTGGTTTCTTTGGCGTCTTGGGCGCTTGCCCTCTCGCATCAACACCAGCGAAGAGAGACTCATCGATGGGCACAGCGTATATCTTGGGGCTAATGCGATTCATGGGGTCTCCCCAGATGGCCCTCCAACTCTTGTGCTCATAATCGTACTCCAGCTTGCAGCACAGCGTGAGTATCTTAGTGTAGAGCCTGCGCATGAACTTGGCATTGATGGTGTGCGGACGATGCATGCCTGCGGGTTTGTCTGCCCTGCTTGGCCGATCCAGTGCAAGTCCCTGCTCTACCGACGTCGCGAAGCGCTCCTCGTCACTGACAGACTCGGGATGAAGCGCAAGCCCAGGCTTCCTCTGCTTTGCGAAGGAAATGTGCCTCTCTTTCAAGATCATGGCGTGCATGTTATCCCATTCGTCATTTGGCAATGGGGGAAGCAGCCTCGTCATTGTCTCGGCATACCACCGTCGAACGTTGTTTATCGCGCGCTTGATGGGCATGGATCGCTCCCACACGTTGTTGATGGGTGTGATGAAGGCAGGACCCTTTAGTTCGCGGTGTATCGATATGCCTTGTTGGTGCTGCGACTTGAGGACTGTGCGCAGTCGAGAGTAGCGATCTGAGATGTCTATGGTGAGGCGTTTCTTAATGGTGGGCCTCGGGGCGTCGAAGTACTGCAAGTAACGCTTGTTGCTGTAGTAGAGTTTCTGGAGCGGTGCTGGCTCTTCGACGTCTGGTAGAGGGCCTGCATCGCCGTCCATGAAGGGATCTGGCTTCAGCAAGCTCTCGAGCAAGGCATACTTTCTTCTCCCTATGCGACCATATGCGAAGAAGAGGACCTTTTGCAGACATGGCAGCTCTCCCTGGTTCGCACGTCGCAAAAAGTTCAAGCCCTTTTGCCCTTTCCTCAGCAAAGGTCGAGTGCGCTCATTGATGATGGCTACCTGCCGCCTCTTGAAGCTCCTGTGTCGGTACTTCTCAACAGCCTGCACATCGAACGAAGCAGTCGCATTGTGTCGTGGCTGATACGCCTTGTATCGGTTGACGATGTACTGGCGAAAGTAGCCACGGGCGGCTGCGTCGGGGAGGTACGAGGCTTCGCGCAGGAGGGCACGCAGCAGGTGAATCGATTTGAGATGAGACGCGCCCGGTTGGAACGGCGCAGGCATGCGGGAGATGAGACCAAGCAAGATGGAAGCTCAATCGTGGATGATGAATTGGGCACGAAACAGTGTCTTGGTCTGATTGGCTGACAAGCAGTGCGCAACCGAGACGCGTGAAGGCTGAACGCGAATCTCCACCTTGGAGAACGACGGCCAATTCACTCCCCGCCCAACCCGGACACTCGACATCGTGACGCATTAGCCAACACACCTGAAGTCGCAACAATACCGTGAGCGACTACATTGCGCTTGCGCACTGCACCTACACCAACACCTACACCTACACCTACACCTACACCTACGACTACCCCGTGCCTGCCTCCCATGCCCGCCGCTTGACCCACCAGCCACCAGCCACCTGCACCCACTCGCGCATTCACCTTCAGCACTGCGCTGACATAATGCAAGTCGCGCGCTCGTCGGTTTCTGCCTCCTTCCCCGCTGGGTCGCCGCCGCAAGCTGTCATGTATGGCAATTCTCCCCACGGCCATGGACTCATGGCTGCCCCCGGCTTCAACCGCTCCTTCGACAACATGAACGGCTTCCAGCAGCACGCCATGGAGAAGCCGCAGATATACACCGTAGGGATCATACACACCGAGTCGCCATGACGATGCTAACAATCTAGGCTGTCTACTCGGGCGTCTCCGTCTACGAAATGGAGGTCAACCGCGTCGCCGTCATGCGCCGACGCTCCGACGGCTGGCTCAACGCTACCCAGATCCTAAAGGTCGCAGGTGTCGACAAGGGCAAGCGCACAAAAGTGCTGGAGAAGGAGATATTGACAGGCGAGCACGAGAAGGTGCAGGGTGGCTACGGCAAATACCAGGGCACATGGATCAACTACCGCCGCGGAAGGGAGTTCTGTCGCCAGTACGGCGTCGAGGACATTCTGCGCCCGCTGCTCGACTACGACATCAACGCCGACGGCAACCAGGGACAGGGCATCGAGACGCCCACCAAGGAGCAGGCCATGGCTGCCAACAGGAAGCGCTTCTACACCCAGAGTATCGACGGCCGCAGCACCAGCCAGAACGTGGGCGGCACCTTCTTCAGCAACATTTCATCTACAGCTACTAGCGCACTCGCAGCCATGAACAAGGTTGCACGGCTGAACTCGCCTGCTCCACGCCCAGCGTCCTCTTCGCAAGGACGAAGGAGCATGGGCCGCCCGTCGCAAGGTCCGGTGGCTAGCCAAGAGTCGTTCCGCACAAGCAGCCAGCAGAGCATCGGTTCAGAACGCAGCTTCAACGCAGCCAACGGGCATGCAGATTCTGCCTATGGGACCGGAATGGATGACCTACAGGAGCCACCAAGAAAGCGCATGCGTACGTCACAGGACGAGTCTTTCTCGCAACCAAACGGGGCTGAACTATCTATGCGCGATCTTGGTTCGCCAACAGAGCCCAGCGAGTCCTTCTACCAACATCAAACTGGACATAACATCAGTCTCCCAGATGGCGAGGTGCCATCAGCCTTACCACCCCTTCCGCATCCTGACACCAAACACAACGAAGAGAAGCAGGCCATGTTGACGGATTTGTTCGCAGACCAGACTAGGACAGACTTCACGAACCACCCAGCAATACTACATCTGTCTGGCGCAGATCTTGACATGCCCATCGACAACACCTCCAACACCGCCCTACATTGGGCAGCGACCCTTGCTCGAGTATCGTTAATGCGACTTCTTGTATCGAAGGGGGCAAACATGTTCCGAGGAAATGCCTCAGGTCAGACACCATTAATGAGCGCCGTATCTGTCAACAACAGCTTGGACCATAGCTGCTTTCCTGAGACGTTGGAGATCCTTGCACCCCTCATCGAACTACGAGACGCTCAAGGAAGGACTATTCTGCATCACATCGCAGTAACATGCGCTATCAAGGGGCGCGCAGCGTCCAGTAAATATTATCTTGAAGCGCTGCTAGAGTACCTTGTCCGCAGTAACATTGGCGCCAGCCAAATGCCCTCCTTTCACGAGAGCATAAACTATCCCAAGCCGATAGGGCTGATGCGTTTTATGCAGGAGATGGTGAACGCTCGGGACAAGGCAGGCAATACGGCACTCAATCTAGCAGCCAGGATTGGAAATCGAAACATCATTTCCCAGCTCATGGAGGTTCAGGCCGATCCGACCATTCCCAACCATAAAGGAACAAGACCAATTGATTTCGGTGTTGGCAGTGACTTGGGCGATGGGGAGACTATGATTACCGCAAGCAGTCCGAGTAAAGGCAAGGCGCCGCTAAGCAAGGTGGAAGAGACGAGTCGGGAGATACAGCCTCGTAAGTCATTATCAATCGCTTCGTCACGCGGTCACTAACGATCTCAGTAATGAGCGGCATCCTCCAATCCGCCAGCATGCAATTCACCCAAGAAGCACGCCTAAAACAAGATGCAATAGACCGCACAAACGACCTCATAACCCAACTCTCGACTCAACAAAAACAAGAGCAACAAAGTCTTGAATCTTTTCGTGCTCGATTACGCTTACGGCAAGACCGAGCAAAGCGAATAACCAACTTGAAACGCTGGTTAGAGCCGCAACGACACATGTTGTCTGTTAACGCAAGTCCAGCCGACCTCCGCGAGAAGAGACGAATTGGATATGCCGACGCAGAAGGCGTTGGAGTCATTATCAACGAGGACGATTTACCGTACGAGCTACGGCAAGTGGGCGACCATCTTATTCGCAATGCCTCAGATGGGCCATCGTACCTCTCTACACCTCTACCGCTCGATCCTTCCACACTCAATCAAATTCTCCGCCAACCCCAGTACCAGAATTTCGCCGTCCAACAGTTACCCTCCACCTCGGTTCTCCGCCATCGCCTGGACACTTACACCGTCACCAATGCCGCGTTGCTCAATCGGAGCAGAATATTGAAGGAGAAGGACGGCCAGTTGGAGCAGATGTATCGTAAGGTAGTCAGCTTGTGTACCAAGGTCGAGGAAGGGAGAATTGAAGAGTGTCTTGAGGGGTTAGTAGCAGCACTAGATAGCGAAGAAGGAGAGGGCGTGGAAGTAGGGAGGGTAAGAGAGTTTTTACGCAAGGTTGAGGGCGTGGAGGCCTAAGTGCTGCATAAACGTCGGGCGAATGAGAATCGTGGAGCGTGAAGAAACTGATAAACTCGGTCTTCAAACTGTCCTCGGGCACTGTTTTTTTTGGTGTGCGCGTTTTTCTTGCGTGTGTATTGGCTATTCTGCATGGCACAACAACACCAGTCCGGCGAGGCTGCTGTATGATGAGGTTTTGCTATATCGTTTTCCTTGTCGATATGAATGATAATCTTTTCTCACGACTCGAACTTCTATAGTTCGAAAAGAATATACTGCAGCGTGCGATGAGGTGATTCAACTCTGCTCACCAGTGAGTACGTATTGCTAAATTACATCTTGTACCACACGTCTAACAGCTCCATATACTTAAACGAAGACTAGCGGGATAAAGGAACGACGTTCTGAGTCTGACCCGGAGGTGTAACGTATAACAGTGACTGCTAACTTAAACCCCATATCAGGAACCAACCCCATATCACCCTGCCAACCGAAAGATGGCACAATCCGATCGGATAGCGGCTCACGAGTTATCCTCGTCTGCCTCGATTCATCTCTGGAGACTTGAGAAGCTTCTCCCAATTAGTGTCGGCATCCTGATAAAGCACTATAGCATATATGTTGTGTTGCATCTGACGAGGTTAGTTTTCTGTGGTATAGGCATCGTGTTGCAAAAGTCTTACTTCGATGCGAAAGTTGCCTTTTCCTACCGCCTCGGAAATTGCTTTGACAAGTTTGTTCGGGTTTGGCACACATTTGGCAGGTAGATACCGTCGGGAATCCGAATTGGCACAGTCGGAATGACCAATAGTGGAGTTGGACATTGAGGATTCAAAGCGATATCCACAGTAATGGTAGATGTTGACCTTTGAAGAAACTTTAGAGCTAGGTGACAGTTAATATCCAGATAGCCTAGAAAGGTGAAGATGGGCAACACGAGGGTGAGATGAAGGACCTCGGGGGGCAAGCCCATAGGGCTTTCTTAAGGGCCCAGGAAGGCTGAAACTACGCGTGTTCCACTTCCTGTGGCAGGAATTGCAAGTGATTACAGCCAATTATTAGAGTGGGCGCATCTGGCGGATCCGCATACCATATACTGTCATTACATTACATTACAGTGGTACTTACATAATTGTCTCACTCCAATAGTGAAGAAAGCGCAATGAGCAAGGCTGCCTAGAAAATCCTCCTCCTTTCAAAGGCAGATGACGAAATTCCTACGTTCCCATACTACCCTACTTCTAAGGTCAGCTGCAGTGAGCGAGAAGTTCAAAAGACCGCGAATGATGAAAAGTCCGGATGATTCGCTGGGTTAAATTACGAAGCCGCGGTGGCGGAACGACCGAAAACTAGGTAGGGCTGGATCGAAGGTTTATTGGCGAAGACAACTGTGGTGGTGTGTTGCAACGTCAGAAAATTTTACTCAGCCTTGATGACACTGATGCAGGGCACCGAAAAAGGTTGAGTGTAGCCAAGGATAGATAAGGCCTCATAAGACTGTTCTACCTCTTCCGTCATCAGCCTGGTTGAATCACGGCACACTGCTTGCGCTCACAATATGTTGAAGCGCTGCCTGGTGAGAGAGAGGGGTTTCCAAATGCACTCTAGAAGGCGTTGCGGGAGCCTGAGGCGCTTTGAGCACAAGTTAGTCGAAAACATTCTCCACGGAACTATGACGAGTATGCCTGTCCTGCTGAGGCTGATAAGCTGACCAGGCTGAGCATGCCTGCCACCCCCGGTCATCCACACATTTGCCCGAGAGTCTCCATTTGATGCCTCAGCACCTAAATGAGTAGACCGGTGTGAAAATGGAATGAGGCTCTGTGGTAGAATTCCGCCTACTCTACGCAATGATTGCCTTACTGATTTCATTGCGGGCCATTCGTTCATTTGACTCAAAGGAACGCGCTTCGATCCCAGCGCCTTGCGCAACCTGAAAACATCTAACCCAACCAGTTTCAATTACCGCGCGAAATGAACTCCGAGACCAATGGACAATATCTTCAGCCTTTATTGTATTCAAATGTGTATGTGGGGCAAGCTGAGAGCACAATGTCCGATGTAGGCGCTCCCCCTTCGTCATATTGGAGTAATATTGATGCTCTCAGGTTCCACCGGTTCCTCCCCAGATCACTAGTCTGCACACTACAACTTTAAGGCCGACATCACGACAATTGAGCAGTGAACATGCTGAAAGCACAGGCAACGGCCTGCGTCCAAACTCTGAGGTTACGCCAGACTCAGTAAGCAGTGTGAGCAGCGACCCTGGGGATGGAGGCAATTCCAATGGTCCACTGCAACCTTTGGAAGTACGCATCCGCGATAGCCTGATTGCCTCGGCAGGTTCACACGAAAAGTTTCTCCCTAAATGCGATCTTGAGGAGATCATCACTCTTGAAAACATCAAAGTCGAGCTCAAACGATCAAGAAGAGTAGTATCAGACATAGATTTTATCGCCCAGCAGGTCCTTGAACCTCCTGTTGACCAAGTCACTTCGCGTCGGAGAATATTTGCAATCTTATGTTTACTCCAAAAGGCTCCAAAGATACAGGCCTTCATTGAGGAAGCGATCTTCGATTGTGATCTTCCGTTCGATTTCGGTACTCGGGGGCGCAGTGATTCTAGCGAAGGTTTCAATCCACCCCCAAAACTCTTCAAGTCTTGGAAGCCAAAAAACGTCGATGGTTTCGACCAGTACCAAGGGCAGCTCTTAGCCCCTTACTTCAAATTGAGCAACAATAACAGCTTTTCCTTCAGTGAGCAGAAGCTACACCATTCGGTCGTTCTACCCTTCGTAGAATACGAAGTCAAGGATCGCATCCTTGGTAAGACTATCCAAGGTGGCTTTTCTGAAGTCCGAATCGTAAAAATACATCGAGCGCATCACGATTATCTTGCTCCATTGCCGCAGCAGTCTGCGGAGGACTTTTACTTTGCCGTGAAACAATTGCAGAATCATGGGAACGCACCAGTTACAACCGAGAAAGAAAGGATACAGGAGGTCCAGGCATACAAACGTCTAAATTACATACAGCATCCACATCTTACACGCCTTCTGGCGACATATACGCACAGGAAGCATCTGCACCTGGTATTTCCGTACGCTACGGGCGACCTCCACAATTTTTGGTATGACCATTTCCCAAAACCCACGGAGGCTCTGAGAAATCACAGATTTGTGAGATGGATGTCTAAACAGCTTGTTGGTATTGCACAAGCATTGCATACAATTCACCATTGCGATGTCCAGGAGTTTGTTACCGATCATTCTTCTATCGACGCCGCAAAAACCCATGGTAGACATGGAGATTTGAAGCCGGAGAACATACTATGGTTCCCACATGAATCGAGCGGATCAGAGGAAGATTTTTTCGGCGTTCTAAAGATTTCGGACTTTGGATTCGCGGAATTCCATTCGCCACTCTCCTTATCCGTTGAAGCGTCTGGCGTCGGCGGCATTACGCCCACTTACAAAGCTCCAGAATTCGACATGAACCGAATTTCCCCCAAGTACGATATATGGTCTTTGGGTTGCATTATTCTACAGTTCGTTGTCTGGTATTTACGGGGTTGGGATGGAGTGGAAAGGTTCTCCAAAACCCGGATGGATGAATCTAACCGCTTGGACCATCCAGACGATTTCTTCAACTTCTACCGTACCCGCCCTGATGAAGAAGTTCTGGTGACGGAAGCAAAACCATCTGTTCGAAAGGTATTGATAATGACAAGACCTTGTAACTCATGAGGGATATTATATTGACAATCGATGCATAGGAAATTGATTCACTTCGAGATCACCCCTCCTCGAGCGACTTCATCCTCGATCTAGTGGACTTCATAGAGTCGAGGCTTCTCCGAATGAATGCCAAAAGTCGCGCTACTTGCGACGAGACTTTCCAGAAATTGAAGAAGATAGATTCAAATTGCAGGGAAAGCATAGAGTACTGCACGCAAAGGCGCAAAGCAATCACGAAGACGGCCACAGATCTATCGGACAGAATAGAAGTAAAGGTCTCAGCAAAGATGCGCGAGGAGATCATCGAGACAATCGACCCATCTTCACCGATACTACCCGAAGCAATCGAATGGCCGGAACAACGCCCTTCCACATCTACGGAAACTGGGATGGAGACAATTGCTGCTACAGAAGCCTCTAGTAGCCCCGGTACAACTGTTCATTCTTTTGGCACGGTTCCAGATCAAGTCAACCAGGAACCGGACATCGGAATTGGATTGAGAATTTTAGAGAATTCGAGCGAACAGTCCAACAACACTCGTATTGACCCACCAAACAACGCATATAGCACTAATAATGGGGTTTCGCATAAAACCGCGAACGGAATTGGAGATAAGCCTGAACCTCGGAATCGGTTTAAGATGTGGTTGAGAAAGCTACTCCGATGCTTTGTATGAGTACCTGTAGGACATCACGTTTCGACCTTTGTTTACTTTTCCACAATCTTCCAGATACCCTGTTTTTCACAAATATCCTATATGGTTCAACGGCTTCCTAACTATATTGTGTGAGATACCTTCCCAGAATGACTCTGTGTAACACCACAATCTGATGTGACCAAGATACCCGTTCCCTCTCTGTATGTGCGGGGATGTCGTAGATGTTCCATATCAGTCTACTATGACTTTCTCCTCGTCGACTTTGCGCTTCGTGCTTCGATGTATCACGAAAAAATACCATAACCCAATAGTAACACCTGTGAAAAGCACAGTGATGACTACATAGATCCACACTGAGCTAGAAATTCTGCTCTTACCTTCGCTACCAAACCAGTTGAAGAAGGACATGGAGAAAATACTCTATCATAGTTCACGATCAGCAAAGCGCAATCAGCTGTTCGGGATTGACCTACTGCGAAGAATGTTCCCGGAAGGAAAACCATCGTGACCAAAGAGATGGATCGCATGACTTTGGAGTCTCGGCTCGTAGCAAGTGCGACTTCGACCGCCGTCTCGCTATGTGCCTGTAATTCTTAGTGTACTGCAGAGAGAAACAAACACTTGTGCATACCCATTGAGTTGCCATGGCCATCCCTTCAACCCGCATAGTACAGTCTCTTATCTTTTCGTCATACTCATCCCTAATAGCTTCAAGTCTAAACCTTATTTTATTTCCGACGCTCTCCATCTGCTCCAGATAAACTATATCTGCTTTTAGTTGACCCGAGTCACTTTCCACGTCCATGCTCTTTATCAGTTGCTTCTCGCTGGTGCAGCTACCTGGTACTAATTTCGACAATAAAGCACTGCGGTGCTCTAGGTATATGGGGTTTCTAGAGGTTTCTTCCGCTTCTGCTCGATGAGAGCGAATTTCTTGCGCATTGCACGGGTTGAAGAGTTTCGCATTTAATTCCTCTGCATGTTTCGACATCTTCAAGGTCTGTGTATTCCAAGTGATGAGTGAGTTTCTTAGGTACGTCAAGTCGAGCCATGATGTTCTCTTTGCTTCATTGCGCTTCTCAATTTCGTCTTTGCTGAGGTATTGCACTTCGTTAGCCTGAAAATCTAGTTCAAAGATCTTCGCCTCCACATCGTTGATGCTTGTCTCGACTAATCTCTTATGTCGAATCATTTCCAGTTCTGAAAATATTCCCGGGAGTAGTAGTGGATGCGTAGCTTCATATGTGACTGTACGAAGCCTCTCCACTATCGACCTTTCGACACTTTGTGGGCAGCCGAAAATCATCGCGTAGGTAAACCCGAATTTCGGATAGTATGTCGCTGTTAGGGCGAGATCTGAATCCCATGAGTTTGACGTACGGCAGTTATATACTAAACCCATACTAGTTAGCTTTCGTGTTATACTTTTGACTCATGTAAACCTACCATAAGCTGGTTGTCCCATCTTTACACTATCGCAACTAAAGCTTGGAACGTCGGAACGGCTCATAGCTCGCGTAATGGATTCATGGATATGAAACTGCTCGCATATGCTCTTGAAAGTCTCAACTGAGAATGGTAATGTACGGATGCTTTGCTCTTTCTGTCGTACCGACGTGTTATGAGCCTCTATTGAGGGCCCTGTTTGTTTGTTGTCTCCAAGTGGCGCAAAGGTTGTGGTCCGCCGAATGCTAGCTTTGGGTATAGCGTTCGCATCCAGCTTCCCCCGCCATTCGGAGTAAGTCATGGGGTTTTCTGAAGGTTCGCATCCTGAGACTTCTCCAGCACGTTTTGCGAGTCTACACAAAGATGTCAACAAAGCGCACACGTTTGATGCTCTAGGAATGAATACATCAGAACGAAGCCGCGATCGGAGGGATTATTACTAGCTTGCTATTGCGGAGTTAGAAAGCCGTATAGGACGAGTCGCTGACAGGTCTCACGCAATGTAACCATTGCGCCCACTCATTTTCTGTCCCTAGTGACCATATTTGCATTCGAAACTAACCGAGTTAGCGTATTTCTGTTACTTGAAGATGATAACTTACACCGCTATTCTCGACAACTTCGATAACAATCGATGACTGTGGCCTGTACTTGAAAAGCCTCTCTAGATCCGCGGTCTTTTGGCTCAAGCAAGCGTTATCTTGGGGCCAATCCATCGTGAATATGTGCATACGAAACACGTGTCGCCCGATCCAACAAAATGAAGGTGAAGTTTCCGTTGGGGTTTTGAACAACTCGAGAAGTGAGGCAACGTAAAGTGGGCAACGAGGCTGAATCAGAAGTGGCCACGTGCACAGCGTTGCACCAAGCAACTCGTAAAGTCCGGTAAGCTCACCGGCCACCTAATGGCTGTGTTATGATGCTCAAAGGGTAACCTGAAAATGAACCCATTAAAAACTCATAACTCGCGCGATGTCACATTTCGTACTATGTGACCCACTAAGGCAGAAAATACAGATCGACGGTCGCCAATAAGTATGTTCCACAATTTCTGCATCAGCTTAGCTTTGCAGATGCGGGGCTTCTTAGCAACGCATTACAGTCGTAGTGCATTCAGAGCTTTCGAACGCTTCACATCTATAAAATGAGAGACACTTTCGAGCGAGCATTGTTGTCTTTCTCAGTTCTCTCATTCTAATCGGATTCTTTTCCTTGTCTATTGGGAGTCAACACAGTCGCTATGAAGATCGCTATCGTCTCTGCAAGATACATGGAGCAGACCTCTTTAGAATTATTCCTTGGGGACGTGTTTGGCTACGGAAAAGCGACGGTTAAAGTACCGTCTCTCCCTAATGATTCGTGAGTAGCTACTAATACGTGCGTAGTGGAAACGTGGCCGATTCCAATGCACCCTACCGCGTGCGTTGACTCCCGTATGTCGTAATTCGCTCAGAAGCTTAAAACTCCACTAATGCCAACAGGCCGAGCTCGACGCAATAAGATCCTCCGTTGAGATCACCCATTATGCAGAATCTTGAAACCCCGGGCCTTCATTCCGGGAAGCGCGCTGTGCGCCAGTCGATGAAGTGTACCGGCTGAGCGGATGAGGAAGATGATTTGAGGGATATTTACGACAAGTCAAGTTACTATGGGAGATAACTCGGCCTAACCGAGGTCAGCGAAACAATCGCTGGTTCTAGAGCATAATGCGCGAAAAAGTGCGCGACAAGATAAGGAGACGAAGCATCCATCTAGGGCATGTTCTGCAGCTCTTGCCTTGATTTCGGTTTCTGGGTTTCTCCTTTATGCGTGCTGAGAGCCGGTTTTCGCTCCCGTACCATCTTATTAGCCATGATGTTCAAAATGGCATCTACTGGCTCCGGCTCTCTTTTGACGTGTTTTTTAGGACATGCCTTCCTACAATAACCATCCGTACCATCCATGACTCGTCGATGCATCCTTTCAAGTGTTTCCAAGAGACTAGGAGACTTGATTCTGTTTCTGTCTTGCGACAACGCGATTATCATCTGCGTTTCAATGAGGTCTAGAAGCTCGTGGAAGTATTCTGTGCATGTGGGTAGATTGTGTAGGTCGCTTGTCCACTGCACGCGCGTCAGTCTTACAACGACAGATATGTTTAGACGGACAGTGAACGCACCTTTCTAACCTGTTCTTTCACTGTGATCGTATACCCTTGCCCGTTTTCCTTGACCTGGACATCAAAGAAGATATCTGTAACAGCCCCTGTGATGTAAGGAGACTCCCTAGCTTTCTCGAATTCCTGGCGATTTTCTTCACCGCCCAGCGCCCAACATACCAACTCCAGGAGAAGGCAGCCGAAAGTCCAGATGTCGTAAGATCGCGAGATTTTACCTCCGTCAAGGTCACATTCGGGAGGTCTGTACCCTGGTGTACCGGGTATTCCATTATTCGGAATATTGGAACGACTTTTATCTGAGTTAATTGCCGACAGCCCCAGATCAGCTATGACAAGTATACCTCTACTATCTTCTTCAGACTGGTACCATAGGATATTCTCAGGCTTGAGGTCACCATGACGGCCATATTTGGGGATTGCTTGGAGAAATTGAGTTGGTTCGTGGACAGCATTCAACGCGCCCGCCATTCCGACGATCTGCTTCGAGATCCACTGCACGAGATCGATATCAATGCGTATAATACTTCCAGGAAGACGAGAAGAGCTCCAATAGTCTTCCAGGTTAGCGCCTGCAAGTGGGAATAAGAGATTGTAGCGGTTATTGAACGTCCATGACATGAGCAAAGTGATCAGATGTTTGTGGGTAAACCGCTTCAGTGCATCCAACTCCTTCCTAAACTCCGTGGCAGTACCAGATGCCGAAAGCTCTTTCAAGGCAAATTTATCGTTCACTATAATCTCGAAAGCTGTTAGAATTGGTGTAGCTATAATTACTAGGGACAGAAAAAAAGTCACATACTGGTTTGAGAAAATCATTGAACCCATGGCAGTCCGGATGTACAGTCACCTGTATGACAGTAGAGAAACCACCATCTCGCATCGGCTTGACTTCAGTAAAGGGTAAAATAGCACCGGCTCGTAGATCTTTATGCTGAGTTGTTCTGTGGTCTCCATTGAAGCCAAGGATTACTGGATTCACTTGGTGCTGATACTGAAGGAAACAATCCTTATCGCGGGATTTCAGCTCTTCGAAGCAGGCAAGCACTTTATTCGGTGCATCCGTTCGGGAGATTGCGCCCCCACGTACTTGGAGGGGTAGACACCCGTCTGTGACGCCGTCCTGAATGAATTTCTCAATATACTTCCCTTTCCCGGCAAGCGTCAATGTAGCAAAGACCTTTAGATATCCGGCAATAATCTTGTGAACGAGTTCGAACGGGTCTCCGGCTAACTTCTTGTCGCTTTTCAACCTTGCCAATTCTTGTGAAACGTGGTCTTTTGTCATAATGTTCTTGAGGATTGGCGGCGGCCAGAATATCTTATCGCCCATATCTGCATGCTGCTGTATAAAGTTCTTTCGAAGCACGCCATCGAGACAGTCGGAGCCCTTCATTTGGATAGAATGGTCGTGACGAATGTCAAACATTGGCTGAGCCCCATCCCATTCATGAGAGCTTATTCTGATAATAGGGTTTTGAGGTCCCATGGAAGGCCCTCGTTACTGCTCGTTTCTTGCTTGCAGTTAGTTGTATTGTCGGATCAATGCAGGGTTCTGTTGTAATACTCAATCAATCTCAGTGTGAAAGGAATATATCCAATCTTGATTATCTTGAAAATAGACCTATAGAAGCAGATCTTGCAAAGGATGCCTCTTTGGGAAGTTGTGAAAGAGTTGGAAACGGTAGACGGCGCTGTGCCTGATCTTCAAAGTACAGCGGGCTGAAAGGCAGCTTTTAAATCTTGCCATATATATCGGACTCACATAAGTGTCAGCTCGTGGGTGCCTAAAGAGGCTTTCGTTTGGCTGAGCCTGACTGAAGTATTGATGAACCGCAGGCGCCTGCATGAAAGGTCATGGGAGATGGTGTGGAGAGATTGAAGCTTATTGATGGAGAACTACCGATATGTCTTTGAAGGACCTCAGGATTAGGCAACCTTGCCTATCGACATGGTCATTTAGCAACGAGGCTGGAGCGCAGGACGCTCAACCCATGCGGGTTTCCAGCGAATGGAAATCATGGCCCGTAAGCCTGCAATGTGCAAAAAGCCCCAGCTGACACTTCACGAGCGTGAATGAGCAGAAGTGAGATGCTTATGTAGGCGCGACACGTAGCAAAGGCAAATCATGCGTTTGTCTACAGTATTCAGTTGCAAAATGAAGGGCCAATCAACTAGGCTCTTCTAGGTAAGCGTATAGGAACACATAGAGATCTGTCACTATAGAAGAGAGTTGTACTCAACACAGTATGATCTAACTCATTAACATTTTTTGACCCATTTTCAATATTTTAATGATCCTAGATGGAGAGGGGCTTTAAGGGTTTCTCCGACGTATGTGACGGGAAGCTTTCGGTCCAAGATCATTCTTTAGCCATGCGCACCTTTGAGGTTTACCTTTTTTCTTTAAGAATCTATTGACACTTCCAGCAGCAGTTGTTCAAACTCCACTCCGTAATGATAGTATATTCTAAAAACTCAACAGCCGCTTCTAGGAGGACCTTGAAAGGTTGTGAATGAGCACCTGGGATATGCGGTGTAATCGAAAAGTATTTAACAGGGAAATAGCACAGCATCAAATGCGAGACCAGTGAACATTTCATCATTTTGAGGTCAGAAAGAAAACATTTATACAATGAAGTCATCGCCTGAAAGCTTGGTTTTCTCAGCCTAGACCCTAGCTTCGCGTAGCGTTAACCTTAACCTACCATCATCATTGGAATCCCTACCTCAGGTCTTTCACATTCCTCTTCCAATCTCACAAAACAACACAATCACAATAACTCTATCCATCTTTCAAAATGGGTTGCGGATCAAGCAAGAACGCTCACCCCGTGGAATCATCAGAGAACGCGAGACCAACGCAAACTTCAGGTGCTGTGGCGTCACAGGGCAATGCCAACAATGCGCCAGTGCAACGTCATGACCAGGCGAGCGCTGCTGGGGCGGGCAGGACTGAGAAGGCACGGAGGCATCCGGATAACCCGGTGGTCTATTTCGATGTTGCTATTGGAGGTATGTTGAGTGTTTCAGTCCCAATCTTGTTCGTATTGAGTACCACGTTTACATGTGCACCATCCTCTCATAATTACGAGCATATTGTTTATAATTGCAGCATTTGGGCTTGTAATTGGTTTGATAAACTAACAGATACTAAAGGACAACCCGCCGGCCGCATTCAGCTAGAACTGTTCCTAGATGTTGTTCCAGCAACATCAGAGAACTTCCGCAGGTTCTGCACAGGAGAATTCCAAGGCGGCGGATACAAAGGAAGCACCTTCCACCGTGTGGTAAGCATCTCCAATTCGAGTCTATTGTCACGTGGTCATACATTAACTATATCTCAATTCCAATTTCTCACACATGACCGTACTAAGCTCCTACAGATCCCCAACTTCATGATCCAGGGCGGCGATTTCATGCGAGGTGACGGAACAGGCAGCGCCAGCATCTTCGGGGGCGAGTCTTTCGACGATGAAAACTTTGAGCTCCGACACACGCACCCAGGTCTACTGAGCATGGCAAACTCCGGCCCAAATACGAATGGATCTCAGTTCTTCATCTTGACCGCTGCGACACCGCATCTGGACAGAAAGCACGTGGTTTTTGGCGAGGTTCTTGATGGCATGGATGTTGTGAGGAGGATCGAGGGAACGAAAACTGGAGCCGGAGATAGGCCTCTGAAGGAGGTGGTGATTACGAGGTCTGGGCAGCTTTCGGGGGCTAGCATGTCGTGAAGAGTTTAAGGAGTTTAGAGAGGATCAGGTATGGTAGTATATGAAATTAGTTCTTTTCGTTTTGATAGCGGTAGGAATATGATGTTAGTATAATAGGCACGGGGCGGGCTAGCACACAGGCAAAAAAGCGGTTGTAACTCATCTAGATAATTTTGTAATTGACTTCGTATACGCTTTCTCTGCATCTACTGGCGTTCTTGCTTTGTTCCTATTGATTCAAGTAACAGTATAGTATGATGCTCGTACACATAGCTGAGCTAGAGAGAGAAGAAAAGATTGTAAAGCTCGGAGCGCTGAACTAGAGCGACTTCGTATCACACCACCATCCGAGTCAGCCAGTACAGCACATTTTCACGTGCCATATCGCTGTGCCACACGCCTACAATTTTATGAATTCCTGGAGCCCGCGGCCCCCAGAGATCAATAGGCCAACCAATCATGATGGACTCCCCCGACAACCACGAAGGATTCGAGACGAGTTTGTGGCGGGGCAGCACGGTCCCACTTGGGACACCTGAGCGCGGAGTTGGCCGCCGACCTTCAAAGTGCACACTTTGCCCGAGAACAACTACCATACAACAAGACCACAACAACCGGGATACGAGAACGCCGCGTAACTTTACTGGATGCATGTACTCCGCGCATCATCTTCCTTGTCTCCTCCCTTCGAAGATCGACATCGTTGTGGCGCGGTAGAAAGGGTTGTGAACAGCGCCCTCTGAAGTGCGTGACACATTTCATTACGAAGAACACGACGGCGCCAAGGCGGAGCTAAACACCGCGTTCTTTTTTATTTACCTGTGCGAAAGAGACGGCTCATGAAGAGGTTAAGAGCGGCTTGTTGTTGAAAGAGCTAGGAAACATTGGCGGCATAGTGTTTCGCATCCCGAAGTCCGAGGAGTCCGTGAGAGTGGATCTACGCAGCACATCTAGAACGGGCATTTGGCGCACCACAGGAGCCTGTTGTTGAACGCGTCTTGGTTGAACGAAAGACGCGATTAGACGCGTTGTTTCTTGAAACCGTGGAAGAGGCAGGAAAGAGAGACAAAGTAGTTTGGCTTGGGGAGATTGGGACGCTGCCGTTTGGTTGAATCGACGTTTGCAAACCAAGACTGCGCAGCCTCTTGAAGAGCAGCGAACATCACCCCCAACGCAGTATCACTGGATTTGTCGACATTCTCATTGCTACAACTCGTTACCGAGTACAACAGTTATTACTCCATCACATTACAACACCCGCCATGTCCACAACATATTCCTCCCAGACTGATCCCCAGTCTCTCCTTTCGACATGGCATATCCACAAGCAAGAAGCAAACGCCGGCAAGCGCCTCGGAATGCGCAGCCTTGAACTTCTTGCCGTCACGGGAGCCATGTTTGTCGTCCCCAGTGTCATCCAGCGCCTGGTCCACAGCTTGGACGACGTCTACGAGCTCCTGGGCCGTCGCGCACGCTCACCGTATGCAACCATCTCCTGGACGGGCGTCATCGTCGCTCTTCTGCTATTACTGGCTTGGCACGTCTGGTTAGGCAGACTGAGCTATCGCGTCGTATTGGAAGATGGGCCTGCGCGACGGGCAGGCGAAAGGAGCAGTGCTAGGGACGAGAGGGTAGAACAGAACACAGCCAGCGGACGCGTAAAATGGGGCCGTGTACTTGGGCGCGTCGTTATACCGTTACTTCTCGTGGTTTTCGCAGTTCATTTCGTCTACCAGCTTCTTCACATAGTCACGAAACCGGCGCCGTTGATCACAGCGAACACAGGCGGGATTGACGAGGTCCGTAATCCAATAAACGGCTTGCCATAAGCAAGATCGATGTTGCCCACATTTTTCTCCGCGGCGTACAGCAAGGCCTATCAATGTGTTTCTGTGTGGGACCTCGAATCACACTCGAATCATGTTCCCAGAGCTCAACAATCCCTAGCGAAAGTAACATGGGACGACACCAACAAAGAAACCTTGACACCCCCCAGCAAACCCCACTACCACGCCTCCACGTCCCACCAAAAAATCGCGCTCTCCGCAACAAACATCTTGCGTCTCGGACATGCCCCAGCGCAGCGGCCTTGTAAAACACCTCGTTCCCCAGCCAGCAATAAATGAGCACGTAAGCCACTTGTCTTTCAGGTCAGCTCACAAAGCCTGTCTCGGATCATCCTTGCGTGCGCCACCTGCGGCCCGTCGTCACCAGTTAGCCTGTACAACGCTTGTGCTAGGCTGGGCTGACGTCGATGTCGTTGACCGGTCAGCGGGCGGGAAACCTTACGCCCGACAGACAAGGGCACATGCAGCTAGGAGCACATGCCGAGGATGTACCAGTAAGGGTGCGCTAGCTGAATTTGCCGCCCGTACAAAAGCATTGCTTGGCGCAACGGGGGCTGGATTAGGTATGGTTGGTACAAGGGTCTGTGCACGTGTGAATTTGAGGATGCAAATATGCAGGGTCTGCGTCAGCGGCTCTGCCCAGTGGAGCAGAAAGACGTTGGCATTATTATCGTTAATGACTTAGTACAACTCGGAGGACTCTCCGCGTGTGGTCTGGGGTGCGGAGGGCTCTGGAGATTACTTGTGGATATACTGTACGTTAGTTAAGGTAGTTACCAGTGGTTTTATTCGATGCGATAAAAAGTATAATTGTAAAACTCTGTCTTGCGGATTGAGCTAGTGCTTGGCTGAGATAGTTAGGAACTCATCATAATAATATCCTAATTTCTTTGGAGAATAGGCTCAGAGCATAGTGCGTCCAAACACTCATCAAACACCTCCTCGGATAATAAGAAACTCGATACACGAAAGTCATCGATCGACTCCTGACATGAAGCTGTCCAATAAATGCCGGAGTCAGCAGGCTGTTTGAGCTAGAGCTGTATCTCTTGGTCAGTTTCCTTCACATGCTGCATAATGGCGGGTCCACGGCGGCAGCTTCTTGTGTCTGAGAGCCTCCGATAAAACCACCAGTGCCTGTCATCGATAACTGGCTGTGCCAATTACTGTCGAGCGCTGTGGCTAAGACAAAGGTGGTGTCGACAAGGTAAAAATCGGCATTTTAGGTATTGAGTACAGTATCGATTGTTCACCCGACAGCTTATAATTCTAACTCCTGAAGCACAAAATCTAAGCACACCTTGCTGAAACAATCGTGCTGCGGTATTGTTACAATAACCCGTACGCGATGGCAAGCCAAACCAGAGGACGGTGTGGTAGGGAGGAACTTTCAAGTTCGGGTATTCTGTCCAGTAGATGGTGGCGTACTTATCCTACGTTGTTGTGATCCCACGGCTTTAGGCGAGGTTGACAGTGTGACATGCCGTGGTAAGTTGCATAAATTGCCCATCCCGAACAGTGGGTACTGATAAGCCGCGAGGGGACCTCGCTCAGCCTGCAGAACACCAACCGCCACACATCCACTTCGAACAGGCTACGCAAGTTTGTTGTGACGTATCGAATTCTTGGTATTAGACGAGGCATGCGACTGGATTCAGTGGCCCCAGGGATATTAATGTCGCATTGGTTGCCACCCAAGAACGAGGTGCCAGAAGCGACTCGGCTTGGCGCTGAGGAAAAAGCAAAATGGCTCTGATCTCACGTTGGCGCAGATGGATCTTGATCTCGAAACTTCCGATTTCGATTACATGACATTGCCAGTGTATTATCGCATCTGGAGGTCGCAGTGTAGTCGTCGCGTAGGTGTGACTATGCATGTAGATTTTGATCTAGATTGTTAATTATATCCATCTCTCTTTGTCGCTTGGAAAGGTATTGAAATTCCATCAAATACGTATATGGCATGTCTCGACAATTTTTTTCTAAAGATTAAGGATTTGATTCATGTTAATCCGGTGTCAGTGCTCACAAGCTGCTGACCAAAGGAGTCCATCCACCCGGTTGGTATCAGTCGTATTGGAGCCGCTACACATGTGCCGCCGTATAACCGCATGCTGAATGAGCTTAAACAGCCCGCTTGTCAACGACGAGGTTGCGTTTAAGACCAATAAGTTGAAGCATCTCTTGCCAAAATCCCACGGGAGCTGAAATAAACGAGGATTCGTAGGCGTCGATGAGAGGAGCATCCCAGACAAGGTCGACCTCGTGGGGTTTCAACCACTTGGTCCTCTTGAGAACCTTCCAGACAGTGAAGGTGATGGGAGCGAGACCAACCATAGTGTAGTTGGTGAAGAAAGTCACGAGCTTCCAGCCGCCTGGCTTGAAGACGGAGTAGCCGTATACAAAGACGACCACAATCTCGAAAATCAGCGCAAACCAGGTACCGTATGGCTGGAAATAACCACAGTACGGTAGAGTCTTGCGATCAAGACCTTGAACCTTGCAGGCTTTGTAGAATGCAAGGTAGGTAGCGCACATGACAATATAGTTGATCACCCCTCCGGCAGTGATGATGTTGGTGAGCCAGGTTAGGACCTTGGCGGAATTGTCTGACAACTGGAGGAAGGAGAGGAGGGGGAAAAGCATGACGATGACAAAGCAGTAGATCGGCACACCATTCTTGGTGCACTTTCGGAGGAACTTGGGGGCGCGGCCCTCGATGGAAAGCGAGTACAAGCTGCGAGTAGCACAGTACGTGTACGTGTTGCCAGCAGAGAATATACTCGTAATCAACAGGGCGTTGACGAGATGAGGAAGTCCATCGATACGAAGGTTCTTCATAGCGATGACATAGGGCGACGCGGCAGCACTTGTCGTACCAGCTTCCAAAACGATCTCGAGCTCCGGGTCGTTGTAGGCAAGAACGACGCCAACGCAGAGAGCACCAAGGATGAAAAAGGCACCGAATCGCCAGTAGACAGTCTTGAAGGCATTCTTGATGTAAACGCGAGGGCGCTTAGCCTCACCGGACACCATAGAGATGTACTCAGGGCCAACGACGCAGAAAGAAGCAGCCCAGAGGGAGCCGAGAAAGCCTTCGAATCGACCCATGTCACCGTTGCCATGAGAGTTCATCGGGCCCGGGTCGCGCCAGTGACGGAAACCATAGGCATCCTTCTGGGGGTTGCCACCGACCATGGTGATGAACGTGAAGGCATACAAGATCAGGATCAAAAAGACCTTGCCGCCAGACAGCCAAAACTCAGCCTCGCCATACGCCTTTACAGCGAGGATATTGCAGGTACTATAAGGTGGTTAGTATTCAACTAGCGGGTTACATGAAGCGTCGGTAGCAAGGAAGGATGACTCTTACCCATAGAGCACGATGACAGCCGCGCAGACCGCAGCCGCTGGGATGTCATCTCTCCAGAATTTCAGGACAATGTTGAGAGCCGTGATTTCGAAGGGAATGAGCAAAGCTTCGTAGAGGAAGAAGTTCCAGCCAGCCATAACCCCAAAGGCCTCGTCGACCCAGTGACCTGCCAATCGAACGAAACCTCCAGAGACGGGCATGAATGTGGACATTTCGGCTATGGCGTTGTTCACTAGGGCGATAACACACGAATATCCAGCATAAGCGATGATGAGACCAAGAGGACCACCTTTGTTAAGGGCACCACCGATGCTCACGAACAATGCGGTACCGATGGAACCGCCAATGGCGATGAGTTGAATCTGACGGTTTCCAAGATGGCGTTGCAGGTCGTCGGAGTTGTCGTGAACCTCACCAGGCTGGATATCGTCATTGGGGTAAGTCTCGCGGACGAACTCGCCCGAGTACTTCTTCTCTTCATTCATAGTTGCAGTGGGGGTTGTCGCGTAGGCAGTCGATGAGTTGTCGCAAGGGAGTCAATGTCGCATGAGGAAGTGTCGCTTGCGGGAAGTCGCTATGGAGTCGAATAGGGTGCAGGGGATTCGACTAGCAGTCGCTTGGGGGGGAAGCCGAAGCTACAAAATGAGTCGCACTGCTAGCAGTGAAAATGAGGGAGGGCGGTAGGGTAGCAGTGGAGGAGATAAAGAGGCCCTTAGCAGCTTGGACTTCGGGGTGAATAGCACGGTCTTTATACGACAGGCAGACGCGGCGGGACATGGTACAGAGAGGCCCTGCGTGTGGATCCTCACGGTTGAGGGTGCCATGCGACCCAGGCGACGAAAACGGTTTGGCGTATTTCTGGCGGGCGGCGCTGGCTAACAGCTTGTAGCGTAGTGAATGTACCCATGGCTCTGGGCACGGGATCATCAATAGGTAGGCGGCACAGAGTTTTCGACAGACGCCGGCCTCAATCGCTGCGCCAGCAACCCCGCTTGTTACATTGTCGCGTGCGAATCAGCATGCGCCTTCCCTGGCTAGCGGCGTGGGCGGCGATGCCTTAGTGTCCCGGCCTGGGCGAAGCTTCTGCCTTCCCACAGCTAGCTGACGGAGACGACGAGAGCAGCCATTGTTGAAAGCAACATGGGCCCGCATCCTCGACAGTCGACAGACAATTCAAGAAACGTAATCCAGTGTGGCTGTCGGCGCTGGGCGCTGGAGAGCCCCGCTGCTTGCAAGTGGACGCGGGCATAATCCAACATCGGAATGTCGCGTGCAAATTGCTTGCCCTCACAAATCCTAGCCTTGCCATTTGTCGTCAACCCCAGTTCCGAAGTAAGGGCTGGGGTTAGAGCTGGAGTTGCCTTTGTTTTTGGCTGCGGCGCAGTGCTGCATGCGGATACGAGCTTTGCATCTTTTGTTGGAAAGAGGTCGTATGATAACGGCGACCAGCGTTGCGTCCATCAGCCGTTGGTAGGTGCTCCCATTGTGACAGTCTTGGGATTGTCTGGCCATATTGTTCGAGTCGATCAGATGACGGCATCGAGCATTTGGCGTCACCATTTTCCGATCCTCCTCCAAGCCGTGAGCCGAGATATGCGACTCGCGTACAGGCTGGGGCCAATTCTGCTTCCATGCTGCCCGTTGCTCGTAGTACTAACGACACTTCGACCGAGACATAGAGTATGTGGGATAGCCTGTCCTTGACTTAAATGTGCCTCGTCACTCTGCCTCACCTACAGTACAGAGATATGCGATCTGCATGCATGCAGGCCATCTCCTGCAGTGATGCTTGCTTGTGAACCCAATGTCGAGGCCGCCAATTGCGTGCCAGCCGGTCAGCAAAAAAGGGAACGGCATCTCAAAGACAGCCCACGGTGGAACAAGTCCACGTCTTCTAGAAGGAAAGCGCCTCGCCCAGCCTCTCACATCAGCCTCCTACTGCTGCGCCTGTCGTGGTATCCTGCCGTACCATGCTAATCAGACTCGTCGCATCGCTATCTGCGACAATTATATGGACGCGTATGCTTTGTGGCCAAAGAAGCGGGATCCCAGGATGACCGAGGTGGTGGACGATGAGAGGTGAAGGTTGAGGAAGTGTGCCGATGCAGTGTTGGACGACTGTTTATGAGTAGATGGTCACTGGTGACTTCCCCAACACACGAGATTACAAATACACTTACACTACTGAGCTTACAAATAGCATTGCAACTCCACCGACAAAGTAATCCAGCGTCGCTGCTCTCTAAAAACCATGAGTTGTACAACGGGCTCGACACTCGCATCTCAAATCATGATGCAGGCACGCTAATCCACAAAGGTGGAAATATTGTTCCACATGCCAAGCTGAGGCCCAGGACAATTTCCGTCAACTTGTATACTTGCAAAGCTTCTTATGGTGATACAATTTGCGTCTGCTGGCTCACGCATGATATCATCACTCCTTATCGTCAGCTGCCCCGCTTCGTCGGCTCGGGCTGTCGTGGACGCCTTATCGCTCTACACACACACACACTTCCTCTCTCTCTGACTTTGAATAGCAAGATTCTGGGTCAAGCACTGGATATTGACGCTTTCGCAATTACTACAACATACTCACGAGTCTGTATCTACCTACTCTGGAACCATTTTCACTCATATTTTCGCCTCGCGTCTGGAGTGGCCAAGGCTTTCTTAACTTGTCATCTTTCTAGTCACTATCTTCCATCTTCGTTGTCAACATCAGAAGAGCGTCTTTGCTGTGTTTCCGAATTTCCTGTATTGCGACCTCATCGCCAAGCGATCCAACACCTCTCGAACTTGTCGCGACATATCGCAATCACTTGGTCACTAGTGCAACGGCTACACCAACAACTCCATCCCAACCGACTATCGATCCAAGACCGAGCTAGCGTGCTCTGGTCCCGCAACGCTAAACCAAACCTTAAGAACACCTACTCATCTACCCAAGAAACAATATGTGCCGCTGGTTTGCGTACATCAGTCCAACGGAGCCATGTCTCCTATCCGATGTGCTGATTACGCCCGCGAATAGCATCAGCAAGCAATGCTCTGAACACTACCTCCCGAAGCTGCTTCCTCATGATAAAGATAAGGATCTGGACCAGTCTTCTGATGAGCTTCTACGCATGCGCAACTCGCTTTTGAATATGGATGGGTTGGGTGTTGCATGTACGTACCTTGCCACAATCGAGTCCTTGCATGCGTTATTTCTTTTCATAGTGATGGTCGAGCTATAGCTTGCATGCGTTTAGCAGTCTTTCACAAGAACCTCTTAGCTCAAATTCTGCAATTCAGGGTATACAAAGGCCAACTCTTCGTACATCAAGCACGTCGCCGGGCCCCGTCCCGCCCTATACAAATCCCAATCGCCCCCGATCAACGACTTCAACTTCAAGTCCCTCTGCGAAAACACAGAAACGCACTGCGTCTTCGCCCACATCCGTGCCAGCAGCGGCAGCGTCGTGACCCAAGTCAACTCGCACCCCTTCGTCTTTGGCCGCCACGTCTTCATGCACAACGGTGTCGTGTCCAACTTCTCTTCTATCCGCCGGGAAATGACGGATCTCATGTCCTTCGACGCATACTGTAACGTCATCGGGTCCACGGACTCCGAGCACGCCGCAGCATTGTACATGACGAATCTGACAAACCACGGCGCGAAAGTCACTTGGGAAAAGGCGTACTCGCTAGACGCCATGTTTACCGCGCTACGCAAGACTGTGCTGCAGATCCTACAGCTCCAACACGATAAACTGGGCGCTGCGGCGAACACGCCTAATTCACTCAACTTCTGCACTACAGATGGCACATCACTGCTTGCTATCCGCTTCCGCAATCACGCTACGCAGCAACCGCCGTCACTCTACTGGTCTGAGTTTGCGGGCCGCACTCTCAACACAAAGTTTCCGGGTCATCCTGATAGTAAGGATATGGTGAACGAAGAGGCGATGTGGGGAGAGGCGGAGACGATGGGGAAACATACCATTGTTGCGTCTGAGCCAACGACTTTCGATGAGAAAGAATGGCATTTAATCAGCAGGAATTGTGCGTTGCTTGTGGATGGAGAGGGGGTTGAAAGGGAGGTGGAGATTGAGTACGATGAGCATCTGAATGCCAAGGATCCGAAATTCGATGGTGAAGCAGCTTGACTGTAATAGGCTCTTCTATGTGGGGGTTTGCAACGTAGTATTGGTCGCAATGGATGCCCCGAGAGCCTCTATACACTCAAAACATTACAGTTGTCTTCTAGATAATCAGAGGCTTCACAACGGTTTCTCCGCATTGTTATACAAGTTACTCGATTAATCTAGCGCCCTGGTATTGCAACCCTAGTCCCTCCCAAACGCCCCAAAACACGGTATCTTAAGAGTGGTTGAGCATGAGCTAGTCCCGTATCACATAAACAAGAACACTTCAAAACTTGCATACTTCCATTCAGCTCAACTCAACTCTTCCTCCGACTAAATCATCACCGATCCGCAGGCCCACCACTGCGATCAAGCACACCCAGCCCTTCCACGGTAACCCCGCTTCCCTTCCTCATCGGCAACCCATCAGGCACCAGCCCCATCCGCTCCTTAGCCGCGAATTCCTTCTCCCTCTCCTCACGCAGCCTCATGACTTCAGCTTCCCGTCGAACTTCCTCCATGTGTCGAGTTCGCTCATTGCGCGCCTTCTCCTGTAGCTCTCCAAACGGATCAAAGCGCTCGCTCTCCGGGTTGCGGAACGGGTTCTTGATCCAACTGCCCCTGTCAGTCAAGGTAGTGGAGCGCGGGCGCCCCGCTAGGACATCGTACGCTTTGTTGAGAGGAGGGTCGGCGAATGGATTGGGTGTAGGCGGGATGCGGGAGTTGTTGCCGCGTTCTGTGGACACGGTTTCCGGGCGAGAGTAGGATGCTGGGCCGAAGAGAGTATTGCTGCGGTCCGTCGAGCGCGTCATATGGGAGCTGTCGATGTTGTTATTGGCAAGGTTGAATAATGATGAGCTAGGATCCACGTGTGCTGTTTCTGGTGCGTGAAGCGAGCCTGTGTTGCCGGGATTGAAAGCATCGTCTCCGAGGCGTTGATGATAGGCCCTTTGCTTGCGCTTGCGACGTTTTATAAACGCAATTGTGCCTATGATAAGTGTGAGGGCACCTAATAATTTGTCAGTTTGGCTTCACTGGATTAATAGGGCAGAGACGGACCTAAAATACTGACGAATGTAACGGCTACTATGGTGCCTTTGGTCATATGTGCTGGTTCTGACTGCGGGAATGACTGTTGTGGAGCACTATTTTCTCCTGAAGTCTCTAGCTGTGGCGGTGGTGGAGGGATAGAAGATGTCGCTGCAGGCTGCTCTGTTGAGATCCGGCTGGTTTGCAACAAGGTAGAGCTTGTTACAGGAGGTTGAGTAGTGCTTCCGAGTGCAGACTCAGCGCTTGTGACCTGTGGTTGAACTTGCGATGTAACGTCTGCCGTGGTATTTTGCAATACAGATATCCTAGTCTCACTGCTATCGCTCGCGATAGAAGCTGGCAGAGAGAATGCTGTAGTAGAAGGGGCCCCGGGTGCAATAGTGGCTGTGGCAGATGTGCCGTTCTTCGCTGGCGAAGGTGGCTCCACACCTTCATCCTCCGAGTCAGAGTCGGAGTCTTCCCCTTCTGATAGTGCACCCACAGTTGAGGGGCTACTGAACAGTGAGTCCGGGCTCTCTGGGCCTTCTTCCTCTTCTTCCTCTTCTTCTTCTTTTTCAGCGACAGCACTAGGTGTCGTGCTTGCCGTGGGTTCTTGTCTTCTGACCCGTCTCGGAATGATGCGCACAGGCGATGGCCTTCGAAGCTGATAGCGAGCCATGCTTTCGATACTGGGTTGATTATGTAGAGATACGCTCCTGAGCGTCCACCAAGTGATCCCACTTCTCCCTGTTGTAGAAAAGTCACCGGGACTAAGAATCGAAACGAGCAACCCGATCAACGGAAAGTGAAAAAGAGTGGCCTGACTTTTACTCACACTGCGAACACCAAGAAGCGGGGGAAAGAGAGAAGCACCAGGAGATGGGGATGCCAATGCTATGAATGCAGGATGAAGCCTTGAGCTACCGCCCAGCGTCGTTACCTCAAGCACGAAACGTCTCCAACTCGCACATCTGTGGATACCACCCGTGACTAGTCTCCCGCCTCAATGCCTTTGAGGGGATGCCATCGAAACGGCTCTGCTGTTACAGGGCTAAGATCTGCGCGCTTGAGCCTAAGGCTAAAAGATAGCCAAGACGTGGAGTGCGCGGTTAGCATTCAAGCATCAATATATGACGTTGATCTCGCGGCAGTAAATACTATAGGAGCTCGTTGAACATTGATGGTTGGTTGCGGCGAGAATCTGAGACGGCTTGGCGGTTTGACGCGCGACGATGGAGTGCGACGTGTGTCAGAAACTCCGCACCTGTTGATTCGGCATAAGAGAGATAAGAGCCGCATAGCTACCGTGCTCTTTAATAACTCGAGCCTATGGATCGTCGTCATGAAGATGTGCAACACCACGTAGGGGCTTCAATCTGATGATGTACGGCGTTGGAGGGAAAACGCGTAGACGGAAGGCGAGTACGTCGCTTATGACGCGTTACCAGATGCACCAAATAACAGTGCGAGGATGAGGGCTTGGGCTATGCGTCCACTACGGTTACTCATTAGAGAGATGTGATGAGGATGTTCACCTCGCGTCCGTGCATTGGACTGGATGATGTCAGCAAGTCTCGCATAGTTCAGCTCACGGGAGGGGTGTATTCCGCATCAAAAAGGAACTTTAGGCTCCCGGGTCAATTTCAAATCATGATCAACTGCCCGACACGTTTAAGATCATCACTCACATCAACGTCGATGTTATTGGTGAAGCACAAATATGAGTCGGTTCGAAGAGCCGAGAATTCTTTCTGATGATCAACTTGAACTGTGTATTGCCACAGTCTGCTCAGTCTCATGTTAGTATCACCATTTTCAAAAACTATGTTTCTTCAGTCAAGTAAGTGTGGAATAGGATCTCTATTCTACGAGAAAGAAACGAAGGCTGTAAAGCTCATCTAGAGCTATCTATGATTAATTACAATGCTAATGCATAACAAGCAAACACCAATCTAGTGTAACGAACGGTCCCAAGACCGCATATCTAAGTTCCCAAATTAGGAAGTCTATGCAGGAATACTTTTGTCTAGACTCTGACCCAGGCACATCTCGTAATATACACCCCTCTGCGCAAGCAAATCCTTGTGTGTGCCTCTCTCCGCGATCCGTCCCCTGGCGAAAACAACGATCATGTCCGCGTCCTTGATCGTGCTGAGACGGTGAGCCACCGCGACTGTCGTGCGTCCGCTCTTCGCCTTCTCGAGCGCAGTCTGAACTACCCTCTCAGACTCGGTGTCCAATGCGGAAGTGGCTTCGTCGAGAAGAAGCAGACGCGGCTCCCGTATCAGAGCCCTGGCGATAGCAATGCGCTGCCGTTGACCGCCAGACAGTTGTGCACCTCGGTTACCGCACATGGTTGCAAGGCCTTCGGGTAGCGATGCGACAAACTCGTGGATGTTGGAGTTCTTAGTTGCGGCTTCGATTTGGGCGTCTGTGACTTCCGTCTCCATACCCATAGCAATGTTGTCGCGCACAGTTCCCTGATAGAGGACCGGTTCCTGCTGGACAAGAGCGACATCTCTTCGATACTTGCGGGGACATAGCTCCGTGAGATCATGGCCATCGCAAGCTACGCGCCCTGAAATGGGATCGTAGAACCTTTGGAGTAAGGAGATCATCGTGGACTTTCCGCACCCTGACGTACAAAGTTAGCGTATATCTCACAAGCCATTGGCACAGCAATACTTACCACTTGCACCGACGAAAGCGATGAATTGGCCCGGACGTACATCGACATCAATGCCCTCTAGGACCTTCGCGTGTGGTCGAGACGCATATGCGAAAGCGACATCCTGTACTTCGACGTGCGCTGGCCCTCTGTCCTCACCGTTGTCAAAAGGCGGCTTCGATGAATCCTCTTGAACGGCAGGCGCTTGTCTACGTAGCCAGAAGACGTAGTTTGCGGCAGTGGCGGCCTTGGTCAGGCTAGTCGTGTATGAAAAGAACGAAGCCGCGGCCTCTCCCGAGAATATCACGCCAATGAAGACAGTGAAGAACTGAGTGTTGTTGTACTCACCAGTACTGATGAGTTGACCACCATACCTGATATTTGTCAGACTTGGTTCGACGATGAGGGTAGAGGATGACATACCAAAAGCCAAGGCCCATGGCGAGGAAGTTGATAGACTGAGACAGGGAGTACCAGAACATGGTGTAACCCAAAGCCTTGATGGATTTCTGAGCAACGCCACGGAGACGCTCCTCATACCTGGCCAGAATATGTCGCTCAAGTGCAAGGCTGGATACTGTCCGGATGGCGGATACGGCCTCGGCTGCTAGAGCAGCGCTACTAGCGAAACGTTTGCCGGTATCCTCTTCGAGCTTGAATTCGAGTCGTATTCTCAGGTATCCGGAAAAGATGAGGGGTGGTAGAGCTGTTAAAACAGAGAGTTAGTAAGCTTGTATTGAAGAACGTGGGTTTGACTAACCTCCGAAAACAACAACTAGACCCAGCTTCCAACCGACTACAATGGCCAAAATGGAACTGGAAATCACGTTGACTACACTGATCAAGATAGTCGAGAGGTTGAACCCCATGAGCTCCAGGATGTTCGTTGGATGGTTCGAGAGATTTGAGGCCAAAGCGCCGCTTGCATTGTCTGGGTCGTCGAAGAAAGCCATGTCCTGCTTGAGAACAAGTTCGAAGATCTCACGTCGATATCTTCTCGAGATGTTCTAGCATATTGTCAGCACAGTCGAACGACTTGGATGCAGTTGAAGTTAAGGGCACTTACTTGCGTGACGACATTGCTTGCCCACCCCATAGCACCATAGACAAGCAAATTGCCAAGGGCTACGACGAAAAACATTAGTGAATAAAAGTCGCCCTGCTTCACAGCTCGTTCAGGCGTAAGCTGAAAGGATTCTACCACTCTTGCGAACAAGATGGCCTGGGCAGGGAAGGTTGCTCCTATTCTGCTATTAGCATTGAACTCAAGCCTGAAGTGCCAAGTTGAACTCACCACCCCCGATAATCACAACGACCAATAGAGCGAACCACTTCCATAGTACGCGGTCTTGCTCCTTCAACAGGATCCAAATGCACTGCATAAGGTTGAAGTTGATGCCATCCTTCACCGACTTCTGTGGATCTTGACCGATTCCTGAAGCTTGAGTCTGCGTTCGCACAAGCGCTACCTTCTCTGCAGCCTTCTCGTCATCCACATCCACGGGCTCTTCGCTTTGGCTTGGACCGAGATCTTGGGCTTTGACAAGTCGAGCTAACACAAATCAGCACACGAATTATTCCAGAATGTTCAGCAACTTACCATAAGCACCATCGCGTTCTAGGAGGTTCTCATGTGTGCCCTGCTCGACCAAAAGACCGTTGGCCATAACAGCGATGTTGTCTGCATTACGGATAGTTGAAAGTTTGTGCGCGATGACGATCGTTGTTCGGTCACTCGAGACACGATCGAGCGCTTGCTGCACGATCTTCTCTGCCTTGGGGTCTAGGGCGCTCGTGGCCTCGTCAAGTAATAATACTGTTGGTTCGGAAACGATACTGCGTGCAATGGCGAGTCTTTGCTTCTGTCCACCGGAGAGATTCATCGCACGCTCACCAAGCTGAGTGTCATAACCCTTGGGCAGTCGTTCGATGAACTCTTCAGCGTACGCATTCTTGCAAGCACGCTCGACTAAAGCACGCTGTTCGGCTTCCGGGAGATTCGCCTTGTCGGTTCCAAATAGGCCAAATGCAACATTCTCATACACCGTGCCTGAGAACAAGACCGGCTCTTGCTGTACTAATCGAACATTGGTCCTAAGCCAGGTGAGGTTGAGCTCTCGGATATCGGTGCCATCAAGGTATATTGTCCCACTAGACTGGTCATACCAGCGTTCTAGAAGACCGATGATAGTGGACTTGCCACTGCCGCTGGGTCCAACAAGGGCTGTAGTCTTGTTGGCAGGTGCCGATAGGGTCAGGCCTTTGAGAACTGGGACATCAGATCTTGCTGGGTATGCAAAGGCAATATCTTTGATCTCAATGACGCCATGGCATGTTGTCGGCACCTTGCCCTCGTCGCTCAAAGGATCAATCTCGGATTGTCGGTCGATGGTCTGAAACAGCTCCTCAGCTGCCGACGATGCTTTGGACAGTGCAAGGATCTGGGGCGCAATGGTAGTCATGGCGGTTGCGGCTACAATGATAGCCATGATGACCGTGAAGACATCGCCACTTTCCTTGATCTCACCGCTGGCGTTCATTCGAATACCTTGCCAGAAGGCAAGCCCATAGCCACTGTAAATGCAGAAGAATTCAGTCGAGAAGAGGACCATGTAGTTTGGAGACTTCTTCATGCCGACCTCCATGGCGTCTCCAAGAAACTTGTCGTACTTGCGCGATAGCAGTGGGTGCAGCCAGAAAGCATGCACTGTACGGATTGTCGAAAACACCTCCTCAGCAAGCATGCCAGCTTTGGATTGTATGGTGAGCATTTGTGCCTCATGCTTGGTATCGATGCCCACACTGACGGTCATGACAACAAGGATGGTCGGAACAATACAGACGGTGATGAGGGTGAGCTTCCATTGCACGGCGAAGGCAATGGCAAATGCTGCCACAAACGTGGCTGCACCCTGGATGGTCAAGGTAAGCTTTTCGGAAATGCCGTTGTTGATAGTATTGCCATTGGTAGTAGCCTGGGTTGTGACAGAGGCAGCGAAGTCCGAGTCGAAGTAGGCAATGTTTTGTCGCAGGACGTGCTTGATGAAGTCGATTCGAAGTGCCCTGGTAGTTCGTATAGCTGCAATGGATATGCAGACCTGGTTGATATCAGTATCAATGCTTGGCAAGCTAGCATTCACTGAAGACTTACCGAATGAATGTAAACAAGACCGAACTTGGCCACGAACAGATAGACAAAGTAAAGAGTATACCTGTTCACTATAGAACGGTATTGCGCTGGTGTACTGGTTCCGGTTGCAAATCCAGTAAAGGCCGTGACGAACTTGCCAAAAATCAAGTCCATCATGGGCAAGACCGCACCAGCTCCAGTGGCCGCAGTAAAGGCGATAATGTTGAGTATCCAACTGTTGCGATCCGCATAGTTGAAGACGCGCTGTCATAATGTGAGCTCATTTTGCTGTTGTGAGGGTGCGTGTAGACTAACGCCGTAGCTGCCCATGCCGCCCTTAGCCTCATCAGGCGCCCCTGACTTCTTCTCGGCTGAGACGGTACTAGCCGTCTTCTCATCCTCGCTCCGGGGTCGCTCTCGTGATTGTGGCTGCTCCATCATCAACGATACAAATGAAGAAAAGGTGAATGTCGTGCAGTGAGTCCTACCCTCAAAGCGAGTTATAGATATTTAAAAGAAAAACTTAAGCGGAACGCCCTGTCGGGGTCCCGCGTCCCGCGGAGGCCGTGGAGTCCAGGGCTCCGGACCAAGCAAAATCGCCATAGCAGCCGACCGAACGGGGCAAGACATTCAAAACAAGGCGAACTAATGTGCGCCCATACGGCGGGAAGCTTGGTATTGGGCTTGGCGTTGGGCACGGGATTCCGCGTGCGATGAAGGTTGATGGACGCGTCATATATTGCTTACAAAGTCCTTTGGCAATGCCCCTTTCTGCGCACAAGAATATTTTTTTCTCTTCAAACTACGCTCACACCCTACCAGAACAGTATTCGCTATACCCGGGACCATTCACTCACCACACACGAGACGGATACGCTTTGCGACTCATGATGAAACTGATGACATAATCGACGCCGCACGGACCTGAAGCCCGAATCGCCCACTTTAGAACAACGCCTTCCTCGCCTTCCGGGCCCGCGGCATGGCTTGAGGGGCTTCCCAAATACGCAAATATGGATGACGGAGATGACATGGATATGTCGCTCGATGGAGCCACGTCCAAACGTGCAGTAGGTGGCGCCTGCATCCGCGCAAATTGGCACCAGTGCTGACGATCCCAGTGCGATTCGTGTAGGACAAGGAAAATACGCTGTGATCGAGCTGCCCCATGTTCCAACTGCAAAGCGAGCAAGCTGGGTAGGTTCATCAGCTCGCCCCTATGTTACACTCCCGTTGACCCGCCAAGTCTGTACCACGACCGCACCCACCCAGAAAGCGCAGCGGCAAAGAGTTCACATCTCTGAAGAATAGTAGGTGCTTGCCAAGACCGATACTCCACTTTGGCACATCATCTGTGCTCTACACGCTTGATCCAGAGAACCAGCTTCAAATTGCGACCAAGCTGACTTGGCACAGCGAGAAGAAGATTGATCGCATTGAAGACCGTCTTTCCAGCATTGAAAATGTCCTCGGCGCTCTGGCCTCCAAACTTGGTAATCTCGATATTCGGGGAGCCTCCACCGAAACGAGCAGCCAGCCACGCTTAACGCGAGTTGGTTCTGGGAAGAGTCCAGGAGCAGTAGCCGAAGCGGTGACACCTGCACCTTTTGAAGGCGAGACGACAATGAACAGCCAGTCAGACTATGCTAGGGAGTTTGTCGCCCGAGCTGTCGGCAGCACTCCCTCCATCGGTCAGGATGCCGAGATCAGGTCTGCTCTGACTGCTCTCGGAGAGCTGGTCACTCAACAAAACGCCGCATCAGCAAACTCCATAGTCAACCGACCGCTTGCCGACTTTGATGCTGAGACACTAGATCGGCCGCCTTGGGATGCAGTGGGCCATACCTTGTTGGAAGCTACTAGTTGAGTGGTCAGGATGCTGCGGTTTGGATTGCTACTGACCTTTGCAGAATATACGACGGTCTCCTCCCTCGTTGTTTTCCCTTTTCTCAAGATGGAAAATCTAGAAACAATCATTGAAGATGCTTACCACAACCCAAGCTCGTGTGGGCCCGCCCGGCGCGTCCTCGCCTATGGTGTCATGGCCAGCTTATTCACCGAATTCAGGTCCTACCCAATGGTTAACATGGATGTGACCAACTTTGGCGCATATGCAATCATGTGCAGGAAGCATATAGAAGTTGCCATGAGCGAGCTCGACCTCTTCATGCCGGCAAGTTACGAGAACATCATGGCCCTCCTAATTGGGTCGGCAGAGGCAATTGAGATATGCAAACCATCTCTTTGCTGGGCCATGATATCCTGCGCAGCTGGTTTGTGCCAGAGCCTTGGCTACCATCGTATCAACACCATGGTCAACGACACGACCGAGATGCGGAAATCCAAAATCCAAATCTTTTGGATGATATACATGTTCGACAAAACCCTCTCAGTCCGCTTGGGCCGTGCGAGTGTCATACAAGATTGGGACATATCCCTGCCTTTCGACCTTCCCGATGATGGATCGCCTGGCGACTCTGAAGGTCAGTTGCTCGCCTACTGGGTCAAGGTTGCGCGGGTTCAAGGACAGACTTACGAAAAGCTCTTTTGTCCGGCTGCTTTTCTCAAGTCGCCGGCAGAGCGTACTCGCACCGCGGTGGAACTGGTTGACGCCATGAACCTAGCATGGTTTGAGCGGGGGGAGGGGAATGTAACAGACTTTCCTGTTCCAAGGGATTACAACGGGTACGCACCACAAGCTACTTCAAACAACAGCCCAAATGAAACAGAGATTCCTTCTAGACGTCACCCCTACGCTGGTCACGGTGCGCGCCTCGACGCAAGTGAATATATCCAAGGTAAGCCTGGCTCATCTATGTTGTGACAGCATGATCGCTAAATTATGACTAGGCTCATTCGAGCGTATCCAGGACATATTTTTTCATGTCGACGTTGTGATGCATTATTCCACATGCTCGTTAATCCAGCGCGCCGTTTCCCCAGACAATGTTACCTTCAATCAAGAATGCCTAGAGTCATCTCGGGCAGCCCTTGTCGCACACAGGCGCGCCAATTTGCAATTCAATACCAAAGGTAACGAAGAGCTATGGTCTGGATACATTCACTGGTCGATCCTTCAAGTAAGTCCAAATCCACAAGTATCTCAACCGACGACTAACGAGACCGCAGGCACCGTTCACCCCGTAAGCTGCACGGATCTTTTCCCAGTAGTAGTACTGACATGTGATGGTAGTTTCATCGTCATCTTTTGTAACGCTATCCAAAATGCCGACTCATCCGACCTGGCCTCCCTCACCGACTTCGTCGCCAGCCTTGAATCATGTCGCATGATATCTGAAGGTGCCGACAAACTGTACAAGATGTGCCGTCTCTTCCTGCAAGTAGCAAAACTCTACATCCAAGCGAAGAGGAGGGACGTACCGGTTACCCCTCAGCAGGCATCGTACTCGCACAGAAGTCAACCACCTTACCATCCAGCAACAGATAGCACCCAAGTTGACCTTAACGCTATGACGGAATTTGATCCTTATCTTAGCGCTCTTGGTCTAGTGCCCAATACAGCGTGGCCAATACCGGGTTTCCCGAACGCATCTCCATCGTCGGGTCTAGATGCTTTTCCAAGGAATCAAGGCATGGGAGGCGTTGTAGGCCCAGATGCTACAGGAATGGGCATTGGGCCATCGACTGCCACTCAAAATTCGGTTCAAGATTGGTTCTCGGGCTCAAGATACCTGATAAATCTGATGGAAGCAGGCGATGATTTGCAGATGCCAGACCTGAATTTGTGAGAGGAAAAATTAACCAACGTGGAGATCTACCGGTATATCCTGTTTGCAGAGTAGGCGAGCGTTTCTACGTTCATTCTTAATACCCACTCTTTTGTCTGTGTTCGTAACGACTTGAAACTCCTATCCTGTATCGACTGAATAAGCTAATCCAAGCTACCACTAGCGTCTGCGCTAGATGATACGCGCCTGCCCGCTCACTCGAAACCACCGACAACACCTCACACATAGTAGCCTTCACCGTCACTACCACTTTCTACAGCACGCTGCTGGATACCCAGTTCTTACTCGTCTCCAATTTTGATCATCAGACACAATGTGCAGCAAGTCATATCACGCCCAGCGCGTTCAAAACCAAGTACCAAACAACATCGCGGCTTCAAACATCTTCTCTAGGCGGACAAGCCGACTGAAATCACAATCTATCCAAGTTTGCAAGCACCAGAAGATCACAGATATGGTCGTACTGATAGATTGATGTTTACATATATGATGACCTTAACAGCAACGAATGCGCAAGCTCGGAACATAATACAGGATGAAATAGGGAAATCTCTCTAGTTCAACAACGCGTCGTCTTCCTGGCTTCCTCAGACTTGGTAGTACAGTCCTTGGTGATTAAAGAAAGAGTCTGGCTGTTCCCCTCTTTGCCTTTGCCTTTTCCACTGTGATGAGGCTCGGCATCAGGCTCAGCGTCTAGAACTCAGCGCGGCGGGCGGCCTTCTTGCCCTTGCCCTTACCCTTGCCTTTGCCCTTCTTTCCTTTTCCCTTGCCCTTGTGGTGCGGCTCACGCTTGGTCAGCTCGTCATCATCGAGATCATCGGCCTCGCTGTCGTCAGCCTCATCATCGCGCTTGGTGAGGTCGTCGTCCTGGTCGTCGGCTTCAGTAGCGTCGACCTCGTCATCGTCATCAGCCTCTTCTTCACGCTTGGTCAGGTCGTCTTCGAAGTCGTCATCAGCCTCGTCTTCGTCGACTTGGCGGCGAGCGGCCTTCTTTCCCTTTCCTTTGCCCTTGCCCTTTCCCTTGCCTTTTCCCTTGCCCTTGTGGTGAGGTTCACGCTTGGTAAGCTCGTCGTCGTCGACATCGTCAGCCTCGTCGGCATCGGCATCCTCTTCACGCTTGGTGAGCTCTTCGTCGTCTACGTCATCAACCTCCTCGTCGTCGTCTTCGACTGCGCGGCGAGCGTTCTTCTTGGCTTTTCCCTTGCCTTTGCCCTTGCCTTTGCCCTTACCCTTGCCCTTGTGATGGGGCTCGCGGGTGTGGAGATCTGCCCAATGAGCATCATCTTCGGCTTGAGTGAGCTCTTGAGCTTCAGCATCGCGGGTGTGAAGATCAGCCCAATGAGCATCGTCTTCAGCTTGGGTAAGCTCTTGGGCTTCAGCGTCGCGGCGAGCGGCCTTCTTTCCCTTTCCCTTTTTGCCCTTTCCTTTGCCTTTGCCCTTGCCCTTGTGGTGGCGGGCTTCGATATCACGCGATGCAAGAGCGGCAACGAGATTGGACGCTTTGACCGGACCACTTGCCTATATAACGTTAGTTGTTGCATCCGATATTGCACCAGATAGTCGAACTTACCGGCATACGTGCTTCTACGGCATTGTCCACCACCGACCTGGTGTCTGGTACAACATAAGCTGAAGTGGAGGCACCCAAGGCCAAGAGTGCGAGAACGGCGATCTTCATGTTGAATAAGGTATATGGTTGTTTTGAAAATCGAATGAATGTCAGGGATCTGCCAGCAGAGAGAAGAGAAGAGACTGGACTGAGAAGGATGTGAGAATGAATGAGCACGTTCAACGCTTGCTGTTCTTTCTCTTGGAACATGGACACGCTTTATAACTGAGCTGTTTCCTCAAGCCAGAGCCATTTGGTCGCTTGCTCGGACCCCGGAGTTCTGAGACGCCTCGCATTGTTCACGGAGCACGAACGGATTCCTTCCCTGTGTCATACACGGCGGTCCCCATGACAATACGGCTGCACTCGGCGTTTACTCCAGGAGGCCAAATTAGAAACGCATGACACGGGCTTTCTTCTCCACCAACTACACTCCCACAGTTGGCCTGGACTGACAATGATCGGGTATGTCAACTGTGTCACTGTATCATGACTAACCCACTCCTCCACGGAAGTAAAGCCAAAGGCCCAGTTCATCTCCGCAACTCTGATGTCACCAATCATGAAATTTCCCGCGCAGCCTCGCTGAGACTTGAGGGAAGTATGGAACAAGCGGAGGCTTTGCGCATGCACCTCATTGGCTCCGCGGGTTGGAGTCGAAAATGCCGCCCGCAGGGAGGACCGAACAACCGAGCCAGAACACATCTTCAGGTATCTTTTCGCGCGGTTTCCCCAGCCTTCCTTGTTCCATTTGTTCCATATCTGCCTCAAGTGTGGTAAACGACCGTCTCAGTTCTCGGTTTCGTTAGATCGCCAAGATGAAACGATGGTGCAGGACGAACAGAGTCAAGTCTTGGCTTAGCGCACGTCTCGAAACTCAAACGAGGTGCTGACCAACGGGACGTTGAGACGCTCTCTGCTTTGTGTGTCGCAAAAGGCTTGTCAAAGGCTTGTCGCAGGCTGGCTGGTCACAGATGGGCTAATGTTGCCTGGGCGTGTGGGCTCCGTGCCTTTGGGGTGCAGGATGTTTGAAGCATTTCATGCTTCGGTAATTCTTGCTAGCGATAACTTTGTAGTAGGGACGCAGGTTGACGCCCGCACTTTGACGAGCTCACCAACTTTCTCTTCTTCTGTTTGTCCTAATTTCCTGAGGCGCTGTGCGTGTACTGGTTTTCTTCATCCTATCGCAGGTCGACACATTGTAATACGCCTTATTACATATTTCGAAGCATCTTATTCTCAACAACCTCTTGATATCGTTCATACACCTCAAAATGGAGAAATACGCCGACTCCGAATCATCATCACAATCAGACCAAGAAAACGCCGCATTCCTAAACACACTCTACCAAAAACAAGAATCCCAACGGCGGCGGAACTATGCTTACCTAACACTCTTCAACCTCTTCCTCTTCACATTATCAATGCTATCATTGATAACAGCGGTCATGACGCAAAAGGACGACTCAGGACATTCGACAGCAAAGTTGATGGACAAGTTTGGAATATTCTGTAAGTAGGTCCTATACACTGTTACAAACCCACAAGCTAACAACGAACCAATAGCGCCCGCAATGCACATAGTAGAATACAAGCAGGAACAGTTCAAACTACCCAACCCATTAAACTCTTCAAAATATGTCGGCATCACAGACGACGTGGAGAATGCTTGGATGGACATTGCATACTGTAAGCCTTTTTATCATCCGACCAAAGACATGTGCACTTGCTAACCACCCTCCTCACACACACACAGTGCCCGACCAAATGGTCTCCAAATCAGACTTCCCCAAACTGCAAAAGCCCGCAGACAGCTTACAAGTCACCGACCCACGCACGGGCGAAACAGGGTATCGCGTCGGCCTCGAAGTCTTCCATCAGTTACACTGTCTCAATCTCCTGCGCATGTCAACGTATCCAGAGTACTACCCGAAGATATGGTGGAGTGATACAAATGATGAGCCTCAGCGGGTGCGAGCGCATCTTGGTATGTTTACTCGCCTTTTTTCAGCCCTTTCCCATTTCCTAAAATAAAACTCCCCTTTGTTCTTCTTTTCTTAAGCTCTTAGCACACTCTGACGCAATCGAATAGACCACTGCATAGAAATCCTCCGCATGAACCTCATGTGTCTGTCTGACATTAACGTCTTCACATTCCATACGCGGCCCGGCCGAGAGGAAGAAGGGTATTGGCCCGACTATGAGAGTCAACACGTATGTCGGGATTTCGACGCGGTGAAGAAGTGGGCGAATGATCATGCTATGCCTGAGGCCGACGTTTGAGATTTTGGGTGTTGGATGTATATATGGGATAGAGAGAGGGAAAGAATTGTTCAGCAATGTCACGGCGAAGATGAAGGTTGCAGGGGTGACAGAATGGTCTATACAAGCATATCATACAGACACAGGGACGGTCTCTCGTGCTCTCTCTCGCTCTCTCTCCTTCTCTTTCCAAAGCCACCAACTTCGAAACTCAAGACAAAAACTGATGCTCAGCTAAGCCAGCAACAAAGAATGTCAAACTCCACCCAATGCAACGCACTAACCAAGACACGGTCTGCTTTTCAGGACGCACTGACCACTAGACCCTATCCAGCGTGCTCGACGATTTCACTGTAAATTTTTCCGTCTCGGATATAGCTGCGGATCTGTTCTGGGACCGGGTTCTCGACGTAATCATCTTCGGTGGGCAAACTGATGTTGATGCTCGAGCATTTACTGGTAAACACCTCAGTCTGTAGCGACTCCTTTGACAAATAGACCTGGGCGCCATCAACCTGGTCGAGCAAAATCGTAGGCAGCGTGCCAAGTACTTGCAGCGCAAAGTTGGGGCACTTGATGACATCGACAGAAGAGACTAACGAGTCGATGATGAGCGAGGTACGAGACGAGTTGTCCAAAGAGAGGGCGTTTGCTTTGCCGTTGATGCGGATCGTTGTGTTTTTGCAGCGCGAGATGAGGATCGAGTGGTTGATTTCGGCGTCAATTTCGAGTATTTCCGTGGGCGAGTCGAAGTTATCGATGATCCACTTGTTTCCATCCAGCTCCTTCTTTGGCGGTTTCTTGGTCCGCATGCTCTCTGGCTTCTGCTTTTTTGGGGGTGCCGGACTCTTGCTCCGCAAACTGCCATTACTGTCACTTCTAGTCGGAACAGGTGCACTCGCGCGCAACGACGGGTTCTTATGCGTCATTTGGCTGGGGTCGACCTTCTTGAGTCCCTTTGTGACATCTGAGCCCTTGTTCAGGTCTCCGAAGATGGCGTTCATGTCTGGTGCAGCCTTCTTTGCCACAGGAGCAGCGCCCGGTGGAGGAGGGGGTCCTGGTGGAGGGGGAGGACCGGGCGGTGGTGGGATTCCACCTGCTGGGGCGGGAGGTGGAGGTGGGATGCCCGAGGTTGATGCGCCAGAGCGAGTGCTAGAGACTTGTTTGGCAGCTTCTTTGGCATCGATGCCGTTGCTGTTCCAAGCCACGCCGCTGGCGTGGTGTTTCTTTGCGTACTCGGACAGAGCTTTGAATAGCTTGTAATAGGCCTGCACCCATTCGACAAAGCTCTTGTTCTCCGGCCTATATATGTTAGGTTGATTGAGGCGGGAAATTGGCGGGGCGCATACTTGTCTCGGTACTCCTTGAGGACCTTATTGCCGTACATTTGCGCGCCACCAAAGAGCTCATTGATGTACTCATGCGGTTTTGTGCCTCCACCTACGCCAATAGTCACCCAGCCAAGCGACCCAACACCATCAGCGACCATGGCGAGGGGATCTTTCAGGGCTGCCTCGCGATTGCTCTGTCGAAACTCGTCCGTCTTCTCCATGCTGGCTTGCAGGTCCTTGAGGAACTCCATGATGGTGCGATCATCTGGCTTCTTTGCCTTGTTCGCAATATAGAGGAACTGTCGCTGCGCGGCAAAAGCCTGCTGTACTGCTTTGGACTGTACATGTCAGCCGGTGTACCGACCAGTTTCGACAATGGCTACCTCATCTCTCAACATACCTGGCCGCCAATAACATCACCCAAGTTGCCACTCAGCTCGAGCCAGTTCTTCAATTCGGTATCCACCAGCTCATCAAACGCCTCGATGGCGGGCGGCGCGCTCTGCACGGGCGGCTTGGGTGTAGTACTGGGGCTCGGCGTCGCGTCTCCCGCTACGAGGGTAGAAGGAGCGCCGGTAGGCAGACCGCTGGGGGCATCTCCGTTCGGAATGGACGTGCTCGCAATGTCTTCCAGACGGCTTGTGGCAGCTTCAAGCCTGCGCACCATGGTTGTTAGCAAGTTGTCTCCTTTGAATTGCATGCCGCCATGGCGACCAAAGTTGTGCTCGTTGGACGACCCAGGGGCGATCATAGGCATATTGCATATGGTTGTAAGCAGAAGAGTTGCTTCCGGGGGGCTATATGGCTTCATGAGGGGCGAAAACGTGAAGCACGGGTTTGGAAACGTCAGAATGAAACTCACCGCTTGATGAGTGTAGTCAAGTTGTTCATGTTGCTTTGAGCCATGAGGCGGGGAAGGTGCAGCGGGTGTTGGCAGCCAAGATGCCTATGTCTCTCCGGATACGTAGCAGAGAGCTCGGGGAAGAGGCAGGGACGGGGACGGGGAAGGGGTCGCGGACGGCGGGCGGCAGCGTGTGCAACGTGTGTACGCTTCTAGAGGGGTATATAGAACAAGGATGGATGGATGGGTGGATGAATGAATGAATAGAGTTCTAGCGCGATTGACTAGCAGGAGTGCGGGAGTGGCAAGGCAATGAGGCACCACAGCTACCTGACCTGTCCTGGCCGATGGGTGACTTCCTCATCAGGCGCAGGCGGCTGATGCCATCCATGCCCATGCCCGGCCCACGTTGCGCTAGCGGGCCTGCATGCCAAGCCACACCAACTACCCATTCCGTCCATGTAGGCACGCCTAGGCGTTACTTCAGCAACATCAATTATTTCATCTCCGTCAGTCTCGCCCTCATTCACCGTCATTCAAGATGGCTGCTACCGGAGAGGTCGATTTCTGCACCCTCGGCATGTTCATTATTGGTACTCATTGTCATTTTGCCAAACATGTCCTCTAGTCGCTCATCGCTTCATAGATGAAATCGAATTCGCTCCCCCAAAGCCCCCAGTCAAAGACATAGCTGGCGGTGCCGGATCATACTCTGCATTAGGTGCACGCATATTCTCTCCGAGCCCCAAGTCCCAGGCAGTGGGCTGGATCGTTGACTGCGGATCCGATTTCCCATCTGAGCTCCGAGACTTCATTGCGCAGTGGGACACGGGTGTTTTGATTCGCGAGACGCCTGAGAGACTTACCACCCGCGGCTGGAATGGCTATGGAGAGCATGAACACAGAGGTGAGTAAATGTGGGGTGAACTGAAGGGGGGTCGGACGACGGATTGATCAAGTGCAGCTTTTCGATACACGACTCCGAAACTACGGTTGGATCAGCACGACTTGGTGGATACACAGCTGTTGTGGTCCAAGTCGTTCCATCTCATATGTTCACCTCTGCGCTGCATTGATCTGGTTAGAAGCATTCTTGCATTACGCCGTCAGCCGTCAGATGCGGGGCTGACATCACGTCCGCTGTTCATATGGGAGCCTGTGCCTGATCTGTGTACCGTCGAGGAATTGGACGACTGCCTGAAAGCGCTAAAGTACGTTGACGTAGTCAGTCCAAACCATGGTGAGCTTGGGGGCTTTTTCGGCAAGGACACCAATGCCGAGCACAGCGTTGACTTCCGCTTGATCGAGGAACTGTGCGGCCAATGGCTCGGTAGCGGGATTGGAGCTGATGGCCAGGGTGGTATCGTTTTGCGTTGCGGCAAAGATGGGTGCCTAGTGACGCGTAACGGGGTGCGCAAGTGGCTGCCTGCGTATCATCAGTCGAGTACGAAGGTGGTGGACCCGACTGGCGGGGGCAATGGATTTCTAGGCGGTTTAGCAATTGGCTTGGTGCGGGCTGGTGACACGCCAGGCATTGAGCACTTGGAGGAAGCTGCAATATGGGGATCAATTTCGGCAAGCTTCGCTATTGAGCAAGTCGGCATGCCCGTCCTTTCTCACGGCCCGCAAGGCGAAACATGGAACAGTGTGCGTGTCGAAGACAGGCTCTCAGAATTCAAGTCGCGGCTGCCTAGATATATACAGCCCTAGTCGCGTTCTTCCTAGTGTACACTAAAGTCCTCGCTCTCTGTTCGTTTACTTCTCGACTGGCTTGTCAATGGCGCCCTGCTCCTTCAGTTTCCGCTCGTGCTCAATGATCTGCTTGCTCCAACTGTGCCATTGTTAGCTTATTGCAAGTGTGCCCAAAGGCCGTGCTGAGGTATATCGTACTATCGGCTCGGGAAGAATCTGTTCGGGTCGGGCATCCTATCGCGATGCTCTAGGTTGGCGCTGAGCATCCAGACCATTCCGACGATGCCGGTCATCGCAAGGCCCAAGACAGCGGTGTTGGCTTTCCAGTTGGCGGGTTGTGCGTACCAGCCGCCGGCTGGCGACCAGACGTGCTTGGGATACCTGCCAATCTTAGTCAGCGTCGGCGTGAATTAGGCATTGAGGGGGTCAGCGTACGGGATCTTGCCTCCTCCGCCCATTGTGAAGTATGCTTGTGCGAAGTTCGAGGGGCCGCTGTCCTGGACGCTTGAGATGCGGTCGCAGTCGGATCTGAAGCTAACAGCACGGGCCTGGTGTCTTGGCGGAAATTCTTTGGCAGGCGCCATCATCAGTCGAGGAGAATAGAACACACGACCGGTCCAATTGCTGTAGCCCTGCCTCCGCTGTTTCCATAATCCCCCACTTTGTCTTTCTATTCCCTCCTGTCTTTAATGAAGCGGATACCTGTATCAAGATGCGCCTCGCAACTGCTGGCACAACCGCTGCCACGCCGGCCCTCGTGTCCCTATGCTACAGCGAAGACTACACGGCGAAGCATCACACCTCATAATCACAGGATACAAGCGCGTTTCCAATCAACAGCAGCAATCCAGCACGATGGCGAATTGGAAGTCGAGCTCCCAGAGGCCGCCGGAATCGCATCAACACCATCTTCACGGTCCGCATCACGAGGCCCGCGAGCTGCCTACCTAAAACCGCTTCCCCTCGAACAACTCCCATCGCCACATCCCAGCGCTGCCGAGCGCTCGACAAAACTCCACGCCCTTCGTAGCCGGCTTTCCCTTCCGCCCCGCTTCCCTCTGCAAGCCCTCGCCCGAACACTCGTGCATCCCTCCGCAGACCCAAATCCTGCTTTCAACAATGCCTCGTTGTCAATACTTGGACGCCATCTGCTAGGCTACTACACCTCGGAATGGCTTCTCTGCAACTACCCCCGCCTCCCAATGCCCGTTGTCTTCGCTGCAGTAGAAGCGTACATTGGCCCAAAGGCGTTAGCCACCGTTGCGGGCGAATGGGGCATCGAGGCAGCGGCTGAACCAGGAGGAGAGGTTGACTCGGGATTATTGCAATTCAAGAGGCTAAAATCGGGCGATGAACTCCCAGCAGCATTGAGACGTCAGGCGCCATGGAAATGGAACGTCACAACCACACACAAGATTATGACAACGGATGAGTTCGGCTCCAGCAATGCCCCGCCGAGTCCACATGCGCTGCAAAAGACACCAGTGCCCATGGAAGAAGCAGCACAATCTTTCGTCCGAGCACTCATCGGCGCGTTACACGTTCATCTTGGATCACCCCTCGTGAAGCGCTTCTTCCGCGACCACTTCCTCAGTCGACACCTCGACATCAGCACACTCTTCGATTTCCGCACCCCGACTCGTGACCTATCACGATTATGTGCACGAGAAGGCTTCGAAGGCCCTGTCGCTCGTCTCGTGTCCGAAACCGGTCGCTTGAGCAGACATCCTGTCTTCGTAGTTGGCGTATATAGCGGGAAAGACAAGCTCGGCGAAGGCGCAGGAAGCTCGTTAGACGAGGCGAGGACAAGAGCGGCGGCCGCGGCGCTGAAGGCGTGGTACCTCTACAAACCCGTCGAAGTCACCGTACCGAGCAGCATGGAAGGAGAACTAGACACGAGCAAGTGGCGACCCAACTTGATCGATTGTGGTGAAGTCATCGTGTAAAGATACCAGGGGGCAACGGAAAACCACACTTTGGCGTTTTTCTTGAGGGTTCCGCATCAGCACTGTGACTGCATGGAGGTCAGGGGGCGTACTCTTCATTCGTACACTTTGAAAGAAGACGTCGTTCCACCTCATGTCAACGAGTGCAGCCGAGAAGGAATAAGGGAAAGACAGGAGCGGGGGTACAGACTTCATTGCATGAGGGGGAGGCGCATTCGGCTGTTGTGCTCGTCAGAACGAGCTGCATGTATTATATGTGACAATCATCTGGGTCTGGCATTACATTATTACCACCTGGATCCACGTTGTGTAGAATATAAGAAGATGTTTGCATCCACATGACATAACACGATTTACTTCTTGGTCTTTTCAAAAGCAGACGCCACTGAAATAAATTATAATGCACGTGAAACAACAATGACACTAGTATAATAAAATAATCTATTAGGCCATACGACACCGGAAAAAAAATATAGGTAAATAGCAAGAGTACCTCGAAAAAGGGTCGTCCGAAAAGTGGGGTTATGGACACGCTATTGGGGCTCTTCCATCTCTGTCTCTACCAGGAAAGCTACATAGCGCCGGTGTAAAGTGCAAAGGCAGTCTGAGTGCTGTATATATCGTTGTGCTAACGGAAACGCTCATGGATTATGATTGGTGATAGAGCGGGGCTGTTGGTGAGACGGCTTCTCTTATGCAATTCTTTCGTGACTCGTGAGATTATCGTCAAATGCTTCGCTGAACGCTGCATCGCTGGGGCCGGGGGTTGCGCATCAAGGGGTATCAAAGGTCCGACCCATGCTCTCAGAAAGGAATCAACATGTTAAGGAAAATATTGTTGGACGACGTTTGTCCAGGTTCTCACGGTTCCAATGCTCCCAAGTTTCCTAGCTCGTTCTTGCAAAACATCAATGTTTTGCTTGCCGTCGAGTATCACCTCGTCCGGCTGATGTTTGACAATTTGATGTCTGGGTAATTCTTACCATCCTCCTGCGGGCTCAAGTCGCCGCGATTGTGACTGGAAGTAACCATCAAATACGCTTAGTTCCGGTTTCCGGGGTGCCTCTGAGATATCCACCAACGCAGCTGCAGTTGCAGTGCTTACATTGAGTGATGAAGCAGCTTGCCCACTGTAACCCCCACCGTCTAAACTTCGCCGCCTGCCTCCTGTGGCTTTCCCGCTGCCTAGACTAGCGAGGATGAAACTCATCTTGATACGCTCTTTAGGCCTGGGCAATAGCATCTTCTCGATAATGCTCAACCACTCAGCTTCCGCTTTCAGCTGTCTCAGTCTCCTACTGGATCCAATGAGTCCGTTCCTTAGGCCGGATGTAGTTGCTGCGTGCAGTCGGTTGCGCCAGCTCGCAACCCGATCGAGATGAGCATGAAATGACGCGTCTTGCGTCGAGCCTGCTCTGTACTGGGTAAATATGGATAATGACTGGTTTTGCGCTACTGTCATCATAGACAGAAAGACGCAGGCTAGCGAAAAGACGTCCGCCATTCGCTTTCCACGTGATACGATCGCTTCTGGCGCGGCGTAGACATAGGACTGATCCTGGAAATAGGTGTTTAGTTGGTCTAGGCGTTGAGAGTTGGCCATACTCGGACTGAACGTGTCGACACTCTGACCGATCTCGAACGGTGCCAATAAAATCCTGGTCCCATTAATCAAAATCTTACGAGGCCGAATGCTGCGGTGGCATATCGACTGCGAATGAAGGTATTCAAGCGCCGAGGCCAGATCATACATCCAGTCGACGAGCATCTTTGAACGACTTGCGTCGTTGCCAGGAAGTGCCAAAAACTCATCCAGACTGTACTTGGCTTTTTCTGTGACAATGCCGACATGACTTGGTTGTGCATAAGAACACAACAGCTTGGCAATGTTCTTGTGTTCATATTGCTTGAACTTGGTGATCTGCTCGAGTACTGCTGCCTTTTGAGATGGTCGAGTGATAACGAATCGTTTTCGCACTAAGACGCGGTCATCGTTGGTCCCTAGCATTCGTACCCGGTCAACGCTCTTTTCAGAGTTTCTAGAGGATCGAATCAGACCAAGATGCTGCAACGGTACCGTCTCGCGTGCGGTAAAATCCACGTGGGTTCCAGTCAACGGCAGTTCCTTGGATGTAGCGCGCCACTGCTCTTCTACAACCTTTCGAGCGTTTGCCACGATGCCCTGCAGACGGTCCTCTGGGAACGGTAAGCTCTCATCTCTGAGATCGAAGAATGATGCTTGTCGCCATGATGCCACGTCGTCGCATACAAACAAAAGGATTGCTAGCCTAGGGTTCGACAACGTCCACTGCCATATCTTCCTCACTAGCCCGGCATCCCACCCTTGCTTACGACAGAGTTCGTAGAACCACCCGGATAAGGACTGGCCTTGCGAAGACAATATGGAGGTGTTTATGTAACCGTTTACTAGAGGCGTCAGAGGTGCAATAGGTTGCCGATAGGGATTAGGTGAGCCCGGGAAGCCCGGCATAGGCGAGCCGGGGTAGTCAACGCTCCTGAATGACTCTCCGGTTGAAGAAGGGGGTGGTGACATGTGCGCAAAGCCTGCTACCGGATTGATCGGCCTGAGGGGTTGAGGTGCAATGGGCGTTGTCGATCGGCTTGTGTACTGCGGGGTACGGTTCGGACTGTCCCTTGGCGATGAATTGGTTGACTTTGTCGAATTGGTCGAATATGTCGAGCCTGGACTTGCCATGATGATGTTTGACCACGGGTTATTGTTCGTGGTCGTAGGTGTTGTACTCCGACTGGTGCAAGATGAGACGGATGAAGCCGTAGGCGACGAGGGTCCTCGATTGTTATACCATGTCTGATCATCGTGAAGATTCACCATGGATATGGTGTGCTGAAGACTGTACTGAGGCTTGGGGTAGTCTGCCGCAGACGTTCGCCATGGTGAGGCCGAGGCGTGCTGCATTGCTGCAAAACTGGAAGTTGTTTCTATCGGGTACACGAAACGTGACCAACGAGGAGCAATGTAGATGGCGTGGAGTGTGGGACTGAGTTGCAGGCGGGAGGATGTTTGGGCTAAGAGAACCCAGGAAGAAAAGCAAAAAACAAAGAAAGCATATCAGCGTAACAGAGCGAGGAACGTGAGAGACGATGAAGAGAGTTGGGTCCAGGCGCCCCAGTCAGTAGAAGAAGTACAGCAGCACCTTTCGGGCTGATCCCACTGCTCCCAACCCTCTGACGGGGCAGCGTAAGGCTTCATCCAGCAAAAGCGCAGAGGCTTTGATGTGCTGGCAATTACTCGCCTGCATTCTGGAGTGCATTAGCAGAGGGCGACAATATACGGCCTTGGGTAGGTGTGTTGGGCGAATGCACACTGGGCACGAGGCCACCCTTGCGGGTTAGTTGTATGCAGGCGAACGTGGCCAGCTCAGAGTCGCCTCTTGCGTAAAGGCGGAACTTGTGCATATGTTCGCAGCCAGACGTTCCTGTATGGTGCCAGATCATCGAGAAATCATATGTGTAGCGCACGAGCCGTCCCGAACCCAGCATGCTCCGTTCCTTGCGACCCGTAGTATTCGCAATGTTGCAGAAAGAGGCTGTCAGTTTGCTGCAGGACCAGAGGCTACGTGCCGCAAGCAATGACACAGGGACGCAGGACCGTCCTGCTTTATCATGCGCAAGGTCCCTATTGGCGCACTTGAGAGGGCCTGGAGATGCAGTTTGCTGCTTATCTGCCGGGTGGTGAGGCTGGAGGGCCACGATGTCTCGCGTCGCCCAGCTCACCGTCTCTTCTGGGCAACCCGCGCGGCGAGGAAGAACATGGCTCCGACACGGAGGAAATGTGACGTGCCTCGACGATTGAGAGGGGTGCTGGGAGACGTGATTTGATGTTTAGCATCCCATTGTCGTACAGTTGATTATTTGATGGCGATACAACGTCTTCCACGGCCGGGCGTCACAGGCGGGGCGGCAATGGCGGTCAGCTCCTGTGTCAATATGGCTTGCTCTTGAGATGGCCGATGTCGATGACCGACCGCCGTGTCTGAAGCAGAAGCAGGAGGCGTTCGCCTGCACCACAGAGCCTCAAGCCATAGCCCTGGGAGGGTCTGGGACGGGGTCGTGGGGGAGAAATTGAGGGTGAAACCGAGCTGCCCGGCAGACGCGGCACGATTGGCCCTCATTGGCTGTTGACGCGGGCTCACGTGCGCAAATGGTCCATCTGAAGCGCCCCTAGTTTTGGCAGTGCGCCGCGACTTGACACCTCAACACCAATTGTCTCAAGGGGTCCAGTATCGTCATGCCAGACCGACTCCACCGCCAAATCGATCTGCTGCTAGCAGAAGCTTGGTTGGCGTCCACCGGGTTGCGCTCCCAGTTTGCTAATTTAAGCTGGATCCTAGCCGCTATGGGATGAACGCATAGAAGTATCCCATGCCATCCGTTGCAGCCTCAATCAGAATCAGTCTCAACTCTGCCATGGAGTCTCCGTCCAGGCTTGCTGCTGCTCTGCGAGTCTGATGGCCCTCCAGAGTCACGCCATTGCAAGCCCACCGTTTGACCCGCACGAGCGCGACTCTCGCAACTCTCGCATCGCGTTTCTCCGTTCTGGTGCTCTCTTATTCGTGTCTGCGCGCCTTACGTTTTCTAATATTGACTCCCGGTAGAGCCGGTTTCCTTTCAGTAGTGTTTGACTTTTCGTCCCTTCGCTCCTTTGAAGCTCACTGCTCACCACTCTCCTTCTACCACGCTGCTGGGCAGCCCGGCAACATTTCTACTATCGACTTTAATACAACAGTCACGACTAATACCGCTCTTTAACATGTTGTTCAAAGGCGCCTTGGTGGGTGGTCTGCTCGCTGCTGGACACGCAGCTGCCTTCAAGGGTGCCCAGGTCAACGCGCTCCTTCAACCCGGTGATGATGTGGAGGAAGTACTGCGAAGGGACGCAGAACTGATGGCTACCCTCACTCGACGACAAGACGCAAATGCACCAGACACTGCACCTCTCGCATCGTTAACGCCCGCATCTGGTGACGCATCGAAAGGCAACCTTGCGGAATGGGAAAAACAAACGCGAGAAGCTTGTATGAACACGCTAGGAAGTCTCAACGGTCAAGCGTCAAATCCAAGCGGAATTGCCGTATGCTACAATGTTCCATTCCTCGACAACCAGACCGGCGTCTTCCAGGCTGAGTTGCGAATGTACAACGTATCAGCGCCCGTGAACCCATGGGTTGGCGTGACCGCTGCCGATTGCAGCATGACATTGTCATACCTCGGCGCTACGGTGCAGAACATGAACGCCAACCTTACGAAGCGAGACATTAGCTGGCCGCCAATGGGCGCAGCAGAACCTCGTGGTGGGCTTCTGGTGGAGAGGCAGGACATCAAGACCATGACGGAGCTCAAGGTGCTGATGTACGTTGGCAGAGTGAACAGCAACCTCATGGGTTCTGCTATGACCAAGTACGCACAAATCACCTCCTTGTATCTGTTACAGTTACTAATATATTATCAGAGAGGCTCTCCAACCCCTCCTCATCCCGCAAATTGACCTCTCCGCCCGGAATCCCCTTACCAACCAAGATATAGAAACAACGCTCTCCTCCCAGGAGGCTTCTTTCGTCAATGGGATTTTCTCAAAGGCAGCCAGTGGTCCTACCAATGCCGACCCCCAAGCCGCAGCATCTGCCTCAGCCGCCGTATCCTCTGCTGCACCGTTCGTCGTCCCTGGAACTTCGTTGGCTTTCTTCCCAATCGGTCTTGTCGTCACCTCAGTCTGGGCTCTATTCTTCTTCCTGGCCGTAGGGCTAGGCACGTACGGTCGCATCCAATACCGCGATCAGTACCGAAGGCGCGTGAGGGCTGAGGAGGCGCGAGGTGTGCGCACCATCTAATCTCGGCCGTTTTGTATCTCCTGTCTTTCAGGACCTAGACTGAGTGTTTCCCTTGATTGAAAATTACGTCGCTTGAATACCCATTCTCTTTTAAACACTGTATATAATTGAAATGGGGCGAGCGAGCGTTGAACCATCTTGTTTCGTTACATCCTGGCGATGCCCCTTTGGTAGCAGTAGAGTTGGGCGACGGAATTCGGCAGCTCGCGAGTGTAGAATCAATACAAAAAAAAACTGGATTCAACCACTACACAATTTCGTTCCAAGTGAACTCGAAGACACTGCAAGGACATGGCTTCATCATTTTGTTCTTCTCAAAGCCCCCAGGAAAAATATTTACGAGAAGAATTTGACACATGGCGACGTATTCGGCACCAATTCGCTTAACACTGTACTTAATTAACGCCTAAATAGCAGTCAAAGCCGGCACCAAGCAGACTTGGAATGTAAAGTCAACGATATGAGGCGAGTCATACTCAATGGCGACGAAATAAGTAGTACGGACGCGGGGCCAGGGCTGGAAAAGTGCAAGCCTAAAACCCCGCTTCTAGCCGTCCGCGATACGATTGGCCATTTGACTAGCAATCGCACCCGCAGTATCCACAACGCGACATCGCGCCCTACGGATGAGCCGGTGCTACAGATGGAGTCATCCATCTCGTTTTCATTTCTCTGTACTTGATTGAGTTGACTCACTATTCATTTGCTGCCTAGATATATAAAGGCATAGACCTCAGGAAAACATAGATTCATCATTATCGCTTCTAACGCAAACGCAACGCATCGGTTTTGGAAGAGTCATGCCGTCATTGTCGTCTTTGAGTCTCGGTTCGAGTTTGGAGGTGAAGACGAAGGATGGCGTGAAATTTGGAAAAGAACTGAGGGAGAAGGAGTTTCTGTTCGATAAGGGGTATTTGAACCTGAATCATGGTAAGAAAATTATGTTCTGCGTCAAATTTCTGACAAAGGCTTTTTCAACAGTTGAGTCTCGGGGCCTACTTTCCTCCATGTCTATGTTCAAGTCTTCAACGTAATATTTCTTTTCACAATCAACTTGGATGGCTATCATGCTGGAATTTAGGTCATTTGCATGTAAACTGTAGATGTTCTGTTATTTGGCCTTCCTTTCATATTGGTGGTCTGAACTAAAAATCGTTTTTCCTACATTTCACACTCTAACAACATCAGGATCTTTCGGAACTTACCCCCGCACCGTCCGCGACACGATGCGTTCCTTTCAAGACGCAGCAGAAGCCCGCCCAGACAAATTCATCCGTTACCAGTATCCCGAACTCGTCGATGAATCCAGAGAAGCAGTGGCAAAAGTTCGTCTTTCTTTAACACACCTTCCCCCTTTTGCTATCTTCTAACACCATCCCAGCTTCTCAACACCCCCTCTTCAACCGTGGTCTTCGTCCCAAACGCAACAACGGGCATAAACACCGTATTGCGAAACTTGACATTCGAATCCGGTGATCACATCCTCTACTTCGCCACCATCTATGGCGCGTGCGAGAAGACGGTCGCCTACATCACCGAGACCACACCTGCTTCATCGGTCAAAATCGAATACTCGTATCCCGTCGAGGATGACTGGCTCGTCTCCGAGTTCAAAAGTAAAGTGAAGGAGGTGGAGGCCAAGGGTGGTAAGTACTTGAAAAATACGGAAAAGACGTGTGCATACAGATGGCTGACTCCGTTGCAGGCAAAGTCAAAGTTGCCATCTTCGACACTATAGTTAGTATGCCAGGTGTTCGTGTCCCCTTTGAACGTCTCATCACCGCTTGCAAAGAGCTGGGTGTTTTGAGCTGTGTGGATGGGGCGCATGGTGTGGGCCACATTGAATTGGATCTGACGAAGTTGGATCCGGATTTCTTCGTGAGCAATTGTCACAAGTACGTTCTCCCAGTTGATTAACCACCTTCTCTCGATTTTCTTGGCTATTTTGAGAATGGGATCGCTAATGAAAACTGCAGGTGGCTACACGTCCCCCGCGGCTGTGCTGTGTTCCACGTCCCTGTTCGAAACCAGCACCTAATGCGCTCCACACTCCCTACATCACATGGTTTTGAGCCCCGTGGTTCTCAGGTCGCTTCGCCGTTTCCGAAGTCTGCGTTCGTGGACGCGGGCAAGTCAAAGTACGTTGGCAACTTCGAGTTTGTCGGCACCATCGACAATACACCATACCTGTGTGTCCCAGCTGCTCTGGAGTGGCGTGAGAGTATCGGTGGTGAAGAGGTGATCAGGAACTACTGCTCAACGTTAGCGCAGGAGGCCGGAAAACACTTTGCCAGCGTCTTGGGTACGGATGTTCTGGACAACAGCACCAAGACTCTGAGTCTATGCTGTATGTCGACCGTGCGGCTGCCCATCTCGGTAGCTAAGGCACAAGACGTGGCGGCCCAAAATGGCCTCGAAAAGGATGAGGTTGGAGGGTTAGTCAGGGACTGGCTGAGTCGCACGCTGCTGGATGACTATGGAACATTCATCCAGACAGTGTTTCATGGGGGGAGCTGGTGGGGACGGCTGAGCGGGCAGGTGTATCTCGACATGAGCGACTTTGAGTTGGGAGCAGAGACGCTGAAGACGATTTGCGAGAGGGCTGAAGCTGGTGAGTGGGCTGCTGCTAAACCTAGTAAGTTGTGAGTGCATCAGGGGTCGGCTGGACATCTTCATAGCACTTGGCAGGTGTCGAACAAAAAGCAGAAAGGGTTCTTTAGCGATCCATCATGGTGTTAGACGTCAATTCTTATCCGTTAGTGTCTAAATCAGGTATATCTCACATCAACACATTCAAAGATCGCTCCCATATCACCACAGCAGTCCTATATTCCGCCTTAGATTCCTCTTTATCAATCGACAGGTAGTATGAGCGGGTCCCGGGGGATGATGTTGAAGAAGCAAAGGTCGTACCGCCGAGCTAGTGAGGGTAACGCGAAACCTCGGGGCACAGGTTGAACACGTCACCACCGCAGCTCTTGCACTATCGCGAAATCAGTCTAACATACCTACTATACTAATACACCAGCGCTGGGAGAAGACTCACCTCGGGGTTGCGGTGGCACACATGCTCACGGCAAGTCTGCGTACAACCTGTCTGGCCTGTGGAATGGCCGTTCTGCATCCGCATTAGCCCCCGAAAGCCTCATCTTATATTGGTAGCTTACTTTGACGCAGAAGTCGTACATGCCAGTGCACCACCCGCAATCAACGTCAGCGCGGGCTTCGATCTCGAAGCCTCCCGGGGCTGGGATAACAGCAATCACGGCAGCGGCGAGCGCAGAGATGATAGTGGCGATCTTCATATTGATTATTGTCGTTCGTAGTTTAACCAAGAAGGTTGAACGGTCCAAGATTGAGATATGTTGTCTTGTTGGTATGTACAGCCACTGGAGGAGCGAGAGCGATTATGTGCAGTAAGAGCGAGCAAGCTACAGGGTGTGAAGAAAAGACAAATGAAAGCGCGGAAAGCTAAGGCAAGCTTAGACTCGCGCTAGTGGAGGGGATTGTACCTGAGTGAATGATAAGTGGGTGTTCGGGTAGAGGTAGGTGGTCACTGGTCAGGTGAAGGGGGTCGGAGCGTTTGCACGGGTCAGCAGTCAACAAAACAAACTGAATAGCTCCAGCAAGCTTACGGGACCTGGTCTATGAAATCCAAAGTCCGTGAAGAGGGCTTCACGATCTGAAAGAGCCGCATTTGGTAAGGCGACTGGAGAGAAGATAGGTGTAGGTCCAGTACATGTGTCCAGCAACCTACAATGACGCATACGGTATTGAAACTGAAGTGCATGTGGTCGAGGACATTGGTATCCAGGATGACTCACAGTCATGGCGAATTCGAGTTCTTGAAGATCACGCTCTCACAATTGATAACTGGTTTCCACGAGGGACTGATCTATTGGGAGAGGCCTAAGTGTGGATTTAGTATTTTTAGCGACAGGTGCGTTACTGACAAGCTGGAGTGAGATTTTTGTAGCTAGCGTATCTATGCGTACTAAGAAGGGCCGGTCTTGGCGATAGGATGGTGTAGTATAGAAATGAATTGGGTATCTTAAGAATCAAACGCCTTGCATGCTGTTTCCTCCTCTGCCCCAGACATGCTATCTCTTCCTTGTCCGTTTTGGGACCGGTTTTGTCTTATTACGGTTTGTTCGTCGAGTGGTAGGCGCACTGTCTTCTGCTGACTCGGCACTAGACTCCTCTTCATCGCCATCCTCTTCGTCGTCTTCTGCAGACTCTGATACGGTTGACTGAGCCTTGCTGTTCTTGGCTGTACTGGCGCTAGCCTTTGTACCCTTCCCACTCTTCGTAGTTGCTCTACTAGCCCTGGTGCTCTTAGAAACTTTCGGTGTCGGTGTCGCATCCTCTACACTCTCTGCCTTACGGGACCGCGCGCTCTCGGGTAGGTCTTTGAGAAGACCAATGCCTGGCGCGTAAAGGTCTTTGTCGTCTTCGGTTGGTATCATGGGTGGCGAGGATGCTGAGGCGGAGGCTTCACTGTGGAAGCGCTTGTGCCACAGTAACTCGCCAAACTCATCCTCTGGCAGCTCGAAGTCGGGAATGGTAGCGGCTTCTTCAGGATCAACCGGGTCTGGGTCTTCGGAGAAGGCAAACTCATTTTCGCGGGAATCAAGCGTGCCTAGGTCGTATAGCTGATTCAGCTTCTTCCATATGCCGGGTATGCGTGTATGCGGTGCGTCTTCGGTTGCGAATCCGTGCGAGCGCATGTCGTTGTGGATACTGATCATGCGAAAGTGCTTGTGGAAGCCTGAAGATGCGTCAGTTGAGCTTCCAATTGGCGTGTACCATGCTGTACTGACCAGTTGGCTTCCACTTCATCATGCTCTTGAAGAGCTGTGCCTCCTGCTCGTCGGCCCAAACATCGCCCAGCAGATCATCTTGCGATTGGGAGACTCCAGAATCCTGGGGCGTCTTCGCCTGCACGTCTCTCAGGGGAGTAGAGGCTGCGCTGGCCTTTGCCTTCTTTCGCGGGGGCATGATTGGTGTCCTAGGTGGCTTGTGACGCGAGATGTGGAGATGAAAACCGTTGCGGACGCTGCGAGGGGACGTCGCGAAGCTGCAGGAACAGTGAAGGAAAGGTGCAAGGGTCCGCGTAGGGCTGAACCGCGGGAAGGTTTGGCGCGTCATGCCCCTCCGCAACCCACAACTCCCCCATCCATCAACATGGATGCCGACGACCCAACACACAATGTCTTCAGCAGTGATCACCTGTGGAAGCAGTCCACGCTGTTGGAGGACCATGGGACATACGGATCATCTCTCTTCGCCCCCCTACAGCTAGACAGTAGGTCCCGTCGCGTCACCCAAAGGAAACGCGTCCAGCAAGATTAACCGTTCCTAGTCCCCTCAATCAAGTTCGACCACCCGTATGCGCCCAAGCATGACCTTAATCGCGAACTTCGCTTGCCGGATTTGGACACGTTCGAGTTTGGGCCGCTACCAGAACTCGATAGCCTCGATGAATCCAGCGTATCGATTGAAACCCCTCCTCTTGAGCCGGAAGAAGATGTTTGGGAGGCAGCATTCGAGCTGGGACCGGTGAACAGAGATGTTCTCTTCTACACATGGGAAGCATTTGAGAGGGGCTACCACGCTGAGAGTCGCACACCGTACGTGACCGAACGCGGTCCAGAGGCCGTCGATGCAGCCTTAGCAAACGATGCGGACAAGGTCAGTGCAGGAAGGATCGTCAAGGGAGATGCGCTCCTACTGTCGCTTTGGAACTTGGGTCTTGGCCGCTCGTCCATCTTGTTCCAGTTCAACCCAAAACTAAAGACTTTCGAACCTGCAATACCAGATGGCCGTGCTTCAGGTCTCAGCCTCCGTGCTGCCCAGAGCTTGACTGCACAGTTCCTCCACACTGGAAACACATTCTTGTATCTCAGATCATTCGCTGAACGCACATTTGCATCAACCTCATCCATCCCTGCAAAGGTGGCCTTGGCGACATCGGTATCCAGTATCCTCTCCACGTTAGAGGATAACCTAGGGAAACAGTCTACGAGAATCAGATCACTCATTCAGCTCCAGTATCAATTTGCGAAACCTCGCGAGATATTAATTCACGTTGCGCGCATGGTGGATGCAACAAAGCACGCCAAGACTAATGAGCAGCTATCATCTATCCTACATCACCGCCTACTGGAACTCGAAGAGGGCGAGGAGTATCTTCGTCAACTATCAAGTGAAGTCCTGCGTTACGTAGCGGGGCCTAGTCTAGAATTGCTAGGTGAATGGATTGGTATTCAAAAAGAACAGCAAACTGCGCCCATCTGGGAACGAAACAGCTTCGTGGCCATTGAGGACGCCTCAGCTGATCCAGCATCACGGGAGTTTACTTATCGATCGGAGATGATGCCGAGATTCATCACTCCGGAGGACGGCAATACCATCTTCGAAACTGGCAACAGTCTCCGATTCTTGAAGACGCAACATCCAGATCATCCACTGGCTCGCACAGAAAACTCAGTACTTCAGCCTCCAGAGTTAGAGTGGGGTTTCAGGTGGCAGGATATTGAAGCGATTGCCACTAAAGCAAAAGACTACGAAAACCGGCTTCGGGGGACGCTTCTACATTTCAGCAAAGGCTCGGCTATTGTTGCACAGAAGTGCACAGCCCAAACCACGGTGGATCCTGCGTCAGAAACCCAAATTCAAGGGCGAGATCTGGAAAAATACTTCCAGGATTCCATACGTCTGTTAGACGCCCTACCCAAGCCGTCTTCGAATATCTTACCCGACGAGTTACAGATAGTGATGAATGATATATTAGGCACGACAAAAGATAACTCGACGCACTCCATAGACTTTTCTCCGCCACTCGCCCTAGTGTCAGCTCTATCCTTCCGCCCACTACTCACTGCTCAAGCGAAGTTAGTCAATGCGGCCACTGTTCGCTTGGTCCTAAGATCACACCATCTACGGCTTCACCTGTCTTTGCAGCGGCAGTACCACCTTCTAGGTGACGGGGTCTTCTCATCTCTGTTGGCGACTGCTCTCTTCGACCCTGAACGGGAGAGTGCCGAGCGGCATAAAGGCCAAATGCGGAGCGGTGTGCACATGGGCTTACAGCTAGGCTCTCGGACATCATGGCCTCCAGCCAGTTCAGAACTTCGACTCGCACTACGCGGGGTTCTGAGTGAGAGCTATTATTCATCAGCATTATACCAGTCCACTCAAAAGGTGGGAGACATCGTATCGACAGGCATGCCGATCACAGGTAGAGACAATGATGAGCTTCCCGGGCAGCTGAACTTCGCCATTCGACACCTCACCGAAGCTGAACAAGAAAAGGTTATGGATCCAGACGCACTATCTGCACTTGACTTCCTCCGCTTGCAATATGTGCCCCCGGCTCCACTCAATCTTATCATTACGAGCTCAGCGCTAGACAAGTATGATCTTGTATTTAAGTTTCTTCTCCGTCTTCTGCGTATGCTGTTTGTCGTTTCACAGCTTCCACGCCACTACTCTTTCCTCGAAGCTCGCCGTTTCAGAATGGAGGCTCACCACTTTGTCACTATGCTTGCAAACTACGTCTTCCAAACCGGCATTGCAGAACACTGGAACAACTTTGATTCTTTTGTCAGCACACTCGAGACAAAACTTGACGAGGAAGATGCAGCCGGCGAAATCGGCACACGCGTCGTAGAAGGTATCGCCTCGTTGCGCGATGCGCATGAGAAGTGTTTGGACAGCGTCTTGTTCTCCTTGTTGCTGCGCAAACGACAGCGCAAGATCATGGGGCTTGTGGAAGAAATTTTCGACCATGTCCTGCTCTTTGCGAAGATACAAAACCGCGGTGCGAAAGCCAATGATAGTGTGAAAGAACTATATTCAAAGTTGAAGGGCAAAATTCGAGTGTTCTTGAGTGTTTGCAAGGGCTTGTCAGGTAAGAGAGGTTATGGCAAAGGTAAAGGAACCGCAGAGGAAAATTCGATGGAGAGGCTGGTTGTGGGTATGGAGATGAATGGGTATTTTGCGGGGTCGTAAGGAGCTCTCGATGAGGTTAAGAATGCGAGCTTACGCGAGCTATCCTACACTCGTATCTTAGATCGACAGGGATTGTCTAGCTGGACACTCCACTACTTACACGCGTCTAAAATATACGTGTGCCTACGATAGTACTATGCGTATAAAGCATCTTGCTGGCACCCTCAATATCCCACTCAACAATCCTCACCTCATATCCAACATGTCGAGCATACAACGCTCCCACGCCCTCGACAATCTCCGCATCTCCCTCACGGCACTAGTCATTGTACACCATGCAGCCATCCCCTACGGCGGCGCAGGATCATGGCTTTACACCTCCCCTCACCACACACCGGGATCTTCTATCCCAGTACTAGCATTTAATGTTATCAACCAAACCTTCTTCATGGCCACTTTCTTTCTCCTATCGGCATATTTCTCCAGTATAGCAGCTCAAAGGCGCACAAGGAGAGCTTTCTTGTGGGAAAAATGGAAGCGACTCGGCGTGCCTACGGCTGTGTATAGTGTGATTTCGAAAGGTGTTGTTCGAGGCATCATTACATGGAGACTGCATGACGCGGGGTGGGCTGTTGTTTGGAAAGAGGTTTTGGAGGGTGTCAAGGGTGTAAGGGGAGTATCAGGTCCAGTGTGGTATTGTGCTTTGCTGCTTATTTTTGATACGTTGTATGCTGTCCTCTTCCCGTCGCAGTTCACGGAAGCGATACCTACGCCACGAAACGCAATGCCTTCTAGCAAAGCACCTCCTTTCCGCACGACCTACGTCCTCATCGCTCTATCCTCTATATCAGTTATGTCTTTCCTGGTTCGGACCGAATATCCCGTGGGACTCGATTTCAAACCTCTTTGTCTCCAATTAGCCTTCGTCTCGCAATACGCTCTCTACTACATCGCCGGAATCTGCATTCACCGCTCAGACCGCACACTACAGGAAGCGATCATACCTCGCACTCTCCGACACTTAGCTGCGCTAGCCATCGGAGTCACTACTTTTAGCCTCTTCCAAATAAAGTCCTATGTCACCTCCGGTGGGGTCTTTATCGATGTCGTAGAGCAAGCCACAGGCGGCGTAAACCTCTTCGCCCTCCTATACGCATTCTGGAACGAAGTCACTGGCCTACTACTCTCTTCCGTTCTCCTCAAATTGTTCACTAGTCACAGAATGCTGGGGAAGAAGTGGCAGCCCTTCGGCGTCGACCTCGGGAAGTACAGTTACGCTTCCTTCTTAGTGCATACGCCTCTACTCGTGGACATGCAGTGCTTCTTTGGCAAGGGCGAGTTTGAGAAGAGAGGAGCAGTTTTTACGGCGATGACCGTGGGCATGCTGGGGGTGGTGGAGAGTTGGGGAGTCGGCTGGCTATTGAAGGAGGGTGTGGATAGGCTTGTTGGAAGAGGTTACGTTTAAGTTACAGGAGGACGATTGACTGACTGCACGAAGATAGGAAGTCAGAGGGTATTTCTGGCTGACGTGTTCTTTCTCTATGGCGATTTTGAAAGATGCACGTAGAAAAGCATTGACACACCTGATATCAGCCATGACCTGAATATGCTCAGGCCCCGTACGCACTGTCCGCTTCGAGATCCTTCATTGTTCTTCAAAATGTCAGTCATGATATAACATAGTCATTGCTTGAAGAGTCAACATATTCACAGTATGAGGAGTCAGCGCAGTCGTAGTATAAAGAATCTACCATTCCTCGTATTTTTATACAGAATCCACAACCAACACCCAATAACGAAATTAGCGACCGGTCCTCAAAACCCATCGGAAACAATTATCCCGAATAACCGATTAATAAGTTTACTTCATACCGACCACAAACATGTGCGTTGTCACCGTAGCAATATGTCCAGTATGCAAAACGAACAATAGCTCCCCTTACAAGGTAGAAGAAGACGAATCTAAACTTGAATGGAATTATTGTGACGACCGGGGAACTCCGGGGCACGAAGAAACATGGGAAACCCCGCTAGGAGGGAGGCGTTGTTCCTCCTGTACGCGAGATGCCAAAAGACTAGGCGCGGTGAAGAAAGATTTGGAAAAAGCCGAACTGCGTAAGCAAGAAAAGGAGAAGAGGGATCAAGAAGCTATAGATCAATATTTGAAACGAAGAGACACTGATGAAAGGTCAGATGAACAAAGGAAGACGGTTCATGACCTTTGGGGCATTGGAGGAAATGGGGAGGGAAGTGCGGGCGGGGCTGCATGAAAGTATGAGTGTGTGGACAGAGATGGGCTGTGGCGTTACGGGTCATTTGGCATGTTTGGTGTGAAAGGCGATACTGTTGTCTGGTTTGCATTTGGAAGGTGCTATATCTACTCTATGCTGAGCATAGATAATCATGTATTTGTTTATTACTTTTGGCGATAGATTGATTCCCAAGCTTCAAATTAATTTCGAATCTGTATGATCAGTACACAGAATCTTTGGAAGAGAGTCGGGGATCCACCATAGCATAGAGGTCTCTTATTATGCTTGGACTAATTGTGGTCATGAAGCGTACATAGGCTGGTTTACGGCACCTATGTTATGCGAGAATTGTGAAAATTGCGAGATAGAATCAAATGGGAGGCGCGATGGGTTGAGGGACAAGTAATCGAACGGTGGATGGTAGACTAGAATGCTGGATTGCAGTAACTTGGTACTGCTTTTTTTTTGTATATTTTGACAATTAACTTCTGAGAGTACACTTAATTGACTTTGTTGAATCGAGTTATGAACTCGTTCACAAACATCTAACATGAGAATGTAACATGCTCATAGCCGCTTATTTTCCAGATCCGATACTTGAAGATACCCATGATGAAGATGACGCATTGCTAACTTATCTTAAGGGCAATGAAAAGCTCAACAATACAACGTAGCGGCCGCATAGTTCTTTATTTGATCATGTTGTTTTGTTGCACTGACAGGAACCATCTATTACCCTGACTTTGCTTGCTACCATATGCGAGTCATAGCCGATGCACAAAATAGGCAGTGCGCGTCAATTTACAGTTTTGTAATTTTAATTCGTTCGTGGAGGATAGATATAGATTGGGTTTAGGGTCAATATATAGTGCTAAGCATACTGGTTGTCATTTACTCATTCTAAAATTGAGGCTGTATCCCAATTACATACTCACTCGATCCACGTGATATTGTACAGTGCTGTATGATTCATGTCTGTGTAACATCCCTTGACTGACTCTTAAGTATAAGTACAGTCAAGCAAACCGTACTCGCAACCTAAGTGCCGTATTATATGACAATTTGACTGCGTCAAGCTACCCGCCCACATAATCCACACGCTCGTTTCAGGATCTGTGAGTAATTTGTAGCAATGACTGTAAGCAGTCATTATGTGCAAATATAAATAGTCGCTCCCAATCTGACAATCAATCTTCTCTAATAATGACAATTTGTTTTGATACCACTAGAACAACGGTTCCGACGGCGAAAGCTCCACCTGCCCTTCTATACGACTAAATTAGCACCACTTAAATCCACATCAAGACAAATAACCACGAGTTGAGTAGATACAGATCTAATTAACATATACACATCACTATGTGTCGCCGAGTTCGAACGGTCTGCTTCGAATGTAGAAAAGCCGGGCCTAAAAGGCATCCATACACTAACCCCTACCATAAGCTGGAATACTGCCCTGGCCACTTTCCGGGTGCAACCGCGGAACAAATAGCGAATTGCCGTGGTGATGGCATGCCTAAGGACGAGCTAGACGTGATTGGAAATATGGTGTGTATGGATTGTCTTAGGAAACGGGGAGTGGAGTTCACGCAGGATGAGGAGAGGGAAAGAGAGAGAGAGAGGGAGAAGGAGAGGGAAATGGAGAGGGTAAAAGAGGAGAACGCAAAGAGAGAGGAAGCGAAGAATTTGAAAGCTAAGGAGAAGCAGATGAAAGCGGAGGAGAAAGCGAGGCTTGCTCAAGAGAGGGAGAGAGAGAGGGAGAGAAATAAAGAGGAGAAGACGAGGAAAAAGAATGAGGAGATGATTAAAAATGCTGAGAAAAGAGCGGAGGCGTTAAGGGAGAGGCTTAAAGTAAAGAATGATGAGAAGATGAAGGCGTATATAAAAGCGCAGGAGGACGACAATGATAAGAAGAGGAAGAAACAAGAGGAGTTTATATTGTGGAATCCTGAGGAGGAGAAGGAGAAGAAGAAAAAGAAGAAAACCCAGGGGAAGGACACTGGGGCTGCGAAGAGTAATGTTGGAGCGGCGGAATCGTCGGGAGGGCAGCAAAATTAGGGTTCTATGGAGAGGGAGATGGGAGGGCTCCTTTACACTATATATTCTCTTACAATGTCTGTTCCCTTATACTCTCTGTTCCAAAGGCCATGTTCATCTCTACGGGGTGGTATATCGAACGGAGGATAAAGTGTCTGGGTGTTCTTGACTGCAGACCACGGGAGATCATGTAAACAAACCCACCTAAATATGCTTGACTGTATTCTAGGACTGATTCAATCACTTCAACAATGTGGAAGGGTGCGAGAAGTATTGTGAATGTTCGACACGTGGCGCACAGACCAGTCGGGGAATCTAAGACCGATCCGATGGCTGCGGCGCGATGGCGACTTGTGCGCGGCGGGCATTTCTTTCGACTCTGACGTCCTTGTGGACACGACACACTCCAACAAAATGGCGCCGCTTGTTGACGACCCCAAGATACAGCAGTCGAGCCTGCACAATCCGCTGCCGCTGCAGCTGCACACCTACGTTTGGCCATTTCTGATAATATGGCCCGCCTGGTCTGCCATCTATCTTTCGACAGAGCGCTACGAGAAATACATCCAATCCTCGGAATGGACATTTGTCTGGGTCGCCACCATCCTCACTTTCCAGTCGCTGTTCTGGCTCATGACCCATTGGAACGTTAACTTGAAAAGTGCCTTCACCACCACGTCGGCCCGCGACGTTCGCTCCGCACAACTTATCAAAGTCCACCCCATCAAGAACGCGGGTGCGGCTGAGATCTGCAAATTGGTGCGCGACAATGTCGGTGGAAAACCTAACCTTTCGTTCCTCTTCCAGAAGCGCCGATTTCTCTACGACGCAGAGAAGGGCTCGTTTGCCCCGCTCGTCTATCCCCTCGACACCGAACCGAAGCCCCAGCTCCAGACGTTCCAACAGTCCCAAGGCCTCGTCTCGCCTGCCGAAATTGAGCGACTCACGCAACATTATGGCGACAACACGTTTGATATTCCCGTCCCGACCTTTACGGAGCTGTTCAAGGAGCACGCCGTCGCGCCCTTTTTCGTCTTCCAGATCTTCTGCGTGGGACTGTGGATGTTGGACGAATACTGGTACTACTCGCTGTTTACGCTCTTCATGTTGGTCGCCTTCGAGAGCACTGTCGTCTGGCAGAGGCAGAGGACGCTGAACGAGTTTCGCGGGATGAGCATCAAGCCCTACGAGATTCTGGTATACCGCCAGAAGAAGTGGCAGGAGGTCATGAGCGACAAGCTCCTGCCAGGCGATATCGTCAGCGCTGGCAGGACCAAGGAAGACTCTGGTGTGGCATGTGATATGCTCCTCCTCGAAGGCTCTGCCATTGTCAATGAAGCCATGTTATCTGGCGAGAGTACCCCGGTGCTCAAGGAGTCGGTACAATTGCGCCCTGGCGATGCTTGCATCGACCCGGAGGGTTCAGACAAGAACTCGTTCCTTTGGGGTGGCACCAAGGTTCTCCAGGTTTCGCACGGCAGCAATGCTGAGGAAGACGGTGGCCACGTGTCAAGATTGTCATCTGGAGTTCCGCCACCACCAGACAAGGGCGCCGTGGCTGTTGTCATCAAGACCGGATTTGAGACGAATCAGGGCAGCCTTGTTAGGACTATGATCTTCGCCACGGAGCGCGTGTCTGCGAACAATGTCGAAGCACTCTTTTTCATCCTCTTCCTTACCGTTTTCGCCGTCGCCGCTTCGTGGTATGTTTGGCAGGAGGGTGTCAGGCTAGACCGCCAGCGCAACAAGCTTCTGCTTGACTGTGTCTTGATCGTCACCAGTGTTGTACCCCCGGAACTTCCTATGGAACTAAGCTTGGCCGTCAACACCAGTCTTGCGGCCCTGAGCAAGTACGCCATCTTCTGTACCGAGCCTTTCCGTATTCCGTTTGCTGGCCAAGTTGACGTAGCCTGCTTTGACAAGACCGGTACCTTGACAGGAGAAGATCTCGTAGTCGATGGTATTGCCGGGTTGTCGCTGGGTCAGAACGGGGCCAAGCCCGGTCCAGATGGTGCGCATACAGGCCTCTTGAAAGTCACGGATGTCCCAACCGAAACTACATTGGTCCTCGCTACTGCGCATGCACTAGTTAAACTAGACGATGGCGAGACTGTTGGTGAGCCTATGGAGAAGGCGACCCTTCAGTCGCTTGGCTGGAAGCTTGGAGCTAAGGATACCCTGACCGCAGCGACAACTACTGCAAAGTCTCACGCCGAACTCGTCCATATTCGTCGCCGATTTCAATTCTCGTCTGCTCTCAAGCGACAAAGTTCCGTAGCCACAGTCCTTGTCAACAACAATAAGACTGGCAGGAAGGTCAAGAGCACGATCGCCGCTGTCAAAGGCGCGCCTGAGACGATTCTAAAGATGCTGGTAAATGCTCCACCAAACTACGAGGAGACCTTCAAGCACTTCACTAGAAATGGTGGCCGTGTGCTCGCTCTCGCTTACAAGTTCCTTTCTGAGGAGGGAGAGTGGGGACAAAACCGTATCAACGATCTCAAACGCGAGCAGGTCGAATCTGATTTGCACTTCGCCGGCTTCCTGGTTCTCCAATGTCCATTGAAGCCTGACGCTATCGAGGCTGTTCGTATGTTGAATGAGTCTAGCCATCGTGTCGTCATGATCACCGGAGACAACCCATTGACCGCCGTACACGTCGCCAAGCAGGTCGAGATCGTTGACCGCGATTGCTACATCTTAGACGCGCCCGAACGTGATGAATCCGGCGAGAAGCTTGTGTGGCGCAGCGTCGATGACAAGACTAACATTTCAGTGGATCCTACCAAGCCTCTTGATGCTGAAATTTTGAAGTCCAACGATATTTGCGTCACTGGATATGCGCTCTCGAAATTCACTGACCAACCTGGCTGGAAGCAAATCTTGCGACACGCGTGGGTATACGCACGTGTATCGCCTAGACAGAAGGAGGAGATTCTACTCGGACTCAAGGACTGCGGATATACGACCCTTATGGCTGGTGATGGAACCAATGATGTCGGCGCCTTGAAACAAGCTCATATCGGTGTTGCTCTGCTCAACGGTACTCGCGACGACCTGGATAAGATTGGCGAACATTTCCGCAACACGCAGATGAAGGCAGTGTACGAGAAGCAGTGCTCGTTGATGCAAAGGTTCAACCAGCCCCAGCCGCCTGTCCCCCTTTTGATCGCGCATCTGTACCCTCCTAGCCCAACGAATCCGCATTATGAGAAGGCTATGGAAGCGCAGGCTAAGAAGAAGGGTCTGCTCACCGAGGCCAATGGTGCAGCGAATGGTTCTACTGGCGCACTTGTCCAACAGCAGCCAGGCCAAACACAGCCAGCACAGGGTGCTGGTAATATTGCGCAGCAATTCCAAGAGAAGATGATGATGCAAGAGATGGACGAACTCAGCAATGAGCCGCCGACGATCAAATTAGGTGATGCTTCTGTTGCTGCTCCGTTTACTTCGAAGCTTGCAAACGTTGTTGCGATCCCGAACATCATCCGACAAGGTCGATGCACGCTTGTTGCTACGATTCAAATGTACAAGATCCTAGCGCTGAACTGCCTGATCTCCGCGTACAGTCTGTCCGTTCTATACCTCGATGGTATCAAGTTCGGTGACGGCCAGGTCACGATCTCAGGCATGATGATGAGCGTGTGCTTCCTATCCATCTCTCGCGCAAAAGTATGTTCTTCCACACCCTCCTTACAGACCTGTGCTAATATTATTGTAGACCGTCGAAGCTCTCTCGAAGGAGCGCCCTCAACATAATATCTTCAACACTTACATCATTGGCTCTGTACTTGGCCAATTTGCCGTACACATTGTAACCCTCATCTATGTATCGCAATACGTGCAGCGCGTCGAACCCAAGGATCCCAATCCCGACCTCGAGAAAGATTTCGAGCCCTCCCTCCTCAACAGCGCCATCTACCTGCTGCAGCTGATTCAGCAGATCTCCACGTTTGCGATCAACTACCAAGGCCGTCCCTTCCGCGAATCCATCCGCGAGAACAGGGGCATGTACTGGGGCCTCGTCCTTGTCTCTGGTGTCGCATTTTCATGCGCCACTGAATTCATTCCGGAACTCAACACGAAGCTGAAACTCGTTCCCTTCACTTCTGACTTCAAGGTCATGATCACGAGTATCATGGTGCTAGATTTTGGTGCCTGCTGGATCATTGAGAAGGGCTTGAAATGGGGCTTCAGCGATAACAAACCAAAGGATATTGCGCTAAGACGTCCGGATCAGTTGAGGAGAGAGGAGCAGAGGAAGCTTGAAGAGGAGCATGAGGCGCAGAAGAAGAAGAACGCCGAGATTGAAGAGAAGGCGCGTGCTGCGGGGTTGGTTACAGCTAAATGAGACTTGTGTCAAAAGAACTGAGGGGCATTGTGGAGTTGTTGTGCATAGCTTGCGTTAGAGTACGGGAATCTAGAATTTAGATGAAGTCCATACCCAGCTCTATAATACATTTTACTTCTCTACTCACTTTGTACGTGCTTTTGTGCGAAAGATTGCCTAGTGATGCGCAGATACCCCTTTTCGCAACCATCCGTAACAACATTCACCCACTGATAAACGTTTGTTCTTGTCATGTAAGTGGTAATGTTGAGCCGTGATGACTATGCTGGACTCTGAGAAAAACCCTCTGATACCTATATGATGTCCTTCAATTTTGCCAGCAACTCATCCATATCCTTCGCATACATATCAAATTCTCCAAAGACTGAGGTGACCGGATCATGCTCTTCAAAATCTAGGTAAGCTGTCTTGAAGCCTGCTTTACGTGCAGCAATCAGATCCCACGCATGCGCTGCAACAAACCATCTCTCGCCATCACCCTTCTTTCCCACACCGCGATTCGTTAGGTGTTTATTCGCATTCTCGTAAACTTTGACATCCGGTTTTGCAATCTTGAGCGTATCACAGCTAAGTAGATGCTCCTCATCAAGATTAATTCCAGCGGCATGGTAGTAGTTAAGTGACGTTTGGATACCGCCGTTCGTAACACCGTAGACATCCCAGCCCGCCTCTCGCAGTCCATCGAAACATCTCTTCAGGCCCTCTCGAGGCGCCATGGCCTTGAACGCCTTCATCACCTCCTCAATGTCCTCGTCCGTTACCGCATCAGCTGGTAAATCCACGATGCGGCACGCTCGCCGGAAAGTCAACTTGAGGATTTCGGCAATGGGCTTGTAAGATCCTGCCAGGCTGACATATGTGAAGTCGCGCTGTGCGGCGTAAAACCACGCAAAGAAGAGCGTCTTCGGGTCAACGGCTGCGGTGGAGAGCTTCGGACCGAGGCGCGAGTGGATTTTGTCGATGGGCACGGCGAAGTCAAAGCAGGTGCCTATCACGTCGAAGGAGGCAGATTTAGGCATCTTGTCGGTTCTGCAATCGTCGTGCTGTGGCTCCAAGGAAACCCCCGTGTTTTTGTGCTTTGTGGAGTAGCAAGAAGTTCACAGTCTAGACTCGGTAGCAACTAACTACCGAGGCTTATCAGCCGATGAGCCACTCCACCCAATAAGCCACCTCAACTAAAGTTAGCCATCCGCAAAAATAAAGTTGTAAAATTACTAATAAAAGTTATTATTATAAAATTTTTTAAAGTATTAGTAAACAAAAGCTTACAATTAATTTATACTATTTAAATTTTTATAAAAAGTTAATTTGGCAGCTGCGCGCAGTAGTTTTAGGTAAAAGTAGTAATAGCTGCAATATATTTAAACTATTACTTTTAGTATCTATAATACAATAATGCTTTGCTATATTTAAATTTACAAAATATAAAATTATTTGCTTAATATATTACACAGGCGAGTTAGTTGCCTAGTTAAGTTAGTTATAATACTAAGATTTTACTAAAATTAGTACTATGCACAACAGTATAGCACTATAAAAAACTATAGTAGTAAATTATAATAAGCTAATTTATTTAAAAACTACTTTTACTTTTTGCTTATATATTTATATATTATATTTAGCTTTACTATAGTATTTATAGCGCCTTTAAAAAGGCTTACTTGCTTTAATATGTGCTTGCTTTTTTATTTTTTTTTTATTACTACGCGCCTTAAATTCCTTTAAAATTATTAATTAAAAACTATTTTTTATTATAAAAGTTTTTTTTTTTATATTTATTTTTTTTTATATAATTTTTGTTGCGTAGCGGTTTTATTAGCTATTTAAAACTTAATAATTTTTTTTTGCACTAATATAAGCTTATACGCAATTATAGCTGCACTTTTTAAAATTTTTTTAAAAGCTTTAACTATTAAAATAAAAGAACTATTTAAGTACTTTTAAATTTTTATTTTAACTAGTATTAATTAAAATTTAAATTTTAAAGTATTGCTTAGTATTTTTAATTTTTAAAAACTGTTTTTAATAGTAAGTAATAGTAGAATATATAATTAAATATTAAGTTTTAATATTACAGCTTTAAAATTAAAAAAAACTAGACTAGCGCTTTTAAAGCTATTTAGAATATTATTCTTTATAATAGCAGTATTAAAAGCTAGTTTAAAGCATAGTAAAAATTTAATTTTAGTAATATAGTTAATGTTATTACGCATTAGCTTTTTAGTTTAGCATTTATACGCCTTTTTTAAAAGTGCAAAATAATTTATATTAAGTAGCTATAGTAAGTGCAATAAATACAAAAGTATATAAAAAATAATAATTTTTTATTTTTTGCAGTACTGCTAGAATTAGATTAATATATAGCTTTTATAATTATTAATAATAAGCAGATAATAAGTACTAATAACTTTTTTTTTAGTATATTTATTAAAGTACTTTAATTACTTAAAAATAAGCTTATTTATTATTTAGCTATTTTTAGAAATTATAATAATTTAATTATAAGGCAGGCTATTTTTCTTATACTAGGCTAAAAAGTAGTTTTTGCCTATAAAAATAATAAAAAGTAAAATAGCTTACTTTATTATATTAATATTTTAAATTACTATTACTTACTTTTAATTACTCTACTGTACTATTTTCGGCCGTTTTTAATAGTTAGTACTTAAAATAATAGTTTTATATAATATTTAGCTTATTATAAAGCTTATTTTATTAAAATTGTATATATTTTTATTTTAAATACTATATTTAGCTTTTATATTTTTTATAAGTTAGAACTAGCCTTGTACAAGCTTAGAATTTTTATATAAAATTTTTTAGTAATTATATTTTTAAAAAATTTTAGTATTAAGCTATAAATATTATCTAACAAACGTGCTAGCCTAGTTCCTGCTAATAAGTAATTGTTTATATTTAGCTAGCAAAGTATTAGCTATATTATTTATAGCAGTTAGTTAAGGCAGAAATTTTTAGTTTTTAAAGTAAAGTATATATTAAATAATTACTTTTTTTTCTATTAAAAAAAGCTTTATTTTATTAGGCCTAGTATTGTATTATAAAGGCTTTTTTTTTAGTTAATTACTAAGTATTATTTAAAAAATGCTGTAGATCTGCGCAGTTTTTTATTAAAAAAAATTTATATTATATTTTAAAGCCTAAACTATAAACTATATTTAATTTTTTTTTTAAAAAAATTATATATTATTATATTAAGGCATTGCGTTTAATAGTAGAAGACTACTAATTTTAGTAGGGTTTTGGCATTGTAACTAACTTAACTAGGCAACTAACTCGCCTGTATAATATGTTATATTTATTTACTTTATTATAAAGTTTTTATAAAGTTATAGCTTTTTTTTTTTATTACTTTTGCGCGCGCGCAGTAGCTTATTTTTAAACTACTACTATATATTTTTTTACAGCGCGCTTTTTAGCAAGTAATTATACTACTTTTGCTTTTTTTATAATCTTTTTTTTATATAATATTGCTGCTGCTTTTAGCTTTCTTATTTTTTTTTTTTAGAATTATTTAGCTTTATTTTTATATTATTTTACTACATTGCGTGCGTAAGCTTTTTAAATAGTTTTTAAACTTTAAAATACTATAGCGCTATAAAACTTTTTATACTATTAAAAATTTAAAAATTTGCTTTTACTTTTATACTTTTTTTTAATTAAAAATATATTATAAAAATTTTTATTTTTATAGTAAAAAAGCTTATTTTGCACCTAAAAAAAATATAGTACAGAGCTTAATTATTTAGCTTTAATTTTTGCTTTATTTTTTATAGTAACTTTAAATAAATTGCAGAGCTAGTTCTAAGTATTTTTATTATTATTTTTTCTATTTATTAACTTTTAATTTTCCTGTTATAATTGTATTTTAAATTATTATAGTATAATATTAATATTAAGTAGCTTAATACTTATAGCTTTAAATATTTTTTGTATATTTATAAAAATAAATATAGTATTATAGGCAGCCTAAAATAATAAGAAAAAGTTGCTTTTATTTATAAAAATAAAAGCTTAGCTATAATAAAAGTAGTGCGCAAGCTTAATTAAATAAATAGTTAAAAAAAGTAAAAAAAGTACTATATCTAAAAGTTATAAACTATAAATTAAATAAAAAAAAATATTATTAAAAAAATCTTATTAGCGTTGCAAAAGTCTATAAAATTAGTAATAAAGTAGCTACTATAGCTATTAAAAATAAAAATTTTATAATTTGCCTGCGCTTTACTTTTTATATACTAATTAAAAACTTATTTAAGCTAGGCTAAACTAATATTATTATTAAATTATTTAAAAAAATTTATTATAA